AGAGGAGACATGGATAGAAAAAGCTATTTTAAATTTATTGCTTTTAACATGTGTATTTTCTTAATAGCGTTTCTTCTTGCGTTTTACCTTACGCCTTCAGTTTATCATCGAACTACTCTGCAATCAATTAAGGATTTAGATGATACATTCTTAAAGAATACGCTTAATGCCGTCGATAGAGATAGATTAAGAAATTTCCTTAGATCCTACGCATCTAAACCGCATATGGCCGGTACGCAAAAGGATAAAGTAAACGCCGAGAAGTTGTATAAATTCTGGAAGGAATTGGGTTACGAAGCGAAGATAATACCATATAGGGTTTTGCTATCGTTTCCCTCGGGGAATCGAGAAGAGACGAACTTGGTCCGATTTAAAAAACGAAATAATTCCTGGTGGACCAGTCGTGCGCTGGAAAAACAGTTAGATGGAATATCAAACCAATCTGACCATATTGTAAGGCCTTTTAATGCTTTTTCTGGTTCAGGTAACGTTACTGGAACGCTAGTTTACGTCAATTATGGGAGGGAAATGGACTTTCTATATTTAAGAAACAAATTCAAAGTAGATTTCCGAGGGAAAATTGCCGTTGCAAAGTACGGAAAAATATTTCGAGGCGATAAGGTCTTTATCCTCAATTTATAGCAAAATTACGTAATTGGCTTGCTTATCTTTTACTTATTAAACAAATTTAAGGCTAAAACCGCTGAAAGATGGAATGCGAGTGGTCTAATTTTATTTACGGCGCCTAAGGACTACGCTCCTAAATTTGCCGGCAAGGTATACCCAGACGGAATACTAATGCCATCTGACGGCGTTCAAAGGGGCTCCCTGAAGCTTGAAGGCGACCTCCTAACCCCCGGTTGGTCGGCAACGGGTAATAGGCTTATATTGTATTTATCTTAAACCTAAAGTTGGACACTGTTTATTATCTTAAACGATGAACAGAACGAAATTGCATACTCTGTTTTGTATATATATCTATGCCGTATTATAAGTAGTTTTACCTATACAGACGAATCGTTTAACTACAGACTTAACATAGACGAAGCTCAACTAGTCAAAATTCCAGTTTTACCAATCAGCTATGGAGATGCTGAGATTTTATTGCAGTACGTAAAGCTTTGACCTAAAATCTAAAAAGCGGCACAAAAATGAGCTTTTGTCTTTTTTCTATTTATCCCTTTTTATATCATTGTCCGCTTTCTCGTTCTCTTTTTTTCCCTGCTCTTCCATTTTCACCCTTTTCCTTTCTTGTGTGTTAATTTCTATCTATTCTTTACATCTATATTGCATTTAGATAAAAGATAATTAAGATTTTACGCTACCTAAACACATACACAGAGGCTTTGAGAAGGAAGCAGTTCAGAAGTATAATCTAACGTCTGATTGGGAACACGGATTAGAATTTGAAAATATAGACGCTTCAGCGTACTATCGTTACGAAAAATCGAACGATTATACAAAGTTTGTTCATTATTGATTTTTTTCGGCGGCGTCGCTTTTTTTCCGCTCACGTTCTTTAAACGTTTGAAATAATATAAAAAAAAGGCAGGTGACGCTTATTGTAAACGTTACGAAAGAAATTCGAACGACCTACAACGTTCATGCGATACTCGAGGGCAGTATTGAAACGGGTAAGGAACAAATAACGAAATGATAATTATTACTTTCAAACGCAATTTTTACATAATAGACAGGTATGTTATCGTCGGTAATCACAGAGATGCTTGGATCTACGGAGCTATTGACCCGTCTAGCGGAACGGCTGCTCTATTAGAAATCTCAGCAATTTTAGCTAAAGCAAAAAAGGATGGATGGTCTCCCAAGAGAACGATTATCTTTTGTAGTTGGGCTGCTGAGGAACAAGGCCTAATTGGTTCAACCGAATGGGTTGAGCAATTCTCAAATATCATTTCTGCGCGGGCAGTAGCGTACTTAAACACAGATATAGCTGTCTTAGGCACGTCGACATTAAGAGGAGGCACATCATCAGGCCTAATAAGCAATGTTTTACTGGAAGCTGCAAAGAGGGTTGAAAATCCTAATAAGACAGCAATAGGTTATGGTTTGAAGACTGTATATGATTCTTGGAAAAAGTATATGCCTGATAGGGACAATGCCAAGAGGCCTTAGTATATTTCCTTTTCAATGTCAAAAGTATAAAGTTTTAATGACCTTTTTCTTTGTTTACAATTATTGAAAAAATAGCATCTCTCCTCTCGGTTCTGGAAGCGACTATCAACCATTCATTAATTATCTTGGTATTACTTCTGTTGATATTTTCTATATGTACGATCCAGTACGTTCTATTTTCCTTATTTTCATTTATCCTACGTTCTGACAGCAATTTATTTAAGAATGTCTATTATTAATCCATTTAGAGTCTTCCGATTCCCTTCTATCCACTGTATCACACAGCTTACGAAACTGTTGATCTTGTGGAAAGGCTCTACGATCCCGAATATTACTATCACGAAGCTGTCGTAAGGGTATGGATGACCATGGTATTAAACTTATCCGAGTCCACAATTTTACCTTTCGATCCTTTTGAATTTGCCAATCAATTATCGAGGAATGTGGAAAATGTTTACACTGCTGCTAAGAATCTCTCAAGGGACAAATTAGAGATGAACTCGGAAGTTGTTAATGCAACTAGTAATATAAATATGGATATAGCATGAAACTCTTATTCATTTTACTAAATGTACAGATGAACTACTTAAAGTTGTCTCTCGGTTTAAAAGCAGGACAGAATCTTTCAATTCTCAATTGATGGAGCTTCGAAAACAAGGCCAATCCGGGTAAAAGCTTCCTCGTTTTTTTCAAACCTTCCTCTCCTTTTTTCTTTTAAGAAGCTTTAACTCTTTCTCGTTTTAACTTGCTTTGAATTATTAATAAAAAACTGTTTTAATCTTCAGATTCCTTAACATTCGATTAATTAACGACAAGTTAATGGCAATTGAGCGTTTTTTCATCCTTCGTCAAGGCCTACAAGGTCGTCCATTAATGAAGAACATGCTGCTATCTCCAAGTAAATATAATACATATGGAGCAACGAGTTTACCTGAGCTATCGGATGCTCTATATGATATTCGTTATGGAGAGAATAAAGATTGGGATGAATTTCACAAACAAGTCAGTCTTCTAACAGCTTCAATAAGAGAAGTGGAATCTTCTTTAAAGAACTCATCGCTTTTTATGAACTAGGCAGTTTTTCATCGGTTTTGCTATTTTTTTGGATTTTTTGCATGATTTATATTTTAATAAGGAGCAAAATAAAAAATAAAATATGTAAATTAAGTCTGATTAAAATCATTAGTGAAGCCTTTGATATGTCCCAATTTTTTTGGAAAAACAATTAGGCATTCGGCACGAATAAATTTGAAGTAATTATCAGATAGAGGGCGCATCTTTTAAAAAAAAGGGCTAAATTTATGAAGCTAAACGTTACACAAGCTCCATCTGTTACTTAAAAACAATAATACAAATATTTTAGATTGTTCGAATATGGAACATTTAGATTCTAAGTGAAATCGAGTAGAAAAGCTTCGCACTAAAACTTTAAGAATGACTAAGTAACGGAAAGTAGTAACATCCTCATCGGTAGGTAAAAAAAACAAACAGCAGCGATCTAGTATAGAGACAGACGAAGAGAGGGAGAGGCAGATGGATAGATAGATAGAGAGATAGAACGAAAGAAAAATAGAGTGACCTGTATAAATAATAAATAAAATAAATTATTAATGATTTTTTTATAAAAGTTTAAAGGAAATTAAATAATTTTTAAGAGGGAAACCTAACATGAAAATGGTAAACTTATTAATTAACCTTTTAAAAATAATTTAAAATGCTAAATAGACAAAAAAAAATAATTTTATTTTTTTAAAGAGGAACCGGAAACTTACATCTCCTTCCATTCTATTCTTAATTTTTTTTTTAAATTCTATCATGAAACCTTTTTATTTGGACTCATTTTAAATATTTAAACTAAAATATCTTTAAATAAATATGTATATATAATTTATATAAACAGCAAAAAGTAAAAGAAAGAGTTTAACGATTTCTTTTGAATTTTGTTTGTTTTTGAAATAAAAGGGAGAAACGTCGAAATAATTTAATACGTAAAGGTTATCGGGGTTGCGTTAAACGATGAATAGTTAAATTTTTTCATTTTTGTCAATTAATAATTCAACTTGATATATTTATACGAAAATGGAGATAAATTTTTTATTTATTTATAATAATTATCATAAATTATATATATATATTGTATAATATAGTACGAATACTCATTTATATATATATATATATATATATATAATATAAATACTAGTATATTTACATTTGAATTTATATCAGGTGGTCTGTATTTAGAAAGGAAATTGAAGAGAATATTTGATCGGAGAGGATGAGACAAGAGCGCTAATGCAATATCTCTAATATCCTACAGAATTTTCTCAATAATAAAATACAATATTTAGCTAGGTCAACTCTGACAACCTATGTCAAATCAAGAAAATTTATTACTCCTATTTCGAGGCCTTGTTAAAAAAAAGAACTGTAAAAAAAGAGTTATTAATGATAATAGTTTATTGGAAAACTACTGAAACGACTAGCGGTTATCAACTTGTAATATAATACTAGGTGTAAATTGTTACTGTATATAGCTAAAAATAGATTTTTCTCTTTTGAGGTGCTGCCATCTATTAGATTGTTTACTCTCGCTCTCCCCTCAAAAAAAATTCCGATAAGAAGAATCACACATCAGTAGTAGTTTATTTTTACAGCAATAAAATCATAAAAAGTACTATAAGAGCTTTTTTTTATAATACTCGAGAATGTTTTTCTGTCGTTTTAGCCGTACTGTTGCGAATAGCATTAAAATTATGTAAAAAAAAATTCTTTAAAATGTAACTTTCAGCAGAAAATTGTATGCCAGAAGAGAGACGCTTCCGTTTAAAATAAACGCTATGTTAATGATAAAATTAGAGAGGAAGCTTTTGAAAAAATCTTATTTTTAGACACAGCCTAACGAACCTCTAATCCTAATAGGACAGAATTGGATGGGTATTTCGCAAAACATTTCGATATTTGAAAGGAATCCTATACTGAAAGAGGACGTTAATCTTATTAAATAAGATAAAAAAATAAATAAGATCAGTAAACCGTTAAATTCTTTGAAATATAAGTTCCGTTTTTCCTCAGAAAAAAAAAACTCCAAAAGTAAATTGCTATCTACCGCAATTATTTCTAATATTTAAATTGTAAAGAGGAAGAAGGAATAGGAGATGTTGATTCTTTGTCAAATAAGTGGTTTCGGCGTAACCGTATATATACTGTTTATATGGTCAATAAAAAACAAATTTAATATTAACCTAAGTACAACAAAAAAATCATATGAGAATGGAATGTATGATTGAATTACAACAATTGATTTATCGGATTTTGGTCTATTTAATTCCAGATGTCCAACAGATAACCAAGCCCTAAAATCTTCGCATTTGTGCTATGACTAGAGCAAAAAAGAAAACTAAAACAAAAAAAAAAAAATTAGAATAATTTATAGTTATTATTTCTACACATGTACTCTTTGAATGAATAATTGAGGCACTTTTTTCAGGCCGTACAAAGAGGATAAACATCTGGTCTTTTTCAATAAATAGAATGAATCAGATCGATAACTAACGATGATAATAAATGGTAAAAAAAGACAATTATTACTTTATACTATTAATGTATAATTAATATACATCAAGATGTTTTTTTCTCTTTCTGTAATAGCAAGAAAGGAAAAGAAATTGAAAATTAAAAATTTGAGTACTTAATCCAGCATTTTATTGAAATATATAATCAAAAATTATTACAAATCTTTGAAATATTTCTTGTAGTTTTACAGAATAAATTAGTTTTTCAGTATAGAATAAATTTGTATTTGAACAAAAATGCTTCAATCAATAAAAGCGAACGTGACTAATAGCCGATATTCTTCAAATATTAGTAAGTACGAAATTTTTTACGAGCGCACTCATACACAAAAAAACGATTACAAAAAGGGAAAAAAGCGAGAAAAGCAATATTAGTAAACTTATTAAACACCTGTTGCTACGTACGCCGAATGAAGCGACCTTCCAAAAGCTAAGAACCAAATTTTTAAATCCTAAGCGCAAAAAAAATATTTAAAATATATATGGCGGCAAATCGGCAGTATAAAATCAAGTGTAGAGCAGTTAAAACTGAATGCTTACAGCTCTCTCTGCGCTATACTTTTGCTTCTAAAGAAAAATTTTACATATTCCAAGCAGCCCTATTTTTTTTAATCTAATATACAATTCGTTTAAACCATCTTTTCCCTCATCGTAAACGTAAATGAAAACAATGTCCTTAAAAAACAATTTGCTAAGTTATTTCTCTTCTCTTTAGTTTACTTCTTGCGACCGAGAGAGAATAGCTTCTTCTTACTTTCTTTCTCCGCACTACCCGAAGCTGGAAGGGTTTGCGTCCTGGTTGGTGTTGATGTCGAACCGGACACTGCGTTTATTCTATTGATCCACGAATCTCTCTCATTCTATGAAAATAGATAGTTATTTACAAAAATCATAAGATATAATTCAAGTTGCATACATCGTCTTTACAATGAAAGATATAGTGGGCGCCAGTTGGGAAACGAAGGCGGAAGACGTGTGGCTTTTTATGATAATCACCAGCCACACCAGCATTTACTCCCGCTAATGGCAATTCATCTCTTAATTTGCTGTGTTTTGCATCTTTGAAACATCTGAGGCTGTTGCTTGTGAGGACACAGTATAATTTTTCCCAAGACCTGTTCGTAGATTTCTTGGACTGCGATTCCCATTCATGTTTTCTTTGTAGCATTCCGCTAACTTCTTCTCCTAGGAAACCGCAAAAAAATTAGATAAATATATCGTTTTATGATCGATGTAAAGAAAGCAAATAGGAGTTAAATCGTAAATAAGCGGCAGAGTAATCGTGATCAAGTGGCTAATGTTCAAAATTATAAATTTGCCAAGGTAAGCATGAAACCTTGCGCAGGCATAGACTGATGCAGCTTTCGACGGGCTTCAATGCTAGTCTTTGTTGGATAAGGTTCACTGGTTGGTCTTCTCTTCGCAGCAATGTCTACGACGTCTGATGTAAGTAAGAAATCGGCTAGGTTAATGAAAAAGTTAGACGCAAAAGAGTGTTAGCAAGAGCTTATTTTGTGACAATGTAGCTTCGCTTAAAAGAAAACTGAGTGAGTGATTCTTACGCTCAGCTTTTTCCGGGCTACTTTTCGGTAAAGTTACTTCTCTATTTGAAGCTGTTTAGTTATATACAAAAATAGGAATGGCAAACTAAAAATACTACGATCCCATTTTTCGTGTAAATACAAATAACGGATAATGGTTACTAAATTAATAAATAAACTAAGAAAAATGCAAATAATACCTGGTCGAGGTCCTTCGGATGGACGGGCAGCAGCTTCTTGCTGTGAAGATCCCGCTCCGGGTGAAACTATTGCTCCGGAGGTAGGAGACGAAACTGTTTCTTCGTGTGGTTTTTTCATCGCTGCTGGTTTCGGTGACGGTGTGGGCAGAGGGGGGACGAATTCCTTCAAATACTTTTCCTTTGAAGACGTTTTCTGTGGGTAATCCTGATCGGGATGGGATCGTTTGAAATTCTCTTTTTCGGCTTCGTTAACTTCGAAAGTGGTTAAATTTTTCAGACAAAGGAAGCGTTCATCTTGAGTTGCAGCTGATTTTTCAAAGGCTTCATGCTTCTTGATCATAGCTTCAACAGAGGCTAGAGTGTTGCCTGTATCTAACGATTGTACATAAGGCTCGTGTGATGCGATCCATTGCTCTGCGACTGTAGCATCTCTTGCAAATTGATAAACTTCCAACATAAGTTGTAAGTGTTCCCATCGTCCTTCCCAAGTATCCATCATGGTTCCTCGGCTTTCAGCTAATTCAGTCAAACGGTCTCGGACATCACCGGTACGAGGATGTCTTCTAGCAACTAAATCTTTTCCCAAGTTGACACAAATCGAAAAATTTTCGTCACGAGCTTCAATTTCGACTTTCAAGCTCTGATGATTATTCATCAGAAGTTCGACACCCGAAACATCTCTTGGTTTTTCTTCGCTCTTCATTTGCCTTATCATATCTTCAGTCCACAAGAGTAGATCACGAACCAAGTTAAAGAATCTGTACAAATCAGAAGCATCAGCTAATTGCATCTTTCGCTTGGCGGCTGACTCTTGTATAGAATTCCAGGCGTCTAATACTTCTTTTTCTTTATTTTTCAACTCCTGAGCGGGATCACCACTATATGATACAACTAATTTTGCCGCATCTTCTTGTATCTGATGAACTTGGGTGCCCAACGAAATAAGATCATTCTCGAAAGTTTGGTGGCGTCTCTGCAAAGAAGCAACAGTCTTTGCATCTCTTCCAAGTTCATCTGACATTTCGGCCTTCTTTTCATTAATTCTCTCAAGAGTATCAGAGCAATCATGAAGGAACTTATGTCTAGCAAGGGATGCTTTGAGTTCCTGGCTTCTGGTATCAATGAGCTCAATAAGATCACCCCAAGCTTCATTGACGTTATCTTTGTATTCGGCTATTTTAGGTGCATCGTGGTGGCCAGCATTGATCAATGCATCACATGTATCACATGCTTCCGCTACTCTTTCCTGTCCTACATGCTCGGTATCTCTAGCAAAGTCACGGAATCTATTTATCATCATAGTCACATGCTCCAAGTCGTGTCCCTGCTCCTTTGACTTTGCAACCAATTCTCTTTCGTGTATCCATTGTAAAAGATCATCAATTTCTCTTTGCAACATATAAAGTTTCAAGGTGCCATCTAATCTTTCTCTTCTGTCACCACATAAATCTTTCAATGAAGCGTACAGTTTATCAACTTGACTTTGACGGAGACCGACAATTTCAGAATCTGGATGTTCATCTTCAATTAATTCTCGAGCTCTTTCACCCAGACTTCGCACTGTTCCGGCGAACTCTTCAATTATCTCGACAACATTGTCGTGCTTTTTAAGCATATTCTCAGCAGCAAATTCGTCATGAGCCTTATCTTCAGACATCATAATTAATTCCTGCTCAGACATCCAAGTTTCAGCTTCGGCAGCATCGAAAAGATATTGTTGTGCAACTTCAGATTTCGATAATCGACCCTTTCGTCCTTCAACGTCTTTCTCTAGGTCTTCCCACAAAGCTTGAACTTCATCAATATTGGATGCAAATAGTTCACGTTGAGAATCTCCTTCCGGCATTTCGTCAATTAACATATGACCAATTTCACAGACTGATTTCATATGAGGATGGTGAGAATCAATGTCATTCTGTAATGATTGATTTTTGCGTTCTAGCATTTGGACAGACTGCAAAGAATTTCCTACATCCGCACTATTAGCCAGCGGTGAGCGTTCCAATATCCACTGTTTCTCATCTTCAATATCACGAAGGAATTGCCTCTTTCGCTTTTCTTTATCAATTCGTTTTTCTCGCTCTTTCAAAGGGTCCATGAGCTTCAAGAAACGTTCCTGAACTTGAGCTCTCTTTTTATCGATTCGGTCACGTTCATCTGGTTCACACTGTTCAAGAGGAGCTTGCATTGCTTGTAATTGGTCGACTTGTTGTTGCTTAAGTTGAAGTTCGCTTTCGAGTATGTTTTGCTTTTGAATAAGCAAATTGAGCGTTAGGGGTGCTTCAGGAACTAGCTCAGATTCCATTTGACATTCGAGATTAGTGATCCAAGCATCTACATCATCGCAGGTATCTTCTACAGCAGCAGGACCTTGAGCTCTAAGCAGCACTTCTCGTTTCTCCTCGGCACCATTTTCCAAATCTTCCCACTTTTGTTTAAGATCGTCTAGACGAGGTTGAAGAGTTTCAGAAGTTTCGGGCTTCTCCTCTATCAAAGCTTCCGTGTCCGCAATAAGTTTTGCCAAGAAAGTTTTGTGTGTTCTTATTTCGGCGATATGAGTTTCGTGCTTTACAAATTTTGTGTGTATAATCTTGCGATCCTTGACACTAGGTAGCTCTCCTTCATCCATTTCTGTTTTCTTCTCTTCTATCCATTCTTCTAGTTCGTCGAATTCCTGAAGATGTAATTGAAGGTCTAATTGTGATTTCAATTTCAATAATTTTTCATTAGCTCTTTGTCTATTCGCTTGACGACGGTCATCAATACTATCAGCTTTAGTTTTAATAAGTTCAGAAGCGTAATGATTCTCATCTTGAAGGCGTTGGGCCTCGTGTAAAACTTGATTGATTCGTTCGTCATTTGCATCCAGGGTTGCTATAAACTGTTCTAATTTCTTGATTAGATTCTCCGCAGCAGTAAGAGACGTCTGAAAGCGAATACATATTTTTAATAAAGTATAATAAGAACGCACCTAACTAGGTGTATAATAATAATCGATATTGTGCGGAAAATTAGTGTTCGTTTAGTGCATAAAGCTGCTACAGATAACTTCTTGAAAAAACAGCTTTCTCTAGTGGGAAAAAAAAACAGGGAAATAAAAACATTTCTGCAAGTCTTCAACTGGAATTTTTAGTAACCTGAAAAAATTCTATTCTATCGAGAACAAAGTGGTAGTAAAAATTAATTATCTTATCTAATGGAAAAAAATCAGTCTCTTAACACTTAATGAAACCAAACGATAAAAAACAGTGGACTACGTCGCTTTAGGTATAGTAAGAGTAATCATGCAGTGATACCTGTTTATCCATTCCGGGTTTTGTCTGTGCAAAGTATATGAGTACATACAGAGGCTAACAAGTGATAACCACTAGTGATTTTAAAAACTATACAGAGCAATCCGACTTGTGGCTAATCTATTGATAATTGACAATATCTGCGACTCAAATAATAGTCACTTACCGGTACGTCTTCTCTCGACAAAAAGTTGTCTTGTTGGCTCAAAAGTAAGTCCGCCTGCTTGGCATCTCGAAGGAAAAATTGATAATTGAGGTTTTGAGTTAACTTGTTTTGTTTAGATTTCCACGATCTTCTAAGATTTTCCCAGTCTTCATCTATTCCTTGAAGTCTATCCTTTAGCATGACGTATTGTGGATCATCATCCATATCTGCCACCATACTTTTACCATATTCAACGAGACGTTCATGTTCTTCAGCATGTGCTTCAATGTCATCATTAACTTCGCTGTGACTAGCTAATGAACGTTCAGCATCAGCAACATCAACAGGGAAGTCTTCTCTTGCGATACGAGCTTGAGTTTTATCCTGCCATTGTTGGAAGGAGTCCAAGTCACCCAAGAACTTACGTTGTTCGCTTGCTGCGCTTAGTTGCTCATCCCTCTTTTGCATATTCTCGTTCAGGTTTTGCCAAAGTGCTTTGACTTCATCAATCTTCGCCCTTATCAATTCAGCTTCTTCGGGATTATCCTCTTCCAATTGGTCGGCATCGTGTTCTAATTGAACCAGTCTGGCGTTAATGGCAGTCAAGTCATTTTCCAGACCACCAAGACGTCTTTGCAACTGCATGATACCAGCTAAATCACTAGTTAATTCATCTGTCGATTCAATAACTTTGGTCTTCTCTTTAATCCAAGTGATAGTTTCTGTGCATTCGATTTGCCATGTAGTTTTGCTCTGAATTCCAGAAAGTTGTTTTCTTTTCTCGTTAGCAATTTTCTCTAGTTCACTCAACATCTCGCTAACTTCATTTCTTCTCTTTTCAACTTCTTCGACGTTTGGATGTTTGTTATTGAGAAGCTGTTGAGCGAGTTCATTAACATGATCGACCTTTTCTCGAGCAGTTGAAAGTTCTTGATCGAAAATCACGAACCGAGCTCCGATAATCTCTACTTCCTCCATTTCACTTGGCTTAATATCCATAGTGCTAAGTAGTTTAGTTTTTTCTATTATCCATTGTTCTACAATATCTGCTTCATTGTAAAGTTGATACAAAGCAAGAGCGTCATTTAATTTCTGGGTTCGTTCATCCGCAAGATCGATTAGTTCCTTGTAGCGGTTGTCGACAGTTCTCAAGCTATCACCTACTTGTGGTAAGTCTCTATCTTTTTCGGAGAGTTGCTCCCGTTGTTGATGTAAAGCCTTGATTACTTCACTGTAGTTCAAAAGCTCTTCCTTGTCAGCGTTATGCTTCTTCAAAAGAGACATAGCTGATGTTTCATCTCTGCCAACATCATCAGAGTTGAGCTTTCGCAACATTTCAACAAGCATAAGATTAACATCTTCAGCGTCGGATGCGAATTGATTTAATTGTACAACTTCGTCCAAACGCTGTCGCTTAGTATCAGCTAATTTGACTAGATCATCCCATTCTTCGTTAACATATTGAATACGATTTCTGATTATATCAGTTCCAAGGTTGTTAGCATCTATCAATTTTTGTCCACCTTCTAGTATTCCATCAACATGACCTCGTCTCGCTGACAACTCATTTTCATTTGCCTATGTAAACAAGCAAAATAAATAAAAATGTTAGGAAAAGGGAAAAATCGAGAAAAAAATCAACAAATAGCAATCACATGGCGTATTTCATTTTTAATCAAGTCTTATCGCTTTAAATACCGTTTCAATTTCATTAACTACTGCCTCTATAGAATCTAGAAGGGATATTTTATGAGCGTGATGCGCGTGCACTTCATCTTCCTCCATCTAATTTAAAGTTTTGGTGCACAAGAAAATATTTTTACTCGATTATTACTGTACCTTATGTTTATTTTTTAGTAGAAGGGCAGCCGTCAAATTTAATTCTTCAGGTATTTCGGCAGACATCAATTGATATTTTTCAGTAATCCAGCTGGTTTCATCTGTGATATCCCATTGGAATTGCCATAGACGTTCACTCTCACCCAACATTGACCTTCTTCCTCTTGCTAATTGTAGCAATTCGGCGTATCTTTGCTCTAAATATCTCATTCTATCAGCAACAACATTTCGGTCGACAGGGCGATAATCACCGACCTCTTGTGGAAATTCTCCATCAACAAAATAATTAGCAGATGAGTTTATTGTTCGAACCCTAGCTCCCACGACGGTGATATCGGCTTCCAACAACTCGTGCTTCTGAATTAAGTCGCGTACTCCCATTAAATGTTTACCGTAATCCTCAGAATGCAACCTTGCAGTAATTTCATCCATCCAGTCCAATACATAAAGCATTTCTTGAAATATTTTATACAATTTCAGAGTCAGGTCGAGACGTTGTCGTCTTGCTTGAAGTAATTCCAGTAAATACTCCCACAGAGTCTGTACATTTTCTTTTCTGGCTATGATCCTGTCTATATCATGATAATTTTCGCTTTGCAATTCATCAGCGACGTGAATGACCGCTTGAACTCTTTCGTTATATGCATTGATATCAGTTTCAATAGCTTCGTGTTTTTTAGTTGCAGCTTCGACTGCTGCTAAATCTTGACCGAAGTTATCTTGTGAAACCAAACGTTGATTTTCATTCAACCAATCCTCTCTTAAACCGGCTTTACGATCGAATCTTGCTGCCAATTGTTCCAACTTCTCTTGTCTAATCAACTCTTCTCGTAACTTAAGTTCACGCTCGTGTTCTGCTCGCTCTAATTCTTCCCATGCCTTATTTATATCAGATATCATTCGTTCTTCCCGAGGCATGTACGGTTTCTGGTTGTTAGCTCGCTGCCTACTCTGAATGGTAAATAAAAGGATTTCAAGATTTCCCTTCTCAACAAATTTTGGTGGTTTTTCTGTTGTTCTATAAGCGTTAAAGTCAGACAATTGCTTTTGTACACCTTCCAAAGTGTTTTTAAATTCGCGTTTATTTAATTCTGTGATTGTATTTCGTATCCATTCGAGTAGATCAGATGTCAGATTCTCGTACTCTTGGATATCATTGTCATTCTCACGAATACCATCAATAACTTTACCAATTCTTCTTCCTTGAACCGAGTCTTGCTTCATCTTGCTGAAAACATGATAATAGGAAGCAACATAGGTCATTATCGATCGCTCTTCTGGAACTTCCTGGTTAACATCTTCAGCGTCAAGTAAAGAGGCGATGTCTAACTTTTCGCTTGCAACTTGAAAAGCATTGTTCAAATTTTGAATAGCATTTGATTTCCTTAGATTTTTAAAGTCGATCAGATCAGGTCGGTGTTTATGTATGATAGCGTTAAAAGCCAGCCCATCTCGCCAAGATCGCGAAAAATCCCTAACACTAACATTCGGATAACCCTTCGTCTGTATCTGACACCACAGCAACAAGGCATCTTTAGCCGATTTCTTTTCGTTGTCTTCGGCCTCGAAAAATATATCTTGAATCTGCAATGAACATAACAATAAAAAATAAAGCCTTCATTATTTCGACTTTTGTTATCTTAGAGTTTGATATGTCCGAATATAGCGACAAAAATGTACACAAAGCGTAGGTGTGGCCTAGTTCGGCCATATCATTTTACTGGAGAAAAAATCGAAGAGACGGGACAAATAAAATATTTTTTGACCTACTCAACTCTTGCGCACAGCACCAACAGAGAACCACGCCCTCGTTTTAGCCGCAGTTAAATATAGCAGCCGCATGATGCAGCATCTGCTCGTAATTCTGACGAATATAACAGGCTGCTTGGCAGAAATCGATCTTACGAAGAAATTAAAAATTGTTTACCTGAAACCTTAAAATAATTGTCCATATCAAGCCCAGCGTTAAACGCTGATTACAATCAACAATATCATGAGCGCCAACGTTCTCCAAATGTACGCGTTGCTCCATTAAAAACATTAGGGCTTTGTCGACGTTCTCCAAACAATGAATTCTCATTGTTCCCTTTGTTGGTCTTGGCTGAAATAAATCGGACATTGTGAATAGTAAAAAATTGACATTCAAGAATTAATAAAAAATAATTCTTTGTCTAAACTACAAGAGAAGATATAGTATCATCTGATGCCGCAATGTATAGATTATGAAATTTCATTAACCATATGCGACTATATTTGATGCGATTAGGCTATTGATAAGTGGGTTTCTTCGTGCCTAGTCATTACTCTTGCCAACTAAATCAATTCATCAAATCTCAAATGAATACAACTAAACACGTATTATGGATAGTCCATCCGAATTAATTAGTTTTTAGAGGTGAGGCCATTAACTTACAAGACGATCGCCAGAGAGTACTTCTAATAATTTGATTAACATTTTTCCATCCGCCATATCGATATATAAATCCTGAATTCTGCATTCGACACGATTCAAATGTGAATTCACCCATTTTGTAAAAGTTTTCTTTTGGACTTTTTGTCTCTCCTCTACAAAAACAAATATTCATAATCTTTCGTAGCAGAATAAACAGTACGAACCTGCTAGCGCTTTAATTCTCGATCGTTCAAACAACTTGGCCGAGTTATTGCCGCTTTCCCAATCTTCATGGATATCCGTACCATTATTAGTGGCACTTTCCCAGGGTTGCTTGGGTGAATAGTGATGTTCCACTTCGGTCATCTTTTTTCAGTTGTTGAGATCTGAAAAAGCGTTAGGCTGTTAAGGAATAAGTACCAAATTAAAAAAACAAAAAAAGTACGAAGGTGAAATCGGATACGTCGGCGACACTGAGGCGGTCGAGCTTTTCGCTTCGAGATTCGTAAATGTAATCAAACTCTTTAAACAATCGGTGCGGCCTACAACATAGGAATCGATAGTGTCCATAAAAGCCGATAAGCAGAAATCTTCTTTTAATTTGAGCACAAAAACACATAAGAAGGCTACTAAAGACTATAAAATACAAAGATCGGAGCGATTTGTAATACATTTAGAAAAATTATTTCTCTGGCTTAACGAGTTAGTTATATAAAAACGATCAGGATAAACTTGGAAAAGAGAGCCAAGGATGGCAGCCATCTTTAGAGAGTGACAATACAGAAGACACTAAAAAGTCGAAAGTACACACGCTATTTCTTTGCTTACCAGCTCATCGGCTAATCCAAATTGTAAAACAACGAAATCGTTCGCCCCTATATGAAAATAATTTCGAAAAGTCACCGATTATCCTCCGCGAACGCAGACGACCTCTTTACTCAGACGCGCAAACCAAAATATGGCCGAAAATATAGTTCGCTAGTCTGGTCAATGCCAAATAGCTCTAAAACAACATTGAGATAAGATCAAATACTACTTTATGCATTTAATATAATTATTCATACATTTTCCGGATATTACAGATTAGTTTATTGTTTAAACGTAATTTTTGTTGTCGCGCAGAAATACATTTTATCTGAATCATGAATATGAATAAGCCATTCTGTCCTTGATAAATGGTGCCATCTATCGGATAGAAAAAGTGTAAGGTGAACAATAATAAACTATTCAAAAGATTAAAAATTGTAAGAATATAGACTATAACGTGTCGTATAAATAATAATTTATTTTTATAAAAACAGGAAATTCACATTTTTTTTAAATACTTCCTTTGCTAGTAAAAACGTAACATCATATCCACAATTGATAAGAATAGAATGCATATATACAATGTATATATAGTACATATATATATATATATATATATATATTTATATTGGTATATGTATATATACATATACATGTAGATTTCCCTGTCTTCTCTACAACAAGATATGCAAAAGCTCAACAAAAGTTTAAAATATTGTAATACCAATCACCAAAATTGCTTAAAAGCATTTTCTTTTTGTTTGGAATTATTAATAACATAATTATTTTTCTTTTTTGTCTATAAATAGATTCTTAGTTTCGAACAATTTTCATGAAACAGTTTTAGATGTAGAATAGAGCATATAATAAATATCAATGAGAACAAACAAGATAACAATAGGGAAAAACAAAAAATAACCTAAAAAAGGCTAAATTTTTTAAACCTAAATTTTAAAACAGCAGCATTTATCCTTCCTTTAATTAAAATCATATTAAAATAATAAATGAGAACTTCTTGAAGTCTCCGACCAAGAGTGATCCGCAGATTCTTGCTGTCTAGATATCTTCTCTTCATTCTTGTTATTTGATTGAATAGGCTGACTTTCAGGTTTCCTTTCTCCCCAAACATAGTCTACTTGAGTAGAAGACACATACGATCCCAACGTGCCAGCTAGAAAAAAGATTGGTTTTTATGTATTTTTACAATGGAGAAGTTTGAAAAGCAGTTGTTATGCTATGTAAAACTCACAGGAAGTAGAGCGTAGAGCTGGATTATCCACAAATGTTTTACTGGGTTTATTAGAGGGTTCGATAGGTTTGGTACGTTCTGGCTGCCATAGTGAAGCTTCTGATGGATATTCAAAAATATCTTCGGAGTCGTTGAATGAAATTCGTAACTGTTTTTAAATAAGTCCACAAATCAATACACATATTTACTTTAATAATACGTGGCATATGTTACTACATTTAACGAACGGCGTAATGACAATAACGATGTACTAAAATATCAATTAGGCTTTATGTAAAAACCATGCATATTTTAACAAACTCTTAGAAATCTCACTATACTGTAAATATTACTTTGTCCATGCTTTATCAGGAGACTCCTGATAACGGTCAATAACTTGTTCTATATTTTGGCAATGATAACAACTGTCGACATGTTGTCGTAAGGTGTTTATCTTTTGTTAAATTTTTAAAATTTAGTCTTTATAATAGTAAATTAGTCTAAGCTTTATAGCTTAAATATACAGATGTGTACGTGCGGAATATATTATTTTATTCATGTTTATTACGTCGAATAAACTTAACAGGTCGTTTTTCGCTATACTATATGACCATTCTCTTCTGAAGCAATGACGTCTGAAAATACTTCCGGATATTTTGTAAAAGCGTAAAATGCGTAATCAAAAATTTTTGTATCTAAAAAATATCCACGCCCTAGAAGATAAATAGAAGATAAGAAATCGTTATTCTTACCGAGCCTGGTTTCTTTGTCTTCTCTAACAAATTTCTATTTAATTTAACGTTAGCTCCTATAAAATCTATTTCATTTTCTGCTAAAATATCATCAATATATGTCACCGGAATATCATCATCGTCACTTGTAAGATCATCAATATTTGTCTGGAGATTCTCGTATTCATTAGCATCAACTTGTTGTTTATAATCCTCTAGTGTTCGAACTTCATCATTTTTATCTTTTATATCATCGTATTTAGTTAAATGAGTTTGTAGTACTAGCTTATTATACGTCTTCGGGACCACGTTTGAGGCGGCTCCAAATGAAAACTTTCCTGGTTTACCACCTTTGTTCGTAGAATTTTTATTTTTTTCTGGGTTTCTATGAGAAAATTCTAAAATGAGGTGCGACCTATCTGTGCGCTCCTGAGCCGAGTCATATATATTTGTTTTTCGAGTTTTGGAATGATTTTGCTTTGCAGGTTTAGTTGGTTCTCTAGGAGATTCTTCCTTTTTAACTTCTTCTGTGACTGAAACAATTTCAGTTATAACTTCTGTGGAATTATTCATCACATTTTGTAAAGACTTTTTATTTTTATCACGTTCATGGCTTGGAATGTTAGCATTATTATTTAAAGAGTGCTGGAAAGACTCTTGTGAGCAAGGGTCATTGGAATGGCTTGAATTTGAGAAGCCATTAGACTTTTCAGTTGTATCCGTTTTTTTCAAAAAAGGAGGTGGAAGCGGTGCCGATCTTTTTGTATAAGTTGGTGGGCTCAATGGGCCAGTTTGGAATTTAGAGAGAGCTGATTTCACAATATTCTTCTTGGGTCTTTCATTCTCTGGAATACTACCTTTATTTGAAGAGCGGCATATCAATGGTGATTGTGGGACTCTACCAGGAGAGTTAGCAAGTGAGCTTAAAGATTCCACGCTCACTGATTTAGAAGGAAGCTTGTTGGGTTCCTGATCAACACAGTCTGTCCTTTCTGATTGAATTCGTCGCTTAGACTCCGTTTTTCTGTCGTCTAAAGAATCCGTACTATGTGATCTTTTTGGATGAGAATCATTTGTCGACATGTGAGAGAATTTTTGCAATATTTTATGAACAAAACCCGCTCCGTATTCAACTTCAGTGTTCTCTGAGTCATCGAACACAGAGTCGTTAAAGTTATTGGATATTAGTTTACAGTTGTTTGCTGGTTGGTTTGAGTGTTTAATTTTGGTATCGGACCTGACCCAGGGATTTTGATTAACTGGTAATAAATGTTCTTCTTTCTCGATTGAATGGTTACCGTAACCGTTGACAGTTGTACCGTTTCCTTCCTTATCAGTATACACGACCGAGTTCATCTGCTGCTTCTTTTTTTCCAAAAGACCCCTTTTCCAACTAGGTACACTGGCGAGTTTTTCGGCTGCACTCTCCAGGCGGAGTCGTTCCATTTCCTGAGCCCTCTGTCTCTTTTCAAGAAATTCCCTCCGCCAGGGGGGTATTTGTTCATATTGTGTTGACATTGTTGAACGTCACGGGTTCGAACAGGTATACAACGATCAATATCTATGAATCAAACGCTTTGGCCTAGGAAATCCATTCAATTGTCAGACGAAAATTTTTGGCCAGATCTAGCCGACGCCCTCTAGCGAGCCATTTTACCTTTTTTTGTAGAAATACACTACACTATCAGTTAAGCGGGGAAAAAAAATGGCGGATAACCTTGAATCGTAATATGGTCCTCATTTTTGTTCTTCGGTAGAACGCACCATACTAATATAGGTCACCTCACTCTATTTCGAAAATGGCTGGACTACTAAGAAATGTCAATCTTCTTCGCCGGGTTTGTACTTTTGTTTAGTGTTTAAAGGATTTTTGCAAGCTAATTTCTTGCATAAAGACGCAACTAATTAGAGTAATCCCTATAGATTATAAATTTCGAACTGTCACGTGCTTAATATCGAAGTAATCAATTTCTTTGTGAATTTTTCAGGCGTGTCATCACGCAACTAGACGATGCTACGCTACAGGATCCAATACTGTTGGTATTAGCAAAATCCGATTTAAAATTAAGTATTTTATAGTGCATCCGCATATTTTAGACAAAAATGTTTATCGACAATGAATTTGTGGAATCTGAGACCAATGAATGGATTGATCTTCCCAACCCGGCTACAAATGAGATTATCACAAGAGTACCAAAATGTACCCAGGCCGAAATGCAACGCGCTGTAGAGTCGTGTGAAAGGGCATTTGAACAATGGTCAACCACAACTGTGCTAACCCGACAGCAGCACATGTTTAAATTACAACAACTTTTACGAGAGAATATGAAGAAAATTGCTGCAAATATAACCGAGGAACAGGTGTGGTTACAATTGTTTGAGTTTAATGTTTTTCTTACTAAGAATATCAATTATTTTTCCGATTTAGGGCAAAACGTTAGTCGATGCCGAAGGGGATGTGTTGAGAGGATTACAAGTTGTTGAGCATTGTTGTTCCATTACTTCATTGCAGCTGGGAGAGACACTTCCCGGTGTTGCTAAGGACATGGACATCGTTTCATACCGCCTACCACTTGGTGTAACAGCTGGAATAACACCTTTCAATTTCCCTGCTATGATCCCGTTATGGATGTTTCCAATGGCTCTTGTCACCGGAAACACCATGCTGCTAAAGCCCTCTGAAAGAGATCCTGGAGCAACAATGATGATTATGGATCTGGTAAGAGAAGCAGGATTTCCTGCTGGTACTGTTAACGTTATACATGGTGCACATGACGCTGTAAACTTTGTTTGTGATAATCCTCTTATTCGCGCAATATCCTTTGTTGGTTCTGACCAAGCTGGAACTTATATCTACAATAGAGGGTCAAAGAATGGAAAGCGAGTTCAAAGTAATATGGGTGCAAAAAATCATGGTGTTATTATGCCAGATGCCAATAAAGAAGCCACTTTGAATGCTTTGGCGGGTGCGGCTTTTGGTGCTGCCGGACAAAGATGCATGGCTTTAACAACTGTTGTTTGGGTTGGTGAGAGTAAGGAGTGGATACCAGAGTTGATTGAAAGAGCAAAGAAATTGAAAGTTAACGTTGGAACTGATCCTAAGGCCGATCTTGGTCCTTTAATCTCCCCACAAGCCAAAGAAAGAGTGGAAAAACTTATTGAATCTGGTCAAAAGGATGGCTGTAAAGTCCTATTGGACGGTAGAGGAGTTAAGGTAGAAGGTTACGAAAAGGGCAATTTTGTTGGACCTACTGTTTTACACGGTGTGCAACCCAACATGGAATGTTATAAAGAAGAAATCTTTGGCCCTGTACTTTGTTCAATGGAGGCTGATACACTTGATGATGCCATTAATCTTATTAATGGAAATCCTTATGGAAACGGTACCGCCATTTTTACAACAAATGGAGCTACTGCTCATAAATATACACAAAAAATTGATGTTGGTCAAGTAGGAATCAATGTCCCAATTCCAGTGCCATTGCCTATGTTTTCATTTACTGGCTCAAGGGGCTCTTTCAGAGGAGATACGCACTTTTACGGAAAACAAGGAATCCAATTCTACACGCAAGTTAAAACCGTTACACAATTATGGAGAGGCGAGGACGTTTCACACTCCACAGCCTCCACAGCTATGCCTGTTATGCGCTAAATCATTGAAGAGACTCTGCAGAGAATCTCTTGAAATTGTATTTTTGAAAAGATATTACAAACGTCCTGAATTCTTGAATTTAGTAATAAATACAGCGGCATCTGTGAAACGGTATTATATCACATTCCTTAGCTTTTTCTCTTCTATATTCCCAAAGATAAAAGTCGACTACAGATGAATTTACTACATAGTCTCCTTCATTATTTTTCAGTAGAGCTTTCGTCTCCTTTACGATCATTTCTACTGCCTTAATGGATGCTGCTCGTAATTCTACCTCTTCTCTGTCACCATTGTTGAAAACGTGCTTCGACTTAAGCTTTTCCATTAGTTCAACCGAGTAATCAAGCACTCCAAACCAGCACAAAACTTGAGGAATCCTGTAATCAGCGAACATTGTTAGTTCGTCGATATCAGTGAACTCTCCAAGGCCTCGACCTTCACATGCAGCCCAGATATCAGCGATTAGAATCTGCGCTCTTTTATAAAGGGCAACTCGTTTTCCCTCGTACATTGCAGTATCCCTAAACGATTCTATGTTGGAGACGATCATGTCCAATAGTTTCATTGCACTTTTATCCGCTGCTTTAACCATGTTAATAATTGAACCATCATACAGTTCCATGATGACTTTACCAGCTTGATGAAGATTTTTCACACGTTCGTCAAGAAGGGGAATCTCTCTCTCAGTGTCCGATCTCAGGACATGCTTCAGTTCCTCCTTCGTTATTTTTGAAAACACTTGTGCTGAAGTAATCTCTTTACCTTCAGCCAACGCTCGATTTACAGCTGCACATAGGGCCCAATAACCTGGTACAACATAATTGTCTGGTAATACAATTAATTAGTTAATAAAATAAAGAGGCACCTGTCCATATATTGTCTCCCCACTTAACACCAGCTTTATTGTCACTGTTATCAGACCAAAAAGAAAAATTCAAAACGTCTACAAAAAAGACCCACTCAATTGCTGATTTATCCATTGTAGATGGATTTAACGGATGGCTTGTAAATGATTTTAAAAAGAACATCTTGTCATTTTCCAGAATCTTTGAGTAAATTATATTACTGACTTTTTTCACCCCTGCTTCGATTATTTTAACATCTTTAGCCTGTGTCATCACCCATTTGGAACCTTCACGTGGTAAAAGTATATCAGCCATCTCACTTGAACCTTAATTTACTTTACAGAAAGATATTTCACAATATAAAGGTTACCGGTTATTGCTTAACGGGCCTTGACATTGACCCCAAAAGTTTAACTAACATAAGTATGGTTCATATTCCATTTCTACAAATATCAGGTAAAAGACTAATACTACCATATTTCGATATCACTAGTATCTCTAGGAACTCTAAAAGGCTCTTGTTGATAATACAAGTGCTCAAAAAGTATCATAAAAACATGAATACAGGCCAAAATGTGGGAAATTATCAAAAAAACATTCGGCTGTCTATCCATAAGCAGTATGTTATCTATTAAAAGAAAAAGTAACATTTAATTACATTCAATTAATATTTATTAATCTAGAAAACATAGTGATTGAATTAACAAAACATTTAAAAAAAAACTCAATAATCTAATTCACAATGGACATTCTATAATTGATTATTATGCAGTTGAAATAGTAATAATAACTAATTTAAATATATAATGGACATAAAGATAAACTATCTAGTTTAGCTTATACAGCTATGGCATTATATATTTACTGTATATAATTATATTACTGGTTGTCCTCTATTGGTTCAAATCCTCTAAAATATGTAAACATCTAAAGAAAGCACTATAATTACAATATATCCTATAAGAGACTCAATATAAAATAGATTTCATTAATCTCTCTCTCTTTCTCCCTCTCTTTCTCTCTCTCTCTCTCTCTCTCTTTCTTTCTCCCTATCTCAATATGACTAATGTTTAAGACTTATATCGTGTTATTTATTCTTGATTTTCCTAAATAATTGCGTATTTATTTTCATTTGAGAATAAATTTAAAACTATTTTCAAATAACAACAAAAGAAACAGCAGTAAAACGACTTGAGTACTAAATGTTATGTGCACAAATTAACAGCTAGAATATCAATTACAACACTTTTGAAAATAGTTGAATGATTTTTTCTTGATTTATCTCTGTTCGCCATGAATCTTTTCCTATTTAGAGTTATTTGCCTCTTCCTCTTCCTCTTCCACGACCTCTACCTCTGACGGGTGCTTTTGGAGCTGGTTTTTCCTCTACTATTTTTGCTTTTTTAGGTTTTACTTCGGGGGCTGGGGCTTTCCCTCTTCTACCCCTTTTAACTGGAGCCTTTCTAACAGGTTGCTCTTCTTCTTCCGACAATGAGCTTTCTTCTAATGATGACTCTTTTTCCGATTCTTCTATTTTCGCTTTACCGCGTCCGCGTCCACGTCCACGTCCTCTTTGGGATGCTCCCCTCTTTGCTGCAGGTTGTTTTGCCGGTTTTTTTCCTCTTCCAACTACTGGCTTTTTAACAACTTCTTCTTCATCGTCATCATCATCATCATCTTTAATTATCCGTTTCGCTTTAGCAACTGGTGCTTTTGGAGGACGACGTTTAGCTGGTTTTTCATCGTGGTCACTCATACTGCTGTCGCTTGGTTCGTCATGTACGACATTCGCCTTCTTAGCAGCTGGGGCTTTAGCTTTTTTGGCTTTTTGCCCTTTATCATCCTCTTTTGGTTTATAAAGTTTGTATCTTTTCAAAACTTCTCCCCATCCTCCTCCTGTTGCCCAGAACGTCCAGTGATAGCCATTTGTGTTGATAGCATATTCGACGCATTCCTTCAATTCATTAAAGATGTGATCTTTTGAAGGTGCTTCCAGTTTTAGAATATCATACCAATCCTCATAAGTTTTCATATCCTTGATTCTTTGACAGGCGGCTTTCATCTCTGCAACCATTTGAGCAGTAGGAAAGCCGTTATTTTCATTATAGCGCTGAATTAGCTGATGTCTAGTTAACGATTTGTCCATGGCGATATCGAGAAAAAGAACCTGAAAAGCCAATAGCTTTCTACTAACTGCTGTAGCAGCTAGGGTTTTGGATAACCTATACTCTTTATCTGTGTCCAACATACCAAGCTTTGCGTCGTCTTTGACGTACCACATGACATTCCTTTTCCAACTCTCTCCCAAATAGGCTTTGGCTGCATCGGGCCAAGTGTATTTGGAGGAGCCGGCTAAAAGTAAAAGCCATTCGCCAATATGAGGACAAGCTTTCTTAGATCGCTGATCGGGATTATCTATAAAATTTTGTAGTCTATCGTCAATTATCTTCTGCAAATCGGGATAAGTCTCGATAGCCCATAGCAAAAGGCGGTGGAGAGAAAAATAGCCATTTAAATGATTATCGCTAGTATGTTGATGCCCCTTAGAAAAATCAACAACGGTTGCGCTCATTAAGTTGGGTATGGTTTTTAAAACCATTTCGCTGACAGACGTCTTCTTTGGATTACATTTCGGTAGTAGAACCGCCAATTCCATCATGGTTTCTTCAAACGTCTTCTGAATGTTGTCTCCGTGAGATTTATTAATATATAGCGGTAGAAAATAGGATAAATCTTCCTTCAGAACAGACTTAACCGTACCAAGTGATTTTTTCATAGAGAAGAAAGATTCACCTGATATAAATTCACATGGCGAAGTTAGCGATGGTCTGGTTTTAGGACCACTCTGCATTAGACCGTAACCAAAGAGATCATCCCTAGATTTTGGGGAAGATTTGAAATTCATTCTTGTTTTGGACACGTAATCAACAACTATTGGACCATCATCTAGAGCGGGTGGACCATCCGTGGTTGATAGCGGTGGGAAGGGTTTAGCGTAAGTATGACCACAATCGGCACATGCAAACTTTTCAGCCAATTTTGCATTTTCTTTATTATAATGATCGACCGAAGAGCCAGATTGATGTTCTGCAAGAAACGCGACCAAATTCAATAAGACAGTTTGCACTGTATAACCAGGGGACCATCCCATTGATTTTTCATTCGCCCATTCGGTATGATATTTTGCGAAATCTGAAAATATTGAGAGACAAATTTTCGTTCCTTTTTTCCCAACGTCTGTAGCTCCTCGAAGAAATCGAAAACCTGGTGGAACGAACTCAGCTGATGGGGAAACAAATGGATATTGTGTAGGAAAGAAAAGAATTAAATGATAGATGACGTCTTCGTGAAGGAAATTACAGTGCCATTCAAACATATTTTCGTCTAAAGGGGCAGCTGAAACGTTAGCAACCGGATATTTTTCTATTTCATCCAGATCCTTTGCTAGACGCTGTATCGCTCTTTTGTTACTTGGAGCCGACATCTCTCTTAAATAAATTAATAAAACAACTTCGTAAGTATCAAATAATAAGAATTGTTTAAAATAAAATAAAATAGAAAACTCCCATTTCCCAGGAATTTCACGCAGGCTTGATCACGTGATTTTTACTCTTTCCGGTAATTCCACAAATCAAAAAATTATTTCTAAGATTTGAATACAATATGTAATCTTAACATTGGATAAAACCTCCCCAAAACTAAAAATGGTGTTTTTATTATGCCTATACGCTTTATATCGTTTTTTTAAGTTGTTATTAATGTATAGGTCTCTTTAGCTGTATCAGTTAAAAGGGATCATTCTTCTCTCTACTAATTAACATTAAATTCTACTATTATTAAATTATACCTTTCTTTTTTTTCCTTTTTTCTATAATATATTAAATATATATTTAATCCAGAAATAATCCACTCTTCTCTTTGCGGATTAATCCGTAACTATGTCTCTAACAATTCAAAACTAACTAACTTCAACTTTCACAACCAGTTTTATAGTAGCTAAGATTCTCTATGAATACTATTGAAACGTTTGCAATATATTCATACATGTTGATGCACGCCTTAACTAATAGGCCTAAAACTATATAAATATGGTATTAGCTTTATGTAAACGTAGAGACATTGATTAATTCGTCCTATGTGTAGTAGATTACAAGATATAGATGTCGCTTCTAGTCTCCTGCTCTCATCTTGAATCGTGATGAATGATTTTTTGCATTAGACTTTTAATTCAGTTCTTTAGAAGTAATAATATAATTAGGCGTATAGTTAAGTAAATAATAAGGCAATCCCTTATCATTGAGTAAATGTTATGTTTTTAATATAACTTAAACATTCTTTTTTTAGTCTAAAAGTGACGTATTTCCTCTTATAAGCAATATACTCTTTCTCGTGATTTCTCTCCTTTTTAAGTATGATTTATAGCGTTCGATCAAAAACAGATTGCTACTATAGGCCAACTAAAATGTTGTCAATTCATTGATAATTGATTGATGATAAAAATAAAAAGGAAATCGTGTAGGTAAAAAAAGTACTAATTAAAATAATTATGTGATCATTAATAGACATATATAATTAATAATAGTACTAGTAACATTGTGTATGAGCATCTTTGAAGATTAATACAAGTACAAGTAGTTGTAGTAATAGTAATAGTAGTAATAGTAATAATAATAATAATAATAATAATAATAGTAGTAGTAGTAGTAATAATAATAAATCATTAATAACAATAATATCATAATTACAGTAGTATGAGTAACAGTGGCAGTGACAGTACTAATTGAATCAACTGAGATGCAAAAGAGGAAAGATAGAAAAGAAAAAAAATAGATTCCTTAAAAGTGAAAGGAAAAGAAAAAGATAAAAAAAAGATCGGAAAGTAACAATAGCATCTTTTTAAATAATTTAATAAATACTATTTGAAAATAAAATAGAAAATAAATGAAATTAATCGAACAGTACGTAGTCGCTCCTAGAATGAACAAATATCACATGAAAGTAGCCGCGTCGACTTCCCCCGCGAAATAAATTACGGTTTTCCGCTGTTTTCACTCATAAATCATTCCTTCGTTCTATCTTACGGCTGGCTTTATATTTATATTGCTTTTTTTTTGCTAAGGTTAGTTCTACGTTTTTCTCTTTTCTATCCAATTTTCAAGATGTGTCTTTAACCCTAAATTTTACATTTTATCTTTTAATCCTATCAAAGAAATCTAACTTATACGTAGGATTTCCTAGAGGATGTAAAAGCTTTTTAAAACTAGTTTCTAGTAGCTACTTTGTTTCCTATAATTTATTAATTAGTTGTTTATAAAAGTGTACATAAGGGAAACTATATAAAGAGAAGATACAATATGATAGCCATACCTTGGAAGAGAGAAAAGTGGAAAGAAAGCACAAGAAAAAATACACTGAAATAGGCCAGTGAATTTATTCCGTGATAGAAAAAAAAATATATTCCATCCAACATCCCTAACGTTTCTATCATCAATAAAACAATTTAATATTGATATAACATTATATAGACATTCACTTTTCTACGGTTCAACGAAAATAAAGTCAAACCTTATAAAAATAATTCTACTAATGGATAATAAAAATAAAATTTCTATTCCTAAAATATATTATACAAAGGCCTATTAAGATTTACAAGCAGTCCGATAAAATTTAAAGGTTATTTACTCTACTAATATGCAAATGAGCTAGCGTCTAAATACAACCTACGTGTAAATAATAATTCCTTAGTTTTTCTTTTTATAAGCTTATTCCTTTTTACCTTGTTGTCTTCATCTTCTTTACTCAAAATAAATAACAATACCTTTTTTTAGAATATTACTTAATAGAAAATTTTTTTTTTATCTCCTTTGACAAACAAAACGAAGATGTATAATGAGAATATAAAGTGGTAGATTTCTTAATTATTCATTAAGGTAAACTGACGAAATAATTAGTGTAACTATATATTAGTGGATAAGTTTTATTTCAATTCTCGGAGCGGATGTAAATAGAATTTTAAAGAGTGACAGTGAATTGTTAAGATTTATTTATAGCTGTTAGTTAGAACTTAAAAATGAAGGAGTCGAGAGAGAGAGAGAGAGAGAGAGAGAAACAGATAGAGTGATATGGGTAAGAGGAAAGAGGAGTCAAAAGAGAGAAAAAAGGAAAGAGGAAGGGTGGGGGCGAGGGAGGCGCGTATTTTACTCAACTAGTCAGAAATGCTAAACCTCGCTTCGACGCCACACATAAAAAGAGCAATAATACAGTTTATACAGCCTTTTATCTCTAGATAAGCTAAACGCTCTGTAATTAATTATATTTTGGTGGAAGAATATTATTTTTCCCATATTTTAAAATAATAACGTTCTAATTTAATTACAATTAGAGGTGAGTACTAATTATCTTAAAATTTGATTCAGTTTTAATAGATTAATTAAATTAAAAAGGGCTTGTAAAAGTTAAGACTTTTCATTTCACTACAGATTATCCTTGTTAACAAGTTTCGGCAAGAAAAAGGAAGAAGCTACAAAGCGGTAAAAACGAAAGAAGAAGAGTAAAGAAGAAATGATAAATCAGAGATGGATATTCGAGCTAATTACCATCATCTACTTTTTCAGTAAACAAGCTACTATCCCGTTGTTTCAACAATTCCTTCCAGAGTTATTAATAACGAATTATACCTCAGAAATTTGGCGCCAGAGCTTACAGAACGTCTGCAATTCAGAGTTAATAAACGTTTATAGTTATTATAATATTTCAATTCCCTTATGATATATATATATAATTATATTAGAAAAAAAAGAACAAGTTAACTATTGGCAAACAGGAGAGAAATCTATTATTTAGAGCGTCAGATGGCGTTTATAGTTGTATATATCTATCTATCTCTTTCTATTTTTATCATTTGAAATTTTGTTTCTAACTTTTTTGTTTCTTTTATAAAAAGAAAAAAGGCAACAAAAAAATAATTAATCCATCTTTTTTTAATCGAATAACAATGTTATTATGTATTTTCAGTCAAAGTACAGATCTATTAGGTAAAAGATCTGCTGCATTAATAACAATTCTTAATGCTGCTGAATTGATTCCGACAACTGTTAGTGTTTTAATATTTGGATATTTGAGCGATCGACTACACTCTAGAAAGTTTCTTCTATATTTACCATATATAGGAAACATCTTGTTTATTGGAGGATTCTTATTAGCGGGACTATGTCAGAGTACAATCTACCGGAAATTATTCGTATATTTAGGCGCCGTTTTCTCTGGACTAACTGGGAATTTACCTGGATTTATGTCAGGAAATGCCGCATATATCTCTGATACGGATTCTGAAGAGAGTAGGACTATGCGATTAAGCATCGTCGAGATGACAATTGGCCTTACTTTTGGTCTATCAACATTAATGGCGAGCTATATTGTTGAACTGGTAGGCTATAATCTCTCATTTTTGGTTTTGAGCTCAACATCAATCATTGGTCTTATATTTACAATGTTTTTAAAAGAATCTCCTATACCAAGAATAGTAGAACCAAAAAATTTTAGTATATCGTCAATCTGCTCCTTTAGTAATTCGAATCATCGAAGATTATGGGCACTTTTTATTGCTTATCAATCTTACGTTTTCATTCAACAAGGACAAGAGAGAACATATGTGCCATTCCTTAAAAACCCTCCTCTATGTATGAATGTCATCCAAATATCCTATTTTGTTGCCATCTTAATGATATCGAGTGCGCTGTTCTGTTGGCCAGGTGTACCAATATTTTATAAGATGGGAATTAATGACGATACTCTTTCCTTTTTGGGTGTTGTTTCCAAACTAATTTCATCAATTATTCTAACATTTGCAAACAATTTGACTCAAGTTTATTGCTGTAAGTTGAAAATAATTTCGAAAACAGCCACTATATTCTTTATCAATCTAAATTAATAATTGATGAGAAAAAGCCCTTTTTTCTATATTATACAGCTTCCATACTACAACCTTTTCATCTCTTACCGTTTGCCGTATCTAGATCTGGCATATCACGCTTTGCTTTACCTAGCGAACAAGGTATAGTAGGTTAACTTTTATTATAAACCATAATACTATATATTGATAGTTTTAAAGTGCTTTCTTAAGTACCGCATTGTTATACTAATAATTATACTTGGAAATCATAAAGAGTATTTTCTAAAGATAAACTAGTACACTTTCTCTTTTACAGGAACTATATACGCCCTTGTACACGCACTTCAAGCTTTAACTTCCCTTCTTGGACCTTTAATCTTTAATTTGATCTATACATTTAGTCTACAATCTTACACTGGTTGGGTATTTATTATATCCATTATATTGTTAATATTACCCGGAAATTTATATTTGTAAGTTTAAGAGGCAATTCTCCCTTCTTTCTTCTCCATTTTTCCTTCTTTTTCATACGCTTCAAATAACGTTTACTTTTTTTCATTTTATCAAGGTACATTCTCTGTACTAAACGACATAGTTGTACTGCTGAAGATGAATCATCAATTAGTTTATTAGAGAAATGAGGGAAAATTTAAGAATAAAGGAAATATATTTGTATGTTGCAAAAGAAAAATAATAATAGTGATCCTTTTTGTTATTATTATTTTTTATGTCTGTCTATTCATTAAGAAAACGAAGTTACTATATATATATATATATGTGTGTTTCTTTTGTACTTCTATCTATAAGTACTATTTTCAATATATAGAAAATGAAAATAATGAAGATGCTGGCAATTAGTATAGAAATAAGAGGATTCTATTTTTTAACCTTTTTAATTAGTCTTTTTGTTATATTTAATAAAAAAAATAATATTTTAGTAACGTGTAATTATATGACAAAAACAAACTGATCGACCTCTCTTTCTCACTGTCAGAGTATAAAAAAAGAAAAAAAAACGAACTATTGCAAGATGGAAGCTTTTAGACGTGAAAACCACTGAGAAATATAAATAAATACTATATATATATAATATATAGTATATTAAAACATCAAATTTAAAAGGGTGAAGGGTATATTACATAGTACATTAATCACAAGAGGAAAAACGGGAAAGGATGAAATAAGAGAAAAAAATATATACATACTGTATATACGATTAACAATAGAATAAGTAAAGAATGCAATCTAAAGGTATTGAATATTTTCTTTAGCTGAGCATCGTTATTTTTAGAAATATAGTGTTTTTTTGACAAATGTAATAAAAAGTCAAAAAAAAAGGGAAAAAGAAAAAGTCTCGACAAGAAGAGGCTTTTTTTCATCAAAAATATATATAATTGTACATGTAAAGTGTATAATATAGAAATACATACAAATGTACTTTATATGTATAGAATAACATAGAAGTGTAAAATCGGTAAGTAAACAAGCGTGTAAATCCCTGTAAAAGCGGAAATATCCGTTGGATGGATTTTAATCATCCATTCCTACAGAATGACCACCAACAGATCCTCCACCAACTGATCCTCGATCAATTTCGACAATGTCTGCAGTATCACCAGTATCATCATGGCTCCAATTAGCCTCTTCCGTCGTGTAGTCATTATGATCATGACCATCATGATTTTCCTCGTTCTCTTCGTAATTCCTACCAAGTTCTTCTTCAACGTATTCTTCGTTTCCTCCATAGTATGCATCCGTTAGTGGATCCATATCCGGTTCGTCGTGATATCCATTAATATCAAGATTGTTTAGAGCGTCATCCAAATCTTGACCAGCCTCAATAGCTTGTACGAAATCATCGCCAGTCTCACCCCACGGGCAAAAGACGTCAGTGGCAACGTCCTCGTTCATACCAGAATAGTAATTGGTAAGATTATCAAAATTTGGTTCATCTTCCTCGTAGCCAGTCCCATAGAGCATTCTTTCCTCAATTTCAGCAGCATCTCTTTCTTCCTCTTCTCGTCTAGTTAGAGATAAACTGGAAGATCGTCGCCTATTTCGTCGCGGACCGCCACCTAAAACATTCATTAAACCCTTTGCTGCCAAGAAAAGCATGGCATTAGAAGCGACAGTCTCCAAGAAGCCTCCAGAGTCCACAAACGTAGGCTTATGCTCATCTCTAAGCCCCCTAACTAGATCGTCCGCAAACGTATTACCCCTTCCTATACCATCGGTAGAATCTGTTTTAGAGATGTCCTTTTGCCTCAGTTGTTGCGGCCTGGGCTCGCACAACGTGCACAATACGGCAACGGTAAAAGCAAAGGCAATAGACGGCGCTACGTCAATAGTTTTGTCTCGTCCGGGCGTTCCTTCTGGCTGGGCCCGAATACGACCAGTTTGCAAGGACACGTTTACAGTTTTCATGCGCAAAACATTCGTCTTCCGATCAAAAGCTGTGTACTCGTCTGCGTCAGAAGGATCATTTCGAACGTAGTAGATTATTAATTTCAAATGGCTTGGTGTTCTTTTATTTTTATCTTGCCAGATGCCTTTAATAATTGCCCAATCACCATTTTTGTCTTTGATCAGTATCGCTCTTTCTCCCTTAGCCACGTCTAAACTAGGTATCTTTTTTGTATCTGATACCAAGGAAGACGTTGGCAATTGGTCATTACCAACAGTATGAGCGACGCAGACTAAACGACGTTTTGCGAATACTTGGATAGCGGAAGTTTTTAAGAGTAATGAATGAATGACTGTAATATGAAACGGTCTCTCATCGGGAGCAGAATCTGGATACAGTACATGATTTGCAACAGCACAATTATGTTTAACATCTTCTGGAAGGGATGCCAAAGGTACAGGACCCCACAGGCTTTCTTCAGTCTGAGGCATTTCCTTGGTAGTAAAGTTACCCTGAACTAAGTTAAAAACTAAATCTGAAAGATACGGTCTTGAGAATCGCAATGCTAATTCCAAAAAGACATTCGGTGAATTTCCTGAATCCAATTTGACGGATAATTCCGCCTTATTATGTTCTATAAAAGCTCGGGCGGCGTCTACAATTAGAAAGCCATCGAATTGATACATTTTTGGTTTAAAGAAACTTTTTACGCTCTTAATGCCGCCTTGATTAACTTCCACGTTTACCTTGAGAACGTGTGGAGGATTAATGGTCAATTGAAACTTGTTAGCTCCATTTAGAACAAACATAGAGTCATCACGAATTTTTGTTTGATGAGAATTCCATACGGTTCTACCTTTTTCTTTTTTATGTTTTATATCCTTCTCATCACCTTCTTTCTCTTCCATTTCGAAAATTTTTATTTTTGCCTTGTTAACCTTATGACCAATAGTTAACTTGGCTGCAACAATTGTTACCCTTACAGTAATCCTTCCGGCAGACTGGTGAATATCACTAATGTCAACCTGATCCAATCTATTTTCAGGGCTTGGTCCTCTAGACAATGAACCAGGAGCGAATAATGAGGAACCAATCATCTCCTTCCAGGCATTAATACTGAACTGCTTATCGGCCAGTTCCATCTTTTCCAAATCGATATGCTGAGCACCCCAAACGTCCGTGTCTTTGTTGAAGGAATGGGGATGTAGCATGTGGCATTTGCAAACGAACCGAATATCCGTTGGAGCGAATAAATAACGGCCTAATCTAGCAGTTAGCTTTGAGAATAGCTTGTATCGTTCTTGAGCGTTTTGCAGGAAAATTTTATCGCCAAAATGCGGAAGAGAGATATCATAGTAAAAATCGGCCTGTCTTTTAGCACATTCTAATAAATCAACAGACAAGGCTGTCTGATTTGTCGAATTAATGGGCGGGGCTCTACTTAAGTCCGTTTCGTAAGGTTCATCTCCTGCAGTAAATTCTTTCCATAGTTTTTCTCCCTTCTTCCTGGCCAAAGAGTTGTCATTCGGATCCCTGATAGTATGATCCGGTACGAAACCAATCAAATTCTTGCAATCACTGCGATATTCCTTCGGATATGTCATGTGAACGGTCCATATCCATTCGACGTCCAGAGGCGGGTTGATCTCCTTCGATCGATCACCTTCTTCTTTAAGCAACCGCAACCAAATAGTTTCGTATCGTCGAACAGCATTACGAATGACAGAGTCATCACGTTTTAGAGATTCGATAGCAAAGATTTTCTTTAAAAAACAACGATAATTCCGTAAAATGCTTGTCAATTCCCCATCTATCGACAAGCGTATTATGTCGGAATCGAGTCTGTCGGCGTCGCTCATACTGAAACATTAACGAAATTAACACACTCGTTGCGCTGCATTAGAGAGATGTTGACCGATTAGACTGTACTCTTTTCATCCGTATCACTGTTTGTTGCATATGCGTTTTAGTTTTTTTTTTCTCATTTTTTTTTAACGATGCAGCTGTTACACACAATTTTATTCTCTTATACGGTTTGGTGTGACAAAAATCTTAATAAGAGAATGTACTAGAGAAATAGAAGACCTTCATATCGAAACCTCGTTTAAAATTTCGACGCCCCTAATGATTAGTTTTAAACCAAAAACACATTTTATCAGGTCCTTTCGCCATTAGAAACGAGTCAGGCAGCAATTAGATACGCCTCGATATAATTACTAAATATCCATAGTCCGTATCGACAAACTGTTACGCTACTAACAAGAAATATTAAGCTTTAGAGACGCAACTGACGTTTCTATGCCTTTAATTAATCAAACCATGCGACATTTTCTCCTGGCTAATACATCATAGCCGAAAGGCGTCTAAAGCATTCTTAGTGTTACAAACAAAAACTTCCCATGTACCTGGCTTCTATTTCATAGGCGCCTCTTAAAGGTTTAAATAGTTTTTTTTATTTACATCTGCAACGCATCACTTTTTTCCCTTTAAAAAGTGGCGGATCTTACTCAACACCAGTCAACTTGTTAACTAAATTACGTAAGATAAAAAAAATTTACAAACCGATTCAATATAGTATTATAGAGTAACCGGAATAAATCTATTATTGTACACACCCGTTAAAGAATGAAACGACCTGTACTGATGATTCAATTAAACTATTTTTTCCCGCACGCAACACGTATATCAAAGCCACCGGGCTTGTAAATATATGGAAGCAAATACCGAAGGAAATTACCATTTACTGTCGCAAAAGTTCGATTAATAAACCGATTTATTACCTGATCGATCCGTGACGAGCGACGTAGAGTTTTGAACGCGCGAGGCACCTACAACGCCATTTTTATATACTGGAGGGGAATCCACCAATGACGTCACGATTTAGGCCTATTATACGAACACTGTATCCTGCTCTCATGACCTCCGCCCGTCCAAACGTAATTCCAGAAGACAAAGCCAATAAAGCCTACCAGATCAATTTCTTGTGTATTATTGTGAATGAGCCGGCGCATTGTTTCTTATTCTTTTTGTAATACGACTTTATCTAATATTGGATTCTATTCGCTCTGCTACTCTTCCTGGGCTGCATATGCGGTTTTTAGTCTCTGGAGGCAATTTCTCTTTCGGTCCTTTCACACTTAGCACGAATACAACTAGTAATTATTTATATATGGAAAAAATTCCATGTCGCCTTTAATTAACCCCTCATTAGAACCTAAATTTTTGTAAGCATTTTTTCGCTGGTTACTGTATCACGCTATCTGAATAATAATCGCAAAATTTTATCGATTTTATTTGATTTTCTTATCGATTTTTGATGTTAAAGTCAGACAACTTATACCGTCTTTAATCCCCTAGCATTTCAAATGTATGGCTCAATTTTTGGCACCGGTTTCTTACCGGTAGTGAACGTTTGAACAGGAATTTCCGTTTCCGTTTTCGATTTAATTGTTGTTCATATCATTTTCAAAGTGTAAACACTTGAAGTCGACAACATATACATCTCATCTAATAGGGATATATTTAGGAATTCCACTCCTACAAAGTATTTGACAATCATTAAGTTATTACAATAATTTGAACCGTTAAAAAATATGGCTGAGGCTGTTGAACGTAAGTCATTACTGAGTCAATACGAAGTAGGAAAAAAGTTGGGAATCGGATCAACAGGAACAGTTTATAAAGCCGTAAATAAAGTCTCGGGTGAAAAAGTAAGAGATAAAATAAATTTGATCTCTGTTATTTTTTATAGTTTTTCTTTAAAAAGTTATAAGAAAATCTTTTTTTCTTTTTAAAAACAGTGTGCCATGAAAATTATTGATAAAAATTATATAGAGAAAACGGGAGGCAAACGAGATTTACTAAGAATCTATAGGGAAATTGAGATTATGTCAGCGCTAAAACACGAAAACATATTACAAGTGATTGAAGGTAGTAATTCTCTTTTGGTTTTGTTCAATAATTCGTTATGGAAATTCTCTTTTCAGTGTTTGAATCTGACAATCATATTGTTATTATACTCGAGTTGGCTGCTAGAGGTGAGATCTACGATTTAATAGAAGAGAAAGGTCGTTTAGAAGAGGACGACGCTCGTTATTTCTTCAAACAGCTCCTCTCTTCGCTAGCCTACTTACATTCCGTAAGTATTTGGTCAATATTTCGAAAAAGTGTAAAATTACCGCTTACAGGAGGGCATTGTACACAGGGATTTAAAGCTTGAGAATTTACTTTTAGATGAAAATCATCAATTAAAAGTAAGTGTTTAAAAAAATATCAGATTTTTTTCCTCTCGAGTGAAATCTTATATGTAAATATCTACTCAGATTTGCGATTTTGGCCTAGCTAATAGTTTTGGCGAAGAAAAATTAACAACCTTCTGCGGAAGTGCATTGTATTCTTCTCCAGAAATAGTTAATGGTATTCCATACGAAGGACCTGAGGTGAATAGTGAATACAACTTAAAATCGTATAAACGCAAATAGGAATTATACTATTCTCTTCTATTCGAATAGGTTGACATGTGGAGTTTGGGGGTAATATTGTATACTTTCGTTTATGGGAACATGCCTTTTTCGGGTGATAAATTCGACGAGATTAAAAAAAATATTACTTTGGGGCAATTTTCCGAACCTGAATTTTACTCTGGTGCTCATAATCTGATTACTAGACTTCTCAATCCTCGTGCTTCTAAGAGGTTGACCCTTTTACAAGCCTGCAGCCATAGCTGGATAAACAATGATGCCTTTTACGAAAATGTGCTTAAATTATTTCAAGACTGCAAAAATGAATCGACTACTACCGCTTCTGGATGTCTTTCGCCAGATTTGGATGACTTTTTAGAATTGGAACGTCGAGTTGAAGAAGAGAGCAGAGCAGATGATAAATTAAATTTGAGCGAATTGAAAAAGTCAGCCGATGAAGTTTCTCAGGAAATAGAGGATAAGAAAGACGAAAGCTTAGAATTAGAGGACGAAGCTGGAGATGAGTATACGTATGACGATATGATGAAAGAGCTTTTAAGTATTGATGAAAACGAATCCGAAAAAAAACCCGAACCTGAACCTGAGTTACAAAACGAAATCGAAAAACCGTTATCGAAGAATTCTGCAACTCTAACCGAATCTCAATGTGAAAATGAATTAAGAAATCTATTGAAAACTCTAACGAAATCCAAAGATGAAGCAGACGATTTTGAATCTAAATTTAATAGTGTTTACGAAAATGAAACTGACTTCATATTAAGATTATGCGATTCATCAAGGACTAGTGAAAGCTAAAAAAAAATAAGCTATTAACGAATAAGACTTATCCATAGATAAATTGCTCACGCTTTTCAGACTGCTTTATAGAGTATTCAGGCGACTAAGCATTCGAAGCTTTCATTTTCAGTCGTTTCTCCCTATTTTTTATTTTTTACTCTAAATGAAAATATAATTTTTGGCTCTTTATTTATTGGAAACTAATGAACAAATAAAAATCATATCTATATTTAAATTAGGTTCTAAATAAATAAACTTCGGCAATAAAAGTCTTAATTTAAAAAAGCTATCGTATTTTTAATAATGTTTCTTTCGCTCTCTATCTCTATCTCTCTTTCTCTCTCTCTCTCTCTCTCTCTCCCTATCTTTAATAAATTAGGCAACACCAGACAAAAAATTCAATCAAATATCGAATTTCCGTCCAACACTAATTATTGATGTTGATTGGTTATTTAAAAAAAGAATCGGATATTAGTTCTTCTTTATAAAAATTTATGATATATTTATTATAAATCAGGAAAAATATTCTAATTAGGAGAGAAAATGAAACTGCAGCGTTCGAAACTATCTTATCTTTTCTATACTGATAATTAACGACCTCTTTTTTATTAAGCCTTTATGTAAGGAAAACACGGAACGTCATTAATAAAAATAAGAAAACAAAGCTGACACATATTTCGTAACGCAATTTTCAAGTTACTCCCTCTTTCTTTCTGTGTCTCCGTCTGTATTTCTCTCTCTCTCTCTCTCTCTCCATCTCCAAACGTATTTTTTATTGATTCAAATAATAAAAGAAAAGGTTAACCCCAACATAAGTAAAGGTCCATAAAATATTCAAATAGAACAACTTGTAAATAAAAAAAATATGAATAATTTAAAAGAAAAAAAAAATTTGTCCTTGAATAAAGATAAATTTCCATACATTAATATAATTTGCTATTTCTTGGCTGAATAATCAGGTCAACTACAACTTCCAGTCCTACAAGAAAGGACAAGAAAAACTATAATAAAAAAAGAGACGCTATAAAGAAAAAAGGTTCTGTATCATTGTTTGCTCTTATACTAAAGAAAAGAGAAAAAGAAAAATTTTCACCATATAAATAATTACAGAGCTGAGTGAAACAGATAGAAAAATCACAATTGATGCGTTTCTCAACAATAGTCGTGATTTTTATTAAAGTCTATCGGATTTTGACAACTGCAAATATAAATATTGGTATAACGTTACCTGATGATGTCAAAAATATGCGAAAAATAAGTAATAAAGGAGCTTGGGAGAGGATAGGATATGGGTTTTTATACGGAATTGACAAGTGTTACGAAGAAGAAATTATTAGGTTTTTTTGCCCATCTTCTATACATACAAAGCGCCTTTTTTTTTACAATAAAGATGTTTCTCATTCTCTTGTGTGTTCTAGCAAAAAGAGAATAAATATTCGCCTACTCTTCATAAAGTCGAATTGTATTGGGAACGAATACAATACGAGGGTGTTTATTGAAAAAAAGCATTTAAAGCTCTTTTTTGGACCTATTTGTAGACAATCTAGTCAAGCTGCTTTATTATATTCAATCGGAAATCCAACGAATAGTCTTCTTATGGCTTTGGGCTTGAGTGATTATGTTTCGGATGACAAGAATACGTTCAGGTCTTTGATTAAAGGATTTCCTTCAAGTTTTCAATTAAGTCGTATATTGGTAGAATTTCTAAAGGTTTGCCAATTTTTTTCTTTATTCATATAAGCAAATAATATGCATTGAAGAACAATCTAGGATTTATTCAATTATTAGCTTTGTAATTGGGCTGAAACGGCAGCATTTATTCGCGAGAGAAATAGATGCGATATTCGAAGTGATGAAATCAACTTCCTATTGGGAAAGCGCAGTATTAATTTAGTTGAAATTGAGGCGAGTTGAAATGTTACCCATTATTTGTATAAAATAAGTAAATTAGAACGAAATATAGCTTAGTAAGGCAGTTTATTAACAAATTGCATCTATCTATTGTTATATATAATCTACTTCCTCTTCCTCTATTTAGTTCCCTCAATATATGTCTACATCTAGCGAATATTACGAAACTGAGATATCTCATAAATTAAAAGTAGCTCTATCTCATATTCGTCTTTTGATATTTTGTACATCAAACAAACTCTTAAGGTTTTTAATGCAAGTTGCCCTAAAATTGGGTATCTCAGCACCAGACTATTTATTAGTAAGTTATATTCAGTATATTAAATTTAATATAAACAATTGCCTGACAAAAATCAGATAGCGTTCAACTTGAAACCATCAATAAACTTTCTCCGTCCTTGGCCAATCGACGGAGCGAATAAGCCCGAAATCCGCCGACATTATAGTTCTCTGAAAATGATAGGTATTGAGAATTTTACGACTTATTCAGATTTCGAATCCACTATATTGAGAAAGTACGTGAGTAAATTATACAATTTGAGCAATTGGCAAAATACTACTATAGATGGGAAGATCCTCGAAGGGATTAGGTAATAGATAAATGTTAATTGTTAATTATTATTTATGGTTTATTCTAAAAATGTCTATTTTAACCTTTCAACATTTGTCCATTTACAAATTTGAAAATGTTAGGCAAAAGAAAATTCCCTTACCAGCCGAAAATGTGTATTCTTACAATGCTGCACGAATTATGTGCCAGATTATGAATAGATCGGAAAAAAATAAACTAAATGGGAATTTTCTAAACCGCATCGCAAATACCTCCTTTTACAGCCCGCCGCTAAATAAATCAATAAGGATAAATGGGAACGGTAACGTCGTTTATGATTATGTTGTATGGTCCTTCAATCCAACAGAGGTGGCCGGTAAAATAGGCATGAGACTCTTATTCACCGAGACGTTCGTTTTTTTTTTCTTTTACTTTTCCTTTTATTATTCTTCTTTTCTGTTTGAGAGATACTTGCTTACGCTCTTAAAATAATCTTATCAATAGAGATTAGGGCACTTGGTTGTTTATAATCGATGTAGTGTTATTATCGTTTGTAGGGACGAGATTCAAGTGGAGGACTTGGGCTTGTATTGGGCTAATAACAATTGTATACTTGGACCAGATAATTTTATTCCAGTTTCAAAATCGATTAGGATCGATGGTGAGAAAAATAAACTGGAATTGACTAGAACAACTGGTATATTTACCTTCTCAATTTTTTCCATTTTCCTTTTGAATAAATCTTTTTTATTCCCTTTTAACAAAACAAAGTTTTTATCATATCCACATCCGTTTTTCTGATTTTATGCCTCTTTGCATATATGTTGAATCAGAATCGCTTAAAAAGAGAAAGATTAAAAAGGTCTACTTGGAAAGTAGATCCTAATGATATATTGGATAGAAGACTACCTAAAACAGATAGCAGCTTCGGGGTAAAGAGAATAATATTTGAAATTTTTTTGCAATTACTTATCAAGTTTCAACATTGTAGACGGCCATTTTTAGGGGTGAAATTGTAGATGTTGTCTCCTTTCGTAACATTGATATTGAATTAACTGACAAAGATCGCGATGAGCTAGAACATATGAAACTTATGAAAGACGACAATATCTGTCCGTTTTTAGGTGTTACTGTAACCTATCCGGGAATATATGCTTTATATTTACACTCTCCAAAAGGAACTCTGAGACGAGTCTTACACGCTAAAGAAACGAAACTCGACCTTGCTTTCCGCTTATCTTTTGTAATGGATCTGTCAAATGGCCTAAACTATATTCACTCCTCAGCATTGGGTAAACACGGTTCTTTAAACTACGATTCGTGCGTTGTCGATGACCGTTGGGTTGTTAAGATTACTTTATATGGCTTATATAGTTTCTTTGATGCTAAACGGAAACAAAAACTCTTTGCCAAAAACAAAAGAGATAGGATGCAGGAAGATTCTACCCCTCCTTTGAATGAAGTAGAGGAGGTTGAGTAAGTTAAAATTTATTATATTCTTAAAGGCGAAGTCGAAAAAAATTAACACTTTAGGCCTGCGGATTTATGGGTTGCCCCTGAGATTTTACGAATGACAACTGACGAAAGGGCAAACTTTCGTTACGGAACGCAAGACGCTGACGTCTACGCTTTAGCTATACTTATGCAATGCATTCTATTTCGAGCCGAACCGTTTTTCCTACCATCGCCCCTACAATCTGAGGACATTATAAATACGGTTGAAGCAGTAAAACTAGGGGGCCCTAATCCGTACAGACCAATTTTTAGGAAAATGGACGGTGAGCTCAAACCTATGTCAGATAGTATCGACGATAAGAAGAATGAAACACTTCCCATCCCCGAAAATCGTTTGGATGTCTGCCAGAAGACATTTCAATAGAAAATAACACTAATAAACCAATTTAAATCACAGGTTGTTATGCGTGTCATGTCCAAATGCTGGAGTGAAGAGCCAGCAGACAGGCCAGAGGCCAGAGTGGTTGTCAAAAGGATAAATTCCATTAACTGCGGAAGAAAGCTGAATATTATGGACATAATTACAAGCAAACTCGATAAGTCAGCTGCATTATAAGAATCAATTTCTATTTTATGACGAACTCTTTCCTGTATCTGAGTAGGTATGCTGATAATTTGGAAGAGTTGACAGGGAAGAGGACTGAAGAGGCTAAAGATGCTAAAGATAAGGCAGATAAGTTGTTAAAATCGCTCTTACCTCATTCAACAGCAGAAGCTTTATTGGTAGAAGAATAAAGTAATTAATTAGTTTTTATACAAATTGAGATTATTAAATCATATAGAAAGGGATCCATATCACTCCAGTTGAATATCAAGCAGTTAGCCTCTACTATTCCGATATTGTTCAATTCACTAAATTATGCTCCAGAAATACCCCAAACACTGTTGTAAGTTAGGGATAATTAAATAATAACTTAATTAGCTTTTAACTAAATCCCCTGGTATCAGGTGGCTATGCTGAACGATCTATATAGCGGATTTGATAAAATAACTACTGAGTTTAGAGCCTTCAAAATGGAAACTGTCGGAGACGCTTATATGGTTGCGAGTGGATTACCGATAAAAAATCAGCGTCACGCACATCTCATTGCAGATATGTCGATTAAAATAAGGGATTGGACTAAAACGTTTGAGGTATAGAAAATCTAGTATTTAATAATAATAGCTACAAAACTAAAACCCTATATATACTCTTTATATATACTGTATATTTCAGATTGAAGGTCTCAAAGAACAGGTTGCAATTCGAATCGGATTACATTCAGGAACAGTTACTGCGGGTGTTTTAGGTCAGAAAGGAGGCAAGTCTCCGAAGTACACTTTAGTGGGAGATACCGTATCGACGGTTTGCGAACTAGAAGCCCTTGGTAAATCAATGATGATACATGTATCGGAGGCGTTTTATGCTTTGACGAAAGACAGGGAAGATTTGAAATTTCAAAGAGGAGACGGATTACAAAGTAGCGCAACCGGAGTTATTGTAAATTGTTGAATTCGTAGGCTAATCATAAAAATTGATATTTCAACTAACAAACACAGAACACCTATTTTATGGACAACAACAAATGGAAGATAAAGTCAAATTCAAAATTCGATGTTAGGCGCAGATTATCTACAAAAACGAGAGACGATTCAAGGGAGGACCGTCCATCAATCGTAAACTTCTAGTTTTGTTCCTGTTGAAATTCCTATAAGTTTTAAAATGGACAACTATCCCTTGGAATTTTCCGCTATATTTTTGGACTAGTTATCCTTATATTATAAGATATTTTTCAATAAAAAAGTTATTATTGGAAAGAGTATGAAACTTAGCATCATTTACACTAGTTTGTTTTTTTGAAAAAAGACTTAAATGAAGTTTGTTTATGACATTGAACGCTCATTAGAGGTCAAAAAGGTCAAATTATAGAAATGGCGTATTCACCCAAAGACAATGCTTAAAAGGGGTGAAATGTTCAAAATTGTACTGTTTCTATAAACCAATCAGCATGGCTTAAAAAGTCAAATTGTCAAAGCTGATTGGTTATCTACCAATTAGGATATTATCTTGAGTGTGATTAGTGCCCTAAAGCAAATGTCTTTTCATGGCTTTCACACTTTCTCCATGCTTAGTCACTTTGAACTGTTCGTCCAACTGAAGAACATCTAAGCAAAAATCAACTTCAATTCTACTTACATTCTACAGTTGTTACTGACTTAGAGGTAAGGCTTAGGGGTAGCAGTACTTGACACCTGCTATATTTCTAACTGCAATTACATAATTGCACCTTTCTTTTAATTAATTTAATGCTTATAGCAACTAACTATGAGGTTGGAGAGTTACTATCTAGAAGCATATTGGCCTAACCAGCTTCTTTACTTTCTGTATCCTCAACTTTTTCCTTCAACATGAAATATAGCGTAAAGTTAATGTGATATCTAGAGATATTTCAGTTTTTAATTTACAACACTAACAAGATGGCTGACATGCCATTACGCAAGTTAACAGTGTATGCTTGTAGCTAGACAGCTAATATTTAACATTATCGTCATTATTGTTAAATACTGAACATTTGCACAATACCAAAATCTAGTTGTTTTTTTTTAAAACCATTTTCATCAGTCATTAACTAGGTCACTTTTTGCAGCCAATGACTGGCCGTGCACGTGGACGCGCTCGTGGACGAGCACGTGGACAAGCAGATAGAGATGCCGTTCCTCATCCAAGCCAAGAGAGCACAAGTGGGGTATGTGGAATGCCATTTCATTCTTTTTTCTTGTTTCACGAATTAATTTAATTTCAGGAAGCAGCCTCAATGGGACGAGCAACTGTTCGAGGAGGAGCGGGACTTCCTGTTCGAACTATTGAGATTGAAGAGCGAATGCGGAAGACGAACATATCTGAGGATCCAAGAAGAGCCGATCCTTATGAGGTTGCCATATTTAGGAAACCGGGTGCTGATAAAACCGGTAAATATAAACATATTTTTAAGTGAAATTCAATTAACCCTTGTTTTCAATAAAAGGGATATCTGGAAGAACTGTAAACCTTCGGGCCAATTTTTTTAGATTCACTTTTCCATCAAATTGGGTATGTCAATACTCGGTGGAATTCAAACCTGAAATGGACTCAAAGAAACTTAGAAAGGCCTTGCTATTTCAACATCAAGATATCATTGGTAAAACTTCAGCTTTCGATGGTGCTATCCTTTTTATGACAAAAAAATTACCTCAAAATCCAACTATTTTGAGATCAAAAACGAAACGGGATGAAGAAGTAACCATGAAAGTAACCCTTCGTAAAGAAATTCCTCCAAATCATCCAACAGCTCTGCAATTGATGAACCTAATTCAACGTAAAATGCTATCGGCTATGAACATGAAAGAAGTTGGTCGTCACTTTTATCAACCAAATGACCCCATTATGGTGAACCAGCACAAAATGGAGTTATGGCCAGGTTATATAACTAGTATAATGCCTTATGAAAGAGATGTTCTACTATGCGCTGAGGTATCCCATAAGATGATGAGAATTGATACGGTGTTGGATATTTTATACGACTTGTACGAAAAAAACCCAAAAAACTTCTACGATATAGCGGCTCGAGAAATTATTGGTCAAATCGTTTTAACACGTTATAATAATAAAACTTATAGAATAGACGATATTGAATGGAAGGAAAATCCTTCTCATACCTTCGAATGTAGGGGAAAGAAGATATCATTTAAAGAATATTTCCAGACTCAATATAATTTAGAAATAACTGATATGAAACAACCCCTTTTAGTTTCTAATCCGAAACGAAAAGACATACGACGAGGATTAACTGAACCAATACGTCTCCTTCCCGAACTTTGCACACTAACTGGATTATCTGATCAGATGCGAACTGATTTTCGTGTTATGAAAGATTTAGCAATTCACACAAGACAATCACCTGACCAAAGAGTTGACAAGTTAAGAAATTTAATCAAGAAAATTCATACCACTCCAAGCGTTCAAGAAGAATTAAAGAGCTGGAACTTAAATATTGAAAAAGATCTCATAAAACTGACTGGAAGAGAGCTTCTGTCGGAAAAGATTAAAGTAAATTTGCACCAAGAATTTACGGTAAACCCCAGAACTGCTGACTGGGCCAGGGATATGCAAGATAAAAAGATAATGCAACCTGTGCAGATTCAAAATTGGTTGTTAATTTGCACAGCCAGAGACACTAGCTATGCTCGCAGCTATGTGGATAAATTGAAGCATGTAGCTAAGCAGATTGGTATGAACTTTGGAACACCAACCGTAATTCAACTGACCAACGATTCAACTGCAACCTACATGGAACATTTGCGTCGACATGTTACTAACACAACTCAGTTAGTCAATGTTATTGCAACGAACAATCGTAAGGAACGATATGACTCGATCAAAAAATTTTGTTATTTAGAAGCAGGGATACCAAGCCAAGTCGTCATGACCAAGACCATAAGCAAACCCGACAAACTAATGTCTGTTGCCACCAAAATCGCCATCCAAATCAATTGCAAGCTAGGGGGGAGTGTCTGGTCTTGTGATATCCCAGTTCGCAACATGATGGTGGTTGGGATTGATTCGTACCATGACTCTTCTAAAAAGGGTCGATCCATTGGGGCATTTGTCGCCTCGTACGATAAACTATTTACTAAGTACTTTTCTAAAGTACTCTTTCAATCCAACCACCAAGAACTGTTGAGCGGTATCACCCAGTGCTTTGTGTCCGCACTTAGACACTATAGCCGTGTACCGAGGGATCCTAAAGACCAGAACCTCCCCGATAGAATCATGATTTACCGTGATGGCGTTGGTGATGGACAGCTAAAAACTGTCTTTGAACAAGAAGTTCCGCAACTTCTTGAAGCTGCAAAACGTATTGACGAAACATACGTTCCGAAGATTACTTATATTGTTGTGAAAAAGAGAATCAATGCTAGATTCTTCCTCGACTCTGGAACTATGAGAAATCCAGCTCCAGGAACAGTTATCGATCAAACCGTAACAAAACAAGAGTGGTATGACTTTTTCGTTGTCTCTCAGAGTGTGAATCAGGGAACTGTAACTCCAACTCATTATAATGTCATTTATGACACTTCGCACCTTAAGCCTGATCATATTCATCGGCTAACGTATAAACTCTGTCATCTCTATTACAACTGGCAAGGAACTATTCGAGTTCCCGCTCCTGTGCAATACGCTCATCGACTCGCTTATTTGGTTGGTCAAAGTATGCATGCCGAGCCATCATCTAATTTGGCTGACAAACTTTACTATTTGTAAGTCTGCCAATGGAATATATTTTGTTTTGATATTTTTAAAAGCTACGTAAAACATTTTTTTTGGGCTTATTTGTTGTATTTTGCTTTGCTTGAATAAAAATTTGTATGAAGTGAAGAAATTGGTAAATTCAAATTTCCTTGAAACCGGTACTTCACCGGTCTAAGGCTAAGGGTAATGTGGTATCCAATTCCGGGTTAGCGTCATTTCTGCGTTAGGCTCTGTTCTTTATTTTCGCACAATTTAATGCAGTGGTATTGAATAATAATTCCTATAATTAGTACCTGATCTCCGATTCTATTTAAACGGGTAAGTTTTGAACATCCATTTACAACCTAAAATTTATATAATTCATTTGTTATGATCCCAAAATTGCTGTTCTTTTATGCAGCGTGCTTTGCATTCAGCCATTGTTTCCCGCGTCAAATGTTTTTCTTTTTTACCTTTAATTCATTTGGCTAAATAATCTATATATTTTTTCCTTGATTTTTTAAAAACAATTATCTAAAATAAGAAGATGATAAAGATTTGATACTCGTTTTTCGTTGTTTTTAAGTCACATATTTTTGACAGATATTATTTAGCCCAATCAACGAAATGCCGCCTAAAAAGGTAAAATATTTATATTTAAATATAAACGTATATTCTTTTTTTAAAAATGTTGTTCTATCTTGTATTCAATACACAAATAAACTTAAATTTTCCTTCATTGTTTACCTTTGCGTTTCATTTTTTATCGATGGTATTTAGATAACTTTTAATTTAATCGTGGTGTTCCTTAGAGTGCCAGTTCACCAAAGAAATCGAGAAGCAGAAGTCGTTCGCGATCTCGTTCAAGAGGAAGATCTCCAGGAAGACCTAAAAAGCCTAAGCAAGAAAAGAAACCGGCTAATGAAGAGAAAGAAGAAAAATCGGAGAAGCCAGCTCCTAGAACCGGAAGAAAACGTTCAGTTAAAAGAACTGTTATGTCTGGTTCACCCCCAAAAGAAGTAACATTTCTTTACGCAGGAAGAACTTTTGTTTTATAATAAAAATATATTTATTTATCCAGACGGTCAAAGAAGTTGAAAAAAAAGAAACTGAATTATCTCCCGAAATTACAACGAGAAGGCGAAAGGCTACCAAGGAAGATTTGAACGTGGAAACACAAAGAAGTTTGAGAGGAAGAAAACAGAAAATAGAGGAGAAAAAACCTGTGGAGAAAGTAGTGGAGGATGATTCATTTTTTCTAGATTGGCTGAAAGGACTATTGAGTCTATTTTTGATAACCTTCTTCATTGTGGTCACATTTGCAATGTATAAATCTTCTAAAGTAAGTTTGCTTTGTGAAATTTATCAATTCTTAATTGTTATTAATTGAATAATTAATTTCCAAAAGAACTTTTCATTTCGACAAATTTCAACTAAGTTATCGAGGTACAATTGGACGAAAGATTGCAGTTTTGTACCTCTTAGATACTTCTTTTCTTTCATTGTGGCTAATTTATTTTTCTACTTTCTTCCAATTGGAGAGAAATACGCTTTTGAGGTTGCTGGGAAAATGAGAGAATTCAGATTAAATCGTAAGATCCGATTATTATTACGCAATATATGAGATTAACTATGAATAAATTATTTAAAATATTGTTTACTTTTTTTTAGAAATGTTACATCTACTGTTGAATGTTTGCTTCGTTTTCATTGCTGCGGCATTGAAGATACCAATCACAAAGCTCATAGAAAGACCGGAAGATTTCATGATCACAGGATTTGGACTGTCCATTGCTCTTGGCATTATAACGTATGCTACTACGTTAAATTTGAAAGGGAGAAGTATACTATTAGATTTTATCAATGGAAAGAAAATCATGCCTGAATGCTTGGGCATTAATTGGACAGTTTGGATTCTAACCAGAATCAATTTTTGTCTTACGACGACCTTGTTAGTATTGTATCCGTTGGAAAACTACAAAAGAGATAAATTCAACCTTACTCTATTGATACAAGTTCTTATGCACATTGGCTATATCTTTCAGTTCAGTTTGACGGAAAAATCGTTACTTCATTATCCTGATGTTAAAAGTCAGCCTTTTGGTTTCTTTAAGTGTTTTGCCGCCCTCTTCTTTTACCCTTTTGCATTTACTTACTCGTCTTATTACATTTGGAAATATGATATCGTCCTAAAGCAGGAATTTCTCGCCGTAATCTTTTTACCTTACATAATTGGAATCTATATTACCTTCTCGTCAAATCTGACAAAACAAAGATTCAGGGAAGATCCCTATCATCCGAACGTTGCTCACCTCGATCAAATTAAAACCGAAAGCGGTTACAATATCATATCATCAGGATTGTGGGGATTTGTTTGTTATCCCGAGTATTTCGGTGATATTTTATCGGTTTTTGCCATATGCGCTCCATGTGGTAAGTGAAAATATACAAATTATGATCTTTAAGCACCTTTTAACTTTTCTCTAATTATAGGTCTAACCAACCCATTACCTTGGTTCTATGCTGGATTCAACCTGATAACTCATGTGCTTAAAGCATACGAAGAGGACGCTCAAAGTGCCACTGTCCATGGTTTTGCATGGCAAAAATATCGGGAAAGAGTACGCAGTCGTCTCATACCGTTTATCTATTAACAGAATTGTAGATTGGCTATAATCCTTTCTAGAATATAGATAATAAAAGTAAACATTGTTTGCCTCTTTTGTTAAAAAGCGATTCTTTTTGAGAATTTTACATATTTGGAATAAATTTCTAGTTTTTCCTCACTAGTATGATAATGTACTGTTAGATGGCGCTGCGTGTTTCTTGTAATTGAATAATATTACGTACGAATGGTATTTTAAAAGGGGATTTTTCCGATCGTATCTGAACATGACACGTTTATAAGCAGGTAGCCAATAAAGAAAGGAACAATACTCATTCATTTAGCATTAGACGTCTGAATTGTATTCTTAAGTAATATTTAAGTAATCTACTAAATATATAAATTCATTGTTTGATGATTCACCATTATATCACAGGTCTCTTCTAAATGAGGACATTAAAAAAAATTATTAATATACATAATTATACATCTATTTGGCTCTGAATACAATTAATTTATGTATATTTGTGGCGTATGTGCTATTTATCTCTCCCAGATAATTACATATTTGAATAGTATTAGAAGCGTATGCGAGCGGCATTCATACTCATTTCCTCACCAAGGCCGCCAGGGCTCTTCTTCGGCCTTTGGTGATTGGGAAGATGGGCGATTATCCTCGGTTTTCATACTTTTTGCAGGAGAGGGGGATGAGGTTGCAGAGGAGGAGAGCATAGGCGATGACGATCCTCTTTTCCTCGGCGTTTTAATAGTATTGTTATTTGAGTCGCTTGAACATTCACTAACGACGGGAACTTGCATAACAATTGTCTGTTGCTTAGGAGCCGCTATAACGACATTTGACGCCGTTGCCGGACAGGTATTGCTCGTTATCATTACGTAATTAGTAGTTGTCTGCTCGCTACTGGGTATGACGAACGCCATTTGGCCATTTGCCAATTTGGTTGGTATAACTTGAACTTGTTGTTGCTGCTGCTGTTGTTGCGATTGCTGCTGATGAGAATGCTTAATGACATTGTTATTAATTTCCTGTTTCGGAGCAATACTGATCGGAGACTGTTGAATAATGGTATGCGATGACGGAGAAGACGGAGATGAAGAGTTGTGATTCAAATTTCTGCCTAACTGACTCGTTGCTATGCAATTGGTTAAATGTTCTAAAATTCTTGAACGTAATTCAACATCAACCGATTCGACAGATGACAAATAACGCGAAACTTCATTTGTGCATTCGTTGAATCCCGCATAGAATTTGTTTAAAACAGCAGGATCGCTGGAGGCTGCAGCAGAGATTTGTTGCCTTTGTACCTGCCGTAAATGCCTAACTGTATATTCGAGAATGTCCGCTTTTTCCATCTTATTGTGACGAGCCCCCTGAAAGGATTTTCAAATATAAACACTCTATTCATTATATTATTAAACGAACGGAATACGAAAGATAAACTTCTTCGTCATCAGAATCCCCTAAGGCAACCGTGCCAATCTCGGTAAGTGATTCAATTAAAATATTCTTTAAAAATGTTCAGTTTATTCTTCCTTTTTTTTATTATACAACATTTCCTCCTATACCGAAGAAAGGGAGTATTCTTTATGAAATTCTACTTTTTTTTATATTCATTTATATATACTCTTTCACTTATTCGAGCATTTACTGCTTCTTTCCACCCCTAACTTGTCTTTTAAGTTTTTTCTTAAACGCGAGCGGAATTGAATAAAACATAAAAAAAAGAGAATAAAATAAGAAGAAAGAAAGAAAAAGGTCGATTTCGATCTAACGTCATTATTCCTAGCTATTTTTTCCCACGGCCCACGTTCTATATAAACAGGTTGTTTGCGTATTGAAGTCGCCTTCAAAGTTACTGCTCTCTCAACTCGTTCCCCGCTTACGTAACTGTGATATACTCTATATAATCGCCTTACGTCTTTCTTCATTGCGTCTAAGAGCAACGCCTTCAATTCACACAGGCTGGCATTGATCCTGGCTCGACGACGTTTTTCCATCACCGGTTTGCTATTCTATTTTTTGAAAGAAGATTTTATTAATGATTTTAATAGTTAACAGTAAAAAAATAGATATAAAAGAACATTTAAAGAGAATAAGCGGGTAATCTTTTCTAATGGTAAATAGATATTTTTGATAGGATGCTTTTAAATATAGCTAACGAAGTGGAAAACATAGATTTATTACATCAACAGTAGCTTTTCCCATGCATTTATTTTTACATATATCTTTTTATAAACGTGTAATAAAATGAATTTATGAGTTGTAATTCAAAGCATTTTTATAGCGCCTCTCAACTACGTGCCTATGCACTCGTTGCTATTGACAGCTTTGATTCCTGCTTATGTTATGTAATCTTTAATATATAGTAAGATATTTTACCTTCTTCGTACAGTCTGTAGAATTTGAAACAACATCATCGCTGTCATCGGCCATTGCTTGAAATTTCTTTTTCTTTATAGAACGTTACGTACAATTCTTTTATGGAATGTTCTTATTCCTCTTTTTGTTAAATTCCTTATTTAGATTGCAAGAGTTGATGATGTAGCAACTTTCAAGTTTTAATTGAAATATCTAAGAAAAGTCCGTTTGCTTATTCCTTTCGCTTCTTCTAATCGAAACGGTCAACCGAGACCAGCTGCTCATTCAACAAGTTTTAACTCGAATAAAAGAGGATATAAAAAACGCGCGACACAAGCCACGCCAGGCGCTAGTCGACCAATCAACAGCCAGTTTCGTGAATTGAACGCGACTGGCACAACGCCTATTGGCCAGCAAGTCCCGACACGTTTTCTGAACGTTGTTCACGCTGCGCGACCCTTATTTGACCAGTGGTCATTCCTCTATTTGACTACTCTACTCCTTTAGTAATATAAATAAACGATTTAGAAAGTAGGTGGGGCCTATAGGCGTCACGCGTTAGACGCGAACATAAGTTTCGGAAATGCTTAGAGAGCGATATAGTGACGGGAACAGACAAATACTTGTTCCCTATTATAATTTTTGCGCGTGCTTTATCGGATGTGACGATAAGGCGGAACGCGCAACAACACGTCGTCTGATAAACAAATTACGTTTCCTGATACAAGAACGTGGGAACAATTTTTTTTTTTTTAATTTTTTTTCTTCGCCTGCCTTCCGACGCGAGCCGCACGCTTTTTATGGGCGGCGGCCAAAATTCCTTATAAGATCTGCAAACAATACGCATTCGAGTAGAACAATGCCGTAATTGACGCGTTCAAACATCTGCTGGTGACGTATGACAACATTCCTGGCTCTGATAAGCGTAATTAATCGACCGTCTCCAATCATCATCTCGCCGTGTACATTCCCACACGAATGGACAATGGAATTCTCATTTTCCCCTCCGAATAATATTCTTCTTCCCCTTCCTAAGGGAACTATAAATAATTCGGCGAAGCTTAACAAACGAGTATTTCCCTCTCTCCAATAGAATTTTCGAATAAGTTTCGCACGTGTACCATAAGCTATTCGATTATTCTTACTTCCTTTGTAGCCGATTTCTTTCTTTTCATCGGGAATAGAGGAGAGGCAAATATGCGACCGATGAATTTAGCTAATTGACGCCGGCGTGCGCGGTCGTGTGAAAAGAATGTTGGAATTTAAGAATTAATTCGTTTCGTATATACATACATATATATATATTTTTTTTATGTCTTTTTTTTTATAAAAAAAAGCAGGCCATTTTAAAAATATTCAATATAATGTACTTCTAGACAATTACTAAATAAAGAAAAGCCATTTTACTTTGCTCTTTTCGATATTATTACAAATGATAAACGACGGGTGGGCTGTTACAATTGGCAATGTCGGTAATAAATTTTTACCTACTCACAATTTAACGTTTGAGCATATTTATATATATATTAAAAAGAGTTGAGTAGAAATAATGAAAAATCACGTGACTAAATAAACGAGCGCGTGTACAGGCTAAAAAAAGAACATTCCAAATATCGTTTGTCTAATTCCACGGGGAGTATGTTACGGCGAGTTCAAAATACCATTTCCAAGTTCATATGTAGTTCAAATGCGCGTATTTTCGGGGCTTTTCGAATCGTATTACGAATGGTCAAGGGTTATGATCATCCGTGTAAAAAAAGAATGAATGTAGGAGAAAAGCGATAAAGGTCAAGCGAGAAAATGGAAAGACGCGTCCGAGTTATGAAGAATGACCATAGGACACGCGATAAATGAAAAGAGCCTATTTCCTTCTTCTGTTTCACAAACAAAAGTCTTATTTTTCATATGGAAGATATCAAAAGAGCATTGGGAATAATCGGGCGAGTGGTCAAGACTTTTGAAAAAAATAGCTGAGGGAGAAAAGAGAAAATAAGGCTATTTTTTTTGTTCCGGAGCTTTGCTTTACCGGTCGAATTACTATTCTTCGCAACAGCAGCTTCATTGTCGAACAACGACTACTTTGAGGCGAAAAAAAGCGTGTCGACGCCGGAGCGTTTGAAGTCCGTCGTTTACGGTGTTAAGGAACACCTCTCGAACGCTAGGTCGTCCGAACATAAAGTTCCAAATCGGTATAGCTCATGCTGTGAGAGCCCGAAACCAACCGAAAGTGAGCGCCATGAAATATTCTTTTTACTCCTTTACGCCGTCCGATTCGATTAAGATTAAAGGAGAGCGGTAGATATTATAGGCCTAAACAACTTCTATAGCTCAATATAGGGTTTCGAATGCCTGCTGTTCAATAGCGAAGAAAGAATCTGGCGACTATATAATTAACAATTAAGAGAGGGGGCGCAAAGTCTTATCTGCCGTAAAGATCAAAGGAAAGTGGCCAAGAGGCAAACTGCTTATCTCTAACGATCGATTTCCAAAGTCGATATCGACGACTACCGACCCGCATTTATATACGTAAGAGAAATTTCTTTAAAGATATCAAAAGAGAGAAAAGAAGAGAGAAGAAACGAACAGAAAAGTAGAGAAATGAAAAGGGAAGCCATACTTTCAAAAGAAAAGAGAAACACTTTAATTTTTCTTTAGTTGCCGTTAAAAATGGATTTATTAACAATAAATGTTTTAAATTATATGTTTATGTTTATATTCGCTTATAAATACGGTACTTTTCACACTCACACCTGTTTCCGATAGAACGTGACCGAATAATTAAGAACTAATCCGTAACGCGCCAATCACAAGAAGGCACACTCATACCTTTCCCCACCCACTTTTTTCTTCCTTTTCAGAATGTTACTAACCTCTTCAATGATAGTTGTTTAAAGGAATGAAAAAATACATTCCATTCTCCACGAAATACTTGATGATAATAAAGAAAAAAAAACGAGAGAAAGAAAGAATGAAAAGGAGAGAAAGAGAGAAAAACAAGTTGAGAAATAATCGGGAGCGGGGGAGAGCAGCGCACGCGAAAAGAAAGAATTCCTTTTTCTTGCCCCAAGATTATAAACGGGGCGCTAAGAAGTTTTACATTCGCAAAAGAGGGTAAATTCTTCGCGTTCCTATAAACTTCCGTTTTTGTTGTCAACTTCGAAAAACATTAGAATAAGATATAGCAGAGGGGTGCACTCAAAATAGTCGATTATTAGGCTAATAATACATATCCACCTATTGACGCCAGTGAGCACAACTAATAATATAAAGATAGGCGATGAATATGATCTTTCACCTTTAAATAGGCCTAGAGCGTGTGAACGTAAGAACGTAACCAAAAATTTGAATGCTTGTAAACGGCCTGCAATTATAAATATCTATTTATATAGGTATAATAAGTTTTTATTCCATTGTTGGAGGCGGAATTTTTGGTTGGAAAATTAATTTTTTTATTTAGGCCTGTTTAGGTCTATTTTACATAAACATTATAATAAAATAGCGTATAATAGTTGTATTGTAAAAGGTATTCGTGTATGCATTAGCCTTAATATACAACAGACATGTATCTCTCCCACGCTAACGCAAGACTATCAATAGATAAAAGACGACGACTAATCGCTCAGACGTCACTCGAAATCGATTAGACTTAAAGATAGTGAATATTCGATTTGCTTATCTACCAATATACCGGCGAAGTCGTAAAGAGAAATCAGAGCGTGCCATTATAAAAAAAGGCGAAAAAATCAATTGGCCAAACCAATTTGAATCTCATTTACTCGTCTTTTAAGGCTTTTTCTCCAATTTTTAATCAGTCATCTTATTGTTAACGCTTTGTTCATTCTTACCTACTCTTTTTTTATTCTCTTATCTCGTCAATCTGTTTGCGTGTGAAAGATAGAGAGAAGGAGGAGGAGACAAATAGAAAAAAATATGCCCCGATACAGGTTCAAGGCGACAAAAGTATACACTATCCGTCAGAGCGTGCGCGTGGCGATCTGCTGCCCGTCGACCTTTGAACCTCAGGGCGTAAACGCCCTGTGGGTGGTTGGATAGGAGGGGAACTAATGGAATGACTCGAACGTAAAAAAGCTGTCTGAGTAAACATGAATTCCGTCAGCTTGTCAGTCACTTTGTTTACGTTATGACGTTAATCTGTTTGTCAGTTTAAAAATGCGTACAAATTTCGAGTCAGACGTCGCCGCAATCAATTAAGAGATAATAGTTTTTTTTGTTATTGTATGACACAGAGTACATATCTTTTTTATATACTTTCCATAACTATTTATTAATATTAAATAATTGGAAGGAAAAGAGAGACAGAAAGAAAAAGAAAAACAGAGAAGAAGAAAAGAAGAAGACAAAAAAAAGAAAAAAACAACACACATCTAATAGTCCAAAGTTTTGGTAACTAACTTGATGATAGTTCATCTTCGTATTGTTTTCTAAAACAGTCACCCACTGGAAAGAAATCCCAACAACGTTGCTGATACAACTCCCAAACGTATGATTCCTGACCGGTATATTCAGTATCCGGTTTGTTAATCAAATGCATAAGAAAGAACATATAATTAGCGAAATTATGTTCGTTCGTAACGTGTGTTTCGAAACCGTGCGGTACCTTATCGAAATAATCTTTACCGATTCCGCAGATGAAACAAGAGGATTCCATATCCTCTTTAACTTGTTCTAATTGATCTCTTAGTTCACCGAAAGCGTCGATAATTAAACCTTGGATGATAGCGAGAAGGATAATGATAACAAAAAAGAAGAAGGTTATATCAAAGATAATACGGTAAACTTCGTAAGGATCACCGTCCGGTGATTCAATTTCATCACCTGTTATTTAAGTATATAGAAATAGTGTGGATTAGTAGCTCGGAATTTAAATGAGTGGGACTTACCTATTCCACCACCAGCTCTTACGCCGGCGTACAGGTGAAAAACGAAGCATGTAAGCATGTCGTGGCACTTGTGATCCACTTCACCGTCCTCTTCCTTTACGTAAAACTTTCGGAAGAAGTTGAAAGCGATTACCGTATAAACGTAGCATACAATAGAAGTAAGTAGAACAGTCAACACCAATTGTTTACCGTTATGCGTAACCGACTGCAAAATTGTACCGAGCGTCTTAAAGCATATGGCGACGTCTAAGAGGTGAGCGGCGAAAAAGAAAAAGTTGAAATTTCCCATCACCGAAAACGTAAGGTACCAAAGAATGTAGAGGAAATTATTATCAGTAAATATAATGCCTATTTTCCATAATTGATATTGCCAATCCATATTTGATATAAACGACGGTAAGAACGTAGAAGTATTCTCCGACTGTTTTATTGAATCTCCTTTATCCATTCCGAGTAATTTGGATATTTGCTCATAGTCATACTGTTCTGAATACTTATTTCGAACTTTCTTCTTAACGAACTTATCCCAATAGGAATCGGGGAATGATTTGGTACTTAGAACCAACTTATCCCAGTGACCCTTTATATCATCTTCGCTAGGCTGTTCAGCTATCCATAGACCGTCAAATTCTAAACTTCTTGAAATCTCTTTCTCTCTCTTAAATATTACTAGTGGAACTTTAAGGCAATAATAGGCTATAGCTATGAAGAATGAGACGGCCGTATGGGATACGGATAGCAATCGAAGTAACGGTTCAAGATAACTAACATTCTCAGCTATAGATATCCATTCTTCAACGTCATCGGCGTCGCCTCCGTTATCAGTAGCATTGCTGTCTGCATTAGTATTTAAATTATCGCCTGTCAGTTCAGTTTGAGCTTTTGAAACCTAAGTGGAAAGGAGGACAGACAATATACTAATACATACAGTATATACAGTAAATATATATATTTATATCATTGAACAAAGAAAGGCAGAATGAGCGAGAAAAAAGAAAAATTTGTTCTAAAAAAGATAATAATTTGCGATAAGACTCACTTTAAATGTTAACAGGATAAAATTAATAGCGAACGCCATTGCCAAGGCGATCAATTTAAAGGTATAAAAATTTCTGGCTAGTAGGGCCTTTATTGGAGAAAAACGAATAAAAATTAACATTTAAAAAGATAAAAGATTAAAGTGAAAGGTAACTTACTATAAAGAATTTACTGAATTGGAAACCTCTTGGTTTAATATCGGCTGGTGGTTCGTCCGCAAGCGATCTTTCACTTTCCTCATTCTCTTCATTTGTCTCTGATGATTTATTATAACTATTGATTGTATCCTTCTCAACTATTTTAGTTTTAACAATATCCGATTCTGTTAATTCATCAACTTCTTCTATTGCTGTTAAACTACTTGAAACCTTTCGAACAGTTCCATTTGCTATACACCCTATAATTTGTTATAAAATATATCATTTTAACGAGATTCTTTTATTATATAAGTATAGATATATATTGTGCAGTAAATCATTTTCACGCCTACCGTCGTGCGTTGTGGGAGGCAATAAAGATAATCGACGCGTTTTTGGGGCTTGTAATTTGGCGTCACCTTTCATCATATACCAAATCAGGCGGAAGAAAGTTCTATAGGTAACAAATGATAAATTAGAGTGTACTTGGTTAAGCATTCACTAACCCCATAACGAAGACTAGGAAGGTTAATAGTAGGAAGATTAGATTCCAAAAGAATCGGAACACGTTTAGGAATAATTCCTTCGCGGGGGTAGATCTAAATTGTCGCCATTTTGAGCCTAGGTATGATGGGCTTAGACAACCTAGTATCCATACAACTCCGTTCTTTAACATTCCCAAACCATTTTTAATGTTCTCCCACATACCACCTTCCATACCAACAAAGCTCATTATACCGGGCTGTTGAGCTTCCTCTTCGCCCGATATACTTGTCGCGTGTTGCATCTGATGAAAAGAAACCGATTAGAAGATCTTCTAAAAGGATCAATCTATGAGATAAATTCATTTGAGAAGAGAAATATGGACAGAATTAGCATTATTATTATTATTGTAAATCTGCTCGATTTATTAATAGCAATGTCTTCTGCACCACCTCGAATATAGTATCCTCGCAAAAGTTAACAAAGGCCTCTAATTTTCCTTTATCACCTTCTTCATTAACGACGTTGTGCAAGAAAGCCCGTTTCGATTCCTAATAGTATAGGGAAAAAAAATGTAATTAGTATAGGCCTAGATTCTCACCTCGAAAATTGTATCTTCGCAGAAATTCACAAATATTTCTAATTTACTTTTATCACTTTCGCCGCCTACGACATTATGAAGAAACGAACGTTTCGATTCCTGAAGTTTTACGAAAAAGTATGAAAAAAGAAAATGATAAAGATTGAAAGGAAGATAGATAGAGAGAAAAGCGAATAAAAAATAAACAATAATAACAACAACAAAGATAGATCAAGCTAGCTAGAGAGAAAATATAGAAAGAAATTATAATTGATAAAAGAGAAATAGAATGTTAAAATTATAGAATAAATGAATAAAAGAAAGAGAAAGAGAAAGATAAAGGAAAAGAAAAAGAAATACTTAAAGATTAAGAGTTAATGAGCCTGAAAATTGACTTTTTTTCAGTTAAAGACGAAGAGAGTATTGTGCGAATAAATTGGATTTTAATTTGTTATTAATTAGTTGTTTAAGTTGTGAGTAGTAACCTTAATCTGTGGTTTTTCCCATTGATCAATATTAGATTGTTTAATCTCGAAATATACTCTCTCTATTCTGCCAGCGCTTCCCATAATCTCTATTCGACCTAGATATTGTTCAAAATAGTCGAGAACGCTTCGGGCTTTTTCCATGAATCTTTGTAAACTGTTAAGAATGTTAAAAGGCAATCAATAACTTCTTTATTACAGAATACTCGACCTCTATTATTACCGAGGGTCATTTGGAGTGTGCTCGGACAGATTGGTCAATAGAAGGGCAACGTTGAAGCCAATATCTTTAGCCGGATTATGGAAGCGGTCAGTAAACTCGTGAAAATCAACTCGGCCATCTTGATTTGCGTCGACGCACATCATAATATATTCGATCTCTTCTCTGAAAAATAGGAATAAATAAGAAAAAAAGGACTTTATAATACATTTTTTTTATTTAAAAACTATAATTTTCCATGCTGAGAAAATTGAAAAGCTTAAATCGTTCTGCACGCAATTCTTTTTTTTTATTATCGTTAAGATGGCCTCCGCAAACAAAAGAGAGTATAAAAACTTAGAAGGACGAAAGAGGAGGAATAAAAAGGAATAGAGGTAGAGGGGAATGTCAACTAAAATGTAAAATACCAAAAATAAAAGGAAAAAATGGAGGCGCATAGCACACACACTCTCTCTTCTTACTCGGAATAAACTTTTTGACTTTGAAGGGCGTGCCTTAGTTCTTTTTGAGAAAGAACTCCGTCGTGGTTCACGTCAAATTCCTGCCGGAAGCATTTAAATAACATACGTAAACTTTTACAATAGTTTCTATATTTTTCTTTCTCTTTGACAAAGCTAGAAATGCTTTATCCCCTTTCAACACTCAGGAATTCAAATAAATTTCCTCTACAATAAAAGAAGAAAAGAAACATTTATCTTACGCGGAAAGCTTCCGATGTTGCCAAATCTTTCATTTTCAAGAATATATCGAAGAATTTCAATATCATCTGTGTTGTTTTTTTAAAAAAAAAGAAGAATTTAGAATTGAAACAAAATATAAACAAACAAAAATAATTGTACTTCAAAGTTTTGCGACGATTCAACGAGAGTATCAATCATCTGTTTTCCAATAGCTCCGTTCATCACGTTACCTGTTTAAAATAAGAAAATGAACGGTAGATGTCGCCAGTATCGTGGAAAGAAATAAGAGTTTAAACAAATGTTTTAATAGGGGAACAGAATACGCCTACCTTCGAGCATTGAAAGTAACATGATCATCATTTCTTTTTGCAATTGCATGAATTCCCTTAATAAATCCAACTGTTCTGGGTCCTTTTAAATGGAGATGTGGGAAGAGAGAAAAGATAGAGATTAGATTAAAGAGATCCCTATTACTTTTTCCCATTCATACCTTATTTACGCTTAAACTCGAAATTTTACATTAACGAAATAAGTTATATACTTAGTTATTTATATATATATAGTCTATAAAATAAACTCGATGGCATAGGATTAATAGAAATTTTCCTTACTCTGGATAATTTTTCTTGCATGTGGGCGAATATGTATAAGAATCCCCCAACGGCGTCCCATAATCTACTATGAGCCAAAGCCAATTGATTTTGCATACAGGGTCCCTGGGTAGGAAGAGAAGAAGTATATAAATGAAAGGGAATACAAGTCAACGTTCAGGGGCTCCCTTTTAACAATTACCGGAAGTTAAAAATAGGAAATTAATTCGCAAATAAAAGAACGAAAAAGGAGAAAACGTAATGGAAAATGGATGAATAGTTGGGATTGTTTACCTGAATATATTCCGTAATTGTGCAGAATACTTGAGCAGCAACTTTAATTGCTCTACAAAAGCTCTCTTTTCCAGCTGGATCGATCGTATCTTTTCCCGAATAATGCCAATAAAAGTCCATAATGGATTCCTGTTTAATCAAGCAAGAATAGAGATAAGATAAAATAAAATAAGGGAAAAAATAGGTTAAGAAGCTATATGAAGATTATATACGCTTTTATTTACATAAAATACATATAAACATTACTTGTAATCTCAATAAGTAATCGACTGTACAGATGATGATATTAACTGTTGTAGTATTGCCTGCTTGAGTTCTCAGATAATTTTGAAATTCTATAAAAAAAAGGGCAAAAAGAGAAGAATATACACCATATGGAATATATTGATAGATAGATAAATAAATACTCAATTATATAATTTATGAATAGAATGTAAATTACCAAGATTGTGTCCTTCGCACAAGAGTTGTAAAAATCTAAAGAGTCTACAAGTAAATCGACCGTCGTGTAAATTTTTTACTTGAGCTTGTCCATCGGACATTCCAAGACCTTCGGCTTTGTTACAACGTTCAAAAGCGTCCAAATCGAGTACTGAACACTGTTGCATAAGTCCCGCTACAGAGGTAAAGAAACCAACTTCCTTTTTATCCTTTAAATGAACCATCATCCTCTTTTGAACGCCCGTATTGCCTCCCTTTAAAACTGATATCCCTAATTCTATGGTAGCGACCACCATGTCAGATTTTCTTCCACCACAGGCGCTAATATACATTAATACCATCTCAGCGGCTCCTCTATCTGATAAGCGAGCTTGCTCAGCCAATAAGTTTTGTTTCTCTAGTTCTTGCTCTTGCATCGACAGAGTCCCTTCTTCGTCGCCTCCGCCATCTTCTTCGTCGTCTCCTCCCCCATCTTCATCGTCGTCTTCTCCGTGGCAACTCTAAAGGAGTGGAACATATCGTTTTCTTTTAAAAATTGGCGAAGAGAGATATTGGCTGATTGCTCACCTCGCTCATTATAGCCGCATAAGCACCATAAAGGAAATCATTCTCTAATTTTTCATACGCATCCGTTGTGGCCGCCCTTGTGAATGCCGTTATTAATTGACTTAGGGGTTGCGGTTTTTCGGCAACCTCCTCTTTATTCTCGTCGTTTCCATGAACTTCTTCTTTATCCCCTGTTTTCTCAGTCTGCCATGTTAAATAAAGCTAAGAATCGATAAAATATGAATATAATATAACAAACGGTTATATCTTCTACTAATGTTTGGTGACCAGGTTCCTCTGACATAAGCCATTGCCTGCTAAAAGCGCTTAAGAACAGGTTTACTGCTCTATGCCTATTAAAATTTTATAGTAATATAGAGTAGAGTAAGGAATTTTTCATATCTATTTAAAAGCTCATGAATTGATCATACCTGGGTAAACCATAGACGGGAATCATTCGGAAACAAGCCATTACTGCTCTTTTTCTTTGAGAAGATACTACTTTCTTCCAAGCTGCTTTCATCCAATTTGGAGGATGCTCCACCTACATAATAATTACGTAATAGATGTATTTTTGCTACAAAAATAGATGCCTACAATAGGTTGTTTGGTGAGCCTGACATTTAACACCATTGAATAATTTAAGTTGTAAAAACTGTATAGACAGTTTCAATATCATCAATCGACACTCTATTAATGACAAGACGCATATTGGAAAAACAGCCTTTATTTAAACAATTTATATTTCTAGTTCTCCTTCGATTGATTATTAATAAACAATTAACAAGAATCTAGGCTAAGCCGTAATTGTCTGACTTATTAACAGCACTGGTCCTTATTCCGTATTATAAGGTCGAGCACTTAAAGACATCTTAATGTAATGTTGACAAGTAAATTTAGAACTACACCAACAATATACATGTAGTATATTTCCATCTCAACTTTCTATTTACGTCGGCTACATTTGTGACAAAACAACGAACCATTAGCTAGACGAGACTAATATATATATATACATAACGGAATGATTAAAGCGAGCGGCATCAGTCGGAACAGAGCAGCGTCTATGAGCAGACGACCATCTATAGAAGTTAACGACGCTTAAGTAGATGTTAGATATTTTTTAAAAAATACATGTATTCAATGTGTTGTGTATACTTATATAACTAAGAATTTAAATCTATATATGTATATATATATACAGTATATATATATATAAGATAAGGAATGAAAGAGGAAAGAGAATATTGGGATTTCGAAAGACGTCGACGCTCATCAACTAAAAGAAAGGTTGCAGAATTAGAAGTGCCTGATGGATGGTCTACAGTCTGGTATAATTTCACTCAGACAACAACTTTACACGGTATTAATAAAGTTACAGAGAGTACACCATTCATATGGAGAAGGTAATTTTTATAGAGGCGTCTCTTTATAATTCCCGCGATATTTCCTACATATGTTACTTATTTCAATAGGATAATATGGCTGATTATAGTTCTTGCTGGATTAACAGTTTTTGGTTATCAGATGTTCAACTCTATTCAATATTACTTCAATCGACCAGTAACTGTAAACATAGCCATTAACTATAACGAGAGTATAAGGTTTCCTTCCGTGACACTTTGCAATCAAAACGTTTTCCGTATGACGGCGGCTGCTAAACACAAGTTATATCCCTTAATAGACGCTCTCTATACTGCAAATACGAAAGCTATAAATTTCACAGATTATCAACTCAATCTAACTCTTGTTGACTTATACAAAAAGACAGCTCATAGGAAAGAAGATATGATAACCGAATGCAGATGGGATAGTGAACCATGCAGTCTGGCCGACTTCGTTGAAGTCTATACTGATCATGGTGTGTGTTTCACATTCAATAAGGCAAAATCCGCGGCCGTTAGATATATTAATTCAACCGGTAAGTACGCCCTTTTTTTCCTATTGTTACTCTCATGGAGAGCATCGATTATTCATTACTGAATAAAAAGTGCAAGGAATAAAAGCGTTCTGTTTAAACGCTTCTTTTGTATTCAAACAAAAACAAAAAAAAACGACGATTTGTCGTAGTCATAGGAGAAAAAGAATTTATTAAAGGAGAGAGAGAGAGAAAGAGAGAAAGGGGAAAGAAAGAAAGAAAGATAGAAGGAGAATGAAAAGCTATTCATTTATGTATTTATTCATATATGTATGTGAGTGTGTACGTGTGTGTGAGAGAGTGAGAGCGTGAAAGAGAGAGAGAGAAAGAGAGGAATGTCTCTCTATATGAAATGAAAAAGCGATCATATATATCATATTTATTGAGGTCATATAAATGATTAATAGAATTTTTAATAATTCTATACATAGATTGGAAAAAGTCTAAAAATAAAAAATGACTTATATACGTTTTATACTAGGAGCTAGAAGAGGGTTATCTGTAAAGGTTAATTTGGAGCAATATGAATATATGAAAGGTCCGAATAATGCTGCTGGACTAAAAATTCTTGTTCACGACCAAGACGAAGTTCCTCTTGTAAGAGAATTGGGACAGGCTATACCTCCTTCCTCAAGAGCTTTAGTGGGTCTTAAGATAACGCAAGTGAATAACTTAAAGTATCCTTATGGAAAGTGCAACGACAGTGAATATTTGCGGTTTTATAAATCATACTCCATTCCTGCTTGTAAAGTTGAATGTAAATTAAAGCATGTTGTAGAAGATTGTAAATGTCGTGAAGCTTATATGCCGCATGTTAGGTCTAGGGAAAACTTTCCAAGAGTCTGCACATTAAATGAGACGAGACACTGTGTAATGGCAGCACTTAAGAAAAAGTATGCATGCAATTGCGCAACATCTTGCCAAAAAAGGATGTTTGAAGCTAGTATTTCTTATTCGACAACGTCTGAATTTGATACAGATAGAATATTGCATAGTGAACAAATACACGATCTGCAGAAAAAGTTTATAATGGCTAGAGAGGTTGCGCAAAAAGTTAAATCCTACATAAGAATTAAGGACGAAGAGGCAGTTTATCGAGTAAATGAGACGGCTAAGCGCTTACAAACAGCGTTTGGGCGAATAGATGGGGTTCTGATGCATTTGTACGAATTTGTCGAGAGAAAAAGGTCAGAGCACTTGTGCAGAAATGAATTTCATCGAAACGTCGCACTATACACAGCCGATAGGCTCACTACCACAGAGTTTATTGTTTCTTGGAATAGTTTTGCCGAAGGTCTCCTTGTACCAGTGGCGACGTCTATGAAAAGACTATTAAATGACGTTGAATACGTCGTAGAAGAATCAAGTAGGGACGATTCAAAAGAGATGATGTCTGAGACTAGGAGGAGTATAAGTGTCCAATTAAAATTAATTCTGGAGTGCTTAAAGGAGTTTGATAGTGTGATACAAACATTCTCCCGCGGAAGAGTAACGCTAGACGAGAATGATAGAAAGATAAATTTGTCTTACACTTTATTACAAAAACTGATACCAAGATCTATAATTAAACGCAAATGGAGTAAAGAGAAGGACAACTTTATAGCTTTAAATGATACTTTAAATCAAACTTATACCGATTTGTTAACAATTAAAAAAGAATTTGCTAAAGCTAATATAGAAACTTCTGTTATCGATGACACAGTCAAGAAACTTAGGATAGGTGCTTCTAAGCTAATCACTTTAAGGCATTATTTAGAGGAACAAGTGATACACTCTCTTAGGGATGATATTAGACGGAAAACAAACTATTTTGAGAAAAAATATGCATTATTTGTAAAGGAGAAGGGTGATCTTCTAATGTTGCTTGGTAACGTTAAGGACCTTATGATGGATCTAAATAACTCTATTTGGCCAGTATTTACAAATTTAATTAATGTTTCCATAGCTTATTTGAAATTACCTCATGCTAGAAAGACGAATTTGGCTGGACACCTGCTTGGCGAACAGGTCAGCCATAAACTCCAAGAATTTCAGGTGCTATTCAACGATATTCGCGCTCGAACGCGTAATTTCAATCACGATTGGCAAAAGTTCACTAACACTTATGTCGGCGTCTTAGAAAGTATTGGAACGGAGGAAATGACCCGACAATTTTATAAAACATTAAAAAAATATAAGAAAGACATTACTAAATTAAATATAACCGATTGGTGTCCATACTGCTCTAACTGCTATAATGTAACAGAGACGTTAAGCTTCGATCTACCTTGGCTAGAAGGTAGAAGACATATTGAAATGTATATAGAGAATGAAGTTAAAGCGCAAATGGAGAAGCTTAGGTCTGAATCTGAAATGTCTAAGATAGTTGGTGATTTAGACGAACAATTTTATCAGGTATTTTTGCAGTGGCGTCGAAACATTGAAGAATTCCAAAAAGGCAACGAAATAGACGTCAATTTTATAAGTAATAATTTTATGGAAGTTGATATATTTATGAGAGAATTATTCTATGAAAAGGTTGAGCAGCAGATAGGATACGAAATAACAAATCTATGGTCCGATATTGGTGGTTCAATGGGACTATTTATTGGTGGTTCGGTTCTCACACTTTTTGAGGTGATTGATACTATCTTTCATCATATTTTTAAATCGTCAATGTTAAAGAGAAAAGAAAGAAAGCTTAAGAAACAACAAATGAAGATGTTGGATAGATCTTAAAAGAAAAAAATAAACAGACCAAAAAAAGAACTAAAAGACAAAAAACACAAATTTTACCGATTAAATGTTGTTTGTAAGAAAAAAAAATCTATAGAAAAGAAAGATAAGAACGGGAAAAAAATAAAATAATATAAACTATAAAGATAACTAAACGTATGAGAATAATTAAATGTTTTTACTCACCAGATGTAGACCTTGGAGAACTTTTGCCATATCTAAAACCCTTTTTATTATGTTCTTCTGATTTATTTCCTTTTTCTTTCCACTTTCGTTTGTTTCAGTTTTTTTTGAGCCTATTTGTTTGTATAATTGTTTTTGCCAGAGCATTTTCTCATCATTTTCATTCTATTTTATTTTTTCGAGGGGAAAAAGAAGAAGAAGAGATTTTAAACAAAAAAAAAATATAATTTTTTATGATTAATATAACAAATAAGAGAGAGAGAGAGAGATATTAGGAGAGAATATAAGATAACAAATAGATCTAAAGAGAACCTTGATGCCTGCTTGTTGTATGCATAAGGTAACATATTCTTCAATATCTTCCGTTTCTTTCTGTAATTAAGTAATAAAATACAGATATAATTAAATACAATAACTCTAATTTATTTAAATAAAAGAATATATATTATTTATAAACACACTAATATTTATGGAAAAAAAATACTGTAGATAGATTGGTAGATAAAATGTTATAAATAGAAACAGAGAAAAATGAGGATTGAGATAGAAAGACAATATTTGTGCCAGTATCCCATTTAGTAACAAAATTTATAGGCAAATAATAAAATAGGTAAAAAGAAATCATGGGTAGGGAGGTTAATCATTAATGCACACAAGTTCTTTTTACTTGCTGGTTAAGGACGGAAAGTGAATAATTACAAATCATGATCAATAAAAAAACGGGAAAAAAATAGAAAGAAAGAAAGAGCGCAAGAGAGAAAGAGAGAAAGAGAGAGAGAAAATTTTCTTTGAAAGAATATTTACAACGAAAGATCAATAGATTGTACATAAAGACAGGGAAAAAACAGAAATATGATAGATAGACTGAAGAAAAGAAGAAAAAAGATGAAAGAAGATATTTACTGTGGATAAATGGAGAAGAATGAAAGGAAACAAAACTAAAACAAAAATAAAGATATATAAAAGATGCTTGCGTAAATTAGATGACCATGCTCGTCCACTTCACTGTGATGCTGTTTAATAAAATTTCAATGAAAAAAAAGGTTTGTTATTTTCCAAATTTTGTTTCATTGTTAATATTTAATAAATTAAATCAATATTAATAATAATGAAATGTATTAACTAAACATTAATCAAGAATCCATTATTATCATTATGATTAGTAGTATAAAATCTATTGTTTATAGTTTATTCGATAAATCGTATATAGTATATTGTTTAATTGATTCTGTTCATTTCTTTTGTAAATAAAAGAAAATTAGAAATAGGAAGTGCTTAATATTAGATCAATAAAGGAGAATGATTAAGGAGAAAAAATGTAATGATGGAAAAGAGAGAGAGTCATAGAGTGATAGATAGATGGAGAGAAAGAAAGTGAGAGAGCAAGAGTGAGGAAGAGTGAGACAGAGAGACAGAGACAGAGACAGACAAAGAATGAATGGTTAAATAATTGTAAGAAAAATATGTTTCTTTTATAAGCTGTAAATAATACTGTTGTATTAACTTACATCTATAAGTCTTTGCTTGCATTGCTGGACCAGCTCTTGTTCTTGGCCGGCAAACATATTCAACCCCAGGGGTAAAAGACGTTTTAGGCAAGCTACGTTAAAACTCGTTGTAGGTTCCATACGGGCACTTGAATATTAGGGAAAGGATTTTGTGTTTTATGAATAACTAACCATAAACAGATTTAAAGATACCCTACCGTCCTATTCGTTTACCCTTTTTCTTCGATTGCGTCACATCTTCAATTAAGGATCTAGATTCATCTGCTGATTGGGCGGCTGACGCATGAGCATCCTGACCGGGCATTATCAAAGCCATATTATTAATTTCATTCTGCCAAACAAAGTTCTGCTCTTCCTTCTTAAATAGCTAGGAAAGAAAGATATAAATTAGTGAAATTAGAATATTTGTGGAATGTTATAAATGTAGAATATTACTCCAGATTTGGACCATATATTAAAAACTGTTGCTACGCATTCATATAATTCTTCGGCATCTCTTGAAGGCTTTTTAAGCCAGGTGGAACGATGTAAATCAACATATTTCACAAGTAGAGGATAAAAGGCGTATATGTCTCTGACAAGTATTTGAAATACTTCCTGTATATGAGCATCAATTGCGTCATCTTTGTCCGTTCCCCCTCCTGTTCTATGTCTTTTCTCTTGCAAATAATCTGCTTCCTCCAGCTCTGCCGACAGTGAGGCATCCCTTAACTTTTTAGCTACAGGAAGAATGTGAACAGGAAGCATATCGATTGTTGCATTTACAATGATGGGCTGAGTTCTCGCCGCAATGCGATTCATCCAAGGCGCATCCAAACTTCCAATATTATTTCCAATAAGTGATAAAACGTTGCCCAGCACGTTGTTCATCAATATAGCTGTGACGGAAGTAACTGATTTTGAAGCGTCGCCACCGTGATCTGGTCCAATTGCCCACCATGCTGGTAAATATGAACAAAGCATAGGTAAAGTAACTTCAATCACGTGAGGGGCTTCATTATATTTCCCCCCGGAAACTGCTAAGCCTTCAATCTCCGACACAATCTTATCTAGAGAAGGTAGTGTTTCTGCAACCTGCTCCATAACTTCTTTAGCTTCTAATGAATGCGTAGCAATATCCTCTTGTGCTATACCATATAGAACGGAATATTTATTATGTTGAGCTCTTTCTGGTTCTAAAAAGGCAACTGGAAAGGTAGATGAAAACGAAGCGACGCATTCTCCTAATGCTGGACGATGTCTGGCTAGTTCACTTTCTATCGACTCTCTTTGAGCAAACGTAGAACTTTTCGTTCCTAATGAGTATAACGCGTTCAATATTCTATAGCAACAGAGTTGCTGTTCTCCAACAAGTAAATCAAAGCCAAATGAATTTCTTCCTAAATGATCGAACATTGACGTAAGAACTGGAATAAGGACCATATGGACATAATTTAGAGATGTTGCTCCTCTTGTAATAGTTCCTTTCACATGACTAAATCGTCCAGTTTTTAAATTATTAACAACTTGAGTTAAATCTTCAGCTGCATGATTAAAGACAGGTAACAATGATGAGCGCACAATTTCAGGACTACTCTTAACAACCGCCCTGGCATCTATGGCTGTAACAAGGGTTTGTAGACAGCGAACCGAAATTTGAACATCGTGACCAAAAGCAGTTATTCTTTGCCTTAGCAGTCCATATAATTTGGAGAAAAGTAAAGCTGTCATTTCCTTCTCTTTTAGAGAAGCACCTCCACTACCAATTGGAGCATTGGGATTGGTGATAAAGTAACTTTTATGCGCTCCAAAATACCTTTCGACTAGTGGTAGGATAACCTTACTAAAGAACTTGACATCTTCGGTTGATGTTGAATAACTATGACGTCTACTCATACGAGAAGATGGTCTCTGATTTTTCATGTTGTACGCAGCTTTATCGACGTATTCGAGGAGTTTATCTAACAAACTATAAGCAAATCTTTTTTCGGTGCTAGAAACCCCAACTCCACTATCAGATTCCGATTCTCGTCTAATCCTTGACATTGACTCAGTTCCAGGCTTAGTTGTTTTACCGTTACTAGACAAACGAAACCCGAATAATTGAAGGAATTTAAGCAGCTCTTGAACTCTTTCTTTATCTCGGCTCTTCTCCTTCTCTGTAAGATGTTCGTAGGGAACGAGTTGAGGGTGTATTCCACCCCCTAAAGCCTCTAATTGAGCCTTCTTCTTTTTAGCCCATACCTCATGGGATTGAACTGCTAATAATTCAGCCATTTGATACATTTCTCTAGTAAGAGTCACAGTCCTAAGATCAACAGATTTTGGGGAGAAATCCCCAGAAACAGATTTTGATATTTTATACTTTATGGCACTCTTACTAACAACTCTTGACGAATCCTGTTCAACTGTCCAACCAAATGCTAACATTGCTTTAATTGATTCAACAACACTTTGCAATTTCATCTGTTGCTCTCTATTATCTAATAGCTTAAACGCTTTCAAGCTAGGATGCTGCTTTTTTATTTCGTTGTATTTTGGTCCATAAACCCATCCATTATCCATTTTGGCTAGGGCCCAGGAATCGTGACAATGCTCAGTAAAATTTTTACAAGCATTTGCTAAATCATTGTTGAGGTTGGCGCTTGCAGTAGAAATTGGCTTAGGATTATATGCGCCATTCGTAGAACCACTTTTACCGGTTTTCCATGATTCGTCTTGATGAGTTAGAGCGTAGTCGGGAGATAGAGCGCAACCTATGGCTGATAAACACGGTAAAGCTTTTGAAAATAATTCAGGATCGTACGCTCTTTGAGCCAAAGAGTCGAATATTCCACTGAACAACATCATTGTTAAACGTCTCTCCTCCTCTGTAGCCGTTCCGTTTGACCCCCAGCCTCCTGCTCCGTAATAGTTGCAACACCTTTCGTAGTGATGCGTTAAAAGTCTCAGAGGAACAATTGTGTTTTCAGTTAGAGCGGGAACATCCACAGTCAATTTTCTTAACAGGGATGTCATCATCGGAGGTCGTAATTGACTAGTGAAAGTTACAAGGAAATCGGAGACTATTTCTCTCTGTATCTTTGTTAGGCTTCTTGCTTTTGATAGCTTGTAAACAGTTGATAAAAGAGAATCTAACAATGCTGATGCGTGATCTGCATCTTTGAAGAAATCAGTGTTATTGTTCAAGAGAGGAAGGACAGAGTTACATAGATATCGATTCAATGACAAAGCCATATCACTTTCAGCTGCTCCAACTAGATCATCCAAAGTAGTTGCAGCTCGTAAGTCAGGAAGAAATCCGTCTTCTAATAAACGAAAGAAGGTTGTCTGATCATCTATCCCGTATACTCTTTCAAGGAATTGAACAATAGACGTTTTGTGAATTGGAAGCAGTCCAGGCGGGGTGTCACTTACAGGACCTTCACACTCATTTCCATCTTTGTCAGTAGTTTTGGGCACAGGTAGTATAAAGCGCAATCCTAAAACTCCTTCTAAATCTTCCATTGATAGAAGAGATCTTAATATAGCTCTAGCCCTCACCGAATCGCTTCGACCGGATTTTATGGTTTCTTCACCAGGTGCACAACGGCTAAGGAGATCGACTAAAGATGAATAAAACGTCAAAATAGCTGAGCCAATATCAATATAATCTTCATCATCTTCTGGAGGGAGTGTTGAGAAGTTATAGTTGCTGTGGGATTGACACACACATATATATATATATATATATATATATATATATATTATTTACAAATATGCTGTATATTAATTATTCAAAAAAGACAAATTTAGCTGATTAAACCTTTGTAGAAGAAAATCCCCTCTATCGTCGTCTTCTTGTTCCGTAACAGCCTTGAGAAACTTATAAGCCTCTACATCTCTGGAAGCAACAATTTGTTCTGATAAAAGTATTCCATCCTTCATTGCTTTTAGTAGACCTCCACCCTCTCCACGTAGAGCTGGACCAAGGCACTCAGGTCGTCTGATTAATAGTCTTACAACCAAATTTGCGTTCTCTTCAACACTTTCCCCTAAGGATATTAGATTTCTATTGAAATATCTTATTGAGATAGTAAATAATATGTTTACCATTAACCCAAACACAAAACTTGAAAAAATCCAAGAATCTTTCGCCTTCGACAGGGTCCCATCCAATATCGGGGTATCCTTTAGCCAGCAACTCTTGATTGGATTGTTGACCACACCTCGATAAGTATACAGCAACCTTTTCCAAATGACTTTCTCGAAGCGCTAATGCTAGTTCGTTATTATCCATGACGGCTGAACAAGCAACGTCCAGTGGGCAGGAACCTCTCAAAGAGGGACGAGCTGTACAAATGTGAAACACAATTAAGATAAAGTGTATGTCGATTGAAAAATTTGAAAATTGAAACTTACACAAGAGCATACAGCTGTTCTCTAACAGATAGGCTAAGTGTTCGAACATGGCTCTTTGATTGTGCCGAGAAGTTCGGCAAAAATAGCAAAGGAACCGACAACAGGAGACGACCATGTCAGCGGCCGTGTCCTTACTTGAAGGAGTTGTACGTGAAGAACCACCTTGTCCCTCATTTACAGAAGATATCGACGATCTTCTCGGTGAATGACCCTCAGCGGCAGTTTGCTGTTGGGTCTTATTTAGAGTATTTATCATTAATTGCATCACTGTTTCGTGGACAGCTAAAGCCCTCATTAGATCGGGATGTTGAAAAAAGACTTTATTGTCAGCCAGTTGCCTTTGAAAGTAAACACTTAAGAACTAAAGCTACTTTTACAGACATAAATACTACCAAGTGCTGGCCTTAAGAATCTCTTCTTCATCCGCCCCTACTTGAACCATTAATAAAGCCCTTACGTTTCCCAATGCTTTTAGTAGCAGACTGATATCTTCTTTATTCATTTGACTAATAACGTATGATTTGCTAAACGCCCTAACCAACTAGAAAAATGATATTGAACAAATTATAAAGATAATAGAAGCAAAAAGTAATAAGATACCTCTCCAACCCCATCATATTGACGGTGTAATAGCGAAAACATTTCCCTAATTAACTGTTGATCTGTTATAAACTCTGATTTAGCCCATTCAATTACGCTATTGATTATCAAGTTTTGGATTGTGTCTGAAAAAAGATGTGTATAAATACTAATATATGTATGTATATTCTCAATATCAATGATAAGGGAACAAACAGGAAACAAGATGATAACCACTTACCAGGTTTATCGCTATCTCCATCTAATTGGTCATCATCACCAATACCAATTACGAATTGCACAAGCTTATCTCCCCAATTTGGTTTGCTATCTTCATCAATTACTTCAACAACTTCTTCTTCTTTAACTTTATGACCAGCATGCCTAAATAAGGTATCCTTAAAAACTCTCAGCTTCTCTTTAATATCTTCATTACACGGACACTCTAATTGGCCAGTTTCAGGATCATAGGGAAATTTAAAGTTTAAGAACGCTTGCATTTGTTCTTGAGGTGGACAACGAAACTCTCTTGTCTTTCTAGCAGCAATTGCCGAAGGTAAATCGGCAAGTGTAATTTCTTTGTATCGTTTTGATTGATCCTAGAGAAGTGAAACAAAATAAAAAACTTATCAATTACCAACATCTTTCAATACTACTCTTGTAACTCTATACTTTTCGACCTTTCTCCGAGTTACACGGATTAGTACTCAATAAGTCTGGTATGTAGTTTGAACAAATTAAACAACAGTCGTATAATAATAGCAAATTTGTCCAGAAGATTAAAAGAATATGGAGTTTACGGAGAGATTTGAGTACATGTTTGAAAAAGAAGTTCAATGTGACGTCTATTTTAAAATATCTCAAAGTAATAATAATTCTAGAACCATTGGAGCGCATAAAGTCCTATTGACTGCTGCTAGTCCAGTTTTTGAGAAAATATTAATACATAAAGGAAGTAAGAATGATCCAATACTTGTGGAAAACGTTAGTAAACAGGGATTAATCTATTTTCTACGGTACATACTTTCGTTTTATCTCTATACAGTATAAATATAATTATCATCTACCTTTTTGCTTACAAACAGATATATCTATACAAACAATTTTAAGTTAGAATCATATTCAATAAGAATTATTGGAGAGATGGCCTATTTAGCTCAGAGATACTCATTAAATAAACTTAGCGTCATCTGCTGTAAAAGTTTGTCAGATATATTAAATTGCGAAAATGCATGTGAAATATTAAAGACATCAATATGGTTAGATAAGGAAAAGTTGAAAAGAGATTGTAAGAATCTTATAGCAGAAAATACAGATTTTTGCTTTAAAACGAAATCGTTCTTGGAGTCTGATAGGAGAACAATTAAGGAAATTCTCTCTTTAGACAGTATGACAATAAGAGAAGTTGAAGTGTTTAAACACATAATGAAATGGGCAAGAAATAAAATACTACAGCGTAACAATGACAAAACCCTAAGAGATATCGTTGGAGATGGTATTCATTTAATCAGATTCCCCACTATGACAAACAGTGAATTTGCTAAGCACGTTATTCCCTACGAAGTACTTGTTGAATGTGAACAATTGGATATATTTAGAGCTATTGGAGATGATCAATTTCACGCTATTGGATTTATCCACGAACCAAGAAGACTTATTGAAAAGTGAACATAATAAACAATTATTAAAATAGACATAAACAATTTAAAAATAAATATCTATATCTATTATCACACTTAGCAATTTAAAAATATCTACGATAAAGATATTTATGAATAATGAAGCTAAATATAAATACCTCCTGGCATAAATTCACAAATCCATTAGCGAAGAAAACGACTGCTTCAACTCTATGTCGCAATTGGATATCACATAAATGATGAAGAATCTGTGTTAATGCCAGCTTAACTGGTTCAGATAACTTAATTTGTAATAATCCACGTTTTTTGTTTGTATCTATTATAGAGAAAATAAGGATTATATTTATGCATGTTAATTTACTTAAATGTATTCATAGAAACAAGTTTTACCTTTATCGTATGTTGGATCAAAGCTTGTAGGGTCGATTAAGCAGAGCAGTTGATTAAATTCTGCATCATTTAATAAACCCATCACCAAGAGGTTATCGACAACCAATAAAAGAGGGCTAAAAATATTGTCAATATCTGTATAATTGTTTATTCAATAGAGTCTGCATTTGCACTTACACAAACATATCTGCATTAGAACCCCCTACAGGGTCTCTTATATGATCAGCCCCATTTGCAACAGCATCAGTTAAGAGAGTCATCACCTCTAGCTTTAATTGATTAAGAGGGAAATATGGGCTGGTGTGGATATCTGTCTTGTCCTTTTGAGCTCTTAGCTCTTCCAAATTAATTTTCGGTCTCACACTCACACTCATTTCGATAGATGGAATCGTTGAACGAATTACCGAAGTAGGATCGTGTCTGTTAATCTCCTTGTACAACTCAACAGGTTGATCATACGGAAGAGGAACAATATATTCGTTTTGTGTCAATAACCTATTAAATAAACATACAGAAAGTGAATGAAATGGGTGTCAAACAAAACACATGTATAATTTATAAATACCGATCTTTAGCATGGGCTGCTAAATGAAGAGCAATAAGAAGCTTATGAAATCCCATTCTCATTTGACCAGACATATCTTTAGCAAAACAAAAGAGAGTTATTATAATTTCTATTAGAAAGTTCACATAGCGTTACTGACATTTGCTTTTAATACAATACATAAGCTGTTGTTCATCCACGTGCTTCGTTAATACATGGGCCATTTTATGATTACCATGTGAACAAACAGAACAATATAATTGAAGAGTTTTTGCGTGGAAACTATTGTTAAAAATAATCATTACTATTCAATTAATTTACTATTTCAAAGAAAATAATTTACGTTAAAAGATCTGGGTGTTCTATAAGCTCTAGTATGTTTAACGATCTATTCTCTTCCGGAATATGAATAACCATAACTGCCAACGATTCTTCGCAGAGCATACTCCAACCTCTAACCTCAGATAATTTTAACGTATGTACTTTCATTCCAGCATTGGGTACACGTGACCAATGGAAAGGTTGTAATATTTGAACATCGAGTCTTCGAGGACACTGTGGTATTACGTGTTTTCCTCCTCTAAACATGATTGCCGACAAAGGTAGGGCATTCTTTTTAGAAACAAAATATTTATTAATAATGGTCTTTAATATTAGTTTTTTTTGGGAGCAAACCTTTGTTCGACCTAACTCAAATTGAAACACTTCTTTGTTTGTCGGTCCACAGAATACAGCAGGAAATAATATGGCACCTGGCTCTACGTAATAAATATCGGGTAATTCTTGCCCATTTACAGTAAAGGTTAATATTCCAGTTGAAACGTCAATATGACAACCAATTAAAAGACCGGGACTTGTTCGTTTACCCGAATCATCATGTTCTTTCTGCCGACTTTCAGCATCCGCCGCGTTAACCATATAACAATTCTTCTGAATATCGCTGTTTATCAATTGGACATTTATTTAAATCGGACAAATGAACACTTTTTCAAGAAAATAAAAATTACTTACGCCGATTTTATCCTATAATCTAGGGTTTGGGTACAAATAGCAACGCTTCTAACATGTTTTGATAGATCAAAATCACTTGAATAATTGTGAAAACCAGGTGTTGTCCAACCAACCCATATTTGGTTTGTATCTTGACCAGGGAACACTCGTACGCCGAAATAATATTCATCTATAACTTGCAAATTAGCCTCCAAGTGCATAACTTCGGTATCCAGCCCTTCGGATCCGTAGCTTAATTCCGATCCAGCTTTCTTCATTGATTTACCTAAACCAAATTCAGGTGGTACTCTTGGAGGCATAATAGATATTTCTGGTCCCATAGGACCATCACTCTCCAATGATTCTTCATCCGAATAGTCGGGGGTATGGTATTTTTGTATAGGTAACTTCTTTCCTGTTTTATTACTACCAGAGACCTGTTCATTTGATTTACCTTTTTTAAATAATGAAAATCCTGATTTCGATTTCTTTTGCTTATCGCTTAATTTATTTGAAAGTGAAAATTTCGATCCTCCAGAAGGTATTGATAACAATCCAGAATTGAGATTCATTTCGCTAGCTGAACCTTTACCGTACATAGGGTTTTCCCTTCTTCCGTCGTTATCTTCTAAAGACTTAGTTTTATTTCCTTTACTTCTAAACAATGACCTCTTCTCTTTAGTTGTAACAGAAGGTTCGTCTGCAAATGATAAATAATATAAATTTCGCGATATTTATTAATTATCATCAAGATAAAATTTTACCTTCAGTAAGTCGTATTTGCGGCTTTTCCCTGCAATAAACAGTAGTTAATGACATGTGATCTTAATTGAAAAAAAGTGATAAAAACCTTTGAGATATTAGGACATTATTGCATCGAACTGGCATAGATAATCTCAAGAATTCTAAGCATGTCCTTTCCAGTGTTCCATATGTTTTTGAATTAACCTAAGATAAAGTAGAAGAGGAGAAATTGTAGGTAAAATATCATAAGAAACTAGAGCTTTGTTTAAAACATGTTTATATACTTTAAGTGCTGGTGGCGAAGAACTACCACCGGTTATCTTTGTAACTTCCAATCTGGGATGATTTTGTGGAATAGGATTAAACAATGCTTGTTCGCGACCATACCATAGAGTCATTATTTTTGTCATATTTCTACGAAAAAACGAAAAGCAAACAATAAGAATATTTGTTATCTGCTTTATACAGAACATATGTTTTAGCTTCCTGGCACTTAAGATATAAAACTTACACGCAAAATGGCTCGAATCCTTCTTGTAAACCACAACACGTAAAATATTTCAAGGAAGAAACATTCTATAAAAAGATTCAATGATTCTTGGAAAATGGCGATTTGATATTTAAATGTTTATTGCTACCTGTCCAAAATTGTATTTTACTATTTGACCAGGCCCCAAGGTGATTGCTGGAACGAATCCCTCACTAACGTCAATACCTTTAAAGGCAATTTCTTGACCCATTCTATCCATCATTAATTCACCGTTCAGTGAGAAGCCTATTAATTAGAATGTTTTAGTTATTTAATATGATAAACAAGCTTAGATAAACTTACTAATGGCTTGATCAGTTAGATCCAACATACATCCAATAACATCGCCAACTTTCCACTGTTTTCCATAAACCTCCGATCCCATATGCCATTTAAGACCAGAATATCCATCAAAAGCATAAGAGGATCCATCTAAACCAAGCTCTATTCCTGGGCTACACGAGACTTTGGCAAAACCGACTTTAATGAATCCGGCAGTTAATACCTCAATCTCATAATACCTTTATTGGTAATATTTAGCAATCAATTGTGCACATTACTAAAGAAAAAAAAGTACATACCACTTTCCAGATTCGACAACATAAGTCTTTTGAGATCTATAGGTCAACGTATTCGATTTCTTTTCATGTATATCTTTCGTCGTTGCTATTTTTAGAATAATTAATAACTATTAATTAATATTAAAAATGAGGTTAATTATTGTGTTAACCATTTTCGGAAACTTCACTTGATTGACATTCTAAAGTGTAACCATAGGCGATAAGGGTTTTTACAGCTTCGCTGGCAGTTTCCCTGAAGGTAATACAAATTTTTTGGAGGAATTCTAAAAATGTTATATAGTTGCTATAAATTTTAATACTTGTTCGCTTTCTTTATTATATCATCCACTTTATTGTAAGGAACCAGATGTGGGGTTCGTTTATTGTATGAATCTTCTGTTAGACCGTACGTCCAACCTTGGCGAATTCGTTCCTTAGCCCAAACATTATGGGTATTTTCAGCTAATAGATTTACTAAGTCGCCTAATCTATCACTCAAAGTTATACTGCTCAGATCCAGTGGCGATGGTTTAAAACCATTTGCTTGGAGATAATTATTACCTAATTTAAGGTATTTTAAACGACTTCCTCTATTGCTTGTATACTGTGGATCGTAACTCATATGATATCCAAGTGATAGGATGGTTTTCAAAGTTTCGTGAGCTAATGAGATATTATAAGCTAATTCATTATCAGGCAACTTTTCAAAGCTAGTCAAATATGGATGAAATTTATCATAATCATCCCTCTCGTCGCCCCATGCCCATCCTTGTTCGATTTTTCCCATAGCCCATAATTCGTGAATATTTTCGGCCAGCTTATCTCTTACACTATCTACGTAGGCGGGGCATTGTATATGATCAGTAGATACAGGTTGGGGGACAAAGGCAACAACTTCTCCCATTTCCGCGTAACCTCTGAGAATGCCTTTATTGGGATCACCCATGCTAAAACAAGGTTGAATGGTAACTACTTGCTTTGAAAGCAAAGATTCGTATAGAGGTGAATGATCTTCAGGTGGACCGTATCTTAATTTACCCTGATCTCCGCCCAACATAAATCGGACAGAGACCTTTGCTGATAAACTGATTACAGGAAAAAGCATACCATCTGTGTTAAAGTCGGAAAAGAAACCCGGAACTAACAACCCATTAATGGTAAATGATATTTGAGGTATAGTCAAATCTAGAAAAACTCCAATAACGTCTCCTCTTGTCAAAGGCTGTGACATCCTAACTGGTGTTGGTTTACCTGCTGTCCAAAGGCAACTTCCATCAAATCCATAAGAGAAAAGGTCATCGCCAACACCATTACATCCCCAGCCCTCTCCCGCTCCGGGAAATGGCATGTAGCCAGCAGTTGAAGCCCATCCAACTCTTATGTGAGGTGGGCTTTGTGTCACAGCTTCAAGATGATCGATTACAGCTTCATAGTACCATTTACTATAGACGGCTGAACCTTCTACTTTACCAACGAAAACGTTAGGATGCATGGACTGAACATTATGTCTTATTCTCGTTTGAAGGAGAACGTCTCGCGAGGGCAACAGATTGTCACATATTAAGTTTTGATTTGAGCGAACAGCTACATCGTTACCAACGCATAACGAGCATAGAATGTCAAGAACTTTGGGATCTCTTCCGTGTTTATCAATTAAAGAAATTATAGTTGCAATGTGTTGTTCTTTTATGACGTTTAGTGCTTCGGGAGAATCAATAAGAACGCAATGAAGTACGTGAAGTACACCTGTTGAAGATTCCCCTCCTTCCAATCTATTTACTAACCAATCAAGTCGACTAGTGGCTGCAAATTGAGAACAATTCTCCCTATTCCCTCTAATCATCGCCGCAAGTAAAAGATAAAGGTATGAAATCATCTGATTCCATCTGGAAGCTGATTCATCTCCGATTAGATGTTCTAATTGTCTAGTATTTTTCCATTGACTACATCTGTCAATAGTCTCCAGAATCAAGGCTATCATTCCTTCTTCTTGAAAGAGGTCCTGCCTATTCCTTAGAGCCTTTAATCTTTTTTGTTTTTCTTCGAATTCTTTGAGATGATAAACGATATTTAATTGAATCAAGAGCTATTTATTTTACCTATATCGTCTGGTAGCGGAGCAAAGTAATCGATCAAATCCTCTAGAGTCTTAATAACTTCATCAAGACGAATATTCTCCCAGAGTTTACTTCCTCTCCCTTCAGTTCGCAGGGATTCGAGAGCCCTATTAAAATAACATTTAAAAATAATACAATAACATAAAAATGCTGCGATTAGAGAACTAACTTTACAAATCTGAGTATAAGTGAGCTACACTTTCTAATTACTCTAGCAGATTTACTTTCTTCTTCTTGCGATCTAGAAAAGGTCAAACCGTCGTCCATGTGGCCCTCAACCATCATAACAGCCTACGAAACATTTAGCATCAAGATTTAGAAACTGAAAAATTCGATCTCTAATTTTCTAACCAACCTTCTTTTCTTCAACTCTGCCAACTCCTTTCTTCTTTGTTTCAAATGTTTGATAAGATAACCATAATCCAGTTTTCATATGTTGCACATAAACTAAGGAATCGCCATATTTTATATCAGGAGTGCCCATTCCTTGGTCGTCCCTCTGCTCAACTAGCTTTCGGTCGTCCTACGATGAACCATGTTAGTTAATCAAGATATATAGTATAAGAAAGTAGGTTTAAGTGTTACTTTTGACTGTCGTAGTAGAAATGCAGAATCATCGCAAAAAGCGGAATTCCTGTGAACAGTTACAACTTGATTATCTTCAGTTACGCACAAATATCTTCCAGAAGTAATATGACGTAATCTACATCCAACCCCCCAACCCATAAAACTTTCCGCCCATTTGGTTCTGATATGCTCCAACTTCCAGAGAGATCGAGCGTGCGAATGAACGGCTCCCGTTTCGTACATAACCATGAAACTGCAAAAATAAAAGAAAATGGATCCTTTTGTTTCTTGTTCGAAAATGTAATCAAACAATTCAAAGTAACAGGACAAAAGTAATTTCCAGAAAAAGACATCATGCTAAGATGAAATTGAAAACTCCTTCTCGTTCCTCAATCTTTTTTTAAGACAATTAACTATTAAGACACTTATCTTAAGGAAAAACTAGAAAATTGTGAAAGAAAATCCGAAGATTGAGGATAAGAAAACTGTGTTTTAAAATAAATAGACATGCACCTGTGCGAAAAAGTAATCACAAGGCGTTATAAAGATGATTCCTCATGCAAAATTTCTTTTGGAGAAACTATCCGAAGTAAGGTTATTATTACACACCTGCACGCATTATCCTTTGCTTTGCTATATATCAAAACAGTTTTCATGAGTACTTTTTTTTAAATTGAAAAAGAAAAGATATGAAACTTTTTTGTTATAAATATCCTCATTAGCAAGCTAAATATTAACAAGCGTCAAGCAGAGAGACATTGAACAAGAAATTGAAAAAAAGAGCTGAAAAAGAGGGAGAGAGACAGAGGGAAAAAAATCTCATGTTTTACTTACTTGTCAACATTTTCCATATCTCTTTGGGGTATTGTGAGACACTCGTCGCCGTGTAATAATCGCAGAACATCTCCACCAAAAACATATCCAACTGATTTTAATCTAGCAACGCCAGAGCTTAGAGGGTGAACAGTCCATAAAGTTTGTTGAAACGAAGCCATAACTGTCTCTCCAGCTCCAATATGTAAATAGCGTTCGGAAGCCACACTAACTAATATTAAATCATCCCCAACTCTTACTTTTTCACCTTCAGATCTTTGTTTAGATGCTGGATGTATAGTCCACCAAGATGATTCTCCTATTATTATTTTTTTATGTAAAAAAATATAAATAAAAATATAGGAAAACCCTTCTTGAAATAAAGATAATAAAAGAAAATATATTAAATGTTCTACCTTCAGCCTCGTCCATTAGGCCTACATCGAAAGCTAGTTTATCAGTGCTAGAACTTTGTGTGGATAAGCATGAAAGATACTGCAAAGTTATAATAAAAAATGTAAAAAGAATAAATATAATATTTGAATAGGCAGGTATATTGCCTAAATTGTTTGTCGATTTAGACATTTATAAGGTATTATTAGGATGCAATATTTTAAAGAGAAACTAGAGCGCCGTACTAAGTTTAGATATGTTTATACAGCCTACTAGCGTCTGCAGCATCAATCTTAGTACGTTACCCCTGTATATATTTGACTCACCATATTACTATGACTGTGCCTAAGTTGTACAGCGTGTCCGTATAATAATGTTCTATGACCCGATTGACCCGTCTGTTAATTAAATATGATCTTGATGAGTAAATCATGCTAATTTATGAACTGTTAATTTTATTACATTTCCTTTCGAACTGGATTGAACCATCTCTTGTAAGGCTCTTACGGATAAAGCTTGTTCCAATACAAATACACATATTGATACGTCAGTTGGTAAATCCTAAAATGACGCAAAAGTTTTGTAGATTTACTGATATTTAGTAACCTTAAATACCTTTATTGTAGCTGGTTGAAGGAAACACATCCTATTACCGAAACCCTCAGCTGCTAAACATGACTTTTCGCCTGTATCTCTTCCAGCCGAACAAGTCAAGCTAATCATATCCTCCTGTTAGTTTTAAAAGTACAAAAAATGAATCTCTTGTTAAAGACATAGCGAAAAAAATCCTTTGACCGAGTCAACATGTGAACTTTTAGTAAAAGTTTTCTTTCTGTCTACCATAATCTAAAAGGTAAAAACAAACCGTTCGGAGGAACGATTCCTCTTGCCCCTTGCTATCTCCACCCTCGTCAGACATTGTAAAGACTTCCGTTTATATCATGAGTGTCAAAACTTAACTGTTCTATCCGATATTAAAGAAAAAAAGAAAAAAGAAAACAGGGAGAATTGTACTCAGCTACCCGCGCATCCACAGATTGTGGTTAAAAATAGAGTGGTAGGGGGCGCTTCTCTTTCATAAAAGTTATTTGAAACAAATTAAAGAAATATAAATATATTTTGTAAAAAGTATCAACATCCAGCGAAATCTCATTGTGAATACGTTAAATTTCAAGTTTATTTAAACGCGAAACTAACACGCTTGACATTGCCACAAACTTGATAGTTGCAGACATCTACTTCCGTTCCGGGTGACTTATATTCTTTTCCACAGAAAAGAATTCTAAAATACCATTTGATCAGAAAATTAATCATACTTGTACTTATTATAAATATCACGGCTTAAAGACGTGTTGTAATCACTAACTTCCAAATAAGGATTCCAATTAAAACAAAATTTTACTCCTTATAAACAATAGCGGTTAGTGTTGTTTCTATTGATTAATTAATTTGAGCAATTTATATATTCGATTTAGAATAACCTGAACAATAATTACAACGGCAAATGAAAACAATAAAAGTGCATATTTATTTATATATAGATGTCTGAGGCACCATCCAAATCCCAGCGAGAGAAGTGTTGGTCAGCAAGAGATCAGTATTACAATTGTCTAGAAGAGAATAATAATGAAAAGGACAAATGTCTTCAACCCCGGAAAATTTTCGAAGATAACTGCGCGAAACAATGGGTTAGCAATCGAAATATTTCAATATAATAGCTTTTTAACCAGAGTAAAATAGAGCATATTTCTAGAATAAAACACATTTGCCTATTATATCCCCTTTAATATATATCAATATTATTTATGATACGTTAAACATACAAACTCTATTTACATTTTTTGGTATAATTGAGACAGGTATCAATATACTGTCTTATAATTTCTACATAAAATCTAAATATATGATCAACATATAAATATCCACGTGAAGTTAGCCTATTTATATCCATTTATTGTATGTTAATATTGATTAATCAATTGTGAAACACTGCATTTTATTTACCTTTGGCAGGTGAAATATTTCGATCGACGCCGCGACTATCTCAAGTATAAAGAGACAATCGAACGCGAAAGTGCGGAACAACTGAATGATAAACGTTGACATCTACAAAAGACATCGTCCCACTGTTTTTTTCTAAAGATTTTAATTGAATGTTTGCAAATGTAAAAATAAAAGAATTAAGCATCTGTGATGGAGCGAAAAGAGCATGTGAATAATCTATTTACTATTAGTTTTTGATCAGCTGAGTTGCGTTTGGGTTTTTGTCGCCGTGGAACGTTTCGTTATGGATCTAGATATTAGGAAGCAGAAAAATCTTAACACAATTAGTGCTAAGGTGAAACAAACTCCGATAAGAGGAAGCCACAATACTAACATATTTTCGACGACATCAAAAACTTTCATGAGAGAGTAGTTAGGTCCCTGAGGCTTGTATTCAGCACTTTCGAAGCCAGCCCTTACCAAATTAATGCCAGCAACTATAATCAAAGTTGCAGCTGATAGTGTTCCGGCAGCATTACCCTGACTTGACCCATAGGGTTGCCAGTGGACATGATGCATCAGAATTGCAAAGCAAACTGCTAACATAATTAATATTCTGTACAATACGTTTGTAATAAATGTGTAAGAGATGATGAGCAGTAAACGCCTTCCTGTTAGTAACCCAGCCCAACAAACTCTTCCCGGTTTGGCAACTTGGTCAATAGTTTCAACAAAAGGCCTCTGAAGGAAGTGAAGTACAGCGTAGGCTTCCCTACTAAGGGGCCTCTTTAATTTCTTAATTCGTCTTTTTGATAGCTTTACATAAATCCAATATAGTAAGAAAGGTCCAGGTAATAAGGAGGCAAAAAAGAAATTTGTCAAGCTTATACTTCCAGCAGCTAGTAGAGAAGGGCCAAACATAAGCACAAGACTGAAAGGTACTAAGCATGTTGCTGCGTAGAGCATAGCAAAGTATTGCCAGGGGTGATAACAATCTCGTACACCGTCCAAAAACAATACACTGTCACCTCCTATTTTCACACAATGTACTAGAGAGAAGATAGTTGTTGCAAGTTTCTGATAAGTAATAAGCAAGAGTAAAATAAATCCTGTTGATAAGCGTGTTGAAAAATAAGCACTTCTTTTGTCCCTTCGACAGCAATCCTGTTTTTTTACCTGCCTGCTGCATATTTTATTTATTATAAAGAGGACTAGAAAAGTTAAAAGTATGACAGGTACATCGAACACTTTGATAAGAGCTTTCTGTACCGGTTTTAGGTCTTTTATAAGGCACATGTGTTCTAATACAACCTCGAGAAAATGAAATAGATTGTCTAGTCGAAAGCGGAAGATTCCTTGCAAGAGGCTTTTTAATTGCTTCTCTAAGGCCGTGTCGGTTTTAGTGTAAGCTGTATGTATATGAAGAAGCCAAGCATCTTGGAAATAATAAAATAATATAACTAAAAAACCTCTCCCTTGGTCTGACGAATCATATTCAAGCTCATTCCCGTTATCGCTATCCATTCTTTCTCTCGAATCTTTAATGGAGGAGGAATCCAATCGATTTAAGGACTCTAATTGACAATCTTCGACACGACTGCTCTCGTCATATTTATACTGCGTGTTACTTGTAACCAAATTATTGCGAGAACGTGATCTTATCATTTCCGTACAGCAGGTGTGTCTCGAAGGGAAAGCCGGCGTTTTGAATAGGAACTGCCTTAAGTCACCCTGGTAGATAAGGAAGACGGAAAAAATAAAGATGTAAACAATCTTGATAACTGCTGTTAGGATCCATGGCCACCATTTAGAGCAGTTTTCGTTCTTAACGCAAGTCGTTGAGAAGAAAGCTTCAGAATAACCTGGAGCACATTGTCCACATAGTCTGCCTTGACGATTTTTGCTGCAAGGCTGTATACCTTGGCATGGTGGTATAGAGCAACAATAGTTAGGGGGGCAAGGCAAGAAGGCAATCCTATTCCCATAGTAATAACCCCAATAATTCGGTATTGCTCTTATTTCGGAAGCACAGTCACCTCCGTAAGGACAAGAATAGCATGGTTCAATGTCTGTTAGATTAAATAAAGTAAGTCCAGTTCCATTTGGATATTCTGAATCAACTCGCAAATTATAGTAAGGCGCAATGTCATCTGTCCCATTTTTAGATGCATTATAAATAAGTGCTCCTCTTGACATACTGTATCTATTATCACCGCATATCTTACAAGTATAAATAAGTTGATCCAGTTTATGAGATGTCATTAAGCCTTCCTGCTTAATTTTACTTGATGTTGCGTTGACAATTAATAATTTATGTCCTATGGGACAAGTGAAATTTAGACTTCTCACATCAATGGACCAATATTCGCCTGTCAAATGAAGAATATCAATATGCTGTTGCGCAGTCAGCACCAGAAATTTTGTGTCCGATATGAAAACTCTGCCGTTGGAATAGATTAAGTCACCTTGCGTTGGATGAAGATCTACTGGAGAATTGCGGAATTGACAGAAACTTATTATTATTTTGCCTCTTCGATCTAAATATATCGTCCCTCCTAATCTTGTCGATGTATTATTGAAAAATGAACAATTTTCCAGTTTAATTGTACCTTTATGTATTCTAAGAGCCCCTCCCTTTCCTGCTAAAATTAAAGATCCTTTATGCTGGGAGGAATTAAGTTGAACTCGATCATTAACGACCTTTATTGTGTCTTCTAGTCCTCTCATTTCTCTAAAATCATGAAATCCTGCACTATTATTTTTGAAGATGCAGTTTCTTAGAAGTAGCCTATTTTGTAAGCTGTTTAACGCCACCCTTATTGCGCCACCTGCCTGCCAAACTTTATTGGAAATGAAGACGCAATCAGAAACAATAACTAATCCAAAATTATATTGCAAAGATAGAGCTCTTTCGTTTCTGATAAATGTACAATTTTCAATCACTGGAACAGTTGCATTTCCCATCACTGACCGTTCCACACCGTGAATCGCGTATAACTCGCAAGAGGCATCATATACGTTAACGGCGCTTAAAATTGGATTTCGATGTTTTAGATCACGAAATATACAGTTTTTGATACTGATTATAGTATTAAAAACTGTTGTCTTGATACTTATCCCACCAAGATTAGTCTCCTCGTAAGTTTCACGCTTAGTAAATAAAGAATTCGTAATTGATAAATTTCCTCGATCAAACACCTCGAATTCCAAACGTATGTTATAAAAATATGAGGAATCAATGAAAATATAGGAGAAATTTGCCGCCAAAGCGTTCACGTTAACATTGTCACAAGGATTATTGATACATTCATTCCGAAAAGGTAACTCCGTTCTTACATCTACCATTGTAAGAGAGAGATTCATTGTGTTATTTTGTGACATCAACGATGTATTATATAATCTGACACTCCTCATATCTAAACTAGCGTTTCCTAGGAATATATGACCGTCATGTAAACTAACATTGCGGAATCTAAAAGTAGAATTATTTTCCACGTAGAACAACGCCTTGGGTAAAGCAGAGAGGCATTTTATGGTGGGCCTACCTCGCCAGCCTTCGATTGTTATTGTTCGCCCAAACGTTCGATATTTGTCTCCTTCTATTGAACAATGCTGATAAACTCCGGAATTAGAGCCATCCAAATAAATATATAAAGAAGGAGCAGGACTGTCCAAAGTGTAATCAATTGTTCTACAAGGAATCTCTTTACTTCCGCAAGGTTCTCTATCTTGGCCATTCTCCGATACATAAACTTTCGTGTGGCAGCTTGCAGCTGTAATAGATATAAACCGTGTAGTTTAGACGGCTTGTTGCGGTAAAAATTAATGTTACAACATGTCTGGAGCGTCACAATTTTAAGTTCTATTCGGAAAAAATTACAGAAAACTACATTTAAATTCATTCTCTCCCCTCTCTTCTTGTTTATCTTTCTTGTTTCTTTCATTCTTTCTTCCTATCTCCTTTTGCGCCTAATTTTGTAAAATATAAATCAAACTAAAGGAAATATAGGCAAATAAGATGATTAGAGAGAAATTTATTTAAATGATTTTAAAGGGAAAAAAGAGAGCCTTTAGCTAGCAACCGAGGAATAAAATGAATCTTGATTATATTGTGGTGTATATAATAAATGTAGCTATTGATCAACTCTCTCTCCGTAATTAAACAGTACAAAACATAGTTAGCCAGTAGTAGATGAGCATCATTATTCTCCATGGAACAAATACGCATTTTTTGTGTTGTATACAGCAAAGTAACCGCATTTCTGCATAACTTAATTTATCATAGAAATTATATTATTATTATTTTATCTATAATGTAAGAAAAAAGCAACGGCAACATTATCTATAAAAGAGAAATTATGTGAAAGTCCAGAATCAAAAACAGTAGTAAACTCCCGTAAAATGGATAATTTTAGGTTGTTTTTTATGGCGGGTTTACTAGGGTTGTTTGTGAAAACCGATCTCAATTATCTAACCGTGTAAACTGTTACTCTATACAACTTTGAAGAGGAATATGACAAAGTTGTCTAGAAAATATAAATGCATCTTTACTTCACCCGCGAAAAGATGATATACATATTAATCTCTTTTATAATATAAAGTTTACCTTTTGATAGAGGAAGGCAACGATTAGAATTAATTAAACCGATAACGTTACAAGAGCCTTAAATTACAAAATATACATTCATTTTTCATAACAAATTTTACTTTTAGCACGAAGAATAATAGAGGATTATTGTTTTTGTTCTATTTTTTTCTTTATAAAGAAAAATACGAAAGTAAACTATTCAAAAAATTGAACTATATAGTATAATCTTGTCATATTATAGTAGATCATTCGAGAATAATTAGATTTCTACTTCACTTTTAATCTCGCATCATATTTTATAAAAAATGGAAATTTTATAAGCAAAAGAAAAAAAAACAACACAACTAATTTAAAAAACATCTTATTTCTTAATTAAATTTCATATTTTATGAAATAAACAATTTAGCAGACGTACAAAGACTATATTATGCAATTTGAACAAGTTTTTGATTTTATTACCTGCTACAGTAAGTAATAATATCTGCAATATTTCCATCCCGACGTCGTCGCTTGTTTTACGTCTCAGGTAACTTGCCAGCGCCACTTTCCACCTTTTTCCTGGTTGGCTAGCATTATAGTCACGTGCTTATCACTGTCATTTCTTTTTAGCAATATATATCACAACAAAAAAATAGGAGAAGGTAAAATGTTTAAATTGCATTCATTAAAATATTTCTGGGTAATATATAAATACATAATAGGTAACCATATGTCATATTCATCGGGTTATTTACAATTCTTTATAAGTGTAATCTTTATTGCTAAATTTACTGAGGCTCTGTACATTCTAATGGTGTTACTGGAGACTCAGTATTTTCTTTAGACTCTTTAGGTATATTTAATTCTTGTTTTGAGGCAAGAGATGATAATGCTTCAGTAAACATGTTAAGAGAATTTGATTCTTCTTCTTCTAATTTTGCTTTTTGAATATCCAAAATGTCATGGTGTACTAAGCTTTTTACTTCTTCGCCACTTACTGGCCTTTGCGGGTTAATTCTGCGCTGCAAAGAGGCGATTTTACCATCGCCGAAATTGTCAGAAAATGACTCTTCCTGCTCTTCGTCATAATTATTTGATTCAATAGTCTCCTTCATACACATTTCCTTCTTACCAGCCAAACTTTCAATCATATCTTTGGCGGAGGGCTTTTTTCTTTTATCTTGTAATTTCTTAAGTTTGTGCTCTACAATAAAAATAGCTGTATTATCGCTCATATTGAATACCTTCTTTACCTAACGAAGCTATGTATTCCTCTGAAGTGAGATCCTTTCGAAAGTTAGGCATAATGAATGCTTTTGGAGCGTTTTTCTCCGATTGTGATGCCCATGGGTCTGTCATATTCATCGGGCTGGCTTTAAATTCGCTCCAGCAATCGTCCATGTTTAATGAAATGCGCGGGAAAGAATTATATTTCAACGGTTCGCTTTATTACAAAATATACATGTGCTACATATATACATAAGAAAAACAAGCTCATACATTAAAAGTACATTGAGCAAATCCGACTAAAAGCCGTCTACTGCGTTTTATGTAAAAGAACTCAAGTAAAAACCGCTCCCTACTCGTCATCGTGAGTGTGCCAAGTTAATCTTTGCTCGTAGAACTTGATAACAATTTGAGGACAACGAACATTCGCCTCCTTCGCTGGTACTAAATCGGCTTCATCTGTATCTTTCCATTTCATAAGAAACATAAGCTCCCCAGAGGTGTCCGTTGCTCCTATAATACTGTCAGGCTCGTGGCCTCGATCAAAACCTCTGAGTTGGCCTTTATCTTCGTCATCAATAGTTTTTTTCTTCTTCCTCACATCGATGCTATCACTTTTCCTTTTACGCTCTTCCTTTCTTTTTTTTTCAAACTCTGCAATGAGTTCAGGACATCCTAAATTCTCCTCCGGCTCCCACGTATTCTCATCACTGAAACATTTAACATTGAAAAAAAAATCATTTCTTAGCAAGAAATATATACTAACTCTCCATAACCCTTCCATTTGAGAAAATATTCCTTTTTCCCATTTCTAACCCTTACGTTGACAACCTTTTCTACTATATATTCGGGTTCCTCTTCGGATGCTGGCACTTTAGAATCCGATTCCGACATGATTATACAACTAAATCTCAACTTAATGAGTTGTAAATAGAGTTGTTTACAGCTATAAAAGGAAACAGAAAAATTGGCGCCCAGAACTCCTATATGATGCAAAATATGGCGCTGTTTGAAACTTCCGGTTCAGAACCAATTTCACAATATTAAAAGAGCAGTTCGCGGGGAAATATTAGATATTTTTTCGGTATTCTAAAATTCTCTTTAAATGCCATATATATGTATATTTGATTGATAAAAAATTTTATTTTCTAATCTGATAATAGCTCCGCACCAACGACTTTCGCAGCCATATTAAGGTCAAGCAGACGCGAATTTCAGATTTTCGAAAAAGAACATACAATTTTGAAAATGTCGGCTATTCTTCGCCAATCAGTTAGACGAATGGAACCTTTAGTAAAAAGTAGCTTTGTACAAAAAGCAACAGTCATCTCCGGACCCCCACGAGTTCGTGTTTCGTTCGCGGTATGTTGACATTGAAATGTACAAGCTGAACATGTTGATTCATATTTATATAAATTATATATTTTAGGAAAAAGCAACATTGGGAACCGTGATGATTATTGGTGTAGTTGCACCAATGGGCTACGTATTGGCAAATTTGAAAGGTTATAGGGAAAGACCAGAAGCTGAATAAAATAAAGGATAAACTGTAACATTTATATAAAAAAAGAAATTTGACGTTGGAAATACTTCAATTAAAAGCTGGTAAACTATAATACAGAACATGAAGTTTAATCAGTATTTTGAGTTTTTTTAAAGACAATAATATATGCCCAAGTCTCTCCAAGCTTCAATGAATCCTCACTTATTTTTGTTAGGGTACATCCATTCACCTCCTTAGAAGTTATCGACTTTCTTAATTCAGGACTTAATAAAATGGCAGCTAACTTTTCTTGTTTTAATATTCTATTGAAAATGGATACAACATATTATTCTATAGAAGAGAGATAACGGATATAGGACCCAATCTTACTTTAATATTGTCTGTAGGATACGAGGAAGTAGCTCTTTTGCTTCGTCTACGCTTAGATGTTTTTGTCCAAAAGGTATATCGCAAACCACTCCATCAACACTATCATCAGCCAGCGATAAATCTGTAAAATATCTCTTTTTCTAAACAAACAGGTTCTTTGTAAAGTTATTTCGGTCTTACCTTTAATATCGATTCTCTGAAATTTTAAGTCATCAAATTCACCAGCATTTTCGACTGCCTTTGCAATTGAATCCTCGTTTATATCGTAACCAGAACATTTTGTATTCTAAAAAAAATCGAACTAGTACAATATTTCAAAGTAACATTGTTACTATTGTTACCGCAATATAATTCTTCATTTCGCATAAGATGGTTCCATATCCACACATTGGATCGATGATTACATCTTCGGGCTATAATATGAATTTGTAATTTATTAGACAATATTTCGTATTAGTAAATAATTACCTACTTTCGGCTCAATTAATTTGCATAATATGTGAGCGACAGTAGATCGTAAGCCTATGTGCTTTATGTAAGGTCGATTTGACAATGGTGTTCTAAATATTAAGATAAAATTAATAATAACAATAATAATAATAAAATCATGAATAATAATAGTAATCCTACTTTGTCAAAGGGAAGCCTATTGTTATATCAGTAGGACTCACATTAACGTAGACCTGTGAAAGAAAAGTAAAATGTCAACAACCAAATTTAATCAAGTAATAATGTAAAATAACCTCTACATCAGGCTTTTTCAAATTAACTTTAAGATTTGTCGCTTGTCTTATAGACTTGGAAAGGATTATTTCCAGTTTCTGAAATAAATTACACTACTCGTCAACAGCTATTATTCCATTAGATGAGAAAAACTATTACTTTTTGTAGATGCTTGGATTCTTTTGACGTTTTTGTTGATAATCTAAAATTATTTATTTCTTTTCCTTCATCTTGAAATTTTTTCCATATTTCAATGCCGTTTATTAAACGAATCTTCAGTTGATTAGCCTTCACAATTTGCATCAAATCTGTTTACTCCAAATGTAATTGAGTTTAAATATACATAAAATAATTGTTTAATACCTTTTCGACTGCTACATTTCTGATGGCATAGAATGACAAATAATCTTTCAATTGTCTTTAATGATAAAAGACTATCATCAAGTAATGTCTCGAAAAAAATTTTACCTGTTGTATTTTCCTTCTGAAAGCGGCACGAATTTAATGATCCAATTACATACGTGAAGAAAATAAGGTTTAATTAAAGAAAATAAGTTCCAATTTTACACCATTGCATGAATTAGGAAAAACAATACTACCAGAAGAAGATTTGTTGACAATTGCTCAGTTAATTCTTGAGAAACAAACTTATTCATCCCTTTTCCGAAAGTACACATAAAGCTTTCCATTTTGAATTAGATAATCCTTCCTTATTGATTTGGAAGTTATTTTCTTTATTAATTCTATTTTGAAATAGCTCAGAAATTATCGCGTCCCTACTGCAGCGAAAGATAAAAGGCTACACAGCATTTAATTCATGTTTGGCATCACATAGGAACAATAAAAGCTATCGCTACTATATGGGCTTATGAAGCGGCAATATTTGTATTGTTCAGAAGTTTATAAAATGTTTGTAATAGTCTTTCGAATGAATATAATAATTAAAATCTATTTAATTTATCATATTCGAATATTATCGGGGCGCCACCTAATACAAGAGGTGTTTGATCATGTTGGTAATATTTTTTCTTCCGAAACTTTTAATGCGCATGCGTTGCCACGTTGTCGGCCATATTGTTGCAGACGGTCGTCAACCGATATTTAGAAATTGCTTTTCTACTCTTTTATCATAATTAATGGGTGGTTCTCAGAGTTCACCTGTTCCTGGTGGAGGAACAGAAGGTTATCATGTTCTCCGTGTGAGTAGACTGTTTGTCTTCTTGTAATAATATTGAAAGTGATTCAAATTTGATTGGGTTCTTTTATTTTCGCTAGGTCCAAGAAGGATCTCCTGGTCATAAAGCCGGTCTAGAGGCCTTTTTCGACTTTATCGTAGCTATCGGAAATCACCGATTAGTAAGCATATCCTAATTTTTCCTTTTTAAGATGATCGATAAAATTACAATCTATTCCAGAATCAAGATAATGATTCACTACGGGAGCTATTGAAAAATAATGTTGACAAACCGGTTAAATTACTAGTTTATAATAGCAAAATACGGAGTTGTCGAGAATTAGATTTAATACCTTCTCATAGTTGGGGTGGTCAAGGTTTACTCGGCGTAAGCATAAGGTGAGGCCTTCATATATTCGGCAGCTGACTGTTAAAAAAAAACATAAAAACAATTGCAAAAGATATAGATCTTTCAGTTGAACTGAACATCATCATACAATAGAGTCATAATGATCAACAAACTATCGTTGTCCGATAATTAGAATTTAAAAAAAAAACTCTAATTCTTTGGAATACGTTAATTTTATTTGTATTTTCTATAGGTTCTGTTCATTTGAGGGAGCAAATGAAAATGTTTGGCATATTTTAGAAGTTCAACCAAATTCTCCAGCAAGTGCTGCAGGACTAAAGTCATTTACGGATTACATTATTGGTGCAGATACCATACTCCACGAGTCAGAAGACCTGTTTACTCTGATTGAAAATCATGAGGGTAAACCCTTGAAACTTTATGTTTATAATACTGAAAGCGATTGCTGTCGAGAAATTACTATAACACCAAATGGAGCTTGGGGTGGAGAAGGGTGTTTAGGCTGTGGAATTGGCTACGGTTATTTGCATAGAATCCCAAAAAGTGAGGATAGCAAGCCAAATATTTTACCAAGTGGAATTGAAAGTTCAATGCCCCCACCACCCGTCTTAAAAGATGGTTTTGCAAATGTTCCATTAGACTTGGCAACTGAAACAAAAGCCTCTGAAATTGTGAATACTATCATTGCTACTACTAATTCAACTGCTTTATCTCCAACTACTATGAGTAAGTTGAACAATAATTAGTTTATTTTACAAATCTTTACTGTTTTTTTTTTATTCTGTTGACTTGCATTTTTTTTTCCCCCCATTATTTAAACTTAATATTTTAACTGAAAACTATGTAAATCATCCCAGCAGTTACTCGCTATATTTAAATTTTCTCTATTTTTAAATCCTTTTGTGTAAAATCCATAGAAAAGTAAACATTTCTTCCACATGTAATTTTATTTATTGATTAACTTTGAATAGAACTTCTTTAATATTAATTTCATAAATAATCTTTTATATGGAGACATTTTAATGTTGTGGTTTTAATTAATTTTAAAAAATTTATTCTATTTTATTTAAATTGATTGTATATTCATTTAATATAGCTACAGTAAGTTCGAGCTTACCGCCTCCATTGGCTCCAACAATTCCAACTGTTATGCCAGACTTATCGGATTCATTAAGAACGAATCAACCGAATGTCACTAGTTCTCCAGCGACTCTACCTGATTTTAGTCAAGTAGTACCATCACCTCTTCCTGTTGGTGTTCCAGGTAAGATATTCTTAGGCTTTAGGATCCTGGAATTATTATTTTTGCTTTATAAAAATTCCCAGGTGTATCTCCGACGACTAATTTTCCCACAGCAGTTACAATACCATCTACCTTAGCTCCTGGTGCTGGTACTCTTTCATTGCCAGCAGGTTCGTCCTAAGCTATTAGGCTTGCTTAGCTAATACTTCGCTATCTATTGGTTAATTTGATATATTAATATATACAAAAAATCTTTTTTCATTCAACCAGGAATGCCGCCAATAGAACCAGTAGATGTCGCATCGCTTGCGGCTCAGGTATCAAACACTCAGATATCTCCATTAAACGAACCGAAGACAGCACTAAATGAAATTAGTTCTACTCCTGTTAAAGCAGAAGGAAGTTAAATAACTGAGAATTTTGCTAAATACTATACAAATTTAGTGTCTGTATATCTTCACGTTAGAAAATGATAAATAAAAATCTATTCTTTTGGTTGGTTGTATTTTTATTCTTATAAATGGAATTTGTTACTGCTTTATTTATATAAAAAAAAACCCGTTTAAAAATGATGTATTGAAATGGCTTCTTGAACACTATAAAAAATAAACAACATTCATTGGAGACTACGACAAAAAATGTTTTAGCCATGAGCCTGATCGTCTTCTAGGAAATCTTCAGCTTTTTCACGGGTAACACATTCAACATGTGATACTTTATTCCTGAATAGCACACCATAGAATTTATCAGCATGTTCCAATAATTCAGATCGAAAGGTAGTCGTAATAAATTGAGCTTCAGAACACAGCTCCGCAATCATATCAGCTACCGCTTTACGATGTTGACTATCCAAAGCCTGATCGATTTCATCGAAAAGGTAAAAGGGCGCAGGATCACACTTCTGAATTGCAAAAATCAATGTCAGGGCTACCAATGACTTTTGTCCACCAGATAATTGCTGCATATCTTTCATCTCGGCTGTTTTCCCACTAAATGACACCCGAATTGCTACACCTTTAAATTGTTCAACCAAGTGTCCTCCTCCCGACGCTGAAACAGGGGTATCATCCTCTTCGGCACCCACTGCATCAGTCTCCTTTTTGATAACCAATTCAGCATGACCCTGAGGCACGAGTTTTTTAAATATTTCCGTAAAGTATTTAGAAACTTGTTTGAACGTGAGTTGTATGGCTTCATATTTTCTCTGATCTAAGTGATACATTAGCTCCTTAATCGACGTTTTATCAGTTAACATTTCCTGACGTCTGTTCATAAGTGTTTCTTTTTGTTCAGAAAACGACATATACTGGTCCAAAGCTTTTTTGTTTACGTGACTATACTTCTTTAATTCCTTGTTTACATTTTCCAAACGCTTGTATAAATCTTTCGTTGGCAAAACCTCTCCTTCGAAAGCTTCCTGAGGTAATGAACCCAATTCTTGAATTTTTTTCATACACTCCTCTTTTTTCTTTACTAAGTTACTCTGTTTATTTGCGATTTTTTCTAATTCCTTTGTTTCAGAGTTGATCATATCCTGCTGGTTACGCTCATGTTCTTTACATTCTTCTAATTCGCATGCTTTCTCCTTTTGATCCTTGTTAATAATCTCAATTTGATTATCTAATTCTTTTAGTCTACCAGTGTGATCGTTCAATCGTGAGTTAATAGTATCGAATTCCTGTTGAAGCATTTCAAGCTTTTTCTCCTGGTCTTCACTATACTTATCCTCAAGATCTTGCTGAAGTTTTTCTTTCTTCTTTAGTAGATTATTATTCAAAAGGTTGTCCAGTTTGTTCAAGTCTCTTTCCAATTGAACACGTTCTTTTAAACTTACACGATTCTCATTTGTCAAACGATCAATTTGATCGTTTAATTTGTCAACCTCTTTCTGGTCTTCAGCGCTTAATTGCGCTGTCATATCAGAACCCAATTCCTCCTGATAAGACTCTTCCTGAGCTCGCATTGTATTCAGTTGAGTCTCTAAGCTTTTTAAAGAACGTTCCTTCGGCGTTTTCGAAGATTCAATACGTTGTAATTCTTGCTTCTTTAATCGTTGATCAGTTTTCATCTTTTCAAACATAGCTCGATTATTACTGTTTTTAGTTTCAGCTCGTTGCATCTCCATAATAGCTTGATTGAGCTTAGAGTCAACATCATTCAGTCGAGCACGATGATTTTCCAATTCACGAAGCTTTAATTGCAATTTTTCACCAGTCTCTTGCTTCGTTTTGTGAAGGTCCAAGCGACTTCGTCTGGCATCATTATAGCCACCAGCTAATACTCCCCGTCTTAGAGCTTGATCACCGTCCATTGTAATACAATCTACATTATGTTCCTGTGCAACCTTTGAAGCTACCTCTAAATTCTTGCAAATCATTGTCTTGCCGAAAACATTGACCATAACGCCACGAAAACTAGGGTCAAATTGCAGCTGATCAATCATTCGGATTGCATAATCCTTGTCCACTGGAGGATCGACCATTTTACCACGAACTCGGTTCATTGGAAGAAACGTTGCTTCACCGGGCAATCCCATTCGATTCATTTCTCTAAGTAATTCAGTGCCTGTTCTATCCGAATCAACTATATGATAAAAAAGTTTACTGCCAGCTGTTCCTTCTACAGCACAATAGAACTGTCGGCTAACTTCAAAATTTTCAATCAACGTTCCTCTATAACCCTCAATTAATTCAGGGCTCCGTTTTCTGTCTTTTAAACTTTGTAGAACTTTGTTAATGCTATCAATGCCATTCAGAATTGCTTTACCAATGATTGATCTAAGATTCTGTTCTCTTTTACTTAATTCGTCTCGAAGGGAGACAATTTCTTGATTTAAAGTGTTTTCAACTCGCCATAATTGATTTCTTTCATTTTGTAAATTATCCTTCAATTTTTTCTCTTCAAATACTTCCCTCTGGTCATTATCAATATCCTTTTTATGCTCTTCAATTTTTGATTCAATACTTTGCATTTCATTGACTAATTCTTTGTGTTTGTGCTCGTCCTTTTGCAGATCATCCTTTAATCGTCTAATTTGTTCCTCCTTACTTTGTATAGCACGTCGTAGATCTTTTAATTCTTTTGTCAACCACTTGTCTCTCTCTTCCTTAGAGCTAAATTGATTGTTTCTTCCCTGTTTAGCGTATAATTCTTTTCTTCTTTGTTCTGCTCTAGCTAACTGACTGGTCAATCGCTCTTCAGTATCTCGTTTTTTCTTGTATTTTGGTTGAATCTCTGCCAACTGCTCCCTTGTTTTGGCTATTTTTTCATCCAATTTCTTTAATTCATTTTCAATTCTATTTTGAGTTCCAGTTTCGCCCTCTAATTCTTCTTGTAAGTCCTTAACTGTTAATTCCAAATTAGCTTTCTTTTTCGTTAATTCAGCAACTTCTGATGAAAGGGAATCTTTTTCATCAACCAGGGACTGTAAGCGCATTTTTAGTTCACGTTGCTGTTTAGCTACTGCTTTAACTCTTTCACTATACTTTTGAAGTTCTTCCCTAACGTCAGCACTGCCAACGCTACTCTGATCTTTTTGTTTTTGTAATTTTTCGAGTTTTTTCTTGACATCAGCTAATTCATTATTATGAATCTGATATTCGTACTTTCTACGCTCTCTATCCAACTCTTGATATTTTTTTAACTCCTCTTTTTCAGTCTCAAGTGCAGAGAGCCGCTCATTGATATATTTTAACAAATCTTCGATTTTTTCTAAACGACTTTCCGTGTCATTAAGAATATTCATCGACTCTTCCTTTCGTTCATCATAAACTCTTGTTCCGGCAACTTCACGTAATAATTTTAATCGCTGTGAATCTGGTGCTGTGGCCATCTGATTAATTTTTCCCTGTTTAACAATATAGTAAGGGTTACTTCTAGAAAATCCAGCACTTTCCAAGAGATTCATCACATCCGTTTTTCTAATAGTTTGTAGGACAATTAATGTGGCTTGCATAAAAAATAACTTATGCTAATTTACTTACGTAACCATTTTCTTATCTAAGAAGTATTGATCTTTTTTCGATCCTATTACTCTTCTTAGTACTACAGAATCGCCCTCTAACTACAATTGAAGAATTGGATAAGAATTAATAAACAACACAATATCGTAAAACAAACAGGTAATCTTCTATCCGTATTATCAAAAACTACTTCTACAAATGCCGAAACCACTCTTGGCCCAATGCCTTCGTGAAGAAGAGCATTTCTCTGTTCTTCACGTAAATGACTATATTCATCAGATAAAACGAATTGGATTGCTATTAAAAAAATATTTTTATTTAAGAAATCAAGTTTCTATCCCGTTAAATAATTTTGCTCACCATGGAAGAAATTACTCTTTCCAGACCCATTCCTTCCAACTGTTAACAATTTGTAAAATTATACTAAACATATACAAATTCAATTGTACTTACCGATCACATTGTGTCGGGGGCTAAAAGGTTCTACAACAATCTGTTCACGATAGCTTCTAAAACCTTGAATGATAACCTGAAAAATAATTGATTCTAAAATTCAGTTTCTTAAAATGGAACGTTTTGCAAAAGAGCAGATAAAACGTAAGAAAGAGCTTTTTCTTGACGCATCAAAGGCAATCAGATTTATTCAAATTTACCTGCTTGATGTACATGATTGATTTTTGGATTTTATCAAAGAATACATAAGAAAACAGCGTCTAACAACATAATAGAATATAGGAATAATGGCGCCGAAGCGGCTTGTCAAACGAGACAACTTCCTGTTGTTAAACTGGTTCGTGTTCAGATATAGGAAATAGCTTGTTATAAAAAGTCTTCGAAGTCTTTACCATGGAAGCGAAATAACACTTCAAATTTTCCTAATTGTCTATTATTGAAAAAGAGTTTTATGTACCAACTTGATCTTAGTAGAATTACTGTATTAAATTTTCAGATTAATATATCTTCATTATACGCCATGAAAGTTTCTCAACAACAAAAATATTTATTTTCTTTTAAAAAAGTACTCAATTTATTACAATTCGAATGAACTTCTGCTATAAAATTATTAACTTATAAGTGAAATGTTAGATAAAGAATATTTATCAATAGTTGGATTTGATTGACAGTCTCAAAAGGATGTCTAAAACATTCACACGATTACTCTCTAAATTAAGAAAGTACTTTTAAATGGTCAAAAGATCTCTTTACTGTTGTTTTATCTGTTATTTTTATTTTTAAAGATGATTGGTTGATTGATATCTTCAGTTTTTTAAACCGGATGTGCTCTCAGTGCCATCTACCGCCATATACCAAGGTAGCTCTCTTTATAGTATTCAATTTATGTTGTCTTCACAGTACCATAGGGTCAAAACGTGCGACGACGTTGTAAGTATAAAGCTATTTTAAACACTTTCTATCATATTCCGAAACGACAGAATTAAAAATTGAGGGCAATGTCTTATAATTTCGAACAAATTCTCCAATGAAACTCGAGAAGGTGAAATCTACAAGTTAACTCTTTTTGCGCTGTACATTCTATTGACTCTTTTCTAAATTTTTGCATGTTTCAGTTTATTTAAAGATCGATTTTCAATATATGTCTGCATAATATTAGATGCTGTTGTTTAAGGTCATCTCTAAAGATGTACGATAATTAATTTCTCTGAGAATGCTATAATTGTTACTGTTAATTTTAGATCTTATATAAAATATTGTTCACTGACGACTTGTTTAGTTAACCTTAAAAAACACAGCAACTTCTTCTTACTCCAATTGTTCCGTTGTTATAAGATCTTATAAACGAGGTCTATTATATAACTATTTTCCATTTTGTTTCTTAGATGCTATGTTTAAAGATAGTCAGTAAAAAATTTGCTATAGTTTACTTTTCTGAAAAACATTGTTCATAGATGTTAATTTACGAACTTCTCTCAAATTTTATTGTTAAACACCTTGTTTAGTTAACCTTAAAAAGTCTTCAGAGTTCGATTGTTTCTTAACGCGTTGACATTTGAAAACAGGGCTATTATATAAATATTCTTTGTCTTTTTCTTTAAATCTCTTAATTATCCTTCTTATTTGTTTATGAAATTATGTAATTTACTTGGAAACGCTAAACCTTCAACTTGTTAATGAATATGAATTTCGATTTTTTTTGGAAATTGTAATGTTCTATAGCGGAAAATCGCTCCACATCTGGTTTTCTTTCGTATAGGAATTTTATCGATCATATCTCAAAACCAAACAATGTTATGCAAAGTTTTTTCTTGTCCTATTACTATGTTAAATATAATTTTATGTGTCAGTGAAGCTTTAGTACTATCGTTATCAGGTTTTTCAAGGACAATTTGTGATTAAAATCTTTTTTTTGTAGCAAAATATGGATGCTAAAATACTGAAAAAAAAATGCTCAAGATCAACTGATTCATGGAATCTCGAAGTGTCTACTATTGCAAAGAACACCTTCAATCCCATAAGAGCACTAGTAGACCAAATGAAACTTACTCCTAATCCCGAGAAATCTATGATCGCTTTGTCAATTGGCGATCCTACTGTTTTTGGTAATTTAAAACCGGCAGATAATGTTGTTCAAGCAATTGTAGATTCTGTAAAATCGGAAAAATGGAACGGTTATCTACCTTCGATAGGCGCCGAATCAGCTAGAGATGCCGTTGCCCAATATGCGAGGAGAGAGAATGCACCTTTAACAGCTAAGGACGTGATCCTTACCTCTGGTGCATCGGGAGCATTAGATATCTGCATAACAGCCTTGGCTAATCCAGGCGATAATATACTTGTTCCAAAACCAGGCTTTTCTTTGTATAAAACCCTCGCAGATTCTCTAGGTATTCAGGTTCGTCACTATAATTTACTTCCCGATAAAGGTTGGGAAGTAGATACCAATCATTTAATAAGTCTTTTAGACGAAAGAACGGCAGCAATTGTATTGTGTAATCCATCGAATCCTTGCGGTTCGGTCTATTCTAAGAAACACTTAGAAACAGTTTTGGGAGTTTGTGAGGAGTTTAAGTTGCCCGTTATTGCGGATGAAATTTATGCCGATTTTACTTTTCCGGATCAAACGTTTCATTCCATGGCAAGCGTGAACCAGAATATTCCGATATTATCTTGTGGTGGTCTAACTAAACGCTGGCTTATACCGGGTAAGTTCAAATTGTTCTCATTACTCCTATCTTGTCCAGAAATTTGAAGGTCACCTAGTTAAGAACCACATGACAACGGTGGCTGTTTTATAAAAACATTATACTACTCTTCATTTTCGCGGTGATTAACCTTTATTGATCGGGTTAGGTAAGGTAACTAGAACTGGGAATTATTTACTAGCTCATAGGATTAATGTTCTTACACTTCAACTTACAATCACTGTAACTAATATACTAAGTTTTTAAACTATTTATTTTTAACAGAAAATGATAATATCCCTCATTTGTTATTGAAAATATAATTGTAGCAGATGTTTAACTGTATTTCTAATCTTGTTTTAATTTAATTATAGTAACAACAATAGATATATGTAGTCTACTAAGTGAAAATTTTAATAAAATAATATAGATGTAATCTGCAATCTCTTGGAAAGTTGGAATGAATAGGGAAAATACTGGTTAATTTTATAAATAAAAATGCTTAAATAATTGCTTTTAATAAACAGGCTGGAGAATGGGATGGATTTGTATTAACGATACCCAAAACAAATTTCCCGAATTACGAAAAGGGCTTGTGGCCCTATCTCAGAGGATCTTAGGACCTAATTCTGTTACACAAGGCGCTTTAGAGTGTATTCTAATGAATACTCCTCAAGAGTTTTATGATTCAACTTGTCAAACTGTTGCCAGACATGCAAAGATCTTATACGACATCTTCTTGGAATGTCCCGGCCTAAAGCCTGTTATGCCACAGGGAGCCATGTACATGATGGTTAGAATCAATTGTTTTTTTATTTAGTTTTTTTTCACTGTTTACAATAAAACAATACTATTTTTATTTCTATTTTAGGTTGGAATCAACCTATCATCTTTCCCAGACTATAAAAATGAAGTTGAATTTACCGAAAATTTAGTAACAGAACAGTCTGTGTTCTGTTTACCTGCTTCCTGTTTTCAGTATCCAGGATATTTCAGAGTTGTTCTAACGGTCCCTGAAAATAAACTTCTAGAAGCAGGGAATAGAATTCGTCAATTCTGCTATGATCACTTTTCAAAAGAAAGGAATGGCAAATCATCGTAGATTTGGAATGAAAATAAGTTTTTGTCCAGTTTAGTTAATTTTTCATTGTTTGTTTTCTTTGCGTACTTTTATATAAAATAGTACGATTAGGATTTGATTGTTATGGTACAACATGCTTTAAAGCACATTGTGTCCTCCCTTCTGAAACGAAATTAATATTTGCTTGAAATCTAAAATAAAACAGTTTTAATTACAATTATGTACATTTACTTTAAATGCTCTGCAATATGGTGTTTTAACTTACCCCATTGTTTTATAACTATGCAATGTTAAAAGATATAGCATAAACCTCTAAGTTTTGTTCAGATATATTCTCATTTCAATAAATTGTTTAGAGAGGTTACGCGAGTGTTTCTGTTATTTTTGCGACCTATTAAACTTTCATTTATTGTCTTTCAAAGTCAAATTTAGCAAGGACAATCACGCTTCTAAAATTAATGAAATTTTGGAATTGACAAAAAAAAGCTATCAACAATTGAATTTTTAAAAGAGAGTTCATAAGTGTTTAGATTGTGAAAGATACACAGAGTTATATCGAATTGATTAATCACTGTTATCTTATTTTGAAAAAATGTTATTCTTTTTTAGGACTGTCATTGCGTTTAGGACAAAGTGTTATGACATGAAGATGTTGCCGCCTGTTACTTTTAAAGTATCAATAACCAAGTAAATCAAAGAAAAACTGGTTTCTCATATTCTGTTCCAATTTTCAGTTGATGACCAGAAGCCTCTTTCCGGTTTGAAAAATAGCGCTTTATTAATAAAATATTCCTTTTAGATGCTACTTCCTATAATTTAAGTTATAAGAGTGCTTGGAAATTTATTTGTACCACATTACTCAAGATTTATTCGCAACGGTTGCTTTTACTTGAGAAAACCAGCAAAAATACTATTTATCGCTCTCTTTCTGTGCAGATTATGGCTCACTTTGATACAACTGTGACGGATAGTGTCGTTAAAACTGTAACAAAGGAATACAGAAGGCTGCTGAAAAGAGATAGTTCCAACCTTATGAATGACCCAGCTGCTGATAAATCGCTTGATTCTTCTTCTTCAAGCGTCAGACAAAGTTTAAATTTTGATGCTTCAATATTATCACAATCAGACTCCAGTAGTTACTTTGAAGGTTGGTTTTGCTCTGTAAGAGAAAAAATACTACCTCATTTGTTTATATTCAGATTCATTGCACAAGGAGCGATCTGTTCGTAAAGAACTAGTTAATGCTAAGGCTAAAATTGCTTCGCTAGAACACACAAACATTCAACTTGAAACTTCGAATAAGAAAGCTCGGGTAGAGTATGAACAACAGTCTACGGAAAAGACATTGTTACATGATGTAATTTGTAGAATAATTAGATATTTTTCAAAATTTACAAGTTTATTTCCTGTTAGAGCGATAAAGTAAAATTGAAAGAAATAGAGAGAAAGGTCCTTAGTCTTGAGAGGGAGCGTAACAAATTACGAGATAAAGTGAGTATCAACTTATAAAATTTACTTCTTTCATAAAAAATGATATTGTAGATTGCTGAGACGGAGGAACAAGCGGAGTTAAATTATTTAAATCTGGAGTCAAGGTTAAGAAAAAAAGAAACAAAATGTCTGGAATTAGAAAAAGAAAAATCCACTTTACTATCAGTACATATATTAAATGTTAGAAATTAAACGAAATAGCTAATTTTTTCTATTAATTTCTAGAAAATAAACAATTTGGAAGAGAAACTAGTAGTTCTAGCAAAAGATAATCAGAGTCTTGAATCGAAACTGAATGTATCTGAAAATAATAACGATACTAATAAGATATTACTTGAAGATGCTTTGGAGTATGAAAAGGCCAACAAAAAACTTAGAGAGCAAATACTCGAAATGCAATCGAAACTAGCTGATTCTGAAAAACGACTGTATGATCAACAAAAACTGATTGTCGATTATGAAGATGATGCAGCTATAGTTAGAATGAACAAGAAAAAGTTGGACAGTATTCCTCGCCTTGAAAGAGAAGCTCGGAAATATAAAGAAGAACTGGAAAAGGCCACGTAAATATAATATACTTAATTCTTTCAATAGAAACGACAGAGAATTTAATTATGTTGTTATTTCAGTTCTTTTTCGGAGAATATTAACCTATTAAGAGAACAACTAAACTCTGAACAGATTAAATCAAAGCGACTGGAAGAACGTTGTAAACAACTTGGAGTTATCGAAGTTGAGTTTGAAAACTTGAAGAAACAAATGCATTATGGCGGTAGCCATAAGGTGATGGAACTTGAAAGACAGTTGCAGGCTGAGCGAACTGCTCACCAATTACTTTTAGCACAGAAAGGTGAACTATCTTCTAGCCTCTCTTCTCTCGAGGGAAAACTAGAACACGAGCGTAAAGAGTATTCCGAGATAAAAGACACCGTGATTAGGCAAGATAATGTAAATAAAGAATTAAACGATCGCTTGAAAAGGTTAAAAATCCGTTTGGAGATGGCTATTAAGGAGAGAGATGCTCAAGTTGCTTTGGTTGACTCTTTCAAAGCTCAATTAGACATAACAGTTTGTGATGGAGCAGAAGAGCTACCAGTTGAACGGCGATTGAAAGAAATGGAAAAATTATCAGCGGAATACAAAACTGCCCTAGAAAATATTCAAAGGCAATTAGATGAAAAATGTACCGAACTCTCAGAGCAAAAAACTGTTAGCCATAGATTAAACGCCAAGTTGAAAAGACTTAATAAGCAAATGAATAACACTTTATCATCTCCTGTTACTCCATCAGGCGATCGCCAAATGCTTGACCATCTAAGGAATCAACTACAAACTGTTCAAGGTGAGTTAGACAAATGTAAACGAGAAAAGCAGGCAGCCGCCAAAGAGCTAGGTCTACAAGCTGAAGGACTGGATTTAAGTGAAAGCAAAGTTATTCACTTAAAGGATAATCCTTTGTCGAAAAAGTGGGAAAATATTAATGCTGAATTGGCTCGTCTACATACAGAAAACCAGCGACTGTTTGAAAGGGTTCAATTACTAGAAGAAGGACACAGTTTCGCTGATATTACAGCTCGTGCTGAAGAAAATGCTAGTAGCGTAAAGGAGTTAACTGAGCAAATTATAGGAATGAAATCGACATTAAAATGCGAACATATCAAATATAAGCGTTTAGAAGAGCAGGCACAAAAGACAATAAAAGAGTTAAAAATGATTTATTTTGAGTTAACGGGATGGAAACTATATGAACCCGAGCGAAAGGTTTATAAGGTTGTAAATGACCTAGCTGTGTGCTCTGAACATTTCTTATATTTTAAGGTAACCAGTGTTATTTTTTCTAAGTTCAATGAAGTTTATTTCTATTATATTTTAATAGCGAACTGAAAAGGAAGAAGGGGGACATCTAATTCTCTTAAAGAATAGCTATAGCGAGATGGAATCTCTAAAGCAACATCGCCAAAAATATCTTGAAAATTATGGCAGTATTTCTGCCTTTCTCGCAGCAATAACACTAGATCTAAATACTATTCAACATAACGACAGTACTCTGATGACGAACGACTAGGGAAATCTAACGTGAAATTAAATATAACCTCAGAAATTATCTGAAGTTTTACTCTACCTTTTATATTGTTTACCCAACGCTAAAAACAAAATTAGTAATTATTTTTTGACTTTGGACACGTTAATCTTCATGAAAATGATTTTGTCGTTCTTAAAATGCACCATGTACCCGAGCGTTTTAATGAATAAGGGATATACAATGGTCATCGTAAATGAATAAATACTTCCCAGAGCATATTTTATTTTTGTGTGAAAGATCATTTTTTAAAACTATCATTTTTGTAATTAATATTATTGTCTAACTTTATAAAGCAGAAATATATGTCTCAGGAATCAGGAATTTTTTTGAAAACTTGCATTATTAGCTTATAATCGGACAGTTAATAAGGTCATGGAAATTTAAGTTTCTGGTGATGAAAACTTTCACTATGCAATTTCATAAGGATAAATATCATTAGGTTATTCTAAAAAAGGTAAAATAAATGTGTTGGAACGGGTTTCAAGTGTTGTTTCTTAATGTACTTGCTATTTTTTTTTAGATAATTATCTAATAATGATGGTTTAATAATTTTGTAACGTTCCAAACTCAATTGAGGAAAAGAGTTTACATGGAATTGTTTTATAATACTTTTGTTGATACATTATTAATTCATTTCATTAAAAATTCAAATTTCGATTATTATCTTAATTATTTCGTTTATTTAGATAAAGATGCTGTCTGCTATCATTTGAGCACGTGTAAAGAAATTTTTTTACGCGCATGTCCAAATCTATGTAGGTAGCAATACGTGCTTTCATTATTGGTCAAAATGCAAGTCTATACATGATTGGCTGGAAATTTTATAAAGAGAATCTTGATTGGACGAAGAAATCTCGATTACTCTCGTGCGAACTAGGAGCGACATTTTGGTTATTTCACATTTGGAATACAGCAGGCGTTTCCTGTGGAAGAAATAGGTAAGTCGACAGAAAGTCGGTTTTTTTGGTCATAGAAATAAAAATTAAATATTGCTGTATTCTGCTTATTGTGTAATCTAACCATAACATATCAAACTACAGTTTTATTGGACCATATACACGTCCACTAGAAGCTATCCATCTGGTGCGTTCGTTGACCGTGCGGACGATATTCTGCTTCAGCGCTAGCCATTAAAAGCGGCCTAAACGTGTTTTATGAATTTTCTTCACCAAAAAAGTAAGTTGAAAAAATGTGACGTTATTTAGGCGTGGTTTTTTTCAAATGATAATGATTTGCATAAGAAATTGCGCGACGCATACGTGGGCGAAGAGCTAATGATTTATTTTGCTTTCGTCTAGTAGAAATTTCGCTGTGCAACATACGAGCACGTAAACCGACGCTGAGAGGACGACCACCGACAAAATCGTATATGAATTCCTTTAGTCATCGACAACGAAGTTGTAGTGGCAGATATTTAAGTATTCTATTCTTGCGTCATAAATCTAACAAACGACAATGGCTCTCAACGTTAATCGCGAAGTCACCGACCAATATTACCGCTATAAAATGCCTAGACTCATAGCCAAGGTCGAAGGTAAAGGGAATGGAATCAAAACTGTTATCGTCAATATGGTTGATATCGCAAAAGCCCTAGGACGACCGCCAACTTGTAAGTATTTCGCTGGATTGATATCTTATCATTCAAGAGACACTAATCTTTTTTTACTTTTTAGATCCAACAAAGTTTTTTGGTTGTGAATTAGGCGCTCAAACACAGTTTGATCTTAAAAATGACCGTTACATCGTCAACGGATCACATGACGACGCTAAGCTACAAGATCTTTTGGATGTTTTTATCAAGAAATTCGTCCTCTGCACTGAATGTGACAACCCTGAAACTCACTTAGCTGTCAAACAAAGGAATGGTATAATTCAGCAACGCTGTAAAGCTTGTGGTCATCAAACACTGGTTGATATGCGCCATAAATTGACCACTTTTATCGTGAAAAATCCTCCTGAATCGATCGATGGGGCCAGTCCCAATAAAAAAGTTAGCAAAAGTAAAGCAAAAGATAACGATCAAAGCGTAAATGGAAATTCAGCAAATGAAGAAAATGGAGCTGACGATGATGATGACTGGGTAGATGATACAAGCGCAGATGCTGTCGCCAAAAGAATGAAAGAGCAGCTATCTATGGGTGCTCAAGGACTAACAAGTACCGCCGATCTTGATAAACCTGAACAAGACCGAATTAATATATTTTACAATTTTGTAAAAACTCGCAGAGATGATGGTCAACTAAACGAATGTAGTACTGCTGTTATAACAAGCGTATATGCCGAGGCTCAGAGATTGGAAATTCTAGATAAAGCTCCTCTCGTTTTAGTGGAGTTACTATTTGACGAAAACATTGCGAAGCAAATTCCAAAATATCGAGCTCTGCTTCTTCGCTTCACTCAAGAAAATACCAAAGCCCAACGTTACCTATTAGGCGGGCTTGAGCAACTGATTGGCAAAGTTCATAGAGAAACTCTTTTACCAAAAGTCCTTTCCATTTTTAAAACTGCTTATGACACTGATATTTTGGAAGAAGATACACTTCTTGAATGGGATCAGAAAATCAGTAAGAAATATGTTGACAAAGAAACATCCCAGCTTATTCATCAAAAAGCCAAACCTTTGATTGACTGGCTAAAATCCGCTTCAGAGGAGAGTGATGAAGACGAAGAAGATGTTCAAATAGCTTTTACCAACGAAAAGCCTCAAGTTGAGAAAAGGCCAGAGCCCATCAAAGTAAAGGATGGCGATAAAGAAATTGACATTGACGATATTTAATTGGGAAACTATTCATATAATTAATTAGCTTTGATTAACAATTATTATTTCAAGCTTTGGTGTTTTTTCCGTGCGTTAAGCTGTTAGTGCACATTGATATATTCTTGTAGCGAATATTTACTATGTTCTATGAAATTTCACTTTTGATTTAACTGCTTAGTGCTTTATCCCAATACACTTCACTTAAAATGTGGAAACAGTATAACGCTTGATTGCGAAAGTTTGAAAAATATTTCACAACACGATTACAAAGATGAATCACAATTATTAAATACTATAACGTGATAACAGCACATGGTGAAATATGCCAATTTTGAGGTCTGGTTTATCAAACACCGTTTCCCTTTAATTCCTCCATTTAACCACCATTTCGGTTTCGAAATTGCTTGACAATTACATCTATTTCTATTGATTTTGATTATCTAGTAATGTTGGGCGGAAGCAACTTCTTAAAGCCTTCGTTGCAAATTTATATATCTACAATGAATGAGAAAGTTTTAACAAAATCGTTATTTTTCAGTGATGCGTATTTTCATAGTAATAAAGCTTACGGGTATTCTGTTCTTTTGTCGTAAATTTCGTAAAATGACTTTGACTCTTAACGTCAATTACCAAGTCAATAGCCTACATTTATTATCAGGAATTGCCTTAGAACGTAGTCTTTTCTATAACAGCACCAAATGGAAGAAAATTATTATAGTGTTCAAATACTCTCACTCTTCGATACCTTCCGCAAAAATCTTTACCGTTTAAGAAATAACTGTTAGCTTATATCTTTATAAAGGGTTTTATAAAAGTTTACAAGATGGCCAAAGTAGATTCTAAATTGGAATGACATAGTGCTATCTAAAAGTAGAAAAAAAAAGTCGCTAAATGACGTCACAAAGTAGCTGCTCAGTCTAAAAAAAACCTAGCTACGCTGCGATATTATGAAATAGGAATAATATGTTCTTTCTCTAAACGTATATATCACCACTTCCGCATAAAATTATTTTCTCTATTTATAAATTAATATATTATTTATCATTGATTTGATTGCAGTGTGAGCCATATGTCCTCATAAAAATATAAGTTTGGTTAAAAATAGGAGCATGGTTCATAAACAAATTAATAATAAATTCATAAAAGAGACTGGAAATATTTGATAATTAATTATATTAAACAATAAATGGAATAGGTAGAAATTATAGTAAACTTCCCCAAATTTAATAAAGAAAAATTATATATAAAACGAAAAGCTGTGAAAATTTACAATTTGATTATTTGATTTGTTATATAAATGGAATTAAAACTGTTTTCTTCTATTTATTTAATAGATCTATGTTTAACAAATCAATCCGTACTTTTTATTTTGGAAACAATCTAAAATTGGATGGAACTGCTACCAAACTATTTGAAATTTTTTAGGAATAGCAACCATATCTTGCAGACAAATTCTATAAAATAGCAATAATAATTTCTTTGAAGAATACTTGAATATAATATAGTTTTCTGACAAATATTTTCTTAAAACATGGCGTCTATGCGTATCGCGACGAAGCATCAAAATAACATCGCGTGTATTGACTTTACTCTTGACAATAAGATAATCACGTGCGGCGATTCTGGAGAATTAGGCTTACTAGAAAAAGATGGAGAAGTACCAAAAGTATTTAAAATTTGTAAAACAGACTTAACAAGTGTCCGATGTTCGAAAAAGAACGATTGGAATCTATATGTTTCATCTGGTACCAAAATTTTTTCCATGGATTTAAGAAAATTGGACAATCCAATTGCAACAGCGGATTCAAATAACGATGAAATTAATCAAATAGTTCTTAATGATGACGAGAGTCTATTGGGAGCTTGTGATGATGCTGGCCACTGTCGCATATTTAAAACAGCCGAATTCTGCTGTTACAGAAACATCAAGGGCCATACAAACATTTGTGCTACTGTGGGATTTTTAGATGACGATATTTTGACTGCGGGGTATGATTTTATGATCAAACGTTGGAACTTTTCCCGAAGACCAAAAATGCTATTTTCTATAGATACAAGGCAATTAGAACCAAATGAAAGCCAGCAGTACGTGTTTAACCCACCTTTTATACATAGTCTGTGTATAGGTGATATAGTTGCGTTCGGTTTGGAAAGTTCTAGTATTTTATTGTGTAACAAAAAAGGGAAACACCTGCCTATTAAGGGTCTCCTGAAAAATGGACACACAGTTGGGGTCTCCAGTGTTCAAATAGTCAAAGAGAATTTAGTTTCTGCTGGCAATGATGGAAAAGTCATACAATGGAGTTTAAACGATATCGAAGAAGAAAAAGATAATATGGAATTATCTACCAAGAATATAGTCTTATATCAGGGAGAAAAATTAAATTGGATGGTTCCTGGCGTTTGGGATGGAAAATCGGTTATGGCTACGGTTGATCAAACAGATAAAGTTACAATTATACCACTTAGGCAATTTTAAATAATCCTCAAAGTTGGCTTCCGTTTGATACACTAAATCTTTTTTGACGCAACTTTGTTTTTCTATTTCATTTCTGTTATTCTTTTTATTTTTGTATTCTTTCGAATTGACCTCATCTTTAAATGTTTCTTCTTATAATTTCGGAACTAATCACTTGTATATTTGTTAGAAGAGCATCAAAAATAAAAGTATAGTTTATATTTCGACAATTGCAAAACAATCTTATTTTGGAATATATTTTTCTGTATTAGAAAAATAACTAAACAAAATATTTTTATCAGGAGAAACAAAACGGGAGTAAAGTTCTTGATCAACTTCATTATTCAGGTGGTGGGGGAGGAGTTGAATCTATACCAGCATCTGACAATTCTTTTGTTAAATCTCCATTCTTATGTAGATCAAGCATAATATCACATCCTCCCAAAAAGTCGCCATTAACATATACCTGAGGAATGGTAGGCCAGTCAGAATATTCTTTGATGCCTTTAAAATAAACAATATATTAAATTGAAAAGGAATAAAAGTAACTTATTTTAAAAGAATTTTATTCAATTACCTTGTCTTAACTCTTCATCTTCAAGAACGTTATAGGAATCGTACTTTTCGACACCGTGCATTTCTAAGATTCTTACGACAGCATTACTGAATCCACATCTTGGATTTTCTGGTGTTCCTTTCATAAAGACAACTAGTTTTTTGTCTTTTACCATAGAATCTATTCTTTCGGTTATTCCTGCTTGAGTTGAATAGAACAATTGGGGTTTAATTACTCGTCTGAGCGATTGCAAAACGCGTAAACTGTTCATCCTGGAACGGTAATATCTGTCTGCAAGGTCAAGGTAGGTCGTTACAGGATCGCACTTTTATTTGTTAAAAAAAACGAGAAACATAATACGGTCAACTGGTAGCAATAGTAATAGTAATGTGTTCAAAAGTTATTGTCTTAAGCTGATTTTGTAGAAGGGACACGATGAGGTTTCTTCAAGTCTTGAGGCTGTGGTAATCCTTGCACATAATCTTCAACTGTCCTCATCCTTTTTCTATGATAATGCTGCCACTGAAAATGACTCGATCGATTAAAAATAGATACAAGATTTTAAATTTGCAATTATAAAATATATAGATATAAATATTTAGATATCAATTCTAATAAATAAAATATTTATTGCTTAGATTGAATGCCTATGTTGTTTAAAAACATATTCAAACCTGTAATAGTTGCTGATCCTCAATAAACTTGGCGCATTGAGAATTTCCTAACTCCTTTCTAAAAGATTCATATTGCAGAAGTTCCAAAAAGTATAGGCATTGCGGATATCTTCAAAACACGCAATATACTAAAAGTGATCTACTTTTAAGTAGTATTTTAAATAAGACTCACAAAATAAATTTGGCATATTCTTTCTTTTTCCAATATTTTAGATAATTGAGATAGTTGATAAACGATGGATCCTTTAAATATCCCCTCTGGGCTAAAACTATATTAATAGAATTAAATTAAAATGAAATTATTGCATAGATTTAATATGACAAACGCTTTTTTTAACAATTCCTAAATCGTATATTTATAATTTTAGAGGGTTATACTTACAATTTAAATATATTGGATTGGCCAAGCATTGAACAAATTCTAATTCAACTTGAAATCGAATAATATCGTCTGAATCTGAATCAGTGAGCGATAATATAGGGAAAATAATTGAGATCAAATGTAGTTTCACTTTTACGCCAAATACTGATGTAGTAAAAACAAAACACCACCAAAAAAAGTAAGAATTGCTTACTGGTTGGATGGGCCGATCCATAAACAGAATCTTGGTAAAAGCTTCTTGGCATAGCCATTTTTACCTTAGTTTAGATAAAATAGCGACATCTGTAGGGCAGGTAGAAAAATAACACATGTTGAACATTCGATTAATCCGTACAGATTTGATTTGATTTATGTTCTTTTTATTTTAATAAATATGTTAAATTTGTAAAAAAAAAATATTATAAATTATCTGTGAGAAGATATTTTTGGTTGAGTGGGAAGTGTGTTTTTTTTTGGTATGAACTAAAAATTCACTAGTAAGAAACAATTTAAAACAATAGCCAGTTATTTATTATTTTAATAATGATTTCATGAATGCAAAATGTCACAATAAAAAAATGATTGCCCTCATTTAGCAATTTATCTCTATACTTGCAATTATAGTATATACAATCCAGAGTGTTTGAATATACAATACATGGTGTACTATATAGAGAACAGGAGAATTAAATATATATAGCTAGATTATATATGTAGTTTATCAACTTTATTCACTTTGGCAAGGTGAAAGTACTTTTTCTAAATTTTGCCTGTTTTCATAAGCGATGCGAATAGGCTTCTATTTGGATATATACTGTATATATGTTTTGATAGTATGCATACCAACATAGACGATTACATCTTTCTTATTTTTGCTAGATATCTAATAAAATATTAGGAATATGCTGAGAAGAATGGATGATAATAAAAATAAGAGATTCAATCAATCATAAATATCTCAAGATTTTACTTTTTCGAATATTAAACTTTAGTTCTTGACCACTTTACAGTCTAAACAAACTAAGTTCCGTTTTTTTCGTTTAACACAAGGCACACGCATGAAGTAGAAATATCGAGGAACAATAACATTTCACGTTAAACAGATCTAAGAGAGCATAGAATAGACATCAAATTATATATAAATTTTAAATGATATATACTGTGTAAAGTAAGAGCTTTCCATATCAATGCAAAAGTCAAAACAACATATGGAAATGAGTAAAAGCAACTTCTATAAGTTGTTTTTGCGTCATTGAAAGTTTCTAGTAAAATGTGAAGTAATAATATCTAGTAAAACATAAAACATGTAAATAGTGCAATTTGTGATTTAAAAAACAATACATAAACCATGCTAAAACAGTTTAAAGCTGCAAAAGGAAAAAAACAAAAAAAACGGGAAACAAAACATCACATTTAAAGTTATCGTTTATGTGGCAACGGTCCCTTCTGGGATTTCATGTGGTTCGGGATCAATCTGTACTTTTCTGTTTTCTTCGCTGTAGATCTCATCCATATCTGTTTCTAATTCATCCGTGCGTGGGCCATAAGAAAATTTTCGACGAATTTCCGGTAGTGCAGGTCCCCAATCGCAATGTGGACGAACAAGTGTTTTCTCAATTTTATCGTTCAATTCTTTATCCGTACATAACTTCCAGAAGGGCTAAGGAGTATTTTTATTCATATAAATTAATAGTAAAAATACCATTAAATTATATACATACACAAGTAAATCCTGTAGTTTTAATGACCTGATAAACCATTACAATGGGTATAAGGGAAATCGGAAACAAGCCCAATAACAAACCAAAATTTTGAGCCCACACAGGTAAATCATAATTTCCATACTTTGGAGGACGATAATTAGCTCCCAAAAATACTATCACAATCTATGGAAAAGAGATAGACATACAGTTAGCTTATTTGCATTATTATATTAATATATATATATTTTTTTCAACAATACTATAAATAAGTATACTGATTATACACTGACTAGAATCAAAAGAGGTGTTGCGAATCTCCAACAGACGAGATAAAATACACCTGGTTTATGTCCAATCATAATTTCTATATCTTTTGAGAATTTCTTGTACCCTGAAGAAAAATAATTATATCTTATCAGGTCTTATCTATGTGGTACTTTAGTTACCGTAAATGTAAATGATGACGATAATTTCAAATAAAGATGTTATAGATAAGGAAAATAATAGTATATACCAATCCATCATTGTTACGATGTAGATTCCAGCTTGCGTCGATAAAGGAATTCCTAAAAGGAACATGAACAAACAGAGGAAAAGCGTAAATAATTTTCTTCTTGGACGTAAGAAATCAGGATATTCATCTATTATGCCGGCAGCAATTGTTTCCACTTGACCAAACTGTTTATGGAAAATATTATGTAATTGAAAGACAAGTTTTATGGTTTTAATTTTCACTAACAAGACTGTCTAAGCCAACAGTAAACATCATAAAGAAAAAGCAAATACTCCAAAAAGGTGCTCCGGGTATTAAAGATAAGCCTTCCGGATAGACGACGAATGCCAAACCTGGGCCCTCCTTCGTTACTTTATCAATTTCATCAATACCTTTAACGTGTGCCATATAGCCCAATACGGAAAATATTACTAAGCCAGCATAAATCGACGTTAAAGCGTTCCCTATACCAACAAGAATAGCATCCCGGTTGCAACGATTAGAAAATTTGTTGTATGACGAAAGCGTAATCCATCCACCGGCACCAAGAGACAATGATGCAAAAGCCTGAGAAGCAGCTTCACCCCAAACTTGTGGTTGTTTCAATTTCGTAAAATCAGGTTTTAAATAATATATTAATCCCTGATAAGCACCGGGTAAGGTTAGACCACGAATAAGCAAAACGGTTAGAATAATATATGAGAAGGCTGTTGTAAATATAGCTGCTTTTCCCATTGATTTAATTCCCTTGAACAAACAAGCAAAACAAACAAACCAGGAAACAGCCAGGCAGACAATAAGGGTCCATTTAACATCTCCGACATCCCCTATTCCACCACTAATGTTCAATAAATGACGCCTGTGTAGAAGAGGATAAGAAACAAAATAAGTGAAAAGAAGAAGAGAGAATAAATGTAAAAATATTTCGTTTTCATTACTCAAAATATTCTTCTGTTGGTGTTTTAAACAGACTTTTATTAGTAACATTGCGCATTGAGTATTTTTGCGATTCTAAAATCAATTTAAAAGTCAAAAATTAAATATGAAGGAGATAAGAAATTAAATTAAAAGAATCATTACCGTTCGTAGGAAGTATACAATATTCAGTATTCCATTTATTATCACAGCTAGCCCATGGTAATTCGTTCGTAATTGAAGCAAATAGATAGAACAACGCATAAGCCACCAACACATTATAATATGTGTTAACAAGAATCAAAATGACGACTATGCAATAACCAAGTCCTGTTAGTAGTTTATATTTATAGCAATTTATATAAATAGACTATTTTCTTAAATCAAGACTCTATAAATCTTCTTTATGACATCAATTAAATTCAAAGATAATCATAAATCTTATAATAGAAATAGAACATAATAAGCAATGTAATCACTGTTTTTTTTAATTCATTTTAGTTTCGATTGTTTTGTTTAAAGAAGCCCTGAAATATGATTAATCTCCTATGCTCTTATTTATCATATATTACTGTTCTTTACCTAGAGTATAAATTGCAGACTATACTGTATATAAAAAAAAGTAATTTATGATGACTATAATAGAAATGGAAGAAAGAAATGAAAACGCTATTTATTTCCCTTTAACTACATATATATAAATTTATATATAAAGTATAAAATTTATATGTATATTAATAAACATAAGTATATCTTAAAAACATAAAAATGTTAGAAGAAAACAATTATTGTAAAATATATAGATAATACATTTAAAGATTCAACAAACCTTTAAAAAGTGGGCATATCCTCCAAATCGTTATCGTACCGAGTGATGCAAATTGTCCAAAAGCCATTTCCATGAAAAGAATTGGGAATCCGCCAACAGCCAGTGCAAGTAAATAGGGTATAAGGAAAGCTCCTGTTTTCATTTGTTTATTTGTATATATATATATATATATATATTATTTTTTGGAAAAAAAAAGACATTTAAAAATAAACGAAATTTTAATCGAAGATGTAGCTATGTTGTTAATTTTCACTTTTAAAAGTTAGTGCAGTAAAAAACCGCGTAAAAGCAATAAGTGGACAAGCATGCAAAGTTGGCATATATTGTTCCCGCATGTGTTTTTCATTCCATTTTGCGCTTTAAATTTTAGATTTTTTTTCAATTGAATGTACTACCTCCTCCATTCCTGTAGCAGAGATACGGAAACCTCCATATATTACCCAATCCAACAGCGTATCCTAAACTGGCGAAAAAATATTCTACTTTTCTGCTCCAAGTCTCTCGATCTCCACTGGAATATCTTCTACGCCTTCTATTTGAAAATTTAGCGTCGTTCTTCTCCTATGAAAACGTTCGAATAACTAAAACTAGAAGCGGCACAAATAAATTCTCGTATTACCCAGACGGAATCTCGAAAGATTGCGCGCAAGAATCGAAAAGGCATAGTTTGTCCTTCACTGTCAAGCTGTCGTGTGTTCCGGAGTTTGTCTATTGTCTTACCACTACGCCCTGGATATTTTATTTCAGCCTCATCTACTCTAAGCCTACATCTTCGAAACTTTTTCGAGTTTTTCAAGTGATAAGTTTTAATGGTTAATTATTGTGTAATATGCTTGAATTCGACAGCTGAACTAATTGATTATTCATAACAATTAATTACCAGTATTTACGAATTAATCACCGTGAAAACTTAGGATTTTTGGATAATGTCAATATCCTCAACAACTTGGATTGCTAAAAAGCGCTATTAATTCAACAGTTTTTGGTAATTAAACAAAAAAGTGAAGATGGCGTACCCTACTAGGACTCGAGCACGTGAAACTTCAATTTACTTTTCGCTTTAATCGTAATGCTATATGCGCGATTATGTAAAAATTCAAAGCAAACCTCGATATGCTCCGGTAAAGAGGTGAACAAGGAGAAAAAACCTCTTCTCCCTCTCATTTTAGCCAAGTAACGAGTGCTTAATGCAGTTAAAGTTCATAAACAATAATGTGGTTACGAGTTCACGATAAATTTTCAACAGTGTTTTCTTGTTAAGTATGCAGCCCTACTAAAATACGAAACATACAGGTATATATTATTGTGAATATATAACCACTTTACACATATATCTACATTTCTACAGATATAGAAAATATGTAAAATAATTTCTTTACGAAATATCAATTAGTTCGCGCAATTATTTTTAAAAAAATTGTAAAAAATATCATATTTTCTTTACGATTTACAATTGTCTATTTTGAGAAATACCAAAAAAAAAAAAAAATAAAACAAACCAGGTTTTTTTTTTATCTCTGAAATTGACCAAACTCAATATCTATTAACAAAGAATTCACTCACTCAAAATAACATGATATAAAATACAAAAGAATTTTATCATTTAAAACACAAAATGCAGGTAGTGCAAAAATCAATCTAGTAACGCATCTTTTAAACACACGACAACAAAAATGTTCTATAAAATAAAAAGCGTCGGTTTAACTAGCTCGAAAGAGTGCACGGGCTGCGGTGCACTTTTAAATAATTATGCATATCCGAATACATACGACAAAGCAACTGATAAAAACAATGATTGTATGCATCTAAACAGCAGTTAACTGTCCATATCATCAACAATCAAGTAACAACGTTTTCCCTCTTTGATACGTTATATCGGAATGTGGATAGAAATAGATGATTTCAGCTTCCATTTTCGATTTCAGTCATTTTCTGCAATTGATCATGATACCATGAACCGACGTCAACGGCCCTCTCCTCGTAATATTTGAGAAATTGATGATTCTGAAATTAATAGAAAGTGATTCCAAACTTGACTACTAATAAATGTATGGCATTAAATTGAACTATTTATACATATCTACTTACTAATAAAGCTTGATATTTTGGCCGTGCAGATGGATCCTTTCGAAGGCTGTAACGAAAGGAAATATTGTCATTTTGTTCAGCTATTGTGAAAAAATATATTTGATTTTGCATATTAAAGATTCTTACCATTCTTTACAGAAGCTACCAAAATTTATCGAAAAGCTACGTGGGGCAGACGGTGGATCGTCTTTGACGATATGGCTTAATACTTCAAAATCAGAAGTGCATTTTGGATACGGAAATTTTCCAGTTGCTAATTCAATCTATTCAAAGACAATAAAAGATTTAGTTTTTAGTGTTTGTTTTAATTTTATGATAAAAACCAAAGTTATTCCAAGACTCCACACATCCGCCCTGACATCGTAAACAGGAAAGTCTGGATCTACTGGTTCAATACGTTCCGGTGATAAATAAGCCACACAACCAGCATTTCTTGTTTTTGCCTTGGAGTTATCTAAACGACCACTTATTCCGAAATCACATAATTTTATGCTGCCATTTCTACTGAGTAGTATATTCGATGGTTTTACGTCTATACGAATGAATAATTTAAAAATATATATAAATAGAACATTTCTAAAGATAATATTCAATATTGAACCTCGATGAATCACGCCGTGCTTTTCTTTCAAGTAATGAAGAGCGTTAACAGTCTAAAATTAGTTTTATAAATATAGTATATACTTTTAGCATAGTTTCGTATGTAATAATCAATTTGATAACTTACCGCTACAGCCACCTTTCCGATAATATTCTCAGGTAAACCTTGTTTTAATTTGCGAATTAACTTGTCCAAGCAAGTATCCATTAATTCCATGCAGATCCATACATCAACCTATGGACCATAAATAAGTTTATACTTCTACATTTGACAATTTTAATACAAACCTCGTTAATGAAATATCCCAAACATTTTACAATATATCTACAATCATGGGATTTCACTACAATGTCGATATCCATTAATATTCTCTTCAAGTCCTCTTTGTTACCAGATTTTCTCATTTGCTGTCAATTATAAACTTATGGTGATTTTCGGTTTATTAATTTTAAGATGGTTATCTTACTTTAACGGCCATGAGAGTGCCTCTTTCTTTGTGTCTCATTTTATGTACGTGACCACAGTTACCGTGACCAAGTTCCCCTTCGCTCACCAATTCATCCGAAGTCACTTTAATTTTCTATGAAAATGTTAATAAGATTATTTAAAAACATCTGAAAAGTAGAGAAAACAAAAGAAAATAGTCGTCTATCAAGAGCTTACCTCATTTACATTTATTTCTAACAATCCAGAATTTCGAGTAATTTGACGAAAATTTGCATGTTCGTCTTCTAGTCTGCTTCATAGGAAACAAAAATATAAGTCTTAGTTTAAACGATAATAATAAAAATAAGAAAAAAAAGTAATACAACTAAAGTAGAACCATTGATTATTTATAGCTTGGGTGTATTGCTATAACATTAAAAATAAAAGGTTTAATGAAAACCTTAAGCTTAAATTTTTACATATAAACATTGTGTTACGTGATGGTTAAACATAAAAGGTAAAAAAACACGTACTGTGGTTTTTGAGGAAATTTAAAATTCAAGTTCAGTTGCGGTCGTTTTCCACTGCTAGTTCGTGTTTCCGATGACGACCTTGGCGATTGACTTAATGATGAACCGTTTACGGTGCCTCCGTTCATACTTATATTATTAAAGGTATCTTCTAGTGTGGCTAAAAAGAAAAAAAATGGTGATTTATAACGTACAATCGTATTGTCAAAACATGTCATAATAATGGGTAAAAATTGCTTACGTCTACTTCGTTGTCCTCTTGGAGGAGTATGAAAATTTAACCGCATTTTCAATGAATTTGACTCGTAATTTGCGGACTGTCCCCTGTTAGTATCGCCGTTTGGGCTATTTGCTAAATCTCTCTCATTAGGACATCTCGAAGACGCCATTATAAAAAACATTAGTCACGTGAAAAAATTTTCATGCCATCACGTGATCAATGCAACTTTTATTGCTGAATATGGGATTTAAAAATGTCTTCCTGTAGCTTTTCATATTAACGCCATAGTTTCTTTCACAATCAAGTAGTACGGACATCAAAAATAAGTTGGAACAATTTTCGATTGTAAAGACAAATAGTTTTAGGAGTTATCGCTCCCCGTTTCAAACATATTAGATTCCGAAATAATTTTTGAAAAATATTTTAAATAGAACGTTAAAGTTTTACACAAAAAATCCAGCAAGATGATGGAATTAAATTTATCACGTCTTGATTACCTGCAGGTATGATCATTTCCTTAAAGTTAAACTTTATGCAATTTTTCATATTTTTCTTCTTAGACTGGAACGACTTCGCCAAATAGTATGCAACTACTACCAGCCACTGGAAAAAAAGAACAAACTAATAAGGTTAGCACATTATATTTATCTCTCATGTCTTATTTATTTAAAACTGTCAAAACTGCTTTCTGTGGTTAAAATATAATAAAGCAATCTTAAAATTTTATGCTTAGACTGGAACTAACTTTGTAAGTGGCAAACTTATAATAATAACGGCAATTTTTCACTTCATAGACATTTCTAACACTGCTCCGATATTCTTTCGCTTTTATTTGTTGTATAAAAATTATTTAGAATGATCAATGACTATTTATTAATTAGGTGGCTGTTGCTGACCACAGCGGCGTCGTGCAATGTTTTGGTATAAAGAAAAAAGAGCTACAGGTGAACTATATAGATATTTATAGACTCTTCATATTATTAATTGCATTTTGGTAATTTTATAGAGCGTCTTTAAAACATTACCAAGCCAAGTGAAATTGACCAGAATGGAGTTAGGTGGGCCTCCGGGTGGAATCCGGGATAGAATCTTTGTTTGTGCCCACTCAGAGATACGCGGTTTTTCTAAGAAAGGCAAACAATTTTTAACCTTTGAAACGAACTTAACGGATCCTATTAAGGCAGTGTAAGATATTTAATATAATTAAATTGTCGAATATTAAAGATCTCTTAATCTGTAAAGATATGTTGAAGGAGGAGAATTACTAGTTGGCAGTAATTATATCTATAATCGCTATACTGATTGCACGGATAGTGCTTATTATTTATGTCCAGATAGAATTTCAGACGTACTCTGTTTGCCCCCCGATAAGGTTTGTTTATTTTTTAAAACTCGGCTTAAAAGTAAGAAATTATTATTTGCAATAGACAGATGGGTTGTTATCCGTAGTTGCGTGCGAAGATAAAATGCTTAGAATGATCCAAGATTCTGAAATGATCTATGAATTTGAAATAGGAGGATCACCATCTACTACCAAGTTGTACGAAGGGACTGGAGGTAATTCTTTATTTATTCGTATTTATTATTTTTTTTATTTCAATTTGTCCATATGTTATGCTTTTAAAAGAAAAACAATGAAAGAATTGCTTTAATCTATAAATTCTTTAAGGTGAAGAAGGTGATGAGGTTATTTATGGAACTCGAGATGGCAAACTTGGTTTGGCACAACTGTCTAGGTAATTATTCTGTTTTGATCATTAAAACTTACATTATAGAACGAAGATAGTACTTACGATTTATCAATAAAGTGAAGAAGGGATAGATCCTTGCCGTAGTTTTTCATCTTCTGTCTGAAATTTGTATTTCTGCCCTGATAACAACGCCATCTGACCGCCGCAATTAGCAGAATTTATTATCTTTTCAAAGTAAAAAAAATATTTGAATATGTCTTTACTGAATATTATCAGGTTGTTACCAAGTCAAAAATGGGAAGTGTCCAACGATAAACAACACGGGGGAATTCTTTCATTGGATCACTACGACATTTATGCAGATGGCATTCAAGAGTTAATTGTATCAAGAGACGATGGCATGATAGAAATTTACGGTTACGACGAGAACGATGAGCCAATCTTAAGGCATCATCAAGTAAGTCAATTTATCCTAATTCATTTAAATGCGGTAATATTGTAAAATCTCTTTTTAGACATTCGCCGAGAGCGTTACTTCAATTCGAGGCGGTGTAGTATCAGCACCGGGTTATGATGAATTAGTCTGTACAACTTATTCAGGTTTCATAAATGAATTTTTAATTATATTGGGCATATTTTAACTCTTTTGCCTTCTGATTTAATTATTTTATTTTTTCGTTCAATTTCTTTTCACTCTGATTTAACAATCAATTTTTCATTAGGTTGGCTTTTTTCTTTGAGCACTAAACCAGAGATTCGATCAGTAGATAGCGCTTCGAGATCACTTTGTAATATACCTATTCAACGGCAAATTAAAGCACTGAGGTGTGTGTTCTATCCTAATTATTTTCATTTCATCGATATATTTTTGTGTGTATTCTTTTTTGGTGTCTTTATCATGCTTTAAGTAGATAAGCCACTTGATTATTTAATTTCTCGCTTTTTGACACTCTCACTCTTAATTCGAGTAAATTTATGGCTAAAACAACATAGAAAATATTTATCTGTAAAATTAAACAGGATGGGTATCCAGTTTAACGACGGAACCTGAAAGTTCTTCTAAAATTAAGACGTCTATGCCTTCTACACCGGTTTCATCCCATTCATCGGCCGAACCGGTAAAAGCCGAACAATATGTCGGCATCAACCACGACACTTTAGAAAGAATAGTTAGGATTAAGTAGGTTAAAACTTGATTTTTAGTTGTTTCGCACTTGCTTCTTTCACAGAGACGAAATCGAAGAACTTCAGAATAAGGTTGCTGTGGAGAGAGAGCGCTATCAATCCATGGCAGCTCAAGGAAACTCGATCTCTGCTGTTCCTCATTTCCAAGTTAATAACAAATGGAGATTGAGTAGAGCTGATGCCAGCTACATACTAAGTATAGAGGTTCACACAGCAATTGACTTCATCCTACTTCAAAGCGACGTCCCAGTTGATTTATTAGACGTCGATCGCAATCAAGCAGTGGTTAGCTATAGTGCTACTTCCGTGGAAGATGGCAACTATTTGTTGACAACTTATAGATGCCAAGCGAATGCTACTAGAATCGAAATAAAAGTTCGCTCTATAGAGGGTCAATACGGACGTTTAACGGCCTATATTGCTCCACGTTTGCATCCGAAAGTATGCTGCGTAAATGAATTTCCTATCAAACCCCTTTCACTTCACGAACGCACACATAAATGGGATGATACGAGACCTAGTAATTCTCTAAGTTTGAGGGGACAATTTTCGTTAGCTGAGGTTCATTCGTGGATCGCATTTTGCCTACCCGATGTTCCTGATAGAGCACCTCCAGGAGAGAAAATAACGATGACATTTGCTTCTACTTTCCTCAACACACAATTAGAGTGTTGCTACTCAGCTGGAGAAGCAGTTTTTACGTCTGATAGTGTTTCTACGATTTCTATCTTGAAAGACGTCTTATCTAAGGAAGCAACTAATAAGAAAATTAGATTGGATATGTCTTATGATATTAGTGATTCGTCTGTTCCCCATGTACTTGAGCTTATACATCCACTTCTTGAGGAGCAGCTGACGCTTGCTAAGAATGTACAACTCATAGATGCTCTGAAAGATTTACAAGTTCATGAGACAGATGTGTCCTTCCTCTCAGATGACTATAAGGGTATCCTTGAAAATGCAGATGAATTGAAGGAAAAGTATCAACGACAACCGTGCTATCTTCAACGCTTATATGGAATTATAACTGATCTGTTTATTGACAAATACAAGTTCAAGGGTCAAAATTCAAAGAATAAAGTTCCAGCTCTGATGGAAGTATTGGACAACTACTCACTGGAATCTTTAATTGCATTTTTCTCAAGAAACTGAACGACTATTTAGACATTTTGCTTGTCTCTGTCATTTGTCAATGTTGTCCGTCCTCAAATATAGAAATATTCACTAATTCAAATTCATTCGGATTACCGCCTATTCAGAATTTCCGCTTTGTTTTTATTTTAACCTTGACCTTTAAATTGTCGCATGCTGACAAGATTCCAAGATGCCGAAAACTGATAGCGATAGTACATAAAAAACATTAAAGATTTGTTATGCGTGTAATCTCCATTGTTACTGGACATTTGAAGTCTGTTCGTTACTTCAGCGCTATGGTAGAGAATCGGGCAAAACTTCGATATTGCTCCCCAAAAACATATGAGGTAAATTTTACTAAACATACATGTAAAGTTACCATTCAAATGCGATTGCTAGCTTATGTTATGTCGAAGAAATTAACAAATATTATCTCTTACTTTTTGCTGAGCGATAATGTAAAGTTTTCGTTAAAATGTTGTAGGAAGCTGTTGAGGCTCTTAACACACTACAGACTCCAGCTAGCTTTAAAGATCACAAACAATGGTCACTGGTCAGTGACCAAAGAAAAAAGCAAAATATTCCAGAAACCCTCTTATTCTTGAGGCATCTTGGCATATCGGTAAGTTCAATCAAACGCAATTTCTTGTCCTTAATAAGTTAACACGAAGTTTAAACGTGATAGATGGATGATATCGATTCAACTAAAGCAATACATATAACTGGGACAAAAGGAAAAGGCTCAACGTGTGCTTTCACAGAATCTATATTACGAAATCATGGGTTCAAAACAGGATTTTTCAGTTCACCCCATCTGTTAGAAGTTCGGGAAAGGATAAGGATAAATGGTAAACCATTGAGTAGGAATCTATTCGCTCAACATTTTTGGGATTGCTATGCAGCAATGAAAGAAGCTGAGGTAATAAGAAAAAATTATTGTCACTACTTATTTTAATAAAACGAATAATGTTAATGTTAATCAATTATGACAACAGGCACAGAATATTATTCAACCACCGTCTTATTTTCGATTTTTAACTGTTTTAGCACTGAAAGTCTTCGTTGCTGAAAAGGTCGGTAAATGTAACTATTCGATAGCATAAATATCAAATCTAATGTTCATTTTTTCATATTTTTATAAAGGTTGATGTGGCTATTATCGAAGTAGGCATTGGTGGAGAATACGATTCAACGAATGTTTTACGAAGTCCTGTAGTTTGTGCTATAACAAGTTTAGGTCTAGATCATACTAGTATACTCGGTAATACTTTAAATGAGATTGCTTGGCAAAAAGCGGGTATTATCAAGGTATTAATATACTTTCGTAGCTGAATAATATAATAATTACAATTTGTACAGTGCTTTTAATTTATTTTTAATTTATTCGATTTTTATAGCATGGATGTCCAATTGTAACTGTTCCCCAGCCGGATAAATGTGTGGAAGTCATCATCGATCGGGCGATTAATGAAAAAAAAACACAAGTTTTCGAGGTCCCCTCTTCAGTAAATGCTTATCCAACAGTTAATAATCAACCAAAGAGCCTAGGGATTGGTGGCGAAGTTCAAGAGCTGAATTCTTCTGTAGCTTTACAGGTATCGAAAATTTGGCTGCAAACTCACTCCATACCAGTTGAAGAACGAATTTCTAGATTTTCGAAAAATTGCCAATTTCAACAATTAAATGGTTTTCAGTTGACTCAACCTTATTTAAAAGGTTTAACAGAAACTAAATGGTTTGGCAGAAGCCAGATTTTAAAACAGGATCGTATAACATATTACATAGATGGTGCACATACACCGCGTAGTATAGATGTAAGTTTGCCGAAACTTAAAACCCTTTCAACCTGTAAGATGATTTTATTTTAAACAATAGAACTGTGCCAGATGGTTTGAAAATCAAATATCAGAAGAAGCTAAACAACTGCCGAAAACATGTATCATAAAACGCGTTCTGATGTTCAATGTAACTGGTGATAGACAAGCAGAACCCTTACTAGCCAGGCTTCAAATGCTGGGATTTAGTTACGCTCTCTTTTCAACGAATATATGCAATTCAATCGATGCAGGTTAATAATCGATGATTAAATCCTGCTCCCCAATGATCAAACCTCTATATGATTCGTAATCCTTATCTATTACAGATATAAAAAACCTTACAGTGTCTGAGAGTACAGTTTATAACGTTTGCCAGAAAAATCTCGATAGTTGGAGAAGAGTAAACGGAAACGAACTATGTGATAATGCCGCGACGTTTCATGTATTTATGCCTTTTTAATTCTAATTTTAGCATTTTTTTTCTCTACAAATATCTTTCTTTTTAGACAATAAACGACGTACTGGAATTCCTCGATAATATGAAAGAAAGGGATGGATCCAATAACTTTCATTATCAAGTTTGTTTAAATATTTTATATATATATTTCTTTGTTTTTATTAATGCATTTTATTTTATTAATTAATAGGTTTTGGTAACAGGGAGTTTACATTTGGCTGGTGGATTATTGAAACTTAGAGCTCCAAATATTTTGGATTCATACGAATAAACAATAATTGTTTTGTTGGGCGTAATTTTGTCTTTTTTAAATACGTAAACTGCCTTTTTCTAAAACTGCAAATAAAAATAGTTGTTTGATGAAATCCTTTATTACATCATGAAAATGAGAATACTCAATAGAAAGTAAATGGCACGCGATAACAATACCGTGACTTATCAATAGATAACACTACTCATAATATATGTATTTAAATTTAGAGTAGAGAAAGAATCGTTCAATTTCAGGTCATTGAACAATTAGGTAAAAAGTCAAAACATGCGTGGTAAAATTCCTAACGACGTAAAGATATGATCCAATCTTGAGCAATGTTGACGTCGGGCTTTCTTATAGTTAATACTTGCTTAGAAGGTTCAAAATTGAATTCTAAGTCTCTGGTGGATTTATCTATCGAACAAATAACCAAAGATTAATTAGTATTATAAGACATATTAATTTTTTCATAAGTTTGTGTCTTGTACGTACCTTCGCCTATAACTTGAACACTGATTGGTTTACTTTTCATGCCTAAAATTTCTATCTTCTCCAACCATGATTTCGTTTCAAATTGACTCATTGGGCTAATATTCCTTTAAAGTGGAAAGAGAATTATTGGTTTCCTTTACAGAGTAGGGAAAAGACTTACTTGTTAACTAGCATGTTATTTTCATATATAAATTTTCTTAAGGTGTATTTATTCTGTCTGTATTCATGTGTCATATAATCGTCGATGTATAAATCTCCAACAGCCGATCCATTTTGATCCAAAGCGATTGTAAGCGTGTAAGGATCATCTTTAGCAAGTATAGAAGCTCGGCGAATGCGATTTTTACGAGGTAAAATTGTACCTCCTCTTTGAAAGACAGGTACCTAGGAGAAAGACATAGGCACAATTATTCATTTTTCCATTCGATATAATAGCACAATGGTTACCTTTTCCAAAGGTGCAGATACAAACTCATATCCACCGTGAGTTTTCACTGGTTGTTTTGAATAAATGTCGTACCATTCCGTTGTAGAATCACCAGGGAAGAACATACGAAAGCCGGATGAACCTTGCTCCGTGACGGGTTTAACCATTAGAACAGATCCAATCAGATATTGGTCATCAATAGTGAATGTTTCTTTTTGTTTTGGGAAGTCAACCCATAAAGGTTTCATCACAGGTCCACCTTCCTTCTCTCCGTGGTAAAATAAGGTGTACCAGAAGGGCAATAGAGCATATCTGGCTCTAATGGCATCGCGAATTATATTCTTGTATTTATCGTCAAAAAGCCAAGGTTCTCTTCGTCTGGTATCTAAATGAGCGTGAGCTCTGAAAAAGGGTTGATAGGCTCCGGCTTGATACCATCGAGTAAGTAATTCTGCGTCGGGATTTTTGAAGAAACCTCCAACATCAGCCCCGATAAAGCTTATTCCCGTTATACCGTGAGAAAGAAGCATAGGAACGGAGATTTTTAAGTGTCCCCATTCACTCATATTATCACCAGTCCAAACGGCACCATATCTCTGAGAGCCGGCAAAGAATGCTCTTGATAAAATGAATGGTCGCTGATTAGGATCTCTCTTTAGCTGACCTTCAAACGTGGCTCGATGGACCAGGGTGCCGTATAAATTATGAACATGTCTATGTTCATTACCGTCTAAGTGTTTGGCATCTTTATGCATTGTAATCTCTGGACCATTGAATACAGATGGTTCGTTCATATCATTCCATGTAAATAAATCATGAGTAGAACCAACATATTCTGATGTTAAAAATTTACCAGCCCACCATTCACGAACCTCTGGTTTGAAAAAGTCTGGCCAAGAGCTTGAGCCTGGCCAACACCAACCATCATAGTCATTACCATCTTTATTTTTAATATAATAACCCTTTGAACGGCATTCAGAATGAACATTATAATTGTCATCTCGTTTCAAATGAGGATCAACTATTGTAACCATTTTTCGACCTCTAGCAGCCACTTTATTAATCATATCGACGGAATGAGAGAATTTGGCTCCATCCCAAGTGAAGTATCTTTTACCATTGGTATGTTCAATATCTAGCCAAATTACATCCATTGGTATATCATGAGTATCAAAACCTTCGTTAACGGTTTGGACATCTTCTTCATCATTGTAATTCCAACGACATTGATGATAAGCTAATAATATTTCAAAAATGAGTTATTTCTATTATTAAATACTAATAAAATATTGATAAGACCAAGAAATATTGTAAAAAACATACCAATACTAAAGAGTGGCGGCAGCGGAGTTGTGCCAGTCAAAGAACCATATTGTCGGAATGCATCATTTGGTTTTGGTCCCAGCAAAAAGAAAACATCAATAATGCCTGATTCACTCATCCAATGAGTATCAACCTGTGGCATTTCGTCAGAAGATCCAACTCCAACAAAAGTAGCCAATTTTGAGAGCATATTCTACAAATTTTCATAAATGAATTATTTATTGGTGATTATTTTTCTTAGTTATTCACCTTATCAGCAGTATTTGATCCAATATCAATCCATGTTTCAGCTGTGTTTAACCAAAATAAACCAATTGTTCGCTTTTCGCTGAGAAACAAAAATACAAGCATAAACTCGTTTCAAACACTTTCATAAATGTATTGTTTTAAGTAAGTACATACTTGTGGGCATACATTAGAGGAACAGAGCCATACAAGGCCATAGGATTATGTAGTTCATATTCAAATACATCCAAGTTGTATAAACGATACGGATCAGTATCTCTAAACAGAGGAAAAAAAACAATATATTAATTAGGGTTCCACTACTCAAAAGCAATTTAAAACCTTGTTGATTTTAAAGCAAAACTATCAGCATGCTCAGGAATACCGTAAACATTTTCGAAACCTGGAAAACTAAAGTCCAACCCAATAGCTTGAGGTCCTTTATTGATAACAAAGTGTTATGGGTATATAAATAAATAATTATCGATTTTTTTTACGAAATGTAAGTTTGATAAGATAAACTTACCACTTGGTTTTGAATCAGTATGTCCTTTAAATGATTCTTCCCAAACACCTTCTTCGTCGGTTTCTTTCTTTTCAGCCTCTTCTTTCTATTTAACATAGGAAGAAGTTTATGAAAAATGAGGTCAATTATACTAAGATAAAATAATACTAACGTTTTCTTTTTCATGATTTTCATTTTCGGCATTCTCTTCGACAGGAACTTCATCGTCAGCTGGCTGTGGACTGTTAGAAAACCAAGATAAAACCGTGGACAGGATTCCTTGTGGCCTGATATTATAAAACAGAAAAAAAAAAAACCTACCTAAACCAAATGAAAGCAAGAAAATTTTTTTTGGGAGTAATTAAAAGAAATTAAATTGGATTAAAAAGCAAAAAGGTGCAAATCTCTAAGAATAAAATTAGTCAAAAAAAATAATATTTTTTTAATGCGATAGCATTTATAGCATCTGATTGTCTTTTTAAGTTTTTTTAATAGAGTCTAAAAGGAAGACACTTACGCCTCAGCTTCTGGTTTTGTTCTTGTATGCTCGAATCTTAAAAGTCCTCGAGAATTGATTAATAATACAGGTTCACCACTCTGAAGTACTTGCATAGAGAATGGGCTTTCATCCAAAATTACAACAGCATCGTTTTTTAGGTTAACTTTTACAGTTTGTCCCTCTCGTTTGACAGTAATACTCTCTAATTTTGGCTCTGAATCTAAAACATCTCCGATAGCAGGTTCATATCGAGGTTTAAGAGGGTCTTTTTCGGTTATTCTTAACCTAAATATGTTATCTCTGATACCAGATAACTTTAAAACTAATTTCACATTATTTTTATTGTTAAGAAGATCGACTTGAAGAGAATCTTTTTGAATATTTAATGTATTTAGTAGAAGCTTATATGGAGAATTTCCTTTTTCCATACTACGTAGTTGTCTGAAGAATAAACTAATGAGAATATGATTGAAGGGAAAAGTTGATAAACTTACTTGCAGAAGCCACTTTGGTCGCATGTTTTAAAATTAGCCCTGTCAACCGCTCTGACACAGAAGTATGACAAGAATATAAAGCACAAGTTTAGCTTGAAAATCTTCATGTATCTGTAGAAAAGCATTGATGAAATTCAAGGGATGTTTATGTGGTTTGATTTTTTAATAGAGTGATTAATTTCAAGATTAAAATGACAGAATACATGTTATAATGAATTTTCAAGGATTAGAATTATTTATAAATTTTAACTGTTAATTCTATTAAAACTTTTAGAAAGCCGCAAAAAAACCTCACCTCCTGAGAGGAGCCATCTTTTTCTTTGAGCTTGGGTATTTTATCTCAAATATTTTTTTTTTTTTAATGTTACTTTAATAAAGTTTTACAATTTATTTTGTTGTCCTCTTGTAATTCCTATTAAGTGAACACTATGTGATATTGAAAACAAAATTTCTAGCCGTTTCAATTAAAAAAGGTACTGTTAAAGAAATTACGATACGAAAACTTCTTCAATTTTTGAGGACACGTATATCAAAGGGTTCGTATTCCATTTTTATAATAAAGCCTTGATTTCCCGTAACACCTAAGAACCTAACTGTAACCACAACGACAAAAAAATACTCTTAGAAATTTTTGCTGCCTCTCTTATTCAATTTGCTCTAAGAGAATATTAAGAAGAAAGACAATTTAAAGCAAAGCAGAGATTATTTGTTAATTTTTGATATGCTATCATTGCACTTTTATTGTTAGATGAGAGATCATTTTGAAACGGCTCTTAAATTTCGCGCCATAATATTCGTTTAATAACTTACTATGTCTACAAGGCTAAAATATACCACAGATCTCGATAAATCAGTTTTAATAAATAATTTTGAAAAGAGAGGATGGATTCCTGTAGGACCAGATGAGGATTGGAACTTTTATTGGTACTGTAAAGTTAAAACCGATTTGCATCTTATATATTAATTTAGTATTGAAAAAATTAGCAATATTATTTAACTTTTCACAAGATTTATAATAATTCACTATATAACTTGAATGTATTTAATAGTAGATATTCTCAAAGAGGTTACCTAGTTTCTTTATCATTTTAGGGCTACAGTTCAGACCGTTAGAAGTATCTTTAGTGTGGAGAGCGGATATAGACTGTCAGATGATCAGTAAGACCCTAAGACTTCAGAATGAACTATGCATTTTAATTTTGAAAATATTTTATTAGAGTAATCAATCATTTTCCCAATCATTACGAATTAACAAGAAAGGATTTAATGGTAAAAAATATAAAACGCTATAGAAGAGATCTCGAAAAAGAAAACAGCCCTGTTAGTGAAAAAGACGAAATGGGAAGATACATACATTTAGGTTATTAAGTTTTTTTAAATTAATTAAACTAAAAGAATTAAATAATGAAATGTCCTTTTCTAATAATATAGATTTTATACCAACAACTTATATGCTGCCTGCTGATTATAATTTATTTGTGGAGGAATTTAGAAAGAATCCGTCTAGTACTTGGATTATGAAACCATGTGGGAAAGCTCGAGGAATAGGCATATTTTTAATAAATAAGTTATCTCAAATAAAAAAATGGTCAAGAGATAATAAAACATCAAGGTTCATTCCTTCTCTTTCTGTGATAACTTTGCTAATTTACATTCATTATTACAGTTTCTCTGCTCCTTCTGCAAAGGACACATATGTAATTTCCCGTTATATCGACAATCCGCTTTTGATAGGCGGTAAGAAATTCGATTTGAGAATGTATGTTCTTGTTACATCCTTCCGCCCATTGAAATGTTACATGTAAGAATAATTAGAACTTTTTTGTTGTACTGTTAATCCAGCCTTTATAATATTCAGGTACAAGCTTGGATTTAGTAGATTTTGTACAGTCAAATATACAGCTAGTACAAATGAACTAGATAATATGTTTGTTCATCTGACAAACGTTTCCATTCAAAAACAAGGTGATGAGTACAATGCGGTTCACGGGGGAAAATGGAGCGTTGAAAATCTAAGAGTGTTCTTGGAGGGTACAAGGGGTAAAGAAGTAACTGATAAACTCTTTGATGATATGCATTGGCAGATTGTTCACTCTCTGAAAGCTGTTTCAGTAAGATTTAAGTGAAACTATTAATTTTAAGACTCACTAAAATAGTTTATATTTAGGGTGTTATTGCAAACGATAGACATTGCTTTGAAGTGTATGGGTTAGTATTATTCGTATTCAAATATTGTAACAATCTGAATGATGATGGTCTTTGTCAATAGGTATGATGTTATTATAGACGATAATCTCAAGCCGTGGTTAATTGAAGTGAATGCTTCCCCTTCACTCACCTCTACAACGTCTTCAGATAGGATAATGAAATATAAACTGATATCAGACAGTATAAATATTGTTATACCACCCGGTGAAGGTCCAGAGTAAGTTATAAAACGCCTTTTATAGAATAATTATATGTTTAAAAACTATTACTTTTTTTTATCAAGTGTTCGATGGAATAAAATAGCATCCAGAGATAATTACGGCAATTATGAACTTTTGTAAGTGTTCACAAGATAACTATTTCTTAGTTAGTTTATTCTTGAATTACTTATAGATATGACGAGGAGTTAGCTGCTCAAGAGGCTGTAGCCCAAGACGCTAAAGGAAAAGTTGGAAGGTTGTCAAATAAAAAGCCATCAACTTGGAAATAGATAGCTCATTTTAGATTATTCCATCTTATTTTTTTACTTTATTAATAATTTGTATAATAAAAATTTCTTATTCAATATCAATGTTCAGTTTTTTAAACTCATTAATATCAATTACAGACTTTTTATTGAATAGTTCGTATTCTTTCAGAACGATCATAATTGCTTTTAATTCCAATTTTATAAAGTCTGTTTTGTTTAAGTCTGCATGGTGATAAATTTTAGCTTCTCCAGTTTTCTTACTTTCATCAAAACTCTGGTGTAGATACCTTTTTCTTCTTTCATATATTGTGTTTATAAATTGTTCGAATATGTTAAAGTCCATACCAGTTTCGGCCTTCAATATCGCCTATAACATTTTATATCATAAGCTTTCATCAAGAAACACTTTAAGATATTTGAAACCTTTCCCGCATTTTACCTGACACGTATCTGTCCAATTATCCATATCTTTGCAATCGTCAATTTCTTTCTCTACCAATTTTAAATTATATAATAAATGCTTCCACAATAGATCTATTCCACATGCATTTGTCCAATTATGATTGAGGGATAGAGTTGTAACCTTTTAAGATTGTTGTTTGTAGACTGATTATTAAAATCTTTCAAATACCTCATTGAAAACTTGATGAAACCATCCACTAGGAACAAAAATTGTTTGTCCACTATTTTGATAAACTTCGAAAAACTTGATAGAATTATTTTTCTTCAGTTCCTCAAATTTTTCGGAATCTCTTAAATCAACAGGTAATCTTGAACCGTTCATCAGTTTAAGCTCCTCTCCTATTAATGAAAATATTACAAATACTTGTATCTGTTTAAATGAAAATATCATAATTAGTATGCAGACCAGGCGGAAAAATGATCCATTTTTTTTTCCCACATATATTTGCAGACCAACTGTACGATCTCAAAACATCACTATGAAAAGGTGTCCTTATAAAAAAAATAGAATAAACTAAAAATTTTTTAATAAGTGAAGTTTAACTAGAATATTTACCATGAACCTTTCGGTCCAAAGTACAAAAATCTATAATCATCTTTTTCATCGTCTCGTTTATCCCAAAACTCATTCATCCAATCAGTTTCAAAAAAAATAGGTAAATCATAAGCATCATAGTTGGATTCTTTTTGAAAATGCCAATCTTTTAAGTATAGTATATCATCGATACTATTTGATTCGGTGTCTTTTATGTAATTAAAATAAGATTTAAAGTTCATTGCTATTTTTTCCTGAGAATCATATTTAATTTTACTGCAATTAGCCACCGGAACATTCATGTCACCTGAAAGAAAAATAATTAAGATAATGTGGATTTGTTTTGTCAGTTTCTACTAAAATAACCAAATTTCTTGATCATAAAATCATCATTGATTTGATCATCTTTTACCCATTCTTTAACAGCCTTCCAATTTGCAGTTAGCCAAGTATCAAAGATACATGGAATATTTGGCTTTAAATGATTTATGAAGAAATATTCAAAACTGCACGGAGAAGATATAATGCTTATTTCATTAATATTTCTGTAGTGTTGTTTCCTATGTTCTTCAAGTTCTAATAGAGTACGCAATTCCATTCGAAATTTTAGCAAAAGTTGAATGTTACAAGGGTATGTCTTAATATGAGTAGGAAGTGTATATTCTATTTCACTATTAACGATAATGTGGACGGGTTCAGAAATTAGAGCTACCTTCTTCCAACCGGTTGGACTTTATGTTCGTATTCTTCATTTGAGGTGTGTGCTCAGTGATATTTGACATTTTAAAAAGTTAACTAGTAAGCATAGATACACCTTAGAGTCAATAGTTTTAAAAAGATTGTAATATTTACTTATTAATTAAATTAATCGAACTTCAGATAATTCATTGTGTTACAATTATTTGATCAGTTTTATATACAAACTGTTTGTAGAATTAATGTGTTACAAGCTGTTTAATTTTGATTGCTAATACACTTATCATTTTGGCATTAGAGTTGTCAAGACTTCGAATTAAGAAATGAATTCAATACTTCGATTTATTCCTAGAAATATACCACGTCTTGTCTCTAGAGGTAACTATTATTTATTATAGTTTTCTATGTACTTTATACCAAAAATATATAAAGATGGCTGCTTGATTAAAGTCTGGGGTTAAAGACTATTTCAATGTATAAAAACCAAAGGATATTATCTCTTCTAATAGAATGTATAACTTGGATTCCTAGAAAAGTTTCTCTAGAATCAAATCATTTATTAAAAAGTTCCAAGAATTTCTCTTTGGTAATGAATGTCTATTAACTATTTTTATAGCATATGCTACTACTATTCAAGAAGCAGCTGAACCAACCCCTACACCATGCGCTTCATTTTACTGTCATAAAACAACTGCCTTAAGAAGAATGCTAACATCCGATAAGTTAGAGTTCTTAATGGAAGCTCACAATGGTTTAAGTGCCAAAATTGTTGAAGAAGCTGGGTTTTGTGGAATTTGGGCATCTGGCTTGTCTATGTCAGCACAGCTTGGAGTAAGAGATCACAACGAAGCATCGTGGACACAAGTATTGGAAATTTTGGAATTTATGAGCGATGCATCAGACAGACCAATTTTGGTTGATGCTGATACTGGGTACGGTAATTTCAACAATGCAAGACGATTAGTTAGAAAATTGGAAGATCGTGGAATTGCTGGTTAGTTTTCTCTTTATTTTTTTTTAAAGTTGAATATTGAAAGAAAAGCGCCATAAGTTTTATTGATGTTAAAGCTGTCAAATTAGAACAGATGCTCAGCACTTAAAATTCAATGAAACTATTGATAGCAATAATTGATCAATGTAACAAATTTTCCTATTTTTTTGTAGGAGTTTGTATGGAAGATAAGACGTTTCCAAAGACAAATTCTTTACTAGAGGGCGTAAAGCAACCGTTGGCGGATCCTGAAGAATTCGCTCTTAAAATTAAAGCTTGTAAAGAAGCTCAGCGCGATCCAGACTTTAGTGTCGTTGCTAGAGTAGAAGCTTTCATTGCAGGCTATGGATTAGAAGAAGCACTGAAAAGAGCAGATCAATATCATAAGGCTGGTGCTGATGCTATTCTTATGCATTCTAAGAGATCAGATCATAGTGAAATAGAAGCTTTCGTCACTAATTGGTCGAATCAGAGTCCTGTTGTTATTGTACCAACGAAATACTACAAAACGCCTACAGAACAATTTAGGAAATGGGGAATTTCAACAGTTATTTGGGCTAATCATAACCTTAGATCATGTATTACAGCTATGCAAAATGTTTGTAAAACAATTAAGGAGGAAGAAAGTTTGGTCAACGTAGAGAGCAAAGTTGCTCCAGTTAAAGAAGTTTTTCGTTTACAAAATGAAGATCAATTGTTGAAAGATGAAGAAAAGTTTTTACCAAACTAAATAAATAACATTGAAATAATCTATTTTTTTCCATTTTAGAATATCTCTTTCATTATTAAATTTATTTCTTTATGTAAATCGAAACAATGAATGCGGTCTTCTCTCAATAAAATATAAAGCAAAAATATAATGACTTGCAAAAAAAAAAATATCGTTTAGTGAATATTTCGTTTAAATAAAAAAAAACTGGTATTAGGCAAAAAATCAGCGTTGTGAAAAAATGACCGATAATCCTAATATTAGGGAACACAAATTTTCGTCAAAGTGTGGAGAAGAACTAATACATTTCTACGTTGCAGTTTTTTCAGGAAGTACCTATATTTGGGTAGGTAGAGACTGCAGACTGTCGGCTTTGTCCTTAGGCTTACCAATAACTGGCGAGGTGAATTTAAAAAATTATTTTAAATAAGATAAGTTAAAAAGATATTATCTTGCAGTCTAAATCAACTCAAATCTTTGGCGAATCTTTCGAAGGTTCTGTTCAATATATGACAGAGAGATTAAGCAAAAAACTGAACAGGCAAGTTTTAATGAGTTACACATTATCTCAGGAACAGGCTTTTGGAGTAGAAAAAATTTTAGCGGAAAAAATTCAAAATGAACTGGAACTTTTTACATAAATTATTCAATTTTCTTTATTAAAAGCAAAGTTAAAACTTTCACTTTTATAATAAAGATATTAAAGTTTGTAAATACTTTATTGTTTGTATATGAAAATTCATACTTTCAAATTTCAACAATAAAAGCTGACTAAAAAATAAAATTAAGATGATAATGTAAAAACAGAATTTATAAATATTTAAAAGGTGTTAACAATTAGTTTAAAATCATTACTACTTCTAGATACAAATTGAGGACAGAATAAAGAGAACAAGGACCGTCTTTTCTTTCTCTCTCTCTCTCAAGCACTAGCAATCAAATTAGGCACAAAATTTCTTGGGTTTTGAGAATATTTTCCAATTTCCTCTTGTAATAATGCAGTTTTTTGTTGTAAAACTACGACTTGCGATTTGAGAGATTCTATTGTAGCCTCTAGTTCCTGGAAATTTTATAAAAAATGAGTAAAAAAAGGTCATAATACTCTTAATATATTTACTTTGCGAACTGATGGATGAAGCATTCCTTTGAGTCTTTGTTCATATTCTCTACGAACTTGAACAAGCTAAAGAAAAAACAATTTTTAAATATACTATTTAATTCGTAAATTTCACAGACAAACCTTTTCTTCGTAATCTTGTTCTTGCTCTAAGAATTTTGTCTCCAATTGTCGAAATTTAGACTTTTGCGATTCAATTTCTGAATGAATACTCTGTCATAATAAAATTGGTGTGTTATGAAACAGATAATAAATTGCCTTATAGTTAGTTAGCTTTTACTTTCAAAATGTTTGCGTGCTGATGCTTTAATTTTCGTCTCTCTTCTTCGGATTTTGCAATTTGATGTTCAATTTCTTTGTTATGTTTTTCTTTTAGACTAAACAATGAAATCGAAATGTTACGACTGTTAATTTCCTTCAAAGAAAAAAAAAACGATTTTACCTAAGGCTATCGTTCTTTAATTCATCTATATGAGATTGTAGTTGGCAAATTGTTTCTTTATCTCTAGCAGCCCTTAAAGAGTACTCTTTTTCGATATCTTTTAAGCTGCTATCCGTCTACAGACAATAAAATTTTATATGAATATAGATTGGTTATTTAGACAATTTACATTACCTTCTCTAGCATTTTAGCCATTTCTAAACTCTGCTCCTTTTGCAGATCAACCCTTTGTTGTTCAATTTGATTTTTCAATTTGCCTATTCTATCTTCATAATCTTTTTCTATTCTCATTCTTTCTTCATCTCTTAATTTAGCTAGTTCGATAAGTTCATCTTTCATCATTTGTTTCGATCTGGCCATTTCTTCTCTTAATTGAATATTTTTTCGCTTTTCATCGTCAACAATCCTTTCCATTTTGGTAAACTCTTTTTTATGCATATCAGCCATAGTTTTTATGGCTTTTTCATGATCTTTTTCCAATTTTAGTTGATTTGACGACAACTCTTTGATAATTTGTTGTTTCTCATTCTCAAATTTTTCGTGCATATCTCTCATTTGATTTTTATAAACATCAGATTGTTCTTGTATTTGCTTTTGAAATTCTTTACTTTGTTTTTCCCTCAAATGTCTTGATCTATCCAAATCGTGTTCAACTTTCTTCATGTGTTTTTGCATGTCTTGGTAAGCTTTAAAGTTTTGCTGTTCGATTTGCATTTTGAAATTTTGGAGAGCTTCATCCGCCTTCTTTGAGACAAGTTCAGTTTGTCGTTTTGACTCAATTAAATCAAGATCTTTTTCTTTATTAGACTTTTCAAGATTTTCAATTTTCTGTTTGGCATCCGATTGATATTTTTGTAGTTCAGCTGTTATATTCCTTATCTGTAAATTATGAAGGTAAATATTTACCTTAGTAATACAATTACAAGATAAGAAAACCAACTTTTCCTTCGTAAGAACTTTCTAGGTTCATTCTATTTTGCTTTTCTAGTCTTTCAAATTCCATAGCTTGTGTTTGTCTCCTTTGTTCGCAAGCTTCCAAATTCTTTTTTGTTTGTAAGAGTTGTTTTCTCAACTCTTCTATAGTTTCTGCTGCCTATGCATATGAAATATCCTTTATGTTAAGATTGATAGAATTAATCTGATTAACTTTACCTTTGAGGAATTTAGGCTATTTTCTTGTTTATAATATTCTACATTAGCTTCGCATTTATTTTGCAAACTTTTCAATTCTTTCGTATGTTCTTCTAGATTGTTATCTTTTTCTTTTTGTAACATTTTACACCTGAACTGTAGAGACGATACGTCATTTTCTAATTTTTCATTATGATCTCTAAGGGATTTCGTTTCGTTTTCAAGATCCCTCCTTAACGTTTTCAATAAATCTATTTCCCTAGATTGATCTAGAACTTGCTTTTCGAGATTATTGATTGTGTTCGACTGTATAGAAATTATTGACATTTTGTACAGTTAGCAATTAAACACGATATTATTATATATAGTTCACCTACCGCTGTTTCACTCTGATGTCTGGCTTTCTCTTCCATTTTATCAAGTCTATTTTTCGTATCAGCAATAATTTCTTCTATAGCCGAAGTGTGGTCTTTTTGAAGTGCAATTTTTTCTTTTTCATTTGTATTTATAGCATCCTGAAGCTGAACGAAAGAAAGTCATTACTAAAAATTTGAAAAACATTAAACCTACTCTTTTTTCTAAAGATTCCGTTTTCTTCCTGTGAGATTCTTCCAAAACCCTTTTAAGCTCTGATAGCTGCTTTTCCTTAGTTTCTTTTAAGTTATTAATTTCTTTCAATAAACTTTGAACTATTACAAGATCAGAATATAATTTTTTTTATTAGACAACTTTCAGTTAACTCTACAGTACCTTTACGTTCTAACTTTGATAAATTATCATCCTGTGCTTTGTTTTTGTTCCTGTAATGGTTTTTTATTTCCTCTATTTCAATATTTTTTCTATCCAAAATTTTTTGTACGTTCGAATCGTGTTTTTGTTGTAATTTAAGCTTTTCCTCTTGAAATTTTGCTTCAAAAGCTTTGGTTTTCATCATAATCTGTAGGTAAAGATTTATATATACGGTTACCCTATTGAAGGATTAACTAAAGATATAACCTCTTTTTCAGCTAACCGTGTTAATTTTGGGTCTTCTTGAACGGAGGAAAAGCCCGTAGCTATTAAAATACAATGAAGGTGAGAAGAATAATAAACATTTTAATTAAATAAAGCTCTTACTATTTGGAAAAGCACTGAAGTGAGACAAATTTGATTTAGTCCAATCGATATCCGACTATAATGGGAAACAAATTAACATTAGGTATATAAACGTAATATTGTTTAAAGCTACAAACAGTCGTTGTTTCATAAGCTTTTCGCGTATCTTTAGGCTTTAAATATTCTATAAAATATAAAATATTTTATGGTAATTTAACAATAGAAACTTGGAAAATACAAACCGTCTGTTAAATATCCTAAATCTTCTGTGAAAGGTTTCGATTTTTGGAAATAATCTTCTGGCTATTAGAATATTATTTGTAGAGTAAAAATAATTAAAAATATAAAAATATAGTCTTAATACTCTACCATTTTTGAAGAAGTACTTTTTTGGTTTAAGAAGAGTGGATTTTTCATTTGGTAATCAAAAGACCTAGAGATATTTAAAGTGTGAATGACTTCTTTTTATTAGTAAAATTTTAACTTCATATTCTTACGTAGGACTTTCTCCAAAATCTGTAAAGCCATATCTGTTTGTTTCAGGAAAGAGGGATAATTCTCCATTAACCCAATCGGGAATTTCCGCCTAAAGTTAGCAATTTAGTTTTCAACCAGCTTTTATGTAAATATGTTACCGTTTGAGGTGGTAAAACAGGTAATGGACCATCTGGTGGATCAGATAGAATAGGTTCATCTATTGTTCCTTTTTTCGTTTGTTCAAGAATAATTCGTGCATAGGAATTTCTAGTTTTTCTGTTAAATATAATTGAGAAATGTTTTTTATAAAGTTTTCAATTTTTTCAATTAACCTCTCTGATATTCCTGTAACTTGATCGCATAGTTTCTTTATCCAAATTGCACATTTTTGACGATCTTAACATAGGAAATATTGAAAAACAAATAATAATAATAGATAAAAGAAAAAGATTAAATTGTACCCGATTTATGCGGCAATTTTAGAACATGCGGCTTCATATCAGTTAACATGAAATCAAATTCTCTATCAAGAGATGGTATAATATCCGTGCTAAAATCCATTAGAGTTCCTGAAAAAGTAATTAAATACAATGTTTAAATAACTTATGTCTAGCAATTCTTTGTGCAAGTCCAAACATGCAGAATTACTAGAATATTGTAATGTAAGTTAAAATTTTACATAGTGCAATAATTTTTATATTAAAACTTAACTTACTTAAAGTAAACTAATCTGTTATAAATGATTATTCTTGTTAGAATAAAGCACAATTCCGATTTTAAAAATAACGAAGAGCACTTGAGAGAATGTTTTGTTTGGGTACGACTAACTACCGAAATGAAATACAACATTTACGCAAAGTAAAATGTATTGGTTGTTGTGTGAGTTTATAAAAGTAGAATTTTAAATACAGTTTCTAGCATAAGTAAGTTTTTGAAAATAACTTGAAAAGAGTGGGCAACTATTCTTAATTATATTAACTATTTGAGATCTATGAAGATAATTGCTTTTAAAACAACCACAAATAATTATCATATTTTATACGTCAAAATGATGTGAAGCAAAGGAAAGAATATATTTTTTTTAGATTATTTCTCAAACTTTTATAGAATTAAATATGAAAAGAGAGAAATGGAGTTTTATATAATTTTGTCTCGAATTATTCTTATCTTTACGGCAGTGAGGATGTCCCGTTAGTTATAACAAATACACTAGCAACAGAAAAACTATAAATTATATCAATATATTTTAAACTATATCACGGTAATGAAAAATTATGTTCAAATTGAATTGAGTAGTTCAATTTAGAGATATTTCTTGAATACTGTTCAAACAACTTGAATTTTATAAGAAAAGTATTTTAATAATTTTTATCGAATTCCTTGAGCGATATTAAATTAATTGTGATATAAACATGTCTTTCGTACCTATTTTTGTTGGTCAATGCGGAAATCAAATTGCTTCCCAATTTTGGAATGTTCTTAATTCTAATGAAGAAAGTTTGAGAGGGTATAAACTTTTAGTTGGTTTTTTTTCACATTTCTCCAACTTGTCACAATATAAATAGTTTTACACTTTATATACTGCATTCGTAATTATAAATATATTGCCATGACAACCGTCTTGATATAATCTTTTGTAAAAAAAAAGTTGAGGGAATTGACCAATTTATACAAATCTCGTTTCAGTGACATATTTCTTCGGGGGAAAAGTAAATTAAGGTCAATTTTAGTTGATTCGGAGCCAAAAGTTGTCCGTAAATGTGTTCAAGATGCTCATCAATTAGGATTGTATGTATTGAACAACCTAAAACCTAATCAAAGAAAGTATAATATATTTTTAGGAGGGTAGATGACTGGAATATTATTCATGGAAATACGGGTAGAGGATGTAATTGGGCATTAGGTTTGTATTTATCATAATAAAAGCATACTACCAATATAATTTGCATCTTGCAATGTATAGGTTATCACGGTCTTAAGATGGACAGTGAAAAAAATATAGTTAGAGATGTTCTAGATTCAGCTAGAAGAGAATCAGAAAGGTGGATAGATTATAAACCATATAGAATATCAATTTAATATTATCTATACTCGCAGATGTGATATTTTCAACGGTTTTCTAATACATCATAGCTTATGCGGTGGTACTGGATCCGGTAATAATATATAAATATCTACTGTATATTTGATTTATAAATCTGCCAAATCTTATAATATAAAATTTTCTTTTAGGCTTGACTAGCCGTCTATTAGACGAGCTGAGAGAAATTTATGATAAAGAATATATAATAAGCTGCTGCGTTGCACCGGATATTAGGGGAGAATCACCCATGCAGTATTTAAATTCCTTACTATGTTTAAATACTTTGCAAAAGTCGGTTTTAATACTTTCTTTCAAATTAGACTTATCAGTTAGTTGGTAAAATTTTGATGTTTTTTTTAATAGAACAACAAACTGCTGCGTTTTATTTCGAAATGATAAACTACTTGAAATTGTTGGTACAAAAAATGGTAATCAAATAGAAAATATGAATTTCCATATAGCTTCTTGTCTGGGTGATATGTATATACCAAATGAATCTGTTTCCTATCGGTGAAATTGATTTATTATTGAAAATTATCTTAAGTAAATTAAACTTAAATTTTATGTTGCGTAGAGGTGTTAAATACTATGGATCGGAACCTTCTGAACTGCTGGATGTAGTTGCCCCAGATCCGTCTTATAAATTTCTGTCTGCAAACACCGCTAATAGGTTGGCACTGTGTGAACGTTTATTTTTCTTTCTGATACCTTTGCAATTAAATTGGGTAATAATAATTAAGAATTGTAGTTTCAGTGACGTTTCCTGGGGGGATTTAGCTGTTCGACTGGCCAGAACTTTAGTAAAAAAGGATGATAATAAAAAACTTGTTAGCTTTGATCATTATTAATTCTTAGTGAAGTGTTTTCTTTACGTTGTTTTATCTTCAGCACGCTGCTATTAACTTACTCCCCATCGCTAAAGGTTACGACAGTAAAGAATTCTCAAAGAACGCAAATTCTATATTTACCAAACTAAATTCTCTATTTAATCGAAAACGGCTGGAAAATAAATACTGGATTGGTTAGTTATTTTATGCATATATCGTTTATACATTAGTTATTCCATTTATATAGTTTATATGTAATATAAACTTTGAACTTTATACTCATTATAAAGTCCAATTATCAATATCGTTCTTTAAAACATTTTATATAAAGTATTACTAACAAAACAAATATTTCCAGGCAAGAAAAGTGATAGATCCAAATCGTTAACTGTTATCTCAAATCATACTGGAATAGTAGATTTACTAGAGATAGTGGAAGAAAGGTCGCGCACGATGCTTGAGGCCAAAGCTTATCTGCATTGGTATGAGAAGTACGAGAGGGATATAGAACTTAGATTTAAAGAATCTATTGAGAATATAGCATTGGTCCGAGATAATTATAACAGTTATCGTTAAACTGCCCTCTGCAAAAGATTTAATTAATAAAATGAGTAAACGAAGTAGATTTGCGCGGAAGTATTTATGTTAAGGAATGTTCCTAGATTTTGTAGTACTGTAAAATAAGATTTGAAGTAAAAGCCTAATACTTAACGATTCCCTGAATTTTCTATAACTGTATCTCTACTGATATGTTACTATCGTTTGTGACTTTGCATGATCAATCATACTTTGCCTGTAACCAGTGGAAAAGGCTTATAAATAATGCTTTATTACTTACATAAGCGCAGAATTTTTTAAAAAAGCAGATAAACAAGGTGTATGAAGTTAAGGGGAATTTTGGCTTTCAAAGGTATCTATAACAGTCGATGTGGATGAATTTGATTGGTTCAATTCACTATCACAGTCATCTTCCGTTTGTACTTCTTCTTCTGAGGTTTCATGTGACAACAAGGAATCAAGGTTATGGAAATTCTGTCTATAACGTTCATTATCAACTGTTAAGCCCTGAAGGAGTTTTTCGTCTTCTTCCGCAAGGTTGTTATCAAGTTCTGTGGATGCTTTTATTACGGTCACCATCTCGTCTAAGCGTTCCTTAATCAATTCTTCTTTCTAGACATGAAAATAATCATAATATTATTAATCTTTGTCCAAATATTCAGTTGTCTAGCTACGTGTTTCAATAATTATTTTATACAAGAAAAAAGATCAACTAATTCCCTACTTGAACTGAGTTCTATTTAATAAAGCGAAAGTTGTAAAATGATAGGCTTGGAGGTCAATATTTTATTATAGCACAATGAAAAGTCTGGTTTCAACAATGCTATCACTTACATTAACTAAGAGTGTAAAGAAATATTCCCACAATTTTTAGGATTACTAGTGGGTAAATTAATTTCTCAGTCGCGTTCTATTTTGAACTTAGTCTTTGTTTGGGTTGATTACTTTGTTAATGAGGATCCAAAAATACAATATGAGTAATTAATAGTAATCATAATAAAGATTTTTACCTGTTCAATTCTAGCATTGACTGGTACTTGTACAGAATTTTCAGCTTTTTTTAAGATTTCTAATTTAGTCATATGAGTCTTATATCTAGAAAGCATAAAGGATAAAGCGTCTCTATGATCTTTAATGGTTTGACTCAGATCAGAATTGTCTTTTTGGTAAGCAACAACTTTACGGCAGCTCTCCTCTATCTCCTCAACAATATCCTTCTTAGGTCTGTGTTTGGCAGCTGCATTAAAATAGTCGATTTTCGCGGAGAGTTGGTTTAAGGCGTCTGTTTTTAACTGAACGTCATTCGCCTGGTTCCATAAATCATTGGCGGCCAATTCGTCTGACCGTAGTTTTTCTGCTAACCTTTTAGCATCCTCTAAGAGGGATGTGATATTATAAGCCATAGTTCTCAAGGATACTCCTCTGTCAGCGAATGAATTTGAGCTCGTTAAAAATTGAGAAAATCGAACAGAGTTCCATATTCAAAAATCACGATGTCCATATTACTCAAGAACCTTTTTCTGAGTATTTATTTTCAAAAGCGTTACTAATGTCTATTAAACATATATGTCTTTAAATAATAATAGCAAATTACAAAAATGTAATATTTATTCAATCTCCTATTATATTTAATATATTTCACACAAAACTACAACTTTATTAATAGTTTATATTTAATTCAAAATTAATAGATTTACTGTCCATTTACTTAGAAATAAAATAAAGAAAGACTTTTTAAACTGACTATAGAACAACAAAACTTGCAACAAAATCTAATTATTTCATTTTTTAACAATGCTATTCATAAATTGTTTCATTTCCATACATTCAATTCCAATTTTTTCCAAGTTGGACCTCTCTTCCGGTGTCTTGCAGTCAGAGAGTATAATTAAGCGCCGATACCAATTGTAAAAGGAATTTTCGTTTTGAAGGTTGATTAGAAACTCATACAAGGAATTTTCAGCAGATTCTTCATACGACAACATTCCCATTTTCTTATAATGATCAAATATATCTGCCACATTTGAATAGGAATTATTATTGGCACTACTATTTAGTTTTGCATGCCAATTAGTTCCTCTTCTTTTTTCTTTTATAAAAAAATTGAACATTTCTTGACATTGTTTTGGACTAAATGAGGTTGAATTTTTATCCAGTATCACTATTCCTCCATTAGGCATTATCTCTATGCACCGGTCCTCTACGACATCACTTACAGATTCAAAAAGTAAAAATCTAACTTTTTTTGAGCAACGTAATTTGCATAAGTTTGGAATATTTTCAAGGCAATTATTTTCTGCCAGATAAATGTATATATTGAGGTTAATATTTTGACTAGAATCAGAGAATGTAGGCAGATCAAAATAAGTATTATTCTGACTTTTTAACCAATCTTTCAGTTCTGCACTTTGACTGGAATGACCAAAGATTGCAAAGTACTCCAAAGATGCATCGTATTCGCATCCATTATTTTCCTCAATTTCTCCTTCTTCTTTCTCCGATTCTTGATCTAAGAGCTTAGGTGTGCTGTTAGAATTTAATAAATAATTTGAATTATCCGTTTTCACTGAAATCGAAGATTGGATCTTTACAGAGCCAGTTGTTGCGCTATCACTGTCATTACAGACAATGCTTTTTTCTTTCTCTTGGTGTTGCTTTTTATCAATTTTTAACTTTTGGGTAATCTGTCTTTTGTATTTTTTATTTGAAACTTGTGAAGAATCTTTTTTTGAGTCATGTTTGTTTTGAATTTTCAGAGAATGTTTTAAATTTTCCGATTGTAATAAAGACTTATGGGCATATTTAGAAAGACCTTTCAGTTTTCTTCTTCCTGAATATTTTCTATTGGATCGATTGTGTCCTCCAATACTCTCAAAGTCTGTTTGTAAAGCAATACAGACACTATGATATAATTTTGACGCAATATCATCCATGCAACTAGAATTGATTATTTCTTTGTCCGCATTAACTTCAGGCTTTTTGTTATTTGTAGGGTTAAAAAGAGATTGGAGAGCTGAATGATCATCATTTCCAAGATCAATTTGCTTTAACTCTTCCCTAAAGAGTGTACAGTCTTTAACAGCTAACAGAAATAATTTCCTACTCAATTGTTGAATAATGTTTTTTTTTAGGCCATTGTTTTTCAACTGTAATGCACAGTTTCGAATAATTTCGTTTTTCTCATTATTAAACTCGGCTTTTTCTCTGGCAATGTTCTTCTCAACTCGTCGACTAGCTAAACTATCGTTTTCATTCCTCCATGAATAATTCATGAGCACTCTAAGATTTCTACTGACGTTTTTCATATCAAAATCCTTGATGTGTGACGATATTGATCGTTTCAACTCGTCTAGCGGACCTTTTTTGTGTTTTTTCTTCTTCTTTGAAGAACTTTTTTCTTCTATTTGATTATTAAAATACTCACCATCAAAGATAATTTCATTGTCTACTACTTCTTTTGAATTCTCTTTCAGTTTTGTTTTCTTCAACTGATTATTTGGATCATTTTCCGACTCCGATTTACGCTTTAGCGTATTTTTCAGCAACATTCTATCCATTTTCCTTTGGAAGTCATTTAGAACTGATTCTTTAGTTTCAAAAGTTCTTTCACCTGGCTTCAATAAAGTGGTGTTTGGATTTAGTAAATCACATATGGTGGTATAAGATTTCTTTCGAAAATCAATCATCTCCTCCTGTACAACATCGTTAATGTTCCATCTATTTTAAAATTTTAAAAATGAGGAATCAAATGGAAATTAAGATTTTAAGATTTCTGGTTAGAACATACCTAGAGAGAATGAATTTTGAAACATATTTTGTAACATTTTTTCCTTTAATCACTTGATCAAGAGGTTTTTTCTTATCCCAATCAATTCGAAATTGTTGAAGAATTTTTCCAATTTCTTCAAATTTTTTTGAATTTGTAATTAGGGGACAATGACTAAGGGATTCAAAATGATTTATTTCTTCCACTAAGTCCTTACCAGAACTGGTAGTCTCAATACCTTGAATCAAAGAATTCAGTTCGGCTGCCAAAAAGGTATCGAGAGGATGCTGCATTCTTTAGAAATTATTTTCGTAATATCTAAAAGAGATAGCACCTTCAACTTAAAACTGAAAGGAAAAAAGATACATTGTAGCAGGTTATTCCAAAGCATTTACTGATCGTCATAATATTAGATTATTAACTTGTAATAGTGAAAATTGCATTATTTAAAAGCCCGAAATAATACTTTTAATTGTATTTGCTGTTTTTCAAGACCTGCCTATCTGATATTAACATTAAAATAATATTACTAAATAAAAAAACGCCTATATTCTTATTATTTATTTGTTAAGTTGCTTTGTAAAAATAGTTTTTAAACAGTATTATTATAATCTGGAATGGATATAACGAATTTAAAAAATCAAATGAAATTTTAGAACATTTTTTCACTGCAATTTAAAAACAGACAATTCATTAATATTTATAAATAAAGCGCTAATTAGACTTACAAAACTATAATATTATAGAGAAAGGGCTATTAAGTAATAAAATCCTCAGTTAAAATTGTAGTCGAAAAATTTTATTTACCTTCTATAAAATCAAATAACTGATGCAGCAAACGACTGTCTCGTGGTGTAGAAAAAAATATTTTAAGACTGCTTTATAAATCAATAATGGAGTTTTCGTAATGAGTTAGAAAATTCGCAGGGAATTATAAAATAGAAGCGAAGTGAGCGAGGCCATAGATTTTTTCTAAAGGTACACTAGTCTAAATAGATATGCAAAATGGCGGATGATATTTTTTTTCCCCTAAAGAATACTAATTGAGCAGACGACACTTCCTGCCCTATAAATATTTGTTGTTGTTTTATGACTATTGTTTCTAAATAGTATTTAGATGTCCTTAAGTTAATATTTCTTAATAAAAATAACTTTAAAGCTTGTGTGTTAAACATATAGGTTTGTTTATAGAGAAATTAAATAGACTTTACAAAAATGTTAGAGATAAACCTTTAGACATTTGAATATTAATTGGAAAGTTTTTCATTTAAAGAACAATACAGACAATTTATCTCTGTATCAGTAAATTCTAAAATTATTCATGACCGACAAACTTATTGAATACAAATTCTCTTCTTATACATAAAAGCTAAACTCTTTGCAGCATTGGCTACAGTCTCATATATACCAGAACCAAATAAATCTTTTCGCCAATCGGCAGAGACCGGGCCTCTCATTCTCATAATTTCCTCTATACTTATAGCTAAGCCGGACCATCTTAAATCGTACGTAGCTGGAGTCATGTCTTGTGCACGCAGCACATCTTCAGTTCCAACCGGAAAAGCTGGAGTGAAAGTAGTAAGATTGATGTTCCTTGCGTCGTCTCTTAAATGTAGAACGCCTAAATCAAACCACTGATCAGGTAATTGCTCAGCTAGAAAGCTATCAAAAGCTACAAATAATTGACAAGAACTATTCGATTTCCTTAGACCATCAATCTTCTGTTCTATAGATTTTAAAGCCGCCGATTGTCCAATTATTTGGACAGCTGATATAGAGAAGGTGCCCTGAAATTACTTATCTCTTATAGAATATCACACGTTATAGAATCTTAATCTTACATAGCCTTTTGCCATTGTTTGAAATTCACTTTGAAACCCTTGCCTGATCGCTTCGACCAATCTCCCATCCGAAGAGGATACCAACAGACTTATTTCATAGCCTGAGCCTAACAAATAAATTTTGGTGTTCAATAAACATTCATGAAATGAAGAGATACTTACTACTTAAGACTTGCTTCATTCCTGGGTCTAGTGTTGTTATTACAGTCTCGGATGCGTGCTTAGCTTTCTCTACAACTTTGGTCATAAAATTTCCAGAAAACCAGCCTCCAAGGAAGCTATCACTCTGAAGAGATTCGCGGGCATTGTTATCAGGAACAGCTGTAAAGTCGATCGCTTGGCTTGCTTGATAAGGTGATTGCATAGCTTTAAAAGAAGTTTATTATCATAAATTTATCAATTATTGTAATTTGCAAAGAAAAACTTAAGGAATTAACATACGAGGTGGAGAGAATTGTGCTGGTGCACCACCCACAGGAATTTGTCTGCATTGATATGTAAGATTAGTTAATTTATCTTTAAAAATTTCCATTTGTTTGGCTCTTACTGTGCTGTAACATCGACATTTTGTCCATACGACGATCCTCTGTAGATGAAGAGATATTTAAATTTTATACTCAGAAAATTGATTAAAAAAGGTTTACTGACAACGAGGTTTGTGGTCCTGCTGCTTGAGTTTCTGGTACAAACGTTGGGGGAGCAGGGGCTGGAGAATTTTGAGAATACACTCCAGAAGTTGGTAAACTAGCGGCTATAGTTTTGGAAGTTGGTACAAATCCTGAAACAGGAGGTGGAGGAGTGATATCCTTCGTATTCGTTACTCTTGTTGGGGTTGTAGAATTAGGCTGTTGCATAGAAGCTGGAGTAACGGTCGGCCTTAATTCAGGCGTCATTTGCGGTATAGGAGGCATTTGTGTCATTGCCGCCGAAGGGACGATTGGAGAAGTGGCGGTTGATAAGTTAGGTAAAGGAACTGGTGGAGCTAATCCACCTGACGAATGTGCTACAAGTGTAAAATTGTAGGAATTAATTTTTGTAATGTAATAGTATCGTTAAAAAAATCGATTTGAGAAAAATTAATCGCAATTTTTAGTATTAAAAAGATTGAGATATTTTGACATAAAAATCAGTCATATTTTCCAGTTAAGAAAGTATGGATTAATGATACTACTTCATAATAGAATAGCTTTCAACAAAAATGTTCTATGCTAAGTTTAGTATGTTGAATTTAATAAAAATGAATAATTCATATCTAACAAACTATTTTTAAAATAATAATTGGAATTACGTGTAATAAAGAGATATAACTTGCTAATAATAGTTAAATTTTTGTACAGTACAAAACCAATCTTACTTATAATCAATTTATCTATATTACTTTGTATTTTAATAAAGATTAGTTTATAGTTCTTTTGTTTTGTTCAAAGTGGAAAAGTTGTTTGCAATTATTTGTTTTGTTATGAATTTAAAGCGTTAATGTGTAATTTGAAGTAATAATTTGTATAGAATCTCCAATTTTAATACCTTCAGTAACATTTGTTAAAGCTGCCTCCTCTAATTGGCTTGCGATTTGCTGAACATCTTGATCACTTTCTTCCATCATTCTGCCCTGGGCGATAATAAGAGATAATAATAGCAAAACAATATTCATCAAAGTTGTTATATTTTTACATTATGTATACAACATTCTACTTCGATTGTATATTCATACCTTGCGATGATCATTAGGTAATGTTGTTGTAAAAATGATAAAAATACTTACGTCAAAATATAAAACGTGGCAAAACTAGATGGCGCCCCTAAGTATTCATCTGGTTCCGAACCTGGCTACTTTCAAAAAAGGCACGAAAAGACAAAATTATATAAACAAATATTTGGTTAGATAGTCCAAAATGATTTCTTAATGGCTAATATTAGTTTGTTAATACGTCTAATATTTTTTAAATAAATATTTAGATCAGTTAGGTTCTTTTAATGAAATAATATTATTACTTATCAGGAAGTTTTTATTCAAGAAAACTTCTTAAAAACAAGAGTAATTTTTATAGTATTTCATTTCAGTATTCATTCGGCCTTTTTAAATTACATTGAATGAATAGAATAATCACGATTATTCTATTCTTTTTAATTAATCAAATTAGCATCTTGAAAATGTTTTTCATGTTTATACTTTGATATGCTTATTTATGGGGAGTTTTTTCCCCACTGACGCTGTACGCTATGTCAAAATTATGTAAATTAATACGATGTTAATTGTTTTGAAAAATATAAACATTATGGTTTTGAATTTTTGATTTTTTGATTATGGAATCTGAAATTCAACCTTGGGGAGATATAGCTGTATTATTTGTTTGTGAAAGTAGGGGATATTCTTATAACGTACATTTCGTTAAAGTAAATTAATTTGTTTTTAATTTAAGATAACACAACACAGAGTACTATGGCTCAGGCTGTTATGACAAAAATTTGTATTGAAAACAATATGGAAGGTGTTATTGTTGATAGCCGTGGATGGGACTGTAAAGAGAACCTTACTCCTGATGAATTAACACTAAAAGTCCTCAATAATCATGGTATAGTTGGTCTTCAACATAAGTCCAAAAAGGTTCTCTTTTATATTTTATTAATAAATAAAGGAATAAATTTTTTAATTTACAACAGATTACACTTATTGACTTTGATTATTACGATTTTGTTATATGTATGCACGATCGTTTATTTCGTCAATGTTATGAACTAATGAATTCTAATGGAAAAGCTTGTAGGGCTTATATTAAAACTTTGAGTGATTACGATCCATATAGAGATAGAAAGTGTCCTCCTAAGAGAGAAATAGCTTATCCTTATTTTCCAGTATAAAATTAAATACAATAATATACATATATATGTTATTTAATTAGATAATTGATTTTTGAATTTAAACAGAATGAACAAGGTTACGAAGAAATGTTTAATCAAATAGAAGAATGTTGTAGGCAATTTTTTAGTTATGTTTTGTACAGCTTTGAAAGATAACATAAAAACTGTATATTAGAGTAAATTTTTTATCCTTTAGTGATAACCTAAATACAACTTTCATATCCATGCAAAATGTTGTAATTGTCTTAGAATTATTAGTGTTTGTTCCCAACATGTAGAAGTATTTTGCACGAGTTTATGTATTCAAGTGGACCAAACCACAATTACTAGACTTTATCAAGTTATATTATTAAATCGATAACTGTTGATATAATTTTAGAAACAATATTTTTTTTCCTAACTTAGTTCGAAAAAGATACTATAACCATTGTTCTTGTGGCATAACGGATAGGTCAACAACTCTCCAAGCAGCTCTTGGATCCAAAATAGTTTGATCTCTGCACAGAGCCCAAACATGAAGTACTCTCATAACTTTATCCTAAAAGGAGAAAACACAGAATTTATCATAACTTAACAAATGTTTGAATAGTAATTTTACCGCTTCTCCTTCAACAACAAATCCCTTAGTATCCCTTGCACAAAAAATTTGTTGAGCGTTAAAAGTTATTATCAAAACTGGACCTTGCTCCATCATTTTTCCCGAAACAATCTGAAAATTAAAATTCTTCATGAAAAGTGAATAGAAGAGAATAAACTATAACTTACATCAACCTGTCCAACGTCTAATACTGTATTTTCAAAGACATATCCTTTTTTTATGGCTTGTTGAATAGGGTGGGCTATCGTATTGTAAGCAGCTTCATGGCACCAATCTTCCAAAATCTCCAAATCAGGTCTTACTATTGCCTCTAAAACGTTAGGAATGATATCTTTCTCGCACTGCTTTATGAAGGCGATTTGATCAAAATTAGGATCCATCTTAGTTATTTCCGTTATAACTTCAGACATTTCAGTTTTAGAAAATACGTTACCTACGAAGTAAATTTTAATGAAATAATATTTTATTAATCAGTATAATCAGTAAGAAAGCTATATACCAAATATATCGGTAAGTTTGTCTGTGATAGCTCTTGTTGTTCTTACCATGACATTGTCACTTTCATCATATTTCGTTTTCATATCGAAGAGCTCTAAAAGCAATGAAAATAAACATGACAGTTTATTCATCTTAAATTAAGTCTTAAACAATATTTTTGAAAGAATATAGTTGATAACTTACTTGTAACAAATTGGTTATTTTCTTTGAAATTCTGCCATGATTGAAAAAACTTGGAGTCCTTATGCATTACAACGCCTGTTGCATCTCTAGAATGATGGAAAACGTACGGTCATTGTTAGTATTATAATTGGAATCATAACTATTTACTCGTTTGCTTCGACATGTCTTTTAGATTGTAATGAATTGTCAGATCTTTTTCGTAAGACTTTAGGTTCTTTATAGAATTGACTTTTACGAATCGTTGCGTCGTTTATTTCTTCTGTAACGGCTTTAACTCCCTATTTGAGCAAATTATAGGAATAGAAAAATCTACCTAATTTTCTAAATCAGTTACCTGTGATACAGTCTTAAAAATAGCTGTTTGTCCTATTTGTTCACCGCTTTTTATAACATTCTCCCCCATTTTAGAGGCAGAATCAACTACTCCTTTGCCAATTTTCATACTTTTTTTTATGCCTTCTATTTTTTCAGCTTCTTCTAAAGTCTATAAAGATAAAGCGCATATTAATAGGTCAATTACACAAAGTTAGTAAGAAAAAGATTTAACCTTTTTAGCCTTATCTTTTAACTCATCAAACTTTTCCTTTAATACTTCTGAGCTTTTTGCTGTTTCTTGCTCAATAGTTTGCTATTGTATTAAAAAAACAAATTTTATTATGTTTGAACTAGCACATTCTAAACAAATACATATTTCTCACGAGCTTTCTGCAACGCTTCTGACTGCTCTAGTTTTTCTGCTTCTTTTCGGAATTTCTTTAAGTTTTCCTTTAAAAATGTTACGCAATCAAAAAGTGCTCCAATGCTACAGCCTTAAAAATCATTTTGCTTACCTTCATTTCTTTATTTTTTGACATGTCCTGCTTGATATTATCTATAAAATCTTTAAAGAATCCCTTGCTCGAGTAGCATCGAAGTTGCTATCACATGTTAAAAAATTATTTCATCATTTTCAAATAAATGATGAACAAAATATGCACTAGGATAGTTAATGAAATTTATAGGACTTAATGTAAATGGATTTATCTTTGAATAAAAATTGCTTTTGAAAGAAGTTTTTTCTTACTACGATATAATTATAAAATAACTTTGTATCTTTTTAAGAACCCAACGAAAAAGTACTTTTAATTGAGTTATTGGTGAAAGTACAATATGTTAAAAGGTAATTTGTTACCATTAAAATAGTTATTAAAATATTTTTATTACGTGATCTGTATAAAGCTCTTACTTGGTTATTTGCAGCTACATTTGCCGATTTTCGAAAGATGTGCCTGAAGGTCGCCATTTTTTTCACAATTCAATCGTAAAACATACATAAGGTAATTAAGATAAATCGTAAATATTAAAGTTTAAATTTCTAAAACAAAAGTTAAGTAGAGGTAATATTTAATAAAGCATATCTTTAACTGATAAAGCAATTGTAATAAGAATTCACATAGTAAATTTTACGCATAAAAACTAAAAATAATTGGAAAAAATGTTGGATGAAAATATCTAGTCGTAACATTTAACGAATGTTTTGCCGATTTTGCTAAAGAAACATGGAAATTTAAAAACTTATCTGTAAAGTTGGATACTTCATATAAACTTGTAAGTATTTTTATACTTTTAGACTAGGTACAAGAATTTTTTGATGTTACCATTACATTAAATTGCTAACTAATGTTCTTATATGATATATATAAAATATAGAGCGATGATACAGTATTTTGTTTCAGATACAAAATGACTTCGACGTTCAGTACTGACAGTTCCGCTCAGCTTCTTATCAAGTCTTTAATAGCATACGATGCTATAAATGAATCAGAAATTGCAGAAGTGTATGAATTTGAGCGAACGCTTCAGTGGATAAAAGAAAATAATCTTAAAAGAGTAGCTTTACAATTCCCTGATGAGTTACTAGTTGATTCCATAAACATTTATCAAAAATTAGAGGAGCTATGCGATATACCGTTATATCTTATGGCTGATACTACTTTCGGAAGCTGCTGCGTTGATGAAATTGGAGCTGAACATGGGGTTTGTGATGGAATTATTCACTACGGATCAGCTTGTTTGAGTTCAACAATCAGATTCCCTTCACTCCATATTTTCGGTCGAAGGCGCTTAGATATTGAAGATTTTATGAAACATTTAAAATCGAATTATCGCGATAACAATGTGAAAACGTTAATTTTTGCAGAAAGTGCCTATACATATGCAGTTGACACTATTTTATCAACTGTCCAAAAAGAATTTAAAAACATGAGGTAGAACGCAAGATTCAATATTTCTATTTAATGATTATATTAATTTTGTATTTTAGGTCCATCCAATCATCTTGTCATGTTGAAGGGAGCGAAGGTGAAGAAGGACTTTTTATTGGAAGCGAGGAAAATGGTATGTTACCTCGTCTTACACTTCAGTACAACCATCTTCAGTGGTCAACCTACGATCCTCAAACAAAAAAATTCTTAAAACATTCTACAATCCCTCGTAAACTGATGATGAAACGTTTCCATTTGGTAGAAAAAGCAAAAGACGCACGAATTATTGGCATATTAGTTGGAACTCTTGGAGTTAAAGGCTACAATGAAGCCTTGGATCATATCAGAACATTAATTAAAAAAAGGGGAAAGAAATGCTATACACTAGCTGTTGGCAAGCTAAATCCAGCTAAGCTAGCAAACTTTCCAGAAGTTGACGTCTTTGTTCTAGTGGCCTGTCCGGATACTGTTTTAATTGATTCAAAATCATTTTATAAACCTGTATTAACTATGTATGAACTTGAACTAGCTCTGAATAGCAATCGAGATCCATCTGCTGGTTTCGAATATGTTGCTGAGTTTTCGAACCTTCTTCCTGGAGGGAAAGAATACGTGGAAGCCTCAGAAACGGTAGAAGACGACGAATGTGCTGACGTATCACTTATAACCGGTGGAATAAGATACTTATCGAGTAGGACTGATGATAGTGATGAAACATCTACAAATCAAGCTATAACCACGAGAGCTCCTCTTGGCGTTGCAACATACGCAAGAGATGCTGGGGAATTTCTTGAAAATAGATCTTGGAGAGGTCTAGAGCAAAAATTAGGTGAAACTCCTGTGTCTGAAATTAAAGAGGGTCGACGTGGTATAGCCTTAGGTTATACACACGAACCCTCTTAATCTTCCTGTGACACTTATCCGTTGAGTATCCCTTCCGACTTCATCCGAAAAATTTCGTTAATTAACAATATAGAACTAATAAATCAATTTACATATGTATAAATATAAGTTGTTCAAAATGATCTATCCTAGTTGTAATCTTTGATTTGATATAATCTTGCAAATCGAAGATAAGGCTCTGGTTTAAGTCAATAGATGGCGCAGGTTATTACTTACACGTGTCGTCTGCTATCGGGAAAATATATAGAAATACGGAGGAGATAGTTGTGCTCTAGCTCTTGCAGTCATAACAAGGATGGGCAATAAAAGAAGAATTCCACCAACCCAAAGAAATGCTAATTCAGTAAAACCTGTTGGAGAGAAAAGAAGTCTGTTTCGAATACTGTCAAATAGTGTGCAAGGAAACAAAGTTCATTGGTCGTTTATATTTGTATTAGGTAAGTATCTGTCAGATATAGGAACATAGTAAACTATACATAGTATATTTATATTTACTTATTTTGTCTAATAAACTGATCTTTATAGCTGTCGGTGCGGGAGTATTACATTGGTAAGTGATCTTTTTTATTTCTATTTGGAAAAAATACGTTATTTAATATTCTTAATAGTTTAAAAAACAAAATGTATACCAATACATATGATAAGAATTTGAAATATAAAATAAACAACATTTGATATTTATAGATAATATATTGAAATTAGTTTTAAATTTTATTTACTATAGATTAAAGTAATGAATTATTAATTAGCTACCCATTTTCCCTATTTGGAAATTACCATTGTTTTAGTAATGAATTAATAAGAAAAAAGGGTTAAAAAGGGTCCTTAATTGGAAAAAAAAGGGAGCAATAAACGTAAATTAAAAAAATATTGTTGTATCAAATAAAACTATTCGGGTATCTAAAAACTTTAATACTTGTAAATGTATTGAGATAATAGATTGGGCTACTTAAGTAAACAAATAGAGTTTGTCAAGCGTGAAAGCGAATAATTTAGTGTGAAAGACTATAATATATAATTTGTCAATAGTGAAAATCGAGAATCGATAAAAAGAATACCTTGGAAACCAAAAGAATATCAATATTATACATTTTTTAAATCCTACCGTAAGGGAGAAGAAAAATCATTATGATAATCTTAAAAAAGAGTTCGTTCAAAAATATTCTCAGGCAACTATTTTATTGAATATATATATACAGTATATGATAAGTGAGTTAAAGTCCTAAATTAAAGGCGAAAAAATTATTCAGTATCTAGAAAATGATATATCTTAATAAATTGATAATTAGAAAGAATCAGACATCAATGCTAAGAATTAAGGAGGAGAGTAAAATATATGATACTATTTATAGACAGTTAGTAAAGGTAACAGGATGTATATACATGTATATATTGATTTGCCCAAACGCTAACTGCTGCCACGGTCAATAATTTATTTATGAAATTCCATACTTATTGCCGACAAACTCAGCCTTGAACGCCTATGGCTGATCGATTTCCTTGCTTTTAAACCTTTTATGTAACAATATACCGAATGGGAGGACAAATGTTGCGTTTATATTCGTTTCATAGCTTATTTTTCAATTATTCAAGAGACGTTAAGTTTGTCTTTTCGAAGGCCCTACTTAGAATGTAAAATAGTAAAGTTGTGGGAATATTATAATCTATCGGAGAAAGCAAATCAACAAGGGTCTTCAAATATTCATGAAATTTATTGCGTAATACTTTGGAAAAACTAAAAGAAATGGAAAAATTTGTTTTGCTCTCGAATCTAAATTGAAAAAACTCATTTTTTTCTTTTCTTTTTATTTTTAGTTTAGGAAGTAGCCCAATTAAAGAATTATCTCGGTTAATAGAGCGCGTTGATTGGCTGGTTTAATTAATTTGAATTAACTGATAATGAATTTGAAAATTAAGGGAAAATATTTTTAGATTAGCTATTTACAGAATGAGAGAGAGAGAGAGAGAGAAGAGAAAATTATAGACCTTAAAGAGTAGGGAAAAGAGAGGGAAAAATTTATGATATTAGGTAAAAATTGTATTTAGATATCCAATTAGGGACTTAGGATAAGGAACGTCTACAAGTATTATTTCTAACGTGCTAAATCTTTTCATCCTAATGTTTTTACTCCATTGTAGGTGGCATATATCGACGATATTCGAGAACCAGATTCGTTTTTCCTATCTAAGTAATTTAGAAAGGGAAATGTTCTTCCGAACGGAAATGGTAAGGTTTAGAATTTTTTTTCTCCTCTTGACGGCAGAAAGAAGCAGCAAGCCAACAATCGAATTCGCTGGAGAGTCAATTTATCGTTGAGGAAGGAGCCCTATTAGATTTTCCCCATCCCCAGTCCCTTTCTATACAGTCATACAGTTATTCGAGTAGTGTCAAAAATGTAGGCGGCTATTCTACTTAGATTTCTCGTACCAGAGAGACTTTATGCTACGTAACTCTTAACTTAATAGACACTTTAATTAATACCCAATTTAGACCATTTTATTTACTTTAAAAACTCTTTATTCTCATAAGAAAATGAAAAATTATCGATAACTTTCCATCATCATTTTTATTATCTACTGAAATGATGTTAGTAATTATAGAATAGCAGCAAAATGACAAAAGGGAGTTGTATTAGTTATCCTATTCATATTTCTACGTTATTTTTTCTTTCTTCTTTATTTTCATTGTTTCGTTTTCTTTGTATCAAACGAGAAGCGAGATGAGACAGGAAGAAGAAAAAGATAAATTAGGTATAAATGCTCATACGTATTTTATTCTAGATGTATAGAGGACGTAAAACAGATTCTATTGGATTTTTTTTCTTCTCGAAATAATTTATTCCAAACATCGTCTCAACCTCTCAGTCTCTCGCTCATTCTCTCTCTCCCTCCCTCCCTCCCTCCCTTTCTGTGTGTCTGAGTTTGTCTGTTTGCCTGTCTCTCTCTCTCTCTCTCTCTCTCTCTCTCTCTCTCTCTCTCTCTCTCTACGTCTCCTGCTATATGTTTATAGCCCTTTATATTATAAAAAAGAGAGCGATTGCGTGGTATTTTACTTGTAAATAATAGATTATAAATATATAAAAATACTCTTTTTAAAGTATAATAAAAACTTTTATATTTTTTTGTTGTGAAGAGTTTGATAAGAATGGATTTTCATTAAGTATTTATATATTAATCGTTTAAATGTATATAGAGGTTAGGTTTAACAAGAAAGTAAAAGAGGAAGAAAGAGAGAAGGATGCAAAATAACATGTTACATAATCGTAAAGAATAAAAAAAAATTCTCGTAGCTATAAATAGTTTGTCAGAAAAAAATTGACATTCATTTTTTATTGTAAGCTGATTACTACTTCGAAAAGACTGTAAGAAATGCAATTGCATATCTAATGGTTGCTTGTCTTTGATGTATAACCTGTTAATTATGTAATTTTAATGGTTAGTCTACAGAGGAAACGTTGACTAACTGTTTTATCCTTAAAACATCTATAATATCTACAGTATATAGAAGAATAGCGTATAGTATTTATATATAAATTAAGATGACGAAAAACTGACACGCAATATTTACGTGTCTTTTAGTATCGTGTTTGTAAAATACTTTATTATAAGTAGATATATAATCTAGGGCTTATATTTATAAATTGAAAGGAGATAAAAAAAACCAACAAACTAAACAAGAAGAGTTTTTCCTGTACTAAATTTAAGAGCATTAGTAAGTCTTTAATGTAGCCGCTAATTGTATTGTTCTAAATTAAATCCTTCCTGTAGCTTTCTCTCGTGAGCATTTCATCTATCGAGCTGTTGATATGTAATTTATTTTAGGAATGCTAATTTTAACTGTATTGACCATCGAGTTTTCTATATTGAATTATCCATATGATTTTAAGATATTTTATTCGATTCACCTTATTTGCTAAAGTTTTAAAAGAAAAAAATCTGATCTATGATAAAAAAAATGTCATTTTTTTTAACAAGTTCTTTTTTTGTACCTAATGACTTATTGCTCGTATACAGTATAGTAATAAGATGCTCTCTTTCCCCTTAATCTTCTTATTTAAATTTGTATATTGGGAAAATTGACAATTGTATTTATTATATTTACTCTATATTTTTGTTTTTTTTCTTCCATGTAGGGTTTATATTACTCATATTTCAAAATTATTGTTGAGTCTAAAGAAGGATGGATTGGTGGTTTGCATGAGATAACAAACGACAAACTCACAGAATTTCCCAATGAAATAAATACACTACAGAGATTTAATCTATGGCCGGAAGTTGTATTGTCAGGTGCTTTTAAGGTCTATAATCGTTGGCAAAGTTGGAGGGGAGTTCAGACAAGATTTTGCTATAACACATTTAGGTAAGTTAAACATTTTGTTTATTAAAAAAAAAGGAAAGTATTTTTTTTTTATAAAAAAAAAATTTGTACAAAAATTAAAATTAAAAATTTTTCTCAATTTTAAGATTACTGTTAAGTTAATTTTCTATTTTATCCAATTTTACGCGTAAATTTAAAGTTAGGGTTAGGGAACGTAGATATTTATCATTTTCATTATCGAACGCTAAGGAACAGAGCGGCAATAAACATGAAAAGCGCGTGAATTTTTCATGAATACGACTATAATTGCGGCGTGTCAATAGATGAAAGACTTGTAGATTGTTGTACAAATATAAGGGGAAGGATGACACTCTATTTCCTGTTATGATGTTCATTTAGATGTATATAAAAAAATATACGAATGAAACTAACGATAGAACATATAGAAAGGAAAAGGAAGAGACTAAAAAAAAGTGGAGACGGAAGAAAATGAAATAAAATATAGATTTTTTTTTATTATTTATTTAATTATTTTTTACTTATTGTTTATAGGGGAGACGACCTTGCAGACGTTCTTAGCTGCGAGGGGCTTGGAGATCCTATGATTTTCTATACCAACGCCATCTGGATTTTAAATGGTGCTATGATGACTATATTCTTTCTTTTTGCCTCATATTTATCCGAGGGGAGTTCCTTAGGTTATTATCGAATGTATATATATATAGAAAATATCTGTACAGAAATTTTTTTTATTTCCATTTTAGGTGGTGTTGTTGCGACAACAGCATTTTTCTTTAATCATGGAGAATGTACTAGAGTAATGAACACACCTCCGTTACGGGAGAGTTTCGCATATCCATTCTGTATTTGCCATATGTTTGTTGTCACAATGGTCTTAAAGAGGAAAAATCCAAGCTATTGGCTATCAGCAATACTGGCGATAACTACTGTTTCATTTATGTTGCCATGGCAATTCGCTCAATTCGCACTTTTAACTCAGCTATTGGCTGTATTTGGTGTTCATGCAATCCAATATACTAATAGGAATAATACTGTGAAATATTTGGCAGGAATATGGGCAGGGTTTATTATTTCCTTTGCTTTCCTTCTTGGAAATAAGATGTTAATAACTTCATATTTCTTCTCCGCATTAATAAGTGTTTCAATATTGATTTATTTGGAGAAAATATCACCAAAATTCCTATGGTTTCCCATAGCTGTTCTTATTAAAACTCTATTTGTTTTACTGGCATCAATCTGTTTCAAAATGGTCCTATCACGTTTGTTAAACATTCAAGACGACGCTCACATTTCAGATATACTTAGGAGTAAATTTACGGATTATAGGGACTTTCATACTATGCTTTATACATGCGCAGCTGAGTTCGATTTTCTCCCTATGAAAACTGTAACAGATTTATGTAAAACGCTACTTGTACCAACTGCAGCAATTTGCTGTATTGTAGTATTGATTTACGTAAGTATTTTTTAAATTTTATAGTTTTTTTTTAATGTTGAATATTTTCTTGTCTTTTATAAATCTATAGCATCTTAAAGATGAATATACCAAGTGGAGAATGAACGACAATAATGCAGAAAGAACTGGAGGGGAAGTCATATACAATATACTGCAACTATGTGCCTATACTTTAATGGCAGCAATTATAATGCGGTTGAAACTTTTCTTTACTCCTCATCTATGCCTAATATCGGGTCTAATTGCTTCCCCAAAATATTTTTCATTCATAAAGAAGAAGAGCCTTTATTACGGATTGATATTTGTCGTCTTAGCTCTTATGGCTTACGAGGGGAAAAAGAATTTAGAAGTAGAATTATCAAGAACAGGAGAATATTCTGATCTTCAAACTGAAGGTTTATTCGATTGGATAGAAAAGAAAACTAAAAAATCAGCCGTCTTTGCGGGACCAATGCCGACAATGGCTAATATTAAACTATCAACCGGAAGGCCGGTGGTTAATCATCCGCATTACGAAGACTCAGCATTAAGAGAACGAAATAAAAAGGTTTATTCTATTTTCTCAAGGAGGGCCACTAAAACAGTATATGCAACCCTACGAGAAATGTACGTTCAATATGTTGTAATTGCTCATCACTGGTGCTTCGGATCATCGAAATCCGGATGCTCTATGTACGAAAGCTGGGATTTAGAGGAACCAAACTTTAAAAATCAACCAATTGTATGCAAGAGTTTAATACAAAATGGTAAATCGGAATATTTCGAAAAGGTTTTCGATAATCAACAATATTCTGTTTTCAAATTAAAAAATCCAAGACTATTTAAAAAATGACCTACTACTTAAGTGTTTTACAATTATTTCGTTATGATTTAACTGTTGAACCTTTTTGTTCTTTCATTTTTTTCCTATTTTTCTTTTAAATATACAAGATATTTAAATATATTTAGTATTTTGTATATACTTACAATAATATCCTTTCTCTTTCCTAATTCACGGAAACTGACTTTAAAATAATCGATAATATCAATAGTTCGAAAGCTATTTATATATTTCCTCTTTCTCTCTTTTTTTTACCTCCTCCAACACCTTTTATCGTTGTATCCGAAAAAAAACCACTTACAGTTGTTTTCTATTAAAATGACCTACTTTTTTTTATTAGTTTTCTTTTTTTTATTGTTTAAAAATGGATTAGGTACAATGTTTTTTTTTTAATGCATTATTCCCAAAGCAAGCATCTTTTCTTCCAAACTTTCTGTTTCTCTTATTTTCCGTTTTAATTCAAAAACTTTTGGTACTATTTCAATTAAATCTTTTAAAACTCCTATTAGTAGAATTCTACAATAGTCTTCAACTAGTTTTTTATCAATTTTATCAATGCTGATAAAATGAGGTGGTTTTTGGTTTTTTATTACTTCACCTTTCTTTAATTCATTTTTAAAAGGGTAAACATTTAGTTGGGTTCCAGTATCCTTTGAAAATTGTTGAAAAATTTTTAATGCCTTTTGCAAACAATCCGCCTGTTTTCTCTTCTGATTTTCCTTCCTTCTCTTTTTCTTACCCTTTTTTTCTTCTTTTGTAGGAGGCCGATTAGTTAGCAGCATCTAAATAATATAGTAAAATAAGAATAGGAATCAGGGGCGAAGGAAGAAAAGCGTTGGATAAGTAAAAGTTTTCATACCTGCTCTAAATTTGGGACGCGTTTTCCTTTATCGATTTCCTCGTCTGAGAAACTTTTCTCCGATAATTCTCTTATAGGTGTAAAAGTCGGTTTTGGAAAGATAGGTTCAGGTAATTCTGATCCTTCTATGCTTTGTTTAAAAATTGGATCAGGCTCCTCCTCTGCCCATATTATTCTTGGAGGTGGATTTAAAAAAATATCCTCACAATTCGAAGATGCCATCCTATTTTAATAAAATATCGATAAACTAGAAAAGTATGTCAGCTTTTCACGTTTATTAATAACAATAAAACAAAATACATCTTACTTTATTTACGATTAAAAACAAAGCTTCTAAAATTGATATCTTCTTGGAAACTCGTCCTGCTTGACTAACTTGATGTAACTGGATAGCAAAACTAAAGTACTCACCCATGAGTTCTTAAGAATTAAAGTAGGACAGAGATTAGGCCAAAAATAAGATTTATAAACAGTACACCTCAAAAATATATATAGATATGGAACACTAAGTAGTGACGCTTCACTGTAAAGGAGATAGGATGGAAAGCTATTTAATTAATAATAATATCTTAATAAGAAAATATATCTTTTTCAATAGATATTGATATTAGCGAGCGGAAGAATATATTCTATTCTTCAATTTTACTATAAAACTTACTAATTTAATTACTTTCGAATTGAGGTCAGACTTATGAGAGGCTTTATAATCTTTATAGCTGAAATTATGTTCTTTCAAAATTATTCCTTTATAATATAATTGGCAATTAGCTGAGCCAATAATACGAATGATTTGTAACTCATCCTCTAAACCAATTAGAAACTTAATGTTGCGGAACAAAACGTGTAAAAAGACACTTGGAGATTCTTTAATGTCTAGATGAAAGATAGGAAAATTTTTCATGAGGATTAAATTGATATATTGTAAAAGATCGTATGAGAAAAGTGAAGGAAAACGAAAAAGAAGAAGAGTAGAGATGGAATAAGAAATGAATATTAGTAATAAACAAATAATTTTGCAATGGAAAAAGTATTTGTTAAGTGAGATATAAATATATTATATTTATCTTAAAATTTTATAAATTGTTCACTTAAGAACGAAATAAAGCCTGCAGTAAGTCCCTGAGATCTAATGATATACTTACTGCATACGAATAGAATAACTTTTCCAAAGTCACCATATATTTTTTTATCTATCACCACCGCCATCTTGTTGTACCCGTAAATATATTTTTTTTTGTCTATGAACGAATTACAACGAGTCAATGAAAGTATTGGTCTTATTAATCACTATTCGCCTGATAATGATCATAAATTCTTTTGAATAAAGAATTCAATGGTAGTCCCATAACGTTAAAATAATCTCCCTTAATTTCTTCAACAAGGGATCCTCCAAGGGCTTGAATACCATATCCACCAGCTTTATCCCTGAATACAAAAAACAAAATTTAACGTAAATTAGCAAATTCATTCAAGTAGTTGAACTATAAAGTAGTTTATTACATAGATTCTCCAGTTGAAACGTATGCTTCAATAGTTTTTAGGTCAACGTTCGAAAATTTTACTTGTGTTCCACAATGAAAACGTTCAATGTTTCTTTTTCCTCCTAGTGGAATAATTCAGATTTATAGGTTAGTTTATTGAGGATTATAAATAACTTACCTTCGTTAAATATTAATGTGACACCAGTATATACAACATGACTTAGCCCCCGGAATCTGTATTATTAAATTAGCTCGTTTAGTTAGTCAACTTTCCTTTGCTATTTTAACAACCAAAATCACTTTACCCTTTTAGCATCTCAACCGCATCTTCCATTGAACGTGGTTTTTCAAAAATTTTATCATTCATGGTCACTATTGTATCAGCGGCAATAACCAAATCAAATTCCTGTAAAAGAATAGAATAAAATAGGTTATTATTATTGTCATTATTTTAAAATCATTTAATTACTTTTCCTTCATTAATCATGCGATCAACAACTTCTAAGCCTTTATGATATGATGTATCAATAGCATATTCAAACGTGTCTTTATAGGTTGTCTTGTCGAGATTTTCTTCGAACTTTGACGGAATGATATCAACCTTTAAACCCTGAATGAAAAGTATAGCATGATAGAAATTTTAGGTAAAATAATTAATTGAAAAGAAAGTAGAAGCTTACTGCATTTGAGAGAATTTCTTTTCGGCGTGGCGATCCACTGGCAAGTATTATTTTTTTCGATCTTATTATATGAGCGATTGATAAAAGCATCTTTTCTTCAACAAATTAACAAATTAATAAATTGAACAAATTGTTAAGCAATATGTATTACTCTTGAATTGTGCAATAGTTTTGAAATTGATATATGAGCGTCTGCTAACGTAAAATGTTTTCGTAAAGGTTTTAGAACACCGAACCCGTTTTTTAGACAAACATTTGGTATGCGTTGTCAACGACAACAAATCATAGCCGTCGTTCCCCCTAAACAGAAATTGTCAAGTGATTATTTGAACTTGATTTTGTTCAAAGTTTGATATTACATAGTAATTGTTGGTGTCTTAAAAGTCAAGATGAGCCACTTGGAAGGAGGGTATGTATGTTTTCTCTAATTGAAAGAATCATTTTATATGAAATACACTCAACAAAACTGAAATTAGAAATTCATATGAAAGTAAACTGTGTTTGTTTCACAGGCCATTGTCAGCTTATAATAGCTTGTTAGATCCCCATCTTGCGGGTTATTTTTCTAACGACAAAATGAGACGTCACCTTAGACGATCAGGACTGGTAAGAAATAGATAAAAGATATATATGGAGAATATTTTTTTTAATTATTGATTATTTTCTTTAAATTAGATTACTAGAAATGGGAACATTATATCGGAAAATTCATATAGAATAAATATGGCTAAAAAGGAACATAAGAAGCATGTAAGAGATCTTTTAGCTCAAGCAATTGTTCATAAAACCTTAGACGTGGAGAGAAATCGACAAGTAAGTTAACGTCTTTTTCATTATATCGGACTAATCAATCAAAAATTTACCTCACGTAGGTTCTGGTAAAGAAAAAACTTGAGGAAATATCAAAAATTGAACTTGTTAGAAGAGTAAAGGTATGTAAATAACAGTGGTTATTATAATCGATATCTATATATCTATAAATACTATACATATATATCTTTTTGGTACAATCCTATATTCTCGTCATATTGCCATAATATATAAATATTGAATCAATAAGTAACGGAATTTGAAAAAACTAATCAAAAACTATACTTATTCAAAAAAAAAAGAAAGAGCCAGCTTCATGGTTTTTGATGTCTAGACGTATGAGACCAAGAAAACCTAGAAAACAGCAAGCTATTAATCATTCAACTCAAACGGTATTCGATCAATTATTCAACCTCTTTAAAAATCACTAGGCTCGCTATGCACATACGGTAATGCTTGACATAGTTGTTTATATTTTTTAATATAAAAACATAAGATCAATTACTTGCGGGGGTCCAATTTCTTACTTTCACATTATATCACTTTTTATATATGCTGGTTTACTTGTTCTTTAAAGAATATCAAATGTTATTCATACTGCTTGTTTTAAATAGGCTGATCGCGGAAGGAAAGGTGATGAAGAGATCCTACCATATCTTAGCCCTAATTCACGAAAGCCAAGACCTTCCTCCGTTCCTGCTAGACGACCAGAAAGTGGTCGCTCAAGTCAAACGGAAAGTGAAAGGGTATACGTTATTTATTGAAAGAAATTGTTAAAATCGCTAAACCTTTTTATTTTCTTTTAGTATTCTACCAACGATAGCATATCTGGAAGGCGACGCCCAAGTTCTAGTGTCGGCTCAAGAGGAAGGGTTGCCTATCCAAGTGATGAAATTGATGACAAACATCTGCGCAGTGTGAGCCATCCATTTAAAATAACTTCGATAAATTAATTATTCCCTTTATAATAAAATCCTTCTTTCCGTTTAAAATAAATAGCTCCCAAGAAGATCATTAGAAAATTATTTTAGAACACAAAACCTTGATGGTGACCAAATACCTTCACCTTATACGTATCCTCATTTTAATGGACTAATGGCTCCATCACCACCAAAAGCCACCCCTCGTGGTTCAGGCAAGAGGAATACTAGAAAATCAAAAAAGGCTCACGTTCCGAAAGAGACGAATGAAACTAAGGAAGAAGCAAGTATTGAAGGGAATTTAATGCTCCATAGATGCGAACCAGCTGTAAAATACCAAGAAAAAATGCAAACTTTTGCAACAGTAGCAATGCACTATTTTGGTCGAGATTTAAAATTGGACTATGAACGTTTTGACGACGGAAAAGATGAAATTGTTGTTGAACAACAACACTGTGGCGGTAATACATTGATTGTATTTAAAGAACGGCTAGCTTCCAACAGTGACTTTAAGTTTTTCTCAAGACGTCACAAAGGCTTCCCGTTTTCCTTAACCTTTTACATAAATGGAGTTAAAGATAGCAGGATAAGCACTTGTTGCGAATACAAGCATTCTGTTGGAAGGCATCTAGGTTGCAAGAAAGGCCATTTTGGTATGGTTAGTGTTGAAGGAGCAGCACCGTGTTACAAATGTCTGGTTGGAGAAAAGCTAAATCAAGAAAGTAAGAAAAAGAAAAGGAAAACTAAAAAAGCCCCCCGAAGTCCCCAAACTAAAGAAGACGACATTAAAGTACCTGTCTCTGAAACTGGAAGAGAAAATAAATATTCCAACAATCGTACATCTTCGAAGAATAAAACTCAACAATCTAACGATCCTGCATTGAATGTTCCCATAGAAGGTGATATTCCACCTAATTATGAAGGTAAGAGATGCTATTTTCTTCTTTCTATCCAAAATTTCTTTCCTCTTTTAATTTTCGAACATCTTCCATGATTGAACCGTAGTTTAAATAGTAGATAATTACTTAGATAGTAGTTCTGAGTGGGAAACTTTAAGTGAGGGAAGTCCAAGGGAAGAAATATCTCGTAGGCGAAAGTTGAAAGCAAAACTGATTCAAACTGGGGAGAGTACTGATGAAGAATACAAGATGAGAAGAGAGAGAAAGTTAAAAAAAATGTTAAGGCTAAATTTACAGGAGAATTATGATGAGGAGGAACAGCTTTTAAAGGAAAAATGGAGTGCTTTAAATGAGAGTACTGATTCTAATAAAGAGGACGGAATTGATGAGGAAACAAAAACAGCTAAAGCTACAACAAATACTGAGGAAAGTTCAACTTCAGCTACCAAAACAAGAGATACCCATAGTCGTCAGTCTACAGAAGCTACATCATCCCAAACTAGAACTAATGACTCAGGATCTGACTCTGAAAGTGATCAGTCTACTACAATTGCAACTGCAGCAAGTCGAACAAATGCGACTTCGACTGAGAGAACTATGGAAACCGGATCTTCTTCATCGGAAAGCGAAGATAGCAGTAGTTCGTCTTCAGATTCAGAATCAGAATCAGAATCAGAAAATGAAACAGAGACACAAACGGAAACAGCAACACCAACAACAGCAACCAGTAAGACTACGAGAACTGAAAATACAAATGATTCTGACTCTTCAGAATCGGCAACGACTTCAGTGACTGAGAGTAATACGAAAACAGAAGCAACAACACCAACAACAGCTACAAGTAAGACTACGAGAACTGAAAATACAAATGATTCTGACTCATCAGAATCGGCAACGACTTCAGTTACTGAGAGTAATACAAAAACAGAAGCAACAACACCGACAACAGCTACAAGTAAGACTGCGAGAACTGAAAACACAAATGATTCCAATGCTTCTGAATCGGCAACGACTTCGGTTACTGAGAGTAATACAAAAACAGAAGCAACAACACCGACAACAGCTACCAGTAAGACTACAAAAACTGAAAATACAAATGATGCCGATGATTCTGAATCGGTAACGAATTCAGTTGTTGAAAGTAACTCGAGAACCGATGGAAATATCTTTGTAGAAAGACGAGAAAACACTGATATAATAACTCGAGATAAATCACTTTTGAGCCGTCCTCAGTCAACTTCTTCATTGAAATCAGTTTTGAAATATAAATCTGATACAGAATCTCAAAGTAACAGAAGAAATTCATCAGCTAGGGCAAGCGTTAAATTCGAAGAACAACCAAAACAACAGAAGAGTTAGTCTATCACTCGAAAAGTCAACACAAAAGCGTCACTCTTTCATATGACTCGTACTCGATTTAAATTCATATGCTTTCCTTAGGCTATTTATCTATTATGCTTGCTTCCATGCTTTCATGCTTTCAAAAACCTTTTGCATAGGTATCCACGACGATCGAGAGAGCAGCAATGAGTCTTCGGACGAAGATTCCAACCATTCCGGGCCAGAACATATAGAAGACCCAATAGATGAGACCAAAAAAGGTTTCGTCGCTATCTTTCGCTTCTTTTATAGCTTTATCAATCAAATTAAATTATAGAAAGAACAATTTATTTTTATTTTCTGAGAAAAGAAGTTAATTAATTTTTTTTTTCCAAATAATAGAAGAAAAGTATGAAGATGACTTTGAAAATCACGATGAAGGTTCAAGAAACGATTCAAGAAATTCAGAAACTAGTACTTCTTCGGATTCAGATGATTCAAGTAGCAGAGCCTCTTCAGACGAATCAGACGCATCAAAAACTAAGAGTAAGTCTTTAATTCATCAAAAAAGTATATTTTAAACAATATGCTTAGCCTTTTGAAATTAGACTTATTTTTTTTTAAAAAAACAATTATGATTTTTCTGCCAACACCGCTTTGATATAGTTAATTAATCAATAAGAAACGCTTTCAAATATTACTATGTTATCAAAACAACTAATAATACTATTAATATATTCCATATAATTAAGTTTAATTAATGCTTTAAAGCAAATAGAATAAAAAAAGAATAGTCTTTAAGGTTTCGGCTTTAAAAAAAGAAACAAGCTGAAAAGAAAAATACTATTAATAAATTCAATTCTCCTATTATTATTTCATGACCTTCAAAGCATTTTTATTTTCACCTTTGCTTTCACAATTACTTACAGTAGGATGGGAAGGGATGGACATTTAATGTTTCAATATATGCTGTATATATATACAGTATATACACTGAATAATTAAACTGTATAGATAATTTTTAGGTTTTTTTTTGTTTATATATAAAAAAGTATATAATATATATATATATATATTTGCATGTATTTACATATATTTACATATATATATAATGTATGTATATACTTTTTTCTTGTGCAAAAAACACATAAAAACAGTTAAAGAAAACCAAAAAAAATCTAAAAGTTTCAGTTTTTTATTTATTTTTTGTGTAAATAAAAAAAGAGTTTTAAATGATTTTTATTTCTACAAACCACGTTTGCTTTGTTTTTTGCAGATTGATTGGACAAATATTCTGTCACAAATATGAAAAAAAAATATTAAACATTTTCAATTTCTTGTAGTTTTATCTGTACAATCTACTTTTTTATGTTTTCTTTTGTGTTTGTGTGTTTCTATAGTGAATATTTTAAAGAAAACAAAAGATAAGGAGGGATAAAAAATAGTCTATCTAATTTTTTTTAACTTTAATATATAAGCATTAATTAGTAATTAATAATTAGATTATATAATATTTATACTGTTAATCCGTCTCTTATCTATTTTTGCATGATAAAAACAATCTTGTTTGCCATTCTTCTAGTTATTTAGAATCAAATTATACACATATCTATAAATAAATATGCGATAGTAATCGTTTAAGGGTATATTTATTTATTCAACACTTTTTACCTTTTTTCTTGACTTCTTTCCTCTAGTTTCCTGTTGTTTCTAGACGTCTAGAAAAGTAATTCGCTTGAGTATTTTATTATATTTAACTATACTATAAATATTGTAAGAAATATGAAATAAAACCAAACCTCTATTTTGTATTTTGTTTTATTATAAATAAAAGAAAACATACAAATCAAATCAATAATTTTCTATTTATTTATCGCACGTCGGTTTCTTTAATATCCTACTTAAACTTTCGGTAAAGATAAATACAGTAGGTCATTTGTTTAAATAAGAATTTTCTCAGTTTTCTCAAACTTTGTCTATGTCTATAGTGAAATCAGTCTCTTATGGGAAAACTACAGTTTATAACGAACCTACTTCTCCGATACCTGGTTTGGATGACATTAAGAAAACTCCCAAAGTAAAAAGTATTACAAGAAGGGAGGCTAAAAGACGAAGACAACACTCTCTTGACAGCAATTCTACTGATACAAATAGTCAAAGTGTTCCTATTAGTGAAAAAATTGAAAAAGTGGAAATAGCAGCTGAAGACAGGTTTATAGCGCAAGAAACAGAAGTTAAAGAAATAATTCAAACACAGGAAACAGTGGTTTCAGAGACAGCCGTCGAAGAGATAACACCTAAATCGAAAGTTTCTATTGTCTATGAACGGGACGAAAGTGATGAGTCTGATTCTGTGCCGTCGAGGAGATCTTCATTTGCGTCTACCGCTTCTTCCACACCAAGATCCCAAAGGCAGTCGAAGAAATTATCAGCCAGAAGTGATTCTGATACCAATTCCATGTTTTCTTATCGAAGTAACTCTTCAGGAGCAAATGAAAGAACGTTGACACCAACTCCTTTACGTAGGACTGTCGCCAGAGAATTAAATAATGGAAACTCATTTGAAAGAGCAGAGGGAGGAGATAAAACAGAGGAGCAAGAAGAAAGAGAAGGGAAACAAGAGGAAAGAGAAAAGGAAAAAGAAAAGAACAATGAAAGTGATACAGATAAAAAATCCAAACACAGGGGCGCAAGTAAAAGTGATAGAAACACTGCAGCTGACAGGGACAAAAGTACTGAAATATCTCTTACTTCGTCAGAAGAAGAATCTAATACAGCTGGAAAAAATACTGAAAATAAAGAAGCATTTAACGAACAACAAGTTCCAAATACAGAGTTTATGCAAATGCATTCTGGCGATAGAGTGCCTCATGCTGAAAACAACAGTGAAAACGAAGAGTCTATTAAAGAACAAACTGTTCAAAAGCTTCAATCAAGACTAGATACAGATCCCTTCATGCCAAGGAAACATAAATTAAAAAACGAAAAAACTGCAAAAGACAAAGAAGATTCTCCAGATTCTAAAAGTGGTGAGGATAAAGACACCAGTAGTAACGCTTCATCACCAAGATTTCGAAAAGGTAGCCGATACCTACGGAAAAAACCTGATGCAGCTGCTGGCAAAACCAACGAGCAATTGCATTTTGTCGATAATGTACCTCATGCGGGAAACAACAGTCAAAACGAAGAGTCTATTAAAGAACAAACTGTTCAAAAGCTTCAATCAGGACCAGACACAGATCCTTTCATACCAAGGAAAATTAAATTAAAAAACGAAGAAACTGCAAAAGATAAAGAAGATTCTCCAGATTCTAAAAGTGGTGAGGATAATGACACCAGTAGTGACGCTTCGTCACCAAGATTTCGAAAAGGTAGCCGGCCCCTATGGAAGAAATCTGATGCAGCTGCTGGCAAAACAAACAAGCAATTGCATTTTGACGACAATATACCTCATGCAGAAAATATTTCAGCCAATAATACCATGTCTGAAGTTCAAGAACAGTTGAAGCAGATTTTGGAATTAAGTAAGTCTTTTTTTATTATAATTCCAATTAATATGAACTCTCATTAAAATTAGAACCAAGTTCACCTCTAAATACCCTGTCGAGTACTGAAGATTCGGAATATTCAACTTCTGACGACGAAGACGAACTAGACGATTCTGATAGCGCCCGTAATGGTCCCACGCTGCTGATAAGAGAGGAGAATCCAAAAGAGGAAAAACAAACATCAGGAAAGGAAGATGAAAGTGATCAAGAAGAGGAAGAAACTGATAGTGAACACGAAGATTATGATAAGCCATTTGAAAAAGAGTTTGAGAGGGCTCGTGAAGATCCTACGTCGATAGAATTTGTCAACACAGAATTGAGTGTGGATCAAACTAAACAACTTGCCGATTTAATGGAAGGGAAAGTTGAGCAGCTAACGCTCATTAACGCCAACATAACAAACGCACACTTGGAAGTTTTAGCGAATGTTTTATCGGCACCAGACGTACCACCAACTTTAAAGACGTTAAATTTAAATAAGAATCAATTAACGCCTGAAGCAATTCCGCATCTTGCAAGGATTTTACAAGCACAGACAAATATCGAATATTTACTGTTAAGTAATTTTAAGTTGGGAGGAAGGGGATGTACTCAAGTCGTTGAAACTCTCATAAGTAACAATTTATCTTCTCTGAGGCAACTCGATTTAAGTGATTGTGAAATAGAAGGCGCAGGTGTTAAAATACTTTCAAAATTAATTGAACAGGAAAATAAATTGGTGAATATAAGTTTATCCTTTAATTCCGCTACTGAAAGCACATGGAATAAGCTTTTCAAGACACTTGGTGATTCGAAAGTTTTACGCACACTCTCATTGGATAAATGTGGTTTGACTGATCGTAATTTGATTGTTTTTTGCGACTCGCTTCGAGTGAATGATGTACTAACATCTGTTGATTTAGAAAACAACAACATCACGGACGAAGGAGCTCAGCTACTCTTAGAAATCATCCAAAATGAAAACAAAAGTTTAACCGTTATAACTTTAACACCTGGTAATTCTATAAGTCAGAACTTATTGAACGATATAAAAATAGAATTACAAAACAGAACTTTAAGATAACCAAAACAACTGAAAATAACTTATTATTACTTCCCCTAATACTTATTATTATTTTTTTTATTATTAAAGAAATACAGAGGAGCAAAAAGGATTATTTTCCATAGATAAAACTTAAAACGTTCCCCGCTATTTTTTACTGTTTCCGGTTTCACTTTGTATTCCGATCAGGAGCAGTGTCCACATAAAACTTCAAAATGGCGGTTTTTTGAGTTATTTTTGTTTAGTGTGGCACACAGATTTAACAAGGTATTTTAAATAGTTAATTAATCGATGGTAATTCTCTTACCATCTAGTGAAACGTTATTTATATTTTTATTATAAATAACTATTTTGCATCCGAAAGTGGGCGAATTTGCCTACTGCTGCGTGCCCGAACAAGCAGTGCGCTAACGGTTGCCAAACCTCAATGTTTTTTGTCTCAAACAAGAAATTGCTTTCGCCCGGCTTTTCATTATTTCTTCCCATTGACTGCAGATGAACGTGCCGATTAAAGGTAGAAGGACGGCAGACTACAAGCCAACGATCCGAAGCATGTCAGCTTACGGTGAAGCTTTGGATTTATCGGATATAGCTTCGGCATGGAATACAATGGGACAAGCTAAAAATTTGGTATGCCGAATATTTTATCTTATCATCTGTTGTTTATAAACTTAAGATAACTCTAAATGTTACGTAAACAGCTCATTAGAACTGAAGAGAGGGCCAACTCAGAAAGAAACTCCGTAGACCGTTTACCAAGTTATATATCCAACACAAGTTCAGAAAGTTATCCTCGACTTGACATGGTCTATGGTAAACGAGTTTCAGATTATTCTCTAAATAATGGCACGCAAAATGAAGATGATTATAGCTCTACAAGCGTCAGATTTCTGAATGACACGCCAAAAGCTGCTCCCGGATTAAATTTAAGCGATGATCACCTCTCAAAACTCCATCAAACTATAGAGGAACAGAGAAAGAGCTCAGGCAAAAAGGTTCACAACGACGAAGAACGTGTAACCCCAAAAATGTACGATTTATATGAAAATCAAAATACAACAACTAAAGTTCGTAAAATTGCTACTGGATCTACTCGACCCACTTACAAAGGATTTAATGAACCAGTTCGAGCTGGTAAAAATTTTTAATTCTTTTTTTATACTATTATTTAATTTTTGTAAGTTAATCGAAAAAATTATTGTTCATTAATTAGCTGTAAAGCGTTCGGCATCCGGCGCCAAGAAGCCTGCAAGACCGAAATTATCTAGGGACTTTTCTAATGATGAACTTGAAACGAAACCTGCTCCACAAAAATCAAATAGGATACTTGCGAAAAGCAAACCGGAAAAGTCAGGTAGTTTAGATGATTTATATTTTTAGCCCGCATATACCATTAAACGTTCACCCTCATAGACTTAATCACCACAAATTGCTGGCGGGAAGGTCAACAAGCTGTTAAGGATGAAATAGGGCCCGCTCCACGCTTGGAGAAGCGAGTTGTAAAGATAGAGGGAGGAGGTAAATTATTGACATTTTTATGACCCTATTTTCACTCTTTTAATTTACAAATAAATTGAAAATTAGACACAGTCAGGGAAATAAGCGAAAAGAACTTATCGGCTGAAGCTCGTTCAGTTTTGGATGATATTAAAAGAAAGAATCATTTTTCTAAAGAAAGAAGGAGTGAGAGGGCAAAAATACAACAAGTTGAAGCCGAAATTGTTGCGGCAAGAGTTAGAAGAACTGATTCAAAACAAGTTCAGGAATATATAAAAAAGCAAAAGAATGAAAGGAAAAAACAAATGGAATTGGAAAGAGAGGAGAAAAAGAAATTACAAGAAATGAAATTAAAGCAATTACAGGTAAAGAATTATTTAGATATAAAGTTATTTTGGGCTTTATATAAATTACCTTTTCTTTGTTTAATCCCTATAGGATATTTATAAGAAGCAAAGAGAATCTTCTCAAACAAAATACGCCAGAACTAAAACTCTAACTGATCAATCTAACGTAAGCGCAATCACCCCAGACAATAGTTGTATTATCCATTCTGCACCCCACTCCAGCGCTAATTCGTGAGTAATGTTCTTTTAATCGTACTAAGTTTGATTATATTATTAATTATAGAAGCGGCTTAGCTCATGATTCGAGTATTGATAATTTAATTGATCGTTACATCAGCAAAACTGTGCCAAAAAGCTCTTCCAGTTCAGTAGATGAATTAATAAAAAAATATGCTTCACCGCCTGCTAGCCAAGGTGAACCAGAACCAACACCCGAAAGTGCCCCTAAAAGTAGACAGAGACAAACGTCCAAGAGAGACAGGTTAGCTGCTCTATGTAAAACAGCATCGGAATTGCAAAGCAAATTAAAAATGGAAGTCAACAAAATTAATATGTTTATGCATACGAATACCGACTTAACAGTACCTGATTCAACTTTACCAAAAGAGTATATTGCAAAAAGTATTGAGGTTGATAACGATAAAAGTATTGACGAGGATCCTGAGACTGTTCCCGGTGTTGAGGGACTAAGAGCTCTGGCAAGCAAACGCTATGATAATGAATATGCTAATTTACCAACAAGTTTACTTGGAGGAGGAGACGACTTAAATGGAAGAGAATTGGTTAGTTAATAATTAATTGTATTGAGTTAATATTATATTATTATCGATATTAAAGCAACGGGAGGACCTCGATTCCTTTGATATTGATAAAGATATGCCAGAGTATTACGATCTCGAACCTGTAAGTTTTAGATACGAGTTGTTTGCTTGTTTTTTTTGTGTATTTTTAATATATTCTCTTCAATATTAGTCAAGCATTCGGAAACCGGCAACTTTCACTAGGTGTGATAACATTCGAAATCCAAACAAGATTTCATCTAAATACGAAAAACTTAATAGGGGATTAGATCACGTTGATCTACAAACCAGATCTGATAGATATAATGTTCTGAATATCTTGGAAAGGCAAAAATATCGAGGTTTGTTTTCGGGAAATTAAAAATAATTCAATTGAACACTAGGAATAATTTATTAAATAATTTTGTTTTACAGTTTCAACTACGGAACTTGATGATAATATACCTAAAGTTGAGTCCAGACACAGTGATGCCTCGGAAATTGGAGCAGTAGTAGAAAATAAATTTGGAGCACCAAATTTAGAGATGCCTTTACTTGCATCTTCCATGGATAAAAGCAGGGAATCTCTCTCTGAAATTTATCAAAAAGAAATCGTCTATGAAGACGACAATGCTCATACCCCGTTAGATTCCAAAATGTTTGATTCTGTGAAAACCGATCAAAGTGAAGCTAGTATTAGTGAAGAAACATTAACAAATATACTCAGTGATGACCTAAATGATTCCTACAACGACCTTTCGTCAGATAAATTGGATCCGATTTGCGGTCGCTATTCACCGTCTACACTCGAAAGACGTCTAGCAGCCGAATTAGATTTGTACGAAGGAGTTGATGCTCATTATAAGCAGCTTGAAGGTGTTGAAAATCTACGCGATGTTACGCTCGCTAAACAAGAAAGTGTTTCTTTGGCTCAAATATTAAAAACTCAAGAAATACAACATTCACAGCGAATGGCCGAATTAGAGTTGAAAGCTCAACAGCATAGATTCGATAGCGAAAGGTCTCTAGCAGAAGCTAAATTAGACCATGAAAGAAAATTACTAGATACCCGAAATAGATCAAAGGATGAAACCTCGGAAGAAAAACATCACTTGAGGGAAAATATGCGCGACATTTTTAAGGACCAAATTGAGCGTAGCTCTCGCTTACAGGTATAATTAGTAGAAAGTTTTTTTATAAAAAGAAAAAAGTTCTATTTTCTATTTCATTTTAATTGAAGGTCTAATCTATTTTCCCCCTAAATTCTATTTTCTTTCCTTTTAAGGAGCGTGTCGTAGAGAGTGTAGGTGAAATAGCCCGCCATAGCGCTACAGCTGCTGTTTCTGCCGCTTTAGAGCATCTGCAGGTGTGTTTATTCGCTTGAGAGAATATTTTAGGGCTATATTTAAATTATTTACATACGCATACAGCCGAAGCCTACTGAGAAAACTCTACTTGAAAATAGAAGCACTCAATTTTCCTATAGATCTAATGGTGCATCTCCGTCTTATAGTCAAACTTTTGACAATGACGATTTAAGCGAAAAAAGTCAAAAATCTTCTTATTCAGAGTATGCTTTTCATACTTAATTATATAAGCGATTATTTTCAAAAGTATTATCTATTTTTTTATTGTCGATATAGGAGTATAATCACTTCAAAAGCAACTTCAGCCCTTGAATCCAGAACAGACGGTTCAATTTCGGAGGAAAGCGATGCTCTGAAGTTTGTACAATAACAATAATTGCTCAATTGTTAAATTAAATTAACATCAAAATTTTTATTAATAGAGGATCAGATCGATCAGAAAGATCACAAAGCCATATAAAAACATCAATAAGCGAATATGTATCAAGAAAATCAGACACGAAGTCTCGATCATCCGTTAGCGAGAAATTACCAAAAAAATCGACTAGTACCATGTCTGTTGAAGAGAACTTAAATACGTTAAGTGAAGGAAGCGATGATGGGAAAACAGCAGAGATACAAACCGATAGCGTATACAATGATAGAAACGAAGACTACTCTATGGAATTCGATTATTCTATTGCCGAAAAGAGTTTCAGTGAAGTTCTTCCGTCAAAAGTCCATTACGATAGTGTTAAAAGTTCTCTCTCTGATGTGTCTGGAGTTAGCATAAATGATATCTCAAAGACCGAAAATGAAGGTCACACGGCATTTAGCACATCCGGTTCATTTGCCGCTTTTAATGCCAATATGCTGAAACAATATATTGCAGAAGAAGAGCTTAGATCCCAGCATCAATTGGCACTTCTTAAATTACGAGAGAAAGCTGTACAAGAAAAAATGAAAGCCGAACTTGAATGGCAGAAGACTCAAACTCAAAGTAGGAAAGATCGTCGAACGGATGATCCTTATCCAAAAAAACGTAGCCGATCTGTATTATTGTCACTGGAACAAGAAAAAGCCGAAATAGAAAGACGAAAATCAGAAATGAAGCAAGCAAGCGTTCAAAGAAGACTTATTTTAAAGGGTCTCCGTGCTGAAAAGGTGAGAAATAGTTTAGCTATTCTTATTAGCTCCTCTTCTGTCAAACCTTTAGATTAAGCTTAATTTAGCAAATTTCTCTATATTTCTCTTTCTAAAACTTTCATGGCAGTTATGGCATCGTAGTCGACAGGCAGAGCGTAAACGCCAACCTCTGCCATCGAGCGAAAGGAAGGTAAATAAATCATTAAACGCACGCTCGTTGTTATATTATATAAACTTGCTATATATATAATGCAGTTTAATCGGTCACGGTCCTAGTTTTTTTTTCGCTCTTTTCAACGTAATCTTACTCTTACTGCAATATTTCAAAGCCTCTTCCCAAAACCAATTCCTTATTCCTATATCCGATCAAGATCCCTTTTTTTTCTTCTTTATCAAAAAATATCATTTAGTTTAAATAATCTACAATATATTATTACTATAAGCTCTTTTTTTGTTTTATTCCCTAGTTTATTCTGTAATTTAATAAATTATATCAAATAAACAACTAAATGATTCATTCTAGTATAAAGAAGAAAAATATTTGCGTTTTTTTTACACAGTGTTTCAAATATTGGTTTTCTTTTTTGCATATTGGCATATATATATATGTATATATGTAGACTGCGTATATTTGTGTGTGCTTTTTTCTCTCTCTTCTCCCTCCCCCCTCCTGCTTTCAAGAGAAGAATATTCTACGTATATATCATTTAATTTAACTAATCTATCTTCTTCTTTTATTAAATAGGAGAAAAAGATTCAAAAATCAAAATTATCTTCAAAGGATAGAGATGAATTTCTCACAGATGATAAATCGAAGGTAAGATTTATGTTTATTATAAATATTATTAATACATTTACATATTTTTCTAACAGACAACTGAACAAAGTATTGAAGAAGAAACAACTCCTAAAGGTAAAATGATTTTTTTAAGTAAATATTTAAATATGTATAGTTTTATTGTTTATTAAAGCTTCGGAATCGGATGTAAGTAAGCAAGTTACCTCACCATCTGGAGATAATGTTTTAAGCAAATTGAAAAAATTCAAGATCCATGAAAAGTAACATATTTTCTATTCAATTGATCATAATAGTAATTTTTTTTTTAACTTATGTTAGACATTTAACCAAACGAGAGCAGAAATTAAAATTAAGGCGTAAGCAAGCTGAAGAATTGTTACAATGGAAAGAGCGCTTAGATGCCGAAGAACGTTGTATTAGGGCTCTTGAGCAAGAAGCACTTTCCGTCTACGAACGTAAGAATCTTGATGAACACTTTTCAGAATTATTAAAAGGTTTGTGTAGATAAAACATTTGCCATTTTGTTTTTTTCAATTAATTTTTATTTTAATAGCTGGACCGAGCAAATCATCAGATTCAATAAAAGAGGATACGTCATACAATCAATCCGCTATTAGCGAACATGTCAGGTATGTCGTCGTTAATTATTTTTCAAAATGCAAGTTATTTACACTTTATTGAAAAATTTTTCATATTTTAGTCCTTCGACGCGAGATAATGACAGTGAAAATGAATCGTTTGATTTGGAAACACGAATTGCTCAGTTAAAACAGCAAGTCTTGAAGAAGAGAGCGCATGCTGAAGAATTAGCCAAGAAAAAACGACGAGAAAAACTTCAAGAAGAAGAGAAAAAGCTAAAGGACGAATTGCAATTGTTATCGTCTCAACCTCGACGAGCTTCATCGAAGGAAGATACTGTTTCTGAATCTTCGGATATTCTTTCTGAAAAGATAACAACTCAATCTATTAGCGAATCAATTCAAAAGTCTAGAAGTAACATAACCAGCTACTCAGCTGATTTTTCAACAACCAAATCCGGAGCTCCTTCTCATCTTAGCGGAAAGAAAGTGGTCAGCATAAGTGAAGCTCCCGGTGAAGAAATTATAACAGAAGAAGTAGAAAGTGAAGTTGATCCATCCAAATCGGAAATGAAATTATCTATTCACTCTAAGTCGGCATCAGATGATGAACACGATGTTGATCGTCTCGATACAGGACGCAACATACCGGAAGTTGACGAGGACGAAGTTTCTAAGAAAGATTCAATTGCTGTCTCGATAAAAGGAAGTATTTCAGAGGACATTCAAGAAAATTCTGTTGCTTTGCCCGAAAGCGTTAACAAAGATTCGTATAAAACATCATTCACAAGATCAAGCATTAGCGAATCAATATCTGAGAGATCCTATGAGTCAGATAGATCGGAAAAGTCCAATAAATCGAAGTCGGAAAGTTCTGAGAAATCGTATAAATCGGATCAGTCCGAGAAAAATAGTGTATCTTATCGTGCAGGTAAAACATCTTCTGTTGAAGAGGTTTATAGTGGAAGCGAAAGCGAGGAAACAACAGCAAGCATTAGTCGAGGTTCTTCTTCAACTTCGGCTGAATCTTCAAGTCGCACCTCTGCAGCTGATAAAAATCAACATAGCACAACTAGTAGTCGAAAACCTACGGAGAAATCGGAAACAAAAGATTTAAGTTCTAGCGCTATTATTGAAGATGTTGAAGAAATAGTCGAGGAAGATATTAGCGAATCTAGTAGTAGTGATAGTAGTAAGAGGATAATAGCTGAAAAATCTTCTGTATCGGAGCCGGAACAAGTTCCTGAGGACGTTAGCGAACATATTGAAGAGTTATCATTGGAGAACGAGAAAGCACAGACAAAATTTACCAAGAAAGATATTGAAGAGACTACGGACAAACTACTAAACGACGCAACAAAGAAATTATTAAATGAAACTGTCTCGCACATTATTGCTATAAAACGAGAGAAACAAAGTAATTTTTCCAAAACAAATGAAGGTAGCGAATCGAATCAAATTGAAAAGACTTCAGAAGTGAAAGTTGAAGATGAAGTGGAAGAATTGGAAGAAGGTAAGACTGAAAGGTGGACCAAGGAGGAGAGTGCCAAAGTAAAAATGGATGCTCTTACTGATCTATATAAGGAAATGGAAAGTATTACAGGTCTGGATGATAACGAATGGATAGATGATTGGGAAGAAATGAAAAAACCTAAACCCCCACCTGCATATCAATCATTGGTACCCTGCTCTGAAGAAGCTATAGAGAAAGTAGTAGGGGAGGCTGTTGACGTTTTATGGTCCTTTAGGCGTTGTGGTCAATGCTGGGATGATATTCAAGATATCCCTCAGTCGTATCTTAAAGCCCCGTCCGACCCGAAAGCATCTCAATCAGAAAAATCTTATAGAAAATTAGTTTTTGAGCTAACTAAATCAACATTACAAGAAATGTTTAAGGAAGAATCGGAAACAAACCCCGAACCTTCGTACATGAAATCAAAAGGCCTCATTTGTCCACAAACTCCTCCCGCCGTACTAGATACCGTCCGACCATTGGTTTCTAACAAGTTGGTCACTCTCTTGAACCCATCAAAAGTTAACGACGCTATCCTCTCCGTCGACAAACGTAAATCGGATTATGTTGACGTTGTTCTTATATCCGAATTGCGAGAAGATGAACCCGAGTGGGTAACATACGACCAAGACGAATTTGAGGTAAAGATGAAATTAACCGATGCCATATTCGACCTATTGTTGCAGGAGACTGCTAAAGCGGTTGACAAGGCTATTGGCGCGAAAAAATGTTTTTAAATTTTATTTATCTGTGATAAACAAGAAATCATTGTTATTGACTACATACCGTTATAGACATCTCATTTACAGTTTTTACAGTTATTAGTTATAATCATTGAGTGTATACTAAACTAGGGAAAAAAAAAAGAATACAATTTTCCTATATTTATCGAATAAATAAAAAAAAGAAAGAAAGAGAAAAGACAAAGGATAGAAGAATAAGAACAAGGAGAAGAGAAAGAGACAAAGATAATAAAAAGGAACGTTTTTACAAACTCTACTTGCGCTATAATACAAAAATAAATTAAGGAATGGTGAAAAGAATTATGCATTAAAAGCGCAAAAATTAAAGATTTAACATAAAAAACATAATTTAAAAAAAAATGACAAAAAAAAACATACACCATAATTTTTACAATGTTTTATTTTTTTTTTTTTCCTTTTTTTTTTATATATACAGATTTAAAAATAGATTTTATCATTTAATTTATAATACTGATTGTTAATTATGAATAAAAAAGGATCTAATTTTTAATTTAATACAAAAAAAAGAAACATTTTTTTTTAAAAAAAAAAAAAGAAAAGAATTAATTACACAATTTTATACTTTTTTGATATTTAAATAATGTAATAAAATACTTTAGACAAAAGATTTAATGAGATAGTTTATTATTTGTTTAACCTAAGTACTTTAATAATATACTGTATATACAGTTAAAACCCTATTAATTTATTGTAATGCTTCTCTATGGAAATTAGAATTTTTAATAGAAGTAATAATTTTTAATATTTTGTAGTTTACTATATTGATTACTATACCATACTGCACATAGCAATATCTATTTTAAAAAAGTTAATCTAAATTGAACCAGCTAATTATAGGCTTACTTGAAAAATATTTTTTTGAAATGTTATAATGAATATATACAGTTATACAGTTTATGCGACATTAGTTGTTGTTGTTGTTTTTTTTTTTAAATTAACGATAACGGGGTCACATAGGAATTGAGTAAAATATACCTTAGACTCATTTTACTAAGAGTGATATAAATCAAATAGGGATTCTATTCAAGTAAGTTTTTTTTCGTCATTCTTTTCCGTATGACAATCATTCAACAGATTTGTGATTTTTTTTATGTATATTCTTTATATTTTATATAAGATTTTGATGTAAAATATAAGAAAAATGTAGGCTTTTATTAACTTATAAATTTGATATTAATGAAATTTAAGATAATAGATAAACAGTGTTTGTTTGTTAAAGGTATAACACTTATTTTATTATGTCGAAAGAAGAAAATATAGAGCCTCTTTTTTTAATGCTTTATTAACAAAAAAGGGAAAGTAAAGGAATGAAGACGAAGAAAGATTTAATAAATGATACGATTAATATAGAGGTAGTAGGTGCTTATACTGTATATATATATATATATATTTATATATATAGGATACACCTTTAACAGAAACTCAATACACAGACTAATTAATTAGTATAAAGCTATTAATTAAACAATAATAACAAAATATCGTTACATTTTCATAGAAAAGAGGTAGTTTTTACATACAACTTATCTCATATCTTACATAAATACTATTATAGAGTAAACCTTATCAGTTAAATAGATGTACTGTAGAATATTTTCTTTTGAATCAAAGATCTTCAACAATACGAATTTCTCCCTAAGAAAAAACTATATTGAATATTTTTATTACCAATAATTTTTTCTTTGTTCAGGTAAAGACTTTCACCTAAAATATCGAAAATATTTAAAGTATTTAATTGAAGAAAGGGGTAGTTTCTTTTAAAGTCGGTTAGTTAGTGGTATTGGCTATATAAAAAGGCCTACAAGTATATATTTCTTTTTTATAGTTTGATCATTTCTTATTGGTTAAGAAGCTTAAAAAAAAAAAGAATATATATTATTTCTATCACTCCATTTTACTCTTTACTAAGTGGGGTTTGATTGAATATACCCCTTTTATCCTATCACTTTCTACAATACCCTTATTCGAATGAATTAATTGACTATTTTGAATAGATTTTTCTCATTGTACAACTATTTATTGTCTCTCAATTCTTGGATGGAAGGGAGTCTAATCGTTTCGAAGGATGCTTTCTACAATCTTAAGCAGGTAAATGATCTTATTTTTCTTTTTTTTCCTAGTATCCTCCTACTATTTTGCGTAAATAAAAAATTTTCCCCCCTGTTAACAGCTAATTAAAATAACGGATAACGTTCAAAATATAAAAGATGAAAAAGCTCAGCAGGTTGGTGTTTTTTTCATTAGTAAAACTAGTTGAGCAAAATCTTGAAGCTATTACGTTTCTGTAAGATGTTAATCAGTTGCAAACTAGCTAGCAGTTAGACGAGATGCTTGGAATAATGGACGACTCTACCTTTCATACTGTACGAGATAAACCTATTTATAGTCTTGCTAATAATCTATACAGCATATATATATGTGTATATTAATTAATAGTTGTTATTTAAAAATCTATACCAATATAATTGCCTAACAGGAAATGTGCAAAGCTTTATCGGATATGATGGAAAGAACTGAAGATGAAAAAGTTTTTTATAAATGTGCAAACGTTTTTGTTCAATTAGTTAAAAGCCATCCGAGAATTGTTGAAAACTATTTCAAGGTTTGTTAAGTTTGCTAAACGTCTAATTAATAATTTATATTCATGTTTTCCAATATAAAAACTTTTAAAGGTTATCGCTGAAACTACTATAAAATGGTCGAAAAATATTAAATCAAAGAGTAAAATCGTACAAAAAGCCAATGAATTGTTAAGGTGTTTGTCACCAATATGGATAAAAAATCTAGATTATAGCCTAAATATATTAAATATATTAATAAAAGAACTAAAAGACTTGGAAAAGGTACAGATGGAAGATTGTATATTTTAACTATACCGTTTTTCTAATGTTTTTGTTAAATTTACTATTTTAAGATATATAATAGCTCTGGAAAATCAGGAAAGACTGAAAAACAAATTGAATATAGGGAGGAAATGATTTGTGCTTTTTGGTAAGAAAATACTATTTAACTTGAATAATAAATTTAATCCTATTTCAATCTCCTTCATTCTATTTTATTACAGCATCTATGGTATTTTACTAGATTGTATAGGCCGAATAATTACAGATTTCGAATTAAATAACCTAATTTTACCTGTAAGCATTGAATTTATATATAATTTGTAACTTTATACCAACAAAGAAAACATTGTATTTTTGCAAAATTTGTAATCTAAAGTTATACAAATATTATTAATCTATTAAAGAGAAATATGTAAATTATTGTTTACTTTTACTTAATTCTTCTTATAGGTATTAATATTTCAGGATAATATAATGAATGCTTTAACTGGATCTGCAATACCCGATCCTGTTTACAAACAACACGGTAAGAGAAATTTGTCTAATGACTTTAAAGAGAGAAAATTATCACAATAAAGTCTCTGCCTGTCGTCAAATATAAGGTGTTTTATTGTCTATTAGTTTATTTTATGAATAGTAATAATAACATTTCTCAGATTACATAGTACAAAACACTCAATATATTCTCTCTCTCTCTCTCTCTCCCTTTCTAATATAAATCTTTTTCAATTTAAAAAGTAATGCCCAACCAAATAAACTTATTTCTTTGTTACAATAACCTTCTATTTCCATTCAGAGGAAAATATCGAGAAAACCTGCATAAATGAAGAAGAAATAGGCACGGGAAATATTTCTAAAGGTGATAAAAATGCCGATAGTACTCGCAGTGAAAGAGACGATTCTAAATCTAGTGTTGTGACTCGAGAAGAGGTTTACTTTTTTAAAATTATTTCTCCGGACGGTGAAAAAATATCGCACGTTTGATGATTATTCAAAGTTTTTAAACTCTTCATGCTATGCTCAAAGAATTACTTGGGGATATGTTTATTATGATGTAAGATTCATAAGTAAATCTATTACACTATTTATTAACTGACATTTTATTGAATTTTTTGAGTTTATTACGTAAATAGTAAATAATAGAAATAAAAGTTTTGTTATTATTATATAGTTTTATTACATTTTTCAAATAATAGATTATTTAGATATTTTAATATCTATTTTGACCTTTATTAAAAGTTATTATGACATTTCTTTTTTGAACGAAATGACGGTTGGTGGCAGCACTTAAGAGAAATTTCAATATAAACTGGTAAGTTTAAAATGGATGCTGAACTTAAAGAAGCTCTAAATTTATACCATACTCTATCCCAAGAATGGAATAAAAAGCCTCCAAATCTTGAAAAATGTGGTAGTTTAATATCAAAGTTGAAGGTAGATAAAATTTTTAGCGTTCAAATAATCTCTTCATATGATAATGTTCACCTCATTCATAAAACTGCCTATTCATCGCTCAATATACTAAACCGCTAAACATTAATATTTATTCCAGATTGCTTTGACAACTTTATCCTTCTTACCTACATCAGAAGAAGTCTCGATAAAAGAATTAACATTAGCAAGCAAGTTTAATTTGTATTTCACATAGATTGATTTTAGATATTTCTTTGTATTAAAAAATTAGCAACTCATGTCAAATATTATTTAGATAAAAAGAATGTTTTTCTTTTAAAAAATCATACAATTTTTTGTAAATTTTTACTTTAACAATTTAAAGATTTTCATTTTTACTTCAGGAAATTTTTTGGAAATTGGAGCTCAATATGCAATTGCTTGTAAAGATGTTGAAGCTTTTGAAAGATACATGTCCCAACTGAAAACATATTATTTCGACTACAAGTAAGTAGTCTTCTTTCTTTTCGCTTGAACACGTGCTTATCTCATTATCCAATCCGATTTTAAGGGACAACCTTCAAGAATCTTCCTTTATGCACGAACTATTGGGCTTGAATCTGTTGCGATTGTTAGCTCAAAATAAGTTGGCAGACTTTCATACCGAAATGGAATTATTACCAATCAAATTATTATATACAAACATTTACATTCGGCATCCAGTATCGATAGAACAATATTTAATGGAGGGAGCTTACAATAAGGTTGATTATACTAGATTTCTCTTTAACGTTCATACTAACACAAAATTCTTCTCTATACAGGTCTTTCTGGCTAAAGGCAACGTTCCAGCAGAAAGCTACATCTTTTTCATGAACATCTTGCTTAACACAATTCGAGATGAGATAGCTTCTTGTTTGGAAAAGGCCTATAATAAAATTGACTTTAGCGAAGCAGCTCGTATGCTCTTCTTTGAAAGTGAAAAGCCTATGACCAACTATGCTGAGAAAAAGCAATGGATTAGAGAGGGCAAATGCTTTGTTTTTAAGAAAGAGGAAAAGAAGGTGATTATATACACTAGGCGTTCAAACATTTTCAATTATTTACTAATATAAATTCTAGATGGACGACGTTATCGCTTCAACCGAAATGGCTGAAAAAGCTATTGCCTACGCTAGAGAATTGGAAATTATTGTTTAAAGATTGTTTGCATATATTTTTATAGCCAGGAAAAAACGAACGATGCAGTAATTATCTCATATGATATGTTGGGATATAAAGTGTTATATTGAAAAAACTAAAAAATAAATGGCACACTGTCACTATTTACTGTAAATTTTTGGATATATACATATATATATAGTGTAATAATGAAAACAAGTAATTGATACAGTCACTACTTTTACGACATATTTTGGTGATACAATTGCTAAATAACAATGTGCTATTGAAACAAAGAAATAATGAAGTAATTACTCATATTGCCGCTTTGGATGTAAAGTACTAATTGAAATAAAGGAATGCTACAATAATTATTTAATAAAAAGTATAAATACAAGTTTTACATTTTAATTTTTTAGTGAAAAATATGATTTCTTTCGAAAAAAAATCACTTGATATGGACAAACCTCCCTTCTTTATAATTAAAATATAAGATTTTTAACGTTTTTGTTTGTAATCGTATATTAACTTTGAATATTTAAATATCAACCTAGGCATTCTAGTTCCCCACTCTAAATATTTCCTACATTAAGCCGATTTTATATGATTTATTTATTTTATACAAACTAATTTCAGTATTGGCGTTAACTGTTGTTCATTCAAGTCGGATTAGAAAGATAGCTAGAGCCAAGAGTTAGGTTAGAAACATAAATTTTAAGTTCCTTTTAGACTGGTTATTAATATTTTCCTCATATTTAATGTGTTCATATTCAGACTGTAATACCAACCAGTCTCCGTTTAGCGCGTTCTATTCAATGTGAAGGTCTTAAGGTTGCCGAATGGTGACTCTGTTAACTGAGCAAAGTTCGTAGGAAAATTGTTGAATTAAAAATTTAAGCTTGTCTCAACTATTAAGAAGAATTACCATACACTATGACAAAACCAACTATTAATCCTGATCTAGAAGTAGAGAGGCGTAATGCTTCTTTTAACGTTTCAAAGATGACAGAATTTCTCCACGGAGGGGTTCAACAATTAAAACGCGTAAAGCAAATAAGTAAGTTTTATGAAAATTTAACTATATACTTTTAACTATTTTTTAATTAAATTCTTTTTGTTATTTAATAGAAAAGCAACTTTTAGGTGAAAAGATATTTGGTATTACTAGTAATGGAAAATCAGCTGAAGAGATTTATGATTTATCCGTAAAGAAGAATGTTATCCTTTTTGAATTGGTTGCAAAATATAATTGGAATATTGATGATTTAACAATAGCACATGAGTATGAATATTTAGAAATGTGTGTATTGCATTAATTAACCATATAAAATTTTAAATTTTTAGACTTTTAACAACTGGATTACCGCTATCGTTGCAGATTATGATGTTCATACCAACTCTTGAGAGGTTGTGTACTGATGAGCAAAAACAGAAATGGTTGCCTCTGGCAAAATCTTATAAATTATTGGGAACTTATGCCCAAACTGAATTGGGACATGGTACTAACATAAGAGACTTGAAGACAAGAGCTGATTTTGACCAGGAAAATAATCAATTTGTTTTAAATAATCCTTTTCCAGATGGAATAAAATGGTGGCCAGGAGGATGTAAGAGATCAACTTTTCCTTTATATTCTATCTTGATAAAATGTTATATAATTTAACAGTGGGAAAAACTATGAACTGCGCTATCGTTCTTGCCAGTTTGTATGTAGACAATCAGTACAAGGGCCTTGAAGCTTTCCTGGTTCCGATTCGTGATATGGAAACCCATGAGCCTCTTCTCGGAGTTCAAGTTGGAGATATTGGACCTAAAATGGGTCTTCTTGGCTCTGATAATGGATATCTAATTCTGAAAAATGTCCGAATACCTCGAACAAATATGCTTATGAAATATTCAGAAGTGGATAGAAACGGTAGATATATTCAACACGGAGATCCTAAAGCTAATTACGGAGCTATGACCTTATTAAGGTCAGGTTTTGTGAGAATTTCAGCCCTCGGTCTTCAGGTGATCTATTTTATTTGTACAGCTTAAGACTAATTTGCTAAATGAATATTTTAAACAAAAAGGCCGCAGCAACAATATCTGGACGATATTCTTGCGTCCGAAGACAAGGTCACTTAGATTCAAAGTATAATTCTTTAACTTTTCCATTAAACTATTTAGTCTTCATTCAACTGTTTTCCTTATATTATAGGGGAGAAGAGGTTAAAGTGATGGATTACGTTACTCAACAGTATAAGATAACTGGCAATATAGTAAATGCTTATGCCCTGACTTTAATATCAATGTCAACTGCTGACTATTATCACAAAGTCTTCCAAGAGATATCTGTCGACAATTGGACAAATTTACTCGAATTACATACAATTACATGTGGACTGAAGGCTTTCTGTTCCGAAATTTCTTCGGATGGTATTGAAGTTTCTAGACGAGCTTGTGGCGGTCACGGATACCTAGCATCATCGGGCCTTTCTAACTTGTATGTCGACCATTTGCCTGTAGTAACAGTCGAAGGAGAAAATACTATATTGTACCTTCAGGTTGCTAGGTAAATAGCATTGTAAATCATTCTTTTAAAGTTTAATTCATAACTTTTTCTATTAAACTTATAGATATATTTTGAAGAAAGTATCCTCATTCGCTCTTAAAGGGGAAGGTCTTCCTCCCTCACTTCAATACGTTAGCGAACCTACAAATGGACCAATTTCGATAGAGACTTTAACAGGATTATGTAAAATTTTACAAATAAGATCTTCCTTGTAAGTTATGAGAGTAAAACTGATTGTTTATATTTTAAGTGTGTTGTTTAATTTAGTCAAGCCAAACGGGTTGCCGAAAAATTTCAAAACCTTCTAATGTCGGGCGAAAATCAAGGAATTGCTTGGAATAAATGCTCGCAAGAGCTAGTGAATGCCGCAAAAGCACATGTTGAATGTATCGGAGCCGATATGTTTATGAGAGCATTTCAAAAATCCTCTACTATTTATCCCGATTTGGTACCGATGCTGGAGAAATTACTAAAAGTCTACTTCTATCAGAGAATACTAGAGGGAGCTATAGATTATGTAGAAGTAATTATTTAACGCAAATTGTATTTAATGTTTCTCTATCTATCTCGCTTTTTTCATCTTTTCTAGAGCGGAGCAGTTACGATTAAGAATTTGGACGTTATCAGAGAACGGCACTGTGAATACTTAACATCACTTAGAAAAGATGTCATTCCATTGGTAGATGCATTTGATATGGAAGATGAACAATTAAAGTCGGCAATCGGTTGTTATGATGGCTGGGCTTATGATAGATTATACAACGAAGCTCAAATATCTCCATTAAATAAACTTCAGGTAAGTAAACTAATAAACAAATTTTAAAAGGAAGCTAATACATCTCTATTATCTACCTTAGGTTCAACCTGCTTTCCAGAAATATATTAAACCACTTCAAATCAAATCGAAATTATAATTAAGGACTGTTAACAAAAAGAGGACAATTAATGAATCATTATTACTATGGTAATTAATTAATCTTTAGATGATCTTTCTAGAAATTCTCTTCTTTATTAATCGTAAAGAAAATCATCTAAACTTCGGTCCTCCTTGATGTTTTTCATGTCAATGATTTTTTGATCTTCTGGTTCTAAATCTTTTAGTTCCATCATTGCATCTCTAAATTTTGCAATATCTTCTCTATCCACGTAAGCGGCACAGCTTACACGAACGTACATGTTGTTCTGAAAGCGTAAATGATTTTAAATAAACTTGCTATTCGAAAATATACCATTTACCAAAGATCTAAAGTATCCTATGTTTGCTCTTATCTTATATAGCTCCCTCAGTGCAGTTACCAATAAGCTTGTTCCTTCTGGAGTCTTTGGAAAAGCCTTCGTGTCTGGTATTCTAATAGTTCTCAAGCAGTTAGGCACTAATTCATTACCAATTGGTAACATATCAGTTTGCCATGTACTTGTTAATTCATTTGCAGTCCAATCTCCCAAATCTTTAGTATATTCTTCAATTCTTGTCTATGAGGAATAGAAATAAATAAATAAATAAGCTTATTTCCGCCCCTAACACCTGGGAAAATATTTTCGTTTATTTACCCTTCCACCCAACCATTCTATGAAATTGAAAGCTTCAGAAACTGATGAATAAGTGCAATGATCTCTTGCTCCTTGCCATGTAAAATCGCCTGGGAAACCAAAATTGTAAAGGGCGGTTACTACAGGTTTAGCGGTGTTGTGCATTTCCTCTGCAGCATAAATAAAAGCACAACCACGACTTGCGAATGTCCATTTATGAAGATTAGCTATGTAAAAGTCAACTTTTAAATCTTCAATATTAACATCTATTTGATTAGGAACATGAGCCCCATCAACGATAGTCTTTATGCCTCTTGCACGAAATACTTCAGCAAGTTGTTTCACAGGAAATAGAAGGGAAGGCATAGAAGAAATATGATCTTAAATAATCAAAAATATCGTAAATATATCAAAGGAATTTCCCTATAAAAAAAAGTAAAAGTATTACCTAAAACAACAACCTTTATGCTGGTGTGGGCATCCAAAAACTCTGTGAATGTCCTTACTAAATCTTCAAAACTATTCAAAGGAAATTTTAACTCAATCTTAAAAACGGTTACACCTGGAAAAGCGTGATGAAAAGTTCAAATACATCAAATCTGGTGGCGATTGATGATATACCGTTGAAATCTTTAATATATTCGACAGCGTTCTGTATTGCCAGATATGTAAAGTTATTTATAAGTATACCGTCACCAGCTTGGAGATTTAGACATTTTAAAGCATCGTTACAGCCTATTGTTAAGTTTACGTTAATAGTAAATGTGTTACAAATAATTTTTCATACCTCTTGTTGCATTTTCAACGAATGCTAAATTTTCAACTTTAGCGCCAACGAATTCACTTAACTTTCTCAAACCTTCAGCTTCTAAATCTGGTCGTATTCTTGCGTACCAGTTATCTGGATTTTTTTCCATATCCTCTTCATGTCTAATTAAATTATTTAAATTTTGAATATTCTATAATTGCAAACTAATTATTGTAGAAACTGCTAACTGGTGTTTGACAGCGATTACTCGCTTTGGGGCTGCTCCATACGATCCATTGTTGAGTAGGGCATAGTCGGAAGTAAGATAAAATTCTTGCTCCCTTAATTCTTTACCAAAAGCGGGCGGTGATGACATTTTTTTTTTGAAAATAAGCTTTTGAATACGTTTCACAAGCCTTTTATTTAATTTTTTTGGCCTGAGAGTATTAGTAAAATCCTTGTTACTCCTAATTAAAAACGTACCTTCTACATACGGTAATTACGTAGATAAAGAACGATTGAATGACGTTATCAAATCTTCCTAACAAAGACCTCTTTCTATGTAATCATTCAATGATTATAAGCCAATAAGTTACAAACAATTGCTTTAGGGACTTATATTAGTGTTTATTTGAACACTTGACAACGTAAGTAAGTCTATAATTTCTGTTTTGTAAATATTAGATAATATGCAAAAAGAAAGTAAGATAACTATAGATAAATGGGAAAAAATTCCGTATGAATTTACTCTATAATACAGTATGTACTTGTAATGTATTACAAACTATATAAAATTAATATTCTATATTTCCCATAATACAATATGCAGTCACAAAATCTTTAGTAATGCATATACGTATCCATAAAATTTATTCACATATATACAGTATACATACATACATATATACATACACACAACCACACGTACATACATACTTCTGTCTGTTTTCTTCTTATTTTAATAATAGGATAATAACATACCTTAGTATATATTGAATAAAAAACATGAGATATTTTAAAAGATAATAATACATGAATAAGGAAATAGAAAATCTTTATGTCATTTTCAATTTAAAAAGTTTTCTTCCTTTTTGACGGTTTGTATTTTTTTTCCTCTTTTTTTTTAACTTTTATGTTATTTTTGTTGCTATCTTTTGCAAAATTAAAAATAAACTTATTTCCTTAAGAGGACAAGGTTGCTGTGCAGACTAGGTTTGTTTTGCTTTTCTCTTCAATTGGTTCCTTTGCGGGATTGATGAGAAAAAGGGAGATTTATTTCGATGAGAGAGAGAAAATGAGAGGCAGAGAAAGAGAAAGAGAGAGAGAGAGAGAGAGAGAAAGAAATAGAGATTACTGAGAAATTTTTTAAGTGAGAGTTCTTCTTATTTTATACTTCTTTCCTGTTCAACTTCTACTTTCACTCATATTCTCGTGCCCAGTCAATATGTACAACGAGGAGTTTGCTTCCGGTTCATTTGTCGGTCTTCCTTCTAGTACAACTAATCTATAAAATAAAAAAAAAATATTTAAGAGACGACAGCTTTTATTAAAATCAATTTTAAAAGATGACCAACTTGTCGTGTCCAAGAAATCGTAATATTTTATTGCCATCAATAACATCTTGAGTTTTCTTCAAAAGTAAAAAAGCATAAAGGTCAAAACAGATATTGATAAGCTATTAATAGAATAGGTGTACCTCATTAGTAGATAGTTTTCTTCCCTGAATGCCATGATCATGAAACGCAAGTACCGACTCATCTTTCAAATAAACTAAAGAATAAGAACAGTTAATAAGCTGTTAAATGTCTATTTTACTAGTTATTCTACTTACGCAGGGAAGAAATAGGAAAGTCGAATGTCACACAAGACACGTGATATCTTTTTGATGTATGACCATTCAGATCGACAATATGAACAAAATCTATAATAATAGTAATAATAATTCGACATTAGAGTTATCAAAAAAAAAGACATATTCCTATTACACATACGGTCAAAAGCCACAAGTATATTATATAAATCCAATTGAATCAGTCGAACTACGGTTAAATCATTTTCTGATCCAACTTCTGGCAACCAATTAGAAGCAGAATTCCAGTCTAAAGTTCTTAATTGAAGACGATTATTCTCTCTAAATAAATAAACAGCATATATTTTATACAGCATACAGTTTATCTTATCATAAGGGAATCTTTACCTTTTAGATATTCCAAAGCATAATAAAGGATAATCTTTCGAAGAATCGGGATCATTGATTAATTCAAAAACAGAAAGATTCCAAGGCAATTGTATATCAAATTTCTAATTAATTAAGATAATATAAGACGAGAAATTGAATAATAAAATCTCTATATTCGCTAGATTAGAAGAAAATACAAACTTTCATATTAACGAATTTATTCATTCCTTCGCCGTCAAACCATTGCATAAGTCTGTTGAAAAACAATTAATAACCAATAATAATGTATACTGTATGCTGTACTGTATATATAAAGTATAGAACTTACATTACGCAACGTCTTACAGCTGCGCACAAGTATATATGATCATTCTTTAAGCTTTTACTAACGCACGCTTGATGGCAATCCTTTGTTTCTTTATGTTTTGATGAGAAACGTTTTGGTTTTAATAAATCTGGTAATTTCTCAACAGAGAATGATCCTGATTTCTTATTTTCATTCGAATGGCAAGCTAACAAATCGTGTCTCCAAATGCATTGAGATCGACCCGATATTGACACTAAATAGTCCCCAATTACTTTCAACCACGTACAACGTCGTGGATGAACTAAATTAAACTCAACTTTATGCATTTCCGCTAAATTGAAAGTATATATCCCAGTTTCGCTGCCGAATAATATATGCTGATCTATTGAATAAAAATGATAATGAAATGAAATAGTAAAATAAAATTGTAGTGCATGTATATATTTAAATATTTATACCTTTTGTTTTGGGATGAACCCAACAAACAGCCATATTTATTTTTAATGGACAATCGTAAAATATCATATATAAACCAGCTCCCATCTAAATAATTATCGAAATATTACTATATTACTATTATATACTATTAGATTTATTAATAAATACCCTGGCATGTGGGGTAGGAGGTACACCATTTGGTAGGATAACCCGTCGAGACTAAAAAAATATCAGTATTATATTACAAATGCAATATACACATGTGTAAATATATATTAATAATATTACTACCGAGCCTCGTCTTTTAGGTGGTTTTGGAGGTCTTATTGGTCGACTGGCCCTATGTACAATTGAATTATCTACTTCTTGTACTGAATTGTACATAAAAATATATTAGAAATTAATTCATTTTTATAAATTTAAAACTAACTTTGATGATTCTCATAATGAGGTAAAACTCGAGTATTCTCATACTCCTACAAGAAAGTTTAATTAGTAAATTAATTAACTGTTATTTAAAAATTATTTACCCCTGAATAGCCTCTTTCGTTACCAGCATTCTCATCTTGGGATGCACGAACATCTACCGTTTGCCTTTGAAATATAAATTACATAAATAAAACTAGAGGATAAACACAAATAGGATTTTATCAATTGATTATAAAAAATATATAAATTGTTAAACTTTATATCTATATAAAAACAGACTCTACACAAGGATACACATATATACTGAATTACGAAATATCCCATCTAACTTCTTTACCCTAAAAATAACCTTTTATCTCATTAGTTTCACACTAAGCATAATAGAAACAAAGCTAGACAAACTAGTTTAATTAGGAGAGTGAAACATTAAGGAAGGTTAGGGAGGTTGAAAAAAAAAAACATCAGTTGACATGCTAATATTCTTACAATTTTGAATAATCGGTTGGAAAATCCTCATCGTAAATATTATGCCTGTTGTGAAGTGGAAATTCAATTCTACAAATGATTTCAGAAAAAAGAAAAGCGACTGTGATATTGATGATAATAGCTATTTCTAAGAGTTTCAAACGTTTAAATGAAATATTCTTTAATTAATTTTAAAGTGTTTTTTTTGTTGTTGGTATTCTTCCTTTCACTCATTTATTCATTCGTTCTTTTTTTCTTACTTTCTTACAAAACAAAAGACTATATTAGTAAAGTAAAGTTGCAAAAGAAAAAGAGGTAATATTGCAAATTTCAAAGTAAATCAAAAAAATTACAAAATAAGAAATTAAATTAAGCGTAAAGGAAAGAAATTATCTATGATATATATTGTTTTTTTTTTTTTGACTGTTAATAAATCTGTTTGTTTTGTAAAAACAAAACAATACCTTGGAGACTTGTCGTACATTTCAAGTTTGAATTCCTTATGATGATTTCGTTGCCTAGAAATTTTTATGTCAATCATATAATATAAATAAAAAACTTAGCATATAATTATTAATTCTTGATTAATTATAATAAAATACATATTTTTATCCAATTTGTTTTTATTAAATTAATATAGTGCACTTAATTATTTCGAATCGATACTTATTCGTTCTAATTTAGGGTGTGTACAAGATGAAATATGGTTTGTTTTAAAAGATAGTGAATGAATATGTTACTATAGAAGAAATAATTGGTAGAGAAAGTACAGAGAGAATCAATTATCACTTTTTTCTTTGAACTTATATAAAATAATATTTGAGATATATTTATTTTTATACCTTTCTTCCAACTGTGGTAATGCTTCAACGATACTATCCATCAAACTACAAAAAAGAAAAATTAATTTATAAAAAAAAAGGAGATTTTAAAGATTAAAAAAATTAGAATAGGAGTTATTTAATTTACCTCGGTTGAGGTGCGTTTGACGCTTCATCTCCCAGCGCAGAACTTGAATTCTATTAAGGTTTAGTAATATAATTAAAGTACAACATAAATTTATTAAAATCATACTTGAACGCTGTTGTTATAAATGTGATTATCTAAGTAAGAGTTAAGGAGAAAAAAAAGATATTGTTACTTTTGGTTTACATTCTTTATACTGTATGTTAAACTTACTTTTTTCACGGGTACAATTTTCTAATGGGTCGTGCATGAGTAAATCATCGTTTCCAAACTATATGTAAGAAATACGAGTAATTAGAAATCAGAAGAACAAAAGAAGAAATACAAACGTCTTCATTATCAGAGTCCTGTCGTCTATACCTAGCCATCATTAGTCGGGTAATTTGTCGTGTTAGAATAGGATTAGCTACGAATGGATCTTGTAATAATTCATCTGCCGATGGTCTCTTATCAGGATTTCGTATTAGAGACAATTTTAAGAAATTCTGAAACTTCGGAGACCTAGAGTAAATAATTTCTGTAATAAAAATCAAAATCTTCTCTTTTCATATACAAACCAATTATTTTTATTCCTCAAGCCAGGACATTTATAGTTCCTTTTACCAATAATTTGGAGCGCTCTTTATTAAATTTAAAGAATGAATCGTATAAGAATGCAATACGAAATAAAAAGAAAATAAATAATCAAACTTCATAGGATCTAAATCGAATAGCGGTGGTCTTCCATCTGCAAATTCTATTGCTGTTATTCCCACAGCCCAAATATCGCATTTATCATTGTAACCAATATTTTTATGAGTATTGGAGGAAACTTCCGGAGCCATCCTATAAAGAATGATTTTTTTAATTAATTCAGCGTTGGAGGATTAATGCTAAAGTATATTTTTTAAAGATTTACCAATAAGGAGTTCCTATTAGGGTATTACACTTTGATCTAGAAGCACTTAGCACTGATGCAACACCAAAATCAACTGTATTGTTTAACATTACATTGACTTTCTATTGATATCAAATACGTTATAAAAATGAACTCACTTAGTTTTATCACTCCTTCAGCCGTAAGTAACACATTGGCCCCCTATGTCATTTGATTTATAGAAAGTGACGTCAATTTATAGAAAGTAAATAACAAAATAATACCTTAATATCTCGGTGCACTATTTTTTTTTTATGCAGATAAGACAAACCATTTAGCATTTCTTTCGAGACAATAGCTATCTCATTTTCTTTCAAAAATCCAAGAGCTTGATGAGTGAAAAACGATCCTCTCAATTTTTTAAGTATTACATAGTAAAACTTTTACAAACCTGCACAGATGTCCTGCATACAACCTCCATCGCACAGCTCCATACAAATGTATAATCTATCTCTACGTCTATAACTTTTATAAAACTTTACTATATTTTGGTTATCACATTCGCTTAACACTTGAATTTCCTGCTCTATGATCTCGATCTTGTCCTCTGATTAAAAAATATTAATATATTCTTTAAAGTTAATTCCACTATCGTCCTATATATAACAGCTAAATCAACTTTATGTCTCACTCACTTGGATCGATTTGAATATCTTTCATAGCACATTTAACGTTTCTATCACGAAGGGATTGAGCCTGAATAATAGTAAATCAGCCTTCAAAAATTTTATAAACAGACATATGTGATTAAATTGCGGGCTATTCTAACAGTTTGTTTTCTATAATTGATAAATTACAACGAGAGTTTAGCAAATAACACATATTGACAAACTGATTGTTAAATTGTTTAGCTACATCTTCCGTAACATACCAGATAAACTTGTCCATAAGTGCCATTTCCTATTTGACGAAGTATTCTCCAATCCTCTTTAGGATTTCGGTTAATAATTAAATTGTCTGTGCATCTGTTCATCTTTATTGAATGTTCTTATTTATTTGTTATCACAAACGATCTTCATTTTTGGTGGCTGGGCGATAACAAATCAAAAAAAAACTACTTTAGCGCATGCGCTTTGAACTTCCTGATCTACCTCTCTCCACCGTTCATAACAAACCGTAACCGGTTCAATAGAAACTCCTAGAGCTTGTAAAAACTAAATTCAACTACGGAAGCGGGGACAAGATCTCTGAGTACAAAATGCTAAAGGTAAAGAAAACATCAAAAACTGCATATATTCACGCCCCAAATGATTTATTTAACCAATAAAACAATGAGCGACAATGAATGCCGAGTAGTAAAAACCACGTGTTGTAATAATAGGCGACAGCAGAAGACTTAGAGGCTGCTGAGAAGTTATTTAACGAAATTTCGGAAAAAGCCGATGAACTATGTGGAGATGTGGATAACATTTGTGAAAAGGCCGGCGACGGTAGTCTATCTACAGCAAAGGTTTCGTAACAAAAATACAGTGGTGCTCTCTACTAACAACAAACACAATTTCTTTCAAAACAGGGTTTAAGTTTTCTGGAAATGAAATACCAGACAATGCTTAGTTATGTAATGGATATTACTTCCATAATAAATAAAAAAATTCAAGGCAAACCAATCAGAAATGAACAAAGTGTTGATCGTTTAATAGAAAATAGAACGGTACGAGTAATAAATTTACAATAACAACGGCAGGTGATTAATTCGGTAAATAAATATGTTACCACAATTTATAGATTTTAGAAAAGATAAAACCCATTGATAAGAAACTGAAATATCAAATTGATAAGTTAATTAAAACTGCAAATAGCGCAACTTCAGGTTTGTAAAAATAATTTCGCTATTGCTATTATGTAACTTCGGTTCTTTTTTCTAATAGATCCAAATGATCCAACAAACCTAAAACCAAACTTAGACAACTATGTAAGTATTCTGTTTCTAAATTTTCTCTTGATCCAATACTATAATGATTTTTAGGAGAGTTCTGATGATCAAGAATCATCCGATGAAGGAGGTGTTGAGAAAACTGCTAAAGGCGTTTATAAACCTCCTAAACTGGCTCCAGTTAGATATGGTTTGTGTACTTTCTGATTTACTTTGTCAATTGGTCTCAATTAATTTGAGTTTAGCAACTTTTCTAAGTCATTGTCTTTTTTTTCCAATCTAAAGACGAAGAAGATACTGTACGCGCAATAAAAGAGAAGAAATTAGAGGAGAAAAAACGAAGAGCTCTAACGAGTGGTTTATATAGAGAACTTCGTGAAGAGTTGCACGATGGTCCTGAAGAGATACACGAATCTATCGATCTACATAGAGCTAAAACGGATAAGAAATTAAAGGAGAAAAAAGAGTAAATATATATTTTTACATAAATAATTATATTATAAAACTATGCTATTTCAATAGTTACGAAGAAAAATATTTCATTCGAATGCCTGTCTCCAAGAAAGAAAAGAATGAAGCTAGAAGAATGAGAACCCTGAACGATATTAATTCTATTGCTGAATTTGGCCAAGTAGCAGGTCTTACAAATGCAGATCTAGACGAAGATGATGACAAAGTAACTCCGTCTAAAAAAAGAAAGGCTAAAAAAGTTTGTATATACCAGCTACTTCTTGGTGAAATATAATATGTATCTTTTTTTATAGCAGGGCAAAGGCAAACGAAAGGGGAAGAAAAAGCGAAAAATACGCATATAAATCGTTTCTTTGTTATTGATTATCATTCGTCTTTGTTTTCTTTGGAATATTTTAATATAATTATTTTTCAAATTACAATAGTCAATAATTATTCTAATACTAAAGCCAACATAAAACATCATCACACAAGTTAAAGAGTGGATTTTTTAAAAATGTATTTTTAAGGTAAACAACATTCAGCAGAAAATATACTCTATAAATACAATATTCATGCAATCTATTCTAATTGGTAAAGCTGGAAGACCATTAGATTCAAGATCTAGCACTTCTTTCGCACTCCATAAGACATTCTCTGACCAGAATTCTCGCGTGAACAATACCTCTCTTTAACCTTTCAGCACTTGATTTACTGCCCGCGTATGTAGGCCTAATATCTCTACCCATGTCTTCAATGACCCCGAGTAATTGAGAGTATTTGCTTTGTGATTGGGCTACTCCGCTTGGCTTTGTTGACGGTAAAGTATTAACAGAAGACGCCGGAGGTGGCGGCGTTTGTCGCGCCAATTTCACTGGTGGAGGGGTATTTCTCAAGTCTTCTACCCTTGGGGTTCCCGGATTACTTGGAACAGGGGTTTCTGACCCTGAGCTTGGACCTGATTCATGTTCAGCCATTCTAAAAATTACCAGATAATTTTAACAATTTAACTTTAACAGTCTATCCTAACAAACAGGCAGAGCAACCGGAAGTTGTCAATCTATACACATTTTCGTACCTTTTTCAGATTGCATTATGGGGCGAGCCTTTGCGCGAGCGGGAGAATACAAGTGTGGAAATTCTATTTAACTTATTAAACCATGTTTATATGAGAAATTACCATATAAAATGATGTCAATAATACCAAACTGACATTCTTTATCTTATACACAATAGTTTTAATTGATGCTTATTAGCACGTATTATCTATTACATAACATGGGTTCAAAATAAAGCGTTTGAACGGAAATGGCATTTTTGATGTCATGAGTGTTCATATACATGAACAATATTTTTTATTGAAAAAAAAAACAGTAAACGAAAAATAGAAGTTTAAAAACTCCTATTTGTACAGTGTATAGTAATTCAGTTAAAGTATTTAGAATATCAAAAAGAAAAGCAACATTTTACTACCAGTCTACGTTCTATGTTAACTATACAAGAAATATTCACGGCAACACACCAAGCAAAGACTATTATAGACAAACGGCTGTTTTATTTACGCCTTCGAAATCGAAATCCATTGTGTCTATGCTTTTCCGACGCCTTTGCCTGCGAAGCTGAAATGAATTGATTAACACAGAGGTTAATTACTTCATTAAAAAAACTTAAAAAAAACTGGTTAAAAAATTTTTTTTTAAAGTCATTATTAAAATAAAGTAGAAAAAAAAGCTTTCAAGGTTAATAAACTCTTTTCTAATATAAATCTTCATTTGTTTTTTTACTGTTCACTCAGTTAAAGTAAATTACAGAGGGTAAAAACTCTTTAAAAAGCCTAAGTGATACCTTTTACTATGGAGTAAAATCAACCAGCTACAAGTTGTAAATAATATATACTTTGTTTTATATAAGAATTACCACTTACTATATCAGTTTTAACTGGCGTTTGAAAACCCATAAGATTTTCTGCTGAACTTGCTGATGAATTACTCCTTCGTATAGAACTTCTGTAAATATATATATATATTTAAGTTTATGTCAATAATTTTTATGTACGAAAAATTAATATACCCTGATTTTTTAGGTGTCGGTATAAAAGATTTTTTAGGCGTTTGGATAAATGGTCTAAAACAAAAGAAAATTCTATGATAAATATATTTCATAAATAATTTTGAAATACTAACGAAGCAATAGACTGGCTCTTCTTAACGGGCGTCGATGCTAGTATAGGAGCAGCTTGATTCGAAAAAGCTATGCACAAAGAGAGAAATGTTGCTAAATTTTCGCATAGAAACAAAAAAGAAAGCTTAAAAATATGATTTTACTTACATATGCCACTATCTTGTGAAGTTTCGGAAATATCTTTATCAATTTCCTTCTTAGCTGGAGTAGCTTTAACAGGACCGCTTTTTTTCTCAGATATTTTGGCAAATTTCTGCCCAGGCCTAAATAACGCTGCTTTGATCTGGGGAAATATCTTTTTCTTAGAACTATCTTTTTTATCACTTTTTTTATCATCAACATCATTTGCTGCCCTTCTTTCAATTCTTCCAGTAATAGGCCGTGAAACGTTTAAAACATTTGATAAAGACAAGTCGCTAACACTTGATATGCTTGATAAATCACTAAAAGATGAGTCTTTCATCCTGTCATTAACTTTAGGCACCTCTTTCACTTTTTTTGACTTTTCTTTTGTATTTTCTTTTGCTTCCCCCCTTCCGTCAATCTAATAAATAATGAGCATTGCTTATCTACCAGTTATCTTATTGTAAATATATTACCTTTTCTTTATTTATATCACTCATTTTAGGGAGGGCATTAGATCGGCGTCTATTTTTATTATTATCTATGGATGATTTCCCTGTCATTTTGGGTTTTTCGCGACTTTTCAGACTAACAGAGCGTTGTACACCTCTTTTGGGAGTTTCTCTCTTGACTTCAATTTTTTCCCGGCTTTCAGCAGGTGAATTGAGAGACTCTTTTATTATTTCCAATTTATTTTGTATTTCTAAGGGCCGATCACTTTCTGCTCTACATGTGGCTGTTTCTTTTGAGACAAATCTGCTTTAAAAACGATCACATGTAAAAACAATAATAAATAAATAAAAGGTTAAATAAAACGGTTCTCCGTTTGATGTGAAGTGATAAGAAATTCACTTTCGAAAGTATAACCTACTTGGGGACGTATCTTTTAATATCACGGAGCTTAAAGCTATCTTGACGCCTCGTTTCCACTTTGGTTCGCTCAATATACGCTCGAAACGATTCGTCATTCCCGACTATAAATGTATTAGCTCCTTTAACAGGAGAATTGTCTATGCTGTCATCAGAGTTGCTATCACCTGTAAATAAATAAAGTAAATAAAACATTCATGCACATACCATGCATTGACTATACATCGTAAAGGTGATGATGACAAAAGTTCATCAACGTTATATGATCGTCTTCGATTAAAATCAATATGCCTTTTCTTTATACAGGTGTCGGGGACATCCACTAGATTATCTGAAAACAAAAGGAATTCAATAAATCTTAAGTTTAAAATTTTGAGAATTCGTACCACAGCTATAATTTGCCATTGTAGTCAGGCCTATGTAACGGTCAGTGGGTTAAATTTTCCTCAAATAAAAGCTTTGATATGAGACAGTAGCGTTGATATAAACTTGATTGGTTAAAAAAAAGTAGAATATAATTTTCTTAACAAATAAACAAAGAAATCTGATTGAATTTCTGCTTTAATTTAAAGTGACTAGTTGAAAACTAAATCAGCAACCGCCATTACACATATCAAGGTCTCACTAAAATTTGGAACCAAATGGAAAGAGCCATACGATAGAGGGCGCATTATATGCGAAAAAACTCTCGGTTAAGGATTGCACTTCATTATTATTTGAAAGTAATTGTACACAAATCACAAATCAAGATACTTTATCTGGATCAATCCTTATTTGTTTAATGAACTTTTCATATTTATTAAAAGATGTCGAAAAAAAATAATTTAAATTTCTATTTTCTGTCATTTTTTGGAACTTTCAATAAATAATAGATTTTCACTAAAGAATTATCTATTATTATTATTCTGAGTGAGTATTATATCGATTCCTAGACTTGCGTTTTCATTGATTTAGCTACACCCTCATTCACTATGCTTCCGCTTCCCCCGAAAATACGTCATGAATAATCAGTCTGCAGCTTAAATGGACAAAAACCTTGATTTGTCTTTAAGCTAGTATAGTAAAATATGCTACAACACATTCTGAAATCATTTTTGATCTGAGAAATGCAAATTTATATTTCAACAATTATATTTAGTGAAGAAATATAATTTAAAACTCATTCGGCTATTCTACAATAGTAAAAAACTGCCAATCGTGCAACATGGAATTAGCACAAAGTTTGCTATTGAACGAAGACGCCTACAAGAAAGTAGCAGAAGCTAAGCGACCAGTATTTATTTATGAATGGTTAAGATTTTTGGATAAAGTTCTGGTTGCCGCCCAGAAGGTTGATGTCTTGTTTAAGAAATCGTTAAGTACGAATTATAATTCTATTTTTATATTTTCAGTCTGATATTAAGGAAAGTCAGAAGAAGTTGATTTCTCAATTAACTGAGCAATTACAAGAACGTCCTGGCCCTCCCACAAGGCAGTTGCTGGCCAAATGTCTTGCGACATTGTTTAGCGTGGGAGATACATTTTCTTTATTTGAAACTATTAACAAATGCAATGATATCATTAAAAGCAAAGACGACTCCCCAAGTTTTTTACCTACAAAGATGTAAGCATCACCTGATAAAATTCTTTATTACATAATAAGTTACACAATCGGTCTTTTCTAAATCTTTAGGGCTGCTATATCTTGTATCGGTGAAATATATGAAAGGCTTGGTCGTATGGTTGGCCGATCATATGAAGATACGGTTCAGATACTCATTAGAGCTTTGAAAAATGCCGAATCTCAAGGTAGAAGTGAAATAATGATAACAATAGGAAAAGTTGTAGCAAGCCTTGGTGATGCCGCAAAAAATTGTCATAAAGATATATATAAAGCCGCTAAAAGTTGTATGACGGATCGATCAATGTCAGTTCGATGCAGTGCTGCAAAAGTAAGTGTGAAAGCACCTATTAGAGAAATTTACTTATTCATTTGCATAATTGCAGTGTATGTTCGAGCTTGTACATGAATCGACATTTGTCGCAACTACTGAATTAGATAATGTAGTTTCTCTTTGTATAAGAGCACTTGACGGTTCGAATTATGATGTTAGATGCGACGTTTCTCGTCTTCTTGCCCATTTACTTGCTCATGCTCTAACACCGAAAACACCACAGCAATCAACCAAATCCAAACAACTGACATTAAGTGACGCTTTAGGCATATTAGCCAATGGGTTTTTGAAGGGTGGCACTAGCTTCCTTAAAAGTAGCTCGGCAGGGGAAATAATTAAAGGAAGTTCTAACGTAAATAGAGAAGTACGAGTTGGGATTACTCATGTAAGCTTTTAAATTCCCTTGATTGTTCGAAGAATTTTTATTAAAACTTTTTTCTTTTTCCTAGGCCTATGCAAATTTCATAACTGAAATGGGTGGACCTTGGTTTGAGAGGAATATGAGAGAAGTGATTGATCATGTTTTACAATTAGTTTGTCAACCAAAAGCATGTCCTAGTCATGTTGATGCAGTTTATGCCAGAAAATGCGTTCTTTTCATCCTACGAACAGTTATCGGTGGTACTTTAGGAGAAAAAGCTCAGATAGCTGCTGCGAAAGAAATTTGCACTATAGTAGTAAAGCATATGAATTACATTGATGCATCAAGCGAAAACTCTCAAAGTAATAGCGAATCAAACTTACAACACCATGTTATAGTATGCTCTCTTCACGAATTATCTTGTTTGGTTCAAAGTTTAGGAACATCAGCCTCTCCATTAGTATCTGAACCTTCTTCGGGTAACATTATAATATACTTTATAAATAATTCCTAAATCTCTTTTTACATCAGGCGTCCTGGAACCAGTTATTAGTGTTTTAATACATCCTTCGTCGGCAGCTGCTAGATATGCAGCTGCTTGGTGTCTTAGTAGCATTGCTGTCGCCCTTCCGTCCCATATGACCATGCTGATTGATCGGTGTACAAATAGAATGCACCACTTAAAAACTTCTCCAGAAGCGATATCTGGCTATAGCGCAGCTTTAGCAGCACTTTTGGGAGGAGTAAGACATACTGCTCTTGGAATACCTCATGCACGAGGAAAAGTATATAAATAGTTCTTATTTTAGTTTTCTCCTTAATAAATATAGCATATTTAATAGAAAATATTTGCTATGGCCGAAGAATTACTTCGAACTGCAACACAAACAAGCCGATTGACACTTCAAAGAATTCAATCGGGTTGGATACTTATATCAGCCTTAAATACTCTTGGTTCTAGTGTTGTTAAAAAACATCTTCCGAAAATGCTTCTCTTGTGGAGGAATGCTTTTCCTCGATCAAGCAAAGAACTAGAAGCTGAGAAGGGTAGAGGTGACCCTTTTACTTGGCAAGTTACCCTGGAGGGGCGAGCTGGTGCTCTAGGAGGTAAGTAATACAAAATATTATTAAATAGTTTACTTAAACATTTACTAAAATATATACAGCAATGCATAGCTTCTTCACTCACTGTAAAGAGTTAGCTACACAAGACGTCATTCGAAGATTATTACCACCATTAGAATGTGCTCTTTCCCTTTCCGGACAGTAAGTTTAACAATTTACTTATTGTACTCATTCAAACTTATCGATATTATTTTAAAGTTTACCAAATGTTGTCAAATCTTTCGGAACACATTTAAAAGCAAGTGCTGCATTATTAAGACAGCGTTTATATGATGTTTTAGCTTTGATATCCCCAGAGTGTTACGAAGGTAATCATTGTGTTTCTATGTCAATCAATCAATTTTTTGTATCCTATTTATATTATTCAGGTGCATTTAGTGGACTTTTGAGGGAATTAGTAGCTGAATTCACTTTAACTGATAATGCCGCTAATACAACGACCTCATTACTTAGATCTCTCTGTCACGTAGACGATAGTGTGATTTTGGGTTCTTGGTTACAGGAAACCGATCATAAAGCAATAGAAGATCAAGTAAGTTCATTTGAAAGTATAATACTGTTTAAGAGAATGGTCATGGTAGCTTCTCCGAATTTTTTTTATATATTCCTTTATCTGTCTATAGTTTTTGTTTAAAAAACAAGGCAAACTTTTTTTCTATTTATTTTCTTTAACCAAAATTAAATTTGGTTACAATTTCTATGATTTCATCTGACTAAAACAAAAACCCACTTATATTCGAGTCTTCATGCGCTTTTTGTACTGACTATCGGCTATGCATTTCTGTAGCTCGAACCAAATCGTAGGCTGGATCATGAGCATGTGAGTACGATCTTTTCGAGTTTCTTTTCGAGTTATTTCTTTTCTGTGCTTTCAACTCGGAGAAGTTAAACAAATACTTTTATCAAAATATTGTTTGTTTCTTTGCTAAAATATAGTTTATGATATACTGAACATTATATAAATATATATATAAATATATATTGACATATATATTTATATATATATAAATAAAACTATATATACATATAAATATATACAGTATATACTAATATATATCATATTTCATTTATTTTTGTGTTTATCACGTAAGCGATGATTTTTTTTTTCTTCAGCGTATGATTGCTTTTTATTTGTATGGCGTCTATTTGTGTGATTCTGTAGTAATAACAGTATTTCAAGAATGACAACAAAGCTTTATTTTTGCCAAACATTTGAAAAAACCGCAAATCAATAGTTTAGCATGAAATCTGAACTAAAAAGCCTTATAATATAGTTAAAAAAACAAGCAAAAAGGAATTAATAAATAGTATTAATATTAATAATGTTTTTTTCGATAACAGCTACAACCAAATAGCGCTTCCGGATCTGGGGCACTAGAGCACGACGCGGCCTCCCTATATATGAATTCACCCTCAGCTGATTCTGTTCCAGGCCCTCTTCCGTTAGGTGTATCTGTAATCGATTCCTCAGTAAGATTATACGGACTTGTTTTCCCTCGAGTTGCTCACAAACACCGACTACAAATGTTAGAGCATTTTAATGAATGTATACGATCAGCTAAATCATCCAGGCAGCAAGCTGTACAGATTAATATATTCACTGCTGTTCTCTGTGCTCTAAGGTCTTTAGCCGAAACAAAAACAGGGTTTGCTCAAATAGAAGTAAGAAAAGCAGCTGTAAATCTTGTTTTAGGAGCCTTAAATTCTTCAAATCCAACTTTGAGATGTGCTGGTGGAGAAGCTCTTGGTCGAATGGCTCAAGTAGTTGGAGATAACCGATTTATTGCTGAAATGGCTCAGTACAGCTTCGACAAATTAAAGTCAGCTAGAGACGTTGTTGCCCGCACTGGTCATTCATTGGCCTTAGGCTGCCTACATCGATATGTTGGAGGAATGGGCTCGGGACAACATTTATCAACTTCAATATCCATTTTGCTAGCCTTAGCGAAAGATTCGTCATCTCCTGTGGTACAAGTTTGGGCTTTACACGCATTAAGTATGGTTGCTGACTGTGGTGGTCCAATGTTTAGAGGTTACGTTGAGCCTAGTCTGAGTTTAATACTACAGCTCTTACTTTTAGTCCCTGAAAGTCATGTGGATGTTCATCAATGTCTTGGAAAGTGCTTAGCAGCTTTAGTAACAGCAATAGGTCCTGAATTACAAGGCACTTCAAGTTCAATTACAACTGCACGACTGTCTTGCCTTGTTTGTTGTGCAATTATGCAAAACCATCCTGATGCCTTGGTAAAAGCAGAGGCTATTGCCTGCTTACAGCAATTACACATGTTTGCTCCTAGACATGTAAATCTTACAAGCTTAGTACCTCATCTTTGTGAAACATTAAGTTCATCTCATCTATTACTACGACGAGCTGCAGTAGCTTGTTTAAGACAGTTAGTGCAGCGAGAGGCCCGTGAAGTGGCGGAACATGCACTGAATATGTCAAACGATAGTAAAGAAAAAGCTAATATGACAGAAAACGGGTTAGAAGGCGCTCTTTTTGCCCTACTAGACTCCGAAACTGACCTAAAGCTTTGTTCTGATGTCCAAGATACTTTAATTAGTATGCTACAATGTCTCGCTAACGAACATCTCAATCGATGGCTCCGACTCATAAAGGATGTTTTGCAAGCTTCCTCAATTAGCTCTGAGAAAAATTCTCCTCTAGACAGTTTATCAAAAGAGGATAAAGATGATACTGAAGAAGTCGAAGGATTTCAAATTGCATCTTCCGATTCATCACCCAAAAAAAGTGTTTCTCCTCGTTGGCCAACAAGAGTATTTGCACTGGAATGCCTACTCAAAATTATTTCCGCTTGCGAAAACAAAGAAAATCACTTTGATTTACAAAAAGCCAGGATATTGTCATCACAGGGTAAAGGAGATTTTTTGGTGCTACATTTGCCTGAATTGATTAAGATGGCTTTTATAGCTGCAACTTCAGATTCAGATAAATTACGACTAGCTGGCCTGAAGGCGCTTGAAGTAATTTTTTTTCTATTAGTATCTTAACGACCTAATTACATAGAAATATATTTCCCTACAGCAAATTATCATTTTCTTCGCTCATGTTCCTGAACCGGAGTTTGAAGGACACGTTATATTAGAACAATATCAAGCGCAAGTGGGAGCTGCATTACGACCAGCTTTCTCTCCCGATACAGCCCCACACGTCACAGCTGCTGCATGCGAGGTTTGCAGCCGATGGATAGGCTCTGGAGTTGCTAGAGATTTAAATGATTTAAGGAGAGTTCACCAACTGCTAGCCTCCTCATTAGCCAAGTTGAAGCAGGGTAAGGATCAAACGCCCTTATTTAGTGAAAGTGCTACAACAATGGAGCAGCTAGCAGTGTTACACGCCTGGGCCGAAGTATATATTGAAGCTATGAAACAGGAAAAATCGAAGAATCCCAATGAATCAGAGGATGAGTGTCCAGGAGGTGAAAGTTTACTTAGTCTAGTTCAGCCAGAAATGTCTACATTAAGTGAACATTGGTTGAATGCTTTAAAAGACTATGCACTTTTATCATTACCTGCTGAATGTTCTTCTCAATTGCCCTCTGAGGGTGGTGCCTTTTATAAAGCAGATACAATGGACGGATCTAAAGTACATTATAAAAAAGCATGGCCGCCTATCTTATATGCGGTGTCTTTATGGCTACATGATTGTGGCTTTACGACACCTACAAAAAGAGACGATAGTCAACCGGCTAATATGAAATCAGAAGATCCGGACGGTGATCGTCTTCATCTGCTTATAGGTATATGTATGGAGGCTTTATGCAGCCCTACCTCAATCCAACCTGAACAAACAGTAGAATATTGCTTACGGACAATGTACACACTTTTGGATGATCCATGGCCTAGATCAAGAATTGGAGCGAAATCTAAATTATCAATAGAAATTCTTAATGTTATGCATAGACTACTTTTGACTAGAGAGAGCGAATCGTGTTTTGTTCTGGTTATTCAGGTTGTTAAACAGGTTGTTAAAGCTGCTATCGAACACACTGAACAAGAGAGGGCTGCGTGGAAAGAACAACACCCTGATCCTGAAACTCCACCCAGAAACCAGCCAGAAGTAACTCAGTCAGCACAGATTGATGAACCGGGTGAGGGAGGTAGTACAGGTGACATTTATCCAGCACAATCTGTCATTTTCGCCACTCTTGAAACATGCTTATGTGTATTTATGCGCTATGTCCCAGATATCAATCCTTCTAGTACAACAAACATTATGAGACATTTAGCTGGAGTAAGAAAAGGTGTTTACTCTCAAGATGCTTGTAAAATTATGAGTGATGCCTTGTCAATCATGTCGGATATGCCTCAACTTTGCTCACCTAAAGGAACAACATCTGTTTTACCAACTTTGATTTTCTTAACTCTATCAGTAATGCGAGAGTTAGCTCCTAGAAATGGAGCCGAGCCAGTTTGGAGTGTATCCTCTGCCTTACATACATTAAAATCTATGTGCGCCAGTTCCTATGCTAAACGTTTGGATGATATTGGTACTAGATGGAGACTCCTCCTGCAAAGTGCTCTTTATACTCTTTTACAAGATTACGAACCGAGTCAAGATAAACCAGGAATGCATTACGGCACAGCTCTCTTGGCTATGACTGTATTCCTAATGAGCTGTGGGCGAGATACCCTGAATATTGATGTAATACAAGAAAAGGCTGTCAAAGTATTTAAAGAGGCTTGGGCAACCAACGATAACCGTACTCGATTACAGTCAATTCAAGCCGCAACTTCAATATTCCAGCATCCAGACCGACAAGTTGCTATTTTCTTTATTCATTCTATCTCGCCACCAGTTATTGAAAGCCTATTGCAAGCATCTTCTAATCGAGAGCAAATTCAAATTGATCCAGAGCTGATATTTGAAAGTATCCGCCTGGTTGAAACTCTGATAGCTTTAACGGAGGACGAAAACAGAATTCACCTAGTCTCTGTTTTAGTACCAGTGCTAGTTGCCCTTCTGATTGATACAGATCGATTAAGTAGCGCAGATAAATCTAGACGAAAAATTCACGATTATGCGATTCAGAGATTGATGGCTGTAGGTCCTAAATACTCTACTCACTTTCGAAAAGTAATGCAGAAGACACCGCAACTAAAAGTTCGTTTAGAAGAGGCTATTAAAGCCCAAAGTACTGCTAACCAATCAAGTCACCTTAAGCAATCATCTAACGACAGTCAACAAAACATGCTTGCTCAGCCGGCAAGACCAACGATTCAACTAAAGCAATTCGGTAGTGGATTCGCTAGCAAATCTTGATTTCTTCTTTCCTAATTCGCTTCATTCTAGTGCTTCATCATTTTTACGTTCGCCGTAATTGAATACATTATAAAAAATATTAAATAAATGAATGACAAATGTATCAGAATAATAAAATACCTAAATTCAAATATTTAAATTTTTAGAGAAGTTATATAAAGAAAATATTTAAATGTATTATATAATGTATTAGTATAACATTCATATATAGTAAAATATTCAAATTAAATAAAAGAGTGGTAGGTAGTAATCTAGTCACTGCCTATTATTCTAAAATAGGTATTTTAAATAAAGTCAAAATCAATTTCTTGATGAGCATCCAATAGTTAGCTTTCAGCTCGTTGATTGGTTCCCATACAGATTGAATAATTGTTGAATTTCTACAGCTGGAAAGCAATAAATTTTTTTTCCTTTGCTTTTGTTCCTATTTTAATATTGATCAAGAAACATGAGAATATTATCATGAAATTTCACTGCTGGGCTTATATTTGTGACGTCACACAGGAGGAGTGTGCCACGTGAAATTTGGATGTTTTTTTCGAATCTACACTAAATAAACTAACGATGAACAAGTAAGTTAAATATAAAGTAATTTTACTATGACGATTTAAAAGATTAAAGAGTTTGTAAGGTCTGGTAAGCATGTATTTTATATAAATTCAGAGTGGAACGATTCTACGTTCCCGGCAGCCATTTTGTTTTGTTATGATTGGTAAAGGTACCGATTCACTTCTGGAATGTATTTTTACCTGAGTACAATAAAAGTAACTGATTTTTTCTGAAGATCGGTATGATTAACTAAGTGTTGTTCATGAACATTTAAGAATAAAGCATTGTCACATCCCGATAGCTTTGCATTTGACACGCCTTCGTTTGCATACTAAGAGATAAAAACTCATTACAGAACCGATTTGTATATTTTTTCCGTGATCGAAGAATAATTTAAAACTATCAAATGATGAGCATTATCTATAAATCCTTTGTATTTATCAAAATCCTCACATAACATTACAGAAGATTTGAGATCCTTATGTGCAGTTATTGACGTGTTTTGTATGAACATGACTCACCAATGTAAAACTACCTTCTGAATGACCGTGATATTTTGTATGTTTTTAATTTTTTGTTTGTTTTAAACCAATTTTAGGCTTGCAAATCTAATGCCGACTTCTAAACGACTCCGTGACCTCATAAGGGAAATCAGATCATCAAGAACAGCTGCCGATGAGAGAGCCGTTGTTCAAAAAGAATGTGCCGCCATAAGAGATACGTTTAGAGAAGAAGATAATACATATCGGTGTAGAAATGTAGCTAAACTATTATATATTCATATGCTTGGTTACCCAGCTCATTTTGGGCAGGTATATATTATTATAATCGATAAGATATCCAAAACTAATGTTTTTTTTTAAAACCAGTTGGAGTGTTTGAAATTAATTGCATCACCACGATTTACTGATAAAAGAATTGGTTACCTTGGAGCTATGCTACTGCTTGATGAGAAGCATGATGTGCATTTACTTATTACAAATTCGCTGAAAAAGTATTAAATTTACATATTTTAAAATACACTTCTTAAATATTCTTTTTCCAGTGACTTAAATCATCAAACTCAATATATAGTATCATTAGCTCTATGCACATTGGGAAGCATTTGCTCCGCAGAAATGAGTAGAGATTTGGCTGGAGAAATCGAAAAACTATTAAAATCTTCTAATGCATATATAAAAAAGAAAGCAGCATTGGCAGCCTTTAGAATAATACAAAAAGTAAACAAACTTTATTTTCTAGAAATATAATACTCTATGATAAAAATTTTATCAGGTACCTGATTTGTTAGAAATGTTTTTACCGGCGACAAGATCGCTTCTAAACGAAAAAAATCATGGTGTATTATTAACGGCTGTTTGCCTAATCACACAAATGTGTGAGATAAGCATTGATACTCTAGTTCATTTCAGAAAGGTTTGTTTCACATCTCTTGCTTTATTATTTCAAATGTTTATACATATATATATATATATATATATATATATATATTTAAATCATCTTTGACTGAATGATATTTTTTCGACAGATGGTAAATCAACTGGTTAGAATATTAAAAAATCTCATCATGGCTGGTTACTCACCAGAGCATGATGTATCAGGCGTTAGTGACCCCTTTCTGCAGGTAAAAATTCTCCGTCTTCTGCGAATTTTGGGTAAAGGAGATTCAGACGCTAGTGAACAAATGAATGATATTTTGGCTCAAGTTGCAACTAACACAGAAACCAGCAAAAATGTGGGTCATGCTATTTTATACGAAATAGTTTTGACAATTATGGGAATACAATCAGAAGCAGGATTGAGAGTATTAGCTGTCAATATTCTTGGGCGATTCTTACTAAATAACGATAAAAATATACGGTTAATAATTTATTACCATTTACATTTAATTCATTTTCACCATATAATTATTATATGTTTGAATGTTCAGATATGTAGCCTTGAATACACTGTTGAAGGTCGTGCACGCTGATTATAATGCTGTACAAAGGCATCGATCGACTATAGTTGATTGCTTAAAAGATCCAGATACCTCCATCAAAAAACGCGCCATGGAATTGTGCTTTGCCCTTATAAATGCCAATAACGTTAGGGGTATGGTCAAGGAACTGCTGTTCTTTTTGGAGCGATGTGATCCTGACTTTAAAGCTGATTGCTCCTCTGGTCTTGTCATATCAGCGGAGAGACATGCTCCTAACAAAAGGTGGCATATCGACACAGTTATCAAAGTTTTAACTACCGCTGGAAATTATGTTAGAGACGACGTAGTTACCATGCTTATTCAATTAATTGCCGATACGAATCCTTTACACACATACGCTGCCAGAAATCTATTGGAACAAGCGAGACTACATATGGATCAACAACCTTTGTGCCAGGTTGCAGCATGGGTAATCGGAGAATACGGTGATATCCTAAACAAACCATGTAAAGATGTGGGAGATGATTTTGAAAATATACCGGATTCAGACGTTCTAGAAACTCTTGAGAGAATATTGTTGTCCAGTAACTCTCTAACTGTTACAAAACAATATGCTGTAATAGCAATTATGAAGTTATCAACTCGACTTAGTTCAGGTGTACAGGACCAAGTTAAGCGATTGATAAATATTTATGGTAGTAGCACGAATGTTGAGTTACAGCAGAGATCTGTAGAATTTACTTCTCTTTTTAATCGAAAACACGACACTATCCGATCCGGTCTCTTGGAACGAATGCCATTGGTTGAAAAATCCAACATTATTAGTAATGGAGTTTCAAATTCTGGTGAAGGTAATGCTGAAGACGAAGAATCAAGACAAGATGTCATACAATCTGTGAACATTCCGGAGTTACCTAAACAACAAAGTCAGAACATCCTAGATTTATTAGACAACGACACAAGTTTTACAAAACCATCAATGCCAAGCCAGCAGCCGAATGCAACAGGTGGAAATCTATTAGATTTATTAGGAGATCTTGATTTATCATCTCAACCACCGCCCGTCATTCAACAAGGACCGGTATCGAACGGACTAATTGCGCAATCAGCTCCATTTTCTCAAGGGCCTCAAATACCTCAGCTAGAGGTTTTCGACAAGAAAGGAATCCGTATTACCTTCGACTTTGAACGGGTACCCGAGGGTTTAAAAATTGACTTGAAAGCTTCAAATTCGAACGCACATGATATGACAGATTTCTCAATTCAAGCTGCAGTGCCTAAATCATTCCAATTAAATCTCTCACCCGCTTCTTCTCCTTATTTGCCGGCTTACTCTGTCCAAGGAATTACACAAACCATGCACATAATTAACCCTCAAAAGGTAAGATAATTTTTTCTAGTCTTTTCGTTTCAGTTTATATATTCACATAATAATTTAGAATTATTTATTTGTATAATTTCAATTTTTTAATTTTAAAAAGACGAGACCATTACGTCTTGCAGGAAACAGAGAGAAATATGATTAAATTAAACTACGGAAGCTTTCTAATTGAAATATTTAATTTCATCTTATTTCTTTACCTGTTTAAGAGAATTTTTTTTTTTACAGCAACCAGTACGAATGCGTATTCGATTAAGTTATACAGTAAATGGTCAAAATTTTACTGAGCAAGCAGAAGTGAACAATTTCCCACCTCCCACGTGGCAGTAAATTATAATCTACCGCTTTTAACCACGTTAACTGTTTAGTCGTATAATTTTATGTATCGACTTTGACCGCAAAGAAAATTTTTCCATGTTATGAAGAACAAAGCGGTATTTTGTAATATTTATGTTAGTCATTGTTGTTCAAGAAATTATAAATATGTATGTTGATTGAATATTTCTTTTCCGTTTTTATTGAATTAGTCAATGTTGAAAGTTGAGCATGAAAATATAGAGACAACTGTAAGATTTTCATATAAGATGCTGTCGGTTTTCAATAGGAAATTTTCCGTTTATTTACACTAATGTTTCTGTGCGATTTAAATACAGGTGCAGTTTAAATATTCACTATTTTATGTAACAGTTTTAGATTTTTAATTCAAGGTATGTTTATCAAAAAGAATTAGACAGGTACCACACCAATGATCAGCCATATTTGTTGTCATGTGACTGTATCTTTAAGCGGTCAAATAATAGGACCTCCAGAGTAATAATGTCTAATACTGATCGTAATATACTACTTGGCTGCGCAGCTGCAGTTGCTGCAAGTGTGGGAACTTTCTCCCTAACGAGCTACTATTATAAACAGAAAGAGAAACAAAGGGAACAACGTAACAATCAGTACGAAAGTCGAAAGTTATTAAATGAGTATTTACTATTTCATTATGGCTCTGTAAAAGAATTAATACTCGCCCCAAATGGGCCAACAAATGGGCACGATTTCCCAAGAAAGTGTGCAGATATTTGCGGCAACTTTTTCCAATCTCAATTGGAAAAATCCTCTTTACAACTAAAACGAGGTCTTGACATTGGTTGCGCTGTTGGTAGATCAACCTTCGAAATGTGTAACTTCTTGGATGAAGTTGTTGGAATTGACTATAGTCAATCTTTTGTAGATGCCTGTAATATTCTCAAAGGAAGCGGCTCCATACGATATTCTGTTTGTTCTATAGGAGATTTGGAAGATTCTTATCAAGCTATTGTCGATTCAAAAATTGTTAGTTATTTAAAATTTGTGTGGTTCTTTTTAGCTATTCATTTTACAGGATAGAGGAAAAGCCGAATTCCGACGGGGAGACGCATGCAATTTGCCCTTGGATTTAGGTCAATTTTCTGTAGTTTTGGCTGCGAACTTAATATGTCGCCTTCATTCACCTCAATACTTTTTAAGACGCTTGGCTGACCTAGTTGTTACTGATGGCATTCTGGTGTTAACTTCCCCATATACGTTTCTAAGGGAGTATACACCGGCTGTAAGTTTTTCATTTCAAACCTGCTTGTCTAAAAATAGAATAAGAAATATTTCTTAATTATTTTTAGGAAAATTGGATAGGAGGTTTTGTACGAGATGGAAAACCGATTGTTGGTTTAACTGGACTGCAAGAACAATTGGGAGATTATTTCGATTTGGTTCATGAAATGGAACTTCCGTTTACTATTCGTGAAACGGAAAGAAAGCACCAATGGACCGTAAGCCACGTAACTGTTTGGATAAGAAATTCAAAAACAAAATAATTTAACTAATAACTTAGGTATATTAAGAACAATAGATCTTAAGTGTCATTTTTAAAACTCTTAGTTTTAACAATTATTCATAATCATCATCGTCACTTTCTTCCTGCTCACTTTTAGAATCTTCGTCGGTTTTGCTTACTCTACATGTGTTTAAAATCTTTAGAAACGTCTCTCTTTACTAATTGATATTTTACCCTAGTAAATCCTCTTTGTTTTCTTCCAAATCTGAATGTGAGGACGATGGTGTTGAGGTGGCAGTGCAAGTTGAGCTACTCTGAATTAACAATTTAAAACACTTATTCTTAGACTAATATACCAATAAAAATAAATTTAAAACATGTTAACAAGTTAACAAATTATTTCTAAATGAATAAACTGAATCTAAAGGTAAAAATTCTACCTCTTGTACTTTCTTAGGTCGCCTTCTTTTAGTGGGTACGCCTCCTTCTGATCCTACAGACGCATTGGACAAACTGCGTTTCGTCTGTCTGGTCTTTGTGTCTTCATCTTCGGCGGATCGATCGGGTACATTCTGAACGAGATCTTTTAGAAAGTCAAACCCTTTTTCTTCGTGTATTACTTGTTTTCTAAAATAAACCATGAAAAACTAGTTAGGCTGAAGTAATACTTTTAATTAATGCTTACATGTGAGACGTTGTGAGCGTCTTTGCATTTCTGGATTTTGTTTGTTCATATGATTTTTTTACCAAGCCGTCGATAAACAATTCTAGGGCTCGTGCTTTAAATTTACTTAAGGAATTTACGTTTAAAAGTAACTTGATTAAATAACAATGAAAAGGATACAGATTACAACCGGTACAATAGCAGCCACTTTACCAATATCATCATCTGTCTGCATAATCTTCTTTATTCTAGCCTGTTTTAAAGATCAAAGCAATTATTAGTTTAATCCAATACAATGACGTTAATTCTTTTAATCTAACCGTTGGGAATCTGGAATTGAACTTTTTTCTTTTGATAGGCATTTTCCCTCACTTACAACACTCTTTAACTTTGAAAACTGGTTAGAATTTGGTAAAATATTCTTGGGTAGCGCTAGCAAACAAAGCGAACAAAAAATTTAAATCCTCGCCATATTTAGACTTACCCTACTTTCTAAATATATAAAAAGTTTTATTAAATAAAGTTTTTCTCCTTTAGCTACCGATTTGTAAAATATGTTATAGTAGGCCTAAAACTTTTCATTAAGGCAAAAGCGAAAAGATTATTCATAATAAATTCGGCGAACTTTAGAATTTAGACAAAATAATTAGAAATGTTTATCGTTTTAATTAGCACCAATAAAAAGTTTTACTCATCATTTATTCATACATAAAAAAAATTAAGGCTATTAATAGAAAAAATAAGAGAAAGAAACATAATAATTGTAAATTTATAGCATAATATTTTTGCCTTATCTTATTTATCATTTATCGTTTAATAATTTACCGACGAAATCTAGTCTTCTTGTCCTTTATACTGTATAATAAATACAGTATATATATATATAATATAATTATAGTTATATATCTATATGTATAGCAAATAAGTATGCTAGTCATTTCATAAAATTAACATATTGTTTTCTATTTATCTGAATATAAAGAAGTTATTACGAATGGAAGAAAGACAAGAGAGATAAACCATATATCTATATACAGTATATATTGAGAGAAAGAAGGAGAGAGAGAGGGGGGAGAAGGGGGAAAGAAAGAGTAGCCAATAAGTGGTTTGAACTTTACATATTAAAAAATGATAAACAAACTTTAATCAAAAACGTATTAGCATAGATTAATAGAGAATTTAGAATTTGGAGTTATTTTTTTATGAGATAATAACAACTTTAGAATAGTCATTTAATTGGAAAAAAAATACTATCTGCAGTTCGAAAAGGAGATTAGGATGGAAAGTCGAGAGAGAGAGAGAGAGAGAGAGAAGATGGTTGGAAGAGTCCAAAAACTTATTAGATATGGAAATTAGTCTTTTGCGGGGTGGAGAGTGTCTCTGCGCGTGTGTGTGAGGGGGTGGGTAGGCTGTTGGTAATATAGGTGCTAATATAATGAATAAATATATTAATTTAGCTTTATTATTGTAATAAAGTATTATCATGAAAGAGAAATTTTATGGTATTATAAAATATTTGATACATTATGAATAAGTGATTTTATATCTATATTAATATAAATATAGATATACTAAATATATTATATTTATACATATTGAACTAGTAATCGATTAGCATTATTGAATAATAACGAGACTGAGCAAATGAAAAAGATGACAAAAGTTGAAGAAAGAGTAAAGAAAAATAGAGTGTGGGAGAGTTGATTAGGCCTTAAAAGATATTCCCCTCTAGAGCGCAGTATTATATTAATGTGTTATCAGAAGAGTACAAGGCTATTTATAAGCAAGCACTGCACGGAGGAAAATGGTATATAATATCACAAACTCAACGGACGGAAAAGGATACGATGCAAACTGTGTTATTGTTTTTAATTTTATACTATGGACGGTTATATACTCAGTAATATGTTTGCCGGGAGTTACTGGAAATTTATTATCTTTTTTAGTTTTCTTAAAAGGTAAGAGAAACTCTGCGAATATTCTCTTAAAGTCGTTATTACTTAGTGGAACTGGACTAAATATATTGGTTGTGTTCGTCGATTCTATTCCATATGGGTGTGAGTTTACGAAGAAATGTAATCAGTGGTGGTATACCTGGCCTTATATTAGATATATTTGGATTTTCACGCCTATATTGCACATGACTACGGTTTGGATAGCCATTTTAATAGCCGTAAACAAATATTATGCCGTTTGTAGGCCTTTTAATGTAAAATTCGTATGGACGAGGAGAAGAACCAATTTATTCGTAATTTATGTTTGCTCCTTTGTTATCTTATTTAATCTCCCGAGATTTTTTGAATACAAGGTTATCAAGGACACTGATGGCAAATTGAAAGAAATGCGGACTTCGTTCGGCAATTCAGCAGTATACCAAAAGGGTTATAAGATATATTGTAACGTTTTATTCTTTACATTCGGACCTTTGTTGATTATGTCTGTCCTAACGGCCAGAATATTATGGATACTCAATCAAAAGAGGTTAAACGACGTACAAACCCACTTTCAGACGCTAACCGAAGAGGGCAAGAAGAGGATATTAAAACCCAGCAACGAAATTACCGTGGTATTGCTGATAACAGTGATAACAACTATATTCTGCCAAGTACCAATTGCATTCTTCCATCTACTAAGAAGCAGAAAGAGAAATTGTGCTGATTTTGTTTACTTTCTAGATCATATAGCTAAATTTTTAGTAAATGTTAATGCAGCATTTAGCTTTGTCATCTATACAACGTTTAGTAAGAATTTTAGGAAAGTCTTAGTGAGTATGTTAACGTGTAAAAAGATAGTCAACCCACCAAGAACACAAACTACAACATTTAGTTGAGTAGTGTATTAAATATGTACTATATAACCCAACTCTGGTCTGTTAATAAGAAAAATGTCAGTATTATAAATGTATATATTTTGTTGTTTATATATAATGTATATAGTTTGTTTTGTTGTTAATGTCAATATTTTTTATTTTTTTTTATTGCATATAGAAAGAAAACAAGGAGAAATAAGAGAAAATAAATTTAAACAAAAGTTGTTTTTTTCATATTGAAGAAAAGAAAACAAAATGTGGTAGGAATTATTTCTCTCTCTCTCTCTCTCTCTCTTCGTCTTTAAGAATCCGCTTTGGTATGATTACTAATAGGTCTTTTTTATGTATTGTATAACATTTCCGTTAATTTTCTCTTTTTACAATGTAATAGTATAATTATAACTACTAATTAGAATTAATTTCCCTTTTTTTCTTACTCACTCACTCACTCTCTCATTCTCTCTCTTTCTCTCTCTCTCTCTCGCTCTCTCTCGCTGTTTTTCTCTCTTTTCATCTTTGTTGTAGTAACGAAACACAAGCAGGCCAATTTTCACTTAAATTTTGCCAAAAGACCTCATTTAATACTATAGAAATTAACAAAGATAGACAAGTTTACTTTACAGGGATTATATTTTTGAGATAACGATAAAATTACTTTTCTCTTCTCTCTCTCTCTCTCTCTCTCTCTCTCTCTTTCTCTCTCTTTCTCTCTTTTTCTCTATTTTCCTCACATTTTCAGAGATTCACTTGCTCTCAAACAGGAAGAAGCGATGTAACTCGATATATATAAATATACATGTCTTGCTGGACCATCATTTGCTATTATTGTTACTTGAGTAAACAAATTAATTATTTCTATTCATTTTAAGCATAGAACAAAATGATTTGCAGAGACATGAGGAATAAGAATTAGGGAAGATAATGATAAAGTGGATATAAAAATGACGATAATGATAATGATAATATCAAGAAAACTAATAAATAAAGCAAAAGCAACAGTTGCTCTATTTTCTATTTTAGTTTGTTTAGGTGCTATTTTTTCATAAAATATAGCTTCTTAGAAGGCCTCGTTAAAAAGATCTTAGCTCTTCAAACAGTCAACAGAATGAATAAATGTTAGAATACTCTTTGGATAGTTTATAACTAATCATCTCTTTATAGGCCTAATTATTTATAATTTTTGTCATACTTTCATTTTAAACATGAAAAAGTAATGTTATACATTGAAAATATAAATAAAACAAAAAGAATTTAAAAAGCTAGATAGTTTAAGTATTATTTAAAAAAAAAAACCTATTGGCCTGAATAGGAAACGTATGGATTCTTCACCTTGTTCGACGAAAAGTTACTGTGCCAAGTTAAATTCCATTGATAGGTGCGTTTGCAATGAAAATTTGAGCTACGTCAATTCACATCATTATAAAGATGAATACCACGAATCTGTAGCAGAGTTGAACGATTTAAAATTGGAATTGACGGAATTAGGCATATTTCATCGAATGAATAGATATATGTAACAATAAATTAATTAGAAGAAACATGAAAGAATTAATTAATTAATTAATTAATTAGAAAATTAATTGCCCTTTATATTTTGCTTGCATTTATTCATTCGAAAAATATTTAGGCTGTACTGTAACGATGCTTTTGAAGAAGCTTAGGGATGGTGGTACGGTAATGGATGAATTGCGTTCGTGTAATGAGAAGATAAAGAGTAGAAATATGGAATTAATTCAGGAAAATGATAAATTGAGACGATATATTAAAAATTTAGAAAATAGCACAAATATTAGGTCTATCGAGCCGTTATGTAATCCTGCTAGGTTGTGTAATCGTTTCCCAACAGGAAGAACATACGATAATCAATTTTACGGTGGATTAATGTCAGAGGAAAAACTGGATTTATTCGGCTCGTGTAGATATCCACATTCATATAGGCCTACTTCTAGTATTTCGACACTTCCAATGCCTTTAGGAGCTTCTAGTACCATCAATTCAGACTCTGTAAATATGTTTTATTTATTTATTAGTTTTAGAAAAGATTCTATAAATTTTTCGATATCAAAACTTTAGAATGCTATAATTGGTCCTTCTGGACAAGGGGGTATTTCTCAGCATGGAAACACATTATCGGCTAAAAACGCGACTCCAGCACCGCGATCTTCTACTTTACAGTCCCAAGGCGAAAGTCGCGGTACGTCTTCTAACCGTGGAGATAAACGTACCACTAATGAAACAGATCCTGGTAGCGAAAGCTATACTTCTACAACTGGTACAGGGAGTAAAGATAAAAGAGAGAGGAGAAAGGATCGAAAAGATAAGAATAGAAGAGAGAAAATAAAAAAGAGTAAAGATAAGAGGAGTAAAAGTAGAAAGAGTGGAAAGAGCGAAAAGACTAAAAGTAAAACTAAAAAGAGTAAAAGAAATAAAAAGAAATAGAACTGATAATCGTACAAAAGAGCTTAATCCCCTTATCTTTTTGTTATCTTCTAATTGCATATTTCTTGTAGTCAAGTTCTTTCTCGTTAATTAAATTTAGAGCTAATTAGCAGAAAAGTTAATTGAGCGCCAAATTCTTCTCTTCACCTCTCAGCTTTTATGCACAAATTCTGCAACTTGTCAGTCATCAGATAATAAAGTTTGTATACATAAAATGGTGGGAATTTACCAATTCGACGGAATAAATTAACCAACTATATTGATTGTAGTAAACGATATACGAGAATATCTTTTAGAATCTTTTCACGGCTCGTAAAAAGTTGTTATTCATCTTAGTTTTGTCACAATTTACGACCTGGGAAGAAAACTTTCAAGTTCACTAAATAGGTCAACCGTTTATGAACATATTTATATCTATAAAAGAAAAATGGAGGCCATTAGGCTGATTTATTTCTTTAAACAATTACCGCTGAATGTTTAGATGCGAAAGGGCTTTTATAATGATAATATCTCTTTCATAAATAAAGAAAGAGGAAATCCGCAAGATGGCGATAGAATCTTACATGATTTTGTTTGTTCTTGTTTACGCAGCTGAGAAGTTTCTACAATTACAAACAGCACCCTAACAAGTTTACTTGGATTGAGCAAATCCCCGTAACTAGAAATTTCGTCCGATGTTTTGTAAAATGAATACGTATGAGAAAGATTAAAAAAAGTTTCTTTTTTTTTTATTAACTCTAGATAGTTCTACCCTATCTGTTATTTAGATTATCAATTTCAGGTATTTTTTTTCATTCCATCTCTCCCATTCGTCTCTTTTTTTGTGTTTTTTTTTTTACTTTCAAAGTCTTTTTTTTTTTTTTTTTTATAAAAACAACAAAAAAAAAGTTCAAGCGATGAAGAAATTCTTCTTCATTGTTCTTTTCGTTATAAAAATATTATATCAATCATCCTGTATGAAGTTTATATAGTTATATAACGATGTTTAGTACCTGCTATCCAAAATAACGAGGGTTAGATATATCTAGTTGTTTATTATTCATGATCTATTTATAATATTCCAGATTGTTTTCATTTGTTTCGAATTAATTCCATGAATTGTTATTAATCTTTGAAGAATTCTTTTAGTAAAGGATACTTTACGAAATGTAAATTTCGTTGAATGGATCAATTGTAGGCCTTTTATTGATTTTGAACACATTCCAGTAATGTATACATCTTCCCAAATGAATGGTTTTCGTTTTATTACCTCTTTGTATAATTCTTGTATAATATCCCCGGAAATTAGGTAAGCTGTACCAGACATATATGGAGGGTAGGTTGTGGAGGAATAAGTCGTTTCGTCTACGTACCACTTTGAAAGTTTATCCCTTATCACTTTACCTTCCACTATCAAATTTCCCATAATAAATCTAGTTAAACTTGTGTCTAAATCCGTTAGTAATTTGTTCACGTTGACATACACGTCGTCGTCCGTCTTTAGTACATATCGAACATTCTTGCAGTTTTCGTTGGCAAATTTGAGGAATTCAATAGATTTGTAAGTTAAATTTTTATAGGTATCCGTGTAGTTTGTAATGATAAGGTCATTATGAAGATTTATTTCTTCTCTTAATTCGTTATTTGTCGGAAAACCAACGAGGAAATAAATAGCGACCTTCTCTTTGAAGTTTCCCGCCGCCCAAGTTTGTCTGACAGTTTGCCTCTGCATGAAGTTAGTGAGTGCAGAGGTCACAAATATCACAAGATACGTTTCTGTAGAGCACATCTTCAAGTAATTTATCATGAACTGAGTGAAAGTTTTGCAGATGTGTTTTCCTTCTGCCGATTTATCGCTTTATTTCCCGCACTCGTTGAAAAGATGAGAGAAATTTAATGAGGTACCCGCTTTATATTGGGCATAAGCTTGTTTAGTCAAGGTAGAATATTTCTTCAAAATAGGCCTGCGTTCTAGAAGTAAGAATAAAGAGAAAGAATCCAGTAGTAAATCAGTACTAATAAGATAAGCCGATGAAAAATCAACTGTGCTAAACTCGTTAAATCTTTCACGCACTTCTTTTCAGTACACGGCCACCTCTTTGTATATAATTCTTTCTTGTTTTCTCTTCTATCTACCACTTATTCCAGCCTGGAAGGAAATGAGAAAAAAAAGGGGGTAAAAAGAGGAAATAAATGTGTGGCTGGAAGGATGGATTTCATGTATATGATATATGGAACTATTATATATAAGATGCTGCGTTAATATTGCAAGACAAACATGCGCAAATCTGTAATCGTATTTTTTCAGACAGCTTCTTGTCTACTATTATAAATATTATTTATCTGCATCTTTCGACTTTTGGCATTAGCGTAAAAAAGAAAATTCCTTTACTCTCTTATTCTTAGCTTTCTTACATATTGAAAAATATACTTAAAATAGTAAATACTTAAATGATAGGCTTATATTTTCATAATTAAAATATTTGTATTATACTATATGTAATATTTAATTGCAGTATATAAATAAGAAAATTGATCTTTTCACATTTCTACTGTACATAGTAATTATATTTATATAAATAAGAGTAAATCTTAATAGCTTATTTATTTATTTATTTGTAAGTTTTCCTTTTTCTTAAATGCCATACGGTAAAGATTTTGTTACTTTTATCCTTTTGAGCTTTTATTTGCATTACACGTATACACTTATATATATTAGGATACAGGAGAAGAACGCATAAAAAATACCCTCCTTTCCTACTCGTCCAATCTCCTTCGTACAGTAATTACGTGGTTCACACTCCATACCACCTTTTTGGGTCAATGCGGCCATTATTATTATTAATATAAATATACGCAAAACCCGGGTAGCATTAGAAGGTGGGAGGAAAAAAGTAATCAGAAATGAAAACAAACTAATGACTGAGTTTGGCTATGTGCTAAAACCAACAAGATTGATAAAAAATCCCCTCTTAAACCATACTTCTCAAAGGCATACAATTAACTTTTATTGGAGGAAATTGCTTGCCGAATTGAAATAATTTATAGTAGACACGCGCCGCAGATAGAAATCTCTAAACTTAAGCTCTCCTGTTTGTACAAACAGACATCGGCTAACGTAAACACAGTTATATGTTGCGCAAGTATTACAGCCCTAAGGCCTACCACTAAAAAAAATCTAACCGGAAACCTTTTTCTCATCTTCTTACCGAAATTGATTTTCTCTTCCTTGAAAGAAGAGAGAAGAACTTGTTAAAATTGACTTTGAGGTGAGAGAAGAATTTTTGCTCTCTTTTTTTTTTATAAGATAACGCCTACGATATAAATTTCACCGATTGGAAATGTTTTTTGTGCAATCGAATATCTGTTATGATATACCCCGAGAGAAAGAAACGGTAAAACGGTATCGAGACGGAGAGATGGATGAAAAGCATTGAGCAATTTATCCAAGCATCTTAAAAAGTTCCCTTTACCGAGTATCTTAACCTTTAAGCATTTTCTTTGGCTGACTGAAAATGATATATTGGGATATATGGGGTTTGGATTTTTCTTTTGATGATAGACTTATAAGATAAGGGCTCAAAAGACAAAATAGTGTAAATTGTTTCAATAGTTAAATTATTCTCTTACCTATTAAATTTCAAAACTTTCCGCCAACTTTTCTTCTCAAGAACTTCTTTGATTCTAATTTTATGCTAGTTTCATATAACCAATAGCTGCCCTCTGGAATTTTTCGTCTGCCAATCAGAATGGTTAGTACCTCTTCTGGGTTTATTAGCACTTTTTCCCTTCAATTTTATACATACTACGCAGTTAACGATTATCTCTAGGAATAGAATTCTTTTTTTTTTTTGTTGTTTTGCAGTATAGTGAGAACAAGAAGGCTCTTTTCTGCAGACAGTCTGGAATATATTTTCATAGAATATTAAGTTTCTCTATTCATGTATTCTAACATTTTATTATACAAGAAGTTCACTTATTTTATCAAATTTCACCATAAAACTGTTTTATTGCTTAAAAATGTAAAATTAGACAACACTTTCAACTTTTCCAAATAATCAGTCTTATGTTCAGTTGAGATTCTTTTACGCACCAAAGTGCACATTTAAAAAAATAATAAGAACCTCTAACGAACGTTAACTGAACCATAGAAAGGCAAGAGATAAAGAGTCATGATAACAGTCTCTTTTACTCTCCTTTATTATGAAGTGCAAAAAGATTTTACTTGAGTGGATAAGATAAAAAAAAACCTTGTAAATTACTTACTGTAGTGTTTAACTTCTTCTACAAATGCGGATAATTGCACAGTTATTTCAACAATGATCCTGCTTTATGCATGAGAGTATCTATGATACTTATTCCTAGGTGGCGCTATTTATTTTATTTTTTAAAACCTAAGCCATCTATTGGTGAGAAAGTTAACTATTAACTGGGAAAATAGTTAAAATCCAAATTCACATTTCCGGTAATAAAATTCAACAAATAATTGAAAAGCATTGAAAAATTAATTTTCTAAATTTGAATAGAATGAAAGCTTCGGAATGTACAATTAAAACTAACTGACAAGTTATTGTAACAAATATAGTAAAAATAAACATGTTCCTATTACTTTATAACTGTAAGGTTTCTATGGTTACAGGAAGTGGTTCAAATAGGGTATTAAAGTAAATATGAATTAACAGGAACCATACACTCAACTTTACAGCGGATATTAAAAATTCGATTTTAAATGTAATACAAGATGCTCTTATGAATTGTTTTGATATTGCCCGAAAATAAAGATTATTTTGCAGTGTTTATAGTAAGAGAGAGAGAGAGAGAGAGAGAGGGAGGGAGGGAGCAATAGGCGAAGGATTAAAAGATTTTAAAAAAATCTTTAATTTTAATCAATAATTCTTTGAGCGAAAGAATTCAATCAATGAATTTTTCATCCAAACAAATTTTAACTGTCTGCTATTAATTTACTCTATATAAGATAGATATTTACTTTGTTTATTGTCAAATAAAGTCTGATGGAGAGTACTATCAATCTAATAGAATATTTGTTTGTCCTTTGCATTGTAAAGATTTTAAGAAGTTGAACAAGTAGTTTAACAATCTTCATAAAGATTTCTTAAGTGGAAAACTTATGTACAGTGTATATACTGTATATATATATATATATATATATATATATATAATATTGTAAAGGAGATAACTCAAGCTGTAAATATCTCTATATTTTTCTTTATTTATCAACTTTAAACATGATATTTATCAAGATCTGTCGCAATACTTTTTTATGATTATTCTATCGATTAAATAAGTCATTGGTCAGCAACTTTTATCTTAAAATAATCTTCAACATAGTATTTTATTTAAATTAAAATTCCGTTTGGAAATGAAATAATTAAAACATAGATCAATTAACGTTCTTTTCAACCGTTAAAAATAGAAGAGGGAATACCCGCCGCTTTTGTTCTACGTCACTAAAATGGCGGTCGACTCAAGAGACGGATAATCTTGTTGAATATTTTGCTATAAAGTTGATTCAGATTGTTTGCTATGAGTGAGACGGAAAAGGATCCTTTGAGAAAGTCATCGGCCGATATATGCAGTGACACTACTCAAGAAACATTTTATAATTTCGTCAGGAAATTAGGTAGAGGTGCGTTCGGCGAAGCAAACCTATACAGAAAAACCGAGGTGAGCGATCAATAATATTCAATAAAAAGAAAATTACATACAGTAAATATATACCTTACTATAAAGGTTGTGCTAAGTTTATATAACATTTATAGGATAATATGCTCGTAGTCTGGAAAGAGATTGATCTAAGTAACTTAAGCGAAAAACAACGTAGTGAAGCACAGAATGAAATTGAAATATTGTCTCGTTTTAATCATCCGTCCATAGTATCATATTACAATCACTTTTTAGATGGTAATAACTTATTAATTGAAATGGAATATGCAGACGGTGGAAATTTACACCAAAAGATTGCTTCTCGTTCTACTCCTTTCCTAGAAGAAGAGGTTTTATGGTATTTTTATCAAGTAGCATCCGCAATAAAGTATATTCATTCCTGTTTTATTATACATAGGTAATAAAAATTATTAAAAATACATACAAATCATTTAATCAATTATCTGCTTATTCAACAGAGACATAAAAACACTTAATTTATTCGTAACAAGAACTGGTCTAGTCAAATGTGGAGATTTTGGTATTTCAAAAATGTTAGAAAACACTAAAGCAGTGGCAAATACATATATTGGTACACCTTACTATATGAGTCCAGGTACCCTATTATTATTCTATGTTAATTACTTAATTCAAATTGATTGTCGATATATGCTAATTTAATACCCTTTTTGCATTTCTAAAGAATTAATAAGGGGAGACCCGTATAGTTTTAAGAGTGATGTTTGGGCAATGGGTTGTGTTCTTTACGAGTTAATTTCGTTGAAAAAAGTATTTGATGCAACGAACGCTCTAAGATTAGCAAATAATATCGTTCATGGAGATTTCGATAAAATTGATCAAAAATATTCATCTAATCTGGAACAGCTACTGTACGAGATGCTAGAGAAAGATCCGGCAAAAAGGCCAAATAGCACAGAAGTTATGAAGTTTTCTATTATCTGCTCAATCAGTGAGAAAATGGAAACAAAAATTACAGAATTAAATTCTAATAGAAGTAGAATAAGGGAAACTGGCGTGGTCCCTGTTGTATGCTCCACTACCAGTGATGTTTACATTTGGGGATCGGGGCGCTATACGCCAAAAAAATTAGATATTTTTAGTAAAAAGACTGCAGTTCAAGTATCATGTGGTGTCAATCATTTTGCTGTAGTAACCGTTGACAAAGAGCTATATACTTGGTGTAGTGCTCAAAAATCAACAATAAGTGGGGAGCTTGGCCATAAAGACACTGCCGCTTATAAGGGACCGAAAAAAGTAGAAAGTTTTGAAGGAATTCACGTAAAACAGGCATCATGCGGTGAACAATTTACAGTTTGCTGCACGGATGATGGCCAAGTTTATGCAAGTGGTTCAAATTACTATGGTTGTCTGGGGTTAGATGAGAACGTAGACGAAGCATATGAATTTACGCCTATTACTGCTTTGGCACAGTTTCAAGTAAGTCAAGTCTCATGTGGAGAAAGTCATGTCGTCGCTTTGATGGAAGATAATCAAGTTTATTCGTGGGGGTGTGGGGAGTTCGGTAGACTGGGTCTTGGGAACGAGGATGATTATTTTCTACCACAAAAAGTCGAAGTTACAGGGGAATTTCGATTAGTTCAATGTGGTATTGATTGCACATTCTTGGTAGAGAATAATGGTAGAGTTTTAGCGACAGGAAATAATGAACACAATAAGCTTGGTTTTAACTGTTCAACATCAGGCCTTGTATCCAAGCAACTGGTTAGCTACGATCCACCATGCAAACTTACTTTCTTTACTATTAAGCCTTTAACAAGATATCATATTGTTAGCGTTTCGTCTGGAAAAACTCATTCAGGAGTTGTGGACGTATATGGCCGTCTAATTACTTTCGGTAGTAATAAATATGGTCAACTCGGTGTCGGAGATTTTAAAAAAAGAAAGGGAGTAACAGTTGTTCATGGCCCACTATCGGGAAAAAGAGTGACCAAAGTTTCATGCGGTGATAGATTCACTGTCATTGCAACAGCTGAAAACCAAATTTATGGATGTGGTTATGGAGAAAACGGTCGATTGGGGACGAATGTTGAAGTCGGTCGTGGACCCAATAACGAATGTATATCACTTCCCAGACCAATTTTTGGGTCATTACATGCAGTTTCAGACTTGACAAGTTGCAATTGGCATACAATTTTAGTGGCAGAGAAAGTTCTCGCTCAGAAAACAATTCAATCTTCCAATAATTCCATCAAAAGTAAACAATTACTTGCATTCTATAAGTTATAATTTCTAAAATATACTTGTATTCTCAACAGGCAAATATGACTCGCAAATGAGCTATGACACTGAATTGTCAAGTGAATTTCCAGGCGAGTCTGTCAATGATAGTCAAAATGTAATTTCATATATTTAGAAAATTGTGAAATATTCAATTCAAGTCCATATTTTACAGACAGCCGAAGATTCAATTAGAACCTGGCTAAGAGATGAACTTGAAAATGCAGACTTCATTCCATTCAATCAAGCCAATGTTCAGTTTGAGGTCAAGGAAGAAAATGGAGAAGTCGTTGAAGCAATAGTTGAAAAAGAGGAGAATGTTGAAAGCAAAATTAAACGACTTGAAGAAGAGAATGAGAAATTAGAAGGAGAGAAAGCAAAATTACTCGAAGAAATAACACACGTGAGCTCTAATTTCCTATTTTTTAATTTCTTTTTGTTTTATAAATTCGTTTACTTTCAGTACAAAGCTATAGTTGAACAGCAGGCAGAAATAATAAAAAATCTAAATAGTAAGGTTTGTGATCACCAATAAATTCAATTTTTTCTTGGCCCAAAATAGGGCGTTTTTTGGTCTCAGACAACTATTTTATTCTCTCTTGTTAGATCTTTCATAAGTATTATTAATTTATTATTATCATAAAGGAGAATATTTTCTAGCTTTGCATGATAAGCTTTCGTTATGAATTTGATAGAAATGTGTTCATTTGTTCTATCTCTCTGCGGACAAAGCATGTTGTTTCTTCTAGTTCTGTTTGTTTGGTTGATGATTTATTACACAAAATACAGCTATGTCACAGCTTATGTGGCCGAGTATTATTTATTCTTTTAATGTATAAAACGGGTTCTTGGTAGTTTACGTTTTGTGATATTTTCATTTGATTTCGTTATTAAGAGAAATTATAACTGTAAAAATGCCAACATGCAGCGGGTGGATTTTGAAGATAGACTGAACGGTATCTGGAAAGCTATAGAAGAATGGCAAGACGAGTGTTCATTGTTGGAATGTATAAATATCAAAAGAAAGCTAGCAGATTCAAATGAAGTTTATAGCCCAAAGCAGTGTGCTTATTTTGAAGAGGACGTTTGATATAAGTAAAAAAATAAATAATAGTTTTGTAACAAAAGCACGAGTCTTTCTAATAGAAATTACTAACCAAACATCGAAAAATCTGTATTACCATTATTCTAAGCACAAAAGTAACAACTAAAACTATTTTTCTAAATCTAAATGCCTCTCTTGCTTCCTTCAAATTCCAAACAGCAACTATGTATCTTGAAAAAATTTTAGACGAACAAAATTAGACTGTTAAAAAAAATAGCATTATATTTCAATAGATTGCATAAAATAATTACAAACGTTTCTTCTTAGATTTCGAAATATTCCATTTGCGTTTGGATATGGCTTGGCCTCTTCTTTGTTCAGTTCGCTGTTAATTTCTCTTGTTTTAAAAAGTCTACTCCGAAAGTCATTCCCTTGTCCTGTAATTATATTATTCATAAATGGTGCAGCACTCTCAGGATTGACTGTCGAGGGTGAAGTTGGTTCATGTAATAGCTTTGACCTTATTGCTATAATTTTAGGTGAAATATTTTGTACAGTTTGCGAATTTTTTAAAATAGACTTTGTAAGAAATTTCTTAGCTGCATTTTGATACGTTGTGTCTGAGTTATTGCTCGTACTACCAACAATCATAGGATTATTATCAATAAAACAGTCTGCCTAAAAATTAACTTCTCATAACTAGTTGCTAATTATTAAAATAGTTTTCGCTTTGTATAAAAAAAGCGAAAAGGATACGTACTTTACCATTCATGGCTCGTTTTCGGGCAGGTTTTAGAAAATCATCAATTCTTGCCTGTCTGCATTTAGCTTGCTTTGAATGTTTTGGTTCACTTACACGATTAATTTTTGAACATTCTTGGAAGTCTGATGTCGCCTGCCGTTTTAGTGGGTTTGATAGAGATTTTTCTGCCTTTATATCGATTCCAAGAACTGTTGGAAAAGCTTTTGCAAAGTCTTCAGAAAAGCCTCTACAAATCTTTCTTGAATCGTCCACATGAGTTACTACCGGCTTAGCTACTTTGATAAACTCCATAGGATAAATGTATTTGTTTGAATTTGCAAATCTTGCTTCACAAAACAAAGCTTTTTCTTCCGGTACTTGTAGCTCATATCCATACTGTAGAATTTCACTTTTAAATTTAAATAACAGTAGAAAAATAAATAACCGTATTTTTCCAATAGTTTTTAATTTGTTGGTAATTTTTAAATGTGTGACAGTGACGAAGGGATTTATGTATTGATAACAGAGCGGCTTGGGTACATCTGAAATAGTTGCATAAAGAAAAAATAACTAAAAACTATAGCTTACTTAGGTAAAACATATATTTCAGGCGCACGCTGAAGAGTTAAGGATGATACTTTTTCACATTGAAAATTCGATAATTCTTCGTTTGATACTCCAATTTTGTCCATCTGGCAGTTAGTGTAAGATTTAACAACTCACATAATTAAACTTAGCGTTATCGAGTTAACATACTTTCAACGGTTTCAACTGAATATTCAAGCCTATGATATGTATCAATATTCTACCATCAACAACTGTAAGTTTTAGTTCTTTGAAAATAAAGATTATAAGCCTTTGTGTATGAGAAAGTTTTTAGGACCGACTCACCGACTCCTGGTTTAAAATCTGACTTAATTGAAAATGTAGAATCTGAAAAATTTACTATTAGTGAACGATGAGACTTTCTTAAGACAGACCATTTATTAAATATTCAGAAACTGAAGGCCACTGAGCAGACATGCGAGTTTTCACAGTGTAACTAATGGCTTTCTGTATCATGTCTAAATCCACATTCACATAAGAAACTAACTTGAGCCTACGTTCTTCCATGTCATCGACTAACTCTCCCGAGTCATAGTAGCTTTTCTGATATTTCATATTGGATCATTTGAAATTTTGAGAATGCATTTTTGTTTTAAAAAACATATACCGTGAATATGATTGTAAATGTGTCGGTACCATTTGGATAACCTAAGACGTTGTTATTCTCCAGCAATAACTTCCTTAAAGATTAGACAAACAAAATTCTATAATGTGAAAACTAGCTAATGGTAGTCACCTGCACTTTATAACACTCGGTTTGGAACATTTTCCTTGGGATGCTTCATCAGAATATCTTAACTCTTGCACTTCAACAATATACCCTTTCAGTTGGCTCCTAAATGGTATATTAAAGCATATACGAGAATTATTCATCATATTTATAGCGTTATTTCTAAGCCAATGCAAATAATAAGTCAACTTTTGTTACAAATAGAGGGTGTTGCGAAACGTTCTTTGCGAATGTTCCATTACGTATAAATAAGAACATAACATTGCGCGATAATTAGTATGGTTGCAGTTCGTGCCAACAACGAAATTATTCATATTAAGTAGGAACAGGATACCCAACAGTCCATATCCAGAATATCTTCAAGGTATCCGAACCTCCACGTATTATCAAATACTTTTAACCAATTTCTATAGATAGTATGCCGCCAATAAACGACGAAGTTCTCTCGGTATGTTCTCTTCGAAAATTTGAACTTAAAACTTTTATATTTTAGTCAACGAACATCAATAGATAATACAATATTTTATTGTACTCAAGAAAAGTAATGATTTGAATAATCTTTCTAATTCCAATGATATTGTGGTTGAAATTGTGGAAAATAGGAACCCAAAACTGAAATATAAATATGATATAATTCGTAAGTTTCCACAAAATAAGTTAAGATATGACAATAACAGTTTTTGAGTTTAGTCTCTTTGGAAAACGTTAGAAAATTTCCTTTGGAAGATTTTGGGAATTGTATGTATTAAATTACAATGATTTACCTTTCTGAAATCACATTAGTATTTTGAATATTGATTTTAAGTTTTAAGAGATCCTCTCCTAAAACTATTTAGGGCCTCTAAAAGCTTGGAAAAAAAAGGGATTGATTTAGAATGGTCTAATTTTCAAAAAATCATTGAAACGGGTAAAGTGACAGCATTTGAGAATAAAGACATTCGAATAGAAACAAAGCAGCACAGTAGCATTCGTAACATAATGAATCACTACTTAACATTCAAAGTTATATTAAAGGTTAGCTTGTATTCGAATAACAGTGCTGTATTACATTTCATATTTATTTTTCAGTTGACTATGGATGACATAAAGCCTCATATATTGAGTGACGATCTCCGAAAATTTTTTAATGCCTCCCTAATCTTCGGACACAACGTAAACATATAAAATATTACTAGTTAAAAAAACTTTGCTTTCAATTTCTGTTGCAGATAACTTATCGGATTAATTTACATAATCATGAAACTTATCACTTTAAGTAGGTATATTTCAATTCTACGACTATGTACTCATTTTATTATAGTATCTTTACCTACATCAGGAGTAAAGCTATGAAGTCTTCTGCTTGCTATCTAAAAGCTGCAATATCTCGTTTCAGAGATTTTCCCAATGCCTTAAACGAGTAAACAATTTCTAGATAACTAAAGTAACCTCTAAAACTAATTTTGATAACAGATCAGCCCTGAATTTCATTGGCGATAAAGTTCGCTTAAAGTCGCCTAAAATTGAAGAAATGTTCAGCGAACTTAATAAGTAAATGCGTTTATCACAGTCCCAATCATACCTTAATAATTTTTCATTCAAGTGCTAGCTCATTCAAAAATGTTGACTCTCTCAAGCTTCAGATTTATATTTCTCCAGTACAATCCGAGCCTCCTCTTCCCTTACCAATTTACAATTGCAAGAAGGTACAATTTACATTTCTACTAGGAAACTGCTACGTACCTTATGCCGCAAGTACAGCAAATGCCCCAATCTTAAAATGTTTAAGCATTGGTCCAATCAGTTTAGGAAATGTTTTAGAAGATACACCAAGTAACCTTTATAATAAAAATATTTTAAAAAACCGTAAGAAAATTCTTTAATAGCAACAGCAATTCATTACTCATTCGAAGCATTGTTTCGTAATGAAACCTTATATCAAGAGGAAAGTGCTGAAGAAGAAAACTATGCATTGCAAGTTGTGTTGGTAATGCTGCCTTTATTAAAAGCACATCAATTTCAAAGAGATTATGAAATTTACGGTACAAATACTTAATTGAGGAAGTGATACAAAAATTATTTACTTTTTTAGAGGCCACAAGAATTTTAAATGAAAATTTTTTGAATATTATACACCTATTTCAAAGAAAAATTAACGAACTACTGGCAAAAATTGTCAGAGGAATAATTATATACGTAAGTTTTAGCCTATTTTCAATAGAATCTTTAGGTGTTTTTTAAAACCAGCCGGATGACGATCCTTTTGAAGATCAAGAAAAGAATGAACTAATAAATCATTGTGCGAAGATGATGGCAGAATCTATAGAACTTTCTAAATATAAGAGAAGCTGTTTAGACAGTATGAAGGTTGTTTGTTTTTTGTTTCAGTATATATTTCTATATACATTATTCTGTTAGGACGCACCAGGCCATAGTATTTGTGACAAACTACGATATTGCATATCAGCTGCCGAAAGAATTCAAGAAGTAATGTAAAATAAGGTGAATGCTAGCTTGTGATAAATTACATTTTGATTATTTATAGACTACAAGCAATAAAAAAAAAAGGAAAAGGAAATTTCCAAAAGAAATTTCAGCAGTAAAAAAACGTCGGAAGAGCGTATCGACCAGATCTTCTGCAATATCAAATGAAGAGAGTGACGACGAAGCTATACACTTCTTAGGATTAGATAGAAGCGTACAAGTGTTACCCTCAGCTGATAAGGACTCAAATGAAGAGATATTCATAGACAGTGGCCAGTCAACCGACATTAAACAAGAAATTATTGATGAGACCTCAGACGACTGCTTTGTTATTGATAAAAGTCTATCTGTGAACAATGTTTTCATTGACTCAAATGATTTTGATTTGGAGCCAAATGAAACAATTAATTCGTCAAAGTTGGATGATATTTTTGTTGATTCCCCTCCAGGAAGTCAAGTCGACGATGAGCTGAGAGTTTCGAAGAAAAATATTCAGACTGAAGACTTACTCGAAAGAGAAAGTGATTTTGACGATAATTGCATTCATTTACAAGAAGTTCCTGTTTTAGAATGTAATGATGATATTTTAGGCAGCGAAAAGCCTCTTACGGAAGAGTCAGGAATTGGCACTGATGATAATTTGTTCCAAGAAGTCCCGATATGTAGCCCTATTCCAGATCATAGCGATGAAACAAGAGAACTAGATTTATCAGAAGAGTTTTATGAAACGAACAACGCTATTCATGATCAGAGTTTTCAGAATTATTTAGAAGGGGCCTTAGAAACGTCGAATGATGATAATTTTGAAAATGCCTTCGCATATATCATAGCAAATTTGGGGGAAAACGATGAACCTGAATCAACAAGCCATAAAGAGTGTGAAGAAGAAAGTAATGAACTGTCTGACTCTCAATTTTTTGAAAATTCAGTAGACGATATTAATGATTTATTGACAAAAAGATAAAAATTTGTTATATTTTATGTGTGCGTTATTGATTAAATTACTTAAAAAGTTTAATTCTCCTCAATCAACTTCCTAGGCAAAGGTTTAACAGACATACTTTCTATACACTCAAAAACCGTTTGAGGATCTTGATCAGCATTTATACGTTGAATATATTCTTCGTAGTATTCATTTAATTCATCAACGTACGCTTGCCATTGGCTTAACCGAGCTCTTACTTCGTTTTCACGATCACGAGGATGTGTTTGTAAGCGATCTTTTACAGTTTGGGTTCTTGGCGGATTATAGAGAGCATGGTATCGTTCGCCTGTGATAGGATCTAAAGCACGGAGTGTTAAGCGTTCTAATACTGAGTCGTTAGGGATGTCCAGCATAAAAACTCTATTCGGAGTTAAGCCTGCATCATCCATCTGAGCTGCTTGGCTTCTGGAACGCGGATAGCCGTGTAAAACAAAGCCTCTTGTCATACAATCAATTTGAGTAAGACGCTCTTGCAACAGTTTAAGTACTATGGCATCGGGAACAAGCATATCTTTCTCAACGTATGGTCGACAAGCATTTCCAGTCTTATTTCCTTCTGCTATTGCTTGCTTGATTAAGGAGCCAGTAGAGACGTTAACAATTTTATATTTGCTAGCCAGAAGAGCAGCTTGAACAGCTTTACCAGAACCTGTAGGACCTAACAAAACAATTTTAGGTGTGTGAGGAGCAGCTGTTCGTGGAAGCCAAGTTAGGAAATTCATTATTTGGCTAAAAACATCAGCTTTTGGTTGATCTGCATTAACAGTTTTTATCGATGGTGAAAGACATGATGTTATACCACTAATATGTCTGTGATAGACAATTAGTTCCTCTATAATATCATCCTCCTCGTAATTCGGTGGTTTTTGTAATCGGCTTATAATGTCAGAATTAGATGGCCAGTCGAATGTTGTATGATAGACGTCTCCTGTTTTTGGATCTATTCTTTTGCCATTAACACGTTCTATAAGAACTGTATCTGGTGCCTCAAGAATAATGCAGTGCTTAGGAATAATGCCAGCATCTTGGATTAGTAATGTTTGCTCTCTTGTCTGTGGAAAACCTTCAAGAACGAATCCTTTTTTCATACAGTCATACAATTTCACTCTTTCTTTCAACATTTGTGTCCATAATTCTGCGGGTATGATCTCTCCCGTTGATCGCAATTCTGCTACCTGATCCTGAAAGCTTTGTTCTGAATCTGATACCAGACTATCCATATTAATACAGGCACAGTGCAATTTTTTACTAAGCATCTTAGCAATTGTTGTTTTGCCGGATGCCGGTGGACCAAGTATAACAATTTGAGGTATATCTGCATTGTCTTTCTTCAATTCATCGATCATAAATTGAATTGGATCATTAGGTTTCTGGATTACCAATTGTTCTAAGAGCCTCTGGTAAAATAAAAAATATATTTTAAATAGATTAAGGGATAATATTAGAAATCTAACTTTATAAATGTCAAATATTCCATGTTGTTCGGCATAAGAACTAAATTCCGGCGGAATTCTGAGAGGTCGTTTAGTTTGATCCATTTACTTGAAGATTTTAAGACGAAAATTTACTATAACCCAAAATTATTGTCAGTTGCTAAGAAGCCATGCAAATGATTGTATAATCTCATTGATAATTGGCTTAGCGGTTTTGTTAAACCAAAACTGATTGGTCACTTAGAAATCACATATCCCTCATAAAAGGAAGGCATCAAGAAGATATAGCTTGTCATTAATTCATTTAATTATTCCTAAACTACAAGATAATTCTATGAAAGGCGATCAAAGCTGTTTAAAGTACTTTCGAATCAGTGTCGCCCTCTGTATTACTTTATGCTTTTTAAATTGCTTCACAATGAGTTAGAACTCTACAAAATGTGGAATATCACCGAAAATAAGAGTATCTTAGTTGTAGGGGCAGGACGAGTGTCAATTGCAATTATAGATTATTTCTTAAAATGCCCTAAACTCACAGTAACAGTAGGTAAGTAGCTATTTCTACTACTTGAATTAAATAACATCATTTATCCTTGATTATTTCATATACTCAAATGCGAATATTCTATTCTTCTACTTAGCTTCTCCATTACAAAGTGAATTAGACGCACTCAAAAACAAATTGCAGAATGGCAATTTTAAATGCGTTCTTATGAGTCTAGATCAAAGGGAATTAGCTATGGATTTGCTTAAAGCAAATGACTTGATTGTTGGGTAAATTAATTAGCTTTGATTTAACATCTATTACTTAAGAACATTTTCAATGTAGATGCGTTCCGGTAAATTTAAATCATAAATTATTAGAACTATGCCTGGAAAGCCGTAAGAATTTAGTCTTACCATCCTATTGTTCTGATGTAATAAAATCTTACGAACAAGCAATAATTGACGCGGGAATTGTTGTTATCATGGAACTTGGTGTTTGTCCTGGAATAGATCATGCCTTAACTTGTAGTGGCATAGAAAAATTAAGAAAAAATGGATATCGCATTGAGTCCTATATAGCGTGGGTTGGAGGTCTCCCCGCTCTTGAATTTGCTGACAATCCATTAAAGTATAAAATAAGTTGGTCTCCGGAAGGAGTTCTACAAGCTCTCGTTAGAGAACCAATGTTTAAACGAAATGGAGAGGTAATTGAAATTAAATTGAAATGTATTTTTGTAAACAATTTCATATTTAAAATTTCGTTTTTGAAAGATTGTAAACCTTGGTAAAGGTGGAACATTTAAAGGTTTAGAAAGAAGTTTTCCATTTTTTCAAGAATATCCATTAGAAGGTTATCCAAACTATGATTCTATCAAATATCTCAAATTATATGACATTGAAGAAGCCCATACGTGTTTTAGAGGAAGTCTACGCTACAAAGTAAGTTATTTATTTTCACAAATTCATTGCTTAAAACGAATATTAATGAATATTTATTTAATCAAAAGGGATATATGGACGTTGCAAAATGTCTGTATGATTTGGGATTGTTATCTACAGAAAAACTTGATTATTTGGATAGAGATACCTCGCCTATCAGTTGGGTAATAAATCGTTTAAATATGTAATAATGATAATGTTCTACGCGATAACTTTTGTTATTAAATTTAAAAGATAGAGATATGGTCGAAAATTTTGTCATGTGAAGGAGACTTGACTCAAGTGAAGAGAAGCTTGATTGATAAATTACAACTTTCTAACATTCAAATCGAAAATCTAGAAAAGTATGTCCTTTGAAAGAAATTTCTTACTTTTTTATAAAGATTTATTTCAGGTTAGGCTTATTGAATACTGAACGTAATGTAATAAAAAATGGGACTCTATTGTCAGCATTAGCTGAGCAGTTGAATAAAAATTGCTCTTTTGGTAAAAGGAACTTTCTATAATTATAACATTGAAAAAAAGAAACTTTAACTGATTTTCAGGTAAAGGCGAATTTGATTTAATGCTTATGAGAATTGAATTGACTGGTTTAAAAGAGGATGGTTCTAAAAAAACAGTAAATATTGAACTTAAACTTAACGGTAAACCGGAAATGAGTGCCATGGCAAAAACAACTGGCGGCACTTTGGCGATTGGAGCTAGAATTTTACTAGAGAACGAATATTCGTTCAAATCTGGGTTACATCTGCCAATGTCCAAAGAAATTTATGACAAAATGCTAGAAATGTTAAAGGCAGAAGGAATCGAAGCAAATGTTATCGAATTTTAATATATGCAGGTTGAAAAAAAAACGCACTAATAAATTCAGCTAATAAGCAGGAAGCATTAGTCTTTTAACTTTTAAGATATTCCCGTTTAACATGCACCAAAGATCCAGCAACTGTATGCCAGGTATAAGCATCTCTTTGGCCTAGGCCGTCCCCAGAGTAAGACACTGCTGTAGGTTTACTGTACCGTGGGTAAGACGCGCGAAACCCAGCTCCTTGTTTTGTAGACGGTACTTTACCCAACTTTTCTTTTACAGATTTCGCACCGTATTCATAACCCTTGTTAATATCAAACTTATTCTTTCGATTTCCAAGAGAGCAAATTGACCTACAAGGATTATTAGATTCAGCAAGTGCGTTTGAAACTCCTCTGACGCCAGATGTGACTGTTCCAGAATACATAGGAGGATAAAATGCTATATTACTGAAAGGTCTTCGATGGCTATCAATAACTTTCGACTTCCTTTCAGCATTATCTTCTATCATTTCCTTAGCAACATAGGATGAGTTAGATGGATCAGCCGACGGAATCGGCTCCTCGTAGAAAGAACCATAACACTGGTTACTTGTTGTTGGTTGATTGTTCGACCAGTGACAGTATCCCTGCATATTAGCTCTGCTTTCACTTTCTTCTCTGTGCTGAGAACACTTTTGTCGTTGCTATAGGAGAATGGGGGTTCTCTGCAAATAAAACTAAAGGCCTATCTTTGAATTGATTGAAGTAAACCCAATCGTTGATTCATTGGTATTTATTCATAACACGTTTTCTTTAGACATAAACAAAACTATTGTATTTTATATCTTTTTTATTTTATTTTGATTTTTGCAAAGTAGAAATTTTTACATAATTCGAAAATTTATAATAATAATATACGTTATTTTTTTCAAATCATGAAAGGAAGGTCAATGTTCTTCTCTCCTGTCCCGAAATAAACCGATCCATAAACGTCTGATTGTGGAACGTGAAAGAAATAATAGCCTAACCAAAGTAGGCTATTTACTAGAACTAGACCAGATCCTCTTTCAAACCTCAGACTCCACGAACCTATTTGTTTGAAAAGTTAATAGTTAAAATTTGGAAAAATAGTTACTATATGATTATTACGATACTTTACCTTTAGGTATATCGGCATCAATAGGATCCATAAAATCTAAACTTTTGTCTGTTTCTGCCTTCTCCATACAAATCTCCTTTATTACACTCTCCTTTGGCTCTCGGAAGTGAGTATAATTACATAATTTTGCAGCTTCCGAAATCGTTAAACCTTCAAAGGTATTATTCTCTTCAACCTTTCCAGTGATTGGTTTCATAAAATAAGCCGCTCTTGGCACAATTCGAACGTCATGATCAATTTCGTGTATAACAGCCGCTAGGCGATCCTCCTCTCTGACCACTATAGTTTCTTCTTCCGGATCCTCTTCCTCACCAGATCTGTCCTTAATCTGAATGTGCTCGAATTCGTGAGAAGGGCTACCAATAAAACGACCTTTAATGAGTTTAGCTTGAGCTCTCATTGACTCTGTGACGATAGGTAACGCCTTCCACTGACTGCAATCTCTTGAATAAAACATCTTCCTTTCTCCAAATTCGTTGTCATCAACACCTTGAGCGATAAAGTAATCCTGTTTAACACCTAAGATCTTACCCCAAAAATAAACTTTAGCAAACTTTTCATTCTTTTTCAGTAGACATAAGGAAGTTTGTATTATTGCTTTTTGCTCAGGATTTAATATAGCTCCTGTGCTGCCTAAATAGTCAATATTCACGTTTAAATCAATCGAATTCATCTCGAAAGTTGAAGTTTATTTTATTTCCCTTCTTAAAATCGAGATTGTCGTCAGCTAGAGGCCTATATGTTTAGACAACGGTCGCTAGGATACAACGTACGGCGCCTTCAATAGAGAGAAAAGAAAGAGAGCCCTATAGATGGCGTCATATTAAGAATAGAATGTTTTCCTTTTGCGGTTAAAAACATTCTTATCATGTTTTTATAGCCAGCCAGAGAATTTTGATAAAAAGTTAAAGCATTAAACTCTTTTTGTGTATGTATATATATATATATAAAAAGAAGTATTATCAACAAATGCAATCCATATTCTTAAGACTTTTACGGGCCAGTTGCATTGTTAAAATATACACAAAAACGTGATGATAACTGATACGTAGTGAATATTTTTTATAGAGTTTACTGTAATACTCGTTTCTTAATATTTTCATTTTACAAAGACTTCTTGTTATATAGCGCAGAGTTTGACAGTTTTCTCCTTATCGTATGTTTCATAGCAATCTTCCGTATTCTTGCTGAATTGATGACCGTATCTCTCGTTTGGATCATCCCGGCGTTGCATCAAAGTACTTTGGTACTTACTTGAATGATGATGAAACCTATTGAGTAAAAATGAAACACAACTTGTATACATAATTGATTTGAAATATTAAACAATTGCTTCTTACGGTGGACGAAGTAAAAGAGAGCGGGGCGGTAGCGAATACTTTGCGTGAACTCTATCTCTATCCTCTACGTTGTAGGATAATTGCTCTCTCTTATCTAAGAAGAGATTGACATCGTGTTCGTAGTGGGGAATTCCTCCTTCTTCGGCATTCTAGAAGTTTGATGAATTTGTATTAAATGAAGACTAGTTAATTAATTGAAAAGAAATAGTAGGTACTTTTATAAGCAGGTTTCGATTCTTCATGTCTCTTTGCCATTCTGGAATGTATAAGCGAGGAATTATAGGATGGAGTCTTGAATTGACAGGATTCCTGTGATCAAATGAAAGAAAATGGCCATGTTTACCGTAGATACTACTTCAACTTTATCTCCATTTTAATTTTAAATTTTTACTTAAAGAGTTGACATTCCTCTACAAAACTATTGTTTATTAATTACCTAATAGTTTTTCCTTTTGGAGCTCGAAGTTCTGCAGGCGTTTCCATTGTTTGTCCTTAAAAGTCTATTGTTTACGTTGTTACAGGAGCTAACGTGGTTACCTGATCTGTATGCGCTTTTTTTTTACTTTATAGGCCTATTTCCCGACCCTTTCCTGACAAGGGTATTCACAAATTAGATAGGATTGATATTAATTGTCATATTATTGTCTGGCAAAGCCTATTAAAAGACAATTGAGAAAAACTGTGTTCTATATACTATAATAATTACAATATAGTTATATATCTATATATAGATATACAGTATATTCAGTGGTCATAGCGATTTGGTGGTCATAGCGATTAGATTTGGCACGCTGCCACACTTATGACTATCATATTAGCATCATACCATCTTTAAACTTAGACTAAGTCATAATTTCATTAGTATTACGTTATTCATCCCTACTAAACCTACTTAAAATTATTGCCGATTATCGCGAATAAATCTAGCAGTCTTGGCTTAGCATTTGTTTACGACGACAACATATTCAAGTATGTATATTGATATATTAATAGAAATAGAATGATAAATAGGTATATTATGTGTTTTATTTTTCGAAAAACAAGCGTGTGAAATAAGCCAAAACACCAAAAAATGAGAATATTAGATAGACAACGAACATCATAAAAATTACACCAACATTCATAAATTGTTGGTCAAAGAGAAAAAAATAAGATTCTTCAAGAGATTAATAATAAACTAGATGTTTCAAATGGTTTCCGTTAATAAAATATCCTTTGCAGCGAATATTAATTGGATATATAAAAGAACAAAGCGCCATATATAAAGTTGATAGTTTCCTTTTCGGCTCTCTTTAACTTTTCAAAGTCTTAGGAAAGTATTTAATTCGCTATTTTCGACTGCATCATAAAATGCTTCATAGTCCTATATGGATGACGAAAAAAAATCATTGAGTTATTCATTGGATTTTAATATTTGATGATTTATTATGTAAGTAATAGTCGTACCCCTAAGTATACATCTCCTTTGCATAGTTGTGGTGGAATAGCTTTAGGATTTTCCAAAATTTCCCTCATTTTTTCCTTCGCTTCCGGTTCCACCGCAATATCAACTACAGTAAAATCAATCTTTTTGCTCTCCAAAATATTAAGGATGTAAGTTTGCTTATGCTTCAACTGAAAAAAATGGATAAGGTCATACTATGCTCTACTTTAGAACACAATTATATAAACAATTCTAATACATAAATCATGTTTTTTTTTTATTAAAAAGCAAATGGCGTAATTCTTCCTTCATAGAAAATCTTATAACAATTATTCGTTTTATTACAACTCTATATAAATTATTTTTTCATACCTGCATATCGCTTGAAACGCTTGTATAATACACTGTTATGGAGTCAGCCATATTTGCTTGTAACCTAAAAGAGTTCAAAAAACGAAGTGGAATGGTTCACAAAAATGGTTCGCGGGCTATTTCCTGTCTAAATCGGTTATTCGCCGGCAAATAAGTGAATAAAAAACAATGAAAATTTTATCACAAAATATACCACAGTTGTTGCTCTTCAATGAGCAATAGATGGCGCTATTATAGGCAAAACTGGTTAGTCTTCCACTTCCTTTATAAAGTCCATATCTTGGATTCTGCAAAAGATCTTCCCCTAATGGTTATACTCAAAACATAATTATAAACTAAAAGAGAGCAACATTTTCTTTACTATTTAACAAATCGCCAGGCAAAGATTTTCGTTCTATATATAAATATATATATATAAACTTTTTGTTTATGAAAAGCAGAATATATTCACTCTATCTCTATCTCTTCTATTCAATGGGTATTATAAATCCTTTATAGTGGTGCAAGCTATTATTCAGATATTTTAGAAATATTGTCAATTTTTGGCTATAAAATCATTATTATGACTAAAATAAATTCAATACAAAGTTATTTAAATATTTTGGTCGGTAATCATTTGAAGAGAAGAAAAAAAGAACAAAAATGGAAAACGTTAATGAAAGAAGCGACTAATTTGCGATTGATTAAAAGTTGAATGTAAAGACTGTCGGCATTCGTCTAAAGAAAAGTATTGCTCCAGAAAGTGACTTTTACAATGATAATATTATCGATCTATTTAATTATTCCCGTAACGGGAGGTAGTGTGACGTAATATTCCGTAATCGAAATATCACAGAAAGCGTGTTTCCTTACTAAGTGCAAAGCAGGTACAACATTCCTTTTTACCGTTAAAAGTGAAAAAGAGAAAGCTCTATTAATCTATGGTTTGTGTAATATTTCATTCATTCAGCCTGTAAATCATAATAGATACAACGGAGAATCATAAATAATTAGTTTATTACCTTAAAGAGATTATGACCCTGAATGCTACTTTAAGTATCATCTATTTTGTTGAACGAACTATTTATATACTTAGCACATTGTTCCAAACACTCGATACAACAAAGGGAAAATCTCGACCCGAAGATTTAAGCCAACATTATAATCATGTCTTCCTAAAAGATCGTAAGATAACCAGATGCCATCATTTCTTTTATAACTTAAACTGAAAACAGTCTGCGTAAAACTTTTACCGCAGGTATTTAATGGTGAGTGACTTAAATACCACACGAATACCTTTAATTATAACACACTTAAGGTTTCTGCTTTCTATTTATGCTATAGATATATCATATTTCAATTCTCTTTAGTATTCATACGTTTATTTTTCAATGAATAAAAGATTTAGCAATGCTTTTAATCATTTCTTACGTTGTTTACTTGTATCATTATATAGTTATTTTGCTATTTTATGAAATTACACTCTAATTAGTGAGTTGTATTATCAAACAGTGAAAGACTTCCGGTGTATTTAGCACATGAACAAGGAATAAATTCTATTCCTTTTTTTCAAATACGAGAGTATATCTCTGTGTAATCTGTCTAGTCCATGCGTCCCATAAGAGGAACGGTATAATGATTACGTAATACTTTCCATAGTGCTAATTGCTATAATTACTTTTCGCTTCTTTTTCATTCATCAAACTGCAGCGAAAATTCTGTTTTTTTAATAAAAATAAAAAGAACAAACGAACCTTTAAAAATTATCTTAGTTGGATAGAAAATCAAACAAATTGTAATATGTAATACAATAGTATTTTCTTTCTACTTTGTAATGTTTATAAAATGTGCGAAGAGTACGAAAAGGATTCAGATTGGCTCTTATTATTCACTGAGATAAAAGTAAATAATGTTATTTGAAGATACCAAAAAGAGAAAATACATATATATCTCTATAATAATATACTGTGTTTTGTATGTATAAATAGTTAATAAATAGTGGAAAGTTTCGAGAATAGAGAAAAAAGAGAAGGAGAGAAAAAACGACAGCTAAAGAACATAGTTTTTTAATTAGTCATATAGAAGAAAGGAATAAAAATAACCGTTTTTAAAAATACCGTTTTTCCTATTCTTCTACTCCTTCTTCTTCTCCCTTAACTCATTCAGTATATTTTGTATACAAAGAGTCTAGCATTCAGAAAACTTTTATATTACGTAAAATATTACTATTGAGAACTTAATGCTTTTTGATTTCTTTATAGAATTTAACGTTTTTTGTTGTTGTATACTTGAGCAAGAGAAATGAGAGAGAGAGAGAGAGAGAGAGAGAGAGAAAATCTTCTCTTTTCCTCCTGCCTATAACTGCTTCCCAAAAAGCTTTGAAAATAAGCTACGATAGATTATCAGCGGAGCAGAGAGATAATCATATATCTCGATACAATAAAGCTCAATGAAGATTTGATTAAGTGAATAAAACAAATTAACATTGTATAGCAATAAACTTTTCAAAAACCGCTAAAGATAAAAAGTTACGTAATACTTTAAAGATAGAGGAAGTTTAGGTAGCATTTAAGTTTCAAGGGAACTATTAGTAATCATAATTCAATAAAGTAGTCTCAAAAGTAGAACATTTGCTATTCATTTACTCTTCAACCTCTTCACCTATGACATTGATCGGAAAGTTTTCTAAGAAGTATATAACTCTGCTCTTATAGAGAAAGACCTTTGTGACTTCTTCAATCAATTTTCTAAGAATAGTTATAAGCTCTATAATTGAACATTTAAAGAGGGAGAGAGAGAGAGAGAAAGAGAGAGAGGGAGAGGGAGAGGGAGAGGAGGGCATTTGAAATAAATCAATTGTAGGATGCGGGACCGTAAAATAAACATTTAGGCTATTATGAAAATTATTGCTACTTGTTTAATTGTTTTTGCGGAAATTAAACGTTCAACGTGTTGAATGTCGGAAGGTAAAACAGAACGAACAGATTGAATGCGAATTGTTTAAGTCGAAAAACAGAAGGAAGTACTTGAGAGTAACAATTGGAAGCCCTCAAACAATGCAGAGTTTGTTACGCATACAAAAGGGTTAAGTAGCTGCGGGAGCTATCGGAAAGCATTAGAAGAGTGTGTTAAGCGCAAAATACTTGTTTAATTATATTGCCTTGCCTTAGAATTAAACGAATTGATTTAAAGAATTATTAAACTCATTTACAACCTTCCCGATCCCGCATACCTGCATTTCTCACCTCCCACGCGACGGCCTGTCCAACATCAAACATTGCCGCTAAAGCGCGCTCCACCTGCCACCCCCCGTTGTTGACTCCTTTCGACCCTAAAAATTCGTCATTTTACGCTAGCACCACTTTCTCTTAAAAACAAGGAGAACAATGTTTCCACTTGTTACCTTAGGAAGTCATTATCAGTTTTTCACGAGTCGATTAATGAAAATGAAGAGTTCGTTAGCAAATTGATGATCACAGGCCTAAGATACACGGAAATGTTCGATCAAAGTGCTTTGGTCGTCTGGACGCCTGCGGCTTCCTAGGGTGACGAGGAAGCGCGGAGAAAGGTCTGATCACGCTTCGCCCGATAGCTGATCATAATCAAAGTCGGTTTCGGTCGGTTCGACGTAATCTTGTCCGATTTCATTCAAGATTACATGCACTCGTTAAGAATCATTTTGTCCAGCTTTCTAAACGCCGTTCATTTAACCGTCAATCATTTAGGGATCGTCAGAAGCCCTAACCAATCACATCATCGCAAGAATGGCCTCGTAGCTGATTCGTTCCATCCGTAAGGGTTATTTGCATATAATAAGTTGCCCCTTCTCGATTAGTCTATTTACGGTGGAGGCTCGCAGCGCTTTTGTTAAACGTCACGTTTAAAAATCGATATCTTTTTAAAATTTCAACAATGCCTAAAAATTTTTCAATCCAAGCGATATTATTGGGAGAAGATAGTGATGAAGAAGAACATGTTAAAAGGTTAAAAGGAGTAACTCCATTGACACCTCTAGATTTATCAACTCAGAGAAATGACGGTAAGAGAATCTTTTATTTGTTAATTATTATTATAAAGATTGTGATTAAAAGATAGTTCTGTTTACTTTCTATTTGCTATAAAGATAAACTTTTAAACGATAACAAAAGTTTAAGTTTATTACAAGAAACTCATTTATTAAAAAAAAAAAGAAGAATATTGAATAAAATCCTTTTCGAAAAGAATAGATAAGAGAAAAAAAAATCATCAAAGGGCAAAATTGAGTGCATTTGAAACGGTGAACAATCGCACTTTTCATTCGAGAAATCGACACGGTGGCGTTAAAAAATTGAACTTGACAGGCCGATTCAAGTATCGAAATTAAATTTTATTGACTCTTTTAAATCGCCGAATAACGATGCTTTATTTGGGAAGACTTTTTAGCCTACCGCCTCCTTATTACGTAATACATATGGTAAAAGTTTAAAGAGAGTGTTAATTATTTTCTAAAGTAAAGAAAAAGTGCGCACATAAACGTACGCTACTATGTATTTAGATATTATGCGATTAATTAGGCAACGTTAATTATGGTGGAGATTCTGTATAAACACTAGCTACGCCCGTCAACTCCACGTGACAACCAGCTGCATCCTTCCGTCATTAGCTCGCCAATTAGGGTGTACAACGTAAATTAACGCCGCCAACAATGGGAAGGCGCCGCTGTCATCCGATTCGACCACACCCGGGTAGGGATAATCCTGTATCCTATGGCGCCGTACGACATGTACAACGCGACACCTATCCGAAGGGCAATTTGAATACAAGGATCTAAAAAAATGTGTCACTTGTTCATTTTTTTTAAATTTATACTCTTTTTTCATTGACAGGCGACAAATTCCACCGACCCTTTCTCCCTATTTCAGCGCCTCCGATAACGACGCCCATCTTCCACCCCTATATACCATTTCCTCCTCTGACTTTACCGAACTTTGGCGCCGCTCGGCCTGCCGGTCAAATTGAAACTGTCAATGGCGGTTATGGGATAAAGAATCCTTTGTTACAGTCTACCAGAATATCTCTAGCTGAATTAAGTAAGTTCCTTTTTTATCTGTTTACGTTTAATTAAATATAAAGTTCATATGTTGAATTCGCCATTTTTTATAAACAGTTAAATTAACCCTAGGTTTTTACGTAAACAAGACAGCTAACATACAATCTTTGACATTTGACACTGCTGCGGGCACTTATTATATTCAACACGTTATTACCCGTTTTTTTCTTTTACTTATTTTTAATTTTAATATTTTTCTTTATTGTTAAACTGAAAAAGGACTTTTTCATGATAAAATACTCTTGAATTGAAATAGTGAATAGGAGTGAAAAAGTACAACTTTGCTGATCATTCTGAAAAAGACTTTTGTTAAACTTTTATTTGCTTTCAAACTTTCTATTTATCGAAATATTCGCGGTCACGTTTTCAATTTATAAGAGTTTAAATGATATGTTAACAAATGAATATTAACTTTTTCTTCAATAACAATCGGTTTATTATAGTCTAATTAATTTATTATACGCACTGGTTTTTTAATGATAATCTGTTATTATTTTATAATTATACTAATATAATTGCTATAATTAACGAATTTTTCAATAATTAATTATAGGTGAGAAGCAGGGAGATAATTTCTCATGCAGGGTGTGTCGTAAAACCTTTCCGCTACAACGACTCCTCAATCGTCATTTGAAATGCCATTCGGATGTAAAACGTTACTTGTGCACATTTTGTGGCAAGGGATTTAATGATACGTTCGATTTAAAGCGTCACACAAGAACACATACGGGTGTTAGGCCATATAAATGCGACCATTGTGATAAGGCATTCACGCAAAGATGTTCATTGGAATCTCATGGTAAAAAGGTCCATGGAATAAGTCTGGCTTTTGCTTACAAACAACGTCGGGATAAAGTTTACGTATGCGAAGAATGCGGCTACTCGACATGCGAGTCTGATTTGCATATTGAACACATCAAAAACGCTCACCCGCATTCAACTCTTCTACTCAGGAGTTTGCAGAGAAAGTTATTAACGACTTAAGATCTATTTTTATCTTTATGAACTGAGAGAATTATTGCATAATAATAATGTTATTTTTTCTGTTTTCTATTTTTTCAAGTTAATAAAAAATCTTTTAATTTTATGAAAAGTTCTTTTTTTTCAACTTTTCTATTTCAGACATTAAATTAAACTGGAGACCGGTGATCAGGTTAGCGAGAGAAATAAACACATATTTAGTATTCAAACGCTAACTTTCTAATACTCATAAATTCTTTAACAACTTCGTCAGTAACGTTCTTTCTTCGTTCTTGGTGATCAGCAACAATACCTTGTATTATTTTTATCGTTTTCTGTTTTAGTTCTCCAGTTAATAGTTTTCCGCTCGAATAGTCCTGTGGAATGACAAGTGGGAAATAAACATATGTTTGAGTACAACAATAACAGAAATCTTAAACTTTTACTTACTTGTCTGATCTGCTCGAGCTCTTCGTCATCTTCTAGGAAGAACGTTAGGTATTTGTATGATATATCGACAGTATAATCACCGCCTTTTTCTCTATGTTCTTCAATGGTGTCTCTTCCTCCCGAAAAAGCATATTTATTAATTTTCGTTTTAATCTGTTTAGGTGTATCGGTTAAAAAGATTGAACTAGTTGCAACACTTCCACTCATTTTTGTGGTCGCTCCTTGTAAAGCGGGTATAAAACCAGAATGAATAAGAGACGGTTTATGAGCATTCAGTCTGGGTGCAATATCCCTTGTCAATCGAAAATACGGATCTTGGTCAATAGCACAAGGTATAAGGCAGGGAACGTTCGTCTTTCCGTTAAAGATTTGTGGAAAGGCTGCAGAAAAAGCTGTGGCTGCTTGAATAGCCGGGAAAGAAATTTTGCCAATGAAACTCGTTTCGTCGAAACCAAAAATTTTACAGCTTTGATTTAGATTAACGCACTTTTGAATTTTCAACATTTGCACGTAGAAAGCCTTAGATGAAGAGATATAGTCGATATCGGAGAAAATAAAGGTTTTGTCTTTGTTGAATCCACAAGCAATAATATCCTTTGCATTTTCAAATGCTAAACGATTGCTCTCCTCAACGGTTAAATCCTTCCATAGGAATTTCTCATCGTCCGTTAATTGTATAATTAATGGCACGTCAAAGGTATCTTGTAACCACTTTGTAAAAATAAATGGTATCAAATGCCCCATGTGTAAGGATTCAGAAGACGGACCTCTACCCGTATACAAGTAGAATGGCTGATTCTTTTCATACAGATCCAAAATGATATTTAAATCTCTAAAATATTCCATCTTTAGTATTGTATTTCGTTATGAAATAAACTTAAATTACCTATGAGAAAAGAAAATGCCTCTTCTCAAAAGGGGATGAACAGGTTTGCCTGTTATTTTTTCAATTCGATCAATCAATGCTTGATCAATTTTACTACTTCCAAATGTTTCTATTATTAACGAAAACAAATATACATTTATACATTCATACTAAAATTTTGATAATAATTACTTATAAGTTTATCATAATCTATTCCCTTTAGAGAATTACACTCAACTTTCCATGGATCGACTCTATCATCTTCGATCTTGACGTCCTCCAAGTCTTTTGAAACAGTTTGTTCAGCCATATCTCTGAAAATAAATTACAGATTTATTGTAAAAACCTATATATCGGCGAAGTGGCTTTAGTAAGAAGCCTCTTTTGTCGCCATCCAAACACATGTATGATAATTTTTACTTGAATATATACCCTATGTCATAAAAGGACACTCATTACGTGAATAAACGGTAAAATCTTTATATATATATTAAAATATTACGTATTATTACATCAGAAATATGAGTTTATATTCTATTATTACGTTCTCTGTGTCAACGTTGAATTACGTTGCTAAAATATACATCTATTGGACTCAACCAAATCTAACATTTTTAATTGTCTAAAACAAACTTCTATTGTCATCTATATTGCTTTATCTGTTTTGAAGAATATTTTCAAACAATTACACATTATCTTATTATCTGATATTACTTGGTGGAATCCAAACCATCAAGATTTAAATTTTGAATTAGAGATTTATATAACTTTATAGATTAAGTTGCTGACTCTCTTGTGATTTAGGCAGACCCCCGAATCTCAACCAGTTTTAGTTACTGGGAGGTTGAATGTTTTGCTAAAATTTAAATATGGCTGATATTTGAATAGAACAACATTTCCAACCAGAATTTCCATCATAAAAATCAGCATCAAGATATCAAAAATAGAAAATAATTATTGTGAGATTTTTTAGATATTATATCGCTTTGATCAGTGGTAAAATTTGTTAAGTTTGCAATATTAAATTTCTTAATGTGTTGGCAAGTCTTAACTTGTTTTGAAACGCTTGATAAGTTGATTGTTTCTCTAGATGTCCCGCACACCTTCTGAAAATTCCCTAGGCTTTACTGAAGATGAGATAAAGGAGCAATTAGAAACTTTCGGTTACAGGAATGTGCCAAGAGATAGATTAATAGCTTTTAAGAAAGGTGGAGTTTAAATATTCTTTGTTAACTTACACCTAATACTTTTTGTTACCATTCCCTAGATCTTGAAAAATTAGTAGAAAGTGAGAGGAGTAAAAGTAATTCGTTAGCCGGTAGTGAAACTTCGTCTCAGACTAGCGAATCATCAGGACCAATCGTATCTCGATCCAATAACGTTAAGGAAAATTATGATCCTAAAGTTACATATCCCGTGAATAGAAATGTTTTCAAGAGTACATATGGCATCCAGTCTAATATGAAAGACATTCCGACATTCAGAAAAGTATGAAAAAAGCACTCTCTTTCATATCTAAGTTCTAAATTGTTTACAGGAAAATGGGAAAACTGTTAGAGTTCCGACTGCAAATATGTCTAGTACCACAACATCAGCCACTTTAACAGACGAAGACGAGGATGAAACAAGTTTTTTGACATCAGATTATGATACTGAACCATCTATTCCTCGCGTTACTAAATCGAATGTTATGAAAAGGAAAACGCTTAGAAAAGATGAGGGTAAAACGATCATTGACGAATCATTTACTGAGAGTGAAGCAGGTTCGTAAATAAGTTTCTCTATAATATATTTCATAACATCATACCTTCTGTTAGACGATGTTGTCGAAAGAGTTAATAGACGTTTGGCCAATTTACGAGCTAGAGCGTACCAAGAACAAGAAAAGCATACTCAAGTCAGGCCCCAATCAGCCCCTCCTCAGTCAAGCAATTTACAGGTTAGCTGTTTAATATCTTAAGAGATGTGAATTAAAATTAAAAGTTACAATTATTTTTTAAGCCAATGTTTAGAATCGATGAAAATTTCGACCGTCCAAGATCGGTTATTAAACCAATGATGATTAACCCTCATAATAAAAATGTTAGAAAGTGTGATCCTGTCGCTAAACATCAGAAGTATGCTGAGATATGGAAAAAACAAAAAGCGCCTGGCGAAAAGCAGCACAAAGAACTAAGATGGAACATAAGAGAATTAATGCTTTACAAAGATGATGTAGTCACTAAAAAAGAACCCAAAGTTTTCTCTGGTAATAATTATCAAGTTCCGTCTGAAAAGAAACGTAAGGATTTGAGGTGGCAAATTCGACAAAATTTAGCTCAGGGAGTCGTTCCTCCATCACCATACGACTAAATACCAAATTAACATTATTCTTTTTTTATTAAGTGTATTTACATTAATAATTTTACAGTATATGTTAACAAGATGTGTTTTTATTAAAAAAAAATAACTAGCACATTTTTTACTTTACTGTTGACAGTCACAATGTTGGCCTGTTTTAACGTTTCTGTTAACTGTTCGTAAGTCCTTTTTTAAACTATTCTTTTTACTACTTTATTAATTTATAGCTTTAACGGCGGCAGCATTTAAAGCAAAAATCTCCGCTAATGGAAGAATTTGATGTATACTTTGTTCCGATTGTAGCATATGCTTTGCTTGTTTTCTCCTCTAACGGTTGCTGTATGGAAGTTCGGAAAAGATTCTTTAATTTCTCAACTCCGACAGAAGGCGCCACTTGGGCTTCTTCAGCTTTCTTTTTCATTTCAAGTTGCCTTTCACGCATAGCACCCTCCAGGGCTTCAATCACATCACAAGTTGACCAATAATCACGCGTCGGTGTATCTGATTGTATATACTCAACTATGCCTTCTAGTCCCAGATTTAGAGCTAAATTCACATCTCTAATAATATTACCAAGGGCGGTAATATCGGCTGAAAACGACCTATTTTCAGTAGCTAATGTATCACCTGCTCCGTTCGATTTAACCTTAGAAATAGTTGTAAGTTGATAATTAAGGCACTTTGAGTATCCTTTGAGTAACGTAGCTTCGGATAAATTGGTTGGTTTTGGATTAGTCCAACCTTTTCCGTCGATATATCTCAGAACGATAGAGTTCATCCTCAGCTTATTAAGAACAATAAGACGACGATGATACTTATGCAAAAGTTTCGTCAAGTTGAGAAGTAATTTCATCCAACGGATATTTTCGAGTATTTGCTTTGGCGGGTTTTCTAGTCGACTGCACACCTCTTGCCATAATAAACGGTCCAATGTAACAACTTCAAAAGTCTCTGGATCTCCGTTTAGTATACTTACAATGCCAATCGGTAGAAATTCCTTATTACTCGATAAATTAACCAAGCCCATAAATTGAGGGCCACCAAATTTAACATTTCTATTAGCGTAATTCATCATAACAGCCTCTTTCACTAAATTGACAGCCGTAGCATCATTCGAAGACGCCTTATATATCTTAATTGCAACCGCTAATTGACCGGTAGCATTACAATTATTAATAACTGTCGGTCTCCCGGAGTAATTATTGAGGCGTCCTTCAACTTGCAAATTCCAACTCGATTCCATCAATATTTCGGACGTTGAATTTCCTGAATCTTGCATATAGCCGGCAACAACTATCGACTTTTTACCAACACCTAAAAGCACTATATTCTCCGTTTGTTTACTTTTTACCAAAGTAATAAAAGAAGGATTGATAAATTTTAGCTTTGGAATAGCAGAAAAGTTCGGTTCACAATTAGGTACTAATTTCCTCCAATGGGATAAATACAGATCCCTTAATTGGTTGTCTCCTAATACGTTATTATTAAGAGCTGGAACTGATAAGGGAAAATCGATTATGGGCATCTGGTAAGATCCTCTCGTTGGTCCTTTATATAAAGTATGCTCTTCAAGTAGTTTTAGAAATTTATCTCTATTGTTCCTTCTCTTTTCCTCAAAGTTTGGATCCGAGGAAAAGTCATAGCGTTTGGCGAGCTGCCAAGCGCTCTCTTTTGTTTCTTCGTTGTTCGTTGAAATGGATGTGTTAGTTTTTATTTTAGACTGCTCTTTTTCCTGCTCTTTTTCTTGTTTTATTTCCTTTTCTTCTGTCTTTTTAGTTATTTTTTGAAAAAGAACAGATGCCGAATTGAGAGCCTGTTCTTTCGTCCATTTGGTGGACAATTGAGATGTTTTTGAAATAGTTCTAGGTCCCTTTAATAAACTATCAAAAATGGTGCTAATTTGTTTATAATTTCCATCTGAGGTCAATGAATTGATTTTTGCAAAGTGTAGGCGTAGTTCCCTTTTATTTTCCAGTTCAGTATTTAACTTAAATTCCTTGTCAGACAATTCTTTGGATAAACTGATTTTTTCAATAAATAATTTTGTCAACTCATCATTTTCGTCGAGGGTTTCAAATATACCTTTTTCAGCTTGTTCTACTGCTATTGTTGTTGTATTTATATAATCTTTTGAATCATCAACTGATCTGAACCAAAGATCATTTAGCTCGAATAGAGGTTTTACTGAACCATAATTCCCTTTAAGGAAAAATGGTATTAAATCCCTTCTATATTTTTTCTTTGAATAGTTTGTATTATTTTCCTTTGTTGAATCAACTGGTTTTAAGCTATTTGTATTCTCTTTAAGAGGTTCAGAGAATTCTCTCTCCTCTGTCCTTTTCTTATGAATATCTGAATGAATTGAAATTTCCGTCTTAGGTTCCACCGGTGTTAAATTATCCATTTCCTTGTCGGCACGCATCTGTTCGACATTCTTCTCCTCTGACGTAAACCTATCCGGTGTAACCGGTAAGTCATCTTGCGATGATTGTAATTTGGACGGTGTTTGACCTAATTTCTTTTGCTCATGTACTGACTCATCCGTTTCTTTGTTAATAGAGATTGTTGTATCAATTAAATCCGGTTCGGTATTTCTCTTATCAACGTCATCATCTCGTGGAAGTTCAGGAGGTGATGGTGGGGGGAATTTTTCAACTGGTACTTCAAGACTTTGCTTTACTGGCCTAGAAATGGAAAGTGTTTCTTGAACTTGCAGGGAGGGCTTATTCATCTTTTTGGAAGATATCTTCCTTAATGCAGGCTTTTTAATGTCTACGGAAGGAGAGAATTTTTCTTTTGGCTTCACGCCTTGTTTTCCTCTGTGTGAAACCGGAGACGAGCGTCCTCGTGCACTTTTTACAGCCTTAGCTCTTTTTCCTTTTTCTTGTGTCCCTGACCCCAGACAAGGACAACAGCCTTCTTCTTCATCTTTTCTAGATCTTGATACTTCCCTCACACTATTATATTTACTATTCTTTTTCAAGTTATCTTTCGACTTTTTAGTAGGCGCAGATGGTTTTTTAGCTAGTCGACTGTTCGATCCAGCCTTTTTAAAAGACGACACCTTCTTTGCTGGATTCTTTACACTAGATGATTTTTTTAAATTACCTCTTGATCCCCCAATCTTTGATTCTAAATGAAAAAACATATCGAATTTATTCAACAAATTAATTAAACTAGAATTATTCCTCTCCGTATCAAATTACTTGATTTATTCCTAGATTTATGACAAACTCTCCAATCATTTAATTCACTTGCCGATTGACTTTCCGACATTTTTTTAACCTTTAAATATTTCTAAAAACGACGAAAATTTTAATAGTTTTCGCACTGCAAATCGATAGTTTATACCCTTTTTATTTTTAAATGATAGTTGTTTTTTATTAATTTCTTCTATTTTTAGGTTTTAATAAAGAAAAATTTGCTGTTTTAGTCTTTTTTTTTGATGTTGTTGTTGTTGTTGTTGTTGTTGTGTATATAAATGAATAGAATGACTGTAATATATATATAAATAGCATAATATATAAATGATAACAGTTTAAATTTAAAAATTTATTAAAATATTAATCAGAATCGCGTTTATCGTTAAATCGTGAAGACAGTAAGAGAAGAACATATTATTAAAAAAGCCTTATTTCATAGAAATACTTGGGTTAATTTAAATGCTAATTTGAAAAGACATATTGGCAATAAAATGGCAAACACTGCAAAATAATTTTCAAGGTATACTTTTTAAAAAACGCTTCGTCAGCTGTTTGGATTATTTCGTAAACGAAGTGCGTAAAAGGCGATAAATATACATATATGCGGTTGATTTGTTCTTTTTGCAAAAATACATTTTCTCTCTGTAATTCTCTCTCTCTCTCTCTGATCTAGTTACTAACATTCTATCTGTTCTTGTATAAAAAATAGTTTAAGCGTATGAACAGCAATTCATCAATAATTCATGATAAGGGATCAGTCTCAATATGTTTAAGATAATCGATGATGAAAATTTTATATACGTCAAGTTTTGTATAATCTACTTTCGCTACTTATATAGCTTATCAACGTTAAGAACATCTGCTATTTTAAATTTCTTTCATAGTAATTAGATTTTCATAAGTCCTTAGTCACTGTTAGAGATAAAATTTCTCTTGTCTTCTAACTTCCTCTTCTTTGTTTTATTTAAAACCGTATTGTTGCATTGAATAAGAAAAATCTGATATCATTTATATCATTTCTCAATTCCCGGAAATTTGACAAATTCTATAAACACATGATTTCAGCTAAGGGTTAACAGCTAACGTAATATATTATTTTTATGGCCCTAGAAAACAATAGATAGAGCGTTCGTATAGCACGCGTGTCAAGCTAAGATACTGCACAAAAAAAGCACAAAGAGCAGCGAAAAGAGAGAGAGGAGAGCGATAGGTGGAGAAGGTGGGGGGTTGGTAAAAAATTTTCCATTTAATAGTATTAAATTACCAATATTTAGCGTAGTTTGAATTTTTGAACAGAGATTTAAGCAGAATATTGAATATATATATGTATTGTTTTTCTTTTTAAATGCAAATTTCCAGTTTTCGCATCAATACACAAAACATTTGCACAAAAAAGAAAAAAAATGAATAAGAAGGGTAAAGCACAGACGGATATTTACATAATTAAATAGACGCACACGATAGCCATGTTTCTCTTTGTCAGCGTTAATGTATAGATTCAATTTTACGAAACTTAAAACTTTAAACTAAGCATTATGATGACGTAATTCCTTATCACGATTTTCTTACATTGGATTTTTTTTTTCACTCCTGATAGTTGGATTAAAAAGAAAATGATGAAAAGACTAATCTATTATCCTATTTATTCTTTTCTTCCTTCCTCTTTTATTTTCATTTTAGTTACCGTTTTATTAGAATCTATTATTATAATTTTCCGTTTAGCTTAGTATTATTCATAGAAAGGTTATTTTTTTTTTGTTACCACTTAGACGATAATAAGAATGTGTATATACTGTATATTTAGATTATAGTATAGAAGAAATTCTATAAATTACAGATATAGGGAAAATAATAGAATATTCATTGTCATAATTTATATTAAGTAGAAAAAACAAAAAAAACAACAACGACAACAATATACAATAGATTATTTTTGTTTTTACTAAATGCTTATTTGAAATAACAACAAAGGATAACAACAAAACGTTTTAATTCACAACGTAATCGAATGAAATGATGAATGAGACGAATAATGGAATAAGCTTCTGATAGTTTATCAAGCAGCACCAAAAATGCTAAAATATTATCAATTATCTAGTAAATAACAAATAGTCGGAGGAGAAGGAAGAAGAGATATACATAAGCAATATATACAACTGTATATAGAGTATATCTATACAAATAAAATAATAATTGTACAAATTAATGTCATTACAAATTGTAAAAAGCTCCCTGCACAGTATTTTTAGATTTTTTTTTATGTTTGTTTAAAAAAAAAAGTTTGCCAATTCAACGGAAAATGTGTTCCCTTTTAATTTTTATCAAGCACTTCGAATTTCAATTCTGCTTCGAGTTGTCTTTCAATTTCACCTTTATTTAAGGCTTGTTCGAAACTCATTAGCTGACCCATAAAATTTAAATTTGGTGAGGCGACTGGACGTTTTGATTTAACAAATTTATATCCTTCGTAGGCGTTTAGATAGCTCTTCCTCAATATGTACGAAATAGTGACGGTTACCGAGCGAGAAACGCCTGCTTGACAATGGACTAGGACCTTGCCGTTATCCTTTCGAGCCGTCTCTGTTAATAAATAATGATGAGAATAGACATTTAATAAATTAGTGATATATAAAACGTGTAACGCACGTGCGTCGTTGAAACGCGTACTTTGCGTGTGTAATCATGTGTATCTATATTCGTACAAGTACAAACTTCGGATGATTCATTCCATTTGACACTACTCTACTTTTTTCTATAGTCTTTGTTTGTGTATATAAGAACAATATACAATGTTATTTTAGAAAAAAGGAATTATTAATATAGAATTTATCGTTAACTCCCTTACCTCCCACACCTTTACGCCCGCCCCCTCCATTTTTATAGTAAACTATACTGACTTCATCTCTCTCTTTCTCTCCTCCCCCTATAAAAAGATTCTGTACGCGTAAAAATTTTATGAGATACGAGCTTATTTCTCTCTACTCCTCCCCCCAGCCACACTTTTGTCCGATTATTCTTTAGCGAAACAAAAAAAAATGTACGCCTATGTTTACGCTAGACAAACTACGGCAATCAATGAGTTTGTAGAAAAAGCAGTGTGAGTCATTTCTCACTATACTCAAACGACTGCAAATAAGGGTCAACTACGCCCGCGGACGTGTTCGAACTGATACTTTGCAGATTGTAAACACTTTCAATTTCATAAGAAGAATTACAGGTTATTGATGGTCTAGCTTAGTCATAAGTATAATAAAAAAGCCAGACCTATAAAATAAACCTAGAAACCAATGAAAAATATGTTATTGTGAGTCACTAATGTCATAAAAGTGTTCTAGGCCTAACTGGCTTGAAAAATAAAATTCTCTATTTAACCGTTAATAAAACTGTTTACCTATAAACTCAAAGGCCTGATCGAAATATTTCATTAGATCCTGTTGAGAACTGTCATTTGCCGGTAGACGCTTATAAATAATTCCAGACGATTTAAAATGCTCTGGAAGATGAGATGTAACGTTCAAGACGTGTGTAATGGCCAACGAATCAATTATGTCCTTGTTTGCCGCATCTCTTTCATTGCCTGATTAAATAGAAAACAGTTGACGATTTTTAACATATGATTTTCTTAGTCTTTCAATTACCTATATAAAGGAATTTTAAAATTTCCGCAACGGGAGCTAGGTGGATATCTTCGTCCTGCTCTTCCAAAGGATTAGTAGGACTTTGTAAGATTAGCTCATCATTCTGTCCCAATTCAGTAGATTTACAACTTAGATCTATAAATAGAGAGGAAGAATAAAATATAATGTATATTAACATTAGTAAAAGTTTTTCCCTACAAATGATGAATGTATAGATAGGTAAATGATAAAAAATTATTAAAATAAGTCATCCGTTTTTTTCCTGATAGTCAGTTAGTAACCTTATTACTTTCACCGATGAATATTCTTCGTCTTAATAGTTAAGATTATAACCAAAATGAGTAATTTAATATGTCGAAATAAATTAGATAAGTATCTTTTTTGTTTTTTTAAAAAAACAAAATATATAAAATTATTATATATATATATATTTAGGCCTATTTACAGATGAATGAATAATACTCTAAGAGCGTTTTGATAGAATGTTCTTATGTTTTGTATTATAGTTTAAATAGTAAAAAAAAAAGAATATATTAAAGAATAGTGAATACTTACTATTACTAGTAATTTGGTAAGGATGAAAACTAGGAATGTTAAGGCACACTCTCATCTTTCTTGAACGTTTGTTCTTTGGTAATACTATTGAAGACTTATCGGGTGGTGAGTTAACAGAGTCATCTTTTGTGATGGACGGTGGACTTGATAAACATCGAGTAATAATCTTCATTGTTTTTCTTTTGTTGTTTAAATAAAAGCTTTACGTCGGTAATGTTAACGTTTGAAAGACTAGAGCAGAATGAAAAAATTGCACAGTCGTCAATGCCGATGTGACTCACCTCAACCGCCAGAGGTCGTTTATGTACATGATTCACTCAAATGTGCCTGTTATTAATGAAACGTTTACTATTAGTTGATCTTACCAACCTTTCTTCTGTTGGTGAATAATTGTGCTAATTTAATTGTTAAAAGGATCATTTAGACTTTAATAGAATGTCTTTATCGATATATCTTTCTTTTTGCCTATTAGACATCTTTCTCCCAAGTACCAACCTCTCGAGTTGCTCGACTAAAGAGCTATAATATATATAGACAAGCAGAGGTACAAGGGCAGAAAGAGACGGCGTCTCTCATTGAACTTTAAAGCGTCCTTAGCTTAGACGCGGACGTATTACGCTATCTGGACTCGAAAGGCAAGTGCCTAATCCTTTGCGCGTGATTATAATTAATTAGTAAAGATTTGTTGAGTAATTAATTTGAAATATTACTCGACTATATGACAAAGGAGTTCCTCGATGAAATACGATATAGTAAACTGCACGTTTCCTCGCAGCGTTTCTTGACGTACTACAGAAATCCTTTAATCCAGGGATTTGTCACAATATAACGCTTGACTAAAATCACGCACTGCCAAATTGCAAAGCGAATCGGAGAGAAGATCAATTGATCCAACGAAACTCAAACGGTACAGTTTGACCTTTTAGACCTTCTCTCCGCAGCGATATGTTACTTCAGTAATATGACTCTTGGACAGAATTAGGAATGTATGTCAAATACAATAAGTCTTAGCTTTATTTACTGTTATTTTCTTTCCAATTAAACTACTATATTACAAAGAAAATGTTTATAAACATTTCTTTTTTGTAAGCGTATGCATGCTAATATAAAATATTGTCCAAAAAGCCATTAAACACGTTAAGGCTTCATTTCTAGGTTGCTAAATGGGAAATCTTAGAAGAGACGAAGTCACAATATACGATTTAATCAATTCTATCGTAGTTTTTATTGCTTTCTGGACAAAGGCTATTAGTTTAATGGTAAAGTAACGTTCATTTCGTTACAAACTTCTTTGATACATTCCAATAATTTCTCCATATCTTCAGGGAACAAATGGCCAATATTACCAATTCGGAACACATCGGCATCTAGGACTTTTCCAGGGTAGATGACTTGTCCTTTATCGCTTAGTTTCTCGTAGAATGTTTTAAAGTCGAAGTCTTTTTGCGTAGGATACTTGAAAGATGTAATTATATACGCATCTTGTAAACTTTCATCTAAGTATTCTTCGAATCCTAATTCAGCCATACCCTCTCTTAGCACCTTTCTATTCGCCTTATAACGATTAGCGCGACCTTCAACACCACCTTCGGCGTCTAATTCTTCAAGAGCCTTTCTAAAAGCCAGCATTGTATGTGTTGGGGGAGTGAAACGAAATTGACCGTTTTTTTCCAATCCCATATACTGTTCGTAAAGATCTAGGGACAGGCTTCTCGATATACCTTGACAACTCTTCAAGTGCTTTGTTCTACAAATTGCATATCCAAATCCAGGGACACCCTCTATACATTTATTGGCGGAAGAGACCATATAATCGCAATTAGCTTCTTTCATATTAAAAGGAATTGCACCAAATGATGACATTGCGTCAATAAAATATTGAACATGAGGCGCCTTCTTTCGAACGATTTCTCCAATTTCTATAACTGGGTTTAAAACACCGGAACTTGTTTCGCAGTGAACGACAGAAACTGTAGTAAAGGATGTATCGTGTCCCAAGATCTGCTCTACTCTCTTGGGAGAAACTTGTTCATTTTCGCCAAATGACTCAACCCTATGTTCAATATTCAACACTTTACAGATAGCTGCTTGTCGTCTACCATATGCACCATTTTCTAAAATCAACACTTTTCCTTTTTTGGGAACAATTGTAGTAAGAACTGATTCTAGAGAATACGTGCCACTTCCTTGTAATGGCACTGCGGTATATTCATCGTGAGATACGCCAGCTATTTCTACTAAGCGTTTACGAATAAATTTAACAGTATCTACGAACGCAACGTCTCTAGACCCAAAATCTGCTAACATGGCCTCTTTGGTTGACAGAGATACGCCCAGAGGACCGGGAGTAAAGAGCTTCTTTGGCTGAGTGGCTGAAAGAAATTTGCTCAAATCTTAAAAACATGGAATATTTAATATAATGGAAAAATTAGTACTTTTATTATTCTGCATTTGCATTGCCGCAACGCCAAAGCACCTTCTAACAGTAGCGGTTCCAGGCCTTATCAAACTAGTAACAACTCTCTTGTTAACTAAATATCGTTCAACAGTTTTAAGCATGATAGTTTTTTTACTCTTTCTCTCTTTGTATAAATAGGTAAAGAAACTTTTAGTGACTGCCACCTAAAGCTGACTATTTAGAAATGGTTAAGCTGGAAATAATCAATTAATAATCAGCTGTATGTTGTTCAACTTTCAGCTGCTGCTATTAACACAAAATTTTTCGAATGTTTTATTTGATTATTTTTTTCGAACTCCACTGTCTAATTTAATATCATTTAATCGACAAAAAAAATTATATATTAGTGGAGAGCTAAATAGAGTTACGAAAATAGAGTTATTTTCGTACTTCTTGGGAATGAAATTCGTATCAACTTATCTTTAACTTTATCACAATAAACTAAAAGTATTTCAGTAGTACACAGTAATTTTCTAATTTGAAACAGTAACTATTTTGAAAAATTGGCAAAAATGTCCTTTTTACTACCATTTTTCACGCAAACGTGTAAATTGATTTGACTTTATTTTATAAATTCTTTTCCAATTGAAAATTGCACATAAAGTCTTTCAATATGAAAAAAGCAGTGGATGATTCTAAATTTTACTCTATAGTCGTGTTTCTATTTGCCTTACTAGTCAGATGGTTAACATCACTCGGTCCCTTCTCGGGTAAGATGATACAAAAGCCGATAACTAAAAACTAACTCAATAACAACTACTTAGGTAAAGGAAAATCACCGATGTACGGAGACTACGAAGCTCAAAGACATTGGATGGAAATAACTTATAATTTACCGATAAAATCCTGGTATTTTAGTCATTATTCGAAACCTTATAAAATAGATTATCTAATATATTATAACGTAAACTTTTTAGGTATTATAATACTACAGACAATGATTTATTATACTGGGGACTCGATTATCCTCCATTAACAGCATATCATAGCTTAATCATGGGTTTCATGTAAGTCCTATTATAACTTTTAGTTAAGAGATGAGCAGATGCTAAAAAAATATGCATAATTTCAGAGCTAACAAAATTAATCCAGAATTCGTTGCTCTGCATAAGTCAAGGGGAATAGAAAGTCCTACCCATAAACTATTTATGAGATATACTGGTTATATCATTGGATAATTTGATTGTATATACTAATTTTATCTCTCTATGCACAGTGATAATTGGAGATCTGCTCATTTACATTCCGGCTGTATTTATTTATTTTTTAGGAAATAAATCCATTCAATCGAAAGGAAAGGTTTATAAATTTCTTTAGAATATTATTTTTTTTTTTACTAAATAGAACATTGAATTATTTTCCTTTTTTTTCATTTTCTTTTGTTAGATATCCTGCTGCCTATTGGCCCTTCTATATCCAGGCTTGACACTCATTGATCATGGACACTTCCAGTATCCCTTTTTGTTTTTTGTATAATTAGTCAGAGAATTTAATATTGAAACATTTACAATTATCTATTAGCCCAAATATTCCTTAACTCTTCAATGATATAATTCAATTTCCCTTGGTTTAGTAGTATGGGCAGTAATATTTTTTGAGAGAAATTGTCAACTTCTAGGAGCTATTTCTTTTGTCTTTGCTTTAAATTATAAACAAATGGAATTATATCACGCTTCTCCATTCTTCTTCTATCTTCTTGGACAGTGTTTTATTTCAAAGACTAATTGGTAAATAATTTAAATTCCTAGTTTAATTATCCTCTTTTAACTCTGTAACTTGTTCCAATAGGTTCCTACAATTACTGAAAGTGTCTTTTGTCACTTTGATTGCATTCTTACTATGTTGGTTACCTTTCCTAAGAGATTTTCAAGATGCTCTTCAAGTTTTGCATAGACTATTCCCATTTGCAAGAGGTATTTTTGAGGTAAATAATCTAAATGTTAGATAAATTATAATAATTAATATCACTCTTTACTTTTTTATTTATAGGACAAGGTCGCAAATTTTTGGTGCTCGTTATCAATTGTAATAAAATTTAGATCCTTAATGACTCAGGATACTCAGATACTTATGTGGTTTGTTTCTTATATTACAATAATTTTCCTAAATATTAGCATCGTTATTGTATTTCAAAGCTTGGTAACTACTATAATATTATTACTACCCTCTGGTCTTCATTTATTGTTAAAACCAACGATGAGAAATTTTAAGCTAGCTCTTGTTAATAGCTCCCTTATCTTCTTCCTCTTTTCTTTTCAAGTTCATGAAAAGTCTATACTTATAGCGGCCCTGTAAGTTTGCTTGTTTAAATACTATGTAAGCAAAATCACTTAGTGACACTTATTACATAAAGGCCAATTATTCTCTTGCTGCCTGAGTTTCCAATAGCATCCTTTTGGTTTGGAGTACTCAGTACAATAAGGTATATTTAATGATAGTATTTAATATTTTATCATATTTACACTTACACTTTAATTCTACACCAATCTCTATTTCAGTATGTTTCCATTGTTACAAAAAGACGGCTTAGCTTTTTTAACGTTTTCCAGTATTATACTTTTTTCATTTGTATATTATACTGTTCGACAATGGTTGACTGTTGAAGAGAAATCCGGTTTCTGGAAGAAATTCTTTGTAAGTATCATAATTACTTCATTTACTTTTGTCTTTCTAATAATAGATATTCGTATTTTATATTATACAGATGATACTCTCGATTATCAATGCATGTTTTCTAGCGATAGCAGCTGTGTTTGTCAAAGCTCCTAGTAATTTGCCAGACTTACACGCCGTTTTAATATCGGTGTTTTCGTGTGGCCATTTCGGACTGTTCTTGATTTATTTCTATTATTCTCAACTATTCGGTGATAGAAAACTTAAAACTACATAAACAGTTTTAAATATTTAATGATTCTGTTTAAGTGTACATTCTCTTTGTTCTGAATGATAATACAAAAAGATAATAGTAAAATGTCAAAGTTAACCTTTTGTTTAACTAAAACCTACCAAAGCACAAAGATAAATGAATAGATTTTATCTTCATAAAAACAAACTGAAACCGGAGAAATGAATTTATATTTATTAAATATTAAATTTATTTAGTCTTATTTTATTTGCAGTTAAGCAACTGGATTTTTCAAAGCATTTATGGACTTTAAAACAGATGATTTGTTAGAATTATACATCGGATTGACGCTAACTTGTGGGGAATCTGTATGCAAAATGAATAATATTCATAGCAAAGGATAGAAAGTTTCCTTTTTTTAATTATAAAACTTGATATATAAGAGAAAATGATTAAATGTCAAAAGGAAAAGCAAACATTGTTACCGATCCTTTTTTTTTTAATAAAGGTTTACTTAAATTAACAACATCATAGTTTTTTCCATAAAAAGTTTTGTTTAACCTACCTAAGGATTGATCAAAATTTGTATTGTCAACAAAACCAGATGTTGAATCTAATCGAGTATTTGAAGGATATTGTTGTGGGAGAGAAAGACTATCATCATCCATTGCAGCTTCTTCCTCTGTATGTGCTTTGTAAGAAAATAGCAGACTCGACAAACTTTGAGATGATCTGTAGAAAAAATATAAAATTGAAAAGAGATGCGGTATAGCATAAAATGGGAAATTTATTAGAAACTCACGCAAAAAATTCTCTCATAAAAGTGAAATAGACCATAGGAGCAAAGCACGTAAAATATGTTAAAGTAGAAGCGTTAATCACGCTGGAGGATAATTGCAAAAACGCCTATTATTATAACAACGATCCATTTAATAACTATAGTTATTTATTTACCACATTCCATTGATATTACGAAAGAATAATAATGCACTTCCGACTGCCTGTAAAATGTTTATAATTGCTAAAGTAGCACAGTAGTAATAAAAAGATTTCTTTGCTGGAAGAGACCAACGTTGCCGACAGCCAGTAAATGGTAGAATAGTTATTGTGGTATAAATCTATAATCGTTTTAAAGTGGTTAAATGGTCATATAAATTTATATATATATATATATATATATATAATAGTATTTTATAACTTACAACAAAAAAGATAAATGAGGAAACGAAAAAAAATGGCATTCCTCCATGACCAAATATGTTGTAACTATAATCGTTCGAACGGAATTGAAAATTTTTATTGGGTTTTGTAAATTCCAAAGTTCCCTATAAAAGATATATTTTCTACTAGTTTACTCTTAAATAAAGAAATAAATGTTATTCTTTTACCTGTGTAATTGAATAAACTAAACTTATCAAGCCTGTTACTAATAAAACTCGTCTTATACTCCTCCGACTATCAAGGTGTCCAAAGGCTACTCCAAAGACTATAACTGACATTTCGATAGCGATCAGGAAGAACCTTAGAATTAACCATAGCAGCTAAAATAGGACAAGTAAATTAAGGAATGTTTTTGATTTACTAAAAGAATTCTTTTGTTTTTTTTTTTACTTTATCTGCAATATCTCCAGCTGTTGTAGAAGCGTTAACAGTCATTGAAACAACGCTTCGGAGCACTCCCATAATAGCTACTAAAAATACCATAACGTAAAATGTTGTGAAAATAGGGCTGCTGGTCCTCGATAACTTGTCTATCACCGTTCTTAACTTCCATAACAGGAAGAAGAAAAATAGTAAGTTCGGTATTAAAATAATGAGATCCCACACTCTTACTCTGTTTAATGAAAAGATCAACATTAGAGCTTAAAGATAATTGTTAAATTAAAAGAACCTTGTAGAGCCAAGGCGAGCATCTATTAATACTCGGCATGCAGGTTTGGATAATGGTAAATCTGAAGTTGTTGGAATATAGGTTGACAAATCAGAAACGTTCTGTGGTGCCAATGATACATTTGTGAGCGTCATGGTTAAAATCTGCGAATAGACAAGTTAACGAAAGGTAACTCCTACTAATTAAGAATTCGGTAGCCTTACTAATTTAAAAATCTCCTGTTTATTAAAGACATTATACCAAATAAATCTGTAAAATCAGTTTTAAAAACCATCAAGAGACACTTTTTTTTCAATCACATCTCAAGTAATATTCGTTTAAAATCAAGATTTTAATTTACGTCTCTATACGCCTATTGGCGCAAAATGGCCGACAAAACAATAAGTAAATAGCAGACGACATAAAAATGTGGCAATCCAACAAGAGTAGCAAATTGTAATATAAGTTCCCTTTCTCGACTGCTATATTATTAAATATATAATAAATGTGTGTTAAAAAATATTTTCAAATAAAAATTCTATTTATTTATACTGGCTTTTGTCCTTTTAATTACTTTTTTTTAGTACACTTGAGATAAGTTTTTCGAACTAGCGACCTATTGTCTTTTTATAAGATGCGCACTTTGTTCAATGAGTCAATTGTTTTGTTTTAATCTACAGCATCAAACATTCATTTTTTAACATCAGAATGTGTATTAACAAAAATAATGTAATTTGATAGACAAAATATTAAAAAAAAAATGCTTCAACTCATAAAATTTCAGCAATCCATAAACTGAAAACAGATTATTTACATTGGATAGTTTAGCATTACATCTTGCTTTGCCAGTTCCAACAACATAGGATCATCAAAGAATTTATTAATGCTTACGTCCTCACTGAGACCCTTTCTTCTTCTTGTTTTAATCATAAATTCTCGAGCTAAATGGGTAGCTGGTTGGGGCTCAAGGGGTCTAATTACTATACTCTTATCAAGAGGATCACCAGGAACAATCTATGATTAATGAACAAAAATTCATAAAAATATCACAAAAAAAAAGTTCATTATTCACCTGCCAATGATGGAAAACACTCATGCAAAAGGCTTGACCTTGAGTGTAAGTTCTTAAATCTGTTTCAAATCCAAAGGAGTCGATAACAGGAATAAAAGCCTTAATAGCGTAAAGAGGTGAACCCGGTACTGGTGCATCTTGCGTTACATGGCCTCTGTTCGTTAGAGATTGATTTGATTCTTAATTGGATTTAAAATTTTAAAAATTTACCTTCTCTTTGCTATAACGGTGTAAACGGCACTGACGCAATCAGCAGGAGCTTGTGCTTCAACGAAATAATAAGGTTCCATCAGTCTTGGTGTTGCCATTAGAAATGCGGAATAAGCGACTCTTCTTGCTGTTGGAATAACTTGACCTCCTCCTCTGTGAATAGGTTCGGGGGCAACAACGGCATCCAAGATTTTAAATTTACAATTTCTGATTGCTAGAAGATAAAGTCTTAACTTTAAAAAATGATATATTAATATTATATATTGATATGCTTACGTTCTTCACACAACGGTCCTTCTCTTGTTCCCCACTGGAAACCTTGAACTATTGAATCTTTTACAGAGCTTAAAAGAGTTTTATCAACCTCGGATGGTAAGGTATCATCTACTAAAATATTTGGTCCGGTTGTATCAGGACCAAATGCCCATATAGATCTGGCAGCAAGCAAATCCCAATCATATTTCGTTTGAAAAAATTCTCCTAAACGTTTCTTGGGCCAGGTGATTTGTACAATTTCATTTTCGATATCTTCTGCTAGACCTTTTTCTAGTGGTTCTGCAATAAAAGTGAGTTTGTTTCTGAAAAGAGAAATTCGAAATAAGTCGTGTGAAATAACAAACAATGCTGAACCAACTTTTTGTTTGGAGTTTCTGCGAAACATTTCAGAGAAGATGTTTCAACAACAGTTTCACAAAAGCTGACGACAGGATCTGCAACTTTGATGTCTGAAATCAAAAAATAATTATATGGAATCATTATTTTTTTTAACAAGTATCATTACCTATCTCTGAATACAACTTTCTCAAATCGTGCATGACACAATCTAAATACAATTCGCCAGTCCCAAGAATAACATGCTCGCCTGATTCTTCTACCTTGGTTGTCAACAGGGGGTAACTCTTGTTAACCTTTCTTAATCCATCCAACATTTTCGGTAATTCAGATGGATTCACAGGTTCAACAGCAATTTTGACAACCGACGAAGTATTAAATTTTAAAGGTCTAAAGATCATAGCCTCATCATTTCCTGAAACTTCAATTATTGTGCTTGTTTTGACGATCGGAGTGTCGATGCCCTCGATAAGAACCCAGTTACCGGCTGGGACTCGATTAACTTCAATTTTATACCGAGACTCAAACACCCAGAGACGCCCAACTTGACCTTGTCTGGAATCTTCTTCATCCTCCAAAGTATAACTTTCTCCAAGAATTCTGACTTGTTGATTCGCATACAAAGTGCCTGAGAAAACTCTACCAAGAACATGAAATCCAGTAGCATCTTGATTGGGATATAGTTTTACAGTGTGGACCATTAGCGGACCTTCAGAGTCACAATCGTTCATATATTCAGTAAGCTTAGAATCAACAGGTCCTGTGTACAAATGGCGGACTTTTCGTTCAGCATTATGGCTGGGTGACGGTATATGCTCAACACACATCCCAGTAAAACCTGTAAAACTTCCAAAAAATCTATTGCAAACTAATCGGATCAAAGGGCGGACGTTCATTTTCTGCTCTTCCTTATTAAGGTAGATGCCTAATTCAGAGCAAAGAGAGGGCAGACAAGTATCCACGTCCCCAACGATCTGGGAGAAAATCTTATATAGTGGTTCCAAAATGAACTGAACGAAAGTTCTCTGAATGTTGTTTCCAGGTGGTTTTTTGGTGAATTTTCGAGTCTGCTTGTTGTAATAAATATCTCCCCACAGTCTTTTAGCTAATTGATATTCGTTCACACCTCCGTAAGAGTCCGAATACAGTTTAGCATACGATAGTAAAGTGAAAGAAAACCGATAATATGAGCTCGAAAAACACACATTTCCCAACACAGGTGACACTCTAAAGGTATCTCCTTCATCTTGATACATATGAATTAAATTTTGAACCTCATCGATAATATAACGCATTTTGAAATAGGCATCGGAAGGAGGTAGTTTCAACTCTAATATCAATCTGTCAATTTTATTAATGCATAAAGTTATCGCTAATTTTTCCTGAACAGCATGTTTAATTAGTCGTTCAGTATTCATCATAACTCCTTCTGCTGCATCAACAAAGATTACAACGCCATCACATATTCTAAATGCGGCAGTTACTTCATCAGAAAAATTGACGTGACCCGGAGTGTCAAATACATTGACCAAATATGACTTACTCCTCACATCGTCCATTAGAAGAGTTACTGGGGCTGCTTTTATACTAACACCTCTCTCTTGTTCAGTAAACAACGTATCTGTAAATCGAAGATCTTTCCCTTCTTTCTTTTTCATATCAGGGTGAGTTTGCTCCATTAAGCAATCGACAAAACTTGTTTTTCCAGCGTGTATATTCCCACATAAAGCAACATTTCGAATTAGCGACGAACTATCCATCATATCAGCTAAGTATTCTATGCTATATGTGGTTTTTGGTAAATCTTGTTCGAAGTAGGAAAATTTTTTCTTTTTTACTGGCTCAATGATCGGTTGTGTAATCGGTTGAATATCTTCCTCTTGTGTTATTGTCTATAACATTATGATAATTAAATAAGATATTCTAAGTTTAATATTTCTTATACCTCAACTCCGGGTCCATATACTTCTACTGCAGAAGGATAATATTTTTTATCTTCGTGCAAAACTACTTGCATATCTGATGGCTCTTCGTCATCATCTTTTTCCTCTTCCATTTCAACCTAAAATCACCTCATCTTAATAATATATATGAAGATTAATTTTAAGAAAAAATACCTCGTCAGGTTCTTCCCCATAACCAGTTGGTCGTTCTTCTTCTTCTTCTTCAGATTCATCTTCTGATTCAATATCAGGTCCGATGTAATTACCAAATTCGTCATAGAGATCAGTATCCATGGGGAAAGTTTGAAGGTGAAATCTGTTATATATTTGTAATATATTAATAGCATAATTTACGATTGAAATTTCTTATAAATTTTGATAAATAACATTTTATTTCTTTTACACCCATATTATTCAAAGTAATTAACAAGTGAATGGACCAGAAATCGTACCTAATGAGGATACCTTAAATAGCTATTTGTTTGCGATTAAGATATAAAAACGCCGCACGTTCGTTGAGCGATAATGACAGAAATTAATAATCGTTAGCAAATTTTTAAAAACTACGATCCCTATTAGAATTTAAACCTAGAGAAGTCATTATACGAATATGATTACTGCTTAGGCTAAGAAGGAATTAATAATATACGAGTAAATCTATACTTACGATACAAATCGCAGAAAAACCGTCTCTACTCCAAACTTCCGGTACGAATATTTTCGTAATTTTCGTACTTGTGAAAGATAAAAATATAATAGTTAAACTAGGGTCGAAATCTTCATCAAATTACATTACTTAGTTAAACATATAAAGTTAAAATAAAATAAATATTATTATTTTTATAACGTGATAAAGTCCCAAGTGGGGACTCTGAACGTGATGGACTCTTACTATTTGAACTGATTATAAGTACTTATTTCTTCTACAGTATTCAGACCTAAACTAGCGATATTGAAAAGATACATATAATTTTAAAAAATAACTCTAGCTACAATTCAATGCATTCATAAACATGCTTAGTTCTATTTCGTAGTTTTGAGTATTAATTTAAATAGAACAATAAGAAAGAAGCGATTCATTAATACTGCAAATATTTGATGCTTCATTCATCAGTACAGTTGAGATTCATATTTACTATGTGACGGAAGTACGGAAATAAGAAATTTCACATTGTCAAAGCCTAAACATTTCAAAACTTATTGTACTGTAGAACGGAGTTTGGTTAGATATATGCATATACATACTGTATATGCTGTATATATGTAACGTTAATACTTTTATGACAATTCAGCAAATGATACTTTGAACAAATTTAAACTTTAAAAAAAAATGGCGTCGAAACTAGTATCACTTAACAAAAAGTTCACGAAATGTAACACTCTATATTCCGAAAATTCTGTGTTTAGAAACAGTCAGGAATTATTATTTGTGGAGAATATGATAAACTTTACCACATGCAATCGGAAAAGTTACTATTTGTTAAGCTAATAGAAGAGATTAATTATGCCAAACTTTGCGGCCATATTTGTCGAAGAGAATCTAGGGGGCGCCGAATCGAATATTCTAGGCCTAATTCGAATCAATGAGGAATTCTAACGTGAGAATGTCGTCGACAACCTTAGAATCAATTTTAAAAATCTTCGATTTCACAAAAAAACACTCTTTTATCCCTCTTCTAACAGGATGCACAGCAGCGTATCTAGTATATTATTTATTATGGTTGGTTAAGGTTGGTACATTGTTTACTATATTTTCAACTGTAAAATATCAATGGAAGGGCAATAATTTTTATAATTCTATCCTAACAGAGACCAATTATTGCCGGTAATTCGACCAAGAAACGCTTTCTCTTGGAGCGAATGCCAATTTTAAAACGAAAATTTTGGCCGACAATTTGGTGTACCGGATATAGGCTTCAAACAATAGTCAGAGCATTTCTTAAAACCGTTCCTCCAATAAAATTCGAAAGGGAAATAATTCAGTTAGAAGACAAAGGTGAAGTAGCTTTAGATTGGCTCGAATTTGAAGATAAAGAGAAGAATAAGCCCATAGTCCTTATTTTGCCAGGTTTGATAGGTTAGTTACTGTAACAGTTTATCACGTGTTAGTAAAACGCACTTTAACCTGAACTTTTCTATGACCTTATTAAATAAATTAATTATACGGATATCACTTTTAGGTAGCAGCGATGAAAGCTATTGCAGACATTTTGTTCAGCAGGCCTATAACAAGAAAGTGACATCCGTAGTTTTCAATTACAGAGGAAATGGTACGTAAAACATTGCCGATTCATGAATATTTGTAATTTATTACGTATAAACGTCACAGGAGGATTGACACTTCGAACAGCTAAAACTTATTGTGCCACCCATACTGATGATCTAGATCAAGTCATAAAACATATACGTCGTCGAAATCCGGACCATGATGGAATACTTGCTGCAGGGATATCTTTGGGCGGTCTTATATTAACCAACTACTTAGCTAAAGTGGGAAAAGATTCTGGCCTAAAAGCTGCATTTACGGTTTCTGCCGCCTGGAATGTATTTGAATCGTGCAAAGAGTTAGAGCAACCAATAAACTGGTTTGTCTTTAACCGATTACTAGCTGAATCTCTAGTATCTAAAGTTAAAGCATATGCTCAACTTTTTGAAAATGAGTTTGAAGGAAAACTGGACTTGAAGAAAGTCTGGAATGCGAGAACTATTAGGGAATTTGACGACTCTTTTACTTGTAGGCAATTTGGATACTCAAGTTACGTGGAATATTATGAAGATGCATGCATCTACAACAAGCTACATCGAATTAAAATACCATTACTCTGTCTCAATGCTGCTGATGACCCTTTTTCACCAGCACATTGCATTCCAATTGAAGAGGCAAAGAATTGTGAGAATGTTGCAATTGTTGTAACAGCTAAAGGTGGACATATTGGTTTTATGGAAGGTCTATGGCCGACCGGAGCAAATTATATGGATTCAGTATTTGCAGAATATATTAATGCAATATTCCCTGCAAGTTAATACTCTTTGCTGCTGATATCATTTTTTTTACCTACAACGTGTACTTATCCAGTCACATGAGAATACTTTCAATTAACGATAATTACTTTTTCAACAGCGTTCACTAAAAGGTCAAATAGACATTTGAGGTAGTTAACGGTTCTTGGTAGTACTTAAATCTTGTACTTATCTTCCTGTCAGATGGAAAGGTAATGCTTTATGTGCTTATTAGCTATTTTTAAATCTCTAAAACAATGATACGATTCTTCGTATATCATATATATAAAATTTTATTTTATCTTAATTAATAAATTATACAAACTATATCTTTCTTTTGAGTTTGACAAAGTTTTATTGGATATTAAATATATAGGCTTGTAATAATATAAATAAAGTTATTTCATATTTGTTATTAGACGATTATAAAGAATATAATTAAAAGTTTATTACATATTTATAAAGAGTTTGTTAAATAATATTTATTTGATAAGTGTGCACCCATTTAAGTGCTCTCTATTTCTTAGGAGCGATAATACCTTCCAATTGGGTCTACAAGGAATATTAGTATTAATAACATACTTAATATTTGAATATTACTTACTTTTAATTGTTGATTGGTTCTTTTCAGGAAGTTTATCTCTTCTGAATGTTTCTTTTCCTCAACTGATCTTTGTTCAGCAGCTCGCTTTTCGATTTGTTCGCATTTTGCTTTAAGATCATTAACTTGTCTTTCAAGCTCACGTTTATCTGTTTCCAATTCTGCAATTCTTCTCTCCATATCGCTCTTTCCTTGTTCGGATTGCAGAGCTTTTCTCATTCCAAAAGCGACACTTGATTCATAAAGCGTTTGATAAGCTGCTATGGTCATTCTGATTTCATCGCGAACTCGTAGAAGGATTAAACCTCTTTCTGCACAATTTATTGTGACTTCTCTAATCAGTTCATCTAAAATAAAGTTATAATATTATATATTGTTTTCATATGTTACAGTATATAAATTATTTTTACCGAAACATTGGCTGTAAAGTTCTCTTCTTACAGGGCAAATACCAGTTTCTCTAGCTTGTCTTTGCTGGAGTCTTTTATCCAGCTCTTCTTGGAGATTTACTACATCTAACCTGGTTGCAGGAGTGCTGGAAACTTGTTGAACCCATAGTTGACCACCTTCAGTCCATTCTCTAGTGGTTTAATAATGAAAGCAATATATTAAAATGATTTTACACACAAATCAAAGTTTGTTTTCGTTTCTTGGTAAAAGCCCTAACAACTGGTAAATAGTTACCTTGGTGGTAAAATTGAATTTAATATTTCCTCAGTTTCCCTATTACTTTTCGAGTCGCCTCCTTTAGATTTTGGAGGAGGGCTGGGGACAGGGCCAGCAGCTTGTGTCTGACCGGGACTAACTTTCAGAGCTCTAGCCTTAAAAGTAACATTTAAGAGTTAAAAAAGCCGCTTTTTTTAATGTTCTGCTGAAAGAAGAGACCGAAGTACTTACTTTAGGCGTCTTCTTGTCAGTATTTCTACTGACAAGGACAGGGTTATCATATTTAACAAGAGACGCGTTTGGTGGAATCATCACTGTTTTTCGCTTCTAATGTCGCTATGGAAACTGCGCATGCGCGTTAGATTTAAAGTATGGATTAGGAAACCAACTTAAAGTGGCTGTGTAGCATTTTCGTAAAAATAACGCTTTGATTGTCAATATATCTGTACTTAACATTTTTGGATATAACCTTTAAAATTTATACTTATTAAATTTTCTTTTTAAAGCGGCGGAATTTTTTTAAAAAAATAACACGCGTAGAGGTTCTATAAGAAGTAGTCCCTGATGTTTTAACCTGCGCGGCACATAGTATAAACTACCATTAACAAGGAATATCTAAACTTGAATATCGGAAGAAGTCATATTTGGAATATGTCAGCAAGTGTAAGTAGAAGAAAACCTCGGCGATTGGGTCGAAAGTCACCGCTTATTGGTCGTTTTACGTCTGAACGCTTTGGTGATTGGCTGCCTTTCAAGATGGCCGATGTTCATTCGTTCAATCAAAATTTTTTACAATTTAGGCCTAATTTTGAGTAATTCTAACTTTTTCAGTTAACTTTAGACTTCTATGCATATAAATTGTGCCATAGGAATATTCTGTAAATATAAAAACAAGTCCGGTCACCTTCTCCATTCTAACGATTTTTTCTCATTTTCAAATGTCAATAAGTAATGCTTATAAATCTAAACAAAGTTGTCAATCATGCACTACTCGCTTTAAATACTAGGGAAGGGGCTGAAATTATTGAGCACTATTTAGACTTTGAATAATCATTGGCTATTTCTTTTGAAATATTTTTTAGGCAAATTATATAATTGTTAATATGACTATTATAATCTTACAAAGGCAATATAACAAATATATAAAATATAATAGAGAAGCCTTAAAAGGTTGCTAATCAAACAAATTTATAACACAGATCGAAGTTAGTGGTGGAAGTGAGAACTCACTCACATATATGCCTCTGGCCAATGCTTCAGTTCCTGTTCAACATGGTTCCGCAAGTGGACAAGCACAGATCTTTCAAGTCAGTCAAAATGCACAGTTAATATCAGCTAACGGCCAGCAAATATGCGTTTTACCCACTGGAAATGGAAATCAAATCCAGTCAAACGACGCAGTTCAACAAATTATTGTACAAGCAAACCAAGTTAATCAACAGCAAATGGTCATCCAAAATTCGACAACAGGTTTGTTTACCGAAAAAGTAGTGTGAGAAAACATAATAATAACTTGTTGATAATTAACTCTAGCAAATACTTCAAATTCTTCAACGCTATCTTCCGAAGTAGTTGCAGAAGAGGAACCCCTTTATGTTAACGCCAAACAATACAATAGAATTTTAAAAAGAAGACAAGCTCGTGCTAAATTAGAAGCCGAAGGTCGTATTCCTAAGCAGAGGAAGGTAAGCCAACCAATCTTATTTATAAATAAATAAAAGGGTGCATGAACTCTACGCAATATGTAACTGAAAATTTTTCTAGCTTACTATATACTATGTTTACAATTATTTTTCTTTATGTTTCATAGAAATATCTACACGAATCTCGCCACAATCACGCAAAGAATCGTCAGCGAGGAGAGGGCGGCAGATTTCATACCCACGGCGGAAAAGGCAATGATAAATCCGATTCAGAAACAGTTTTACAGTTAAAGCCTGATAGAGAGTAAACATTTATAAGTAGTTTACATGTACATGTTGATGTTTTATTAATTGTTTTTTTTTTTCGTATTGAATCTTAAGAGACGTCTATTTCATATTTCAATTTCTATACAAACTATCTATAATCAATAGTTTCGATTAATTTATAGAGTTAAGGTTCAAGCAAATCTCTACTAATCTACTTTTCACAATCAATTTAAAGCAGACATAAATTTTATTATTATATTAATATTTATCTTTTTATGCAGCATCAGTGTTCAATTACTACTACAAAGGATTTTCGTGCTATTATAAATCATGCTAAAATTAATAGCACACAACACGATTGATAGTTAATAATTTCAAAGACAGTACAACTTAGAAGATTATTTTTTATAGGTAAACTGCATTCTAGTTAAAGGTTATAAGAGACATCGATAAATATGGTATAAATCAAAATTCCTTTAACACAAAATATTAATATCAAAGGTTTTTGTTTATGGCCAAGAAGTCTCAATATATTATTTCCTGGCACACAAATATTTAATATAATTGTTTTTTTTTTGTTTAAAACAAACACTCTCCTCTTTGTTTTACTGACGAATCGGATTTTCTTGTCTGTTTATGAGCTCGTCGACAACAGCGTCTAAATTAGTGTGCTTTTTGAGGAGTTCTGAATTTAGTTGTCTATTTGCAAAGCCCATTGCTATCAGATTATCCATATCGTCTCTTTTAGCGTCCTCTCTCTGTGTTATCCACTCTTCGTCGGTAACTGGTCGAATTTCTGAAGTTTTAGGCGGTGTCCAGCTGGATCGGGGTGGAATGTACTGTTACGAATAGAAAAATGTTGAAGTAAATTTGTTATGAAAGATTGATAACTGACCGCTTGTTGCGCCTGAAGGGTTTGGAATACATTTTTCGTTGTTCCAACAGCAGCTGACGCTGCCCCTTTGGCTACTTTATTTAAGACGCCAATTGCTTTCTGATAGAAGGCAGGTCTGAAAACAAAAAGCAAAAATTATTTATAGGGAGAGCAACTACTTAGCCTATAGATATCTTACTGATTTTCGTTTTCCGCCACTTCATCTAAATTAGTATTCTGACTTGGTTCTGGTAAATGAATTTCACATTTCTCAACTGTTACATCAACTGGTGTATATTCTGACGAAATCTCTTGAGCATCAACAAAAATAGCTTCTTCATTATTTGTTTCTTCCTCATCCAATATTTCCGATAGCTCTTCTAATTCTGCTGATGGTGGGGGAGCAATTTCTGGCTCAAGAGTTTCTAATTTTATGTGAGATGACACAGCTAGTATATCATCAACAGTTTTCTTTTCTATCTCAACATTAGTAGTTATCGGTTTGGTAACGTCAAAGCAATCGGGCATTGGTATGATTAGAAATTCGCTGTCTATACTTGAGGTTTCTTCCTTGTCATCTTCATTAGCTATAGACTCTGGCTGTTCGTCAGTGTCAACTAAATTTTCAATATACTCAAACGATTGGTTTAAAAGTGGTATTTCCTCTTCCAAACAAGAAGAGTGATCTGAAGGTGATGGTACGACAATACTGCACCAGACTCTCTTTCCAAACTGTTCACCATGCCTTGTCAAAATCCAATGACAAGAGTAATGTCCAGGTTCTAGTGGTGCTTGGAGATCTACTTCAATCACTCCAGAGTCTTTAGGTTTCACTGGTCTGACTGAGAAATTTGCTTGCGTCGCGGGCAAATTTCCATACAAATAAGTTATAGCGACTGAATTATCCCATTCCTGCTCCCCAGTATTTAAAACAACCCATGCCTTAGTAAATTCTGTGCCTGGTAAAACCTCTGTTCCATCTGGATGAGAACAATCCCCGATGAAAAATGCGTCAAGCTTGTGATTAGTCTTTCGAATAAAATCAGAGCTGTTAAGATTCACCCTGCGTCTTCTTAAACAAGGGCTGTTTTCTATCTGGCTTTCGCAAGATTTCTTCTCTAAATGAAATTCAGTGGAGGCTTGTCTTCTCTTTTTCATCTTTTTAGTTCTAATCTCGTATAAATTTCTTTTCAACAATGGTTTCAGATTTCCGAAACGATCCCGCTTCAAAGCCGAAAAAGGTAAGGGTATCTTTAGTTTTAAGAAGACGTGGCTATTCAAGTGAATCTGTTCGGAGAATTCTTCGCATCTCAGACATAAATTATAATTGGCGCAATTGGCGCATTTGAAGTAGTTTCCAATTATGAAACACTGGCAATTGTCACAGACAACATTCGCTTCTTCTGAGTAATCATCTGTAGGTTTCATGTCAAACAAGTCTATTGCAGATATTTCTTGATCAATATTTTTGTGGTAACCATTTTCTTCTGCAGTTTGCACCTCTACGGATCTAGCTTTCTGTAAACTTTCTCTTTTCATCAGCCTCTCAAGACGAATCATGTATTTTTCCATGCTGCTGTGAAACCATTCGGGTTCATCAACAGAAGAATTAGTTGGTTCGATTGTTGCTTGTGAGGCAGAGTCTTCAGTTGTCACTTCAGTCATAACGCATCGTGAAACATTACTTTTTTGTTCTAAATCGGATAAGTTAGCTTGAATTTCCCTAGGATAAACAAGATAGTAAGTGTAAATGACAAACCATGATAATTAATTTAAAAGGTATACTCACTTCGATTCTGTTAATTTTGTGTGATCTTCCTCGAATGAAATAGCACAATTTAACTCAGAATCCACTGGAGTTATAGGTGGCGGAGGAGTGAGATGCAAAGCACTCATTTCTTCTCTTAAGCTTTTTAATGCAGTTTGATTACTATGAATTTCATCTATTCTTTTTTCTGATTGATTTTTGTAATAAACAGACAAAGGATCGTCAAAATTAGCCGCAACGATTCTAAAATGTATAGAGTTCGACTCCTTTGCGATCTATTATATATGGAGAAAATTTTGCAAAATAATGTAAGAGTATACATTCAACAAATTTTTAATATCTACCTTAAATGTCTGTTGAAATTCTTCATTTGATGAAACTATTACCTATTGAAAAAAAAAAATTTTCTAATTAAGACATCTTCCCGCATTGTGAACTACAATATTCAATATTTCTTTTTATAAATAATAGGACTGCAGTGAAAACTATAATGAGAGAGTAATAAAGATCTTAAATATAAAATTATATAGATATTAAATATAAAATATTTTTTGAAAATTCCTTTGTTTAAAGTAGTTAATTCATTGAATGATATCGTCGAATCGGTGTACATGAGTCACAACAATCAACTTTATCTGAGTCATAAGAGAATTCTCTGCCCATCAGGTAAACACGTACTTTAGGAAAGTATCTTTCCGTAAATAATCTTGTTAGCTAAATATTGACTGTTGGAGTTATTTGTATAGAAAACTAGCCCTTATAAGTGCTACAACATGGAATTATATTTTATTGCGCAATTAACCTCTTCATTTTCATCGTCGAGGTAGTACACTCTGTAGTTTTCGCATAGCAGCATACAGCAGATCTGAAATGAAAATTAAAGTGATTTTAGATATAGTTTGCATGCATTGCACAACTAACAATCATTCTGAAGTCATCCCAAGTCATAGAAGAATCCAAATCAATGACTTTTTGAATGTTGTCTTGATCGCCGTCATACTCAATAGCTGCAGTAATTGTGCCATTCATTTTGATACTTTAAAACCTTTTCCTGCGAATAGTCGAAAAAAGAACGCTTATCAATTCCAGTTTAAATTATAATTAAGCAATCAAATTTTCTCTTAGCGTCTATAAATAAAATGGCGGCGGAATGTTGATATTTTGACCCTGCCACAGCTTTAACGCTGCGAGAGAAAAAGTAGTTCGAAGGTTATAAAAAGTTCGTTTAAGATTTTTAGAAAATACTAGAAATCTATTGGCAATTAAATAAATAAAAACAGTTTATTTTTAATTTTGTATTGGTCAAATCGAAATTATTCATAATTTAACCACTTCTCTAAAAAGAGTATTTCTGCGCGTAAATTTTTAAATCATAATAAAAACAAAAATTAGAGCTTTTAAAAAAGTGTGAAATTTTTGATAATAAATGAAGGATCTTAATATTTTTCTTTATATTATAACACTAGACAGAAATCCAGCTCATATAAATGATTATGTAATCTTTATTAACTTTTTTATTTACCAGTTGTTTTGTAGAAATATTATGAAAGAACCTTTTCTGTGGGGAATTAATTAAAAAACATAAAATTCTATTTACCAGTGTCAAACGAAATAAAATAACTTTATAATCCTGTCTATACGCTCTGAGCTTTTAAAATAAATAAGGGATATTCAAGCGATATCGTCCCAACAGTCACAATCCTATGACTTATGACTAAGAAACTTTTTCTAATTCCATGTATGATAATGGCGTAAATGATTAAATTATTACGAAATTTTGTAAATATTACAAAATAATTCAAGTTTTTTAGGCGTGTTTAAATTGACGTTTGTGTAGAAGAAAAAAAGGAGGAATAAATAGCAATACTGTGAGTAGAAATTTTGTTCTCTGAAAATAGTATTTGAAATATTAGGCAGGTGGCGTTATCTGCTTCAATTTACCCATAGGGGTTGTTTTAATAAATTGAATTATGTAAAATTTGATAATGGAAGCCAGTAGAATATAATTAATTATTTTTCAATAGAGCTTTTCTATAAAAATTCTATAGTAATATTCAAAAGACAATTAGTCAACTTTAAAGAGAAAGTCGCCATTTTAAATGAATAGTTGTAGGACTACTAGATCTTTTTTTTTTAAACTTTATATTTATAGATATTTCAAGTACTTTTGGTTTGTCATAATGAGTTTGTAATACTTTTCTCTTTTTTTGTGATAAATTAAAAACATATGCGTTTCGTAGTTTGTACTTTGTATATACTAACGTTATTGTCCACAGAATAGTTATTTACGATTAGAATTAGAAAAGAAGAAAGGAAAAATTTTAAATAGATAATATACAGTAAATGATATATCTCTTTCTTCTTTGTACATCTTTTAATGATTTCAATTGAATGATATAATCTTTATTTTGATTTACAGAATTGCAATAAAAAAACAAAAACAGTCGAAATCTAATTTCCTAGAATGTTATTTCCTTTTTCTTTTGTTTCTATTAATTGATTATATCATTTTAAAGAGCATTTGGAATTTGCAAGTTAATATTGTGCTTTATAGCTCGTTAATTAATTTTTTAAATAATAATTAATACAGTTTACAATATTAAATGTTTGCAAGATATTTTCTTATCAATTAAAATTAGAGACAAAGTTTAAATCTATCTTTTTTTTATTATTTTTGTTGTAATAGTAGATACGATTTTATAAAGATAATACCTTTAACTAAGTGACTATTTTATAAATTTACTTATATTATAGATAAAACTGTTGATTCTTGAATGAAGTACGTATTTATGGTTTTTCTGACTACCTTTACCTTCAAATATATATAGTCAGATAGTAGAAGATATAGTATAAAAGTTGTTTTTCTTTTAATACGAATATTATAACATAGTTTTTTCACATTGGCACTTTCATTGTTTAAAGTCGGTTCTTCGAAAAATCCTTTTAAATTGCTTTTTAAAGTCACCTATGTTCGGCTCGAATGAATCAATTTCAGGGTCAATGAATAATTTTGGAAAACTTTCTCTAGCTTTTATATAATCCATAGCAGTACCATCGTTTAAGATGACCTTTCCAGAGCATGTTGCTTTGGAATAATTTACACAAAGAGAATCTTTATTTTTGCTTGTTTGAGAAAAGAGTAATCCAGAGGAGCAGTATCTTCGATGAGCCAGACCATTTAAACAGTAATAATAAATATTGCAATATATCGGATCAGCATAAATTCCATTAAGTGGCTGAGAATTGTCAGATAATGGACAGTGGAAGTTTTGTCCTGATGAAGTTTGCAGGTTGACTACAAGGATTAATATGTATATAAAAATATATATATATACTGTATATATATAGTATGATTTCTATTCATTTTTAGCAAACAAACTTACTTAAAAAGAGAACTATTAAGAGTTCTAGGGAAATGCCCATTACTATCTGTTTTCATCAGACGCTCCAGAGCATAAAGAATACTTATAATAATCGAAAAAAGTTCTTATATCATACCTGGATATCGGATGACTTATCGCATTCAATCAGTATACAATCACATGATACAAATAATTCGATTGATAACGGCTAACCTAAATATTTCTCATAATTTCTAATAATTCATTTCTTTTTGAACTTTTTGAACTTTTGTGTGTAATTTAGGGTTATAGATGTATTGGAGGATATCTAATGAATATATTCAAGAATGAATACGTAAATATTACATTAATTGAAAGCATATGGGTAATATAGGCCTGCAAAGAAATCTTCAAATGATGCTTTTTTTTTAAAACTTGTATTAGTCATTCGTCAGTGTCTTTCTTGTCCTATAAATTTGGAAAGAAATGTATTAACTGACATCAAATTCCAAAAAAAGACTATTATATTAAAACCTAAAGATATAAGATCACATTTAAACTTGAGTTTTTTATGTTGGTCAATCACATTATCCTATTAATAAACCTATAATTTGACAAGGTCTTTCGATGTGCATCTAGTATTTAAAAGTATTTCAGTATATCGCTCAGTTACGAAGGACGGAGGAAAGTTATGGAGAGCAGTAGATTAAATGTTTTAAATAGTTTGGAAAAGATCATAGCAGATGTACGTGAAAAGGAAACAAATGAAAATGAGCTTATATCTGAAGAGCTATTGGATAGTTTAAATACAGAAATGACAAATCATTTAAATGAAAATATACGGAAAGATGTGAATAGTTTACTAGAAACCAATTCGGATAATTTATCCAGAGATGAAAGTGTCCGTACAAACTCCGAATATACATTTCAATCAGTTAATTATAGATCATTAAATGAGAATAGTAGGAGATTAATGTATAATAATAATTCTTGTTCTAATATTTCAACATCAAATAATTTGAATTCATACGGATATGGTAACCGTCCTAATTAATTCAAATACATTAATGAGGCAACTCTTAAATAATAATATACTTTTTATCAGGGAATCAATGGTTATTATGGAATGCTATTTTGAGCTTTCCAATAATTAAGGTCGAAAGAACAGTCAACTTCGATTCGGGAGATGAGAAAGTTGATTTAATGTTTAATAAAGTTTGGTTAAATGTCAGTAATTCTTGGGATGTTGCTAATAGCCAATTTCGCTGTAACATCTCTGGTACGTTTATGGTTCGAATTAGCGTTGGTATTCAAAATGGTCGGAAATTTAATCTGGAAGTAATAACTAATAAAAAAATTGTTGGGAAACTATCCAAGCTTAAAACAAAAAGAACAGACTACACCTCAACATCTAAATTGTTTCTGGTTAAGATGACTCAAGGTGATATATTAAAAGTACGCGCTTCCCATGCAATATCTGCAATGGATGGTAAAACTTCACTAAACCTCTTTTACATTTATAACAATTAGATCTATAGTTATTGGTTATTTTGTTTCATGTACATTTATTAATCCTCAACTGCTTGATAATTTAGTAGTTTTCTTCTTTGAAAGCTGAAAAATGGCATATTCTGAAATAATTATTAGTTCTATAATTAGGTCTATTAATCATTGAAATATGATTAATAAACTTATTATATTTATTATTATAGAAGGATAATATAAAATTGAATCTTCTTTCATTGTAGAGTAATTTATAACAGGAAAGTTAAGTTTTAAAAAATACAAACCATTATTTCTCCACCAACCTACATTGTTGTTATTTCAAAGGTGTTTTATTTTTATCTCTCTCTCTCTCTCTCTCTGTGTAATACGATTAAATAATACACTTTGTCCGCCAGTTCTATATTTCCATTTGGCTATACAACACAAAGAGTCACTTTAAAATGTATTTAAGACATAATTGTTAGAAAAAAATCAACCGAGTAATTATAGGGTATGTGATATTTTTCCATTTAAGAGAGGCAGAAAAAAAGCTTCTCTATTTATGCTTATCTATCAATCTTAATTGGAGTGATCATACGTAGAGCTATATTAAATCCTTAGTATATAGTTGAACTCTAAAACTACAGGAACAAATAACGATATCTATAGTATTATTAACATATTGATTTTTATAAAAAATAATCTCTCTCGCTCTCTCTATCTCTCTATCTCTGTCTTTCTGTGTTTAATATTTGAAAACTGTAACAATTTAAGAAATAAATGACCATATTTTATTATTTTATTTGCGATTGTGTCCTCTCTTTTGTATTCTTTAATAATATCAACCTATTTAAAATCTCTTCAGTAATCTAATTATCTTATCTATAATTTGAAATCTTAAGCTTACAGTTTAAATAAATTTTAGAAATTTATTTAAATCTTTTGTTTCTTTCAAACTTTAATTGTATCGGATCTTATTTATTCATTTCCCTTAATTGTTTCTTTACTTTAACATATTAAGATAAAAATGCATTTTTTTAAAAATATGTTTGTTCTAATTCTTTGAAATTATTAACTGTTATTTATACTTGACCTAATTCGTTTCTTAATTTGGCAATAAAAGTTTGTATATATTTCTAAAAATTTTGGCAATAGATGGCGACATTTATAATCGTAAAATTTTTACCATTTTTTTGCACCTGTATAATTACAGAGTATATTGTTAAAGTTGATAAGATATTTCAAAGCAAAGGTTACGTGTATAGGGGTTTTTATTCCCTAATTATAATACATATGCCTTTTTTGAAATGAATAGGGATTATTTATGATCATATTTTAAATGTTTATGAATTTCTTTATGAATTGCTCAAGTTTATTTTAGTACAATTAATAAACTTATTAAGTAAGTTTCATTTCCGGTTGAGATCTTATGAATGAAAGGGATCTCTTAAAAAAAAATATAATAAGAAATGCTCGCGGTTAGGTGACGTCATGTTTAAGAGCTCAACCAATCAGCTTCGTTTTCCAGCTCGTTTTTAGTCAGTTGTTCGAAAACAGTTGAGAATTGATCTTGTTAACGTGGAAAATTGAACTGAAAACTATAGAAAAACAAACATAAGAACAACTTTGACTCTTTTATCTTCTTCTTGCCTTTAAGAATGCTGATATGCAAAAGGATAATTTATACGATCAAAACAGTTGGAAAAACCGTTTGTCAAGTGTCTTTAGAACAAAAAAGAGAAATGAAAAACAAAGGTTTGTCTTATTTTTAACTATGCACACTATGCTATTGATATATGATAATTGTTTTAGCGTAGTAACTCTGTATTACGTAAGATATTGAAAAACAGAACGCTTTGAAGGTTAACAAAATACAAGGTCATATTGATTTCGTAATAGTTTAGCTTTTTTAGTTATGGGTGATACATACCTTTATAGGATAAAAAGAACTATTTACAATACATTATTGGTTTATAAAGAGAGTATCCTTATACTGATTACTGTATAAAATCTTTTATGTGCCAATAATATTCTGTTTATACTTACAAAATAATACCTCAAATACATCAATGTCATAAAATAAAACTAATGAACGAATAGTCAATAAATTGAGGTTTTTAATGTCGCATTAAATGAATTTTACCACAAAGCTTCTGTTGTAAGTATAACCGCCTACCCCACCTACTCAATTCCCCCCCCCCTACCCTTCCTCCCTCCCTCCTTCTACCAAAAAATACTTATATCTTTGTTTATATAGGAAATAGTTGCGTTAATGTCTGTAATAACGGTATTAAAAAGAACAGATTATTATCATTATTAGATATATTTGTGTTGCATTGAAAGCCAGACTTAATCCGATTCTTTCTCTAGTTTGAAAATTTTTTCCTTTTTCTCTCTCTCTCTTTCTCTCCTTCTATTTTTCTATTAATATTTGTATTTTCCTCTTTTCTTCCCTTTTTACTATTGAATAATAAGGAAAAAACTACAAATTTTATTAATCATCTCTTCTTTTGTTAACAATACAATTTTATGAAAATGGATAAATATAATTCAACAAATTGGTAGAGTTTTTGAATAGTTTCAGTATTATACTGTTTACTCAATTATTTATTTATAATTGTATTGATGGACTGTCTCTAATGACTGATGATATTTTACACTTCGTATACTTTGTTGTAAAGAAATAAAAGAAAGGGGAATTTAAGAATAGGATGACGTGACACTATAATTTGTTTTTAATAAAACTATCAGTTCCCTCGTTTATTTTAACTTAAACTATTCTATCTTGGAAAGGAAAACAGCTGTCATTGACGGACAGACGGTTTAGTAGAAATCAAATTATTCACGCGCTAAGACTGCTTAAACGTACTCTATTCAGTTGTTACGTAATTAACTCCAGGTGTTTTGTTTGCATAGGAAAACAGAGGATAATGGAATGAGTCAGAATATTAGCGCTCAACCGATAGAAGATTTTTCGCAATATCCATGGTTCTATTCAGGCGTTCCCAGAGAAGTGATTTTAGACTATTTGTCCCAACAGGAAATGGGATCTTTCGTTATAAGAGAAAGTACTTCTGAGTTGGGTTGCTACGCTCTTTCATTGAAGGTTAGTACACAGCATATATCTCTATATATCGCATGAATATGACACTATAGGGCTACTAAATTATGTAACATTAGTCATCGACTTGAATAATACTAATATCTACTTAGCGTTTTTTGAAAGAACTTATCTATATCGTTTTTAAAAGCATATTGATGTATATAAACGGTTTTTTAAAGCCTACAGACGACCACCCATTTATAATTCCGTTAAATATCTTGGTATTAATTGTAAGGTGAAAAGGCTGGCAAGCCAAAAACAAACATTGAATTAGCCGATTGCATATGAGAATTTTCATTGTTAGACTGGATACACTAACTAAAAAGACTACTTAGTATAATATATAGCTAAAACTATGAACTAAACAAGTTTATTATGTTAATGTACAAAGTTTGTTTGTAGAAATGATCAAATTACCCTTAAAGCTATGTTTGTCTAAAGCTCTTAAAAAATAATTTCATAATGTAAACATAACTGAAACAGTTTTTCTAAAAGCGGTTTTTCCGTAATTAATTCAAAAAAAATTTATTGATATATTGACAGGTTCCAAACTACGCAGCCGGTCCCGGCGAACCACGTTTTAAGCTCAAGCATTACCTTATCGACAAATCACCTTCGGGTAAATATAGACTTCAGAAAGGACCTGACAAAGAATGGGCTACTTTGGCGTCGCTCGTTACTCATTTAACGGTTTTAAAGGAAGTGCTTCCGCTGGAACTTCGATTGCCGAAAATCGATAGGAATTTACATAATCAACCAACCGTCCAACCAGAAATAAGAACAAGTCGAAGGATAAATAGTTCAGGTCAATTCGAGGTTCATAGACAAATGAATAATACAGGAATAAGTAGAGGATTTTCTAAATTAACTCTTGCAAATCGTTATTAAAAATAATTTAAAAAAAAATCTGACCTTTACCTTTTCATTTGAACTGAATTGAAAATATACTGATTTTGTTTGTTTGTTTATTTTACACGAATAATCGAATGTATTCATTAATATTCATTAAAGTAAATTATATTATTAAATATATACAATGTTTATAAAATCAATGAAAAATAACAACAACAATAAAAAGAAATGAAGAGAAAAGAAGTTCAAATTAAAAAGAATGTATTATAATAAAAAGAACATGCCACCTTAAAACGCGTCAAAAATTGTTTCTGTAAATAAATCTTTTCACAAATCTGTACTAAAAACGGAAACTAAAAGTATAAAAAAAAAAATTCTATTAAATTGCATTCTACTAATCACCGTTGTCCAAGTCCGTCAATCTCTTCATTGTATTGCTGTCGAATAGCAAAGAAAAGAACTTCCCTTAACATTCCAAAGACATAGGCCTAGGATGTAAGGATCAACCATATCGCGTACAGAAATTCATTATAAATAAATAGCTTTTTAGAGAAACAAGTTATTTTTATTGGTTTTCTGACATGAAAAGACAAGATAAAGGAAAAAAGAGTGTATAATCATTTATTTTTCCTCTTTTATTCTTTCCATTCAGTCTATCTTCTTTCCTTATATTAAAATTACCTAATAATTATACGAAAACATATTCAAAGATTCTAATTATTTTCTCTTAAATCAAACAAATCTAAATGCCAAAAAAACAGCGTTAACGACTTATCAATTTTGTTTAAACTATAAGTAAATAGTTTATGGTAATTAGTAACCTAGATTAAAAATGCCGAGAAGGCGTGTCAGATATCAACCATAAATTATAGCTTCATTCATTTTTGTTTATCAACCAATAATGATGCAATTCTCTTTTCTTCTTCACCCATAAGCTATAATATAATGTGGAATATTAAATTTTTATTTATAAAGAAATAGATTGTTTCGGTAGTTCAAAGAAAACGTTAGTTTGATAAAAAGAGAAGAAAAGGGTAGTAAAAATATTTTATAGTAATTATAAAGCCACTTATTCTTAACTTATCATTTTTCCATATTATTCAGTAAGAAATTCAAGTATAATCGTTAAATTGGATAAAAAAAGAGCTAAAACAAAATTCGTGATTACCCGTGGGAATAGCCCTCAGCATATATCATTCGAAACAAATAAAACTTCAGCGTCTCGGTAAAATAACTTCCTTCGAAGTAGAACTTTATAAGCTCTATAGATTTGACGCATTTCTGCTTCTCTTCTATTTAACTGCTCTTTATCCAGAATTCGTATATAATCGGTCGTCTATATAAAAACATGTTACTTGCTATGTTATTAACAATCTGTGCTTGCAACTTGCAAATATATTTGCACATCACTATCCAGTTGATCCTGCTCGGAAAATTAATCTGTAGAGGGATTTGGAATGATTGATTAGATTGTTAAGAATGGGACCTAGGTCATTTCAGGGTTACGAACGTTTTATTAGACTTGAATATTAGTAGTAATATTTTGACAAGTATAGAAGATCTATTAACTTAAAAAGGTAAGTCTTTTTATAATGAAACACTAAAGTTTATTGATTGTATTGTTAAATTTTTATAAAACGTAAAACGTAACAATTTCTGAATTTAGTTTAACATAAATTTCTTTAATTTCTATTTCCGTTTGAAATGATCAAACAACTTTGGATCGGAAAGAAAATCCGGATTTTTCATCGTGTAACCCATATAACCTTAAAAAAAAAGATTTTTAGATGCAAATAAATTCACGTACTTCAAAGGGTTATATAATTAATTACCAGCTCTCCTTGACATTCTTATCAACTTGGCGATTCTTTTTTGCATATAAATACACAGTCCGGTTACACTTCGATTATATATTCCTCCCGTATATGGTGAAATAAATTGACTAAGGAGTCTAGCATTCTGTCAAGGGGTACAAAAATTAAATTAAGTCTTAACTTTTTTACTATACTAACTTTGTAATCCAATTCTATGTTGTGTTTACATATTATACATCTTTGAGGTTCCTTTTTATATGGATTTTCGATATCGACAAATCCCTATTGATGAAAGCACGATAGTAAAAAATTGATGCGAATATTAAATTATTATACCTTCTCATTTGCCTCTACAGGTTTGTCATCCGTTGATGATGACTTTATATTTTGGTTAGGACAAGAAGTTGAGGCATATGCACGAATAGGATTTGCTGTAGGTAAAAATGTTTTTTTATTTTCCTAATTTACTTGCATTGAATCAGAAGGATTTTGCTCTACAAGAGAGCGATAATACGGCTTTTGTAAACAAGTAGAACAAAAGTAGATTATATACATTTGTTTAAAGTAAATAAAGTATTTTTAAGTTTTTATAAAACTCACTAACTTGTTCTGAGAAAATTTGATCGGGCATATAAAGACAAACTTTGAGAAATTGCTTGTAAACCGCGTGACCGCCAAACCAGCATGGAGGGCGCCATCTTAAACTATGAGCCAATGCAGTTCCATATCTGTGAAGTCCGTAATTTCGCAAAGGATGACGTCGGAATGTGAGGGTAAAATAGTTCAAATTCCGAATAATCCAGCGTCTGATGAAACAGCATCAACACCTCATAACGTAATTAATTTCATACCCAACTCCAAGAGTTGATATTAGTGATATCCACTTCAAAAATACTAATAAATAGCTCATTGATTGAATTGTAGGCTCATGTGGATATCTTGCTGGATGAACATGATGATACAGGACAAAGTTTACAGAATGATAATTTTGGAAGTGAAAATATACCCTCCTCACTACTTAATGCCCTGTTTCCTTTAAACGAACCTTCAACCACGGTTAAGATTTTTATATAAAATCCCTCCTTTTCTACAAGTATATATTGTTTTTATAGAATCTTACACAAACGGAAGATGATGACCCTGTATCACTTTCATCAAATATCAATCAAAACAGTTTTAATGTAAATTCGCCCATTAAACCTGAGTTAGAAAGTCCGATTTGCAATCTCTCTGAAAATTCTACCCATTCAGAACCTATAAATCAAACCACTGTTTATGCACAAGCAGAACCAGAAAATACGCACACCAATTTAATTTCTGAGCCGTCTGAGGACTCAACGCCTAAGAAAGGCGTAAACACGCATGCTTTTGACGACATCCAAGTTGAAAAATCACAAGATATTTTGGTTGGTGAACAGTGCGGGGATTTCAATAATTCGGAACTTAAGAAAGGTTTGAATGCCAACGTAGAATTGGAAAAAGCACAGGAAAATTCAGTTTGTGAACCACTCGAAAGTTTTATTCATTCAGAACCTAAGAACAGCATGAGTGAGAATGAAAATCCTGCTTCTGATAATGCGAAATTAGAAAAGTCACAGGAAAGCTCAGTTTGTAAGCCATCCGAAGACTCTACTCAGTCAGAACCTACCAACTGCATGAGTGCATATGTAACTTCTGCTATTGAACATATTGAAATGGAAAAATCACAGGAAAATACGACTTGTGAGCTATCTGAGAAGTCCACCCATTCACCAATTGAAAATCAAACGGATGTAGATTCCATTCGCCTTCCTTCACAGATGGAATTTGACAAAACCCAAAATGATTTACAAGAAGAAAAGAAAAACAATGCTCAGGAACCAAACAATTTTTGTATTACAACTGATGATAATAGTGAGGCTATTGCGCATGAAGTTATGTCAAAAGAACCAGAAATGAGCAACGAAGAAATTGCAGTGAATAAACTATTAGAGGTTTTAGATGAAGCAAGTTGTGAAGTACCAGAAGCAGACAACAAAGATGTAGTTGATTTAAGAATAGATACAGGAATGTCTGCAGATTACGAAACTCACGTTGAAAATGATAAAAGTGCCGGGAATGAATATGGACAAGGAATTTCAGGTAACATGATGGATATTTTAAATTCTTTAGACCCAGTTTCTTCGCTCAAGAATGACGAAGAGAAAGAAAATAATTTAGAATCAGCGCCAAGTGCAACAATTAGTACCGCTAAAGAAGAGGAGGCTGATGACTCTGATTTACTTAAATCTGATAAAGCCAAGGATAGTATGAGAAATAGGGAAACAACCTTTGAAGATAGAGAAGACAAATCAGTTGTTGAATCAACTAACAAGAAAGAAGAAAAACTTCCAGTTGAATCAACTATACAGGATAATAATTTAAGTATAACACCTACCCTTGATAAGCAGGCTGTAGATAGTTCGGTGAATTCTGATGATGTAGACGATGAAGCTAGAATTAAATTACAAGAACTCCTACATGCCCAGAGCACAAAGATCGCAGAAGAGGTTAGTGGTAACGTTTAATTACGTAATGAAATGTATTTGTAAAACCTTCTTTCTAACCCTTTTAGTCGGATTTCGATGATATTGAAATTAAAGCAGCTCCAACTGTATTAATTACTCAAGATCACAGTAAAGAAGAGAAAGAAGAGTCCATAACAGACAAAACCACTGACCAACAGAGTCCGCCTTGTGCTACTGTTGAATCTAAGGTTATTCTATGAAATGAATATTTTTATCAGTTCTTTTATTTACTTTGACACTTAATAGATTCGAATTGAAATTAATGACAATGCTGTGGAGGAAAATGAATGGAATCAAGTTGACACTGTTGAAGTTGCTGAACAATCAACTGATGGTAAGGTTATTATATTTAAAGACAAATTCAAAAAGGAATGATTAATAACCCTATTTTCCTTTATCAGATGAAACTGAAATTACCTCTAGGCTGGCTTCACCAACAATAACATTTAAAGATGCCGAAAGAGAGTGTAGAAAACTAAATTGGCTACCATATTCTGTATAAAAATTTTTTACTAAAATTACTTGTAGATTGGAAACTGATTACCAAATTTTCTCTGACAGGAAAAAGTGAAAACGACAGTAAATAAGAAAGGGTTCTTTGCCACAGTAAAAAGTCTATTTTGTGGCCCACCGAGTTTGAACAAAACTTTAGAAGAAGATCGATTGTTTATATTTTGTATGGCTGCATGTAAGAAAGGCAGAAAGTTCTATGTAAATTTTTAATTAAGTTTCTATTAATATTTACAGATCAATTCGATAACAATTGTGAAACGCATATACGTGTGCTACAAACAATTTTTAAACTGTTGACTGGCTCTCGTTTTGATTGTCCCAGATATGGAAATCATTGGGAGAATATAGGTTTCCAAGGTACATCAATCATTCTCTTCTCGTGACTTATGAAATATTTTAAATAAATTTGTCACTAGGCACTGATCCATCCACTGATCTTAGGGGAACAGGCTTCCTTGGTCTATTACAAATTCTTTATTTAATGACCTCTCACGTTGACCTTGGACATAAAATTTATAAGCTCTCTCTCCACGAAACTCAAGTAATTGAAATAGTTTATAACATAAACATTTTACTTTTTTTTATTTCATTGTTTTATTGCAGAATTTTCCTTTTTGCGTTATGTCTATAAACATAACTAGAATGTGCTTACAATGTCTCAGAGAAGGACTAATAAACAAGTAATTTATATTTCCTTGTATAAATATTTAAGTTAACCTCGACATTTCATTATATTTAGGGAAAGTAATATAAGAATGTTGGTGTTTCCAATATTTAATAAATTATACGCTGGAACGTTTAACGAATTTTACACAATGTGGAAACGGGGAGGTAAAACAATCAAGGATAGTGGATTTGTTCTTAAAGATTTGGAAACCAACGTAAGAAAACAAAAAGACCGAATATTGTCTCAACTTGATACCTCTACAAAATTTGGAGATAATAATGATGATGATGATAAACCATTAGATTTTTTTAACGTTTGTCAGAAGAATTGATTTTGTTTTAATATTTATCTTGTCGTTGCTTGCTTTACGTAGTACAGTATTCTTTTTATTGTCTTTTTTTTTGCTTGAACAATTCAAGGCTAGTGTCCGTCCAAATGATAAAAATGTTTGTTATTGTATCTTTTTCTTTTGACTACACAAAATACAATTTGAAAATAAACTGAATATGAGTTATAGGTTGTATTTTTGACCCTGTTCTTTATTGTTAGTAAAATGCGTGTAATTCAAGTATTCTCTCACTCTCTCTCTCTCTTTCTCTTTCATTCTCTTCGTATGAAGAAAACGTTTATTGATAGATAGATTGATAGATATCAAATTATCAATTTTTACACTTAGGGAAGCAGCAAAAATTTTATTTTGCCAGGTAGTAAAAGAATAGTAAATATTTATTTTACACTTCTTCGAAATAAGGTAGGCTGTCGATATCCTCACTGCCGATATTACCCCTTAGAATAGCGTTTTTCTCTTCCGCCTCTTTTCTTTTTATAAAGTTCCATGTCCCATCTTTCATCTTTATAGCGCAATTGTGCCACGGAGAACCTGAAGATCTGGAGTCGCTTAAGCTTATGCCTACTTTTTCCGAATTGTCATGAGCGTGGATGGAAAATCTTAAATAGTCGGAATATATATTTTGAATCATGTTACTGTAGGTTAAATTTGCTCTTATTAAACGTCTGGCTTTTTCTTTAAGAATTCTCTTCTTTTCCTTGTTTGAAACATTTTGAAAAGTGTCTGTTGTTGCAAATTCATCTTGAAAAAATCTTAAGAAACCAAGATATACTCTATTAATATTCTCATTAGTTCTAATAAGTTTGTCAACAGTGGCTAAATCAACTTCGTATAGTTTATAAACTTTCTGGCGAACTTCGTCAAAGTTTAAATTTCCGTAAAGCGAATCTGCATCTTCATATTTCAATTGCTGAGAAAATAGAAAAAATGATGTATGCTCTCATGATGTAACAGATAATGTAAAATGATGCTTTACGTTGTTTTTAATAAAACTGCAAAATATATCTATGTACTCTTGAATTACATTGTCACCGTATTCCAAAATTTCACCGTATAGTCTTCCATCGCCAAAAATGACAAATTCAACTCCTTCACTATAAATATCCCGAACGTCGTAGCAGAATTCTTCTAAATGTCTTAAGGACAACAACTCCGCCATATCTGGTTTGTGTGAAAGAGTTTTGGTCCGATTATTTTTGGACTTTCCTGGAAATGCTGGAAGGATAAATTTAATTGGATCTCCTTTCAAAATTTGTTCAGTAATCTTGCTTCTAAATCTAAGAATTGAAAAATTTGTTTAGCTATTTTATTATGAATTTAGCAAGCGATTTATTTACCTTTCTTCATTTCCAGAACAAACGAATCTATCCTGTTCAGGCTTCAATCTAATTTTATCTATTCTGTCGATAATTGCGTCTACTTGTTTTTTATGGGATATCTCTCGGCAAAAACCAATTCTTCCTGCTTCAGCGCTTCCATCAAATTCAACTATAATTTTACAAGGTGTTGCCTCAAATATTGAAACTAGACAATCGTTTTCACCACAAGAGAAGTCCTTTCTGGCTCTAAGTTTACATCTATCGAATTTAAGCATGTACATTGTTGTAGGTGCCATGTTCAGTAAGTTCGCAAAGGATTGAGGAGTACTTTCTAAAATCCTAAATACTTATACTTGCACTGTAGGCGTAATTGTATTATCAAAAATGATGCTCTGAGTAACATTGATATCTAATGTAAATGATTAAATGAATTTAACAAAAAATTATCTCACATAGGGAACAAAGGTTTCGTTGTTACATGAAGATCATCGTCATAAAAAGTGATTTATTCGTGTATTTTGTTAAATATTTATTATGATGTAAGTAGCCTCTCTAAAGATATTTGTGCCACTCTCTAATAACTTTTCATGATGACAAGGAATTTTTATTTTGTTTAAATATCTTAAAAAATTTTCTTAAAAATGTTCTTTTGCGTCATAAAACATAATAACAAACCATATTAGTAAATTTCGCATGCATTTAAGCTAATGTACTATACTCTATACACACTTTACATCGTCTCGAACTAATTTAGAATCTAACTACAATTTAATAAGAAATGTTAAAGATGAAGGTTATGTCTCTTGACCCTGAACAAAATGATTCTTTGTTGTATAGTAAAATTGGTGTAATGCAATTTTCCTTTCATATTTGTATACAGTCGAAAAAAATGAAAGCGAACTTTATTGGATGACTACGATTCAGTAGGTTAAAGCTGTAAATAAAAAAAATTCTATCTTCGAAAAGTAGGACTGCTAACAAGATCGGTCATTTAAGTGTCTTTAATAAGATAGAGATGTCATCTTATCTTCTATGGGGGAAAAAATTGAATTTTGGCAAATTTAGCAATTTAAAAATGCTTTTAAAGTGATCTTCTATATTGAATCTATAGTTTTCCTAAAGCTCATATATCGAGAACCAAATGAAAATGAATATAAATATTAATATAAAAGTATGACTGAGTAAATATAATGAAAATAGAACAAATGAATGACTTTTAACGGTAAATATTTTGGCACCGTATGGAGTTGGTCAGATGTGTTTGGCACAAAAACAAAAATAAATTATTAATTACATTATTACTATTTAAAATTTTCAATTAGTTTTCACAAGTGTATAACGTATGAATTCTATTTTCTAACTGCACGTTTTACGTCATAGATGGCGTATAAATTTCCCGGGAAATCTATATTTAAGGTCATTTAGAAGGTTGTTCTTTATGGTAAATGAAATATATAAATACACCCATGTAACCTATAATATGGATTAATCTATATACTTTAGGTTATTACTAATTTAAAATTGCTGGGATACATTGTGAAAATGTTGTAAAATTGATAATTATATTGTAATTTCCCTTATCATTGCAGAATTGTAAAGAAATTGTACAGATCATAAATTGTCATAAAATGCAGAATGTGTTGACTTAGCACACACTCTCAGAGCTTTTTTTCCCTCTTTCTTCTATACGATTTGGGTAAATTATCATCTGTTGCATATGATTCTCTTATTTGAAATCTTTATTAAGTGATGAAAAAAATTCGTTTATTCTAACTATTCTTGCCAAAATCATTTTGAACGCATGTTCATAAAAGAAATGTCTCGCGTGGCAAGACCGTACACAAGCACCGAGGAAGCACACAATTACATACAGTCTTCAATCCCTAATCTACTTAGGGAGTTAATTAGGTACGAATTAAATGCAATGGAATATGAGACAGAAGCTTCATTTGAACTACACCATTGTTAAATGCCATTTTGATGGAGTGCATTGCTAGTTGCTAGTCCATATCAGTCACATCCAAGTTATTAAGGTTCCAATTGTATGGTTGATATCGTATAGAAATTCCTCCAATTCGTTCAAGACAGAATAATAAATCCTTTATTGGGCTTGCGCTTTCTTCACTAAGATAAGCTAGAATCCATCTATCCAATAAAGTTATTTAATTAAAATTAATCAAAGAAATCTCGATAGAAGATAACGTTTACCTAATTGCTTCGACTTCTGTCGATCCAAAGTCTGATCTGTACCATTGGAAAAGCTGAGACAATACCAGATCCTTTCCAATGACTTTTACTTCAAGCTCGCAGAAACTTTTTGTTGCTAAGGTCAATGCATCTTCTAAATTATTTTCGTTGTATACGTTAATTGGAGGACAAGAAAATGCACCACAATTTAGAGCAAAATGGATCCTAGGATCAAATTCTTTGCAAACATATTTTAATCTGGAATCCGATTCCCCAAATGGTCGTTCTACAGCCACTGGGTGTGGTCTGTTACACCTCAAAATGCCATGTTCAATATCATCAAGACTATAAGTTTCTCTTCCAATACAGTAGGATGTCACTTTCCAAAATTGGTTAAGATCGAGAGGTGAAGAGGGTAATTTGTCGCATTCAGTTAAACCATGTATAGTTAGAGCGTTGTATATATCTGTTAACAACTTATTAAGGAAACGTCATCAAAAGAGATATAATGATCAATATTTCAGACTGCGCATATAAAAATAGCTAGTTCAATATAAGATTAATTGAATATTCTAAGAGCTGCGGGAACACTTAAAAGACTGCCGCTAAATGTTGGCTATCTATTCGAACAAACCAATCAACGTAGATATATCAATCCAATTAGACTAAGTAAAGTTCACGATAATTTCACAAATAACTGGTCTAAATTATGCAAAAATATATGCTGCTCTTGAATATGTCGATAAAATATGAAGGCCCACTGCGTCAATGTAAACTACAATGTTTAGCCTCAAAACCAAATTCAACAAACCAAATGGGATGAGGTTTGTCGATTTTTAATTGTCATATAAATTAGTAAAAGGTATCGAATACAATACCTGGTTATACAATTGATTAGATAATAAAAATAGGCCAACTCTTTTTTATTATATACGATTCAATGGACTACTCTATGCGTAGTTGCTTTCTGTGAAAGGATACTTATGAAAAACGCCTTCTTTTGATTTTCTGATAACCCAGATAAATTGATAAAATTTAAAGCCATTGCTTTCTTTTTATAGTCTTTATATAATTCTGACTCATGCAGCTTAGCGTATTGAACAAAACGTCCATTCTTTGATATATTCTCTCCTCTTAGTCTGTTATGACGTAATTTAAAGATACACTTCCTCTATGTAAATGAACTTGCAAAAAAATTAATTTATCAGAACAAACCTCAACATCAACTTTTGTAAGTCTTGTGCAAAAACATTTGCTGGTATTTCATTAAATTCAAAATCGTCGGTGCTTTCTTCTTGGGAAGACAGCTGATTTAAAATTTGTATTTGACTAATTTGTTTAACGTATTTTCTCTGCATTGTCTGACATCTGCTATAGACGAGTTACTAATGAAGTATATAGATAATTCCAAACAATTAAACTTTTAAGACTTAACGACAATGATATACTAGCAGAACGGAATTAAGCTGCTCATTGAAACCGAGTGGAGTTTCTCTATACACTCTGCAGTCGTACGAAGCAGACGACGGAAGTTGGTGCAAAAACTAATGCCACCTATATACAAGGGATAAAATCGTAAATGATGTCATTTTTGACGTTCCTACGGATTTGAAACAAAATAAGTATTAGAAAATGGCAGCAGAACTATTGGAGAAACTCTTGTTACAAATACTTAGTGGTGACAATGCCCATATATATGAAGTAAGATTTAAATGTTTTTTTGTCAAGTTTTTATGATAGCCGGCTACACGTGGTCTTCTGCTTTTCAGATTTCTAGGCAAATATCAAAGGCTATTGACACACAGGAAGGAGTTAGCGCTCTTTGCTCTCTTCTTCGACATCAAAATGATGGTATACGTCAATATGCTTGCATATTGCTGAGAAAATGCGTGGCAAAAGAAGAAAAGTGGCACTCAATGCACTGTGATATTAAATCTATCCTCAGAAAAGATACAATTCAACTCGTCTGTACTGAAAACACGTAAGCTTGCCTTACAGCTTTCTGACATTCACTTTACTGTTCCTTTTCTTTTTAGAAAGCCTGTCAAAAAGTCTCTTGTTGCCTTAATTGGTAGCATTGCTAGATTCGGAGTAAATGAACATGATTGGCCAGAGTTGATGAACTTCTTCCATGAAGCTTGCTCTAACTCAGCTGCTAACATTAGAGAACTAGGAATGTGGGTTTTGAGTTTGGTGGCAGATTATGCAACGGATAGCTTGCTCCCTCTAATGCCTACATTAATATCACTTTGTAACGAAAGATTAAAGGATGCTGAACCAGGAATTCTTTTCTACACTATCAAGCAAGTTGAATTTATTTATTTGGCCATGATTTTGTTTTATAAATTTGTCTGATAATTAGAATAGGAAGCATTTTATCAGTGGTAGCGAAGAGTAGCGAACTGGTCTGTTTTATAGTATAAGTTGTTTATTTTTCAGAACAGCTCAACACCTTGTCGTAAACGTGGAAAGTGACTGCCTAGTTAAGTACAACCAACGTCGAAACATTTAAATAACTCATGTCTTATTGCAGAAAAAGTTTAGAGCCCTTATTCCAGAAATAATTAGAGTAATTAACAAATTAATCGAAACGGACGAAACTATGGCTTTAGAATCTCTTGAAGTTTTCGATGATTTATTTGAATATGAAGTTCCAATAATACAGCCCTTTATTGGTTCAATTTTTGAACTTTTATTCGGAATAATGAATAATCAGAGTTTGGACGAAAGTTTAAGAGCTAGAGCTGCAACTTATTTATCCTGGATTGTTAAGGTAGCTGATGAATGAGCGTACATTATTCTTATGCTAAATTATATTTATTTTCAAATCTATCTAGAGAAAGAAAAAGCTTGTCGTTAAGCAAAAATTAATGGATAGCCTGTTGGATGCAGCTATGAAAATAATGGGTGAAGTTGACCCTGATGACGACGATGATGAAAATGTATTGCCTAGGGAAACGGCAGTGGTAAGTTTTAAGTTTTTAAATCACTCAGTTGAATTGATAGCATTTCTTAAAGGATAAGTTATTTAAATCTAATTCAGAAGATATAAGTAGCATGGATTATGCAATATCCTCGGTAAAGATTGTTAGAATTAGGATACTTACTAAAATACATATTTCTGTTCGTTTACCAATTAAGCTTTTAATCTTTTTGTTTATGTCTATACAGCTAGTTCTATCAATGTGCAATAATTTACCTAGTAACCAATTAATGCCTGCAATACTTGAGAGAGTGGAGCCAATGCTTGCATCGGAAGATCCTATACAGCGTAGGACAGCACTTATAACTTTAGCCCTTGCCGTTGAAGGAAATTCAGAATATGTTAGAAAAAGGCATCTCCAATCGTTAATGCGAGTTACTTCTCAAGCTGTTAATGATACGGTTCAAAGTGTTAAAAATGGAGCTATGTTTATGCTCGGTCAAATGTGCCTCTGTCTTCAACCAGATATAAGTAATCATGCTTCAGATATTATTCCTTTTCTACTATCTTTAATTGATCCCCAAAAGATATCGGGGAAGTTGACTTCTGATAGCCTTCGAGCCCACAGTAAAGTATTTTATGCTATTGAAACATTTTGCGAAAATATGTCGCAGCAAAAGTTTTCTCCATATGTGGAGTCTGTAACCAATACCTTATTATCGGTATTACAAATACCATCGCTATCAGATTCAGTTCGAACCTACGTTTTTAGTTCCCTTGGAGCAGTTTCGGCAACAGCTGGAAAAAATCTAGCACCTTTTGTAGAGAAGATTCTACATTATCTTCAGAGTTATTTTGCACCTTCTGTCAGAAGTGAAGAGCAAATAAGAAGTCAAGCACAAGCTATCGAAACCCTTAGCTTAATTGTGAGGAATGTTCTAGGCGAAGATGACAGGGCAATTATTGAGCAGTCTGCTCGGATTGCTTTTGAAATCGAATCAACAGCTTCAGATCCGGATCAAAGAAGAGCTATCCATGGTCTTTGGGCATCAATCGCTAAATGTCTTAAAACATCTTTCCCAGTTGGTTATTTAGAACGTGTTGTTCAGTCAATGATCATAGCACTTAATAGTCAAGAAGGAATGAATAGACCTGGTAAAGGCATGGAAAATACCATGAGTTCTCTGGCAGATTTGGAGAAAGAAATTGAAACTATGGAGGAGGATTATGATGACGACGAACTTACTGATGTCGAAAACCCATATTTAGATGAAAAAGAGGATGCCTGCATCAATCTAGCCGATATTGCTGAATCTACTGGCCCTCTGTTTGCTCCTTATTTGGAGAAAAGTTTTAAAATTATACGTGATCTAACTAAGTCAAATCACATGTTTGTTCAGAAGGCTGCCATCGAATCCATAAGTAAGTTGGCTGTTGCAGCTTCCAAACTCGGTGGAGATGAAAGCTCTCAAAATGCAGTTAGAGTACTATGCATGGAGGTTGTCACATGCCTCACGGAAACAATCAACAACCAAAAGGAGAAGACTCTTGTTACTACTGCGCTCTCTTCCTACGCCTATTTAATCAAGAATGCAGGACAAATTTTGGTTGGAGATCAAAGAATTACAGATACATCCTTAAATCTTGTTAGAAATGTATTACGTGTAAAACTTCCTTGTCAAGTGATTGATTTAGAGACAGAAGATGATGAAGAAGAGGAAGAAGACGACGAGTTACTCCTGGAAACTGCTGGAGAAATACTACCAGCTCTTGCTGAGCATTTAGACGTCGATACTTTTCTTAGCTATTTTGCTAGCTTAAGCACTCTATTTGATAAATACATGAAGTCCCAAAATATGAATGAAGAGAAAGCTTTTGCAATAGGATGTATAGCCGAAAGTATTGAAACTTTGGGAAGGAAATTGGAAAGAGAGGGTAAAACTTCAGCAAATCTTGAAAAGCTTGTACTTGCTGCCAAAGACAGCTTTTTGTCATCGGCCTCTGACAACGACACCGACGTTCGTAATAATGCTATTTATGGTCTTGGCTTGCTGGTACTTTACGGAAACTTGGGGCCCGCTATTAATCAAGAAATATATTCAACATTGTCTTCTTTGCTACAAAACGAATCTAATCCCAGATGCAAAGACCAAATAGTCGCAGCCTTGGCTAGAGTAGCTTCGAAAATCGGCGACTGCTTACCTCTGGATTCTGTTATTAAAACTATTGTTTCATCATTGCCTTTGGAAGACGATCCAGTGGAAAATAATACTTGCGTCATATGCTTGGCTAGAATATGTCAAAGAGCAAACTCGGTACTTCCACATTTTGAGGAGCTAGCCCCAGTCTTACCAACTTTCTTTGAAAATGAAGACATGAATGAGGAAGGAAAAGCGGCGGTTATTTTTCTCTTAAATGCTATGGGAAAGAACAACCCTACAATCTTAGAAAGTTTGCATCAACAATTCCCAAGGCTTCGCAAACATTTGAACTAACATCTATTCTACTGAATATCTGACCAGTATTAAGAGATCAATGATTCTGTGCCCTTTGCTTACAAAAAAAAAAATATTACTGGCTTATCTATAGAGGCATAAAGCTTAAACAATTTCTTATCTTAAACTGAGTGGATTAGGAAAACAATTGGCAACAAATGTTTCCTAAAGATGGCGCTTCACAAACTTTTGACGCAAAGTCAATGAATTATGGCATCCGTAGTTGTGAAAAAAAGATCGCCATTGGCCATTAACAGCTTTTTCATACATCCATCGAAAAATCCCTTGTATATTTCCTTAGACCCTTAATAGCACTCTATATGTTTGACTTCTGGCAAGAAATGATTCATAAGTTGCTTAAAGCGTTATACTTATTTCGGAATATTTAAAATCAAATTCGGAAAATTTATTCTTTGTTTCATTTATTACAGAAAGTCTTGTGTTAAGTTGTTATCTATGTGCCGAATAAAAAAATATATCTAAAAAAATTTGAAAACAAACCAGATCTACATACAGTAGTCGGGTATTTTGATAGTTTATACTGATATTTTACCTGAACCACCTAGTGCGCGAGCTATAAATATAGGATCAAACTTTACTGTAAGATTATACGTTCATCAATGTTATATATTATCACTAAGCCTACAATTAACTTTTAAGTCAGCAAATTGAATTAATTAGCACTTCCTTAATCAATTTGCAGTTCATGGATGATGCATTAAACATTGAAGATTCTTAACGTATAATCTAATACTTTTTTATAATCTTTTAAATGTTTCGTATTTAAGAATTTGCTCTTTGACATTAAAAATTTCTTTCCAAATTATCCAGTCAATAAGACAATAAAAAATACATTATAAGTGTATAGTATTCGATTTTTTGGCAATTTGGATAGGTGAGTTTAATTAGTTTATCAATTTAGGTGTTAAGTTGACAAGAATTAAATAAAATAAACTTTCCTATATTTTTAATAGAACTTTATAGAGAATGTGCTAAATTTAGTTAAAAGAAAATTAGACAATTAATTTATATATAGTGACTGGGGAAATTCTTCATTACGAATCAATAAATACAGTAAATTAAACTATGACTTCATATAAAAAGATTTAAAATTATCATAAGAGTTTCTGTAATAATAATAATAATAATAATAAGAATATAATAAAATAAGATAATATTTTAGAATTAAGACCTTTTTATTATCAAAATATTTTAAGAAATCATATCAAAAAGAACAAAAAGAATTAGAATACAAAAGCGCGTGCAAGGCACATAAAAATCTTTTAATCGTTGTTACTACTTTGATATTATTATAAAAAGAAAACGGAGTACATGTCTGGACATAGGAATAACGATATAGATTCCTCATCCTGGGCTAGAACAAGCCCATACTTTACTGGAAAGACAATTGGAGTTAGAGCTAAAAATATTTGTACTGCTTATCAATCAGCTGTGATGGAAGCGCAATCAAATTGTTTTCCACAACCATTTTATCCACCTCCCTGCTCTCCCAGACCTTGCTGTGTACCCTGTACATCTTGCATTCTCTGCCTACCTCCGGGACGTTGTATTTGCCCTACTTGTTCTCCACCTTGCTTAAAGTGTTGCAAATATCCTTGCTGTTGCGTTATTTGTTGTTGTTTGACAAACAATAACACTTCAAATTTTAACGGTTCAAACAATAGATATATTATGAACAATTCTAATCATTCAGATTAAGAATCTTATGCAGAGAAGTAAGGATAAGAGAAATTAAATAGAATGGTACTCTTGATTTCAGTTTGAAAATAAAGAATAGAACAAAATTTTTCTAAAATCGAGCTTTTTCAAAGAAGATTTCAATTCATCTTCCTCCTTTTAAGTTAAAGAATAAATATTTTAAATGATATTTAGTTTGTAAAAAAATAAAGAACAAATAAAAAAGAACTGATAAGAATAAATGTTTATAACGTTCTATTCTCTTCCTATGAACTATTAAACTGACACAAAAAAAGTGTTGTTAACTTCCAAATAAAAAATTGTTTGACTTTTAAATAGAAAATTTTTTATCTAAATTATAATTAATAAAGAGTATACGGGATCTCTCTTTGTAACATATGTAGTAAAGTGCGTTTTCTATTCCGCTGGCTTGAAAAGAACAAAGCATAAATGAGTACAAATTAATTTTTGATTGAGCGAAAATATGAAAGAATGAAAACAGAGAGTGGAGGGAGAAGGGAAAGGGAGAGGGGAACGAATGAGAAAATGAAAAGAACAGATAGAGAAAAAAAGAAAAGATAGAGAGAGACAGAGAGAGGAAGGGGGGAGGGCAGCAGAGGAAGAGAGAGGTATAGCATTGAAGTGCATGCTTACACATTAGCTGCGTATATACGTATATACGTATATACGTATATACGAACATAAAAGTGAGAAAGGGAAAGAGAAAAGAGCACAGTTGGTACACGTTGAATAGCAACAAAAATTTAACATCAGTTAATAAAAATAGTCATTTACCTACAACTTTCCTTTTGCTCTAAATTATTTAAATATAATTGACAATAATCTAAACTATATATAGAAACAAAAGTTCTCTTCATTCTTCACGTATAAAATATTTTCGCCAATGAGAAAAATGTAAATTATTCTAGAAAGTAATAAAGAATGATGAAATAGAGAGCTTGGTCTCTCCATTAATAAAAGAATCACAGCACACTCGAATCACTTTGGATTATTACGAATATAAAAGTATAATAGAAGCACAACAGTTATGCTACTAATAAATATTCCCAAAAGAGATATACACAACGACAACTTTGCCCTTTTCGCTGCAGCATACTTTTCTCCGTTCATCCTTTTTTTAGCTGAACTGACACTCATCCAAGCAGCCAGAATCCCCAATGGGCAATTAAAAAAGATAGCCACTATTATGGCAAATGCAAAGTAACTATGTCTATTTGGAACATATCTCCAAGTAACTTCTTCTTTTAATTTTGGCTCTTCATCATCCAACGTAGGGAATGGAGTTACTAACGGAGTTTGTACTTCGACGTAAGCTCTTTCTTTAACACTCAAATGCGATGTATAAATATCAGCTGGCTTTCGTTGACTTGTCCTTTCTAGAGAACTTGGATATTCCGTGTTTTGCAGATAAGTTATATTATCCATACTATAACCAGAAAACTCGTAATTCTGTAAATTTTCACAGTTAAAATATTCCAGACCTATGCACTGCAAGGTGCAGCTGATAAGCGAGAACTGGAAAGCGATACAGAAGTGTAAAAGTAGGCCTAGTTATGTTTACGCATACCAGTGCAGCTTAGGAAATTCTGATTGAAAGCAGAATATGCTTTTCTCTATGTTAGGTGTCTGCCCATTTATCTGACAATCTTTTTTATGATAGAAGATTGAAAGAAATGACATTTCTCACATGCATTATTTCAATGTTAGGTTGAAGAACCTACCCATATTTTTCAAATTCCAATCCTTTAAGCATAAATTATTCGAATAAAACACCCTGAGCAATCAACCGGAAATAGTTAGAAAGTAACCTTCAAGTCGAAATCATGATTGTTTAAACTCTTTCCATTACGAATATTAAAAGGTAACCCTTGAGCGCTACCTAACGGATAAGGAGTAGAGATAGTATGCAAATGGGAAAAATTTGGTTTTAAACAGAGGTTTTATTGTTGTTCAACTTTCTTTCCTGCTTTTCATAAATTTCGTCTATAAAATAATAAATTTAATTGATTTCTCTATTCAAATCAAACTGTAATATAAGTAATAAATTAAGCCTGTGTACAGTTCTGTTCTGCTCTTTTACTTAGCTATTTCAATGGAGAGGATTAAAAAAAAATTCTGAGAAAAGTAAAGAAAATCGTATTACAATTCTTAACATTTTAATGTAGTTATATCCACTATTTTACTGTTTAAAGACACTTAATGAGATATATAATGAAATATTATATTTATTCGATTACATAGTATAATAGCATGGAAGGTATTCGTGTACAAACTACGATTAACGTTAAATATAACCATTAAAAGTAGGCTGCAATGTTTAAGCAGAGTTTTTTTTTCAACAGCAATTAAATACAGGTTTAGGTATTAATTTTTGCTCTTCAACCTAAACCCATTCTTTAAACCAATCTCTGTTTTTATGCGCTATATAACTATAGGTTTTAATATATTTGCATATAGATTATATCTATCACAGGTCAGGAAATCCAATTTCTATTTAAACGGCTGATGTTGCTGGCTTGGGACAAGGGTCAACTTCGGTTTTGACCATTCGAGGTGTTACTTTAGTCTCGTTGTTTGGAGAAAGAGCGTAACCATTCGTATCTTTGTTGCCCATTGCTGATCGACGCTCAATTTTTGACTCTGGTAGAACATTACCGGTGAAGGTTTTCTTTAGGATTTTTTTCCTCTTATTTGTTATAATGTAAAGAATAATCGCCGAGATTACTATAAAGCTTGTCGTGATTATAAACAGGGCAAAGAGTATATAAGTGACGATAGTCATCTCCGCTTTAACATACGTAGTTATAGCTGTAAAAGAACAAAAATTCTTTAATTGTCCTAGCAGTAAAAGATGATACACACCTTTAGGTTCACTCCAATATTCAAATATGAATCCTTTATCTTGATATTTATTGTTCGTTCGAAAAGTTACAAGAATTTTCGGACCGGAAGATGTAACAGTATCCGTTATAAGTTGTTCACCACACCACCTCTTTATGCTTCTTGACCATAATGTTCGACCATCTTTTACCTCGACATAGTCTTCACTACAAGTAGCACTTCTTCGTATTGTTGTATTGACAAGCCGAAACTTTACAATTTCGTAATCTTTTTCAGCCGAAACTGCCCATCTACACAACGCTTTACTGTTCATATTTTAAAATGGGATTTAGTATTTATACAACTTAAATTAGCTTTATTTAGAATACTTCGGATAATATTCTTGAGTAAGATAGCCTTGAGAATATAGATACCCATGTTGGGGTCTAGCTATTTCTTCAGCAATTAATCCGTCACAAGCTTTTTCAGTGCTTGCTTCTATAAATGGCTGAACGTAATAAAAGCTGCTAAATAGAATAAATATAACACTTACCACTTATTAAGAATAATTGAAAGAAGATAGTGAAAAGGAAGACTGATTTTGATACTCTTATCATCGTTGAAACAATAAATTAATAATTGAATTTCCTTCTTACATATGTCCGACTATTTAGAATTAAAGATTAATTTTTCGCCGTTTGTTTGTATAGGTCTTGTAAGAGGACAACGAGTAGCGCCAATCGATTGTGGCGTCTAAATTGATTACAAACACTGTTGCTTAGTGATAACGTAATTGATATATTTCAGTTTAAACCATTTATAATTTCATATAATCAACATATAAATGAACCCAAATGTAAAAAATACCGAAACCACAGTACACTGAAGTAAGCATTAAAGGCAGAAATGGTAAAGTGTTACCAAATAAAACAATATGAATAAAAACTTTATATACTTCTAATACTATCAGTCCATATAAGTAGAAGATTTCAAGAGTTGATAGGAAATTACTTGGTTTTTCACTGAAGGAAAGAAACAATGGTTATAAAAGTAACGTATTTATTTCTATAATATTTTGACTTACTCATGAACACGAGAAAGAACATAAAAGCTGATAATTGTAAACAGAGCCATCATCAAATACTTTATTAAGTTTTCTAAGAAGAACATTTTTTTATATGTGCAATTATACATGCATTTGATATGTTACCTGGTGGTGTAAATATGAGGGGAAAGAGAGAGAAATGTCCAATAATGGACAGTAGCAAATACATTTTTGCGTCTTTCTTTGATTTTACGGAGAGAAGGCTATAAATATATATATATATATATATAAGAGAAGATATATTGAACAATAAAACTTATAATTGTTATATGTATAATAAATCTTACGTAAGTGGCAGAATCATAATTATTACTGCTTTTTCGTGTACGTGCCATCCAAACATATAACTGATGAAAGAGCAAAGTACAGTACATTTTATGAAATCATCAGCCACCGATTTGCGTCTTAAAGTCTTCAATAGTATTGGCTAGAAAAAATAAAGGCATTGCTATTTGGTGTTATTTTCTGTAAGCACCTACTTACAATCATCGCCAGAAGAGTGCATACCAAAGTAATAAATGGACTTATGTTTGGCAAAACAACATGCTTAAACTCTTGAACTAAGCCACCCGTCATTACTGCACGATCATTAGTGACATGGAAATAGCCTGTTTTTTTCCCTAGAATTGCATGGAAAGTTGACTATTACTGATTACATTATATAAAAAAACACAAGATTTAATACCTATCATAGATAAAGCCTTGTCAGCAAAATTATACAATGCCCAGAAATTGGGTGCCCAATAAGCGTGGCATAGTCCCCGTTTAAAAGGAAATAGACGTTGTAAAACTTGAGCAATCTGGCCCTTGGTGAAAGTAAGTGAAAATATTATTGAACAGTCTTAAGATGTCTCTAGATAAATACCATAGAGATGAAGGGTCCAAGGCTCAGACTAAATACTAGCACTACACTAGTTCCAAGAGTAATCAGTCTTCTTATAGAAAAAGCTGACCACTTAAGAGATCCATCTGTAAACAATTAACCTTTTAATCTTAGTCTTTCACTTTAAGAATAGTGCGAACCTCTGTTATTATCGGAAAAGCAGTAGTTTCTTAAAAGGAAGACAAAATAGGCTGGAGCCATATATAAATAAATATGTTTGAAATTTATTAGAGTAGCAAAATATACGGATCCTTCAATCACTCGTCCCTGAATTATTAATTAAAATAATTTATATCTCAAGTGGAATATTAACAGAATAGTAGCTTACTTCATAAAGTCTGCTGAAAGATAGTATTAATATTCCAAAAAGAAATCCATTATACTGAAAGTGAATGTATGATCATTTTAAGGAATAAAATACACTTTTTCTCTTGTAATATCAATTATAAACTTAATCTCTTTTCAAAAAAGGATACGATCAACCAAGAGTAGACCAAAATTGAACATCATCAAAAAAGATAAGGCTAGTATTGCATGTTCTTTTCTTCTGCTTACGGTAATTCTTCGACAAATCCTATCAGTTAGACTAATTATGTATATTCCTTGAATGAAAATATATTTGCTTACTCTTTCACTGAGTATAAGTAGACAAAATCTGACACAATCACTGATAATCTTTGGAATAATACAGTTTCCGGACTAGCATAGTTTAAGTTTTTAATAACGAGCATTTCGCTATCAAAAAATTTTGCAATCTGCGCCAGAGCATATTCGAAATATGCGAAAAATGGTGGATAATCAAGTGTCCATTCGGATGTTTCCTGACAAATTTCCGTTTTTAAAGAAAGTTTAAGATTTCAATTTATACATGTACCTCAAAATACCATTTACTCAAAGGTAGGCTAGATGTTATGGCCAGCCAATTGCGATGTACTTCAAAATCTGTTGACCGGCTGAGTGATAAAATAATAAATGAGTGTATATGTGACCGATTGTAGCTTGACAAGTATATATATAAATATTTGGCCAATTGGATTAATATTATATACTGTGATGATTCTAAAGGTAATGATAGTCTTACTAAGTTAATAGGAAAAACAGCTTTAAAATTGTGACAAGTGCTGCCAACTTGTAAACAATTGAAACATCCGCCATACCAAAGATAATTTACAAAAGATACTATTAAAAAAAACCGCGGCCCTAACGTGCCTACTACAATATCTTGACGCTGGCGTATTATTGGTGCATGCTTTACAGAACTTTTTTCCTCTTTAACATAAATTAACATAACTTACTCGAAAGAGTTTGTATTACTACGCGGCTTGTATTAGCTATCTATTATTAGTTAATTTGTGTACTTTTAAAGAAACTGTATGTTTTAATACTTCATAATTTTATAAAACACAATTTAGTGATATTATAAAAATATTTTTTCTGAAAATCTCAAAGTACAGGTGACAACGTGGAACTACTTTTTGTAACGTCACTCTGTCCGGTCGACTAGTTGTGTCTACACAAAGTGATATTTTCTCGAGAAAATATGGGTCATCCAGACGATATAGCACAGGTTACCGACGCAGCTTGTAAGTATTAAAGTTTTGAACGTGTTTATTTTATTATTGTTGGTATAAAAACGTGCAAAGTGTAAAATTATTATGAATCGTGAGAGCGTCTTTGTTGTCGAAAACCGTCAAGTTTATCAGGGAACTTCTTTTGGTTAAGAATCTTATGAAATTTTAAATTAAAAGCTTTGAAAGAGATTGAAAGAGCTTAGGAAATTAGTATAAGATAAGATTTATCCAAATCGTAAAATAAATAAAATGATTCTACAGCTCTAGCTGAACTAGCACATAGAGAGTATCAAATGGGAGATTATGAGAATGCAGAAGCTCATTGTATGATGCTTTTTCGTCAAGATGCAGAAAATACCGGGGTGCTCCTCCTTCTCTCATCAATTCATTTTCAATGTCGACGACTAGACAAGTACGAATATAGAGTGCCTGACTTTTATTGCTTAAGAAACTCAATTTTCTTGTTTACAGGTCGGCATATTTTAGTCAGTTGGCTATAAAACAAAACCCTATGCTTGCTGAAGCCTACAGTAATTTGGGTAATGTTTACAAGGAAAAAGATAAACTACAAGAAGCACTGGAGAACTATAGACATGCCGTACGCCTTAAACCTGACTTCATTGATGGTTATATAAATCTAGCTGCAGCTCTGGTGGCCGCTGGTGACATGGAACAAGCAGTACAATGTTATTGTACGGCTTTGAGATACAACCCCGTAAGTTATTTTTCATTGAATGTGTTTAACTTTTAAAAAATTACATAATTTTTTCAGGACTTGTACTGCGTTAGATCTGATTTGGGTAATCTATTAAAAGCTTTAGGTCGATTAGACGAAGCAAAGGTGTGTAACCTGTCCAGTGAATAGAATAATATTGTTTTTAGTTATGGGTAGGGATGTTTTTAGACAAAATTATCGACTACTTTCTTGTGCCTCAGTTCCTCCATTGGCATTATCATTGTTACTTATATATATATATATATATATATATATATATATATATTTATGTATATATATATACTCAGCAAATAGTATATATGTATATATATATACATACACACATATATGTATATAAATTTATACAAGATCCTTGCAGCAGGCAATCATAGATAGCAGATGTTGCAGAAATCATCAGTCTTATTTTTACAGGCTCATCGGGTTTCCGAGCCATCAAAAATGCTAATTTTGAAAAAATGTAGCTTTTTAAAAGGAAATCTAAGCGATAACGCGACAAGGAAGCGCTTTTTTCTTACTTTTTTTGATACATTCCAATATGTTTGTTGCAAGGATTTTTTATACACTAAATAATGATATTTTAACAGCGTGCTTTATGTTTTGTGTCAAACGATTGTCTAATGTGAATGGAAAATTAAGACTGAGATTTTAATCTGAGGCTGCCCAATTGCTATTGATAATATTATATAATTTAAAATTATGTAATTAAAGAATGATAATACGATAAATCTATCAGCTTTTGGGTCCTTTAGTGCACAAGAAAATATGATGGGGTTGGGATAAAACTATAACTTCAACAAACAGTCAAATTTTTACATCAAGGCTAATAATCGTTTATTGCTGTCGTAGTGTTAGTGGCATCGACGAACACCGCCAGTGACGTTGGACTAAATGAAAAGGAACTGCCCTGTACTGGGTATGCATAACTTGACTTGTCAGTAAAGGCAAGTTGTTTTCAGAACAACCAGAATATTGCGCATTTTGCGTAGCGCCTGCGATATCTGCGCTTGAACCACGCGCATAGCGTTTATTCTATTTTTTTTATATAGCAGCGGCGATATTGTGCGCATATCGTTTACCAACTATTTAATTCATTGTTATTGTTTCTATGTAAAAAAGTTGGTAAACGAGTATATATTAGCGATGCTTGCGTGCGATGCGATAGCGATTTGCAATGCGTGCGCATTAGGGACGCTCTCCCTGCGCTGCGTCTGAAATAAGCTAACCAAATCTAACCCTGTTTAATTTTATGATTAGGCATGCTACCTGAAGGCAATCGAAACCCAACCTAACTTCGCAGTCGCATGGAGCAACTTGGGCTGTGTCTTCAATGCTCAAGGAGAAATTTGGTTGGCTATTCATCATTTTGAAAAGGTACTGTTGCAAATAATTTGTTTGATTAACTTCAAAAACCCTACATTACAGGCCGTTGCTCTGGATCCTAACTTTTTGGATGCCTACATAAATCTAGGGAATGTTTTAAAAGAAGCAAGAATCTTCGATCGAGCAGTCGCAGCTTATCTGAGAGCTTTAAATTTGAGTCCGAATCATGCAGTTGTTCACGGAAATTTAGCCTGTGTGTACTATGAGCAAGGCTTGATTGATTTAGCTATTGATACTTATAAAAGATCCATTGAATTACAACCAAACTTTCCTGACGCTTACTGCAATCTTGCTAATGCACTTAAAGAGAAGGGAAAGGTAAGTTTCCACATATTACTCTATATCAATACCTAATTATGATCTTTGTAGATAACTGAAGCCGAAAAATACTATAATGTGGCTCTTCAATTATGTCCCACACACGTAGATTCCTTAAATAATTTAGCAAATATCAAATTTGAGCAAGGCAACAAAGATGAAGCAGTTACTTATTATTCAAAAGCTCTGGAAATTTATCCAGAATTTGCAGTCGCCCATTCCAATTTGGCTTCGGTGCTGCAACAGCAAGGAAAACTACAAGAGGCGCTTGAGCATTACGGTCAAGCAATACGTATTTCTCCAACGTTTGCGGATGCATACTCAAATATGGGAAATACACTAAAAGAAATGCAAGATGTACAGGGTGCCCTACAGTGTTACAATCGTGCTATACAAATCAATCCAGCATTTGCTGATGCACATTCAAATCTAGCCTCCATACATAAAGACAGCGGAAACATACCTGATGCTATAGCTTCCTATAGAACAGCTCTGAAATTGAAACCCGACTTTCCTGACGCTTATTGTAATTTGGCACATTGCCTACAGATAGTCTGCGATTGGAATGACTATGAATATCGAATGAAAAAATTAGTGGCAATTGTAGCTGAGCAGTTAGAAAAGAATCGTTTACCTTCCGTTCACCCTCATCATTCTATGCTATATCCATTAACCCATGAAATGCGCAAAGCCATCGCAGCAAGACATGCAGCTCTTTGCCAAGAAAAAGTTAATGTATTGCATAAAAAACCTTACGAACATCAGAAAACTTTACAAGGTAAACTACGGATAGGTTATGTTAGTTCAGATTTCGGTAATCACCCTACTTCTCATTTGATGCAATCGATACCCGGAAAACATACATCGAACGTCGAGGTATTTTGTTATGCCCTCACTTCTGACGACAACACTAACTTTAGGAACAAAATTATGACTGAGGGCGAGCATTTTGTTGATTTATCTTCCATACCTTGTAATTCGAAAGCAGCCGATAGAATTTATGCTGATGGTATTAATATCCTTGTAAATATGAATGGTTATACAAAGGGTGCCCGCAACGAATTGTTTTCGCTGAAACCTGCTCCATTGCAAGTAATGTGGTTAGGCTATCCTTCGACATCAGGTGCACAGTGTATGGATTATATAATTACGGATAAAGTTACATCACCAGGCCATCTTGCTTACTTGTATAGTGAAAAATTAGCTTATATGCCACATACTTTTTTCATAGGAGATCATAAGAATATGTTTCCTCATTTAAGAAACAGAGCTGTTTTGATAAAAGACGGTAAAAGCAGAGAAAATGCGGCAATTGTTAATTTTAATAATCTTGAAGAACTTGTGGAAGCTCACGGGACTGGCGAAGTGCAAATAGGTGAAGTAGAAGAGACAGAAGATGGACAATTGACATTACCCCTCCTTTCAGAGGAATTTTCCAAAATTTGTTTAGATGTTTCATCGCAATCAGCCGATCAACCGAACGTTCAATTTGAGTCTTTTACAATCCAGAGCGGATTAAGTATTAGTCAAACAAATTCAAAAGCTGCGTCAGGAGAAGATATACCATCAACTATTATAGTATCCACAAGAGCACAGTATGGTCTGTCTGATGACGCTATTGTTTACTGCAATTTTAATCAGCTGTATAAAACCGATCCAGAAACCATTAGAATGTGGGTAAATATATTACAGGAAGTCCCAAAATCTGTTCTTTGGCTACTAAGATTCCCAGCTGTGGGAGAGCCTAATCTTTTGGCACATGTGGCTAAGCTGGGATTGGATCAAACACGCGTAGTCTTCTCGCAAGTTGCCCCTAAAGAAGAACATGTTAGAAGGGGCCAATTAGCTGATGTATGTTTAGATACACCACTTTGCAATGGGCACACAACAGGAATGGATGTTCTCTGGGCGGGAACACCAATGGTTACCCTTCCTGGAGAGACGCTGGCGTCCCGCGTAGCGTCTTCCCAATTGTGTGCTCTAGGTGTTCAAGAATTAGTTGCCAAGGATAAGGCTGATTACGAAAGAATTGCTATTCGTCTTGGAACAGATGAAGTATTCAGAAAAGCTATTCGGGCGAAAGTTTGGAGGAAAAGGATGACATCAACGCTGTTTGATACTGATATTTACGCAAAAGATCTTGAAAGATTATATGGTACTATGTGGAAAAGGCACGAAAGAGGACAAGCGGTTGACAATATATTTGAATTGGAAGTTTAAAGCTTGTTTGTTGTTGAGTTTGTTTTTAAGTTACCATTTATAAACCGTTTTGTCCTCATGAAAAACACATTAAGGAAGAGGTTCGATTTTATTTCATTGCTATTCTATTTCGTTGTAACTTTTATAAAACGTTCATTTACATTAAAATTTATCAGAGATTTAGGTGCATATTATACGCTTTTGTCTTATTGTAGAAATATAAAATATACTTCGAAATATGTGTACTTTTGAATGCAAAAAAGTTATGCTTTATCTTGTATTAGATGATATGATACGCTGTTGTATTTAAATACAGTGCCTTTAAAAGCCTATTCAAATATTTGAATTTTATAGCAAAGTAAATAATACTTGAAAGTCTATGGCGGAAGAAAATTTAACTCTAACGCCTTTGACATCCGATGAGGACGAAGTAGAATATGAAGTGAAAAAAATAGATTACGTCCTAGTGTATCCTAAAGAGGAATTAGTTGAAAATGAAGAGTTGCGTAATCGATTTTTGGTAAACTGTAGCACAAATATATTTTACACTACGAATATAAGAGAAACATTTTAAAGGAACAAATGAAAGCTGAAGATCTAGAGTTCGAAACCGAAGAGGTTGAAGACTCAGGAAATGTGGATAAAATGAATATCTTTATAAAGATTCATACTCCATTTTATAGGCTATGCGAACAGGCAGAAAAGATTAAACTAGAAATGGAACTAAGAGGAGTTAATAATTGAAAAGATTATCAACTAATAGCTAATTACTTTAAACAAAATTTTCTTAGCTTGAAATCCCTGAAGAGCATCTTAACTTTTTTAAATTCTTTCGCAAAATAGAAAAGAAACTATTCGTAACAGACGATGAAGGTTTTTAATCTATAAACAAACAAGAAGATTTATTAATTATACAATTATTATCCGATTTAGTTGACAGGGTTGCTACCACTTTTAAAACGGATAAGTTGAAAATGTATAATAATTACAACAAACCAAACGTTTTCTTTAGATCTTCATTGAGAAATTTTCTGGTGATAATTTATGTTATATATATCTAAAAAGTCGTCTTGCATGTGTAAACCTATTGAAACAACCTATTGATATCTCCTCTTTAGACACACAATATCCTTATTAATATAGATTTAAGAAAAGACGAAAATGAAAATATACTCAGTAGAAGAGGTTAACTTTATCTAGTACAAAAATAACAAAGTTATAAATATATGAATTAGTATAATTCTCTTCCCAAAGATAGGTCTTCAGTATTTACTTATGAAAAAGGTATTTAGCGATTCGTTTGTAATGCATGATGAAAGTGACTTGGATCCATATAAAAATGCTAAGAAAGAGATACTAAGGATCTATCGCTGTTCCTTTGTTCTTCATGATCCACCTAAAGGTAAAGAATTACTGTTTAAAGATGCAAGAAAAGAGCTGCACGTAAGAGGATGATGCGATATTTTAGCGTGTTTTTCTATTGTCTAATGTCTTCTATATTTACGAAGGAAACTTGGTTAAATTATCGAAAATATCAGCCAATATGGAAAATTCGTAACTATTTCGGAGAAAAAATTGCCTTCTATTTCGCATGGGTTGGTATTTTAATAGTGAGTCTTTGGATTCCTGCATTTATTGGGTTGGGAGTCTTTTCTTATGGTCTATACTTAAGCGTTTCTCAAAGTCATAATTATACCACGCCCCTTCCGAATACAACAAATCCGGTTGAAATGTTCGTAATTTATATTCTAATGGTATGAAATTAAAATTAAATATGCGCTCCCCTCCCTCCTCCCCCCCCCCCCATTGCAAATTAGAACTAAACAGGCAGTTCAAAACTCTATTAATGTCGTTAGACACGCTTTTGATAATGATCTTACTCCTTATTACGCTCTAATAATTTGCCTATGGGGAACAATATTCTTAGAAATATGGAAAAGGAAAAAAGCAATACTAGCCTATTATTGGGATGTTGATTTCTATGAGGAGTACGAACCAGATAGACCGGAATTTTACGGTACAAAGACGAAACGAGATTTAATTACTGACGAGGAAATACTATATTATCCTATATCAAGGAAATTTCTTAAGTATTTAACATCAGTTACAGTCATATTGTTTATGGTTAAGTAATCCATTTCCTTAAAATACGTATTATCTCTTGTCTAACTGATTCATAGACGAAAACGAATTTTCTATCTTTACTTTAGGTTTTAATTGTTATTGTTTCGCTGACTCTAGTCATCTTATTCAGGGTTTATGCAACTGTACAGTATTGTAGTTCAAAGTACTTTTGTATATTAGTAAATGCACTAATACCATCTGTTCTGAATGCTGTATCAATATTAATGCTTGGTAAAGTCTATTATTACTTGGCCTATGTCCTTACCAACTGGGGTTTGATATAGTCAAAATAATTATTGATCCCTACATTTCTTATTCATCATTTCATTCGTTAATTATTTAATATTTAGAAAATCACAGAACTCAGAGTCAATACGACGATGCCTTGATTGTTAAACTATTCGCTTTTCAGTTTGCCAATAGTTATTCATCACTCATCTATATAGCTTTCTTCCGAGGGGTAGGTTGACGAAAAAGGTAATGCTCATTAATAGATTATTCCTCGTTCTATTAAGATTGATTACGGGGACAATGGAATGTTTGGTATGGGATCAAGTTATTCCGACAGTTGTGGAACAGATAACAATTGTATGGCGATGCTTTCTCTCCAATTATTGGTTTTAATGATATTAAAACCATTTCCAAAATTTTTTAAAGATGTTTTATTAATGTAAAAACTTTCTATATTATAAGATAATACGTTATTTCTTTATTATTTCTTTATCAGTTTATTTAAGAGGAAAATGATATCTCTTAAATATTATCTGGGTAAAAAGATTGATAGCGAAGATGAAATTAAGAGAAAAGAAATTCTACAAAATTCCTTCTTAGAGAGAGAGAGAAAAAAACCAGATTTAAATGATTTTACACTATCAGAATTCACTGAAAAAATCATTATGTACGGTTATCTTATGGTAAAAAAAATGTTCAATTCATCAGTAAATTGTTACATATATATTTTAGATATATAAATATTTCTTAGCTATTCGCCGCGTCATTTCCGCTGGCCCCTCTAATTGCTTTAATTGTTTGCTTAATGGACATACGACAGGATGGGAAACGAATGTTATGGAATTTTCGTAGGCCTATTGGCGTCATATCAGACGATATTGGTAACGAAAAAATTATGAAGATAAAGAAAAAACAATTATAAAATAACTATATATAAGATTTTTATAGGAATGTGGTTCGGTATTCTACATATTTTAAATATAATTGGAACAGTTACAAATGCATGCTTAATAGCGTTTACATCCTATTGGGGAAAATCATTCAATTCACCTACTAAACAACTATTAATAGTAATAGGATTTGAAGTAATTAACGATTCTTTCGTTTTAGCATTTAATTCATAAAATACAAAACAATCAAATGAACAGCATGTTGTCTTCTTGGTGAAATTTCTTATAGATATATTTATACCAGATAAACCTAATTGGCTTAAAGTTAGAGAGAGAAAGGTCTATGTCAAAGTTATATATTATATAGTATTAATTTATATATATATATATATTCTTTTAAAGGAGAAGTATCATATTACCAAATTATTGGACCAAGCCAAATTCAATCCAGTCATTATTAACTCAAAACAATCGCTAATGAATGAATTAGAGTAAGTTTAGAGTAGAAGTTTTAAATTTTTTATCAATAGTTTGCTTTTACTGAAAGAAAGGAAAGAAGAAGAAAAAGGAGTATGTCAATAGAAAAGTCAATTCAACAAACAGAACAGCTTGAATCTCTTACTAATAGTGAATTTTGTGAATTAAAATTTAATACTATTGATTGTTTAGAACATTCTAATGGCTTAACGAGTAATTGATTTGTATATTAAATATTAGCTATCAAGCTTTCAAACGTTTCATTTACCATTTAGATTCATATACTTCGTTGGATTCGTCTTGCGCATTTGTTAATGAAGACTCTACTAAGAGAAGCAGATAGTAATAGTAATAGGAAATATTTGGTATAGGGAATTGGATTAAAACTCTCTTTCTTTATAGATTATTTTAATAATAAAGATTAGTCTAGATTAAGGAGTAAAAATTTTTAATAAAAAAATAAGTTCGACCTCGCCAGGATTCGAACCTGGAATCTTCTGATCCGTAGTCAGACGCGTTATCCATTGCGCCACGAGGCCTCCTCATGATTTCTGGCATTTAAAAAGCAAATATAGAGTCTATTTTATGAAATTTTTTTAAAAATTAGTTTTTTTATTGTTAATCGTACAATCAACTTTCTGACAAGAATCCCTTGATTTAAGCTATTTGAATTGATATTGCTTTACTCTCTATAAGTAACAACTTTGCTACTTTTCATTAAGATTTCATGTATATTATTAAGAAAAACTGGTAGTGAGTAAGTAAGTAAGTAAGTATGATTTTGCATATTTCGTGTTTGGCGGAGACTAGTAGAAACTTCATAGGGAAATCATGTCTTTATTCTCGGTTACAGTTCTCTGGAACTTCTTATACAAGCTATCAGAATTAAAATCATTCCCAATATTTTGCGTTTATATTGTGGCTTGTATTTTAGCCTTTGTTTATCCTAAATTTAGCAGACCTTTAAATTTAAAATGGCTGTTAATTTTATATAATTCAAGTATGTGTATTACAAATGCAGTATGCGTTGTGTTGTTTATTATTGGTCTGATGGATGCTGAACATATATATCAAAAATCTACAGTTGCAAGCTTACAGTTGCCTTATACGCTTTATTGGCTTTCAAAAATCATTGAACTGATGGATACAGTCTTTATGATCCTTCGACACAAAACTAGACAGATTAGCTTCCTTCATGTTTATCATCATTCATCTATGGTTCTATTGACTGATTACGCTGCAAACTATTCTTCCTGGCCGGCAATCACTCCAATTATTGCTTTAAACGCCGGAATTCATGTACTCATGTACTTTTACTACGCCTTATCGGCATACGAACCAAATCAGCCTCCTGTTTGGAAGAGAAGACTAACGGAAATACAAATAATTCAATTCATATTTGATATGATATTTGCTTTCTATGGATATCTCTATCACAATTTCTGCATCTATGGAGTCATATACGGAATAATAATGATTTATTTATTCGCCAACTTCTATCGAAATGCCTATTTAAAGAAGAGAAGAATTGAAAAGAAAATTCAATGATAACTTTTTCTATTATCTTTATACAGAAAGGAATTAGTGTCTAACTAATAAATAGTTATTTTTTATATAATAAGCAAACAAACAAGCAAAACTTTTTGTTGTCTAAAGTAGTATTCAACTATTCTTTCATATACTACTTATGGAAGTAAAATGTTCTTCTAATAGAACATGACATTAAATTAAAAGAAAATACTACAAACATAGAATTTTTATATCTATTTTTTTATACTAAAATCTATAATAATTGAAAAATGTAGCTTTTATAAATGTGTATTGTTAACTAATAAACTTAATGGAATTGTTTAAATAATGTAAAAATGCTTTTAAAAAAAGAAAGTTAAAAACTTTTTTTTTAGCAGACTGAACAAACAAGATTATCATTTTTACGAAGAATATACGAAATATACTATAATTTGATTAGATAAATTAGTCTTTATTTTAATTATTTTTAATTAATTCGATCCAAATATTTTCTTATTGTCATTAGGGATTGATATATATATATAGATATTCAAACGAGGGCTCCTGACTCATAAAATGAAAGGCTTAACGGTAGATTAATAAGTTGTATCCCGAATCAGACAGCTTTTTTTCTTTTCTTGCAGCAGCGACAGTTGCCAACCATTTTTGATTACAAAAATATTTGCATTCCTCTAGGTTAAGGAAAACTATTTTGACGCATGTATTATTAACCGAGCAATTACAAAAAAGGAATACTTGGATATATATATATATATATATATATATATATATATATTTATTTATTTATAATAAGCATTTACATTACAGTTTATTAATATTCATTAATTGGACGATTTAAATTATGAGTCAGGTGTATTAATATCCATACGCAAAACCTTAGAGTGACATTCAAGTAATTCTCAGCAAACCGAACTCATATATATATATATATATATATATATATATGGATACAGAGACTAGAGATAATTACGGCGCTCCTCCACCAGTAGTCAGGAGTACTACTATCGGATATAATGAAGAGAAAGAGCCTTCCCTTGTTTCTCTTATTGGAGGACTGGCAGAAAAAACTGGCATGCATGGACTGCCAAATGTTCAAAGATCCAGCAGTCATTGTCGAAAATTCTTTTGGTTATTTATAACAGTATCAGGCTTAGGTAGGAAGCAAAAGGAATAACAGTCTAATTTAATTAGTCTAACGAAGCACCTTTCTGCGCGTTTCCAGGCTTGCTTATCTGGCAAATAGTGATGGCAGTTCAGCAATTCTATTCGTATCCTACTACTACTACAGAAATATCTCAAAATACTCCATCTCTTCAGTTTCCTGCAGTAACCATTTGTAATTTAAATCCTGTTAGAGTACACGCTATTCATGAAGCCGGTGAGGATATTAGATCACTCTTTAGAGTACGTTAAAAGTAAACTTTCGTATTGGATTCTGTTTGTTGATTGATAAGAAACTTTTCCTTATTACAGGGAAGAGAATCAAATGAAAATGGGGAAGTGAACGATAGGCCTCCGAAGTTTTTTAATTGGGACACAGAAGAAGACGACATAGAAGATGAGGATTTTACAAGGAGTACCAAATTTATTCAATATTTTGCTGCATTGGAACCAAAGGATCGAAAAGCAATTGGCTCTAACATATCATCTCTATTAATTTCATGCACATTTAACGGTCGTAAATGTGGTCCAAAGTAAACTATCAACTTTCAAAAAAGTCCTCTTATTCGGAAATGTTTATATAATGTTTTTCCAGGAACTTTACTTACTTTAGCAACTATTTGTATGGTAATTGTTTTACATTCAATGCTTTCTTATCCAAAAATTCATCTAAACGTTTAGTTAGCAATAAACCCGGACCACTTTACGGTATATTTTTCCTATTTCTTATTATTGTTTGTTCACGATTAATCTTTTAATTTTTTTAAATAGGGCTATCGATGACACTTTTCATAAATCAGGGAGAATATGTTAAAGACGTGGCAGAAACAGCCGGAGCCAGAGTAATTGTTCATGATCAAACAGATATGCCTTTTCCAGAAGATATGGGAATAAGCACTGCTCCTGGAACAATGTCAAGCATTGGTATTCGGCTTATAAAACATTTTAGAGAAGATCCACCTCACGGAAAGTGCAAAAATTTTACATCTTCGGAAATAAAGCTAAGAAATGGTTTTCTACAAGAATTGAAGAATATATCGTATAGTGAACAAGTAAGGTATAATTCTTAACTGTCATTCTATTCAATTAACGTATAAATCCAATAGGCTTGCAAGAAAACCTGTTATCAACAAAACGTTATATTGAAATGCGGTTGTGCAGATCCTATTTATAATTTTGAAGGCGAAGCTTTCGCTTTAGAATCAGCTGCACATAAAGTAGAAATAGAACCTTGCAGACTTGATAATAATACAGAAAGTTAGTTATAAATCATTCTCTAAAGTAGGATTTTTTCAAATTTCTTTTAATAGCAATGTGCAAGAATAAAATTCAGACAGACTTTTCGAATGGAAATTTAAATTGTCAGACAAAGTGTCCTCCGGCTTGTGTGTATGTATTTTTAAGTTGGCTTTTCGTATCTAATCTATATATATATATATATATATATATATATAAATACTGTATATATTTCATCATATTTTTAGTGAAGACGAATATAACTTGGCTGCTAGCTACTCTGCATGGCCGTCAAACGTTAAGATTGTTAGTGTTCACTTTCAAATTCGATAGAGTCTAATTTGTAATTAATTTGTTATTAACTTTATCATTTTAAACTTCGTAGGGAGATACTATAGATATTCTTTTTAATCGAAATGAAGAATTGTATGATCTATTAACGAATAAGCCTGTTGAAGCAAGGAAAAATTTCGTAACTGAAAATGTATTAAAAGTTAACGTGTATTTTTCCTCTCTGTCGTATTCTCAAATTACAACAGCAGCTTCTTATGGGGTAAGTCATATAGTTACAAGATAATGTCATTAATCCTTTCGATCAATGTAATTTTTCTATAGGTGGTCAATCTGTTATCGGACTTGGGTGGTCAAGTTGGCTTATGGCTAGGATTCTCTGTAATAACTCTGTTTGAATTCTTCGAGTTAGCAGTCGATGTTGGATTTTTATGCTGCTATAAGTTCAAATCAAAGTCACTACCAAAAGTTACTCCATGAATAATCAAGCTAAAATGAGGAGAATGTCTAAGAAGAAAGATGATCGTGAATATCTTCTCACTGAGTTAGAAAACTGTTTTTACTATCAAAAAAAAAAGAATTTCAAAAAGATATTGAATTTTGATTGTTCAAAAGTTGATTCATTTACCAAAGAACATTTATGAAGCTACTATTCTCATTTATACTGTTTACAGTCGTTTTTCTATTTCATTTTGTGCCATAATATATCCTGCCATCATAAATAAAATTATTAATAATTTGCAGATACGCCGAAACTAATTTATCGTATGGAGCGATTGTTATTTATAACACTATCATTAAAATTTAACCAATCGTTTTGAATGGGCATTGTAATTGTTTGTAGCAAAGCTTTTAGTTTACGTTATAAAAGTACTTGAACAAGTTTTTTCTAAGTAGAATAAAGCTCCTCATCAGCCTGAATTGAATAGGAGGATTTTAATATTCAATGCTAATTCTGTGTAATTTGTTAAGTTATTGTTATTATAGCCTTGAAAAGGAAAGATAGAGGGAATCTTTTTTTGAAATATACTGAAATAACAATGAAAATTAGTTTCGCAGAAAAGTATTGTTATATCTATTTTACGGAATATATCATATTAAAAGGATAAAAGTGTGGATCCAACATATATGGGTTATTCACCCTTTGTCGTAAACCAGTTAAAGACGAAATACGCATTTCATATTTGAAGCAATCGTTACAATCGTATATAAATACAAGCAAAAGGAGTGTAAAGTTCAGGAAATAGAAATATACTGTATTGATTTTTTCGATTTATCCTCTTAAATAGGGAAATGTAATATTTTAATTATTAAATTAGCAAATATAAGCACGTAGATTTAATGATATCAATTCCTCCCCCACACCCTCTTCCTCCTCCTCTATCAAAATGCTCCAAAAGAATTACATATTAGCCAATTAATATATTGATAAAATAATCGTCTGTACAAAAAGTTACACTCAAGTTCATTGCAGACGACCTAAGTTCACTAATAAATGCAGCAGATGTAAAGAAGTCTCTTAATTAAATACATAATATACTTAAATATCAATAATTTTTCTTTAAAGCTTTTATTAAAAGTGTTTAAGCCATTTCAACATTTTATCGATGAAAAGCCGGGTTAATTTAAAATTAGAATTAAAGATATCAGTTTGGATTATTTGATAATCTATAACAAACAAAGAGTAACATTGGTTATAAACAACAAATAATAGAAATAGTTATTTTACTATTCTTTTATAATTTGTAAATTATTTCCTTTTTAGTTATTAAAGGAGTAATGGAATGATGCTGACGTCAGATGAATTATGTTTAAAAACCGTGATCTAAATATAGAATGTGATAAACATGCGTTTACGTATGTAGGTAGGCCTAATTAACCCCAGAAAGCCTATATCTATACTCTTTTTCTTCATCTCCTGTGCCCGTTGTATATTTTTTTCAATCAATAGCTTCATTGATTATTAAAACTAAATTGCAACATGTGTTCGGAAGAAATTTACGTAAACAATTCAGCATTTTAGAAATAGATTCCGCATCATGAGTAGCTCCGTATCTAAATCTCAATCGTACAGTTCATTCTTATCTCTTAAATCTGATTATGAAGTTTTAGAAGACGATTGTGAAACTGGACAAGAAACCACATGTAAGTTATCGAAAGAAAAGCCAGAAATAATCTTGTTTCTAAACCGACTAAATACAATCGCCTATTATTTCAGATTCGAAGCCAAATGCCCTATCAAGAGTTGTTAGTACAGTTAAATCTATAACGTCAACGGCACAACAAATAAACAAGAAATATACACCTTTACAAGTGTTTAAATCCACGAAATGTAAAACGGATTAGTGACGTATTTATATTCAGCACTACCACGTAATCTATAAATTCCTTAGGCATCCAGAAGTGACTGTATGAAATAAATCTTCAACAACTTAATAAAATTATCCAATTGAAACTAAGGCATGTTTTGAAGAAGATTGTAATTTATATTAATTTCTTTTGAAAAAACGTTCAAGTTTATTATTTCTTTTATTATTTATTATTAGATTTTGTTCTATTCACCTTTATTATGATACTTTATGTAATTTTTCGTTGTTGACCTGTTTTCGATACTGAATATAGTGTTTGCGAGTAAATATATGGTATACGTCATGTGATCTATTATTAAACAGTTCCTCTTAAATTTGTTTTAAAAAAATATGATTATAAACATTCTTATTACTAAAAAATCAATAAATTGGCCAAGAAGAATTAACCTAGACTTTAGATTAAATGTCATTTAGAACTTCAAATATTCACCATAAATATGATAAGGTAGACTATGATAAACTGATAAGAACGGTTCAACTGTACCATTCATAAATATGAAGTCTTCAGATGCCCATTCAACTAAATCAAAAATTAAAGTAAAAAAGTTTAAACATAGAAAAAAATCAAAGGATCATTTATCTGTTCCAAAATTTGATTTAATTACTAGACAACATTCGGAATTTAACTATAATTTGTCAAGTGAACGTGAAATACGTAAAATTCCAGGTCTAGAGGAATTTAGCTTCAAAAATCCTCAGGTATAGAATAAAAAATCTCTTCTTATTGTTTGATATATTTGAAAGAAATCTCTATTAAGATTAATTAAAGGTAGCAGATTTAAAGCTATCGCCTATACATTATGCGGCATGGTATAATAAAAGCGAAGCTGTTGATGTACTTATTGAATGTGGGATAGGTAAACATTCGGTTTATATATGGAACAACTACTAAAATGTATAATTTGGATAATTAGATGTGCACGTAGGCGATCTTGAAGGAGCAACGGCCCTACATTATGCTGCTAGAAATAAACAGGCAATGTTCAACACATCAGACTCAAGTCGGAAGGTTCATCTTTTACTTAAGGAGAATTTAATATACTCATCACTTTCTAATCGTTACTTTTAGGGTGATAAATCGGCGTATAAAAAAATTATACGATCACTTATGGATGCTGGATTATCAATTAACGAAGAGGACGAGGCTGGTGGAACTCCTCTAATGTATTCCATTCAGAGAGGAAATATTCCAGTTGTTCTTGAACTTCTCTCCATCCATGGAATTGACTTGAATGTTTGTAAAAAAACTTTATCTTTGTAAAATAATTGCCATTATATTTATGTTACGGTAGCATTCGGACAAAAGAGGCTTCACAGCAATGCATCATGTTGCTAAATATAATAGAATTAATATTTTACCTCACTTGATGCGGGCAGGAGCAAGAATCGACGTCGAAGATGAAGATGACTACACACCCCTTCATGTTGCAGCGTATGAAGGAAACGCCGAAATTTCAGAATTATTAATTAAAACAGCAAACAATAAAGAATATGTAAATAGATTAACTAAAAATAGCGAAAGCGCATTAGATTTCTCTGTAGAGAATTGTCATAGGGACACTTTCAAGATTCTAGTCGACAACCATGCAAAAATAAACAAAACTTGCAGAGGCGAAAAGCTAACTCCACTTCACCTTTCTGCAATGTCTGGTGATACCTTAATAGCCGATATGATTCTGAAGAGGGAACCAGCCCTTCTGAATTCTTTGACTTGTGAAGGGCGTAGTGCTCTCCATAAAGCTGCTTTGAACGACCAGGTTGCTGTAGCGAATAAACTCATAAATAGGTTTAATTAAATATTTAAAATGTTAGATTTCCGGAGAAAAATTTTTCTTTCTTCATCTCCTAAAGGGGTATTGAAATTAATTTGGAAGACCATCAATCCTTTACTGCCTTGCACGCTGCTTGTCAAGAGGGAAGTAAGAAAGTTGTAAGCTTACTACTCGAAAATGGGGCAGATGCCGCGAATTTAACAAATATGGATAGATCAGTTATACATTTAGCTGCTAGACACAACAGAGATGCAGTTTTAAAGATATTGTTGGATTTTATGAAAAATGCCGGTATAATAGATAAATTCATCAGTGGAGACGACAAAAGAGGCAATAGTCCACTCCATTTGGCTGCCAAAAAAGGGTATTCTGATGTTGTAGAAAGACTACTCAAGAATGGTGCTGATGTAAGAAATAAAAACGAAGACGAGGAAACCGCAATGCATGTTGCAGCAAAATTTGGTAAAGTTTTGGCGCTAAAGAAAATGATGGACTGTACAAAAGACAAAAGTATTGTTAACGATGAGGACGAAGATGGCGGGACACCTCTTCACCATGCTGCAACTGCTGGCCATACAAAGACCCTGCAATTGCTTATAAGATCCGGTGGTCACGTAAATCATAGGTAACAATTTTTAGCATTGCGATGCCGTTAGTCAAACATTTCCTTCTTAGAAACCGTTTTATGTGGACTCCCATTATGTGCGCAGCTGAATCGGGACAATCTTCAGCAGTAACTATATTATTAAACAATGGATGCGAAATAGATAGTTTGGATAGATATAGGGTTCGTTAATGATTTTGTACAGTTAACCTTGTACCATTTATACCTATTACCTGCGTTTTGTAGCATTCAGCCCTTCATATTGCAACTGGAAGAGGTCATCCTGCTGTGGTAAAAGAATTACTAAATAAAAACTTTCAGGTGGATATTCGAGATACAAAAGGATTAAACGTTCTTGATATTGCTATACAATATAATCAAAAGGAAACAGCAATGATCATAATAAACAGTTCTCAATGGAGAAAATCTTTGAGAAATTTGAGGTGGGAAGATGAAAAGATGATTACTCCCTTTCGTCAACTAGTTAAAAAAATGCCCGATGTAACAAATAAAGTTTTAGAAAAGTGTATAGACTTCAACAAAGATAAGGATATAAAGGCTAAAGACCTAAAAATAACATGCGATTTCGAATTTATAGATGATACCTATACAAGCGTTCTCTGGGCAGATGGGAAAAAAGACTGCCCAGAATCAGTAGGTACTTAAACACAAATTTTTCTGTTACTTTATTATCCAAGTCTAATCGTAAAAAATGAAATAGATAACTTATATGACAAGAGGTGGCATCTTGTCCCAGATGCTGAACCATACACAAAAATTGCCGCCGTCCGTCAAGAAAACCATCCTCTTTCGATTATGGTTAGATCGAAGAGAGCCGATATGCTATATCATCCACTCGTTTTATCTTTAATAAGACATAAATGGAAAATGGCTCAAATAACATATTTCAGCTTCCTTATTTATTATGTCTTCTTCACGTTTTTATTAACGGCCTATATGGTATCCCACAGACCACCTTATATGATGTAATGAGTAGTATCTATTAATTAATTGATTAGATATCTTATTCAACAAAATTTTTCTAGGAATTCAACATTAATGGAAAAAAATATGACTTCTGTTTGTATACAAGTTTTAGATGACGATGCAAAAACAACTAATTTAGCAATGAACACGGCTGAAGCGACAGTAACTACTTTGGTAATGTGGATATTTTCGATAATAGGAATTATAATTGAGGTTAGAGGAGTTTTTTAATTTATAAATGAAATATACGTTATAGAAAAGCTATTTGATGAAAATATATTTACAGTTAGTTCAAGTTTATAATACAAGATCGCAATATATTCAAAACGCAACCAATATTCTAGATTGGTTCAGTTATATTTCATCTGCAATTGTTATAGCTCCAGTTCATCCTTGCGGAATTAGACTGGTAAGTAGAAATAATAAAATGAGTAATATTTTAAATGAGTGTCTATTTTTTTCCTCTTCACTTTAAAAGCCTTGGCAATGGCAACTTGGAGCCGCATGTATGTTTGTTATGTGGATAAACTTAATATTGTTTCTTAGGAGACTTCCTAGAGTTGGTATATATATTGTTATGGTTGGCGAAGTCTTTATAACTTTTGCAAAGTTTTTCATCTTTTGCTTCTCTTTATTCATTTTTGCGTTTGGATTTTCCTTTTTTGTATTATTGAGAAACCAACATCAATTTTCAACGCCGGGTTATGCTTTTGTTAAGGCTGGTGTTATGATGATAGGTGAACTCGACTTTGGTGCAATATTTCATGCAGATAGCGAAAATGATCCCGGATCAAGAGTACACTACGAAGGTGTTACGTATGCTTTATTCGTAACATTTCTTATATTAGTCACAATTATCATAACAAATTTATTGGTAAGTCTTGTCTTTCATCCCAAAATAGGCACTACGTTTGTCTTTTTTATTATTATTTTAGACTGGTTTAGCGGTTGGCGATGTTCAAGAGATAAAAAATCAAGCTAGACTAAAGAAGCTGGCTATGCAAGTTGAATTATCTTTAGACGTTGAAATGTCACTTCCAGAGGCTCTTAGAAAGAAGTTCAATTGTGTCATTGGAAAATCAATCATTCGACCGAATCATTATTCTTCTAAAATAATGACATTAATTAAGGTTTTTCTATCGGGTCCTCTATCAGCAATAGCTATTACGAAGGCTGTTTACAAAAGCGATAATACAAATGTTTGTTTCTCTTTAAATAATTTAACAGTAGCCGTTTATTACATTTTCTTTAAAATCATTTTATTTAATAAAGGAGGATGAAGGTCAAACTATAGAAGACTCTCATACAGAATCATATAACTATATAAAAGAACAGGTCAAAACGATTAATTCTAGAATGGACAAAATGGAAACTATGCTAAAGAGTCTATTAGGAACTTTAAGGAGAGATACAGATAGCGATTCAGGAGCGATGAGTAGTTATTAAAAATGACTTTTACTAAGTCTTTGATTGCAAAATAATGATTAATTAAAGAATATTAGATTTATTGTTAATTTTAAAGAAAAGAATAAATTATTTTGAAATTTTATAGCCCACGAATAATAGTATAAAACATAAAACTCAGCCAAAAACGTTCGATAAAAAAGAACATTTAAATGAAAAGTCCGCCTTTTTTGTGAAAACTGGTATAATATGTTGGCTATGACCAATGCGTGGCGATAAAATAAAATAAGAGAAACTCGAAGAAAATCACATCATCAAAAGGTTTGTAGATATTTAAATAAAAATAAATATAAAATAATTCTAATAATGACGTTTATGATGTTAAAATATTTATTATGCTATTGTTACAGAATTCATCCTTAATTGAATTTTTTTACACAGAATAATAGCATTAAATATTGGGAGAGAAAAAATTTTTTGAAACCTAAGAATCACTAAAATCAGGAAAAAATTTATCAGATATGGATTGCATGGATAATACTAAGAAGGGTGTTAAGGTATAATTAGTTAAATATAGTATATACTCCCTTGATAAGTCTTGTATTACTTAAAATATATAATCGTACAAAACCATACAAAAGGTTATTTATCATAAAACAGACTATGTAATAATCTTAGACTTTTTAGAGTTGCTTGACATAAATTAATTTAGGTTTCAGACAATTCTGAAATAATATCCAATGGTAAAACTGAAACGATGCTTTGTAATAATGTTAAAGAGAAATATGATATAGTAGGCTCGAAGAGTTCTTTATTATTAGAGGAAAGAAAGAGTAATGCAACTTTTGAACGTTTCTTGCAAAGTGTTATATCGAAATTCAACGAGGTTGAAATAGTATAGACTGTTATTATCATAGATAAGATAAATAGGAAATCCACTTTCCATCTGCTTGATAGGTTTTTTTTATATTTTTTTCAGGAAACTTCTGATAATACAAGTCTATCGCAGTTAAATTTGAAGATAGGCTTTATTGGTGCCGGAAAAATGGCTCAAGCCATTTGTAAAGGCTTCATAATATCAAAATTAATTAAAGCTGAAAATGTTTCGGCTTCGTCAACAGGAATGAACACCTCAAATGTTGAGTCCATGAAAAACATTGGTGTCAGAATGGCTAACTCAAATGCTGATGTTATGCACTCGTCTGATATTATTATAATAGCAGTTAAACCTCATATAGTTTCAACGGTTCTTCAAGAAATTAACTGCATAGAAATGAAAAGTAAACTTTTTGTATCTGTGGCAGCAGGCATAACACTGGAGAAGATTGAAGAATTGCTACCCAAAAATACTCGAGCTATTCGTGTAATGCCAAACACACCATGTTTGGTTCAATGTGGGGCCAGTGTTTGTTCACCTGGTAGTTCTGCCACAAAAGAAGATTGTGACATGATAGTGAAACTCATGTCATCAATAGGTATTTGCCATGTTGCACCCGAGAGACTTTTGAATGGTGTAACTGGTTTAAGTGGTTCAGGACCAGCGTACGTTTTCCAAATGGTAGAAGCTATGTCCGACGGGGGAGTGAAACAAGGATTACCTAGAGATCTCGCTACAAAATTAGCTGCTCAGACATTAATGGGTGCGGCGAAAATGGTCTTAGAGACAGGCCTACATCCTGGAGCTTTGAAAGATGCTGTCACTTCACCAGGAGGTACTACAATATCTGGCCTCCATGAGTTGGAAAAAGGTGGACTTAGAGCAGCGTTAATGTGCGCCGTTGAAGCAGCTGCGAAGAGAGCTAGTGAACTAAGTCATAGTTAATTTTTGCATTTATTATTTGAAATAATCCAACAACAGACCTAAAAGAAAAAATAAACATCTTAGAATTTATTACGAAAGGGCATGTAAGGCTTCAACAGCTGGAGTCAAATCAATCAAATTATTAGATTTTTCGGCTAATTCGGTTATTGACACTCTTCCTCTTCGACGAATAAAATCTGCTACAGCTTGAAGTTCATCTCTAGTTATAAATATGAACTTTCCTCGATCATCTAATACACCCGTTAATCTTTCATCTTCTTGTAGGGTATTTATTCTATCGATAGCATCTTGAGTTTTAATTTTAAACTGAGCCGCTAGATCCTCCAACATAACCACTTTAACTTGCTGAAAATAAAATAGAAGGGTTAATTAATTTTAATTTTAAAGAAATGTATAAAAACTTAAAAGAAAGAATTTTTACTTGAATGTAATCGATGAATTCTTGAAGAAGGGATTCACTCTAAAATTTGAAAATAAATATGTAAAAATACTTAATAAAAGTGCTTGAATAATTTACATTTGTTTCCTCTTGGGCATCTTCACCTTCTTCATCTATAGAAAAAGCCTCTTTTAGTTTCAAGTATTCCTCATGTTCCCTTCTTTCCTGTTCTTCTTTCAATCTTTTCTCATCTTCTTCCTTTTTAGCATTTGAATAAAATATTTCGTTTAAGATAAATTTATATATTTACCCTTTCTTCTTCTTTCAACTTCTCAATTTCTTCCAACTCTCTTCTTCGCTTTTCTCTCTCCTCTTCACGCTTTTTTCTATCCTCTCGTTCTGCCAAATCAGCTTCTCTTTGTCTTCGTTTTTCCTCTTTTTCTTGTAGTTTTCTTAATTTTTTAGCTCCCACTTTTCCTTCCGGCAAAACCAGCTCCGACTCAAAATCGTCTTCTGTTATTAAACTCTTTAGCAATTTTAGACTCTTTCACCACACTAACCTTCTTCATCCCGAATTGGAGCTCGTCTGTTTCTAACTCCTCTCCCACCTGGTTCTCGTCTCCTGCCGCCGACTACGGGAACTCGTCTGGCATCCTCTTCTGATGCTTCAACTTCGACTGTAACATATGTTTTCTTGTTAGAAATTGAACGAAAAATTGATTTGCACAAAAATAGGAACACTCTTGACTATATTGAAAACCGAAAGGTATTTTTGAACTGATAAATAATTTGTTAACAAGAGTGAATTCTTACCTGAGTTACCATTTTGTCTTTTTAGCAATGTGAGTAGGGTAATCAAAATTGCTATTATTATCCCGATAACAAGATATACGAGGGGATCCATGATTGTACGCAAGCACTGACGTTTAAGTTCGGATTTTTAGTTAAACAACAACTTTTCTAATCAAAAAAATGTTATAACTTAAGATATTTTTTATTCTATACTTTCAATATATTTTAATAAAAATTGTATAATATTTCATAAGACAAAGTTGAATTGAGTAAATTGTAAATTTTACAAATTTGGCAGGAAATTAAGAATCTTCCATTTTGAATATTTAGCGGTAAATTTTAAATTATATATTTTATTCATTTTAAATCAATTAACAATATTTAAGGATCAAATATCAAACTACCTCAAAAAGAATAATAAATTAAAATTTAGTAATAAAGTATTACATTTAAAAGTTTCTTTTTTTTTATGATAACTGACTTTTAGTACAAATTTAAAATTTCCAAAACTATTATCAGTTTATATTCAAGTAGTCATTTTTTTAGAATATTTATCGAAAACAGTATTTTTTTTACCTTAGGTATTGTAACAAAATGGGATTTTCAGCAATGAGTTAAAAAGTTTGTTTATATCACAAAATATGTATTTTTAAAACAAATCTCTTTTAGATATGAAAAGTAGGCTATTGAGCCGTATTTACGTCATTATTCTTAAGATTATGTTGTACCTTTCTGAATCTTCTATTGCTTTTACTTTTGCTATCCTAAAAATGTACCTTATCTAGTAAACAATGATAAGATAAATTCTCACTCTGAGGACAGAAGCCATCATGTCGCCTTCAACAATCTCTATTGTCGCTATATCTGTTTTAGTTTGTATATTTTTTGGTACCCTTGTGAGTCTCGTCGTAATGTGTAAGATGAAATTTCAACGACGAAAATCTAGTGATACAAGTGACGAGTGTTCTCTTTATGATGGGGGTATTAGTTCAGTATCAAGTATTGATGAATACAACGATCCCCAAGCAGAAGCCCGAATAGCTGCCAACATGCAGTTACATGAATTTTCTGTGAATAATACAAACCTTGATCGCTTATTACAAGATGAAGAATGGGTAGAAGAAATGATGAGTCTCGCTCCCTTTTGTTTACAAATCTTAAAAAATTGTCATGCTCTTACAACTAAACTAAAGACAATGACTGTCAGTCAAGCCAAGGAAGTAAGTTACTGAGAAGGTTTTTTATCTCAAAAGTTTTAGCTATTATTTACGTTCTGCTCAGATAAAGCCTTTGGAAAAGTTGGAAGAAATTATCAGAGTAGCTAAGATGATGACTCCTCGTGTTGATGATTTAATATATAGTATGTATTCCCCTTTGGACCACCACTTACTCGAAGTCAAGTAAACTATCTTATCAGTGACTAAAAGAAACTTTCACTGTTAGCTAATATAATTTATTCCATTAGGTCTAAAAGACTTATTCAGATAGTTAACCAGCTCGTTGTTGTAACTCGAAATGTTCTCAGGTTGGGGGATTTTGAAGCCTTTGTAAACGTTTGCCTTGCTGACCTAGACCGCTTACTCAATGTAAGGACCATTATCAAATCTATTACATAAGAAACTCGATTTTTTTCTTAATAAAGGAAATAAGAGGTTATGCCGAAAGTATTGAAAGAAGTTCAAGGAATAGAGAAGATCTCAGCTATGTTAACACCAACTTCCAACACGATTGTGAAGCTGCTATATAAAATGATCTACTCTTTAGAACCTGTAAAGTTTTATCTCCTTCAGTATTTTGTAAAAAGTAATATGTAGGTGAACAATTGTGCATGTAACACATGTAGAAGTGTAAATTTACTATGAAAGTTCTGCATTTATCTTGATAGAAAGATTTTTTTTTATTATTATACTTATTCACTTATGTTCAAAGGTCTTTTCAAAACACTCATGAATACAGCTTATCATGTCAGTCGTCGTCATTGATCTACCAAACCTTTTAAATCCCGCAAGGGAACATTGTCTTGTTAATACACAACCTCCAAACGCTGCTAGGACGGTTGCTGGAAGTGGAAGATTATTTTTCGAAGCAGAAATCCAAGCGAGAAATAGAGCCATAGACCCAGAGAGAAGATCTCCTTGACCACCACATCGTCTAGTACTACCCTTTTCGCTACATCTAAGAGCTATGTAATATGAAATACAATAATATTACATTTTCCAATCTTACTAAGATTCTTACTATGCGTCCCATCAGAAATAACGTCCTCTGCACCTTTTCTGACGATAGTTACACCACCTAGAGCCAAGCATGTACTTTTAACAGCTTCATCAAGACCTTCATCACCTTCAAATTTTCTACCATGCTGTTTGTTTTAAACTTTAGAATTTAAATATAAACAACTGGCAACAAACTTACAACTTTCTGGAAAAGATTATTGAATTCAACAGCATTAGGAGTTAGGATTAGATTCTTATTATCTTTGACTAAATTTAAGCGGTCTGATATACAATAAACTCCATCCTACAGATAAGATATATCCAAATTAAACAAAGAGAGAGGCTTATAGAATATACAAACGGCGTCAATAACCATAGGCTTTTCAAGTGTTCTTATTGCTTCAATTACTTTCGATGTTGTATTTAACAGCTTTTCCTCGCGTCCTAACCCTGGCCCTATGACTATTGAGTGCAATTTCGGTATCCATTTCTTTATTTCACTGTCAACATCAGGTGAATCACTGAGGAAATAAGCAAGTAATGAGCTATGAAGTATACTGAAGTATAATTCTTACAGAACAGGATGTACTATAAGTTCTGGAGAATAAGATTTGATGACGGGAGCAGCCGCTTCGGCACAAAAAACATGACTCAAGTCTCCTCCCTTTCAAATATTACTTTATTAATAATGTCAAAAAATTAAATATTTTGTTATCTAACCATTTTTAAAATGGTTATTGCTGCAAAATAAGGCGCACCGGTATATTCTCTGCATCCTCCAACTACTCCCAAACGACCGCAATTTCCCTTATATAGATTTTCACTTAAAACGGGAACGCATTGACGGATACTTTGCAAAATGTTAGACGCTGACATATTTCTATTGCAGCAGATGTATTCAAACTAAAAACAGTTGTTGGTTAAAAATAATTGGAATTGGGACTATAAAAACTGTGTAGCGGTATTTATACATTTGTGTTCATTAAGTAATTATCTGCATACCTGATCTTTTTAAAGAGTTCAAAGCTTTAAGCATTTAGTTCTTTTTCTCAGTTTTAGAAATTCTTAAGGGTATTCTTTGAAGTAAACGAATATTAAATTGAACGCCCTCTGCCAGATTACGAAACGGAAGTGATGGAATTGCAAAATATTCTGACTTTGTGACAACTGGTATTAAGGGTTCTGTAAACGAACGAAATAAGAAATATTATTCAACATTTAGGATATGAGAATTTGTCAATCGACATATTTTGTACGCTAGATTGTCTTGTTAGGAAAGGAATGTTCCTGCTTTTATAAATTAATTGACGAAAATTTCTACTATTGTAAGTATTTCTTTTACTTAAATAATACTTAAAACATTTTAAATTGACAATCGGTTTTTTACTGCTAAATCTGATCATCAGTTTTAATAAAGTATTCTGCAACCAAAGAGAGAGCATTTAATTTTATTAGTTATATATAACATTTGAATGACGCAGATAGCGTACACTATAATATAGGGCGAAATATGAAAAACTCGTAGGGCACCATTAAATGCATATTCTTAATAAATAAAACGGTTTTAGGTGTTAGTTATCAAGAATCATGGCTGGAAGAGAAGAAGAATTCTCCATCATAAGACCAAGTCTTATTCGTCAATTAAAGTCAATTTTGGATCAATATCCTGATGATGGTCAAATATTAAAAGTATTATCTCGGTTCACTAGAATCCATCTTTTTTAACGACATATGTATATTGCAGGAGTTGCTTCAGAATGCAGAAGATGCTGGTGCAACTACCATTAAATTCCTCTATGATGAAACGAATTATGACTCATCGAATCTAAAAGAATTTCAACATCCTGATTTATCGAATTTTCAGGGACCCGCGCTTTATGCTTTTAATGATGCAACGTTTACAAACAAAGATTGGTTAGGAATTCGTATGCTGCAAGACAGCGTAAAAGAAAAAGATCCACTTAAAGTTGGGCGTTTTGGTCTCGGCTTCAAATCTGTATTTCATATGACTGATCTGCCGTCTGTTATCAGTAAGAATAAACTAGCATACATTGACCCCCACGAAAAATATTTTACTTTTGATGGAGAGGCGACAACAGGATATTGTTGGAACATTGACGAAAGGAATAGAGAAATGAATCAATATCCCAGCCAATTTAAACCATTTAAATCCATATTTGGATGTAATGAGGAGAATTTCAAACGCGGAAATTATTCAGGAACACTTTTCAGATTTCCTCTAAGGAAGATTCCATCAGCTCTATCAAAAACTGTTTATGGTTCTACGAAAATCCTCAATTTATTTCAGAGTTTTAAACAAGATGCGCATTTGCTCTTAATATTTCTGAAAAATATAAAAAAGATCGAATTATGCGTCAGGCAAAATTCAACTATAAGGACAATATTTCAAGTAAACTTGGATGAAGAGACTTGGAAATTTAAACAAGCTATAAAACTGAATTTGGTGCGAAATATTGATTTTCTAAAAACGTATAGGGGAACAATTGAAACTATAGATTATGAAAGCAACGCAAAGAATAAACAATCTTATTTTATTACTGAAAAATTCTCTTCGAAAATTCAAGACGAACAATTGAAAGACTTATTAAAAAATGTTGGGCACAAATATATACCGATCGTTGGCACTGCAATGCCTATTGTAACTAGTGAGAGAGATGTTACTGGACAAGTTTTTTGTTTTCTTCCCCTACCTTCCGAACAGAAAACTGTTAGTGGTCTACCCATTCATGTTAATGGGCATTTTGCCGTCAGTCAAAATCGACGTCACCTAAAGTGGTCTAGTCATCCAAATCAAAAGCTATTAAAAACAGATGTAGATCTGTTATGGAATAGATATTTACTTGGACAGATGCTACCGCAATGTTATTGCACAATGATTTTAAAAGCAATCGAAAGTAACAAAATGGGTCAGTTAAATGTCGAAGATATTTTAAGTTCCTTACCAGATTTAAGATTAGTTTTTGATCATTGGAAAATTATCTTACAACCTTTTTATCAGACTTTATTTAAAGAATCATTCCTCTTCTCTGAAGTCTTGAATGGTAAATGGTTGCACATAAAAGAAGCTATTTTCGATTGTATGAAAGACGAAAGCACGGTCGTGTTAGGTGTACGCAGACTTCTTCTTGATTGTCAGGTTCCTGTGGTAAAAGCTCCAGAACATATATTACATGCTCTCAGTACATTTTATAACAATGATTTATTTATGATAACTCCAGACTTGGTTAGAAGAGTTATTTTGAAGCAAAAGAATTTTGAACAAAAATTTGATTGTTCCTCAAAATTATTGGTACTCAAATATGTTGTTAAAGATCATGATTATAATAGTTTGATTAATTTGCCTTTGTTACCGCTAAAAAATGGCTCGTTTACTACTTTTCTTCCAAAATCAAGCCAAAATCAATCCATATTTCTTATGGAGAAAAACGATCCTAGGAAATTATTTCTTGGCATCGATCATTTGCTAGTTCGAGATGATATTGACACGTCTCTCTACGAAGCGCTAAAAAGGATATGTAAAGAAGGTATTTATCCCTACTTTTATAAAGACAATTGAAAATGAGCTTATCTTTTGTAGGATCTCTACAGTTGACGGATTGTAAGAAGAGTAATCTCAGTTTTCTTATTAAGCAAGTTTTATTGGAAAATAACTGCGTATTTAGGCAAGAAAAGCAGGACATTCTAACATTATACCAGTCTGTTTTAAATGCTGAATGGTTCGAAAACCTTTGGAAACATTTATGCCGTGAATTTTCGACAGATTTGTCCAATTTCGAAAAACTTCCAATTATTCTTCTAGAGTCTGACGATAATTCAACGCGATTACTAAAATTAGATGCTGGTCCTTTAACTCTGTTAAAATCAGCTATGGGTATTACTTTGCCCGAAAAAGTATTATACTTCTTAGAAAAATCAGGGCTTTGTATTTTGGAGGGAATTCCAAATTTCGTAGCATCTCATCCTCTAATGCTAGGCAATTATGTAAAACTACCAGTATTCGAAGATATTATGGAGGCTCTTTATTCATCTTCGCAAAGTTGTGATAAAAATTCCTGGAGAGATAATATTAGGGAGAATTGTACGTCTGAAGAGAGAGAGGCATTTAGAGAGTGGATAGTCTCGAATCGAACTCAAAAAATTCAATCGAAACATATAGAACTTTTAAAAAATATGCCTCTTTTTGAAACAGTTGGGAATAAACCTTTCGTTGTCACAGCATGTGAAGTTTCAAAAGCCGCACCAGCTGAAAAACTTCCTATTCAGATGTTTTCACCTCATATCAACGTCGCAGACAAGAATGCATCCATTTTGGCAAGAATGTGTAATGTTCAAGTTATTCAAATAACTGATATTTTAGTACAACTAGTTCTACCTGCGATGAGTACTAATACATATCAACCGGACGAGGTTGAAGCATTCTTTCTGTATATTGTCCAAAAATTTAACGAATATTCGAAATCTAAAGAATTTTGTGCTACTTTAGCAACAGTTCCATGTGTCAAAACTGATTCTCAAACGTTTCTTACTCCATCAGAGGCGTTTGATGATTCAAGTGAAACGGTGAGGAGCATTTTTGCTCTTCAAAAACTTTTTCCAATAGGATTGTATGCAGAAGATAATTCTAGAAGTGTTCTGCGTAGATTAGGATTAAAAGGAGAAAAGAACATTACGGCTGAGGATCTTTTAGAAGCAATATACTGTGTAAACCAGCTTTTAATTGAAGATGAAAGTGTGAAGAATAAATCAAACTTGACAAATAATACTGTGAATGAAGATCTAGAAAATAGTTGTACTATGAAACAGGATATTTTAAATAAAGCTATTGCAATTACCCTCTTTTTGGAAAGAAATATAAAATTATCTTCAAATTCTTGCTTCAAAAGCAGCTTGTCTACTTTGAAAAAATCGCGATTTATTCCAATTTGTCAATTGCCTCCAGACAATTATCCGAAATCTCTGAAATGGAAGGCTGAACAAGATAATTACCTATCAAAACCAACAGAAGTTTATGGAAGAAGATGGAGCAGAATTTGTGGATCTGTCTCAAATGTTACAAGTAAAAATTTATCAACTGAGTTAGAAGACAACTTGGGTATTGAGAAGGAACCACCTCTTCATGTGGTCATAAAACACTTACAAAACATCAAGAATTGCTATATTTCCGAGGAAAAAGTTAACTATTTGCCATTGATTATCAACGTTTATGAGTTTATTTTTTCAAAACCCGTTGAAAAGCTAAGGAAAGCTTTAGAAGATTTAAACTTTACTCAGTTTTTATGGAGTGGTGATGGATTTTGTTCCGTAGATTTGATGGTTTTAGAAAAATTTCAAGTTACTCTAGAACCTTTTTGTTTCTTTTGCCCATCGGAGATGTTGAAATATATAAAAATTCTTAAAGAATTAGGGGTTGAATCAAAATGTTCGATAAAAACTTTACTGAAAGTTCAACATAGAATGTCGAATAAGATGAAACAATGTCAAGATGGACAATTTGATTATAAACAAAACTTACAAATGACAATTGATATACTAAACTATATGAAAGATTTGGAGGAAGCTAAAGGTCAACTTCAAAAATTTATCCTTATTCCCGTAAATCATCAACAGGGCTTTCAATTTTTTCCTATTGAAGAGACAAGCTACTGTGATCTTGACTGGCTCAGACAAGGCTTTGATATGGCTATTGACGAGGGTGATGATATAAAATTGGCTCACAATTTACTGCCTGCAACAACTTGTGAGGCATTAAATGTTCCAACTTTAATGAGTAGAATGTTAGATGCTGAGGAACTTTGCTTTACCGGATTTGGGCAATCTGAACCGTTAACAACCCGACTTAAAGCGCTTTTAGACGATTATACAGATGGACTAGCTGTTCCAAAAGAGTTGATTCAAAATGCTGATGATGCTGGAGCAACAGTTGTAAAATTTCTTTATGACGAAAGAGAGAACGAAAGTTATAGACAGTACTTGTTGGATGAAAGAATGAGTGAATGCCAAGGACCAGCTTTTTGGTCTTACAATAATGCCAAGTTCAGTGATAATGATTTCAAGGCAATTACACAATTGGGAGGGGCAACAAAGCTGGAGAGAACGGATAAAGTTGGAAAGTTTGGATTAGGATTTAATGCAGTCTACAATCTAACTGATGTTCCTAGCTGTGTCTCTAACGATCATCTTGTTATTTTCGATCCCCACTTGAAATATTTAAGAAAAGCAGTAAGAGACTGTACAAAACCTGGTATTAAAATAGCAATAAAGAATTCAAGAGCTCTCCTGAAAAAGCTTCCTCATCAATTTCATACTTATCAAGATATATTTGGATGTAAAATATGTTCGGAGAAATCACATAAATTTTCAGGAACCTTGTTCCGTCTGCCTCTTAGAACAAAACTTCAGGCTGCTCAATCGGAGATAAGTTCAAAGTTTTATGATGAAAATCAAATGAGAGTGTTGTTAAATTTGCTCATCGATCATGCTCAAAGTTTACTCCTTTTTACACAAAGTGTAACAAAAATAGAATTACATCATTTAAAGAAAGATGGAACTACTGAAGATATATCTAAAATATTTGAAGTTTCAAAATCATGTAAAGTAATTTTAGCTCCACCACCAGTTGATTTCAATTTTTCAGATGATCGAGAGTTGTTGCGAAATGTTTCTTCCTTGCTCAAAAACTCAGCTGATTTCTTAAAGAATAAAAGACAATCAAACTTGAATAATTTCCAATGGTCTTATATTCTACAGATGTCATTTAAGAGTGGTTTGATTTATGATGGAAAACAGGATGAAAATCCTAGCATAACTGATAAAGAAAAGGAAGTTGAAGTGAACAACTCGGAAGCTTCAGAAGAAAATAAGACGAATGATGATAGCACTAATAAAACATTAAAAACCAATAACAATGCATTACTATTAAATACGAAGGCATCAGCAGATGATTTTTGGCTAATTAGATGTGGTATGGGTATTGAAGAGAGTCTCACGCTATCCTTGGAGAATACACAATACGGATTTAATTCTGCTTGCTCGGTTGCAATTGCTCTCCAAAAAGTTGAAAGTAATTTTGTTCCAATCGCACTACAGAACTCTCAACTATTTTGTTTTCTTCCACTTCCGATACATTCAAAACTTCCTGTTCAAATTAATGCACTCTTTTCTGTTCAATCAAACAGACGAAGCTTAAATTATAAGACAATCGATGATAAGGAAAATATTAAGGTGCTTTGGAATGAACTGCTGCTTAAAGATGCTGTCAATAGAGTGTACATGAAAGCTATAGAGGATGTACGACGTCTCCTACCTAGTGAGTTTTCATTCGAACTATATTCTCTATGGCCAAGTGATGTACCGCATCTTCCAATGTATTTGGAACCACTTATCCAAGCATTTTACAATAACGTAGCCTGCTTAGAAAAAGTTCCACTTTTGGAAAAAAATGGAAAGACTGTTTATTTAAATAATTCGCTATTTCTGGTAGACGAATTGCAAAAGAGTGAAATAATTGAAACTGCTTGTACGTCTATCATTCAAACTGTCTTGAAGGATTTTCACGTTGTTAAGCTATCTGTGTTATTAATGAAAGCTTTAAGGAAAACAGGAAAGAAGTATATAATTGAAGAGCGCTTGATTACTATTTCAAAATTTTTTAAGGAGTATTTTTTTGAGAATCTTGGCATTCTAGAGGAAGAAGATATTTATACAATGATATGCTTTGCACTTCGTTTGAATGATGGAGAAATCAATGCCTTAATATCAGCCTTTGCATGTATACCTGCTGGTCCTAATAAGATTTTAAAGAAACCTTGCGAATTAATTAATCCGACCCAAGAGTTGGCGAAGTTGTATGATGAAAGTGATAATAGATTTCCCAACGGAAAAGAACTGAACGAAGCATATTCCTTAGGACTCCTTCAGAAACTAGGCATGCGATCGAATGATATTTCTTGGGAGGAGACTATAGATCGACTGAAAACTGTAGAGAGAATAGAAAATGAGCAACATCGGATGGACAGAATTTCCTCAATAATATCTTTCCTTGAAATGAAACTTAGAAGAACGTACAATCCGAACAATGATGTTGGTCTGGGATTTGCTATGGACGCTGTGCAAAATATACCCTTTTTGATAGCCAGAAAGAAACCAGAAAATTATCCTCTTGAATGGTTTATAACAGATGAAAAATCAAAATTGTTTACACCTGAAGAAATCTATGAAAAGGAGGATGAGAAACGATTAGGAAGCGTTGCACCCATTGTTGAAGAAAGTGTTGGAAATTTGGAAAATTTTAGTACTCGTTTGAAAAGCTTCTTACGTCTTATTAAGAAAAAGTGCTCCTGGGAACTACTGCAAAAGCAGTTTGAAAATATTTTACATTGTTCATTTGATAAATTAAACGAAAAAGAAAGGAAAGAACTAGAGATATGCTGGTTGAGAACTTTGCGGTCGTTAAATCAGGTTTACCCGAATTTAAATGAAGAAGATAAGACTAAGTTTGAAGATTATTTTATAAACAATGTTAGCGTACAGCAATCTATCTTTGTTGACAACAATTTGGTTAATCCGTGTAAGGTTGCAATGCGTTTAGACAAAGATTGCTCTCCTTATTTATACAGAATACCAGATGGTGTAAAAGATTGTCATAGTTTACTTCTATTATGCGGAGTACGTGAATCATTCGAGATCGAAGATTTTGCAAACAGCTTGACCGAGCTAAAAAATAACTCCGAAGACAAACCTCTGTGCGACAAAGACCTACTAGTAAGCTTGGCATTAACTAATAGTCTATCATCGCTTTTGGAAGTTAGCAATAAAAGCCTAGAAGAAGTGGAAAAGACTAGTGGAACAATCTATGTACCCGATAATGAAGGAATTCTGAGAGAAGGAAGATCTCTTGTTGTTAATGATTGTCCTTGGATGAAAGGGATCAATGGTTCATTAGCTCACCCAAAATTGTCTCATTCGACGGCAGCTTTTTTAGGAGTAAGAACAACAAGGGGTGAAGCAGTAAGACGTTATGCAAAGTCATTGCCATTTGGTCAGAAGGAAAAATTCACAAGCTCTATAAAGAGACTCATCCGTAATATCCCAAAAGATGAGAGAATTTTGTATGAACTCGTTCAAAATGCTGATGATGCAAAAGCCACCGAAATACAAATAGTTCTAGATTATCGGATGCATCAAAGCAAGCTGGTATTTGGAGATGAATGGCGTAAATTACAAGGTCCAGCTCTTATGGTGTTTAACAATCAGCAATTTACGGACAAAGACCTTTATGGTATCCAGCAGTTTGGTGAGGGTAGTAAATTGGAAGATCCAGACAGTTTCGGTCAATATGGTGTTGGATTTAGCAGCGTCTATCATTTAACTGATGTTCCTGTATTATTAACTAGCATTGAATGCAAGAAAACTTTGTGCGTTTTTGATCCTCATTGCCGTTATATACCAGGATCAACATCAAGTGATCCAGGTCTTCGGTTTGATGATGTTGCATCAGTTCAACACGATTTCCCTGACGTTTTTGCACCTTTTAAACTTCTCGATAAAGAGAATGCCACAATCTTCAGATTCCCTTTAAGAACAGCTGATATGGCTCGAACTTCTATAATATCAAAAGTAGAAACTACTGTTGAAGAAGTTCAAACAATTATCGATAGATTAAAGAATATAGCAACTGATTTACTTCTCTTTGCAAAAAATTTAAAGAAAATTACTTTCTTTGATATTGCAGTTTCTGGGTATAAAACTAATGAATATATTGTAAAGTCGTTTCTTAGTCCCGAGGACGAAAGACTTCGAAGTGACTATTATGATAAATATCACATTGGAGTCGCTGACTTGAAGCGCAACCCTTCGAATATAAATAAAATAGAAGTGGAACACGTTTGTTACAGTTTGATGATGAAAGATAGCTTGGAAAGAGAACAAACTTGGTTTGTGTCACAAAGATTTGGCTTTGGTACGATGGTTCCGCAAAACATTGAAGAAGCTTTCATAAACGGAGAATTGAAAAAGATAATACCGAGAGGCTCTCTGGCTTGTCTTTTAAAGAAAACTGTAAGGGGAGAATTGGCTGTCCAAAGTGGTAATCGTAAAATATTTTGCTTCCTGCCCCTACCGCTTTCAACCAGTCTTCCAGTACATGTAAATGCTCATTTTGTTCTTGAGCATGAAAACAGATTAAACTTGGCAAAAGAAGGCTTGGGAGCAGATTGGAATCAAATGCTTCAACGATTCGTATTAGCACCGTCTTATATTGAACTAATCTCGTGTTTAAGGATGAGAGGATTGGGGCATACAATGAGTGATAATTTTGCGCTTGTCGTTCCAGGTTGTAGTAAAGCCTTGATTGAGAGTTCAATGAAGGCTTTCTATGAATTTTGGCCAAAAGCTTCTGAAGATAATATTCTAAATGAACTTGTTACATCCTTCTATGAACTAGTTAAGGAAGAGAAATCTCCGTTCTTTCCTTGTGTTCAAATTGCCGATGATGAACCAAATCAAGCACCACAACAGTCGTTTATAACGTGGCTCCCAGCCGTAGCAAATTCAATCGGAGGAAAGAAAGCATATTTTACCCATGATTCTGAATCTCTTACTAGTAATGAAGGAGTTCCATCGTTCTTTGGCAGAGTTAGATCTCTTTTCAAATCAGCCGACAATGCGAAAGTTCCAAAAACTAAAGAACAAATAATGAAAGATGTTTTAATAGATTGTGGCCTACGTTTGGTTGCTACTCCGAAATTTGTTTTGAGACATCTACAAGAAGTAAATGCTGACATAGACTTTTACGAGCCCAGCGGTGTACTTACGTTTCTTTTTTCCTATTCTTCTTTTACTGAATCTTGCGATATAGGTGCTACTCTCCCTTGTCCAGTGAATAATACTAAATTTAAAGATATTGAAACGATTAAAGAACTCTCTGTATACTGTTCAAGTGCTGAATCGTTCTGGTACAGGTTGGACTGCGTTCCTCTACTTTTGACAGCAGATAACATATTGAGGACTTTTGATTCAGCGAAACCAGTATTTATTCCGACTTATATGGAGCTATTACCTGGATCCAAGTCAATGTTCATTCATCCAATACTTTGGGATGCAGTTTATAAAAGCTCTCCAAAGAACTTGCCTGTTATTAAGCCCATGAGTATTAGCTTTGTAGCAGATTTACTTGATCTTCAACTTTCTAAAGAGAAATTTTGCCAAGTGCAAGATCCAGTAGAATGGAATGATATTCCATCCAAGAAGTGGATGACTACATTATGGAATATGATTGGAGAAGAGACATTGGAAACTATGGATCAGATAACAGCAGCTGATATAAATGAGTCTGGAAGCACGAGAAAAGAAATAGCTATGAAGAAAACTATTTCTCCATTAGATTATTGGGCTCTAATTCCAGCTGAAGAAGGAGGCAAACAGATACTAATGCAACCAAGCATGGCAAAGAACATTGCTTTTGATTTTAGACTAGACGATACGCAGGGCCTATCGAATGCCCTAAAGAAATTGAATGTTCCCAAGCTAAATTCAGGAGTCCTTAAACAGAACATAGAATATGTTAGAAGTCTTATAGCATGCGAGGATGATGCTAGGAATGTTTTGAATATTATCTGTGAGAGAAAAGATAGAATTTCAAACCTCAATCAGAGTGACACAAACAATTTATGTTCTTATTTCGGTAGAAAAAAGAAGGATCTGTTTTTAGAGGAAGATGTTGAGAGATTAAGAGATTTACCTATACATTTAACGGCAGCAGGAGAATTAGTTAGTCTAAGTGATGCTTTTGTTTATACTTTGCCTTCGCAAGTCCCTAGTGATGATACAGAAGTTTTCCATAGTAAAACGGGTACAGTATTCCTGAAAACTAATCCCGATTTGGAAGAGTTCCATAAAACTATTGGGGTAAGTGAGTTGTCTGATTTGGATGTCTATCAAAACTTTATACTTAAAAATGTCGAATTCTTGACCGACGAAGGAAGAATGAAACATTTAAATTATTTATTCAATCGTATAAAGAATCCAGAAATAACCGACAATGATAAATCAGATTTAGTGAAATTCTTAATGGATACACCGCTATTCTATCATTCGGAAAAAGAGAGTATGCAGAGGGTTTGCGAATTTTACGATGAAGATGTATCAATTTTCAAATGCCTACTCTCAGCAAGTAGCTTCTTGGCTTATGAAAATTTGAAACCTTTCTCTAAAAGTGAATGGAAAGAATTTCTTTTACTTTTAGGTTTAAAAAGTGAAAATGACATAGATGAAAAGATGATTTTAGGTTTTGCTCGTGACATAGAAGAAAAATTCAAGAATGGAGAAAATGCTGAAAAAGCATCCCTAACTTTCTGGGAATATATTTACGAAAAAATGAACATTGATAAGGTGGAAAATATTGGATCTGAATTGTCCAAAATTGAATGCGTTAGCACAACACCTATTAATAACGATTTTATTGATCTCTTACCAATTCCCTCTGAAAATAAATATTCTTCTCTAAATAAGTGCCTTCCGGTCAAGTTTAGCGACTGCTGTTGGACACAAGCATCTTTTGTTCGTAATTGGGCCAATCCTATCGATACGATAGAGGACAAAATTAGAGCTAAGAGGCTTCAAATTTCATTGAATTTCCAGGAAAATCCAACTTGTAAAATGGTCGTTAATCATTTATTGAAATTAAGTAATGCCGTTGGAAATAGACAATTTTCATTGAGTGAAAAGAATCATATCTTAAAATGCGTATTCAGAGGTTGCTATAGCTATTTACAAGAACACTTACCAAACGAAGCTGATAATGAAAAATTACTAAAGTTATTGTTTGAAAACAAGATTGTTTTCCTTGAAACACATGTTACAAAAGCCAGGTGTACTTGTCTCGGCTTCAATAACGTTGACGATGAACTGAATCACTTCATACATAAAATACCACCGTCTTTCGGTGAATTTTTAACCTTTTTTGAAATGCTTGGTGCAACGGAATGTCCCACTCCCAATCAGTATTCCTATGGTTTAAATGAGATTGCAAAATTGGAACTTCCTTTAACGCCTAATGAATTTAAATTAGCTCTTAGAGCAACAAAAGGCTTACTACTCTCAATTAAGAAAGGCGAGACAGAGTTGGAGGAGTTTCACCTTCCTTCCGAAGATATGGAAATGATACCTTCAAACCTACTGGTATTTAATGACACACCAGCATTTTATAATAGGATAAATGGATGTAAAGAAATAAAATTATTATCTGATTTAACTCAGGTCAATCTAACTCTTCACCAAACGCTAGATTTGATTAAAAATGTGCCAGTAAAAGTTAGACCTAAACTTTTAAGCGACAGAGTGAGGGAAGTTTTAATGGAGGAAGAGAGGAAAACTGCTACTAAAGATTCGAAACTAGTCAAGTTTTTGTCGAATCGTTTAAAGAGCGCAAAATTCCACATCGCGGTGGAACGTTTAATATATCATAATTCTATTCAAGCTGACTCATCAAGAACAAATGAAATATTACATAACGTTGATATAATGGCAGTAAAAAGAGTTCGAACTCAACTTATGCTTGATTCCAAAGTTGTAAAGGGAACTGAAATATCAAAATGTTGTGTTTGGGATTCGGGAATGCTATACATCGAAAATAAAGAAGAGTTTGATAAACAGACTCTTATCGAAATAGTGCATTATCTGGCTGACACTATATTAGAGGGTGTACTCGGAAGTAGTTCACTTTACTTAGTGTCTTTGTTAACTGCAGAAAACGATAATGAATTTGAAATTCTACTAGATGCATTAAATATTAGAGTGAAACAGGTTGATTCTTCAAAAACTAATTCACCTTCATCAAAAGTTCACAGTAAACAGGAAAAGTTTCTAATGAAGAAAAATGACTATAGCATAAACGAAAGCGTTGTTGTTAATGTTGATGGAGAGTATATGTTTGGTACTGTACAAAATATGTCATCGGACGAAGTGTTTGTCAGTGTAGGAGAACAAACTGTATGCCTTAAATACTCTGATTTATACTTTATTGATCGTCTATAATGAACGATTCACCGTCTCTGATATGCCACTACTAATTTAATTGTTTCTTACAATAAAGGATTATGGCTACTATTTCCGTTTTAAAATGAAAATAATTCTATTTATAGTTTGTTGTTTAATTGGTATGAATCGACTTCAAAACTCAGTAGGAGCCATATATTTTACGAAAAAGAAATCTTATTATAACGTCTATCAACAAAGTCACTAACCATTTTGATATTTGAAATTTTCTTATGATATATCTCATTATAAAGTTCTAGAGGCTGTATAAATATCATATTCTTTGACATTTTTCTAATAGACAAAATAAACGAGACAGTTTATTATGAGTTCACAACAAAACTCCCAAAATCCAAATTTATTCATTTCTATTATTATCCATTTTAGTTCTATAACCAGTTCAACAAATGTAAATATTCATTATTTTATAGTATAGATATTTTGACGTGGAAGCAGTTAAATGAAAAGACAAAAATGAAAGATGCCACAAGCAGCTGACATATGCAGAGATTAATCTAATATATACTGCAGTATAGAAGTATAGTTTGGTATATTATAAATTTATACTACCAGTTAGAAAATTCGATATATTTTTGTATTAATCAATTTTATCCCCCCATTTATTTGGTATTTCAAATTATTCATTGCTAGGAATGTTTATAATTCAAATTGTTTTAATTTTAATATAAAAATATTAGTATAGAATTATTACATAACACAGATTGCTTTTTGAGGCTTAGAAAAAATTTGTAAGAGACAAAGTAGAATCTTAGATGCAGAGAAATTTGTTAGTTTTTTTACCTAAGCTTCAGATATATTTGACTGTATGGGTAATTCTTTATCGCCTTGCTTTAATCCATCTTTTTCTTCGTTACTATTTAACACTTCCGTTACTTTTGCAACTGATAATCTAGGTAAAGAAATAAACAATAATCTTAAACCAATAAAGTCAAGTAATTGATTTTATATTATACTCAACTAAATTAGTAATTTTTAATTAATTTTCTCTTTTTTAATTGAATAATCTTACAATTAAAATATAAAGAAAAACTTTGACATGAGCTAATGCTTAACCGTAAAAGTTTGTTTGTATATACTGTATATAATATATACATTTACATATATATATAGTATAGATTTAAATTCAAATATTAGTTAAATTCTCAAATATTTAACAATATAAATCTTAGTGATGAAAAAAAGCTGAGAAAGGATATCATTTTTTTTTTAAAAAAAAAAATTAGCAGCAGACTTAAGCCAGCGAAAAGAAAATATTTGAGGAAATAACTAATAAATTATTTTTTAAATGAATAGTTCGAATTTTGTAAAGATATTACAAACCTGTAGAGCCAATGTTGAGCAACAGCTGTTAATCCTAAGAAGATCGTACAAAATTTAAATAGAGTGGAGTTTGTGAGATCCTGAGTGAGTATAATAACAACTATTAAATTTAAAGGTATTCTAAAAAAATTCATAATAGTAGCTCTTGTTGATTCGGGTACGTATTTTCCTCTCATAGTACTCATGGACGGCCAAAATATTCCAACGCAAGATTCAAAAACCAAAAATGAGATGAATATTAAGGTTTGAGAATCAGGAAACAAAACAGGAATTGTCATACAAATACTAGAAATGCAGAGTACACCTCTCATAAAGTTTTCGGGTTGTAAACTTTTAGAAAGAATCTTAAACAGTGACGATCCTATCATAATAGCAATCATAAAGCCTGCAAATATGAAACCATGAGGTATTTTTCCAGCGTGTTCTGTGATCGTCTCCTTTGCTGCATTTTCCAAAGATGGAGTCCATTTCAATACAAAAGTATACATTGCTCCTTCGAACAAACTTTGAATTAAACCAAGACAGATAATCTTGTGATCTTTCTTAATTGAATTATAGGCATTTCCGTAAGAAGAAACCAGGCTTGTAGATGTGTCACCAAAATTCTCCGTCCAAGTAAGGGATACAACAATTATCATAATGACAAGAATACAAAATGCAATATCAAATGGACTAACAAAACCAAATTTATCAACAGCAGTTTGAGCAACTAAACCGGATAGAATAGCAGCAATGGAATTACCAAATATGGCATGAGAAAATATCGATCCTAAAAGATCAACATCGTATCCTCTCTAATTAATATAAAAATGATTAATATAGATGTTTTCCTTTAACTATTAATAAAAGTTCATATATACTTTATTGTTTTCATAAACAAGCCACGCTTCAAATGCACTGTACAAAATTGAAGTGGCCATTCCACCCAATAACCGACCAATCATCAAAATCCAAAAATTATTGAAATGCTATATAGTATAATAAATGCAGTCAATACATTATACAAATAGAAAAATATGTTATAAGACTACCTTTGTTAAACAAGACAAGCCATAAAGAATTCCATATAGAATAGCATTCTTTTTTCTTCCGCTAAAACATTGCATAAATTGGTAAACTATATTGTTATACATGTAATATTCTTACTATTTGTCGGCAAATGATCCAATAATGGTCCCAAAAAGCATGCTTGAACCGAAACCAGCTACAAATAAGATATCTATTTGATGACTTGACATTTTATAGGAGTCGTACAGTGCATAAACATAGGGACCTTGTAGCCAATCACCCGCTAAAATCAATTTTAAGTTACTGATAATCATTTTCGTTACTTATTTAAATATTTACACATAGCCAACACGAAGACAATTAGGTAAGTTCTTTGGAAATGCAAGAAGGAAGCGTCAGTACTTGATTTCAGCTTTGTTCTTGTAAAGATATACAAAAGTAAGCAAATTGCTAACAAAATCCAGAAACCAGCGATGAATACATTCATTTTCGTTGCTGATTCCTTTCAACTCTTTAGACTGAAAACGTCAGTAAAAATGGTGGCTAGCAGGCGACTGACTTGATTGGTTGAAGCAGACGATTCTTATTGAATGTCTCATTGGTCGAAATCTACAATTCCACCTTTCCTGGTAAGGCCAATAAATATATAATCCTGTATTTAATCGTTGATCTTTATATTCTTTGATTAAGATTTAGCTATTCGTTGGGAGCTAAATTATGCCTAGCTGCGTTATAAACAGTAATATTTCGAAATCTGATGTGCCAGCTGATTTCACCAGCAACCTTGCAAATGTTCTTGCAAGTACTTTGGGCAAGTCGAAAGAACTTATTTGCATTACATTAAGACCAGATCTAGATATGTTTTGGAATGGGAGTAGTTCACCCTGTTGTGAAGTTTTTATTGTTTCCGTTGGTAGTTTAGGGAAGGATGTGAATTCGAAACATACGCAGGTTATTACCGATTTCCTGCAAACACAGTTAAAGCTATCCAGTGAGAGAATCCATATTATATATCGTGATTCCTCACCTGAAATGATTGGATGGAAAGGAAAAACGATTGCAGATTTGAGATCCTAGTCTTAAATTGCTAATAAATTAAACAAAGTTAACGAAACCTATTAGAAGATTGAAGATTGATTAATGAATAATTTCAGTGATAAATTTACGTTTCCCTTGATTATATTCAATATTAGAATTTCAAAGCTTAAAAGACACTATTTTATTAGTACAATACAGATTTCTCGTAACCTTGAAAGTATAACTTTATATTGAAAAAAGAAAACAAAACAAAATAGGTCAGATATTAGCATATGTAGTAGGATTATACTATTGTTGAATTGTTATCATTTAATATTTTCTCAAATAGAAAGAATTAAAGGATTACAATCTACTTACCTATTTTTTATACTTACCTGGAAATCTACAATTTCTTTACATTATTTAATTGCTTTCTATCTTTTTCTTTTTATGTAAAATAAGCAAATCTCTCCAGCGTTCAAAACTAACAGACTAAGGTTTATTCAAAGAAATATACAGTATATTGTCTACTAAATGAAATTACATTTGCTTCTCATTTAAGAAAGGATCCAACCAGTAGGTTAGCATTTTTCCTTTACCTTTTATTTCTAATTCTCCTCTTTCTTGTATGGAAAATTGTGCGTCTCTTCTTAAAAGGTCGTTTGTTGTTTTGCTCATATGAATTTTTAAGGGTTCTCCATGAGTCTCCATTCTTGAAGCAGTATTTACTGTATCTCCAAATAAACAATATCTTGGCATTGTCAGTCCAACAACTCCAGCTGCACAAGGTCCCGAGTGAATACCAATTCTTAATAGTAATTTCTCCCCTGGACGATGATGTATTTCAAATGTTTTGATTGCATTCAATAATATAATTGACATCTTGGCTATATTTTCAGCATGACTATTGTCATTTTTCTTTGGCAGACCGGAAACAACCATATAAGAATCCCCTATTGTTTCCACTTTATAGACGTCAAACTTTTCTATAACGCTATCGAAAAGAGTGTAAAGATCGTTCAATAGCTTGATTATTTGCAATGGAGTGCTCTTAGATGACAACACCGTAAAACTGACAATATCACTAAAGTATATAGTAACGCATTCGTAGTCTTGAGGTTTTGCATTTCCAGTTTTTTGAATTTCTTTTGCAATCGATCTTAAAAATATTGTAATAATGTTAATAGTCTAATAAAGAGATTAATATAGTAAAATTCTTACGGCGGTAAAAGCCGATATAATAAATCCTCAGCCCTTTTCTTCTCTTCAAGATAACTGGACGTTCTTTCTTCAACAAGAGTTTCAAGATTATTAGCGTATTGTTCCATCCTATTTATCAGATTATCCATAATGCTTAAAGATTTGCTAACAATACAATAAAAAAAACATACGAATTAGCTAATTATAGTTGATTAAGCAATTAAAAATTATAGTATTACTGATTTACACTGGCAATCAACGTCGCCTTAATATAATTAAAATTTGGACGATTCTCTGGCTGTTCATTCCAACATTTTCTCATAAGCTGTATTATTTTTTCTGGAGTATCTTCATGATAGTCATCTTTTACGAAGGGTCTAAACGGTAGTTTTCGATCAGAAAGAACTTTCTGGATAATACCTATAGGAAGTAAACTATTGGGTTCATTCTAATAGTTGTAAAACTAATAACCATCAGCTGATAAAGTATCGCATTCACAGAAAAAAGGGCCTTCCCGATAAATAATTTCATGGAGAATAATAGAAAAAGAGTAAATATCAGATTTCATATTTAATGCATTTTCGCTATCTCTTAAGCCTTCCGGAGAAGTCCATAATAAATCTTTAGGTAATTTTTCTGTTCTCCAATTCATAAGGCCAAAATCAGTAATTTTTACCACAAATCGTCCATCGATCACGCAATTTGAACTCTTTAAATTACCATGATACTTAAAATACTTTGATGAATATAGATGAAGCATCCCCTATTGCGTGACAAAGAATTGTTCACTTAAACTAGCCGTCTAAAGTATCATATTTATTTTTTAATTACCGAAACTATATCTAAAGCCAAAGAACTTTTGAAGGTCCAGTCAAGGTTAACGTCATCATTAGCCAGTAAATCCTGTAAACTTCCTTTGGAACAATATTCAGTTACAATCCACAAGTCAGGCACTTCTACAGTAACTCCCATAAATTTGCAGATGTTGTTATGGCTAAGGTCATGCATCTATTGGAGGCATTATTAGTAAGGTATGGTTTTTCTAATTTCAACTTTACATGTTTTAGCTCGGTTAAAAAGTTTCTATCATTCAAGTTGACTTGTTTTACGTGTGAAGCCGACTTCAATGCCACAATAATTCCCTTTTTTTATCAACTTATTAGAAAGACATTTTAGAAATATTGTTTTTGAAAGAACTTACTTTAAAATAACCTGTTTTAGTAAAAATTTGTTCAAATTTATTGAAACTAATTGAATAATTATCTAGAGTTGTCTTTGATCTGGAAATCTGCAAAGTAATAATTAGAGTTTATAATTTCTTTGTGGGAAGTTGCTTGAAATTGTAATCCTAACGCTTAGGGCAGAATTAAAGGGTTTAACAGTTGAATCATGAAATTGTATATCATTTAAATCTAATTTCCAAGACATACTCGCCAAATCTTTCTCCCATTTCATTTTCCTACGAATTGAAGTGTTTTTATAGTTAGATAATTAACTTTAGAAATAGAGTCGTTACTAACTTGAAAATTAGAAGGAATCCTCCTAAGCCAAAAATTAAAACAATGCCAAAAACACCAACGATAATAAGAATTATTCGTACTAATTTTAGTTTGACATCTGTAGGATATAGTTTTAAAACTTAAAGGAACTTTATAAAAGTATTAGTTTTTACCTTCTTCACAGAGTTCATTGTCGAAACCACATCTAGGAATGTCTAGTGGCTTCTCACCGTCAACCCATAAAATTGGCCTTATCCACATAAGAGATTCATTTTCAGTCGTATAAATAGCAACCGTCTGCAAAATTGATTTTTTATTTGCGTCTTTTTACATATTTCAACAATTTAGACTGACTGTCATTTGATCATTCGTATCTAACTGCAAAATAGTGTACTTTTGTTCTCTATCACCATTAGAATTCAAGGTCATACCTCCAGTTAAACCTTTTTGAATTTAAGTTGGATAATAAGTAAGAATCTTTTTTACATGTACTTACTATCATAACTTCGATTCCACAACCTTTGTGCAACTAACATTCCATCTTTTATATCACCTTCAGTGGCTATTGTTTCGTTAAGGGATATAGCTGATAAAATGGTCGCTTCGTATAGGTTAGCTGCCGGATAAGGAACTTTTTCATCAGACTTATAGTTAAAACCGAATTGTGTATTTGCTTTCTGACGAATTATTTCATTGAATATGGTATACTCCATTGAATTTTCTCTATTGTAGTATGAAACAAAGATAATAGAAGAATATACTTCTTTTATGTTAATATCATCTTCCTGATTCTTTAGAATATGAAAAAAAATGATACATTAAACTAAATGAGATGGATAATTGAAAATTATCGAGTTACAAAGAAAAAAAAAGCCCATTAAGTTATCTAATCGCTATACAATAGATTGTAAAAAGACAGAAGTAAAAACATACGATACAGCTTAACCGTAAATAATATATCTAAGTTAATTAACTAATTAAATACTACCTGCTTCCAAGCAAAATCACCAAATATTCGACGCTGCTCATAATAGGTAATAACAATAAAAAAGAATCTTCGTAGGTGAAGCTTATGCTTATAAATTAATTTAGCTAATGTGCGAAACGTATCTCCATGAGCACCAATTATTATTACTGTAATAGTTATTCCTATTAGTCTGATAGTTTATTAATGACTGTCTAAAGGAACTAAGTTTTCAACAATTAAAACTCACTTCGACTCTTTGCTGCTACAAGAAGTAATAAACTTTCTAGATCGTCTGTTTCATGAAATAGTATGGATTTTACTAGAGTAATGTTTTTTATTTGAGCAGCATATTTTAATCCATCTCTAGTTAAACGCCATATCAGATCAGTTCGTCTTTCTGCAAGGACACCAACTATCTTCCAATTCAATTTCTCTAATATATTCATAACGAATAGACCAGTCATTTCAAATGTTGCTAACAGTCTCGTCATCGTCTGTAAACGTTTTAAAATGTATAATTGGTTTAAAACCGTAGGTAGAGTTTTGTGCGGGTTGACCTTAAATTGATTCTTGTTCGACATTTCTACGCCTTGGCAAAGACCAGTAAATACTGGTATATTTACGTGCGCTGCCAGACGTCCAACAGAACTACATACAGATGAACATTGAGGTCCTATCATTATATGATACTCTTTCGTTGATAGTGCGTTGTATGCAGCTCCTAAAATATCTCAAGTAATTACAACTATATTAGACTTGTCGCTAGATATACCTAGGCCTTTTAAAGAATTACATCCTGAATCGTAAAACTCAGCATTTAAAGAGTATGAAGGCAACATTTGGAGTCTTTCAATCTCTTCGAACGCCGTCTCAACTATCAGATATTAGGAAAATAATTGCAAAGTCTATGCAATATGACAACTTACCCGCAGGTCCTGCCATTTCTTTTCCAAAAGGAAATTTGTATCCATTTTTCTCTCCTGGAAGTAAAACTAAAAATCTTATCTCCTCCTTTGCAATAATAATATTACAATTCGATAGAAAAAGAATTAGTCCCAAGAGGTACATCATACATTGATGCTCAAATTAAAACTTCATATAGACTAGTGACAAAGATTACATCTTATTTCTCTACTTGGTGACGCCTCTGTCAGCAGTTATTATATTCGACTGAGTACTATAAATAAATATTGTTTACTTTATAGAGAAAATGGCTAAGGTAGAGGAAAACATTTAAATGTGTTTTTTACGAATTTATCTTATTAATAAAGCAAGTTTTCAGCATTTTTCGACTGTAATTAAAACTTTAAAGCGGAATTATGAAGCTAAGGATTGTAGATCTAACATTTATTTAGCAGTGAAAAGATATTTGATATAGATATAGTTTGTTCATGATATTTTGCTATGAAAAGGTCTTTTTATGCATAAAGTTCTATTAATTACCCTATCGAATACCAATATAAAGAAACTTCGTTTTTTGTAATTTCTATTGATATCTGTCGGAGATCTTTTCTGATAAATCTCATATTATCATCAGTGATATGAAAAACGCGATTGTTTAAGAAAGCAGGTACAGCATTTGATATTCTTTTAATTTTTGTCCAGGTTTATGATGTATTGTTGCAGTAGAAACACTTTTTCTTTGTAAATAAAAGCAAAATTTCTAAATAATTCGAATAATAAGCTATTTGAATGCATCTTTACTCTTTAATCATGTAAAGGAGTAGTCTTCTATATGGTATCAACTTGTTTCTCAATTTCTACAATGCTCTCTTCTACTTTCCTCTTGTGAAGTTAAACTATTTTCAAAAAGTATTTTTTCACTTTGATTGAAACATTATGAGGAAACGAAACATAAAATGAGATCAAAAGATGCAATTATTTAGAATCATAAAAATCTGGAAGATGGCGCTAAACACCTGAGCGATAATACAGTTGCAGGAATATTTACACGAACTATTTTAGGAATTATGAATTATTGGTCATTTTTAAAGAGACTTAACCGCAATGCATCAACAAAGTATTTGCTAACATGTGGATCGGGATTATTGGCTTTTGTAGCATTAGGCGAAAAGACTCGGAAAAAAACTGATTTTGATATTGCCGTGGAAAATGCAACTGATCTCGTTCAAAGAATAAAGGATGAATCTGGTTGCCCTGGTATAGTAGCAGCCGTAGGCATCGATGGCCAATTGGTCTGGTCTCAGGGATTTGGTTATGCAAATATAGAACATAGAATCGAATGTACTCCAAAAACAGTGATGAGGATAGCCAGTATAAGTAAATCATTTACAATGGCACTAGTCGGTAAACTCCATGAAGATGGACTGTTGGATTATGATCAGTTTATTGAAAAATATGTTAAAACATGGCCCGAAAAGTATTTTAATGGAAAGCCAGCGAAAATAACGATACGTCAACTACTTTCTCATTTCGGCGGTATTCGTCACTATTTAAAGTGCAATCAGAAAAGCTCAACACCAGTTGAAAATGAGCTGCTGATACCAGAGTACTATAATAAAAAAAGATATAAAACAATATCCGAAGCTCTATCCATATTTAAGGATGACGAATTATGCAGTCTACCTGGAACAGAGTTTTTATACACAACTTACGGATGGACACTAATTAGTGCAGTTTTAGAGAGCGTCTCTTCAAAATCCTTTGAAGTAATGATAAAGAATTTATTTCAAACTTTAGATTTAAAAAATACTTATTTAGATGAAAATGATACAATTATCTATCACAGAGCAAGGTAAACTTTTTATTAGTAGTTATATAGTATTAAGACAATTGGCTTTCTTTCAATTTCGTATTTTAGCAATTACGTAAGAGAGGCAAAAACTGGAAAGCTGAAAAATGCTGAATATGTTGATAACTCTTATAAATGGGGTGGAGGTGGACTTTTATCGACTGCTCCCGATTTAGTAAAATTTGGACTTTCAATGTTGTCTAGTTATCAAACGAACTCACCGAATAACTTCTTAACTAGGAAAACTATGATAGAAATGTGGCAAGGTGTTCCTAATGCTAAATGTATATGGGAAAAAGATGGATCCTATGGAATGGGCTGGTGTATTCATTCAAAATATATAAGTCACACAGGAGGGTCTATAGGTAGTTCGAGTGTACTTTTAATCGTTCCAAAAGAGAACTCTGAAGAGAAACTTCATGGTGTAAGCGTCGCTATTATGTGTAATATGCAAGGCGTCTCCCTTTATAAGACAGCAAAAGAAATTGCTCAAAATTTTCAAGACTTAAAGGTTGATGAAATAATTGTTGACAAGCAAAAAGTTAAGGATCAAGACGATTTGCATGATATTTTATTGCACACTCCGAGACATGATGACTAATATATATTGAAGATGGAGCCACTCTGATTTAGCAGACGATGTACCACTTTTCCACGGACTATTTATTTTAATTTGCTGTACACCGAAAAACTGCCAGCATTGAATTTTATTATAAATGGCCGAAAATACAACAAACTCAGACGATCTTTATAAAACAGCCTCAAGCCATAAAATGGCTCAAACCAAAGATATTTTACTGGATGTTATCAACAATACAATGGTTATTTTATTTCCTATTTTTATGTGATTCTCTAAGTTTTAATAAACAATCAAATAAAAAAAAAGTCAAAAAAATATATTTATTGTCGCTAATTCTTTAGAAAGAACCCCTGGAATTCGGTCCAGTACCCTCGGATTCAATAGCAAGAAAGATTAAAGATGTAAGCCTGAGTTTACTAAGAGAGTTTTACAAACTAAAATCTAATACATTTATAATAGGATGCAGAGGCTAAACTTTTCCATTGGTCATCATTTGACATGAAACCTCCCGATTCAATTACCGATGTTTGTATTTTTTCCGTATAAATATTACTACTATAATATAAGATAATTAAGTTACGGTCCTCACTAATCCAGACATACGAAGATATTTATACAACTGCTTTTATTATGCCTAACTTTAACGAATTAAGGCAAGTGGCGGTAGACGAATCAGGTTCAGCAAAGCCTCTTTCCGAAGAACAATTAACTTCTATTAGAAGAGAAGGGTTAAATTAATAATATGCTATAAAAACAGATTTCAATTAATTTACATATTTTTATAATAGAACATTTAAAGTGAAAAGTATAAACTTTCCTCAATATTTTCACAAGTGGAAACTTTCAAAGTTTCTTCAAAAGGGAACTCAATTAGTTATGGAGGATTTTTATGATGTTTGTTGAAAATAACTTAAATATTTAAGGATAAAATATAATAAGCATTTTTTGTACTAAGGGATTAGCAAAGGCTCTATATTTATTTATAGTCTTAGCAAAAAGAATGCTCCTCTCTCGTCGATCACTCAGTTTATACAATTCCGTAAAAAATCTTACAAAAGCTTTTTTAGGGTTGATAGGTAAAAAGGCTTGTTTATTTTTAATAAAAAAAGATCCATCAACTTGTAAAAACTTTTTACCATTTTTTTAGACGTTCTGGTAGGAATACCATGGAAACAACCAAAATACAGTGTTCATACTCAAGTTGAGGAAGAGAATACTAAATTTTTATCTGCTGAATTGAAATATAAAGTGATTTAAATATACTTTAAATAATTTTTTTTTCACTTTCTTTAACATTTAAGAACGAAGAAATGGAAAAGTTTGAAAATTTGTGCGCCTTTGTTGAAAGGCAAGAGCTGAAATTTCTAGAGAATATGTCAAAGAGAGTAGCAGAACAAGTAAAATTTTTCTTATCATCCTTATCATTTATTTACGTTTTTTTATAATTACATTATCTATATTATTATTGTATTTATACTTAAAAACAAACAATATAAGGGTTATCTCTCTTCAAACAGGATATTAATGTCAACGTAGTCTATCCCGTGAAATTTACGACTCCCGATAATAGCATAGACATCGATCTAACACTTCGTTCAATTAGTGAAATAGGTCTATTAAATAAAAAAAAACAACCTTTAAAATCACATTTTAAAATGCAATTTATCGTGAATTAATAGATCTATGGCAAACCATTAAAAAGCGTATCGTCGTAATATCAAAATCTATTGCTAACGATAGAACTTGGTATATTCCTTTAAGAAAGAAGTTAATTGAAGATAATCAAGGTTTTCATTCAATACTTATATACAGTACATGTATGTGTATTTACACTACTATATCCCATTTTCTTTCTCTAAGATTTGTATTCGGAAGAAGAGCTTAAAACAATTGTTCTTAAGGGTATTCAAGATCAATATGTCGAAAGGTTAATTAATAACTTATTGGACGAGAATAGTCCCGATTATGAAATACATAAATTGTTGGTTGATCATTTACGAGCTAATTTGATAATTACGCAAATCATTCAAAACATTACGGACACTTTGGATAAAAATCTCAAACAGGTAATAATAGTTTCATTGTAATAACAACTAATCAGTTGAACATTTTAGTACAAGAAAGAACTATTTGCAAAACATCCAATAAAGTCTAGAATCTCTTCGTGGATAAGGGAAAAGACAGATAAACACAAAGTAAACCTATATTGAAATTTGCATTAATTACCATATAACTAACAAGATTTACATTTAGGAGAACTTTTATGAGGAAAACAAATGGCCTACTTATGAGAAATGTGTGACTGAATTGAAGAGAAATAATCTAAATCAAAGTGCATATTTCCTACAAAGAGATTATATCTTCAAGAAAACGGTAAGATTTGCTGTTCTGTAGATAAGAAGACTATATAAATTACTCCATATTTTTTAGAGAAAAGAGATAATTAGTCAAGAATTTACAAAAAGTCAACCATGGGAACCTGAGAGAACATTTTATATTAACAAGAAAATATGGAACCCTCAGAATTATATTGTCTATAAGTACAACCAGGAAAGTGAACAAAGAGAGGTCGTAGAAACAATTATTGAAGCGAGTCCCATAACAATGAAACCAACTAAGAATTCATCACATCCAAAGGTTAGTTTCGTAGTAAAATTCTCTGAACTTAATTTACTTTAATCGAAATAGAAAAAGTCATATGAATATTTTTCAACGGAAAAATCTCAAAATTGCAAGATTCATACTAAATATCCGTTTTGGAGATTATGGTTAATATTGGCTAGAATATGTATACACATGTCCAATTGTTTTTTCTATTTTGGTGTAAGTTTTTATCCCTTTTGTTCAATTTTTTTTTTAAAAAACATAATGCAATCATTTTGATTTTAGATCGCCATACCATTTTTTAGTCCCGTTAGTATTACAGCTTTAGTTTTATGGAAGAAATTCTACCCAAAATGGGTATTGAATGGAGAAACTGTATTTATTAATGTGTTATGTTTTTAATTTGCTTAAACTAATAGTAATAAATTTTAGGGAACTCTTAAAAGAGATTCTTCACCGACGCAAACACTAATGTCTAGAATGTTCAAATTGTGGCGTCACGTTTTCCGATCTGTTGAAAATTTTGAACTTCAAGATGATACAGGTTTACAATAGTGAATTTATATATTATTTATATAAAATTACTTGTTTTTTCTTTTTTGTAGCGTTTATTGAAAAGAATGTTCAAAGACCTTTTAACAGAATTTGGAATTACGGAATTAAAGGGGCTCTTGGCACTTTTCTCCTGTTTTTAACAGTCCCTCTTATTTGTATTTTATCAACTCTAGGGAGTTTGATTCTGGCAATTTTTGTTCCTCTCTGGGTTCCGGTTTTAACAGTATTATGGCATTTTTTTTGTGTAGCTATATACGATATCGATCATCCAAGTAAATTTCGTATAAATCTCCAGCGAGAAATTTAATAAATTGTGAATACTTTCAGATAGACACGTAGCATTTTACAAGAAGTTATCATACTTTTTCCTTAACATAATTATCTGGAGATTACTTCTAAGAGGAATTTGCCAAATACTATTGATAATACTTAGTGTCACAGTTTTCTTTCCCTTTGCATCGCTGTGTATTATTCTATGTAAGTATTTAAAACTATGAACTAATACTTTTCAATCAATATAAATTTCAAATCAAATAGGGTATAGCTTCCAATTTTGTATAAGGACTGTCTGGGATGCTTCTTTATTTTATCTAATGATCAAATGGAGAGGAAGAATTCCATCATCTAATTCGTGGATAGCTAAAAGAATATCTGGACCAGGTCTCGTGTCCAATTTCTTTTATCAGGTTACTAAAACAAATGATATAGTTCATTTGAATAATACTGAATAGTAATAACATCTTAATCTTTCAGATTAAACCTGAACAAGTATTAATGGGAGTTGAATCATTTCTTGAAAAAGTTGAATTAAACATTTGGAGAGATAATGTTCGAAAAGTAATCGATATACCTTTACAAGCTTACAGGTAATGGTGTTTTATCCTTATTCCATTGATGCTGCATTAATAGAATTTTGTTTACAAGGAATTATTTTGGAGATTTGTTGGCTCCTTTCGATTGCTCAATAAAAGAATCACCAAATGGGGTATACAGTTTCATAAGGAAAGAAAACAGAGATTTACATTCAAAATTGGATTCAATTTATAGGGAGTTTGTATCAATAGATTTGCTTTCTTTGCATCTTTTTAAAAAAATACATGTTTTCTTTTCAAGGCAACAATCAAAGCTTTCTGTTATGAATTCATCAATGAATATCAGATTACCAGTAAAAGAATTAACGGTATAAATTAAAATAAAATATACCTATTTCTATATCTGTAAAGTTTTTTTAAATGTTTTAAAGATTGCAGTTGATGCATCTAGTCGTTTGATTGAACAATTTGTAGAATCTCGAATTTATAAATTACTGAATACATCTGAAGAAATTGATTCTTATTGGAAGAAATGGTCTCTTATTCAGAATGATTGGCCAGGTAAAATTATATATTTTAATAGATAATTAATGTAGAATTTTAATGTAATTTAAAGTCTTATTTTCATTTTATAGGATTGACAATGGGAATTTTAAAAACAGTGTTTGGCTCTGAAATATCAATACCATTGGAAAAAAGCGATGAATTTTTTCAATTAGAAGTATGATTTATTGTTTGTTTTGTTGAATTTATTGGCTAATTTCTTTTAAAACAAAAAATATATTAGGTTCAGGAACTTAACGTTGCTCGGTATGTAAATATGCTTGAAAGCGGTGATTGGAAGGAAGATATGCAGACTATTGGTCATCTATATAGTCAAAGACGTAGGTGAAAAACGTTTATAGACATGTTCAAAATAGTGTTTCTTTTAATTACCTCGTAGATGATGTCATTTCCGAGTGTGTTCCAGTAACTCTACCTGAGTCTATATTTGATGTCAGAGATACTATTGCTTCACAAACTTGGAGTAAATCGCTTATAGAGTTGCCGGTTAAAACGCCCCATCCGGCATATGTGTCCCTCTTATTATGTCAGAGGTAAGGTGTTTTATATGCGTAGATTATTGATTTTGTTTTTAAGTCAACAACCTCAGGCCTTAAATAATTATTAAGGGTTACTTGAACTGGAAAGTAGGTCTTTGTACAACTGCATGTCTACTTCATTGACATGGGTAAATATTTAAAAGAGTTAAATACTTGTACGCGTTCTGTTTTATTCGAAGAAAAGAAAAAAACAGTAAATTAATAATACTCTAGATCACAGAGTTGAAGTTTAGAAATCTTAAGTGGATCGACAACGTGTACACTTAAGATTTGTCCAATTCTTTCTCTGTCACATCGAACATTTATACTTTCTCTTCGTATACCGTTGTGAAAGAAACAAAGTGGATTTCTTTCAAAACCTCCTTGGTGAGTCAATAATTCAGTCTTATTTCCAACTCTAACTTGAAATGAAGCCGCAGTGCCAAAAATCTTTACACCTTTTATTGTACGTACTTCTCCCAAGTCAAGTTTCCACCACGCACCCAAATCGTATCCCGTTTCGGCGCACGATATGGGATCGTCGTCAAGAGCTAATTCGCCGCTATTTCCATTGTACGTCGATTTCTGATACACTTGTAACGCTGTGAACACTCTTCAAAGTCAATCGGAGTGATTGTTCATGTTATTAGCTATAAATTTCTATTATTTACTTTTTCTACCCTCTTAAAAAATCAATTAAGAGGCTTTTTATTCTTTCTTTTAAATTAAAATATTAAGTGCTTTCTACTTGAAACAATTTCCATGATCTTTTTGTATATATTAATATAAATTTAAATCTATAACGCATTTTCATTTATTGGAAATTTCTTCGACTTTGGTCTACTTTTTTTTTGGAGAATTAAGTAAATAGATGAGTTATTCAAAAGATAGAGTTAAAAGTAAAAGAATTCGTGAGGTAAGTGTATGTCAAATTGTTTAAGAATTAAAGTAAATAACAAGTTGAACTCAAAAGTGTCGAAAAGATACGAAAACGATATAAAATTTCAATAAATAAGAAAAAGAAAGTAAAATTTATATTTCTAATAGAATGAATTTAATAAAAACCTGTTGCCGATAAAAAAAACACTGCACTCAACTGCAATATAAGCAATGACATTATCACAGAAGTCAGTAAACGAATGAAAGTGACGCCAGCGTTTAGTTTTTCTTCCGTTTGTTGAATAGCTAGCGCTATTCAACCAATTGAAATTACCATATCAACCTATCGATAAAAAACTATTCCTAGTTTGAAAATTGTTATATTATTATATTCTAATTTTTAATTGACTGTCATTTATTCTTTAACGCTAAGTTGATTCAATGAAAGTGAAGACATATATATTAGGTAATAGATGTACCATTCATGGAATGAGAGTCTGTCAATTTGTTTTGACGTTGTCACATAATAGGATCAGTAGCTGTCTAATGCCTAACAAAAAAAAGTTGGGCATACCACAGTACTTTGCCGTTCGATCTTTAACTAAACATACATTTTATGGCGGTGGGCCTTATGCAAACATTTATCGTAAACGTGCGCTTATTTCGTCCACTAAAAAATCTGTACGGTGATTTATTAGCATATTTAGGGTGCAGACCGATGGCGACAATCGATATCTTGCGAAAACAGCATCGATTTGACGACGATAAAGAGCGATATATATGCGTATTTGATTTTTTCCCGTTTATTTGACCTATTTATTGAAAGAATATGAAGTGTGTTGGTGATGACACCAAGAAAAAGAAGGTTGCCGGTTATATTCTCGGTCGAATTCTAGGAGAAGGTAATTTCGCTAAAGTTCGACTTGGTACTCACGTTCTAACAAAGGAGAGAGTTGCTGTTAAAGTAATCAGTAAAAGCGAAGCTAGTAAAAAGGAATATATTAAAAGGAATATGCGAAGAGAAGCAGTAGTCTTACAAAAGCTCAATCATCCTAATATTATAAGGCAGTTCGAAGTTTTAGAAACGGACAATCATTACTATCTGGTCTTGGAATTAGCGGAAGGAGGAGAATTTATAAAGTATTTGACAAAAAGGTATTACTTATCATATCATTAATTTCTTTTACAAATCGCTAATAGCTGCTAATGTATTAATATATTATCGCCAAAACAGAATAAAATGCCATATGTATAATATGTGCTTTATATATATAATACGATCTTTTTATAACCGTTTTACACAACTTTTATGTAAGAATCTATAGGTTTACCTTATATTTATATATACAAAAATATATAAAGCTCATATGTTTACCTTATCTTCATATCTCCAATTGAATTCTCCGCTATTAATCAATACAGAAAACGGTTTGATGAAGAGGAGGCTAAATTATATCTAAAGCAAATAGTATCGGCACTGTCCCACATGCATAAATCAGGTGTGATACATCGTGATCTAAAACTAGAGAATTTACTATTAGATTCTAAAGGAAAAATCAAGATTATAGGTTAATATTGAGCATAGCTATTTTCTCTCTTTGATCTATATTCTATTATTATTTTTTTTCTTCCTTCGCCTTAAAAACTAGACTTTGGACTAAGTAACATCTATGATCAAGGTCAAATGCTTAACACTCAATGCGGTTCTCCTGCATACGTTGCTCCAGAAGTATTTATTAAAAAACCGTATGGACCATCCGTAGACGTCTGGAGCCTGTAATTATTCTCTTATCATTTATTAAAAATAACTCTTTGTTATCACTACTTTTTTATTATTAGCGGTATAATTCTCTATACGTTTTGTGTTGGATCACTGCCCTTCTCAGTTTATCCATCAACAGATTTGAAAAGATTATATAGTCTAATAATGAAAGGTCCCACCATACCTGATTATCTCAGCTCAGGTCAATAATAAATTTCTATTTTATCGATAAACAATTGAAGATAATTGTTTCTAATTATTTTTAGACTGTTGCGATTTAATAAGACAGCTGCTTGATCCGAATCCTTCTACTCGACTTACTATAGATCAGATTGAAAATCATATTTGGCTAAATTCTGTCCCAGAGTCTCTCTTGAATGTCAAACAAGAGCAAGAAATTGATCATTCTATCATAAATTTTCTTGTCACACGATTTGGGGTTTCCGAAGAGGAATTGTGCGCTTCGATTCTAAATCGAAAAATAAATTCTATGACAGCAACATATTACCTTCTTCAAATAAGGTTAAGTAGAGGATTAGAATTTCCGGATCTCCCCGGTATCCAATCTACGAAACCAGTTAATGATCTCTTACCTCGCGGTATACTTAGAGTAAATAATGAAAGTTCAAACAATCAGAAGACTGTATCCTTTAACCGTTTCGAAAAAGTTGAAGAGGCTGAAATTTCAGGGAAATTCCTTCTAAATAAATTGTCAGAGGACGGCTTTGTCCGAAATAAGAAACAATATTGGAACTCTAAAAGTGAACGTTTAACTTTCGAAGTTCCTAAGTTTGTTACAAGTATGCCCATAACGAATAAGAAAAGATCGCCCCCGCCTGTTCCTCCAAATTCCGCTATGGGAATTCGGTCGGATTATAAAGTGGCTCTCGAAGAGGCCAGAGCCCATTTAAGCGATGAAAAACAATTAAATGACTATGAAGAAATCAAACCGTCGTATTCTTCTGCTTCTATTAGATCTCCTCTCTTGGGTAGGAGATCAAAAACTATGCCCGAAATGCGTGTGAGAAAACTAGGAGTATTACGTAACAATACCGTTCAGATATCAGATATTCGAGGTAAACTAATAATTTTTAGGGAAACAACTAATAAATCTCTTATCCCTTTTTTTAATTCCTCCCTTCTGCATAACACATTTTTAATGATAATTTGTTTCTTTTTTTCTTTTTATTAGCAAAATGCGGTTTTCAAAACCGCAAAGGAGGTTGGTCAGACCGTATGAAAATGGAAGAAAGTTTTAAAAGTCGATTTTAAATAACTAATGAAAAAATCTACTTTTTATCATTTTCTCAAAGAGAAATATGACTAATTTGTTTTTTTCCCTATCTTGTATCTCATATACTATCTATCCAATTTTCTTCCTCTCTTTTATCGTATCAATCTTATCAGTTCAAAAAAGTAAAAGATTTGAATTTTTATTCAAAATTTCAATGGTATCAAAAGATATAGAAGAGAGCTATGTATTTAAAAAAGAAACCTATTACCTCAGGTTTTGTTACGTTTAAATGTACAGTTCAACAATAACCCTTAATAAAAATCTTACTCCTTTTTGGTTAAATAATAAACAATTAAGAGTCATGAGATTTTTCTGCCTGAGCATATTTAATTAGTGTATTTCATAAAATGTCTTATTCAGTACTTCAAATATTGAACGATTCAAGATTTGTATGAAAAGTAATCCTATAATAATTGTTTATATATATTTCTTTTTTTATTTTTTTTAACAGAAAGAAACAGACCACGATCAACGAAAATTTCTTTGAATTATTTCTTATGAAATGTAAACAAAAACAAAATATTTAATTCATTTGTTCATTTAAAGAAACAAAAAGTATTTGCAATTGTATTCATTCTTTCCCTCCCTTTCTCTCTCTCTCTCTCTCTAAATACGATAAGTTCTCTATTCTTTATTCATTGTCCTTTTTGACATTACTGTTCTTTTTTTTTTGCATTGTCCTACAGTACGATATGTCACATTTAATTGTCAAAAAGTAGAAACTAACTACAATTGTCGCTTTTTTTATAGTATTTTTTCTTTTGTCATGTCTTACAATATTGTTTTCTTTAAAAAATAAACTAACAAAGATTCTTCAAGATAAATCCTATTGTCAAGCTATTTCTTTATTTTTCGGTAGTTCTCTTCTTCCTAATTTTGGGAAATTGTAATAGAAAAAAACTATTAAAAGGTAGAGTAACTTTTAAGATGGAACTTTAATATAGGCCAAATTTTATCTACTATCTGGTTCCCTGCTCCCGGTTTAGAGCGAACATGTTAAAGAGAAGATTGAAAGTTGATTTCATTGAATACTTTTATTTCGCACCATGTGGAGGATAGGATTCAGGCTAGCGATAACAACAAAAATAAATCCTATTTTACGAAATGGACTTAAAGTTCCACTAAGTACACTAAAACACCCTTCAAACACCATTCATCGCAGAGATTTTCAACGATATTGTAGCACAAAAGTTGGAAAAATATCTCCTCAAATGGCAATTACTTTCACTTGTAAAGTTTGTGAACAAAGAACAACAAGGACTTTCTCAAAAATATCTTACGAAAAAGGTGTTGTCATAATAAAATGTCCAGGTTGTAATAACAATCACTTAATTGCTGATAATTTAGGATGGTTTAGAGACAAAAAAATGTAAGTAATTGTTAAAATTGGCGAATTTGATTTCATACTATTAAAATACAAACAGAAACATAGAAGATTTAATGAAAGAGAAAGGTGAAGATATAACAAAATTAAAGTCCGAAGGTTTAATTGATATTAGCGAAAAATGATGTAATATTTCATGTTTAAACAACTGAATTTTTGACAAGACATGTACATTTACCGCAATTGTTCATTGCAGACTGTTTTAAAATGAAATAAAAACGAATCTGTCATTAAAAGGCCAAATAATTAATGTAGAGTTCTTTGCCATCTGTACCTTAAAGGTTTTTTAGGTCTCTCTAATAATTTTTTGTTATCCATATATTGTCTTAATACTTGTGGTATAGTTACTGTACCATCTTCATTCTGATAATTTTCCATAATGGCCATTATCATCCTGGGAAGAGCGCATGCGGTTCCATTAAGCTGTCATTTGATAAATTCGATTAATAATACTCTAAAATACAAGTTTAACTATTAAAAACGTACAGAATGAACGAATTTCTGCTCCAAATTTGGGTTCCAATATTTGATATTTAGTCTACGACTTTGGAAATCAGTGCAATTCGATGCACTGGAAACCTAAGAATTTTTTATAAATAGATATAAAATCACTGTATTATTAGATTCATTAATAAATTTTACTTCTCCATAAAATTCTTTGGAAGGCATCCACGCTTCGACATCAAATTTTCTATAGGCAGGTAGTCCTAACTCCAAGGTTGGCATGTCTAAGACTTTAAAATGTAACCCTACTCCTTTGAAAATTTCCGCTTGGATATTAGATAGGGACTCAAGCATCTCAGAACTTTCTTCACCAGTTTCCTGGGCTGTTAGTGAGAACATTTCAACTTTTGTGAATTGATGAACTCTATATATTCCCCTTTCTCTTTCAACATCCGAAACTTCAGCTCTATAACACCGGCTAACAGTTGCTAATTTTCTTGGTAATTCCTCAATATGAAGCATACTATTGTTAAATAGAGAAGCTAAAGGAATTTCCGAAGTTCCTGCAAGACAAATATCTCCGTACGTCTTATTCAATTTATAAATTTGGGTTCTTTCAGAATCCGTTTGGAATCCACAACCACGCTACATAGATAAAACAAATATAGTATAAATTTATTATAAATAAAGTGTGTCACTACTTACAATAAAATTTGGGTGGACCAGATTCGGAACAGTGACATAGGAAAATCCCTTTAAAATCAAATTGTTTATAGGATAATTGTTTATTTATTAGATATTATATTTGTTATTATTAAAAATTTATATATATTATATATCTTACGTGTTTTAAAAGAATATCTAGTGAATAGTTGACAATAGCCTCCTCTAGTAAAGCCAAATCCCCCATAAAGTAATAGGCTCTCGAACAGCTTGATGGCGTTAAATTTCTAAATATTTAATTAATAAACTATATTTAATAACCACTCCGTTTAACGAATTTGTTACCTTGTTCTTAATAAATTCATTCTTTCGCCCAGTTCGACGACAGTTTTAGGTTGAAATCCAAATTCTTAAGCAATAATAGTCATCAAAATAACAAATTATTTTATTTTATGCATTTTTTAGCCTACTTTTCTTTTCTCCAAACGTTCTTAAGCAAACAGCTTTATTTTCGTCTCCAATGGGCTATTTTGTAAATAAGGGATATGTAAATAATTTCCGGTTATATATTTTTTTATAGTTTATTTGTCTTACAACTGAAGGATGTGTTTTGTTTGGGATACTGTCCGCAACTGCCCACAATCGCTCTTTAATATTCTCCTTTTCTTCGTCGTAATGAAGGAAATCGTCTAAATCATCTGTTCCAGACTTAAGAGTTTTATCTAATTTTAACTGCAATGGAAAATAATTTGTACTGTAAATATGCGTCTTCAATTTCAAACTTCCAACAGGAGAAACAGTCATCTCAAACTAATTACTAGTTTTTATTATTATCATTAAGTGGGCAAATCACCTGCAGCGGCTCTACAAAAGTAGGCAGAGCCATCTGCAGGCCGATCTCTACCCTTCCAAAAAATCTTCCAGAACTAAGCCTGGAGGCCCCGCATCACCAGGGTCCGTAATTTTCCTTACTCATCAGTTTAAGGCATAACCATCACTTTTCAGTTCAAAAACATATAAAGTCGAAAAAAGTTTAGATGATTTTGTATCTAATTTGCATATTGCGGAGCAAGATACCTACCAGAAGGTCAATATCTCCTTTACCCTTTCGATTTTGTATATTAAAGTATATTTGATCTCTATTGTCTCTATTTAGTAAGTAATCCCAGTCATAATCCGGTTGTAGAGGGCTCAACCGTTTCATTTCATCTTCCATTAATCTTTCATAATCCGTCACCAATTTTACATGGGTATGACCCTTTTCAAATGAAGAGTTGATTGTATAATATTTTCTTAATCCATTCCATTGCCTAAGCTGTTTCATGAATAGCATTAGACGAGAAAGACGAAGCGGCATTTTTAATCTAAAAAATAAAGTACTCCGGTCAAGTGATTAACTTTAAAACATTTTCCGACTTTTCTCCCCTACATTACCAATGAAATATTTTATAAACCACTGAATTAATATTAAATCAACTAAAAAGTACTTTCTTAAAATTTAACTGTTACGTTTCAAAGTTGTTTCTTCAAGATAATTACACGTATTATCACTCAGATAACTTACTTAAGCAAAATCGCTATTGAAATTCCAACTTTAAATATATATTTGTATTTAAGATCCAATGATAAAGAATATGCAATAATATCAGAAGCAGAAACGCTTCTAACTATTGAAAAAGTTACAGTTTTTTATATCAAATACAATTCCGAACTTGATTTCTTAATGTCCAAAGCACACTTCCGTAATAAATACACCTACTACTGGATGAGAAATTAAGAAAAAAAATTTAAGATCAACAAAGCCATAAAAAGATCATGTCGATACAGGAAGTTGATCAAGTAATGCATTTTAAATTCTCTTTTTAAATATAATACTCCTGTTTCTCTCCAAGAGTTTTTATTATACAAAGAGCGATAATGACTCACATTTTTAACAGACAGAATTCAACGCTCATGATTTTGTTGAACGTCTAGCCTGGAAGGCTGTCGGAGGAGCTGCAGTCGATAGTGAGGAAAAGACTAAATTCAACCCCATGAAGTTGCATTCGATCTTTCGAAAGATGATTAAAGATTTAAATGATAAAAATAAAGTGGTGAGTTAAGAAAAAAAAGAGGAATTTAATGGACCTAATTACATTTGAAATGGGATGTCTTACACTTATTTTTCTAACACAGGTATCTAGAGAAATAGAATCTTTAGAGCAGGATTATAAAGAAGAGGAGAAACAGCATCACAATCGTATTTTAGCGCTTCAAAAGGCTAATGAACTATCGTTTGATATGTTAGCTAAGCTTGATGACAAAATTTCGTTTGTAGCAACAAAAGTTGTTCACGTTGGTGATCAGCTTGAAAGTATAAATACTCCTAGAACAAGAGTTGTAGAAGCAAAGAATACTATGACACACTTTCGAGATTTTCTAATTGGGTTACAAAGTAATTTCCAGGTACTACTTTAAATCATTTTTGTTCTGTTTATTTTTAATTGAGCTTTTAATAATTAAATAGATTACATCGGACTCTTTAGATTGGATTTCAAAGGCTCAAATAATTCAAAAGTTAAGTTCGGTAGCTAGTGAATTACCCAATGAAAAAAAGTTAGCATTCATATCACTTTAAAAAAACTTTGCCTAGTTGCTTATCTTTCCAGATTTAGAGATGCAAAAACTAGAATAGACGGTTTGTTTTAAAATTAGTTATTTAGAGAGAATTTACCGAAAGTTTTTCCTCTTATTTTTACAGATAAATACGAAGAAATGGAAAAATTCCTATTAGCAAGATTTAGAAATAATCAAGTAAACGGAAAAATTAAAGAAATGAGTCAAGTTGCAGAGGTTCTATATAATTTTAAGGTAAATTTTCCCTTTAAAGTGTTTATTAAATATTCTAACAATTTGTTTATTTGTCGCCAATTGTTTCAGAACTATCAAGTATGCGTCGACAACTTCATATCGCATATGTTAAATGTAAAAATCTTATATTTTTAATATTATCATACATATATAGATATATATTAATATATTAATTAATGTATAATTATAAAGATTCCAATGGGTATTGGAATTTACGACCAAATACCCAGACTATGCGAAAGGACGAAAGAACAAGCGATTGATGTTATATTTCCCAATTCCGATACAGTTATGACAAAATTTCTGGCAAAGTTATACGAACACAAATTACACGTAATTTATTTAATCTTTTATCTTAGAATGGGAATTATATGCTAATTTTTATATTTTCCTAATAGTCATATATTCATGAGAGATTAGAATATAGTAAGAAAGAAGGAACAATGGCCTATCTCGAAGAATTGAAAGTATTTTATACAAAGTAAGATAATAGAACGATTTTTGATTATTAATTAATTAATAATTCATTTTACAGTACTATAGCATTAAATGCAAAATTATCAATTTATAATCCAACAAACGATCCGAATCTCCTTGTACGATTAACGAATAAAATATTTTCGTTGAGTTTAAGGGATTACGCCGAGTAAGATATTTACATAATTTACTTATTTTATAGGTTATTTTATAAATTATAAACAAAATTTATATCCTCTTCTTTCTTGAATAGGAGAGAAATCGAAAATTTAAAAGAAAAATGCATTCATATTAATAGAAAATTTTACGAAGAAAAAAGACATCAAAAGAAGGTTATTACATCGGGAGGGTAAGTTCTATCTTAGATTTATACCTTCAAACTAGTACAGTATATAGTTCTAATGAAAAAATAACTTAATTGTAAATTAGTTTATCTGAGTTTCGCCGTGATATTCAAGAAATGATTGGTACAAAAGCTAACTTAGATTTCGGTCTTAAACTTGAAAATTATGGAGGAGAAACATTTCTCGATGATACCGTTTCTGCGAGTTTAATTCAAGAGACGAAAAGTGCCATCACCCGATGCCAAACTGTTGGTTTTTATTTCTAATATTACTTTTATCAGAGGTAATTGTAATTATCTATGAATTTCAGCTAACTGGATCTACATATCAAGTTGCTCTTCATGTATCAAAACTCTTTAATGTTCTCCTTGAACAGCTTTGTGTTGAACACATTGCTTATGCAGTTGACCTTGGCGTTCAAACTGTTCCTCTAAGTGAACAAAAAGTCCAACCTCAAGTTTATTTCTTTATGATAGTCAGCCAAACAAATGCTATGTTTACCTTATTTGAAAAGTTTTTCACTGAGACTGTCGGACCTGTTGTCCGAAATGATCTTAAAGCGTATGAGGAATGCGACAGGAGAAGAAAAGAGATAAAATCAATTATTGAAAAAAAATTAGAGGGTGGAATAAGAAAATCTTTAAATGCTATCTGTGGTTGGATAAAAAATTTGTTGTTAGAGCAAAAGAAAACAGACTTTAGAGCCGATTTAGGCGCAAGCGTTATTTCAACTTCGGTAAATAATATTTAATCAAATATTCAATTCGGATCAATTAAGTTTGTAACCATATTTTACAGATTTGTCAGAAAGTGATAACTTATTTGGAAAAAGAAATATCTGATATAAATAGATGCTTAGACGGTGAAAATCTTTATGCAACTCTCCAAGAGCTAGGAATAAAATTTCATAGTACTGTTTACGATCACATATTGAAATTTCAATATGATAATACGGGCTCTATGGTGCTTCTTTGCGATGTTAGATCGTATAGTGAAACTTCTAAAAAGTTCAACAGTTCTATTGTTAATCAACTCTTTCTTACTCTGTATCACCTCTGCAATTTATTATTCTGTCCAGTTTTCCATTTTAAAGACATGATTGAGGATAACTTAGAACTGGTAAGCCATAATTAATTCCACTCTGATCTTAATATTAATCAGTAAGTTGTTTGCAGGATTACTTGGACAGAAATACGATTATGAGTTTTATTCAGTTGAGAATGGATTACAAATCTATTAAAGATGACGTAAATATTCAGATCTCATCTATAAGAAGTAGTTGAAAAGAGAACCTAAATAAAGTAATTTATGAAATTTTAATGATAATGTACAAAAATCAAAGATTATATATAAGATATAATACATATATCAACAAATAGCATTTGAAGTATATTTGTAACTGTATTATTAGCAGAAATTTGGGTTGTTTTCAATATTGCGGTTGAACTTAGAACCCCTTTGAAGAATTTCCTTAACCTAACAACTTTCACAAGTTTCAAAAATTTCGCTCATCAACTTTGAATATGTATGTACACGAATTATTCGTAAAAATTAATATACACACTTACGGAAATTATTGCAAAGCAAAGGGGGTTAACGTATTTCCAGCATAAATGTATATAATAACTGTATATTTTTTTTTAAATAAGATATAACAATTAACGTCTATCTGTTTTGCCCATCTTTCTTTTTCCGGCAAACAAGTGTTTCGGTTTCAAGTCAAATATCTTACGATCACCTTCTCCCTTTCTCGCCTCACGATTCATTTTCTTCTGCGCATTCTTTGCTATTGTTCTAGCCTTCTTGACCATCTGTAAGATTTAATTTTTTAAAGTAAATTCTTTAAAGGATTCATAAAATATGGCTTACGCTTTCATCTCGGAGTCCTGATTTATCTCTGGGTTGTCGGGATGCACTTCGGGCACGACTCTTGCTTCTATCCTCTACAACAGAAGCTTCTCGCTTTCTCTTCAAAGCCTTCCTCTGTAAACTTCTGGATCTTTCTTTACCCAAATGTGTCTGCAAAATACAAAAATTTTTAGTGTTACTAAATTTTGGCTCTAGAGGCAACCATGTAAATTGAATCTAGGAATAAGTCTAGTTCTTATCTTTGCCCATCTTAAAACTAAATTTTGCCAAAAGTAAACAAGATTTAGAAACCACAGGGCAATAAAAAGCCTCATTTACAAACAAATACTTTAATTACTATTGTACCTTGTCATTATCTTCGATGTCAAGTCCTAATTCTCCTAGCTCTTTCTGAATGTCCCCGGTATCTATTTTTTTGGCTGTTCTAGGCAACCTTGGCTTTTCAATTTTACGCTTCTCTCTTGATTCAAGGGTTATAATTTTACGTTTTTCACGGATTCTGTGTTAAAAGATTATTTTGAATTTAATAAGAAAGATAATGGCAAAATATGACTAACTTTCTAGCAGTTTGCCTGATTTCTTTCATTTCTTCATCTTCCTCACTTTCATCGTCATCATAGAGACCAGCTTTTTCTCTTAACTCTTCTTCCTTTTCTAATTCTTCTAATTTCTATTGAAAACATTTTTAAATATTTCTTACAATGAAAAAATCAGAATACTATTACCTTCATTATTTCAGGATCAATGAAATCAGATATATTATGACCCTGCCATATTTGTGGAATAGCATCATACTTTTCATCCTCATTGTTTAAATCATAGTTCTCTGTAGGTAAATTATTAGTTTAATAAGTTTTCTCTTTTTTTCAGACCTCAAATACGAACTTTGCAAATCGAGAATATAGTCTTCTGCAAGTTCAACTTCTAAATCTCTTTCCAGCTTCTTTTTCATTTTTTCCTCTCCTGTTTCCATAGAAGGCTTCTTCGAAATTCCTTCAGGTATACATGGTGGTCTAGATACATTATCTCTTTTATTTGGTACAGCTAAATGCAATCTGTTGATAACGTCGTTCATTTTCCTTCCTTTTAACTTGGTTTCAACTCGATCAGTAAGAAGCAAATCACAAGCTCTTTCTTTAACTTCCATAACACCTTTTTCCGTTAGAGTTGACATTTCAACAACGGGGATACCATCTTCTTCAAACCTGAAATATTAAAGATGTCTATGTAAATTATAAAAACATTTTTCCTAATCTTACTTTTTAAATATGGCGCTTTCTTCTGGTCCTAAATCTTCTATTTTTTTAACATCAATTTTATTAGCACATATTATTAGTGGTTTGTTTGCAAAAAGAGGTTTAATATTTTCAAAAAGTGCTAATTGTTGATGTAAGTTATGTCCGCATTGTTCCGATAAATCCATAACATAAAGAACGGCTGATCTTAGATGGGCCATAGCCGTAATCGCTTGCATTTCTATAGTATTTCTTTCCTCTAATGGGTGATCCAATATTCCTGGGGTGTCCACAACTTGCCAACGTAAATATCTATAATCCATGTGCCCAACATATAATGCTTTAGTTGTGAAAGCATATGGCTGAACTTCTACATCTGCTCTAGTTACCTACAATATAAAAATTATATTAGGGGTTCCTTTAACTATTATCTTCAACTAACTTTATTTATAAATGAGCTCTTTCCAACATTTGGAAAGCCAGTTATTATCAAGGTCCTAGTATTCGGATCAATCGATGGTAAACGGCCCAAATGCTGTCGAACTTGTTCTAAATATGCCAAACTCTGACCTTGCTTCTTCATAATTGTGCACATTCTAACAAATAGAGTAAGTTTAAAATAATTGAGAAATAATTTTAAAAAACTACCTTCCAAGGGCAGCTATCTTAAGTTGTTTGCATCGATAGAGAGAATCTGCGTATTTTAACAATCTAACATATTCTTTCCCAACACTAAAATAAGGGCCATATTTAGTATTAATTTAAAAGGATTGAGTTTTTATACTCTGAAAATGGTAATTACTTGTCAACTAAATGTTTCGCAGTATTTATTTGACCAAGGGCAAGTTTGTAATGGTCTTTGTCATACAAAACATTCATCAAATCCGCGTAAAAAGGATGGATATCCTGTGAAATGAAAGAAATAATAATATATATTACCACTCCAAATTCATTGCTCTATTCTAACTACTCACATCCAGTTTAGGAAAGTCTGTAATTATCTGAGTAAGTTTATCGTGAAAACTCTGCTGCGAAAATTTAATTTTTCGCATATAGAATTGTCGAATTCTACCGATGGCATAATGCCTGTGAATAACTGTGGGAGTCTTTCTCTGTGTCTTTGACAAGACAATATCAACAAAGTCCTGAAATTATAGAAGTAGCCAGTTAGTTCCTCATGCTAAAAAACATGGTTTAATATATCGCCCTCAGTCTAACAAAAATTTATTCAACAGAAGAATCTATAGTTAGCTATCAGGCTTTATAGCTTTTCCATGTAAACTCACCTTTGCTGTAGGGACTACAGTTATCTTTTTGAAGTTATAGTGAGACATTTTTCTTGCTTAGCAAAAGTCTCGACACGTGCTTCCAGCTGGTATGGCTACAATACGAAGTTCACATATATTGCGATATATTTTTTAGCATTTCGGAAAATTCCGCAAACGAAAAGATATCCAAATATTTTTCAGCTTTCAGTGTCCTTTTCGATTTATTGAATACAAACATATATGTTAACTAATTCTGCGTAAAATTTGTAATTGACAATCATCACTTCCTGATCTCAGTCAATTAATAAAAAAAGACTAAGCTATTTATATTAAAATTTGATCAAGGACTTGGCTATCTTTTGAGCTAACGAGCGATAAAGTATGGAGAGTTTACACGAAAAAGGTATTGTAATGATCTCTGATCTACAAGATATGTTTAAAGTAAATTATTTAATATGTCTTTATTACTGTGAAAGCTTAACTATTTTTTTCATTTAGTCTTATGATCAATTAATGCTTAAAACAACCAAACTTGGAGACCCGGCATTCGCTTTTATTTACTATTTCCCCATCTGTTTCTTCTTAAATGGAAATATAGGGGTAAAAGTCCTGTGGGTTGCTGCTTTAACAGAATGGATCAATGGTGTTTTAAAATGGTGAAGTTATTTCAATTTTAAAATTTCATGTAATAACGCCATCTACAGTTAGCTAGGTTATGTATTTTACATTCTAAAACTGATTCGTGAATGTTTCTCTGAAGAAGAAACTAAAAAATACCATATTTGAAAAAATCAATCGTTTATCACAGAGCTATTTTTAAACGTATGTTTATTTATGGTATGAACTCAAATCATGTATCATTACATAATGTGAGCTGCCTCATGCTGTTTCAGATCCTGTAGTAATAGAGTAATTTTCATTTTATCAACTCCAAAATGCTCGCATAGATAGTCGCGAATTTCAGGTCCGAGAACTTTGTTGGAATTCTCATTGAAAACTCCGATGCTCTTAATACTAGCCATTAGCATTCTAGTTTCCTTGTCATTATTGCTACACATTCGACAATCGCCGTTAATTTGTATGTAAATTCGCTCTTTAGGCTTGTTTAATAGTTTTGACAAATAGTCAGAGAATTTTGCCTCAAAATTCGGATCAACTTGTGATTGCGGTAGATTTGTATTAAAAGTGCAAACTGGGTAACTGTAGGGGAAAAAAGATGCAAGTTACTATAAACTAGTAAAAAAATGAGAAAGAAACTTTTTGCAGTCGTATTTTAACTCTTGTAAATGCTTCTCTCCTACTAGAAATTCTATAGCTTTGCACTGAAGGGCTTAAAAGAACTGAAAAGGACTAATAGTGATTAGGACTGGCTGAAGAGGTTTCATATTCGCTTTTATTGCTCTGTTATCAGCAGATAGTATAACGAAAATACATATTGATACACTTTATAATGTATAGTTAAATGATGTAAAAAACGTCATCTTTAAAAAACGATCTGAGACTTAACGTGACCTAGGGAGATAAATATAGAGTTCTTACGAAATATGTGATTAATCTTTAGTTTTTATTAAGAATTTGTTTTTTTTAACGTGAAGTCGTAGGTTATAAATTGCTTATACTGTCACTCTGTAGGCAATAAGTTCTGACTAGTAGAGCGTTTTTCTACAAGAAGAGTGAAGAAAAACTAACGATATCAATTCACCAAAGGCATCCATCAAAAAAATCTTTGCATGGCAGATGGTTAGGTTTCATTAACGATATTCTTTTTTTTTCTTTTAGCATAAAGAGTATACCCTAAATATAGTATCTTATCGGATAGATAGTTATATTAAGTTGTTTTATACTAACGTTCGATTTTGTTGCCAAGAAACGCCGGCTGTTTGCCGACTAATTCGAGCTAATGCGGATCGGAACATTTTATTTTCGTCCTTTTTTCTAGATGTGTTAAAGATTTTAGATGGCCTCAACTCAATCGAACTTTGTACTATGTATCAATCTTTTTTGTTCATTTTCAAACTAACTAGCAGATGGCGCTAAATATATATATTGAACACTATCCATTAATTGCCAAGTCTTTATTAACTTTTTTAACCCAATTTTTTATCTCAAAATAAGGTTTTTATACGGTCATAGACCTTATTGGTATTCGGCTGTAAGCAAAAATGCAACTCTACCAGCACTGAATCAATATGAACTAACTTGTGAAACCGGTCCAGGAAGTCCATCAGGTCATGCAATGGTTACTTCAGCTGTTCTCTTTTTTATTACAAACAGTGTTCTTCGTAGAATAATGAAATATACGCATGCAGGGTAAAAATATTCAGTACTTATTCCTGATAATATTTCCAGATATCTATCATATTTCAGACCTGTAATTGGTATATTTGTTTGGTTGATCTTTATTGTAATTGTTTCGGCAGTTGGCATGTCCAGATGTTTTATTGCAACTCATTTTCCTCATCAAGTTGTTACAGGAACTCTGTCAGGTAAACTACAAACTTTTAAAATAACGTTTCCCCTTTCCACCCCCTCCTCCTCCTCTTATAAATAGTTAAGACACAATTGCAAACAACTGGTAATAGAACTTTTAAAAAATAATCACAAACTAAAAACAGACCGGAAACATTGGAGATATAATTAGAATCAATTAGTCACTATATATCAAACGCAGGTGCTTATTAACAATGCTATGTCAAAATTCAGCTTTAATGTGATATAGAACTTGGAAGTTTTTAAAGATGTAACTTAAAATAATTTCTATTTGTTATTGTAAGAAATTTAATCAAAATTTCAATCTACAACAATACTTGTTTACATAACAAATCTACAGGACTTTTTGTGGCTCTATTCGTTAGTAGGCTAAACGTGAAGAGATACAGTTCAGTACATTATATTCTTGTTAGTTTACCATTACTGGCAATAGTATTTGCTTTGGTAAGTAACAATAACTATACTAACTATAAGTAAATTGTTCATAATCGATAAAATATACGGTGAAATTTATTACAGAATTACAGTTTATATTATTTTGGAATTGATACGAACTGGTCATTTAAATTAGCCGTTAAATATTGTAAAAAGAAAGAATGGATTCATTATAATACAACTGTCTTGAGTGCATTTATACGTGATTCAGCGTCTCTTCTAGGTTTGCAATTGACTATAATTAATTTGAAATTCAATTTATAAACAATATCATTTTCTTTCTTTAGGCTTAGGTTATGGACTCGAAAAATTGAAAACGTGGTCGTTTAAACCAAAATTCACGATAAAGTATCGAATATTCGGAATTATTACATCGCTGTTGCTCGTGAGATTTATTGAGAGAATTGAAATACCTACATCTAGTCCAGCATGGTTCTATATATATTTTTTTATGAAATATTATACTTTCGTTTACGTTGTCATCACCTATTTAAATTTGGGAGTTAGCAAAAGTTTAGATCTTGTATTTGGACAAGATCAAGATCGAGATCAAGATCAAGATCAAAAGGATAAAAAGATTAAATCTGATTGAATAAGACAATATATATTTAATATATTTAATTTGTTGTTGATATTTCTATGCGTATTTGTCATTATAATATAGTCACTGATACTGCTGTTTTACACAAGTGCCTGACAATAGTGTCTACCTTGATGCTCTGGTTAAGTATTTTGATTTTTCAATAGCCTTTGAATGTGGTCTATTCAATATAAACATTACAAAGTTGTTCTTGAAATTGAGAATAGAACTTTTTGCGGGATAAGCAATACTAATTGTTTTAATGTATAAACAATCCATCCGAATCGATTGTATATTCATTTATCATATTTTCATCAATGCTAAACTAGCAGAGAATTGTTTAAATAGTAATTCAATACTTTGTTGAAGTCTTTATTAATTTTTATCAAATATATAGAAAGTAACCCTTTTTAGATGAAAATTTTCATACTATTAGAAAAACATGAGCTATTCGGTTCGCTGTATTTTACTGTATCCTTTCAACGAAATCAATACAGATAATACCAATTCCCCATCGTTGTATCACTTCCGGTTTTTCATTATATCTAAAAGAGAATCTAACTGCGGATAATAAAACTGAGCAAGAAATTCTGAGAGACAGACTTGGAGGCGAGTTGGAGAACAGAGAAGACTTATTTCTCATTTTAAATCTTTCAACTATGACTTTCCACAAGAGTTTTTCGATTTATTCAACCAATGAGATTGATCATTACAAAGGCCAATTAGGTATCAAACAATAAACTGCCTTGTTTATTCTTCTATTAAAAAGAAGACGAATAAAACAATTGAAAATTATTTTCAACAATAATATTTTTTATTATAAACAAAACGTTTGTAAAAAATATCTTTGTTTTCCTTTTTTGGCAGGAGATAATAAATTTTAAAGCTTTGTTTTATTATCAATCTTTCCTTACAATGCTACAACAAACTGGTACTTTAAAAGGTAAGCACTATTCTTCTCTTCTAGCTAGGTTTAAATTAAAATTACATGTTTTTCTTACTACCAAACTATAATTATCTAAAGCACAGTTAATTTTAAATCCAAGATGATTGTTGCTAATTTATATATATATATATATATATATAAATTTATATAGTATGTATAATTTTTAAGAGAGGAGTTAGAATGTTTTCTTATGGGAGTAGGATATTTTTTATCATAAAGATTATTCTTTTCTGCATAAGAACGATAGTTGAAGAAAATTCTTTCAAGGCATAGAGCGAAGGATATGGTGATGCAGGACTTGAAAGGATACTTAGCCAAAATCGAAGTTATCGAAAAAAGTTTCTGTTAGGATTTCATTAAGACATTTCGTAAATGTCTAATTGCAATTCTCAATGTGATAATTCTTTAAAAGAAATGCTGAAGGGTACAAAAAGAGAAAATCATAAAGATTATATATTTTAATAAAGTATATACATTCTCCTGATAAATGAATTGTATTTTCATCGTTTAGATGAATAAAAGTTGTTCGATTATTTAAGTTGGAAGAAAAACTCGGATGTCCTACCTTCCTTAAACAGGAAAAACTGGAAGTTGAGACTTTAACAACTCCTACTTAATGTATAAATTACTCTTAAAGCTAACAATGAATCAAGAGCGAAAGAGAGTTGTGAAAAAAATGATAGTTTTAATATGCCTTATCGCCTATGATATAACGTATGATTAATTTTTTTTCGCAAAGGGCGTCTCTATCATATAATTGACAGCTCCCAGCTTTATTGACTGGAGAGTTCCTTTTTTTATCCCACCCGTCTGTCAGCTGTGTTTAGGCTGCCGTGAAGCGTTTTGCCACTTGTACATTTCCGTTTTTCGATTCTCGGTTTCCAAGATCTGTTCGTCTGGAATTTTATTGATGACTATATTAGATTTCAACAGCGTCTTCAGAAATTCGCTGTGAAAGTTAATATTTTGATGAATTGAGCAGAGTGTTTAAGAACGTTTATTAAGGATTGAAATATGAGTACAACTGTATAGATAAAAACTTTCCGGCTAAAGAATATTGATATTATACGTTCTTTTGGAATAACGACATATCTTTTTAGGGTTTGTTGTATCATGTAATAAATTGTTGTAGACCATCCTGAGAACCACTCATTTGTAGGAGATGTATATTCTTTTTCAGTATATACATATTCAACTGCAGAACAATAAAAAAAGAGTATATTTTCTAAATCTAAATAAAACGTATTAATCGAAGTTATTAAATCTTTGTCCTTCATTCTTTTGACTGTTAATAAAAATTCTCTGCGACTTTTCCATCCGTAATATTCATTTTAATAAAGAGGAGCTCCTACGCTTTTAAAAAATCAATTATACTCGAAAATTCTTTATTATATGTTATTTGTTATCATTGCTAAATAACTGTTTTAAAAACTATAAGATACAAGTATAACCCTGCTAGCTATATTTTTTATTATTGGTGAAAGAAAAGCTTGGAGAAATATGCTAATATATTCCATTATATGCTCATTTGTAATGTTCCATTCACTTTGAGGGACCGACGTGCGTCTCTACCGTCTCCTGCAAACTTTTTAGTTTGTCCCTTTCACTGAAAGGAAATTGGAGCTGTTTCGAATAGTTATTGAGCATTTTTTATCTCATCAATATTTCTTAAACTTACATTTAAAAATACTCTCTAAATCAGACGAAATGTCCTATGAACTTGGGACGCTGATGCATCAACGAGACAGAAAGAGAGCCGCATATCTGTTCAGGACGAAGAGTTTGGGAAAGAATAGTATCCAGGAAAATGAAGAACTTTTAGGATCTTTTGAACCAGACTGGAGCAAATTCGAAAATGTTTTTATGGAAGGTAAGTCTATTAAATAAATGCTACAAACATATTAATTTCCTATTTCAACTTTGTAAGAATGAATAGATTTCATTTGACTTTAGCTACAAAGTATTTATCTTTATTAAAGTTGATTATAATCGTTTGAAATACTTCGAAAGAGAGTTAAGAATTTCCTCTATGTAATTTTTCATTTTCTAGTTAGCTCATATTCATGATTATCTCTCTACTATTGAGGAATGATAATATATGAAATGGAAAGAAAAATGTTAGGTTTGCCATTGATAATTCATATTGAGACGTTATGAATGAATTGCACGATGTCAGCTCCTTTTTTATTTGTGATGAAACAACACGTTTTTCCAAAAGCTTGTAATATGACACTCTGCAAGCTTTAAATTAATAAGAGTTGGTAGCTTACAATCTACACAACTTTGCTTGCCACTTGATTAGCTGTCATTGACTCCTAATAGACATCGCGTGACTACTTTTTAGCCGGAACTTTTCTAGCACCTTTTTTTTTAAAGACTATATTTTCTTATAAATCTTTTTATCTCTCTGCCCCTCTCTCTCTCTGTCTATCTTCATCCTACTATATTTAAAGTAAAGAATATCATTATAAAAAAACTCATTAATATTCAAAAATATTATAGCTATTTATAAGTTTTATAATTGATATTTTACCATAAGATAATCTGATAGAGTAGAAATTTTCTTAGATAATTTTTATAGGATTTATGATAGAGTTGATTTCTAAATAAGATGTTGACAAGTAGTGCGTGCATTTACTAGAGGTATTTGATAGTGTTAAGTTAATGGGGTTTACTTATTTAGCTTTGCTTTAGAATTGCTTATACAGACATAAAAAACGGAAAAACTTGTTTACACCAATTATAGTATATTCAATTGATACCGTATAAATTTTTATATTTAATAGCTAGATATCAAAGGTTACAAGTGTTTTCATATGTTTTTATACTCGTTTAGAACTCCTACCTAAAGACATTAGCAAACAAGGACAAAAGAGAACTTCACAGTTTATTCTGGAGGTTGTTGATATACTGATTGATTACATAAGGAAAAGTAATGATAGAAGTACGAAAGTTTTGGATTTTCATCATCCTCACTCTTTGAAGGAGGCGCTCGGTCATTGCTTGAATCTTGATGAAGACCCCAGAGATTTGGAACAGATTCTAAGCGATTGTAAAGAAACCCTAAAGTATTGCGTAAAAACCGGGCATCCTCGTTTCTTTAATCAATTATCAACTGGCTTAGATATGATAGCAATGACTGGAGAATGGTTGACTGCCACTGCTAATACTAATATGTAATAGACACATTTATTCTTATTAAATATCTCCAATTTATAATATTTTATTTGATAGGTTCACATACGAAATAGCTCCAGTCTTTACTCTTATGGAGGAGATAGTCTTGACAAAGATGAGGGAAATAATAGGATGGCAAGAGGGAAAGGGAGACGGTATTTTTGCACCTGGTGGAGCCATTGCAAATTTGTACGCTGTTCTGGCTGCTAGATATCGTATTTGTCCAGAAGTAAAGGAAGAAGGTATGAGAGTTTCGCCAAGACTCATAATGTTCACTTCGGAGCACGTTAGTTATAAAATGCTTGTCAAATTGTTACTCTCCTAGAACTAGAATTATCTGCTTTTTCCCCTTTAGAGTCACTTTTCTATCAAAAGGAATGCTGCAATTCTGGGAATTGGTACCAATAACTGTATTGCTATAAAAACTGATGCGCAAGGTAAAATGATACCAGAAGATTTGGAAAAACAGATAGAAATTGCTAAAGCGAGTGGAGGAGTTCCATTTTTTGTATCGGCAACTGGTATACATATAATATATATTTCGTGAGTTATTTATTTAAGAAACAAATATTTACATTTATCAACTAGGTGGTACTACTGTCTTGGGAACTTTTGATCCAATTAACGAAATATGCGATGTTGCTTTTAAGCACGGGCTATGGATGCATGTAGACGTGAGTAGTATAAATGTATAAAAATATATAAGGAGTTAGATTTTAACAACATTTTAGAATGTTTTCTGTGCAACTGGAGAAAAAGATATAAAATTGCAGTTTAAATTTTAGTTAATTTAGCGTTTTTAATTTTTTAAGTGCGCTTGGGGAGGTGGCGCCTTACTTTCGAAGCAATATAAGAAACTGTTGAATGGTATAGAACGAGCAGATTCTGTTACTTGGAATCCTCATAAATTAATGGGAGCTACTCTTCAGTGCTCTGGTATACTATTAAAGGAAAAGGTAACTTGGCAGAGACAGGTTTTTAAATACTGTAAATAACATGTTTTTTTTCCCTTAAAGGGCATATTGGAAAATTGTAACTCACTGAGAGCAAATTATCTATTCCAGCAAGACAAACACTATGATATTTCCTACGATACCGGGGATAAGGCAATCCAGGTGAAATATTATATTATTAGATTATTTTATGTTTTTCAAACAATATGTTATCTGTTATAAACGTTTTTTAGTGTGGAAGACACAATGACGTGTTTAAGCTATGGTTGATGTGGAGAGCTAAAGGAGATATTGGTTTTGAATCTCAAATTGACAGATTAATGGATTTATCTATGTTAGAATGAATTAGTTTTCTTTTAAAAAGTCTATATCTTTCTTTCTTTTATAGATATCTACAGGGACAGCTGAGGGAAAGAGAAGGTTTTGAGTTTGTTATTGAAGAGGTCTATAATTAAAAATTTATATTAATTATTCTAGTTGAAAAATTCATTTGAGATATTATTTTTAGCCTGAATTTCTAAACGTTTCTTTCTGGTATGTTCCGAAAAACATGCGCCACATGCCAAAAGATTCTCAGAGAGATGTCTTACTTGATAAAGTAATTATTAATCTTTAACAATTATATTACATTTAATTTATCTTTTCTAATTATATTTAACTCTCCTAGGTGGCACCAAAAATCAAAGCTATGATGATGGAAAGGGGGACAACTATGGTTGGTTATCAGCCTCTTGGCGATTTGCCCAATTTTTTCCGGATGGTAATTTCTAATCCAGCAACAATTCCTGGCGATATTGATTTCCTAATAGATGAAATTGAGCGTTTGGGGGAGGAACTATAGAAATTAGAGACGGAAAACGGAAACCGATTAAAGGATATGATTTATCGAAAGTCTCCATGTATTTCATTTAAACACATAGATCTATTTCTGTAGTTATAGACGCTTTGAATTTCGTAAACCTACGAATTTCAATGATCACTTGAATTTTAACGATTAAAAATCTCCAATTATTTAATTGTGTAACCCTAGCAATAAATGCTTAAAAGAACAATTCAACAAATCAGAGATGTCGAATGATACCACGAAAAGTGTTCAATGTTCATTAATCTTTCGTCTAGTTATAGTAGAATAACATGTTGTAAAGTAAAATACAAACATAAATGTTGTAATGGCAAAGAGGAAAACAATAATAATTTATAATCCTTTACAATTTTTTCTTGTAAACAGACTTGTGATAAAAAATTGGTATCTTTTTTCTCATTATCTATCCTATATTTAATGTCTTCTTGGAGAGATATCATGATAAATAATTCAAAGTTCATTAGTTTTCTAATTTTTCCACCTAACTTCATACTACATCAAAACATTATAATGAAGACTTTAACTTCAGTCTATTAATCATTTAATATTTCTCCTGATTGTGTAACTAATCTAGCAATGAATTCTATACAATTTATTATCGAAAATTATTGCTTTTCGCAAATTAACCATCATATTTATTGTTACTTTTATCATCTGGCTTATTCAGGAATGCATGTCAATTGAAATGGAAGAAAAGTTTTGCGGGGTAAAACAAATGTTAGTTAGTTAAAAAATGAAAAAAAGCACAAAAGGTATTATTACAATTTAACCAATCACAATCTAGAGCGGATAAATAATTAATAATTGAGCTTTTGTAAATAAAAATTTTATAAAAGGGCTGAGAAGTGATTGAACAGCAGAAAAGGAAGAGAAGTCGGATGGGGAAAAATGTAAATTGTTTTCCACGAATATATTTAGGCATTTTTATATAAATAATTAGCTGGAACATATCCAGCGCTACCATCTTCTTTCTTCACATACCACCATTGACTGTTACCGCGAGAATCTGTAGTTTGCAAGACTTCTACACAATCTCCCGAGTTTATGGTAACTTCTAATTCGTTCCGAGCTTGAAAGTCATAGACAGCCTTATGCGTATGAACTACTTCCGGTGTTGATAAATTACCAGGGAAAGAACTTGACGTGTCAATTAATTTTTCTTCAGTGACGTGTTTAACAAGATTTGCACTTGGTACTAAGCCCTTAGCAGAGCCAGAATCAACAAACCACTTATTACTACTACCGGAAGGATCAAAATTTTTAATTACTCCGACTAACGCACCGGAAGCGAGAGCTAGTTCAGAGCAGTTAGATGCAGTTGTAGGCGTCGATATCACCCAAACATCGTTATACTTTTCCAGAATTGTGGCTCTATCCTGATCAGTCTGCCTGATTTCAGAAATAACAGTAAGCGGTGAAGAAGATCCAACATCTGATTTTCTATTTTTCGTTTTCTTAAAAATACCTTGGTCTTTTGGAACGAAGCTAATTTGATTAATCGTATCAAGAACAGCAGAATGGGATTGCGCAAAATTCGTACTGTCTCCTACTATATCATTCAAAGGCAGTAGCTCGTACATAGTCTTCAAACAATCATTATAAAATTTTGATTGAAGTCTAAGAAAAATCATACAGCATAGCTTTAGAGTATCTTCACTCATCGAACATAATTTAGGCATCTCACTCAATAGTTGAGCATTTAAGGCTTCGTAATTCTTTTTAGCGAGGTTTAAAGCGTCTTCACCTGCTTCGCTATTTTCGTCACTTTTAGTTCTTTCGGTTTCGTAATCACATAATTTATCCCGGCGTTTCTTAATTAATTTTATAGGTGCCAAAAACATTGTTAATAAAGTGTTTATTGGTTGAAGAACCCTCTCGTTTGTTTTTGTCCTCTGTTTGTTAAAGAGACGTTTATTATTTACACGAAGGAATATTGTAAATTGTAAAGAAACGGCTTTAACTGTTTCTTTTGAATTCCTTTGCATAAGACAATACTTACGAAGTCTTCCAAGAGGAGAGAACCTATTCGGGCGTGCAACTGACTAAACTTTTCAACTTCAGAAGATTTCTCAGCATAAAATTCATTAATATCTAAAGCAAAAGTCTCTTGAGTTCGGATAACTTCGTGAAGTTGTCTCAAATAAGAGCTAACGCCCTGAGAAAAGCTTGCTAATAATCGCTGCAGACTATTAAGTCTAGCTTCTTCTCTATTAAATTGTTCGTCTTGAATAAACCCTCCAACAACTCTTTGAGAGAAACGATTTATCTTTTTTATAGTTGAATGTACACTCATCTTTAATACTTTATCGGCGAGAGAGCCATCAGTCGATCTTCTGTATTTCTTAACCAGATCTTTTCCTCTTTTCTTTTCATTGATATCAGTAGTTATTCCAGACATTACCTCTATTGAATCGAGCAGACCTTGAAAATCACAATGGGTTTTTTCCGTAGATGTCAGAATATTTCCCAAAAGTAGTTTATATTTAAGAATCCTTTGAAATGGTTTAGCCAGCACTGAGGATAATGTATATAAAGTTGAAGGATCAGCCATTGGATGATTTGACATTATTTTTTGCAAATCGGCAAGAATTGCTTTGGAAGACGGTTCATTCCCGTATTTCTCTAATAACATTATGACATTTTCGTGATTTGTACAGTTTTCAGTATAAACTGTTCTTAGATCTTTTTCTAATCTTGTAAAAACATAACCGATACGTTGATATTCAAAGTCCTTCTTGAACTCTATTTCTAAGCTGTCACTCATTTGAGATGAAACTTCAACAACTTTATCTAAATTTCCCATCAAGAAATCAATATCAATTATCTTTGTTCCTGAACTCTGACGGTTTTCACTTAAACATTCATATGTAATTCTGATATCTCTCAGGTAATTTTTTTCTGTATGAACGAGTTCCTCAATAGCTTTTTCTCTTGTATACTTTTTCTTCTGTAAGATTTCATCTTTAATCTTTCGTTGAGGATCTAGATCATAAAGGGACTGTAAAAGTATTTCTCTATCTTCTCTTGTAGCTCGAAGAATTTCTTCTAAAGATTCTTTATCTTCTCCATCGTTTCTTAATTTAGCCGTATACTCCTAATCAAAAAGTAAAAGCATTTATAAAATAAAAAATGGCCTCCGGTCAAACTACTTACCGCAATATCACGATCAAAAGCTTCCAGCTTTTTTTCAGTATCGGCAATTAATTCGGATTTTGCATCAGTGAGAACTTCAGCAGGAGAATAAAATACACTTTTACCACCTAAAGAAGGATAAAAAGAAAACAAACTGTGTATGATCAAAGAAAAAAACACCGTAAATTATTTTGGCGATTAGATAATGCTTAATGTTTATAAATTAATTATCAAACTCTTTAATTCCTATAACGAATTAAACGAATTTAAGCAAATCTTACAAGTAGCCATAAATAATCATTCAGATATGTTCCCTTATCCAAATAATAAGAAAAAACATCTATTCGAAAAAAGGCGAAAATCATAGACCAATCTATAGCGAACAAATAAGCTAAGATAGATAAGATAATAATAAAAAAAACACATTTTTTCAATATACAGATTGCCTATCTCAAAACATACATGAAAATGATTCAGATTTAGGTCTTCTCAATATTTCTGTACAATGGTGTCTTAATTTTCTTATACTGGATATATATTTTTTTTAAAAGATACATGCCTTGATTTACATCTGATTGGACGGAAACTGGAGATCTTCTGATTGGAGGTGGGCGTTTAGGTTCAATTCTTCTTTCAGGAATATTAGGGCGAGGAGGTGCTGGTCTAGTTGGTACAGATTTCGATGGTTTATTCTCTCCGGAACGGTTAGGTGGTGACTTTCGTGGAGGTAATAGAGGAGGTTTTGGTGTTGAGTCATTTACAGCAGCTGCTTCCATCTCTTTTGCAATAATATCTTCTAATGATGCACTTAATCTTGCATTTGATTTTTTAATTGTAGGTTTCGGTTTTATTTCCGGTTTTGGACGAGTTCTGTAAGTGATATTTTCTGTCGAAACGGAGACTGACTCTTTCAAAAAGCTTTCTCTCTCTTCGCGTTTTATCGCTAATTCATGGTTGTTATTTGATCCACTTCTTGTACATTCATCTAATTTTCTTTCTTCTGTTAGAGATCCTAGATAAGATACTGGGCAAAGTCCTGTTTCACCTAAATAATTTTCTACAACATACCAATCATTATTAAAATGTTCAAGGACTTTTACTATTTCATCCTCTTTAACACTCAGCTCATTCGAGAGTGTTGCAGTGTAAGGGTATAGAACCTTTAGATTCTCTTGAACATTGGTTTTATCTTTTTCAGGTGGATCTATAAATTTTATAAAAGAAGCTGGAAATATCCCTACTGAGCCGCCAAGCTGTCCTTCAATCCAGTCTTCATTTATGTATCGATTTAAATATAGAATATCTCCTGCGTTAAACGACAGCTCATCTTCTTGACTAGCTATGAAAGGATAAATGGATTGAGCATAGTTTGATTGCAGCTGCTTTTCAATTTTTGACACTCTCGGACTATTTGTTGTACTTTCACACTCCTTTGTTATTTTTACATTATTTACTAATGATCCTTCAAAAGGTATTTCATCCTCTTTTCTAATAACAATAGGATTGGTTTCTACATTATCTTCACTCTCCCACCATTTGGTCTTGGTCTCTTTCTCTTTCTCATCTTCTAACTTTATATTTCCTTCAAGAATTTCCACACAGTTTATTAAAAATTGCCCCTCTTGGCCTTGATCGTTTCTTCCGTACAAGAAAGATTCATCAATTTGTTCGATTACATCTATGATTTCACCGTTTCTTAAAGGTAGTTCAGTGTCTAATTGGGCACTAAGATTAGTTATTGCTCTAACTTTACCGATAGAATTTGAAGATTGTTTTTTGTCATCAGGACCGAGATCTTTAGAATCCAATTCGTAAACATGAGATAAAGGAAACGCACCAGTCGCAAATTGCTTCTCACCCCTCCACCAATTTGCGTCGATAGCACTTTTTCCTACAATAACATCGCCTCTAATTATTGTTAGATCATCTGGTGTTTGGGCATGATAATCCGTACAACAAGCGAACAATTTTTGTCCATTAGGCAAGTTAGTAGGTATATTTAGCATTTGAACAAACGATCGAGGAAAGTTTCCACTTTTGCCCCTAATTTTACCCTTTAACCAATTATTATCAATTTGTTTGGTGATAAGAAGTACATCACCCATATAAATTTCCATTTCCCCGGGTTCGACTTCTGTAAAATCGTAGATTGCCACGACGTATTGTCCCTCCATAGTATGTTTTATTTATCTTTCACTTCCTTACACTTCAGAGCAGGACACATCAGCTGGTTATCCAATATTATAGCTATGTCATTTAGTTCTTTTCAAATTTCTCAATTAAGAATGTATTCTCCTTTTAAAATGTATAAAAATATAACAATTTCACAGCAAATTCTAAAAATCACTGAAACGAAAACAGTCTGATCAGTGAATTTAACTAGTTTATAGTTCTGTCTGCTATCAGCGCGTAAAAAATATATTTTTTTTTGAGTGAGAATAATTTTTCAGAAATGATTAATATATTCCAATTCAGAACTCACTGCTAAATAGATTTTTGTAAAAGTTCGAAAACAACAGTAAATAACTTCCGGTTTATTTTATACTCTGGAATCACGACGGAAATCTATTAAAAAAAAACAATATCTCGACCTGATTCAATTTATAAATTTTTGACCAACTTAATTGAACCAAGATAACAAAAATGAACATTAGATGCGCAAGGGTAAGCTCTAAATCAAAATACCAATATTCTACTGATACCGGTTGTCCTGAGCGATAATACAGGTTCACTTGTTTTCAGCCCGACGATTTGCTTAATATGCAGCACTGTAATTTATTGTGTTTACCTGAAAACTATATGATGAAATACTATTTGTATCACGGTTTGTCATGGCCCCAATTATCCTATGTTGCTGAGGATGAGTCCGGAAACATTGTCGGATATGTCTTGGCTAAAATGGAAGAAGATCCAGAAGATGTTCCTCACGGTCATATCACATCTTTAGCCGTCAAGAGATCGTACAGAAGATTAGGTAAGTTTTCAATTTATTTGATAGCAAATTCTTTGTCGATAACGATGGCAATCTATCCATCAAGGTTTGGCTCACAAATTGATGGAGCAAGCGTCAAGAGCTATGGTGGAATGCTTCAATGCTAAATATGTCTCCCTGCATGTTAGGAAAAGTAATAGGGCTGCTCTTCATTTATACCAAAACACTTTGAAATTTGCAATTAGTGAAATAGAGCAAAAATACTATGCCGACGGAGAAGATGCTTACGCAATGAGAAGAGATTTATCTGAGGTAATGTAATTACATCATAAATATATTGTTCAATTTTAATTTTAAAAGATAAACTCAAAGAAAGAAGAACAGAAAGAAAATGAAAGCAAAACAGAAGAAAACAATGAAAGGTTTTTAAATATCTAAAAAGACTAATATTTATCTAATTCAATTGTTTTACAGTAAATCAGTTGATAATGATGTAAGCAATAAAAGTGCGAAGAACGAATCCCCGAAACACAAAAAGAAATAATTAAATTATGTTATAATATTTTTGTTAAAAAATTATGGTTTTGTGCGATTTGTAATACATTAATTAGTATTGAATATCTATCATGAATTGCATACAAATTTGAGACGAAATTGCTTATAAAAATAATTTAGATAATAGTTATGAATAGCAATAAATTATAAGAAATAAGATGGATTAAGTAGTATACGGATCACAATTAAAAGATACACTTTTGCGTTTTACTTTTCTTGATGATTCTGATAATGATGTAGTCTCGGTAAAGCTATTGTATCCGGTTCTTCGTCGTTTTCTATGTCTTATAAAACCCCAAACAACTGCTAGAAGAAGTAATACTACAACGACGATAACAAACGAAAGGAAGAAAATATATTTCGGAGCTTTTGATTTAATGTCATCCGCTGTTAAAATTTTTGTCCATGATTACCAATTCCGCGAAATTTTAATGCATAATTTACCTGTACAATTTTTTTCGTCGAAGCCCAAAAGGCAATCTCTGACACCATCGCATATTTGACCAGCATTTAAGCAGACTACCCTCCAAGGTTTTGTCGTAGAATTGCAAGAATTTTGAGTATCGGAACATGTAGCATTACCTCTCTGTGCCATTTTCTGAAGAGGACTTTGTGTGACAATAGATAAACAATTGAAACTGAAGAGTATTAAATAACAAAGTTGTTGAATAGTGGGAAATTCCTGTTAAAGATTGTCCAACGACAACATTGATGCTAACACATTTAATATAGGTTATTTTTCATTATTTATCTAAACATTAGCAGTACATATCAGCATCATTAGGCAAGTGATCATCTTATACAATGCCGAATTCAACGATACGTTTGGAGAACAGCTGTACTCTCTCCATATAATGGAATTGATAGCTAACATACCTATTTGTTAATTTACAACGAAAATTTTAAGTAACGTATGCAATCGCACGATTTGCGCAAAAGATAAAATACATACGGGATTTATATATAGATCTTGCTTAATGAGATTTATAATTTATTCATAATTAATTATTAAATTTCATAAACAAGTTAGAAAGATATAATTAGTTTTAAATATTTATTTATGTTTAAAAGATGCATTTTTATAAAATTCAATATTATGCAATAGATTATATATGGAAAATATATATCCAAATTTCAGAAACGATCCAAAAAATAACCCAATTCCTGAACTCAGTGACATGATGTATAAAAAAATTCTTAAGGCCAATTTTGAAACTACTCAACGTTTATACAACATGGTTGTCATAATTTATGATGAAGAAAATTTTCTTACGCTCATTTTTTGCCTATTAACATTATTATTAAACATTTTAATTAATTAATAAAAAAAAATTATCTTTTTTCTTCCAATATTTTTTGATTTTATTCGTAAAATTTTTCAATTTTTTTACTTGTTTAAGAAAGCAGAAAAAGCGAAAAAGTTTAATCTGTCTTTTAAACTTGTTTAAAGCATATGATACATATGATAATGGTTAATCGGAATATCAACTTTTTAATAAACTTTTAGCTAATTAATCATTAATATTTCTTAATTTGATCATTAATTTTTTCGCGCCAATAATTTACTGTGTTCAAGACAAAAACTTTTGTTGTCTAAAGTTGGGACTACTTTTTTTTAAGCGGGCCTTCTTTTCACATTTTAACCAACCCGTGAACTTAGCCTCTTGCGTCGTACCCTCATTATCATTAACTGAACATTTTTAAAGTCTTATTATAGTCTTTGGGAATTTTCAACACTGAGTATTACTTTTACGGATCATGCTTTTGTAAATCTCAGTATTTTGTTAACTTTTGTTGAAAGAAACGCAACATTAACAAAAAATAAATGTACTTAAGAGCTTTATTACTGTGGTACTTAATGAGGACGGCCGAGGGTGAGTTTTTCGGTTCGGATCAATTCAAAACAAATGTAAATGTTCTAGAGAAAGGTGTTCATAACTTATACCATAGTGCGACAAAAATTTGTGGCTTTATCCATCGGAAGATAATCTCAGACTATTACAAGAAGTTAGGCCTAGTTCCTTCTGAGAATGGAAATGACATAAACTGGTCTGAAGTCGCAAAGTACTTTATAGGTTATATAACACTGTCATCGATATGCCTTGTACTTTCTATTGTTGTGCCTGTAACATTTTTGATTATATGTTGCTGCCGAACGAGAGGAAAGTGCGGAAGAGATAATACTCCCCGAGAAAAGTCGAGAGATAGAACTGTGAGGATTGCGTGCTCTTCTATACTAGCAGTTTTGACTATAGGAACTTTTTTCTGCCTCTTCTTTGCCTACACATCTAATGATATATTATCGGAAACTGTATCGGAACCGAACGGTGTGCTGTCCAAATCAATAAGGAATCTGAAGAGGATGGCAAATTATAGGGATAATATTATAAAGGAAATGCTGGATTTGAGAACAAAAGCACGTTCATTAGCTTACAAAGCCAAAAAGGAATTGAAAGACTTAGCTTTTGAGGAAATTTTCAATAATTCAACAGATTTAAGTGAAATCAGTCGTCAAAATGAATTGGCTATAAATTTTACAAAGAGTATTCAAGAAAGTTTCGTGAAATATCAGCATGATTATCATTATGTATATAATATATCCGAAAAACTTCAAGAATATCTTCCGAATATATCTTTAGCTGAGCAATTAGATAACAATGCTTGTACTAGATTGATAAAGTCGAAAAATTTAGCAAACGAGATAAAGAATTTCAACGATAATATCTTTAAAACTATTGAAAATGTTATGAAGAAATTATCGGGGAAAATTACTGATGCTTATGAATACAGAAATAATCTCATGAACAATTTTACAGTTGTATTCAAATCTCATAAACAATTGATTCAAGAAGCTGATATTGGAGCAGAAAAAATAGAATTGATAGATGAGATGATTTCGCGATTAAGAGATTTGCCACTTAATCGAACTTTGGTTGCTATTTCAACAAAACCAATGAGTGACAATATACAACATTATGAGTTTTTTCGCTTCGGTTTATCACTTGGCCTCTGTTTGCTTATAAACATCATCCTCATAATTTACGCTGTTGCCCTTATACTGCCTTGCCTCTACGGACCAAAGCATCCTCGGAAAATGCATGCATCTGCTGAAGTTGCCAGCTCATTCTTGGTTCTTGGCACTGGTCTTGGTATTGTGGCGTTCAGTATTTCTTTAGGGATGGTTGTATTCCTCTTCTTATTTGGGGGTATTACTTACACAGAAGTCTGTAGATATGCTCAGCCGTCAATTTCGGATATTGGGAGGACACCTTTGGGTAATGTCATTAATGCTGTTGTCAACGAAAGACTTTTGAAAGGAACACCTGTGTATAATATTTCGGTAACTGATGTTTTAAGTAACTGTCAAAGTAATGTAAGTATTTACGAAGCCCTAAATCTAGAGTCTGCGTTACATTTAAGAGACTACTTTAACGATGGTGATCGAATAGATCAAATTGGTAGTCTCTATAGTGATCTTGGTAAAGCAATTAAACCTTTGGAAAATCATAGTATTTATCCGTCAAAACATCAATTTGAGGAATTTGAATCATCTTTAAAGAAATTTTCAAAGGGGAAGAGATACATTAAGAGAATGAAGGACTGGACCGAAGGTTGGCATACTTGCTTCAAGACTCTATATAAACATAATGAGATTAAGACAGTGAGAAATTTATACAAAAGGGATATAAAAAATATGAAAAGTATTGTATCTAACTTAAATAATGTACAATATAAAAAAATTCTAAGGGAATCAAGAAATGTCTCCGATTTAATTTCCAGTGTTAGTGATCTTTTTCAAGCTCGAATTGAAGAAATTAAAACATTCCAGGATAGAATGGCTGTGGATGGTATTTATAAAATCCACAATATGGCAAAGCTGATAATCCCTTTACAATCATTAAAGCATCTAATTTTTCATGATATGGGTAGATGTGGTCATCTATACTCGTCTCTAGAAGAGTTGTTTACTTTTGGATGCACAGACATACTACAAGCCCTAAATGCTTTTTGGGTGGCAATGGGTATTGCTGTTATGCTACTGTTACTTAGTTTTAGTGCAACTACATCATTAGTTGTTCTAAATAGAAGAAAAGGGAAGAGTTCTCAGTGTTACAAGGAGCTTAATAACGTTTCCGATTCACCTAGAAAGTCTGCCGCAAATAAATTACAATGGAGAAATGAAAAAAAGTCGCTAAAGACAGTGAAAACAGATTTACTCTTATTAACTCCTCCAACCGGAGATGAAAGTCCAGATCTATCACGCCGTTAATTTACTTAACAACCGATTTCTTTCATAATAGATATTTTTTACGATTCCAAACTAGAGAATCATATTTATCTACTTTAATACATCTTTTCCAATTTTGCGTTTAGCATTCTTTGGAAAATTGAAAATTTATTCATCAAGTTTTTTAGAATTTTCATAGTCTATTTATCAAATTAAATTTCAGTACATTTTATTAAAAGTTTGAAAAAACGTGCTTTTCTTGATTTAGAAACGGAACAGATTTTGACCCATGTTACTTTTTTAAAATGGCGACCTACATAAATTGAACACATTTTATATTTCTTCAAAATGAATGAACATTTCTTGAAAAAAAAATAGTTTAACTTCTTATTTATTTCAAATAAGCGATTTGTTTTTTCTGGCATCCACGTGATGTATACAATACAACTTCCTATTATCGCTAACCTATATTGAAACCGATTGGTAAATAACGATGTCTTCTCTCAGGAAATTATTTGAAATTTGCTCTGATTTTGTAGGAAATAACTTTGAAAGATGCAACGCTATAGACGGATTACCGGATCTTATTCTCGAACATTTGAGTCGCTATTTATCTCCTTACGACTTACTTCGACAGGATAATAGCTTTTGTCACCTCAATAGCATAAATGACGTCTGGTATGGGCACTTATTACATTTTCAGATGATTTTACCTTTTGAATTCAAAATTCACGAAAAAAGAAGCCTATTACATCAATATGGCTACAAAGAAGTATTTGCTTCCGAACTTTTTGAAGCATTATATAGAAAACATGAAGATTGCAAACGATTAAAGTATGGTGTTTTGGAAACTGTCATCTTTTATAGTTTAAATAAGAAATTTGAATTGTATTCGAAGACAGAGCTCCTTAGCCAGTCAAAATTATCAATTTTACCTGAATTTGAAAAAGTCTTACAAACTTTTGCTAATTTTACAAAATATTTAGTATTAACTAAATCCAAAAGTGATTGGTTATTGAAATTTGAAAATCAATATATATTCACTTCACTTCAAATTCAATTAGAGTATTCTATTGTTGAATTAAAACAGGAAAATGATATGATAAAATTATTAAAAATTCTTGAAATTATTAAAACTTTTGAAAATTTTAAAAGAATATCAGTTAAATTAAAAAATTTAGATATTTCTGATTCCATTAGAACCAGATCACAGATATCGGCATTTTCAACTATTACCCAATTTTGTTCCATGGAATTTTGGGAATCGTCTAAGATGGAAATGCAATGTAATTCATGTAATGAAATAACTTTTCCATCAGACAATAATACAAATCTAATGGATTTTGCCCTTACGGACGGAAAGGAGAATACGTCTCTAATATGTATCAATTGTAATCTCATGTTACCTTTGAAAGGAATACCAAATTTTTCAATATCAATTGTACAAGATCTACCTCAGCATTTTGTCTTTCACAGTAAACAAACTATATTTATTTCTTAAAATTCAAAGTCGTTAGTATAGATAATTAGAGGGAAAATTAATCTTGTTTTATAAATAGATACGTAAATTGGAGAGTTTATTCCATACGAGGGAAAAAAAGAAACAAAAGAACAAGCGCTGAACTTGATTTTTTAAATGTAAATTTAAAAAAAAAAAAGGAAAAGTTTATTGTTTGTATTTATCTTTGTGTTGTCTTCAATACCCTAGATATTTTGGCCTCTCGATTTGAGTAACTATCTCAACTGATTGAGTTCTTTAAACTCTTGGAATCACGTGATCATTGGCACTGATAAATCAAACGCTTCAACCAATCAGAGATAATCTGACAACATTTTTGGATAGAGTACGCAATGGTAACATTTAAAAAAAAAAAAAACGTAGTTGAGTAATTTTGAAAGCGGCGTAGAAATTTCGTCTATTTCTTTCACGTTTTGGATTCATTACATAAAAGATGGAATGGTCATTCGGTTGCTGCTTCAGTAAGAATTCTCTCTTTTTTTTATTCATTTTAAATAATTTGTATTAATCAAAAAAAAAAGAAAAAAGAAAAAACAGCAACCAATAATTTATCTATTAAAAAGATCATTAAGTAGAATATATATATGGTTCATTTCAATATTTTTTGGGTCAAAATTAATAATAATATAACATTTATAAAAAAACAAAAATACATTAAGGTTAGCTATAAATGTTTCTATAATTCTTTAATTCTGTTTGTTTGTTTTTATCATTCCATATATTGTTATAGTATAAGTTTGTTACTTGAAAGACAAAACTATTAATAGAAACGGAGTTTCCTATTAGTCTTACGAATTACTTTAACAATTGGTCTGGATTAACATCTTTAACTTTAGGAGTTTGTAATAAATTCGTTAATGTACAAGATTTATTATTAAATTTACCAAGTCTTGTTGGACGTTTACACCATATTGGCCTAATTGAAGGATTTGAGGAAGTGCCTTTTTCTATTATAGAAAAATTTCTTAATTCTTCTACATTGGAAAGTGCTGAATTTCGAAATTTTCTAATATACGACGATAGAAATCCAAATGTTGAATATAATTATAAGAATGAGGATATATTGGATAATCTTCTACGCTTAATTTTCGTTGTTAAATTTCAAACATCCCGTAATATTAGTGAATTTTTTCAAACAATCTCAAAACAATCTAATTTGAAAGAATTAACGACGAATATTGTAAAATTAACTGATAATTCATTGTTTCTACCAAAAAATTCAACTATTCAATTCTTTAAAATTACACCATTCAGACAGGAAGATGTTTTTTATAATGTTGAAAATGCATTTAACGATTTTACCAGCCTTCAATCTTTCAACTATACTGAAAAAGAAGTTAAAATTGATTGTATAGCACTAGCATGGCAATTAGCTCAAAACTCAACACTTGAAAGTTGCTCAGTATTTCTTAAAGATGATAAAGTTGTAGAGTTCTTTCAAATCTACTGCCAGAGTCGACCAGTTGGATTTAAGCAAGTTCATTTAACAGTATACTCTGAATATTTGTCCTGTCGACAAGCTGCAAAAAGATTTCTAACGTTTGAAAATTCTCGTGCATATTTTTCATATTTGGAATTTATTTGCCAGTCGATAGACAACGAAAGAAACATTTCAAATTTAATTAATTCGGTATCAATTATGTGTTCGAACATTGCCGTTTTAATTGCCAGCGGATCATATGAGTTATAATTATCAGATTCCGTTTTTTATGCCTAAAATAGATAGATAGCTACTCGATGTTTAATTTATTGAAGATCTTTTCGAATATATCAGATTAAGTAATCTAAATAGACAAAGAAAAATTAATAAAAATGAATACGTAAGACTTAAAAAAAAAACAACCTGTGTGTACATTCGCATATGTTCAGTCTCATCCATTTTTTTGTTTTCTGCATGTTGGGTAAGAATTTATCCAATTGTTTATTGCAGTTTAAAATTTAATTCAAACGATTATGTTAATTCTATACCTTACAGGAGCAAACGTCCTTGGAGGAACGATGGAAAGCTCAGTAAGACTATTTGTTTATTAGAGTAACATCTGATAGCCGACTGGCCTATTCATCGATAACAATAAATATATGTTTTGTTTTTTCACAGAAGAAAATTAGAAAACTTCCCGAATTGACAAGTGATCTTAGAGTTGGTGAAAGAAAATATAGAAAAGTTATTAAACCTACAGCTATATATCGTAAACGAGTAAATAGTCCTCCATCTCCGGGACCTAATGGCCCTAGCGAGATAAGTGTGTCCGAGACGACAGCTTTCCAGCAGCCCAGCAAAACAAGACCTCGTCGGACGAGGTATATAGATGTTCAAGATCTAGAAGCTCTAGAAAAATTTCATCTAGACGATTCATTTTCACTAGCCTCAGTGAATTCGACAAACGAACTGAATTTAGGTAATTCTCAATCAGATTGGTTTGGCCATCACCGTATTCAAACCGACAACTCTAGGGGAAAACGTCGAAGTCGTGATTAAACTCAAATGGGAAGTAGTAAAACAAACACCTAAAAATGATTGAATAACTGACGTTATCATAATTTTACAAGTGTCAAACAAATGATTCCGCATGCTAGCGCTTATTTTACTATTTTTTTTTTTTGGGCTTTATTATTTTCAAATTTTTTATATAGTAAGCTAACTGTTATGTTTCGGATGTCTTATCAATGAACGTTAAGATTGTTACTACGAATTACATTAATCGTATTTTCTTTAATTAAAAAAATGAATACACAAAGTAACATCTTTCTAAGAAATTTGTTCCTGTTGGCTTGTGAATCAAATTAGAAAAAAACTTCAACATATTTATATATACATAACTATGTGTTTTCTTAGAGATAACATATGAACAGTTCCAAAACAATGTTAATAATCAGTATAAATAGTATAAATTTCTTTGAATAAATTATTGGCACAACTAATAATTTTCTAGTACCTTGGTCGACTTGCAGTAGAATTAGCAGAATTTGGTATTGGAGGTGAAAATATATCAAGTATATGGGCAATTTTTGTAGGTTCTTGTATTGCTAAATCTTTTGGGTCTAGAGTTTCAATTAATGATAACAGTGTTGGGCTAGTTCGCCTTAATGTCTCCATAGCTGATTCTATTATATCGCTATTAACTATACCAGTGTCTCGTGCAATTTTTTCATAGAAATTTCTTTTGCAGTGGTTATTTTTGCAGTCAGCCTCTCTCATCATTCTCACAAATTGTTTCAGGGACGTTAAAACTGCAATAGTCCCCGGATTTATTGGTATGGAACGTTCCTAAGGGAAAAAAATGACATTAAATCTCTTTATATTAAATCTTAAATATGTGAATTAAAATTTCATAGAATCATTATAATATCACAATTGGTTAGATCTAAAAACTATAGTACCATATTCGTAAAAGTGAATTTCTGGCCCACCGTAGCGAATTAATATATAGATGAATAAACGTTGTCACGTTAAGTTGATAGAATAAAGACAAGCTAACAAATATCGTCTAGTGCTGTGGATGATAATGAAAACGACCGTGGATTACCTGAGGAGATTCCCAATCTTTCTCGATCGATCGACTTGCTTTTCTGCTCTCAGAATCATCGGACCTAAATTTATCTTCGTAACGTCTTCCCAAATCTAGTCCGTGAAAACTGTCCTGATCGTAAACACTGGTTTCAATATCGTTTCTCTTTGAACCGTCTTCAAACACGTGGTCACCGTATCGTCTTTTACAGGGATTATCTGATCGTCTGATTCGGTCGGCTGCATCCAAGTCAATCTTTCGCTTTTCAGCTAATCGAATATCATTATCGATTTGAATATCCACTACTTTTGATCTGAATCTATCTCTTGAGCGCGATCTTTCTTGTCTAGGATCTTTCTCTCTACGTTCCGAAACATCCTTCTGTGATTTGCGTATAACTATTCTTTCATCACAGTCCAATTTTGTTCGTTCTATTAAAGTTTTTCCATGATTAAAATTCGTAATATTTTCATCTTCCTTCTCTGAATCTTTTTCTGAAGAAATGATTAAACGTTTAAATTTATGTTTAGAAGAGCATTTAGTTAGTTATGACCACAAATAATACAAAGAAATAAATCAATTTTGATACCTCTCTGCCATCCTCTGATATCTTGAATATTTTCTAATCGATCGAAAACTTCCAGTATACGATTCTCTTTCATAGCACGTTCCGTTTTATCGTAATTCTAAAATTTTGTTCATATACTTATAAACATAGATAAACTTTTACCGAAGAATTGTTACTAACGTGCATATGTTCCGAAGTTGTAAAATGCAAATTTAAATCTCTATTGTTAGTAAATTGATTCTTGCAAAGCTGACAAAACAAAACGATTTATAAATTATACCAATAAAAGCAATAATTCTCCTTACCTTACATTGCAAACCGTTGAGTTTTGAATAAAATCTTGATCCATAAAAATCAGGATCTGGTAAAGTCTTATTAGATCCGATTTTATTCATTTTAAATTTGTGCAATGTTCCTTGACAGTGGAAATTAAATGACTATAAATAATAAATTAATTAACATATTTAAGTATTATTAATATTCGCGACGTACGTCATCATTCTCAAAATACATTTCACAAACTTTGCATTGGTGTACTCCATGAGAAAGCGGGTCTAAAACGACAGAGAATGATTAAATTGTCATAATGGTACAAGATGTTAATTACTCTTGGATGAATTTATTCTACTTTCATGTTTTGGAGAACGTGATCTTGAAAGTGAACGACTTGTTCGTGATGGCTTTACACTAGACAATCTCTTTTCAGGGGGAATCTCTACTCCATAAATTTTACTATTGAGCACGCTAACTGCTTCGTCGTGAGATTTAAATTCAATATAGACGTATCTACGTAAACATGTTCATTTTGAGAGTTATTTAAAAATATACAAGTATATAAAATTTAACAAATAGTACCTGTCCTTTGTCTCTCGAAGCCCTTGAACATTACCGTACTTTAAAAAGCTGCTGATGACAGTCTTAAATGAAAAATTGTTTCAATTATAGTACCATCTTTCATATTCATATAAAAAAATCTAACATTTTTTTGAGATTTAGTCATTTGTTCAGATTTGCTATACCTATAATACCGCAATTCGAAAGTTCCATCAACAGTGGGATTTAATTCAAGTTTCTTCTCTGGGATGTAATAACACAATTGCGTACCGAAACGACTTTTCAGTTCAACGCAGGCTTTTTGAGCACATTTTTGTTCGGCGAACAACATATATAAATTACTGGGGTTGACATAAAGAGAAAGTATTAGAATAAAAACTCTTTAAAATTCAAATCTTACTCATTTTTAATCACAACGTCCTTAACTTTTCCATATAGTTCAAATTCGTCTTTCGCTTTCTAAAGTTGAAATGAGATTTAATTATCATTTAATTTTTAGTAGAAATTTTTAAAATACTCACTAATACGGACGATGGTCCTCTAATAAAAGGATAAAACACAATTGTAGGTCCTTTTTGAGGTGCTTTATCGATTTTTTCATTATCAACTGATAATAGAATGTAATCCGATTGAATTTTTATATCTGTATCATCAAGTTCTTTCCTACAATTTTCACATGAACTGTTGACGGAAAAATTAAAGTGAAGACAATTCCTAAAAAGATACAGGTCAGTCATGAGAATTTTTGCAACGATTAATTATTTTACTTGCAAGTCCAATCATTCTTTTGTCCGTATCGATGAATTGTATCATTTATTTTAGCTTTACAACCGAAGCAGTCGCGTTTGTTTTTAAAATTAATAGTTTCACACTCTCTGTAAAATGTTTTTGTTATATAGTTGTAGAATTTTGCGATTGAATAATCTCTTACAAGCAATTCCAGTCACCTCTTTTAATAATAAAAGGTGGTTTGGAAGTTGATCGGTTATTACTTTGAGCTGTTACGGCGGGACTTATAAGTTCTCCTGTTTTTGGATCATATCGTTTACAAGTCTGATCGAAAGATGTCTTGCAGGATGCACATTTTAGGATATCGCCGTAATTCCATTTACCACAAGATTTGCATTGCCAGTCCATCTCTTCGTCTTGACCATTAGTTTGGATTTTATCATGACTAGGAATATCACTAGATTTTGATCCGCATTCCTGATTTAGAGCCTGCCCTTGGAGATTTAATTCCTGATTTCCATCCTCAGGTCTCAGCGCCATATCTAGGGAGTTGATATAGTAAATTGTAAAGCCAAAGTTTATGTATAAAATAAATAATCAAAAGAAGCGCTACAAGAAAATTTCCCACTTATCGCATTTACCCAAAATTATGTATTTTTCATAAAATCAGTTGACTATGGCCTAACTGAAGAAGTACGTAATTCGCCAGCATGTGAAAAACTTTTTCTTTCACACGTGCATTTTACATGAGGCAATTTGTCTGCGAATGATATTCAAAGCAAGTGATTGCATACGATGCAAAATAATATATTAATTATACCAGAGTTATTTTGAACTACATGCATGTGTTGGTAGAGAGGATTGTGCCTAGACCAATTCATCTCCTAAAGATAATAACAAGAGGTGAAAGCTCTCTATTTTTGTTAAAGTTAGACATGCATGACTAATGTAATAAAGAATAATATAAAATGACAAATAAAAATTTGCATGCTGAATTTCGTACACTTTTAACCAACCTTGAAGAAAACACAAAATTTAAAAAAAAATCAAACTGCGAGTTTCAAAATGGCGGTGTCTCTTACACTTCCGAAAAAGCAAAACATTCATTCATTCAAAAAAACTGGGTCCAACAATATTTCAACAGTTTTTAAAATGGGTAAAAGTTCTGCTTATCTACTTATCTATAAATTGTATAAGCTACTTATATATTATCATTAATAATATACAAATATAATTTATTTTGGTAAAATTGTAACAAAAGAAAAACAAAGTTGTACTAAACTAATTCAAGAGCTTTGTGCGCTATGGACTTGATATCTTCCTGAATATCTAAATTGTCTTTGTCATTCTTTACTACGTAGTCCCAATCTTTTATAGAATCCAAATTGCACTCTGAGTCAGCATCGTCTATACCTTTTGTAAACACCCAACCTCTCTTTTGGCGAGTTTCTTCTTGAGCCTCAATGCGGATTAACAATAAGTTTTTAGGAAATTCTCTTCGAAAAAATTCCAGATCTGTCTTCCTCCTAGCATCACTTATTATCAAAATTCGTTTGCTTGCTTTTCTAATAACCGTTTCACAAAATATATAAGGATTTTTCTCTCTTTGCTCTTCTCCCCATTTGATCATGTTTGCTCTATGTTTTTCTTTGTATTCAGACGCATCAAGGAGGCGTTCGAAATTCAAGTCATGCTCTCTAGCATAAATTTCTTTAAGAGGCTCTGATATTCGTAAAATTTCACCACTCTCCTTGAAACTGAGGAAAACTTTGAAAATAAAAAGTTCTAAGTATAAATGAGAAACAGTTGATTTTACCATTGAAGCAACATATCAGCAACAAAATCCTTTCCGCTCTTTCTCTTTCCGCTCAGAACAATCACTACGTGTGATTTTGCATTCATTTTCCTGAGTTACAGAATGCCGATTAGCGACAATATGTAATTCTTATAAAACACCAGGTGGCATTTCTCCAGATAAGAAAAGCCGAATGTTTTACTTTTTGTTACCAGTTATTATTTAACAGATTGCTAAAATATATATATATATATATATATATATATAGGTTTGTTTGCAGTTGCATTCTATTAATGTTCAAAAATTGGAAAATTGACATATAATATAGCAAAATCACTTTTGATTATTATACCAATGATACCAGTATACAACTTTTGACTTTTAGATTCATCATGGAATTAATTGAAGGCGTAGGTAATGAGGTTCTGGTTGTTGTTGGCTTGTTACTATCATTTTTCGTAATTGTATTCGCTTGGCTTTCAACAAGTGTTACGGATATACCTAGGCATCTCTTTGTGTTCGAAAGAAACTACATGCACGAATTTATTCTTCGTCTAACAAATTCAAGGCCCGTTTTGTTGCAAACTGCTCAAATTGATAGTTTGCATGAGGAAACAAGGCCCGTAGAAGACACAACAGAAGAGACTAGAGAGACTACAACGGTCAGTTCATCCGAAAACACTACAGAGGAAGCTAGAAACTCAGAACAATCTGATGATCCTCAATTGACAGAAGTGCCCGTTGAAGTTGAAAATGGAAATCCTCAAACTGTAAATGATCTACGACAGAGAAGAATAGAAAGACTTACAAAGAGTATTGAAACTCGCGATGCTGAACCCCCTAATGAGGAAATCAATAGGGAAGCAGATAATACTGAATCTAATACGACTAACGATGAATCGGATAGTCATTTAGGATTAATCACTGTCAAACTGAAATTTCTTGATGATAGGCAAAGAGAGGTTAGAACGCCACAAACAGAAACTATTGGAGAATTTAAACGGTATTATACACATTTTACATATATTTCATACAAATGAATTACAAAAAGAATAAGAACCAATCGTTGCAAACGAATTATCCCTAATCACATGTGCTACCTGCAGATTTAATCTGCGGGATCCAGTTTGCTTGTGGTATCGAACGTAATATCTCTAAATTAAGCCGCGTTAATCTTACGTTTATTATTAATACTTTTTGAATTATAGTATTTAGTATTTAACGTTAATAAGTAAATAAACTATACTATCACACGTGACATTGGAAATTAAAGATTTATAATTTTATTTTTACATTTAAGGAAATATTTTCAAGAGGAATTGGCGGAAAATGAATACATTCGTTTCGTTTTCAACGGACAAGAGTTAAGACAGGAGAGCCAAACACTTCAACAATACAACGTTAGAGATAATTCTGTTATTCATTGTCTGATTTCCAGAATACGCAACGAACAACAAAATGGAAATAATCAAGATGAGACAAATATACAAATGGGTAGATTAATGCTACCACTTTTCATACTTATTTTAAGTGTTTTGTGGTATTGTCGGTTCACATACCGATATATGTTTAATGCGTTTTCAACTCTAACTCTGGCCTTTTTGACTTTATTGTTTATCATTATGGTACTTGTTAGTCGAACCTCAAACGAAGAGATCAGAAATAATCGTCAAGAAAGTGCCAATGTGCACTAATTGAAAAATAATATACTATTATGTAAAACAAAATCTTCTTTCAAATTGACTAAATATTCCAGAAATATGGAATTAATACTGTAAATTTGAGTCAAAATACTACTATCTGTTATGAATGAAAACAAATTATATACATATTATAATTATTAAAATTAATTTACAAAATTAATTCGTTTATTAGTTATGACTTTGATTAATTTAGTTTCTGTCTTCTTTCTTTCTTCCTCTCCTCCAACTGTTTCTTGAACTTACTGGCTTCCTTATCATGTATTTCTTTTATATGTTTAGCTTGTTCCTCGTGTTCTTTTAATATGGTTTCAGTGGCTTGAGCCATTGAAACATCTCTCTAAAAACAAAAGAAAACGCAAGTTTTACAAAATAATAGCCTCTTTCAATGTCTTATTTACGAAAGGTAACAATATATTCATTGGAAGGTAATTAATTACCGTATCGACTTTTTGCTTCTTCCTCTTTTCTTTATTTATTCTTTTTGTATAAGCAAACATTAAATCTTGAAAAGCCTCCATTGTTAGCTCACCAGAATTCTGCTTATTCTTAACAAGTTCGAACATAGTTTCAACATCAAGTTTGGAGTAATCAATATCTTTTAGTAAATCGAGATTTTCTCGTTTTTTCTTAGATCTCTTCTCCCTCTCAGCCTTTTTTTGTTGTAACACTTTGTTATTTCTTTCTTTTTCTTGATATCTTATATCAATAATACTTGATCTCTGTTTGGAGTAGTTTTCTAGCAGTTTTCTCAGCTCTTCTTCACTAAGTTTACCTCCAGACGCTATTCGTCTTGCTAGGTCTCTATCTAATTCCGACAATTGCTATTGGAAGAATAGCATTAAGTGTATTGCATATATATGTTTTGTTTAGTTTAATACCTTAGAGTCCTCGCCAAAGGCAGAACCGTCATCACTATTTTCATTTTCACTACCTGCGTTTGCTTGGTTACTCCGTCTATCGCGACGCATTTTATCTATATTGGCTTTATGCGAATTCCTTTCAAGTGCCAATCGTTCTCTAAGTTCTTCCTTTGTGAGTAAGTGATTTTTAATTGATGCAATTATTGCTTCCTCATCTTGCTCTCCTTGACCCATTTGTCTGATAAACTTATTCATGTTTTCCTTTTCCTATTATATAGATTATATTCAATTCAATAAGAAAGATAATGATAAAATAAGGATAGAATTTTACATACTATGTTTTCAATATTTGATTCCCCATCACTATCACTACTAAAAGTTTCTGTAGCATCTCCTGTGTCAGTTGAACTATCCTCCATACTTTTTAGTGTCTTTAATATAAGATTTTGAATATCCTCTTTCGATATGGTATTAATATTAGAGAAGACAGCTCCCATTTCATCTTCAAGTTTCTTTTTCTAAAATACAGTAAAATAGAAAAGAGTTGTTTGATTATATTCAAAACCAAGATAAACTCACCAATTCTGGATCAATCTCTAGGTCGGCATCGTCGCTGTCCTTTTCCTGTTTTTATTTTTGAAACTATGAAAACAATAACACGAACAACAATGTTATTACATACCAAGTATTGATTAATAACATCATTTAATTTATTTTCATCTCTTTCGTTCTGATTTGCCTCTCTTAATTTTTTTTTCATGTCTATTTTCCCTTTAATGATATCTCTTTCCATTGCTTGACGTCGTTTCAGAGCCTTTGTTGAAAAAATAAATAATATAGTTACATCAATAACAATTAACGTTATTGAATACTATCTACCTGCGTTATTTCGGTGTGACCAGCCAATAATTTCCTCAAATCATCTTCACCTAAGTTATTTTCCAACTTTTGGCGTATTATTTTAGATTGGAATACCCTATTGACTTTGTCTTCTTCTTGTTTATGTCTTCTTTCTAATTCCTCTTCAGTTTCTAATTGTATATCATTCTGAATACCTATCTCTTCTCGTGCAGGATTATCTGTCGCACAACTGGCTTGAACTTTTGTTCCATTTGATGTATTGTTGACATTAGCTGAAAATGTTGCGGTTTGTGAACCTCGTGCGGTAGACGTTTCTCCTCCTCCCTCTAATGGGGGACGAGAATCATGATCACCGCTGTTGATAAAATCGTCAACTTTATGTGAAGCTTCTTTTCCAGTCATTCCCTTTTGTTGGTTTAAAAGCATTCTTAGTTTTTGCACGACAATGGGCCATGATGATTCAAATTCATTAAATCTCGTTAGATTAGGATCTAATTTCAAGAGTAGCTGTTGAATTTGTAAAAGTTCTGCCTGCATATGACCCCTTAATCCTAAATACTCAAGTAGTTTGCCTTCTTCTGAATTGGATTGACTACGCCAATGTTCAATTAGCTCGTCGAATTCTTTCGTCCTCTAGAATAAATTAAAAAAATATCTTTTTTAATAGCATTTACAATCTGAAATACAAAATCCCACGCTATTAATAGTAATACATATATCATGGTATATATTATTCCTTGCATTGAACACAATAATAAAGCCGACACTTACATTCAGAAACTCATCTGCTTGCATTATTAGAGTAAAAATATCGTCGCAAGAAGAATCTTGAAATCCCAATTGACTATCTTCATTTTGCAAAATTCTTTCTTGTTCTTCCTCCGAAGGGAATTCTCGCATATTTTGAACGGAGACTATGAAGCTTGACGAAGTTCTTTCAACTTCAGCAGACGATGGTTTTCGTTCATAGTTTTGCTGATATACTTGCTGTTTCCGTTTATCCGAATTGTTATGTTTAGTGCTTCCAGATCCCATTCTAACAATCTCACTGAAATGATCGTTCAAGAATTTGTGACTCCCCGCAATATGATCAATAAGTCATTTTAAAGTGAATCATTCAGCTCCTGAACATACTATCTGCTAATTGATCAATTTTATCGGCTTGCGCTTACGCTGTTGCTAGGCGACAAATGGCGGAATACATTCCAATTTCGTTACTCGTATAATTGTTTTACGAAAGCTTACAGTTAGAAATATTCAAAACTTTGTTTTAAATTATAAATTTTTCATTAATATTCATGTTTTTTTATTTCGATCAATAAATATTTAAATATTTTATTAGAATATCTTAATTAATTTCTTTAAAATTCTATTCTCAGCCTTCACTTGAATGCTGTTTCTGTGTTCTTTTGTGTTTATATTTTTCAATTAAAGGAGAGAATAAAAAGGCCTAATAACATTATCATATTTGTTATTCGCTTTTTAAAACATATTTCTCTTATTTAAAAGATAAGAGTATTATTCAAATTTATAGAATTATTAATAATCTTAGATATCCTGAGTTTTTTAAAGTATCTTTATTATATCACCTGAATTATATCACTGTATTTATTTTAAACATCACGATTTCTTGTGATTTATATATTTTAATTCATGCTTTGTTTCATTCGTCCAAGTAGAGAGACAAATAGTTTAACTTTTAAGTTTTTAATACAGGCAATTAAAAACTATTATGTGAATCAATTCTGATATTTATAGTAGTAAATAGAGAAAATTACGGAATCAATTATGAAATAAATCAGTTTTTTAAGGATTTTTACAATTAACTATTTATAATATATCCTCTTTTTTATTGAGATGATTGAACAAAGAGAGAGAGAGAGAGAGAGAGAGAGAATTTAATAAGAACTTTTAAATAAATACTTTGTCGAAATCGTAAATACTTTAAAGGAAAATGCAAAATTCAGCAATTTTTAAACTCTGGATAAATGATTGAACAATTTAAACTATTGGAATTAACTTTAAACGAGACTCTGTCAACCAATATTATTAGACTATCTATAGATAAAACTGCGCGTTAATTATCTATGCAATCTCTGTACCTAGATAGATCGAGTGTCAACATGGCAACCAAAAGCAAAGTAACATAGAACTCTATCATAGTTTACAACCGCCTAATCCAAGCCATTAAAATATCGATAGCTAATGATATAACAGTAAAACAATTTGATAGTGTATTTACTGATGCATCGACGTTGCTAGATGATCATAAGCCATTTGCTTTTTTGAATTTACCTGAGGAAAAGGATAGTTCCAATCCTTTTAAAGGATATTATTTATTTATTAAAAGACATTCACCACCTAAAACATTATCCAGGGAAATTAAAAAGGAAAAAACATTCAAGTTTATCTCATTGGTAAGCTCGTTTAATAATGATAATCTTTCTGTATCAGATTTTTTATATGAATTTTCTTAGATTTTCAACAAAAAACAAAGAAACCAAAATTTCATAACTTTGCAAAATATTTTCAAAGATTATTTAATATTTATAAATCGCCTTTTTAACGCCTCGCATAACTTTTAACGGAAAAGTTATTATGGAAAAGAAAACTAGTACTGAAGATGGAAATTCAGAAGAGGAAAGTAACTATGTAGTAGATGAAAAGAAATTAAAACGGATAAAAAATCCACGGCATTGGCCCTTATATCGATACTCCATCCAGCTCGATGGGGATTTAACTGAATCAGGAATTGGATGCTATATCAGAGCTATGAGAAATGATTTAGCCAAGCATGAATTAAAGTGTACTCTTATTGAAAATCTATCCGAAACTTTGGCAGAAAATCCGTTCAACGATAATGCTGATGTTATTAGTAACCTTATCAGCATAGAAAACAAGAGAGACAACAATTTAGATTTTGAGCTTCCTATTGTTATATCATTTCCACATCAACGATATCGTAAAAAATCCTCCAGAGAGATTGTTCTTAGAGTGCTAGCCAATGGTGAATGGAAGGATTATTATCCATTGAAAGATTCAAAATTACTCGATTTTCTTGAATCTAATTCGGGACAAATTCCACTCTTCCATTGTCGTATGAAAACTCTTATGAAATCTGTAAAATTATGCGTAGTAAACAAATCAAGAGTAGAGAGTGCGTTTGTCAAAGGCAACAAAGCGTTAGCTTTAGTTTCTTATCTCGACAATAGAATTACCTTGAAAATACCAAAAGATGCCTGTGAAGAAAAAATTGAAAAGGTGGAAATGCAACCTTTACCAAACAATCCACAAATGATAAACCAAATAAAAAAATATTTTAAATCGTCTGAAAGTCTTTGTCATACATCATCTTTGATCAATCTTAATTTACCGTCAACTATAAAGCTACCGATGATCTTAAGTATGCCTTTACCCGGAACATTTCAATCGAAGAAGCTAAAATCGAATAACATTCGCGTGGATAATAGAATAAGTAAAAATCTATCAATAGTAACTAAGACTAGTAAAAACAATTATCATTTAAGAGATGACATAAGATATGAAATTAATAACGATATTGTGACTTTTCCCATTGAACATAATATAAAGAAGATCTTCCTCTTTGAAACATTAAATGGAACGTCTAACACTGATATTGGAAATGTTGCGAGAAATTTAGAACTCTTCAATACAAGAAGAAAATTGGCTAACATATTAATAAGGCAACATGAAGATGATCCAGAAGATATCGCTATTGTTTGCTGTAATTTAAAGGAGGTTTTTATTTATTAATTTAGTAGAATTGAGATAGTATTTCATTAATATTACTTCTAAAGACAGATAACGAAATAGTGAAAATGGAAGAAAGGGGATATACTATTAGCTTTCACGAGCCTTCGACCATTGAGGTTTGTCTAAAGGAAGGACAAAGATTACAGTTAAAGTCTAAAGGGAACGTTCGATTAGTTGAAGAAATCCAACCTTTTAGATTTCTTCAATCGAAGACTATGCGCATGGAAGGTCAATTAAAAGTTGATGAAAAGTATGCACAAAGAGGTCGACCAAACTACTATGGAACAATTGAATTGCTAAGCGAAAATCAATCGCATTGCGACGTTAAAGTTGAACTTCCCAAAGTAAGACTCAATGTTATTAATTATTGAAAAATTGTAATGCTGTATTTTCCGTCCATCAGCATAATATCAGAACCGTTCCTTGCCATAAAGTAGATTTTCAAATAAGGCAAAAAGGCTTTCTTACGTCAGAGTATTTGAGACAAATTTCTGACGAAACAGCTTTGAAATGGAGATCAATTGCTACCAGTTTAAATTTATCAGATGCTCGAATCAACGCCATAAACTTAGAACATTGTACACATCGGGAAAAGAGTTTTAAAGCTCTTCAACAGTGGTTTAAACAGACTACTCTTCTACAATCCGGCTGTAAACAATTGTACGAGGCCTTGCAAGATAACGGCTACATTCTGTTGGCAGGTTGTTGAAACTAAATTCTTTAAATGCTTAGTCACTTTAATTAAATTATTTCAATTAATTGGCTACAGAACAACTATCAGAGAATTTTCAGACGTACAAAGAAGACGATAGGCGTGCGCGTGAACGTTCCCTATTACAAAAGGCAGTTCATTGTATAACCTTTGACAGCTCTGTTCAGTCCAATTGGGAGAAAATTGTTGAACAATTACAATTAACTTCTGATTTTGAAGATAAGCTAAAGCAAACGAAATCGGTTCCTCAAAGGCTGAGGCAAGCTTTCGAAAAATGGATGGAAATGCATGGAGGTAGTATTGAAGTATTGTCATACCTTCTGAAAGATAATCATCTAATAAACGCCAATCGTAAGAATAAATATTCAAATTTAAGATCAATACACAACATATTACTAATCATGTTTTCTTTTTTACAAATAGGAATAGTTGAAAATCTAATACGCGAAAACCTAAAGCACCTAGAACAGTTTCCATAGAAATTCTCCAATTCAATACCAGGAAACAATGTATTCATTAATCCATTCGTGGCGTTCGATCGTTTCTCTGTCTAATGAGTTTTATGTTTTAATTCGGAAGTGATTTTACTTACTATACAATATATTGTATATTCAAAAAGAATCAAACTATCAAATTGGCGTGGTTATATATATTTCGTTAAAGTTTGGCTTGTAAAATAGTTCGTCATAATACGTTTTCATATTGAACTTTAGAACTTTAACTTCCCCTCTATCTGTAATACGATATCATACAGAAGTATATCAATTTTTAGAGCCTCCTAAGCAACGCGGAGATGGATCGACTTTTTGCCCTGAACTTTCCCATTGATTTGGAGTTTTGGCCTGTGAAAGGATAATAGGAATAAATAGAACAGAATAATGTTGTTTTTATAAAATTAGTTTGCTTACAACGATAGTTAGTGCATGAATGGCGTCCTTGATTTCTTCATCTATAGCCTCATGAACAAGTCTGTGCCGCTTTAGTAGTATAAATTACTTACAAATATATGACGAATAAAATAAGTTATAGACGTACTTTGATTAAAGGTATTGCGTTAAACTTTTCGGATACTACAACAACCTTGAAATGTGATTCACTGCCTTTGGGAACGTTATGCATATAACTTTCGTTTATTACTTCCAAGTGAGATGGTAAAAAGAAATCCTTTAATTTCTTTTCCATAATTATTTGAATAGGACCAGCATTTTCAGTTGCCATTTTTCGAAAATTACGACTTAAAAGTTGATATCCAGAAGAAAGAAAAATGTCTGCAAAAATTTCATTACATTATCACTCACACAAATAAATACCATGCTTATTCAACATGGTGAAAGCTGAGTTTATGCTAACTAGTTTGACTTCTAGATAGTTTAATTAGGAAAGCCGTTTTGAAGTCTTCGTAAGTTTATTTAATTAGGAAAATTATTAGAATTATATGCGATTGCGGCCCGAGTGTTTCGGTCAGGACACTTCAAGACTAGATTGTGAGTAGAAACGAATTTGAAAAAGAGGCGGCTAGAGCTATTGATTTAGAATAATTCTTCAGAGTAGTATTAAAGGCGAAAATCTCTTTCTATATTATTAAAATTTCTGTACTACTGGAATTTGATATAAATGAGATAATAAAATATATCTGTTTACTTTGCCATATTAATAGGAGTTCCACTTAACAATAACGTCTTTCAAGTACAGATCAATATTATTTATTGAAGAACGATGCGCCTTCTACCGACATTTTTAAATCCAATCAAGTGGAACGGGAGCCACACGAATCAGGTGGAAACTTGTATAATAGCCACACGGCTTGCCCCCGAGACAATTAATGGAAACAAGAAATCTTGTTGATTCGCATCGAGAAAATTTAAAGTGGTATTAAACTCGCCACTCACTACCAAGCATGTCAGATTTATCATCGCTACCTAAATATTTGGAATCATACGCACAACATAAAACGCCTAGTAGCAAGGTATTTTATTGCCTTTTCAACAGTTTTTTTTTTAACTAAGCGCTTTTAAATAACTTTATCTTTAAAAAGGATTGGAAAAACTATTGGTTGGTATTAAGAGGGAATGTCATATTCGTTTTTGACAGTGGCAACGGTTTCCGAGATTATGAAGCAGTATGTGCAGAAATTCGTAAACAGATGTTCTATATGATAAAAAAATTGATTAATTTACTTACAAGCAGCATAAGGGAACGCTTACTGTAAATTTACAATCTGAAGTACGAAATGTTTCGGTAGACAAGCATAAAAAGTATAAGTTTGAATTAGTAACGATAGCTCATAATGGAACGAAAAAAATTAATAAATTTAAGGTAACATATTAACTGAGAAGTGTCAGTAAAATAAAAAAAATAATATGTTCTACAAATAAAAACAGTTCGATAATGAAGTACTCGGTGAAACTTGGAGAGGTTTTATATATGGGTTAAGTAAGGTAGGGCAAAAGAGAGAAAGCGAACTGAATAGTTTTTTTTTTATTATAACGTTCGTCATATAAAATTGAACAATAGGGTGATGTACCACAAGATATTCGTCTTACTTTTGACAAGATTTCAAACATTCGAAGAACTATTGCGCCTTTCGTTTCGGGAATAAAGCACTCACCTAGACATGATAGGGAGGATGATGATGAAGATTATGCGGGGGCGCATTCACGGCAAAACATGAGAAAACGACAAAGTGAACCAATGATACAATCTCACGTTTGGCGAAAAACTGTCGGTGCAACCTCAAACTTAAGAATTAATTATGACGGCAATAAAGAAAATCACGATGACCCAACGGGTAGACGTCAACATAGAACCGAAGCTTTCCGAAGACGGCCGAATTCTTCCCGAGAATTAGGTATTAATGTATCTGTACCAATGAGAAGTTTAGGAGGAACGTACGAAGAATTCTCTCGTCAATACGGAACTCCAATTCCACAATTTCAACAAAAAGCAAAAGTTTGATTTTTCTTTTTTTTATAGTAACATTTAAGAATATCAATTGGCTTTTATTTTTCGTGCTCTTTTTAAGTAATTGGCAACGAAGTTACATCGATAAGGCACGAGCGTAGAAAAAAAATAGGAAATATTATTAAACAATTCTATATTCTTATAATAGGACTACAAAGAGAATGCTATAGCGTTGTTCATTCACTAAACACTCTTTTTTCAGACGATGCATGCGCATAAATTCTATAGAGTCGAAAGAAATCAAACTGTTCCAAGGTAAGCTCACATTTCTTTCTTTATTTTTCTTTTTCTTTTTTTGCATGTAGTTGTAATATATGCTGTATTCATTGACTTGTAGTTATTAAATTTTTTTAAACATTAAATGTAGCTTAAAATTTGCATTTGAAGGCTTAACGAAGATTTTCTTTTTAAGTACTTAATCTCTTTTTAGTTGGTTTTTCGAAGGCTGTTCAAGGGACGATGCCGAAGCTATTTTAATGTTGGGAAAGAGATTTGGTAATGTACTTATGAGGGAAAGTGTAACTTTCAAAAGCTCTAGGAGCTACGTAATATCTGTTAGAAGAGATAAGAAAGAGTAAGTTATGATACACACTACAAATGCTTTATTTCTAACGTTTTATTCTATAAATAACTTTAGTGGAACACAACTCAATCACTATGAAGTTAAGCCTCACGGAGACGGCTATAAATTAAATGTTGAAAATCCTCACGACGAAATGGCGTGCCTGAGTGACGTAATGAATTTTTTTGTTAAAATTATTGGCCGAGATATCTCTGCCATGACAACAAATAACCTAAAAGAAATTGGCTTCTTAAAAGAAGAAGGCAGACATAAACGATTTAGTCCAACTGATAGTGGATTTGAAGATCCTATTGACCCATCCGAAAATTGGCGTAGAAGTTCCGATGCTGATACCGAATATTTAGAAGCTAATAATCGTCCTATATTAGATAACAAAGAATCGAGTAAGTTTGCTTTGACTAATGAATACGAAATGAAAAATGATAAGAATGATTATTATAGCACCAACACGAGGTAGAGATGAGGTATCAGCTTCGCCGAAATCTGATTTTTCCCAACTTAGTTAGTTGAATTTTGTTTTATTATCTGCTCGAAACTAATAGTTTTCTTCTAATAATCTATAGTTGGGGAAGCAAGCAGGAATCTTCGACAAACTTCGAAGGTGAATAATACAAATGACCCTCCTCCTCCCCTGCCGGATGGTCATCCTGTTTTGGGTAAAAACAGTACGCCTACGACTAAAGCTGATCAAGCTTCAAATTCAATTCAAAATCGAATGAACGTAGCTACTGCAAACGGTTTAACTTTTCACGACGAACTACGCCAACGTTTAGCACAGAAAAAGGAACAAATCTATTCAAACGCCGAAGAGGCAAAGACGCCGTAAGCTTTCTTTAGCTTGAATTTCTTTTCAAAATTACCACCGATCATAGAATATAAAATTGGAATTAATCAAATTATCTTCGTACAAGATAATAAATCAACAATATATATAAATGTATACAGAACAGAAATAATATAATTAGTTGTCTTATTTAAAAAGTATTGAAATGTAATACGCAACTGAAGTATTATATTTACTAGCGAGCTATCCGGATAAAATCGATCTATTGTTAAATGCTGAGAGTTATATAAGACATTTCTATGTTTTAAATGAATTTTGATAATAAATTAACAATATAAATTTTAGATTATTTTCTTCTACGAACATATTGTGAAAGTTTTTTTTATATGATGTTTTCGTTTGAATACTTTTATAGCAATAAATTAATTATTTTTAGTGTTGAGTACTTAAATTTAAACACAGAATACAATATAATAAAATTGTTATTTGAGAACCTTCAATAATATTTAAGTGTTTCTTTAATTATTATTTAATAATAATAATAATAATAAGGGTATTCCTCTTATTTGAAAGAATCGATATGCTCTTTTGTATATATTCGATTAAATCGATTGAAATCGATTTCCTAACGGAGCCGGAAGTCGTGTTGGTTTTGAAATATTACGCGGTAAAATTGGGAAATATTTTGGTAGAGTTTACTCGATTTCATCTGCTAATAATACCTTTTTTAACGTGATTTTCTTTAAAGGATTTATTAAATTTTTACTGCATCTTCCAAGGTGAGAATAATCGGACGGATTTTTGTATAATAAGAATATAGTTTCCTTGTTACCAGACTGGATGTGATTGTTTACGTTTCATTTCATTAGAAACTTTGCTTTTTTTATTATCTGAAAGCATATTCAGTGTATATATATATATTTGTTTGATTTTAGCATTTCTCAATATTCAGATTGTTCATTTGATTTATAAATGCAGTAACTGGTGATATTCGGAATTTTCACTTAAGCTTTGAATATGACTGAAATTAGCCAAGATAGAGTTGAAGAGCCTGACTTTATTGCATGCTCGGAGGGAGTGAGATATTTTTATGAAAGTAATAAAAATATTTTAATTGTGATAAAAGGTGTCTAAAATTAATTAAACTGATGACAGCTTCCGTCAAGGCTAAGCAAGAATCTAAATCATATGCTTTTAGTAATTTATCAAAGTCTTTGGAATATGAGCGACATTTAAAAACTGTAACAAATTATGGTCTTTCGCATGGTCTCTCACCTGATTTAATTCATTCCATAATCTGCATTGTGTCATTAAATAGATGGCGTAAGTAAAATATATTGATGATATTACTTAAAATTTTACTCGAGAAAAACTTTTCGTACAGAAACATCAGTCATTGGAAAACTTTTGCGCTCTTGTCTCCCTGCCAATTACGTACAGAGCTCAACAATAGTTCACGCTATTGGAACTTTGACTATAAATACTGTACCAATGATTATTAAGGTTTGAATTATTATAAACAAAATTGTTATCTACTTTATTCGTATCTATTCTAGAAAAAGCTAGTAACCTGGATCGTTATAGTATTTAATGCTGTTGATGATATGTCACCCGTTCATAGATTATATGAAGTTGTCTTTAATTCCGTTGGCTGTGATCCATTGGTAAGACAATCTTAAACTATAATCATCTATATAAATGTATTTTGTATTTCAGAGAGCCAAACTATGCCAGATATTATATAGGCTGACACGAAGGAAGGATGTTACTTATTACAGAATTCAAGAGCTTCTAAAAATTCGTAAACGAGCAGTAATTATTCTAGTTGTCCTCTTATTTCAATTAGTAATTACAAGTTTTCTTAATAGGGCAATGAACCAGGATTAATAGGTTTACTTTCAATTTATAAACTCTACAAGCCATCAATGATAACCATTTCTTTAAAAACCGGTCGAAAGGTATATTTATCAATTTTATAAATGATATTTTAATCAACTATACCTTTGCTAAGGCTTTCTTCAATTTGACTAACAAAAGATGGCGAAACGATTTTCTGTCTATTCAACATAAAAATGAGAATTTAAGAAGTGACAAGAATACTCCACTGAATGCTGTTGACAATATCTTATCTCCAGTAACTCTTTATTTCCTTTCAGCTATTGAATATTTGCAATAAATACGATATTTCTGAAACTTTAGATTAAGAAGAAAGCCAAAATTATGACATTACCATCTCTACAAATGCCACAAAAACAGTCCAGATACGTTGAGGAACGTGTGAGCAAGAATGAAGTTAGATCAGTAATTGATATAAAAAATTTAGATGATCTCCTAAACACGAGACACTTCCTAGACATAGAGGTGAATTCCTATCATACTATATAATAATTCATGGTTTTTTATATTGGAACCATTACATAGCTACCTTGTCAAATGGCTTCTCTGTTGCAACAAGAACATTTTTACTACGTTCTATCCGTTCATCCCGATCCTAGTATACCTTCTCGAATTTCTTTCTGGCTTAAAGAAGCTTTACTGGATGGTAACGAAAAAGATTCAGACCACTAAATATTACTCTATTCCGATTATTATAGTTATCGTACAAAGTCCTGATGATGAGATTAGAGAACACGGCATTTTATTAAAGCATGTTACCGAATTTACCTCATATTTATTGGTATTATTTCTTTAATAAAAATTCCACGAGATATTTTATTAATCATTCCTTTTGTAGGAACTTTTTCCCGTTTGCGTTGAGTTTCTACTGGAATTTCTACCAAATTGGAATGGATCCACCTACAGAACATACATTTTAGAATTATTAAAATTTATGAGATTTGTAGCCTTAGCAGGTGCGTTAATTAATTTATATGATTTAACAAATGGCTAAAAAATCATATTTTTCTTATCATTTAGATTTTCAAAGTTGTATATTGCAACCTCTGAAGACTCTCTTCCTCAAAGGAGACGGAAATTTCAAAGTAAAATTCACACATGAACTTTTCTCTTAGCCAAACTTATCGATTTTCAATTCTTCACTTGTTTCAGATTCAATTAATTAACTGCTTAACGGGAATGTTTTCGCATTTGGCAACAATAGAGTACAATAGGATAGATAATGAAGATATAGAGTAAACTAAGAACTTATTGTCAAATATATTAATACAAAATAACGCTATTTTTTATTGTTTTACAGATCGTACGGACTTTTTGAAGATTGTGAAATTTCTAAAAAAGAAGCTGTAGCTGTCTTATATAGTCTAATGAATTTTATTTACGATATTATCAGATATAATTCTAATGATACTTTAATGAGTTATTTGGCTTTAAATTTTTATTACAATGTAATTTTCTATTTTTAAAGACAATCAATTACTAATTTGAAAATTGCTGTCAGGTTGAATCTGTGAGAAATTATCAATCTTTACCGCTTATTTTGCCTATAGACGGAAGCTTTACTGTTAAGAACATCAGTTCATATTCAATATTTCGATTAATAACTTTATGCTGCCTCCTCAAATCGTAAGTCATGAGTTAACTTGCAAAGTAATAAGATTCTCATATTTCGTTTTAAAAAAATGAAGTTCTGGCGAAGGTTTAAGAGGAATAACCTTAAATGCTGACATACCAGAGGCGATAATTAATGCTAGAAGGTAAGCTTTTGAGAATTTCGTTAAAATATTATTATTAATGTTTTATAATCTAGAATTGAATCTGCTATAAAGTGCGCTCAAAGTATGCTCCATCAGAATGAACCCTTCTCCACCTTTATGCGGGAGCAAACTCCTAAATCACTTTTGAAATTAGGAATGTCGGAAAAGGTTAAACTTGGAAAGGATTGTAAGACTTGCTAATTACTTTATTTTTTACAGGAAATCAATCAGGTCTGGTCTATATATCGTCATCCAGCTCTTCTCTTTTGTATAGTAAAATACGTGAGTAATTATCCCCTTGAGGAAATAGCTCTCATTTTTTGATAACTACAGCTGGATTCATTGAATTTAAATCATCCTGACGAAATAGAAAAGCAGGTTTGCTATCTTCACCTCTATAAATATCTTTTTCTAAATTGAATTAATTCATTTTCATTTATTTTCAGTCTCTTACAGATGACTTTTTAGATATGCTGGAAAAAATGCGAGACGACTTCTCAAATATAACTGCCATATTATCCTTAAGACCATAAACAGAAGCTATATGTATATACACCAAAACAGTAATTCTGTACATTATTAAATACTACAAATAAAAAAAATTGATAAAAGTATAAAAACAGCATTTTAAAAGACCATTAACAAAATTTATTCAATAAGGCTTCATGAATCTCTCCATGTTATGGTTGTATGTTCATTTACGCATTCCATAATGCTTATTAATAGAGTTTTAGGTAATTGCATAAAAACATTTCGTCTTTCCTTAATCTATTTGATTGATTGAAAAACAGGACATTAAAATAGTATCACACAATTTTTATTTAACTTCACCTGATGATAATTTTTGGCAATAATGAAAACACATTTATTAATTAGCGCTTGATCCAAAACATCATGTGCAGCTAACATAACCTAAAACAAAAGTTCTTGTTAATTTCTAATTGTCGTCATGAGAAAAATTGTCTCTCACATCAAACACGCAATTCACTTCTAAATTTCGTTCGATTATACCCCATGCCAATGTGTCAAGTCTTTTGTTATTCAAGCAGAAGTATTCAGCAGCTCCAAGAAGATACACGGCAACTTGTGGCGTAGCGTCTATAGCATCAGTGTATAAAAATTTCAAAAGTTGCATTAGAACATCAGGCGGTGTATTCTCTCCTTTGAATGTAACCTAAATAATGGAAATTGTTAAATGAACGAAATAAATGAAAAATTTTATCCTACCATAATTTCCTCCGACGGAAATGATCTAAAGTTTGCCGTAAAATATTCTGCTCGAGCGCAAAGAACAGCCTTGTGTGCTTTAACTGTGTAATTGTTAAAAGTCACTTTGACATCTGAACCTTGGCCAGTTTCTAATAATTTTGAGAAATCGTCTTTAATAGAACAGAACTCTGCTTATAAAAAAATAAATATATGATATCTGAACAATTTAATCTAGCTTATTCTCACTTAAAAGTTCGGGATGTTTAGGTGGGGTATCATGTTCGTCACTACTTTCCGCAGGTAGTCTCGCTACTTGCAGTAGCAAACTCTTCGATAATGTCTCGATTTGAGGCCTTACAATAACCTCTTTATAATTGTTACTTCTTCTTAAAAAGTTCATACAAGAATCTCTAAGGTATTCAATTTCATTCTCATCGGCGAACGTCAAAAGACTAACAACTCTATTTGCGTTTACACTTGATATGAGATATTTCAGAGAGCAACTTTTTAATTTTGATAAATTGAACTGAGAAAAGTAGAAAAGATTGTTAAGTATTACTATAAATTACCTTATTAATTATTAAAGCTTACCCTCGTCGCTTGTATATAAAGTTTCATAAATAATTCTAAATCATCAAATTCAAATTCTTTTTCTGGAGTTACTGTATCAGTATAAATAAATTGTAAAATTTTATCAAATACGGCACGTTCAATATCAGGTAATTCAATATAATTTTGATTCTTTTCTCTAGCGCTAAGTATCATTTCGCTTAATACTGAAGACCTTCCTACTAGTATAGAGCTGTGACATTCAAACAGTATCTTTTTTGGTCCAACTTTACAAGTGATATCAATGAAATTTTTTGATTCCCATAAATTCTTCATATCCGTAATAAATGTTGATTTTGGCCCAGGAATTGTGATGGAGTAAAGTCCTCCGGATAATCTTTGTGAGTCTACGTCGTTCGGAGATTCAACACCTCCATATACATAAAGTGTATTTTTATGCATTGCTGAACTGTGATAGGCTACTTCTGCTGGCCTCTGAAAAAGTTACTACGTTAAATGAGTACTCGACTCATGTTTTTGTAACCTACAGTCGCGTTATCCTCTGTCGAAACCACCGACCAGTGAGGATCATTTATGTCAAATCGATACAAATTGTTATCATCTCCGCCTCCGAATAAAAATAACTGACTATCATCTGAGGCAGTTAAAGAGTGCCCGACTCGTTTACCAATGACTAGATGAGAAAAAATACTAGAGTACATGAGCTTTGTCCAACATTCATCCAAAACATTAAATCCGAATAGTTCATAAGCATTTTCTGCTGCAGCACCAGGTAGAAGATACAAATGACTTTCGTTGACTGCCATACTACTATTACAATTTGGTGGAGGCTTGCAACCTTTCTGATGTACTCTCGTCCACTTGTGTGGTCTATCTTTCAAAGATAAACGCCACATATCATTCAATCGAACTTGTTTGCTATCTATTTGATCTACATCATATGCTCTTTGGACGTGATGACCAAAACCACCTAGAATGTACATAAAACAATCTACAACGGCTGCATTATGAGCGCATCGGGGTCCTGGAGCCCTGTTAAAAAATGGTATTAAACATATGATTATAGAAAATGATTATCATTATATCTTACTCTTTCGTTGTTTCAGCGCAACTCCATTGAGCTTTTGGAATATGATATTTAAATAAGTCATTTAATTGCCTATTATCGTGTTTTCCACCTGTAAAAAAACATTATTTAGTAAAATAGTACCAAAAAGTTTTCAAATAAGTCTTACCAAAAATAACTAGGTCTTTTTCGAAGACAACACAGGTATGTTCAAATCGAGCGCATGGTGCCGTACCAACACAAACAACTCTGAAGGTAATGTAATAGGTAAATATAAAATAGATGACAAATTTTAAATTGTCCATATTACCTTTGCCAGCTGTGATCTTTTAAATCGTATCTAAGAATATCACCAAGAGGTTCACTATATGGAAAACATTAACTGTCAGGCATAGTTTTAATACTATTATACAACAAATTACTCTCTGCTATTTCTTCCTCCATATAGAAACAAACTTCCACTATAGTAAACGAGAGTATGTTTCATCCGTCTAGAAGAGGAAACAGGTTACATAAGATATTTTTTTATCAAATTTTATGATTTACTTGGGTTGACCAATAAACTCGGCCAAGCTCTTTTCTAATTTCCATGAATTAGAAGACATAAGCCCATCTAACAAAAAGAACAGCTCGAAACCAGTGTTAGTTTTCGGTCATCTAATGAAGCATATTCAATTATTCACCGAGAAATATGTTCTAATTTAATATGTAGATTATATGAAGTCATTTAGGAAAATAGAAATACAAAAGATGTTGGATTCATTGTGCTTATTTTCCCTTTAAGTAAACGCATGCGCAAAAAAGACCAGCGCCTACTAGGGCAATTACCGGTTTTCAAAAATATTTGACGTGGCTGCTGATAACGCCATTTTGATCCGCTGTGTTAATGGCAAAAAGAAAAGCAATCGTTACAGTTAAACCGATAGTGATCTGTTTCTATTGAGAAAAATAATGGAAATCTCAAAGATAATATATACTCTGGCCATAATAGTGATTACCTGCCAAGGAGATGAGCACAACCATAAAGTAAAATTTAAATAAGAAAAAAATTTATGTTATTATTTATTTATTTATTTTTAGTATGAGGATGGCGAGGAAGTTGTGCTATGGATGAATACTGTAGGTCCCTATCACAATAGACAAGAAACATATGAATATTTCTCGCTGCCTTTTTGTGCTGGTAAGAAAAAGTCCATTAGTCACTACCACGAAACTTTGGGAGAGGCTTTACAAGGTGTTGAATTAGAGTTCAGCGGACTAGACATTGATTATAAAAGTAAGTCATAAAAAATGTATAGTTTATTTATAACGTTTGTTTGCTGTTTTAATTGTTAAGCTGATAACTTTAATCTTAAAACAAAATCTATTTTCAGTTGATGTAGCCAAAACCACATATTGTGAAAATCAGTTGACTGAAGAGAATCATCGAGCATTTATCTATGCGGTAAAAAATCATTATTGGTATCAAATGTACATTGATGATCTACCTATCTGGGGGATTGTTGGAGAAATTGACGATGGAGGAGAGGGATATTACATCTGGACTCATAAGAAGTTCGACATAGGCTTTAATGGAAAGCAAATTGTGGACGTAAACTTAACATCAGAATCTAAAACTAAATTATCCCCCGGAGTAAAATTATCATTTACATATGAAATTAAATGGCACAAATCTAATGTGCAATTTAAGGATCGCTTTGACAAGTATCTTGATCCGAACTTTTTTCAGCATAGGATCCATTGGTTTTCCATTTTTAATTCATTTATGATGGTCATATTCCTTGTTGGACTTGTCAGTATGATACTAATGAGAACGCTACGCAAAGATTATGCCAGATATAGTAAAGAAGACAGTCCGGATAAAATGGAGAGAGACTTGGGAGATGAATACGGGTGGAAGCAGGTTCATGGAGATGTTTTCCGACCAGCTTCTCGTCCAATGCTTTTCTCAGCCTTAGTAGGAGTCGGATATCAAATTACTGTTGTTGTATTTTGTGTAATTGTTTTCGCCATAGTAGGAGAGCTGTATACTGAAAGAGGTTCACTACTAAGCACAGCAATATTTGTTTATGCTGCCACCGCTCCAATAAACGGTTATTTTGGAGGATCTCTTTATGCCAGGATGGGAGGAAAGGTATGGATACAGCAAATGCTACTCAGTGCTTTTATTCTACCGGCGGTCATTTGTGGAACAGCATTTTTCATTAATTTTATCGCTATATATTATCATGCTTCAAGAGCAATTCCATTTGGAACTATGGTGGCAGTTGCTTGTATCTGTCTTTTCGTCATTCTCCCATTGACACTAGTTGGCACTGTTTTAGGTAGAAATATGGCAGGTCAGCCGAATTATCCATGTCGGGTCAACGCTGTTCCGCGACCGATTCCAGAAAAGAAATGGTTCATGGAACCAGGAATTATCGTTCTTCTGGGAGGAATTTTGCCCTTTGGTTCAATTTTCATTGAAATGTACTTCATTTTTACATCGTTCTGGGCATATAAAATTTACTACGTATACGGATTTATGCTCTTAGTGTTTTTCATTCTATCTGTAGTGACAGTCTGTGTAACAATTGTTTGTACTTATTTCTTATTAAATGCTGAAGACTATAGATGGCAATGGACGTCTCTGTTATCTGGAGCATCAACATCTCTTTACGTATACTTTTACTCTCTCTATTACTTTTTTTTCAAAACGAAGTTAGTATTTTTTAATTTATATTCTCTGTTCCATTGCCAACGATTAATAATTAAATTTATTGCTCATTCAGAATGTATGGGTTATTCCAAACGACGTTCTACTTTGGTTATATGGGCCTTTTCAGTTTGGCCTTAGGAGTCATGTGCGGTAAGTTGTTAAATAATTGATTTATTTATAATATGGACATAATCCAATATAAACATATTAAATTAATTTTTTAATTTAGGTACAATGGGCTACGTAGGAACAAACATTTTCGTGAGAAAGATCTATTCAACTGTTAAAATTGATTAGTGCGGCATTCCTCTCCAAAAACTGTGATTCTCATTGAAGTGTCATTTTGGTGTAAATTTATTGTCTTGTAACTTATGACAATGAAATGATATGGTAGATCATTCTAATTGGTTATATATTGTTTATAAATTGAAGTGTTACCAAATGGAAAGTCCATAACCGAAAGTTTCAATTAATGGCAGTAAATTAAAATCAATTAAGTCTTTCAAAGTTAAAATTGTAGAAAATACTATTACTATGAAAAATTTTCAACTCAAAGGAAAAATTTCGATAGAATAATTATTATTCATGAGATATTTCTGCTTAATTAATCATGAATCAAACGACCAAGTAAAAACATAAGAAATCTCAGATTTAACCAAGCTAAATGCTAAAGTTCAAGACAAAAAACGCTGAAATGCGCACATTCTCGTTATTAGTGCAAAAACAAATTACATGTGTAACATTTGTATCAATTAAAAGAACAGTCTTTCCTCCCAATATAAATACATTAATTTAGGAAAGTTCTTATATATTTTTTATATCTTATTTTGTTGCATTGGTATTATAACAAGCTTCAATGAAAGATGTAGCAACTTCTCCTATTAATCCTCTATCTGGAACACTTTGAGCAGCTCCATACATGGCGGCCTGTTTTTAGAAATCATTGAAATAACTTACGTAAACCGGAATTATTAAAGAACTAACCATTCCATTCAATTCTTCTTTGGGATTTTTTAATATTTCGCTGACAGACTGGTTTATATCTTTAATAAATTTGTCCACTACTCCTTGTTTTGTATGTGTTAGGGTTAAGCAAATATGAATACTTGATGGGTATTGTAAAGCATTCAAGTTCCAGCCTAGTTTAGTCATAGCATCAGACAGTCGGTAAATGTTGAAATCGTCTGAGGCAATAGCTATGACAGTCGCTTCAGGTTTTCCAATTACATAAATTCCTTTTATTTTTCTTAATTTCTTCTCCATATCAGCTCTACAATCCAAAATAGCTTTTGTTGACTCAACGTATCCTTTCTCTCCCATGTAGAGCATTGTTGCCCAACAAGCTGCTATAATAGCACCGGCCCTAGAGCCAGCGAACGTTGGAGAAGCGTATATGCCGCCAGGCCAATCGACTGCAGAAAATATTTGCTTTCTAAGGTATTTTTTCTCCTTATACAGTATGACAGAAGATCCCTTAGGAGCATAACCATACTGAAAAATGCAATATATACTAAAAATTCATAGAAAATGATGAAAACACTGTAATACTTTGTGTGTATCGGCGGATATACTTGTAACGCCATCAAGTCGGAAATCAAAGGGACGAATAGGATAACCAGCCTTATCCATGAATGGTACAATGAAACCACCCAAACAGCAATCGGTGTGAACTGGTATATTATATCTGAAAAATTTGTTTATTTTTATTGTTACTTAAAGACTAGAAATAAATTTTTTTACCTTTTTCCAAGCTTTGCTATCTCTATCATGGGATCGATAATTCCATGAGGAAAACTGGGAGCAGATCCAACAAGCTAATGAATAAATTTTTAATAATATAAAAGTTTCTATTTAAATTTTTTATCGTTTACCATGCAAGTATTACGATTAATTTTTTGTCTCATTTTGCCAATATCTACTGCGCCCGATTTGTCCACAGGGACGTGGACAATTTTCATTCGGAAATATTCAGCTGATTTATCAAATGCAGCATGAGCTGAGACAGCGCATAAGCTGTAAAAAATAAAAAAAATTACTTTGAATAGTTGTATAGAAAAGTAATATTTTTATTACATCTCTGGTTTTTGAATTCCTCTCTCGTATGCTAAATCTCTGTATACTTTACAAGCCAACATAATACTTTCAGTTCCACCGCTGGTCATCTACAGATACAGCGAAATGAATAAATGATAAAATTCAGAAATTATCACTTACTGTTCCGCAAGATTCTTTCGATCCATTGAACAAGTTACAACACATTCTCACCACCTCTGCTTCCATCTTACGAACGTCAGGGAATACATCAGCATGAAGCGGATTGGACCATGCAAACATACCGTATATCTGATAAAAGAAAATTCTTTCAATATTGAAGACTTTTATTAATTTGAAATGTTATTACTTCAGTTGCAAGTTTAGTCAAATCCTCTTCACCACTATATACAGTTCCAGAACATCGACCACTATTCCATTCTACATTACCCATATTTCGATATTTTTTCGCCAAATTGATTACTTGCTCCTAAAAAATTGTCTTTTAAGTTAATAAATCCAATTTTTGTAGTAATACTTACATGCGTCATTTTTTTATCAGGCAACTCCATCAAGTATGGAACGTTAGCGCAAGTTTTGTTTATCGAATGTTCCATATCATCGTAAGTTTTCTTTAGTTTCTTCTGGACAATACCTTTGATAATGGGCAATCTACGATACCACTTGAAAACGAAATTTTTTAGCCCATTATAAATCCCTATAAAAGATGAATTGTTTTCTCTTTATATTCAACAAGGCGTATTTCCAATTCTACTTACCATCTGACTGCATATTTAAAAATTGGACTACGTAGTAAGTAACAAAAGCGCTCACAAACAAAATCTTCCAGCGATCGAAAGGACTTAAGAAGTTCTCTAAGCTTTGAATAAATTCAAAGATCCCATCCTTAATGGGTCCCTGAAAAATTAATTTCAATATAATATTTTATAACAAAAAACTGCCAAGTGATCTTGTACCGCAAATTCCATAATATCTTCGTAACTGCTCTTTGCTTGCATGTTGAAGTCGGAATGATTCAAAACGTGATCTCTGCACCTTTTATAATAATAGATAAGATTAAGTTGTAACGAGAATGATGAACCCAACGAAAAACAAAAAGTATAATGGATAAATACTCTATCTACCATCGGTTTAATTGCAAGTTTAAATTATAGACATGAAAAAATACTCTAGCTCTCACTATTTACTTTTCTAAGTAGAAATAACTTTAACAAGTGAAATATTCGTACAATCAATTTTAGTGACTTCTGCTACATTTGTCACGTGACTTGAGTCTTAGTTCAATATGTGGTACACTACTTACTACTTTTTAGGTGCTTATCCGAACTTTCTTAATTACGAAATACAATGATTTGATAATGACATGATATTAAGTTTATAAATAAGCATGATTTTAATTTATATTTTCCCTATTTTTTACGAATAAACGCTTTAGGCTTTTCAACGTTATAATAAACATGGAGTTTAAAACTTTAAAAATTACTTTGCTGTTCCATTTAATTTTCAAACTTAAACACATGTTAAAAAGATTACCCGGTTTTCCAAATTAAAATGGAGATACTTGAACGAGAATTTCATTAACCAACAATATTAAAAAGTACTTAAGCATTATATACAGTAAACTATAACACTAGCTTTAATAAATGACGTTAATAAATTGATAGTTATAATATTTTCAATGTATTAACAAGTTCAACTGAAACTATGTACAAGTATACACGAATAAAAAAAATTATGGTCTCAAAGGTGCCAAACCCAATTTGGCTCTGAGAGCATTTTGTTCCTCAATTTCTTCCTTTTCCTTAGCCTTTGAGTCCTTTTCTCGGTCTCGATCTCTGTCTCGGTCCCTGTCTCTATCCCTACCCCTATCCCGGTCTCTATCTCTCTCCCTATCCCGGTCTCTGTCCCTATCCCTGTCTCTATCCCTGTCCCGATCTCTGTCTCTGTCCCGATCCCTGTCTCTGTCTCTATCCTTTCTTCTATGCTTCGGTGACCTGGATCGGGATGATCTTCGATCTCTATCTCTAGACCTAGACCTCCGTTTTCTTTTTTCTTTTTTACTCTTTTCTCTATCTTTGTTTTTTTCTTTTTCTTCTTTCTTTGAAGACTTGGGGGGAGGAGCAGATTCTTCCATCATTTCTAAATCATCTTCCAGTGCAGATACTCGAGGTTCTAAGCGATTATTTTCCTCCAACGTTGATCGTTTTGTGAGTCGTGGAAGTATAATATCACATACCCGTTCGTCAACAAATATTTGATCAATAAATTCGTCCATATGAAGTAACTCGAAGCCCCCAATTTTATTTTGAAAACGTAGTTTTCTATAATCGAGATATAACGGTTCTAAATATTTATAACAATCAAGGGCTGTTCCTGTTAATCTCATGTAAAAAGCCCCTAAAGCTCGAACATATTTAAAATCTTGTTGAGTGATAAATTCTACAACAATGTCTTTATCAGGTTGGATTTGAAGCATTTTAAGAATTAAACATAAGAATGGCGTTGGCTTTATATTTCCTCCGTAAGTCCCTCCTATAAATCTTAATTGAAGAGCTTTATCAACCAAGAGTTCAGCTGAAATAGAAACAAAGGTGTATATTAGTAGATTTTATACAATACTTATTGGATAAATACAAGAAATAATTGAGATCTGTTGGAAATTGTTGCCGGTATTTTATTATTTATGAAAAAAGTATAGATAAAATAGAAATTAAATTACCACTAAGTGCAAAGCATTCTTCTTTCCAAAATTTGCATTCATATATACGAGATCTTATGATTTTTTCTATTAAATACTGTGGGTTTGTCCCTTTAATAGATTTTGCTTCTTTAACAGTTCGATTCGCCATTTTGGTTGGCCTTACGTACAAGGAACGCACTTTTTTTGTGAAATATAAACGCGCCATCTAGTGTAATTTTTCAATAACCCGAACCCAATGTAACAGCACTATTTTTAAAAATACTGGAATTCTTAAATTGCTTTCAGATATGAATATTAAAAAACAATAAATAAAAGCTGAGACTTTAATACTAGGAGTTCAACAAGCAGACTTTAGAAAATTTATTATCCGACAAAGTTTAAAAAAAGTTAAAAATATATTCAATGTGCACAAATAAAATCAGTCAACTTGATTCTTCGATGCAAGTATCAATAGTTACAGGACAAACTTCATAAGTTTTTAAATTAACCAATGCAAACGTCTTTGTTACAGAGAATCGAGGTAGACCAAGTAATAGTACTTCTTTACCGTTTTCTAAAACAGGAATAAATAATTTTTATTTTACATAAAACAGCCTTAGAGGTTTCTTTGATTTTACCTTCAAAAATTTTATGTTGAAGTCTATCATGATTTCCCGAAAAAAATATATGAGGCGTTGTTTCAACAATAAATGGATCTCGGTTGAAAAGTGGATAGCAAGCTGTCGAAAAGAAACAGATATTAAAAGTGCAACATTACACAAATATAAATTAACCTAGAGTGTCGGGAGCAGTTGGGGCAAGGTGTCTCCACTTTAGTGTCTTGAAAAGAAGACTTGTGTCAGACTTTAGAGAGGAGTACTCAGATATGTTATGAAGTGGGGTACCGCTGTGACCTGTGTTAAACAAATGATAATAAAGTACGTTAAACTTTAATTACTTGACTTTACCTAATACATCAAAACCATGAATATTCAGGGAACAAGGATTGGTGGTTAAATGAAAATTTGTGTTTTTCCCAGCACTTGGAAACATGCACTTGTGAAACTGTTGTTGAGGTAAAGCATAATTTGCTGGATCATTTTTCCCTGGTAGTAAAGTAACGTTCATGTTACTCTGCAAAATAGTAAATAAATTTTGTGCTGATACATCTAATTCAGATGGAAAATATACCACTATTTGGCTTAAAAAATGGTCTAGTTCTCGCATGGCTTCCAAACTTCCTGATGTGCTTTTTTTGCTAAGATATTTGGCCTTTTGTACACTATTCTTATCTACAGTAGCAGCATTTAAACAGTTTCCAGCAAAAATACACCGCGTAATCTTTGAAATTTTGGCCTGATCTTCATCACAACCAAGGATTCCAGTCAAGTAATCAACAAGCAACTGAAGGGATACCAAGTCATCGTTGGCACCATCGAGATCTAAACCCGACACGAAGGCTATCCACCTGCAAAAGACAACTATATTTACAATTTAAAAAGTTAACCATGAATTATTACATGTCATCTGATAGACTGGGTTTCGCACGTTGTTCCGGAAGTGGTAACTCAAACACCTCTTCAACATAGAATTTACCATGATCTTCTTCTTTCTCTAGACCAACTATAGCCGTTGTAACTCCTAAAATAGTTAATTTACTATAAATTTACAATTTTTTGTATTTGTAATACCTGTGACATAGTCGGAAGCTTTTATATTGCCAACTAATATAATTCTCTGTACTTCATCTTCAAGATAAAGTTCATCAGATTCATCTATATAACAATCCATAGGTTGGGGGGGTATATCATTTTCTTCACTTATTTCCTTCAAAATTGTTGGTCTAAGTTGCATCGATTTGAATAGGGTACCAATGATAACACATCTTTTATTCGTTTGTAAATCTTTTAATTTATAAATAGGCAAGTCTATAAAGTACGAATTACGATAAGAAAATATTATCTTATTGCATGTGATTATTTACCGAAAACTTCTTTAACTGCTTTTTCTAATTTTGGTCTTAAAGTCAATAATCTCTCGGAATAAATATGAGCGAATTGTCTTTGAAAGTTTTTATCACTTGTTTGATACTTAAAATTTTCTGATCTATCTTCGCATTTTACTGCAACTCGTTTTATTTGTGAAGTGTTGAGATTACCTTCCATATTTCTAGCCTAAACAAACTAATCTTTCAAAGTAGTGCGCCGATATTGTTGTCTGCCGGCCTTGCAATGGCGGAGCATGGACATCGTTAAAAAATTAGTTGTAAACACGTGAGCGATAACGACAGACATTGTAGAAAGTACAAAGTTTCGCAATAAACTAAATCTTAGTCATATTTAAGTTATGTTTTCATCCGATTTGCACTGAGGTCGTAATAGTCTTAGGTCAAGCCTTATTGCGAAAACACCCCTATGTATAGGAAATAATCTTTCGCATATCATGATTTCGCAATTATCCTGACTATATAAAAGCGTATCTCTCGAGTGGCAGTAATTCTGCTTTTTTATAGCAACGGAGGCTCTTCTCAAATACTCACTCAGGTTCTAAAAAAATGGATAAAGAAGAGCAGAACAGAGAGATCATAAGTCAGCTGAAAATCAGAAATTATCTAAAAGCCATTGCCAGTAATTTTACATTCAACGAGAATTACTCTGAAATTCTTCCATATCTTTATCTAGGAGGTGATGAAGCAGCATCAAATCCAGAGCTACTGAAAAAACTCGGAATTAATTATATTTTGAATTGTGCTTCTTGTGATGTTCCTCTCAATAGCTCTTTTTATCAAGAAAATGGTCTCAATATGAACTTTTTATCCTTTCCAGCTGACGATAACATGTGCTACGATATGACACAGCATATTTCCGAAGCATGTCAATTCATAGATGATTGTAGGAAATCAAATGGAAAAATACTTATTCACTGCGTTATGGGTATCAATAGAAGTGGATTCATAACTGCGGCATATATTATGACACAAAGAAATTGGGGAGTCATCGAGACAGTGGAATTTATAAGAAGTAAACGGAGCTTGGTATTAACGAATGAAAGATTTCTAACTCAGCTTATAAAGTACGCATATGTAAATGGACTTTTCTCTTACAGTAATAATCAAGTTACTTCAAACTAAATTATTGTTCGTTGTTTTTTACATTAATATATTTAAATATTTTGTATACTAATGTGTCTGTAATGTCTAAACAAACACGATTTTTAGTCTATTCTTAATTTATTTAAATTTTCTCTGAAAAACGCAAAAAGAGAAAAGATTGAAAAGTTCGATGCTATTTTACTATTCTTCAAACTCAACACTATGATTGCATATATCCCCTAAAAATAATAAATTATTAAAAAGATAATAATAGTTGGTTTTTTCTTATAACTTACGGTAATTTCATTCTCATGAAGACTCGGGCTGTGAAAAACGATACCAGAATGCAAACGAAAGCAAAACATAACAGCAAAATTCGATTGAGTCTAGGTGTCATTGGTTTATTTGTTTGGTCTAACACAATAAAACCTAATCCACCAAGAGTGAAGAGGAAACTAGATGCTAATCCCTCCATAATGTATTGGCCGTTTACTCTATATGGCATGAAGGCCACCTAGAAAAAGTACAAGTATTACAAGTCTGTCTTCCGTCAAATGAATTCAAGTCAACTTACAGGTTTACTGTTGCCTTTTTCGTCTGTTGTAGATCCGATACTTGGAGGTTCAACAATTATATCATAGATAATGCCTAAATAAAAATTTTCAAAACAGTATATTATCGCCCTCAAGGTATTAATTAACAAGTACCTCCTGTTACTAAAAAGTACGAAAAAAGGACAAGTCCAAACACTGTCATTGGGGACGGTGCTTTCACCCATGAGGGTTTCTTTAATTTCAGGTTGGGGCATTCTAGAAAGTTAAATGGAATTCCGTATAATTGTTCCATTGCCGAACCGGATATGGTACGTGGTGACAACGTCACACCTTCGAAAAATTCCCACGTTTTTTTTAATTTTTTTCGGTTGCTTTTAGTTAAAAATAATAGGAATTTACTCGGTTTTATAATATTAAGTAATGTAACTTTAAAAAATAGTTTGCTGATTTCCAATAAAAACAACGGAAAAGTCAATATATAAAAAAGTTTCCGAAGAAAATTGTCCTGAACGATAATATGTTGGGCGGCAATGTATATTTTTAAACAACTTTCAATTTATCCTGGTGTTTCATGTTCATTTAATCTGTGAAGTGCTTAACATTTCATAACAGTTTCGGTTAATTAAGAATTTGTAGATTCTTCAAATATCTAAGCCTTAGTCATACCTTACCTAAGCTGGTTGTTTCGTATTGCGAAACTATTTAGAGGAGTTAGAAAACTGTATTTTATAAATAAAATATATGCTCTAAATTGGTACTATAAAATATTTTGTAAATAGTTAATAGTCTTCACTGTTGTCTTCGTTTCTATTCAAAGCCTGAACTTGCTCTTGTGATTTATACATGCCAGCTACTTGTTCTGCACTTGTTGCATCTTCAGGTTTTTTGTCATCTCTAACTCTTACAAATCTTGGAAATCTCAGAGATACTCCTTTCTCCTCATGCACTAAACCAGCTGCTGCCGTATGAGCGGGTGATATACTAAGATCTGCTGCCTTTACCTCCCAAACAATTTGTCCTTCTAGCCAGTGGTCAGGTGACATCTTGTGATTATAGTAAGCTTTAGGCTGTAACAGATAATAAGATAAAAATATTAAAAGTTTAATTATATAGTATTACCGTTTCTATTATGAGAGGTTTCAGAATTTCTGTAAATTTGTCTAATTGCTCATCGCTAAATCCAGTTCCAAGTTTACAAATTGTCTGATATTCTTCATTTTCTGAGTCATAGCAAGCAAGCAAGAAACCGCCGAATCGTCCTGTTCTCTTTCCTGTCCCATCATACGCTCCAACTACGATCAAGTCAAGGGTATCTCCACCAGCGCTATCTAAATAATCCTTTTTTAATTTCAGCCAGCTGTGAGACCTCTTGGCAATTTCATAAGTATCGTCCAAAGCTTTCAACATTAATCCTTCACAACTGTCTTTAATAGCTTTGTCAAGAAGAACTGCAACAGTATCAGCATCATGAGCATCTTCGCCAGTTGCTAAAACCATTTCGCCCTCTTTTATTTCAAACGATTGCCTTAAACGATCTCGTCTTTCTTTCAATGGTTTTGTAACTAAACTTTCACCGTCGACATATAACATATCAAATGCATACACGCAAACTTGTACTTTAATATCACCTACATTATCAACCTTCTTTTTACGTGTAGATAGCATTTGAAACGGTAAGATTCGTTTTAAGTTTGTATCCCATGCGACGGCCTCTGAATCTATTATGGCAGTTTTTACTTTTGTTAATTCCTTAATACGAGAAACAATATCAGGGTATTTTATAGTATTGTCTTCTTGGTTTCTGGAATATATTTTTACAGTTCCATCTTCAAGTAAATGAATCTGGGCTCTTTCTCCATCGTACTTATGCTCACAAGTAAAGCCAATCTTGGCATCGAAACGCTTTAGCACTTCATCAATTCCTTTTGTAGGATGAGCAAGCATTGGTTTTAAGGGCATACCTGGTTCCAAAGGGCAGTGATCGAGTAAGTTGTCGACTCCATACTTGATAAGATTGGGAATAATTTTATCGAAACTTGGACACTGAGCATAGGTTGTTTTGACTATATCTGCCGCTAATTGAGAGTTTTCTGAATCACAGGCTGAAGCCAGAGCCTGCAGAACCGATTGCTCCGCTAAACCTATTCTTAATTTACCGGTTAAAGCCCTTATTACAAATTTAGCTTCACTGTCTTTAGCAGATGCCAGGAGAAAACGTATTTTGTCGATTTTTTTATTCATTGATGAATTTCCAGTCATTTCAGCTATTTGTCTTAATCCCGAATAAACTGATTGAATAGTTAGTCTCTTAGGTTGAAACATGGTTTTTTGAGTATTTCTTGAAGCTTCTGCCACAACTCCTAAATCTCCTTTTGACTTAGCTTCAGCCTTAATTTGATTCACGCTTCTTCCAGTTGCTTGAGCAAGCGCTTTGAATAGCAAAGACTCTCCAACACCAAGCTCAAGACCTTCTGAAGCAGGAGCCAGCTGATTCATACTTAAGTAAAGAGTAGGAAGTGTATCATTTGGTGATCTCTCCATTACAAGACGTAATAAATTTGAAAGATACTCGATACATTTTAATCTTCCACTTTCCTGTTCAATTTCTGATAGGGTGGCTGCTAGAGCTTCATAAGGAGCCGGATCGCCTGCTTTCCAAGGAATATTGTCTAAAAATCTTTGAACAAATATGTTAAATAACTTTTTAATTTATTGCTTCAAACATACTTTGGTCTCTCAGACTTTTTAGGAGAAATTTTCGCTTTTTTTTTTTTCTTTGAACTTTTTGCTTTTGACTTTTCGCTACTTTTTGGTTTCTTTTCGGGCTTTTTTTCGTTTTCCGATTCGCATTCTTCTTTAATCTGATTAAGGATTAGAATACAAACTACTTTGAAGTGGAGTGCAAATAATTACTGTTTCGACTTCTTCCTGCTGTATGTCCGTGTTTTTATCGTTCCCATCAAAAGAATTTTCTACCTAGAGAAAATAAACAGATCATCCTTAGATCAAATTTTTATTGACATCATTCACCTCAGTATCCTCTTCTTTATCAACCTTGATATTATCATTATTATTTTCTTTATTAACAACATCGTCTATCTCATTCTCTGTCTGAGAAACGTAAATTTATCCATGAGTATTATAAAAAAAAAGCAATTAAACCGAATCAGTTGATGAAGGTCTTTGTTCATCCTCTTCATCAACATAGATTCTTCTTCGTTTCCTTTGTTGCTTAATGGGGGAATCTTCTGGAATAATTGATTCAGGGCTTTTTTCTTTTTTCTCAACAGCACTTGTACATATCTTCTGGGAAGGTTTTGAGAAAAACGAGCTGAAATAATAGCCATCGTAACGACATAGTTCACTATTATTAATATTTAGAATTTTACGTGATTGATCTTTGAGACATGATTTTAAAATAAGTGTTAAATGTAGTAGTGTGGCGTGAGGTGGCCAGTAACTTGCGAATAAACATCAACTGGCGTTTAGGCGCTAAAAACACAGGACAATGCTTTTCATAGGAAATGTTTTCGACAGAGTTTGAGATTCTATCTGAAGACTATTCTCTTTCTAAAATTTTTACGATTATTCTTAATTTACATCATCTGCTGCAACGTTTTCATATGTTGATACGTAAAAATTTCGCTGCTGAACTATACACAACGCTCTTACAGGATTGTCAACAACCTCAAATTATTGTCCTTAATTAATCTTTAAGACGAGTTCTACTTGTTCAGTACTTTAAAGTAAAAAATACAAATTTTATTGAGAAAAATATGGCGACAACTTGGGATGAAATAAAACGTTTAGCCGCTGATTTCCAGCGTGCTCAATTAACTGAAAATGTACAAAAACTTTCAGATAGAAATTGTATCGAAATTGTTCAAAAATTAATTGAATTAAAAATGATCGACGTAATATATACTTGTGATGGTAAAGAATATCTGACTCCAAGAGAATTAGAAAAGCAGATCATTGAAGAAGTTGACGCTAATGGAGGAAGAGTGAATATAGTTGACATTCAAAATTCTATTAATGTCGACTTGACTCACATAGAATCCAAAATCAATGAAATCCTCAAAGATCATAGTCTGCAATTAATCCTTGGTCAACTTTTAAATGATACATACCTAGAATCCTTGGCTGATGAAATCAACGATAAATTAAAAGAAAAAGGTCAAGTCTTTCTCCCGGAAATTTCTAAATCTTATAATCTTCCTGGAGACTTTATTCGAAAAAGTATACTTGTAAAATTTCTTGGAAACCGCATTCAAGGTGAATTGAGAAAGAACGATCAAGATAATATCTTTACAGAGAATTTTCTAAAGCGTCAAAAATTTATGCTCCGAGGAGCATTAAACGGTCTTACCAAACCAGCTCAATTATCGAATGTAATTAAACATTGCGAAATTCAATCAAAGCTCGTAATACCTTTAACTGAGCAATTGATTGAAGAGAAAGAAGTTAGAGGAACTTTAAATGGAACTAAAATTGATTCTGCCTTCTTCGTACCGGATATTTATACAACCAAACAAATAGAATACGTGTCTTCATTTTACCTTCAAAATGCTTACTTGGAATATGATAGCCTCCATCGTCTCGGCATATCTAATGCTAAAGATTACATAAAGAAGAAAATTCCTGATAAAAATTTAACCTATCTGAGCACATGTGCAATTGGTCAAGCTATTATAGAACAATTAGATGCAACAATTGAAGATTCAATGTCAAGCAGCTCTATATTAGATGTCAGACCTCATCTTCCCTCCATAGTTGATGAAAATGACATTGGACAAATATTGCAAAAAGCTTGCAAAAACAAATCCAATACTAAAGTTTTTGGATACTATATAGTTCCCGAACATTGTCTAAGATACTTGATGCAGAATTTCGAAGATGACATGAAGAAGAAGGCTATAGAATTTTGTAATACTTTGAAACAAGCCCCGCAAACGGTCTCTGAAGAGAAGCCTACAAAAGGAAAAAAAGGAAAGGGACGAAGAAAGGAAGAGAGTGATCAGGGATCATCTGAGCCTTCAGAGTACATCCCTGTTCATCAAATACTAAAAAGAATATCAAATTCCGATAAATTAAGAGATTCTGATGAGCAACTATTGGAAGATATAGCCGATAATTTATATAGACCACTTACAAAACGCTATTGCGAAATAATACGAGAAACTTGGGAAGAAAGACTATCGGGATCTGTTACTGAACGGAAAACTGAACATGATCAGATAAGGAAAATTCTATTAAAGACATGGACAACAGCCAATGTGTATACGAAAGGAATTGACTTGTTTGATAATGATTCACAGGAAACACTTGTTAAACATTTTTTGCGGACCATTGGCACAGAACTAGTTGATTCTTTATTTAAACTTGTCGCTACGGAGTATATGTTGACACCGCCTTCCGATAAAAAAGAAGATAGAACAAAATTTCTGCAAAAGATACCGAATGAAAAAGAGCGCGACTTGTTTAAAGAATTAAACTCGACAATCTCAGGAAAATCCGTAAAAGAATTTTTGGTAACTTTTCCATTAGCCTGCTCTTCTTTCAATATTCAGCTAAAAAAGAGTAAACAGGCTGAGAAAGATGTTTCATCAGAATTACGTCATGCATATATTGAAAAAGTAGGCTGCGAAAATGATGCAGCTGGTTGTCTTCACTTAGCAGTAACATTACTGATTAATACTTTTACCCGAACTCTGGTTCATGCACCTGGAAAGTTTGTGCCTACTATGATAAAGTTCTTGAAGGAGAAGAAGTTTTTGAGCGAAGAAGATCAGAAAATATTGCAAGATTGTAATGATTTAATTATACAAGTCTACCGTCAGGATAGTAATGAAGATAACCATTTTCAAGATCAACTAAATGAATTGGTGCCTAAAGTCAAACATTTGGCAGTAAACGCCAAGAAACTAACAGTTACCACTTCCGAAAACGTTGATTAAATTGTTACGAAGGCTAATTTTCTATCAGTGAAAAAGAAAAAGTATTTTGTCAAATTGATGTAAGTTGTTGGTGTTTCCATTTTATGGAAAGAGTATTTACTTTTCATTCATCTGTAATATGTCGAATACAAAAATGTTCAATTAAAATATTATACAGTTTATCTAAATGTAAACTCTCTGGAAACACAATAAAGTTTTCTCTAAACCATTTTGCATTAAATATTTGTTTCTCAAGTTCCAAATTCAGTACGAAAAACCAAAGTTCGCACGTAACGATTCACATTGAGCAGTAGCATTTTCCAGAGCTACTTGGTCTTTAAGTGCGGATATTTCAGAAACTTCCTTTTACGAGCTCCATTTTAGGCATCTACAAAATCACATTATTTGTAATTGTATTCTTTTAGTTAAGTCTATTGCAAACCTTGTCTCTTTATGCGTCTCTTGACACTTTATACTGCAAAATTTTACACCGCATATAACGCAGGTATATGTCGCTAGAAATGTAAGCTTCGTTAAGGAAACATGTCGATCATTGCATATCTTGACTGATATTAAAGATTTTAATTTAAAAAAAAAGGATATCCACAAACTGCACAAAGAGTTCGTCGCTTCTTCCTTGACATTGGTGAACTAGCAGTGAAGTAATTAGGTCTGATATCTTTCATACGAAATTGCTATGGGTAATTGCATATCAGTCATCAATTTAATCAAATCGAAGAGTTACCTCATCTTCTAATAAGTACTGAACGTCTTTTCGATATCTTTGATGAAATTTTTTCTTTTTTCTTTGCTTTGGGGCTAAATTATCAATTTCAATGATAAGTGTTTTTAAAACAGTTGAGAACAATTTACCATCAGTATTATCATCGAATTTAGGAGCTTTCTTGTTTACTTTCAGATCAGCATGCGGATCAGTTTGATAGTTGTCCTTTTCTAAATTTTCCAAGTAGTGATGAATACGTTTTTTCCTTGTGCTCTGATCCAGAATCATTCGTTTTAATTTCATACTGTCCCGACCTGAGTAAGAAATCACTTTTAGTAGAGTGCCAAGCAGTAGGTATTTTTTTGACAGATTTGATTTTATTACTTTCATCAAGAATTACGAAAAAAATCTATTCTATTATAAATGATACATATATTCATATTACATAAACTTTCTTACTTTTGATTGCTGTTATGTCCTGCATTATCGTAATTAAAGACCAAGTTAAGTATTGAAGCAAAAATAAAAATGGCTACAGAAAAAAGCCGCTAAATTGTCCAATCACAAGCAAGTACTCTTCATTTACCAGTTTACTTTTAGCTGCAAGCGCGCCAGGAACTCTGAAGTTGATAAACCGCTGATATTAGTTGTTTTTTTTCTCTATTGTTTAGTTAAAAGTAATTAACAGCATTGTGCCTAAAAAAATATTTCTGCAATAAAAGTTTTGTATTTTTATTAGTAAATGTCAGTGTTATAAAATATCTTTACCTTCTCTAGTTTAACTGAAATCTGAGCGATAATAGATGTTGACCTTTCTTGTGCTTAAAGAAAGATCTAAGACTTTTTGTAATTTTTGGCGCTTGGGAGCATCTTATGCTTCCATACAACTTTCCGAAAAGAGAAAATCAACCTATACAAAAACAAAGGAATATAAAGGAAAATTAAATCAGAATTTTAACATTCCCCGAAATGTTTCAGACAAGCTCCGAAGCGTAATACAACCATCAATTCCATTTGATTTGTTTCTTGAAGAAAAATGTCATCCTAAGCTAAAAAATGTTCTCGAATCTAATAAAATCGGTGAAGAAATACGTCAGCTATCCAATCAAGAATTATGTAAGCTAATTTTACTCGAAGATACTTCTAAAAAGTCTGATAGCCAACATAGAGTTATAGAAATCGAATGCATTAGACGTATTCCGAAAATAGCAATAAAGGATTTAGTTGATATTGCTGATGCTCTTTATCTGTCCCAGACAAATAATCTAAAATTCTTTCGAAGCTTGTGCACATACTTGGATAATGAATGGAATAACCTCAATCTTAAAACAAAAGATGTTATATCACTAATCTTTTATATTTCAAATTATAGATCTATTCCAATTAGTGTAATGGCACATTTTGAAAAATTTACGTGCCAAAACATTGAGCTGTTAACAGGAAATGAAGTTGGAGTCATCTGTCACACCTTTTTTGTTACAAATACGTCATTCAGAAGCTATAAGACAATCGATTGTGTATCGAAAAAATTATTACATGATTTTCATAAGATAGACGCCCAACACATTGCAAATATTCTTAAAACTTTAAGACACGCTGGATATAATTCTACTGCATATTTTGGAAAATTAGGCGATAACTTAGTTTCAAGCTCATTTATTAATGAAACTGCTTATAACTTGACTCATATTGTTCATACATTTGCTTCTGCGAGAATAATTCATGAGAAACTTTTTGATAAGATTCTAAATAGAATTGTCTACCTGCTCAGAAATAAGAAAGATAGTCTTAGAACAAAAGACTTGATAAAAATTGTCTGGTCGGCGAGTTCTCTGCAGCATGTAAGATATTTTAATTATTTATCTAACTGACATAGTATTAAAGTCTGAACGATATGTAATTATTGCAGCCAATTCAACATAATTTGCTGAATAGCTTAATAGACATTTTAACGAATAAACACAATAGGCAGATGTTCCCAGAGGCTTTTGTGGATGGTGTTCTTTCTTTATGTATGAATAATGTTGTACATTCTAAATTGTTAAATGACTCATTAAAGCAATGTCAAGAAATTACTGTACAAAGTTTGTTTTAACTATTTAAAGCTTATATTTTATATATTATATTAATATTTTCATTTTTCAGACCGGTTTCTTCAGATGAATCATCAATACATGATTTTAAATGACTTCTGTAAATCTTTAGGATCGGAATATAAAGGATTTTTGATAAAAAATGTAAGATTTCGAACAATTATTTTCAGGTATACTCGAAATGTAATTATTTTAGGAATGGTTTTCTAAATCTGCTGTAAGGGAAGCTCCAAATCTATGCGTTGAATTGGAGAGACGTCAAGGGCTGGCTTCGATTTGGTGTTCTTTGCACCGTTTGTTGGGAGGCTCAAATTACGTAAAATGTGAACATATCTTACAATCTACCAAGATAGCGGGTAAGAAAAATTTACGTCATCAAATAAAAATCATCACGAAAAATTAATTTGTACAGATATTATGATTTCAATGGATAGAAAGAAGAATTTTGTTCCCATTTTATATAATCCAGCAAACACACGATCTGGAATCAATATAAATTTGAAAAGTTCCCCAAGACTTATCAATCCATTTGATGTCGCTAGGGAAATTGATAATAGAAAGCTTGCTTCTAGTACAAAACGTAAAAGTGTGATAGAGGAATTGGAAAGCTTTCAGTCTAATTCAAATAAATCTATCACTAATTGTTTTCATCGAAGTTACCATAAAGAACCGAATTCAAAGTTAGTTAATTCAATTCTTTTTCTCTTCTTTTTTAATCAAAATTATATTTAAGCCGTATGATAGTAATAAAAGTATTTGGTTGGAATCAGTATCTACGCAATTCATCAACTATTTTAGGTCTTCATAATCTAGAAATAGGAATTCTTAATCGATTTGGTTTCGATGTTTTGATTGTAAGTGACAATGAATTCTATTTTTTTTGCTTAGCTGTAGATACTAATAAGCTATTTTTCTGTTCAGCTAAATCCTAAAGATATGATGACTATTACCAGTTTTAGCGAGAAAGAAAGGGATCGGTATTGCCAGGAAAATATTTTAAATGTTCTAAGAAGAGAACTATAGAACGACTGTTCATAGAAATAATAAACAATTACTAATAAATAAGAGATATAATTTATGTCATAAACTTTTTAATATGCTCATACAGGAGGATTTATACCCTCCTCCGAAATGACTCCAATGGTTCAAGTAATGAAATAATTGATAAAGTTGTTGTCTATTTTCAAAGCCTCTCTCCTTTGGAATTTTTTTGTGATAGGCTTTAAAAACCGAAGAAGGAAAACCTCCGAACATGGTGGCTATCGCTAAATCATATTCATGATGTCCGTAGAAAGCAGCCGGGTCGAAAACAATCGGACCACTAGAACATTCGCCGGCATTTCCTCCCCATAGGTCCCCATGAAGCAGAGATGGTAATATTTCCTGTCCTAAGAATAAAAGGGAAATATTACATATATACAACACATTTAATACAATGATTTAACCTTCGAAATATGATGAAATTTTTGGCAGAAATTGATTCCATAGCTGTCTCGGTTTCATATCATGGTATTCTCTTTCTATTATAGCTAGTTGATCATCAATTTTTCTAGCAAAGAATTCTTCCCATGTCTTAGTGAACTGATTATTCTGAGGAATAAAACCACACGAAGTTCTGACTGGAAATCCAAATCTAGTCTCAGGCTCGCGATCAGAATTCTCACTACCAACGAATGAATTTTTCTGCTTGTTTCTTATTAAATTAATATTATCGAGATGGAGATCAGCTAACTGTTCTCCAAGTAAAGTTCCATTCTCAAGGCTACCGATTTCTTTGTGTTCCATAGCGAGACAATACGTTTTTCCATAAGAAAACGCCTTCAGATATTTTAAAAATGTAATTAAAGTTAATCGTTTTAAAGTCTTCTATTGCTTATAAAATAGACATTAGTTACCTTTAAAGGCTTTGGGACAAGAATTTTTCCTGTTTGATATATTGCATCAAGTCCAGCAAATTCACCTTCGAACATGATATCTGAGCCTTTCTTTGAGTTCGTTTTAACGAATATGTGAGTATTGGAATTTAAAACAAAGCTTGAAGCGGCACTTATACATCCCCCACCTGCATACCCAATAGATTTTACCGTTTCTGCTTTAAAGACATTTTTAATAGTATTTTCAAGCGTCATTTATTTGGTAGAATAAGTAATTTCATACAAATAATTGTCAAAACAAGATTTAGTATACACCGGAAACAGTACCACTCAAAAATACTAGTCCAGTAGATGGTGGTACTATAGCTAGCTATCTTAAAATCGTGTACTAGTTTTTATAAGTTACTAGAAATAAGTATATTCAATGATGCGTTGTCCTGTTTACTTATTTATCAATTAAAAATGTATTTGTCTCTCAAATAAATACGAAACGCATGAGATGCTTTTTGTTTCACTGACAACTTCTACAAACTACTTGGACAATTATGACACTAATAAAAAAATCCGCCTAATTTTTAAGATGCTTTACATCCTAGATTCGTAATTCTAGGACAATATGTTAAAAAAAATATTGTATTCATTAATGCTTGAGGTTCTCCTTTCACATTTGACATTAAGTATTTTTGCAATTGTTGATTCCAGCACGAGTGCTCTTCTTTTTTGACGAAATCGTCACGTCGTCGTCATCTTTACGTTTATCTTGAAAGTGCTTAAGAAGATGTGCTAAATATTCGATCGGATTTTGCGGCTTTATTTGAAGGATCTCGGTTAAAGCATAAGCAAGAGCAGGATATAAATTATCCTTTGCATATTGCGTTTCCATATTAAACAGATTTCAGAAATATTTGAATAGTAATATTTACGTTTGTTTTATTTTTTATAATATTTTACAAAATGGCAAAGCTTGTTCCGGATGCAAATAGATTTATTACTTTGTCATTTACTATTTTAAACTGCATTGTCTTTGATCGCTTTTGAGATCCATCATATTCCTTCTCTTGTAGCTCAATCTAAAACAAAATATATATGTAAACGTTGGCTTAGTTTAAATTTTATTAATGTCACCTGTCCATGTACATCTTTACAATAACCACTTGACAAGCTAGATACTGTAACAATCGAATCGCTAACGTGCTGACAATGAGCTATTAATTTACTTTCATTGCCTTGGCTTATTCCTTCATTGCAACAAACTAGAAGTGAAATATTATCAACTTTTTTTACTAAAGCTTTCAAAGTGTAGACAAACATTCGAATATCATGTATATCGTAGCCAATTGGAAGTAGAGATGATAGGTGATCTATTACCAACAGTATATTCCCTGGCCTTGTAAAGTTATTACATACATTAGTCACTTCCAATGATAATTCTTTTAATTGTTGATTCTTAGAAAGCATATCCATCACGTTAATGAAACATATTTGACCATCCTTTTCTCTATTCCGAAATGATAGTCCCAGACGCTCTCCAATTAATTTATAGGTCAGAGAATTTTCGCCAAAAGATAAAATACATACATTTCTATCCTTTTTCAAGTAATCGGCAAGACAATGATAGACGATAAAGGAGTAGTCAGCTTCATATGAAGAAATGAACATAATCTTTTGCGGGAGACATAAATTCTCCAACTCAAAGTGATCGGTTAAAGGTTGATACATCGTATTTTATTTATATATCTATAATTTAGAATAAACTTTAACTTTATGTATTTCAGATGAACATGAAATATTGGGACATCGCAAAGTCTGACAGAATACTTCGAATGCCATTCGGCCTTCGCCCGGAACTAAACAAATGATAGCCGAAAGATTACTCAATAACACCGATTTCCCGTCGTTTTTTATTAATTTTCGCCCGATAGCTGGAAAATCAAGCGATGGCAACCACCAAAAAAGATTTAGGAATTGATTCTCTCTTGGATGATTTAAATGAAAAATTCGAAGTTAATCAAATAAAAAATAGCATTTATGCTCCTCATCCAACCTTTCAGAATTTATATAAATCAAAACCATCCCGTTCCGATCAAGAGTCTCGAAGGAAGAAGGCTCTTGAAATTCAGAGAAAGTAACTCAATTATTTATATATTGCTTGTGGATTTAATGTATTTTTATTTTTTTAACAACTTGTCCATTAATCAGCCTATATATATTTGTTTTGTTTTTCAGAAAAAGGGCTGACACACTTAATAATTTGAGATGCCTTGTAGAAGGGTCATGGGATGGTATGGACACAACAGAAGAAAGTGAAGATGATGAATACAAACCCGGTAGATTCTATAAAAATCAGCTAATGCTTTCAGAGTGGTTAATAGATGTACCGGAGAACTTCCAAGATAATTTTATAATGGTGGCTTGTCCAACTGGTAAAAGAGTCCTAGTTGTTGCTGCAAAAGGGAAAACAAAAGTTTTCTCAAAGAGTGGTAGAAAAATTCTGGGCGATTTTCCATCAGAGTTACCGGGAGGAAATGTAAGACAATCTTCTGTTCATTTTGGTAAAACAGAGACTGTGCTCGATTGCATATTTAATGAGGCACTTAGAACATTCTTCATTTTGGATTTAATGTGCTGGTCTTCGCATCCAATATACGATTCAGAGGTAAGTTATTTTCATAAGAAGTAATATAAAAAAAAACAAATTCAATTAAGAGATTGTTTACATTTTTGTAGACGGAGTTTAGATTTTATTGGTTGAAAACGAAATACGAAGAGGAAGGGGGAAATTTAAATACCATGTCAAAATACAATAAGGTATGATGTCGAATTTAATAAAATAATAGTCGTCATATGCGTGGCACAATTAATTTCTAACTTACAGTCTCGCGGCCAAGATTTGATCGTATGATCCGCAAAGCTAAAATAAACTTACAACAACTCAGTTAGTAAATATCGTGCATACTTTTCACGTAGTTCAAGTGCAGGCACCTGTTCGATTATATTGGCCAAAGATGAAATAGAATTTATGCGAGATATTATGAATAACGGTATCCGTAATTGATCGCTGATCATTTATTATAATCAACAAGTTAATACTCATGGTTATTTTCAAATATTCCAGTTATGTTTGAAGAAATAATCCAAGATACAGCAAATAGGAAGTGAACTCGCTTTATTAGATATTAGTATATATAAATTTAGTGAATATGTTTGATAAGTTGTTGATAAAAGGCGAAATTGTTAATTTTAAAAACTTTTTCTTACAGTTCAGATTTGTAAATGCCAATCGATGTGATTGTTCAAAGGAAAGTATTGAAAAATTAATGGTATCTACCACTAGGGAAGAATCTCATTTTTTTGATGGATTACTCTTTTACCATAAGGAAGCGTTATATACTTTTGGCACGACGCCTCTAGTTGGCTGGTTGAAGCCTTTCATGATAACTGAAATTTTAAAAGTCACTATTCCTGATTATTTTCAACCTGTGCAACTTGTGACTCAATCAGAATTTATAAGAGACTATCAAAATGACAGACAAGAAAGAATTGAAAAGAATAAGGAAAAGCAGAAACGAAGAAAGGATAAAGAGCATAGCATAGACCAATCTTGATCTTTCTTATCAAGATTACTCAGAATTTTGTTTTTTTGAAACTATTTTATCATTGTAAACAATTATTAAAGGCAGTAAACGTTGTTCATGCAGGATTCTCGCCTATTTTCATTACAAAATAAAGAAGTTATTAGAGATATTAAGGTTAAATTTTTGCTTCCTAGTATTACAATGAAGAAAAGAGATACACCGATGAATTAACTTCCAAGTTATATGTATTTTTTAACAAGTATTAGCAAAAGAAGACATGAATATAACTTCCGATATGCTATTCACTTCGTTTTCCAACTACATTCAGCATTCTCTTTCCAACTACTTTCACCATTAGAATATCTTTCCTGCAAACATAAAATAGGCATTAGTGATTCTTTAAAGGTAGAGACGTAAGTTACAAATGCAGGATGTAGGTAGTTTATAATTACTTTTTTCCATATAGGAATTGTTGCTTTTAGTTTGTCAATGGCAAATTGAACAGCTTCCAAACAATCTTTTCTATGGGGTGAGGATATTACTATTGCTATACTTGCTTCTTTGACTTCTACTAATCTGTGATAGGTATTTTATTATAACAAACTATTAGCAATTTATATATTTCCTTATACAAACCCTAAACGATGGACGATTGCAATTTTACAAACATCTGTCCATTTCTCTCTTATTTCTTTACATAATTTAAACATTTCCTTAATTGCCATTTCCTCATGCGCCTCATATTCCAAACTCTCGACTTTTTTACCCTGGAAATTATCACGAGTTGTTCCAAAAAAAGATGCTATTCCACCACAACGCGCATCCGAAACTTGCTCTACCAGCTCCTCCAAAAATATTTTATCTTTTGTTAATGTACAATAGTCCATAATTCTTATCCTCCACTAATTGGAGGTATAACAGCAATTTCGTCGTTTTCAGACAAATTAATAATTTCTTCACCTAAATAATTCTGATTTAATGCCAAAACTAAATTTTCTGAAAGAGGTTCCAAGCTGAAAAGAGGACATATTATCAATTTAATTTTATAATTTGAATTTTTCGCCTATTATAACTCTAAAACAGAAAATATTAATAAAAACAGATTTTTATAGGATTTATATTGTAAAAATTTAAACTAACCACGGATATAGCGATATTATCTCTTGTTTTACTTTATGATCATTGGTCGGAGATGATAAAAAGTGCTCTACCTTTCTCTGATTTGTTAATTCTCGTGATTTTGCAAAAAATAACACTGTTACCTGTTATTAAATTGAACAAAATAACTTTTAAAGTGATATTTATTGTATAAAACAGCAAGAAAGTTAAAAAATATTTATCAGCTCTATTAAATACCTACCTTGACCTTTGCCATTTAGCAGACGAAATTTAAAATTTTTATAGAGGCTAATATTTTTTACTTGTTTACATGCGTAGAATTAGAACAAGTACAGCACATTTCCACCAAATGCGTTTATTTTGTAAAAAAGATTTCACTTTCGCCAAAAAATAACACCCCCGGATTATCTGTTAACAGTTTTAAAAAATAGCCGGTTGATGGCTGTTTGACATCTGTTTTAGGTTGTTCTTCGAGTAGAACAGATAAATTTTTAATCTATAGATTGAGTATGAAGAGCTTAAGTATTAAAACATACTCTGTTACAATTAGAGGGTGAAAAACAATTTAAATAAAACAAAGTATCACGAAAGTGCTAATTATATTATTGCATAACAGTCTAGGAGCAACTGTATGATATCCTATATCTTGCCATTAATTAGAACCAACGCATTTGATATACTCGAGATATATATACAATTTAGGTCACGTAACAACAATCGCAAAAGTCAGCTAGTCTTATAAATTATCCCGTAAACAGTTAACGTGATTAAAACTGCTACAAGAACAATCGACTTTGTTCATCTCAACTTTCCACTTACAACACACTTGCACTATTTATCAATTAATTACGTAGTTTTCGCCTCTTTCCATTAGAGGTAACGTGCTTTCAAGCTACATCCGTAAACTTTTCATTTGTTGATTAAAAGAATTATAGATAAGAGTTAAATTATCGGGTTGGGTGTGAAAGTTTCGGTCATTTTGAAATTTTAGACGTTATAAAAAACCCTAACGAAATTATTGTTACAATTTTATGTTTATTATAGTTTAAAAGATTAAAAGAATATTTCTATTTTTACAATGCTTTAATTTAGATAAACGAGAGAAAAGTTTTATTTATTTTTTTTTTTAAAAAAAAGTATGAACTAATGAATTTAAAAAAAAAATACTTGTGTTTAGTAAAAGAAAGATTTCTACTTTTCTTCAAAAAAAAACAAAGTTGTTATGGCAAAGAAGACAATAAAGTATATATAATATATATACATACATATATATATATATATATATATATATATATATATATATATATATATTGAGAGAGAAAGTAGACAAGAACTATTGGATAAAAAAACAATACTGTACAGCTCATTTCATACAAGTGTTGAATCATGCATATGACGGTTTCCGTAATAGAACCAATTATTTCTTACGGGAGAGAAAAGATCTGTTTGGTTTGTCTCATCCAAATCGCTAAAATTGTTATTGAAGTGGGGAGGAGATCGTATAAATCTAAACGTTTGCCTCTCCGGCTGGGAATTGGCACGGGATCTGTGAACGTTATCAGATGACAGTAAAGTCATCTGACGTCGTTTACTTTCACTATATTTTATCGCATCGGGAGACAAGAATGGTTTTGCTATTTCAAAACAGTTGCGTGATTTTCTCGGATCGCTAAACGACCTGTCTCTGTCATTCAGTCTTAACGACGAGTATTGTGATCGTCGAAAGTGTGCCACTTGATCAGGCGACTCAGTCAGTTCCCCTGGTTTATCACTATAACGTTGCGATATTGAAGAATAGTTTTTGTTTCGAATGGATGATTGACGAAAACTCTGATATGAGCGTCTAAAAGACGGTGAAGGGGGGGATTTAAAATCTGGTGATCTTAATTGTGCGATATTCTTAAATGACGGAGAAAAACGGCTGTGATGACTTGTTTTCGAACTTGGAGTCATTTCTATATATTCGACCTTAATAGAGTTAAAATGGGCTTTAATAAAAACCTATTAAAAAGTAATATAAAAGTATTTTTACCATCGACGAGGACTTTATAACGGCCTCTCTTTTAACTGGAGAAGAATCCCTTGAATTGTCCAGCTCGTCTAGTGAGTGCTCATCACTGCAGTCTTCTATTGAATTTGACACACGAATAGGCTTCTTACCCTTTTCGATCTTTAAGTTGATAAGCCTTTCCTCTAATTTCTTCAATTCACTTGCGCTTGTTTTATATTGTAGCTTGTGTCTTCTCCTTAAAATACCTTTTGATTCTTTATAAACCTTTTCGTTAGCAGCAACAACGGATCTGTTAATTTCCACTTGTTTTTCTAAATCGTCCATCTCTGGATCCGAGTCGTCAGCTAGCAGTTTTGGCGAGAAACGAAAGGAAGCGCCGAATTTTCTACGAAATTTAAGTAGAGGGGAACCTGGGATCATTTTATATTCATCAGGCACACGACCCGTTAAGTCCTAAAAATTGTTCATAAACTCTGCTTAGCTACAATCCTGAATTGTTATATTTACAGTTACATACGTATTCCTCTATGCAAATAGCTTTGAGCTCGTCTAACTTTCCTTTCAATTTCTCCTCCAATAACGTTTTCTTCCTCTCCAGTTCCATTTTTCGTAGTCGCACGTCATCCGGATTATCATAATCCAAATCCATGACTGCAACTTAGCAAACGAAGCGTCGAGGGAAACGCTTTCTAACTAATATATATTGCTCATCAACGTTAGTAATACTCACTTTTTTAAATAGTACAACCAGTATTAGCAGCCGCTCAGTAAACTTTCGTCTGTATTATTCGTCGTTACGGAAGGAGTGAAGTCTGAATAAGCTGCCACTGCTTTCCAACTGAATTGGATGGAAAAAACAGATTTGAATAATTTCAGTGACCAAACTTTCAAACTGTCAAAGCTTCTCTATGTCTTTATCAACTATGGGAAAGTTTAAGTGTATTAAGATTGTTCAAAGGATTCATAAAAAAAAATTACGTAATCGAAGGAGTAACCTCCGAAAACCACCAGATGGCAAGGTTAGTTTTTATTCAAGTATCTCATTTTGGATAAGAAAAGTTTAGTAGCTCTATTCAGAATAGTTTTATCAAAACATCTCCAAGTTTCCATTACACAAAACAACCAGTCTACCATAGTAGGAAACAGATTTAAGTTATTTTTAAACAACTATGTTTACTTAGCTAAAGTACAACAATTTTCTTATTTTAGATATTCTTTCCGTGTTGTACTAGTATTACTTAATTACAAAAATCCAGTCACCTCAAACTGGGAAGATATAATTTCCAAACCAAATTGGAAGTAATTTTTTTTTCTTAAAAAAAAAAAGTAGTTCTTACAAAGCTTTTATTACTTGTTTTAATGTTGCATTTTACAAGCCTAAGAAAGAAACGCTTGCATTTATAGTAGTTGTACAAAAGTCAATTACTTTGGAAGTAGTATTCAGTCTTACAATACGTTTTTCTTTCATCTTTAAGGCACTGTTTTAATAGAAAAAAAGAAAAAAGACTAGCCGAAGATATTTTCCATTCTATCTCGTAATCAACTTTTACTACGTAAATATGCAACTTTTGTGTGTAGAAAAGCTAAAATTCTTGATAATCTCCTTTTAAAATAATATTTTCAATACTTTTACTATTATTTTTAATAAAAGTAGTGAAATGATCGGTACTATTATTGTTAAAGCTGAATGAAACAGGAATTTTATGTTTAGTCATCTGTAACATATTTTTCCTAATAAATAAATCATGTTATGAATGCAACTAGTAAATTGGCCTTTCCTACAAAATGAATAATTGTCTCTCTTTAAGAACAGATGTCATTAATTATGAATAGAAATTTTCGAATGTATCATGTATAAATGCTTTTTATACAGAATTTATAGAAGAGTTTTCTACCACACTGAATTTAATAATACCCGATAGGAATTTTATTCTCTCTTGTTTACTCAACACTGTATGAACTCGTTCTATACTTAGTCAATAGACAATGTAAATTTATATAGACTATAACTAGAAAAAAAAAATTCTTTTAAGCTACTTAAATCCTTTAAAGATTTATATAAAAGGTTAAAATAAATTACAGTTAAAAGAAGATAATTCATTTTTCTCACAAATATCAATTCGAACATATAGTATTATATAATAGAATTCAACTTGAGTACTCCTGATGAAACAGTGCGGTATAGTTTCGACAAATAATAATAATAGAGGGATTGGGAAACGCTCTGTGATAGAACAGTTATTCATATTAACATGCGCAGTTATGCGTACTTGTGCACAACCAAGTGCGTAAAATAATTGTACTTGAAGAGTGCTCTGACTATCTAGCCATTTGAATATTTCCTAAAAATTTCACCATTTAATTGAAATAGAACAAATGTTTAATTAAAGCATCAATTGTAATTAGTTGAAAAAGAAATATTTCTACATCTAGCTATCTTAAATAATACAAAACAACTTCTGGTCATAATTTATATCGAGTGCGGAACAAAAAAAAAAAAAGAACATCCTAGAAATCCTCCATTGTTCTTTAGAACGCTCAAGGCCTTATTAAAATTAAGTCTGTTACCTTTGTTTTTACATTTAAATTTTCCCTTTATCTGAACATTTATTTTTGGTCCTTCATTTAATAAAACTAGCTAGAAAGAAAATGGTACTTTTTTCAATCAAAATTACTTAATTTGCTATTTCTTTCACGCTTGCGATCCAAAGAGTGTATAATTATAGTCTTTGTCCAAGGAGAACATAAATTGTTTTGGGCATTTATCATAAAATTGCTATTATATCGATTGGAATTTGAATGACTTTAAATTATTCTGCTAATCTATATAGTCATAAATATTGAGATAACAGTATTGTCTAACAGAGAATAAAAAAAAGAAGAAAATTTTGCTATTTCTTCTGAAAAATTGAAGAATAAATTTTTTCCTAATTATCTTACATAATTCATTAGATATAAACAATAAAAATAAGCGTCTGTCCACAAAACAATAGCTTATATAAAATTATAATCAAAATCAGGTGAAACGCGTATGGCAGACTCAGTGTCTGCGGTGCTGCTCACTCCCTCCGGTTTTTAGCATAGGCGATTTCGCGATGAATTCATCATGGACGATAAAGTATTTCACGTTCATCTCGAGAAACGACCCAGCATCGGCTTTGGATTCTCAATCATCGGCGGTTTTCCATCTAGATTATTACCGTGGCATATAATTTGTGATATTTTATCCGGTTCTGCAGCCTTTGATTCCGAGGTAATTCGATTTTTTTCAGTGTGTTATACGAATCGTTGTTGTTTAGTGATTATATAGTTTGCTTTTAAAGAACAATGCTTGATAATAACTTACATTTTAAAACGATTTGATGGTATTACGATTATTATATGATCATCAATGAAAATTCGACTGTAATTATCATAAGTGATTATCTCGATCTTCGCCTACTTTTTAAATGATTCTGCTTCCAATCAAATCGCATAAAACCGGCTTAAGCTCTAGTCTTTTGACTAAAGTGGAATGCTATAATCCTCCAGCTTCAAGTTGGTGACGTGATAGAAGCCGTGAACGATGAGTGTATCAAAGGATTAACAACTCTTGACGGTACGACAGGTTACGCCTAATGTATATGTATCTTTATAGTATATACATAGTATATTCCACATATATACCATATTTAACAACATAAAGGTATTACCGTATATACAATATCTATATACACATGTATCTATAATATATATATATATATATATACAGTATATAGATATATTCATATTGTATATACTTCAAACATATATATATATATATACTGTATATACTATCTGTCAATCTCTCTTTAATATACAAGGTATAATATAAAGACGATTACTATTTAACAAAAAAAAATTAAAAACTTCATATTATCACTGCTTTATACTATATATACAAGCTTCAGCTTTTAGTATAATTGATATATCATTATAATTAAATACTTATAAATATTACTTCTATCATACTTTATTGGTTCAAGGGCAACTGGCTTAATTTCTGCGATAAAGCCAATTTTTTTGCTGTTAAAATATAAAAAAGAAAAGAAATGATCTCTTATTGTTTAGAAAAGCATGTGCATCATCCTAATTTTAGTTTAGTCTTTTTCCTATTAATATTTCTTTTGACATTCTATATGTCAATAACCCAGCTTTGAATATTTATTTTTTCAGCTGTAAAGTTAATTAAGGAAACCGGTAACCAGATTAATCTTAGAATAAGGAGAGGTAAGGCACGATTATATCTAAACTTTTGAGAAAAGAGAAAAACAGATGAAACTCTTTGTATTATAGAGAGGAAGATTCTGCAAATTGCTGCCCCATATCTCACTTGTGATCCTGATTCAGCCAAGTTGCAGGAAGTTGTCACACCTATAAATAAATCTCATCAATTACTGGTCAAGCACTCCCCCCATCCAATCTATGAAATGGATGTACTGAATAGCGTTGCGGAAACGTCTACAACGTCTCCAAGTAAACGTTATGACGTATTCTTAATGACCGGCGATAAGATTATACGTACTACGCCTTCAAAAGATGTTGAAAAGTCCCCTCCGCCTCCCAAGCCAAAACGAGAAACAAATGGTAAAAAATCAAGAATACCTCGACGAGCGCCTCTGGCTGAAGCCGAGGAAATGCCAGCTGTTTTGCCAGAAGATAGTTCTGACATACTGCTTGAAACTAACCGTTCTACCGCATCACTTAAAGATTCTGGTCTAGAGATGGATTGTTCAACGGATGCCATATCTCATTCGTCTAGCCGCATCCCATTATCAAATTCATCGGTGCGTTCGAGTAAGAGTCACGAAAACTATTTACAAGGCATTACGACTGCTGTGGTTGATATTGATTTGGATGGTATGGCAACTTCTGTGGATGTATTGCACAACGAGAGAATCAAATCGTTGGAAAATTGTTCTTCTCCGACGAAAGTTCCGGAATATTCAACTTCTCTTCAAAACTCTCCCGATCATCCTATTTCGCCAACAATCAACTCTCGTAAAGTCCATATGCCCACCTTTATAGCCGGGGAAGAACCACGCGCTGTAGCCAAATCGAAAACAAAAGATCCTAAGGAATTTCCTCAAGCAGTTCAGGAAGCTATTGTGGAAGAAGACGTACACGCAATGTTCGATAAATTACGTCGAGAAATTGACCTGCAACTCTCCGATACCGAAAGCTATTCGAAACCTCAGAAAATTGAGGTGGACCAATTTAAAATTACGTCAAGCGAACCTCATTCAAATCCCCCAAGTCCAGCAGAAAGAGCCGAATCATTGGCCTCTAGCGATGGTTCAGATGCTGAGAGTCTCTATCATCAACCAATTAAAGAGGTAAAGCCTGACTATCAATTATTTTTTTTCAATGATTAATTCCAATCCTTTGATACTTATAGGTTGATAGGCCTTCAGCAGCCAGGTTAGCAAAAAGATTGTACAGCTTAGACGGTTTTAAGAAAAGCGACATTTCACGACATTTAAGCAAAAAGTAATAAATCAATGTAAAACTATTATTAATTGATTAACTAACATTTTGTTTGTTTATTATCAGAAATGAATTCTCTCAGCTGGTTGGGGATGAATTTTTAAAATATTTTAGTTTTGAAGGATATAGTCTGGATAAGGCACTCCGAGAATTTTTATCACATATTGTTTTAACGGGCGAGACATGCGAGAGGGAACGTGTATTAGTTCATTTCGCTCAAAGATTTGTACTATTAAATCCAGGATGTTTCAATTCGGATGGTAAGCTAATTCGTTATATTTTTCATATCATTTTTTTTATCCTTTTAATTGAATTCTATCGATTGTTTTTGAATCCGATTTACGTTTGCAGATTCTTGCCACACTCTGACTTGTGCGATTTTGCTTTTAAATGGTGATTTAAATAATACGGTGAGGGAATTTTATATGAAATTTTTTCATCGTCTAAAATGATTAATTTTCTATTTAGGCAATCGAGCCAGAACGAAAGATGACCTGCAAGCAATTTATTGAAAATTTGCAATGCTTAAACGATGGAGAAAACTTTCCTAAGGAAATATTAATGCAAATCTATCAAAGTATAAAAAACGAGCCTTTAGTTTGCCAAGTGTTTGTATATTAATAATATAAAAATAAATATATTTCCTTTAATGGTTGTCTGTTTTTTTTTCTATATAGCGAACAAGACGATCTACCGCAATTAAACGATAATAGGTCTATTCCAGAGCCTGTAAGTATTGTGTTATTGTTATTGGTTTGGTAATTTTTTAATAAAAAGGAAATAATATTATTGCAGCCGCAGGAATCTCAAGGAAATCTTGAAGGACAGAAAAAAGGTTACATGATGAGGAAATGCTGTTGGTATTCTAACGGCAAAAAAAGTTAGCACAAAAGCTTAATAGGGAGTTTAATTATTTAACATAAATCTTTCGCTTTTAACAGCACCACTGGGAAAACGTAAGTGGAAAATGTTTTACGTCATGTTAGAAGGTATGGCTCTTTGTTTGCATAAGAACGAAAATGGTTTCAAGAAGCAAGGAGTTACTGATAATCCAGATAATTTGATTAGAATTTATCACGCTTTCGCTGAGCCAGCCTTAGACTATAAAAAAAAACAGCACGTGTTCACTTTATACACAGCGGATGGATCAAAATATATGTTCCAATGCAGTAATACAAAAGATACTGAAGAGTGGATTTTGTCTATAAATAGAACATCAGCTTTTCTGTCAGCACCTCCTCTTCCTGCACCTTGCAGTTCACAGAAAAAATTTCAGCGTTATGTCATGCCGTCCAGCTATACAAAATTGAGCGCGGTATTAATATTTTCTACAAACTTTCTTTAATATGTTTACATGAAGCACATATTTAATATTGTTTTTTTTTCAGCAACAACAATTCTTAAGTCATCAAGAGCATTTAAAAAAATTAAAGCAAGATCTTATTGAGCATTCTCGCACAGCTCCCGAAAAGGGAGCTAAAAGTCGCCTTATTGAGGAACACAAATCTATTGAATCTTACTTACAAATGGAAGAAAAAAGATTTGACACTTACTTTTGCCTTTTACAAGAACATTTAAATACTAATATCGCTGGATCTCTAGCCGAAACTGTTATAGGAGAAGTCGATGAGCCGCCTTCTTCGCCGACTGATAAATTTCGTCAGACGAATATGTTTGAAAGGTACAAGCCTGCGCTCGGCCTGTGATTTCGATAAAATTTCATTAACATAAAAAGTAATTTAATCGGGAACTGTAATCATTTTTTGTCGCTGTTGCTTAGCGCGTCTTCTGGTGCTTTTTAACTGCGTTTCGAAAATCGCATTTAAAGCATATATATATATCGTTTGCGAATCACAAAATAATGGAAAAGCAAAACTGAATGGCTAAAAATTTTATCTGCTCAAAGCTAGATAATCAATGCTTTAAATTAATATTCTAAGATATTCAATACACTCCGTTTCTTTTTATAAAATATAAACAATTTCTTTTTAAATTGTTGTTTGAAATTCTATAACTTGTGACTCAAGCTTTTATTGACATCCTCAATAATTCGAAATAAAATCACTCATTCTTTCCTCTTGCTTTTTCAAAAGTGAAAGTTTCCTTGTTCAAAAACCAAAACGTTGACTCACAAACTTCATAAATTTTCCAGGTCGTTATACAATAAAGGTTCACCGGAAACAGGTCGCCTACTGAGAAGATATCCCGGAGGGTGTCCTGAAGATCATGGTACTGCTGTGTAGTATCTTTTTTATACTGATTTAAAAAATGATCTATATATTAGTGATGTAATTTTGGCATTTAAATCATTTGCTATACAATTGTTCAGGAAGATGTACTTGCAAATCAGTTGTTTACTTTTTTCCGAGTATTTTTCATTTTCAAGAGGGCAATTAGATAATACCGATGTAAATTGCGTCGATTCGACGCCTTTTTGTAAAGATATCTTAAGGACTAGTAAAAATCTGTACATGTGCTACAAAACAAACAACGACCTTTTTACTTCTATATCGAGGGCTTGTTGCCAGACTTGTTTAGAGAAGATGGATCAAAGTCGCCGAACAAATGGTCATTGCTTATGGGGCGACAGATCCACTGATTGCAAAGTTATAAGAAATTTTTCCGGTCATTGCTATACGCTGGAGAGTGAATGTTGCAAAACATGTGGAGAGTTGCAAACCAAATCTCCTAATTGCAGATATGGAGATAAAGATGAGTCGTGTCCAGATATAGCATCCAGGGGCCTCTGCTGGAAGGGCATATATAATCGACTGTGCTGTCAATCGTGCAACAGGTCGTCAATGTATAACCTGAAGTATACCCAATTTGACAGCTGTCCTTTAGGATACTATTATCGCGAAAAATGTATACCCTGCGAGTTAGGATTCTATCAGAGAAAATCAGGACATTTCTGTGAACGTTGTCCTGCCCGAGCCACCACTCTTCAAGTAGGGTCGAATACAATAAATAAATGCTTCATTCCGCCAAACAAGCCAAGAGGTGGTTCATATTCTTTCTGGCTAAAGCCCTTTTTTAATACCCTACTCTTAATCTTTTCTACAATATTGGTCCTTGCTGTAATAATTCTGCTCGTTTGCCTATTGCATCGACGCCTTAGAGTTAGTATCATTAACGAGAAGCAAGAAAAATGGACTGAGCAATCAACAGCGAGAGCTTCCACGTTGGAACCTCTCTTAAGAAAAAGCTATCAGCAGGCTTATATAAATGGTGGTAGGGAATCACTTGGCTCAGGAAGCCGCTTAGCTGAAAAATTGTATCACTTGGACCCGTACTTTGCTAGGTTTCTGTCAAAGGGACGTTTCCCTAAGACCAAGCGAAATAATTTTAATTCAAATTCGCAGCTAATGAATAAAGACAGTCATCAAAATTATTCGCCTACGAGTGATCGTTTATTCATTTCCAACAATATTGATACGAAATAAATCGGCTTTCGTTCGGGCATATACCGCTAAGTTTACACACAACATCAACATAACATTAAAACCTCTTACAGGTAGGCTCGCGGGACACTTTCTTAATAAAGGATTCAACAACTACTGCGCGCTTGTCCTTTAACAAATATGAATAAAATCGATGATAAAAAATTTTGCATAAAAACAATGACGGAGCGGACTCACGAGTTCCAAATCGGGCTTTAATAAATATCAACAACTTATTCTACTGATTCTGCCAATCTACTCAAATTCTGGATGACAGGAGATTTTAATTCGACCATACTTGCCACACGCAAATGTTTAGATCCACAGTACTTTCGATAAACTGCAGTTGTTTTTCCCGAGTCAGCTGTTTTCACTAAAACCGCCATTTTTCTCAAAACATCAATGAGATCTTGTTGTCTGTAGGTGCTATGGTGGATGAGGGCATCAGTCTGTCAAAAAGGGAAAAGTGTTTACAGCATTTGATAAACTTTTTATAATACTTCGTTTCTTACCCATTCGGCATTCTCGCCACCCAATACCTTCATTGACATAAATAAGGCAGCTGCAGCAATTTTTGATGGTAGTATGTGGCAAAGAGAATATTCTGTCAAGCACAACTCCATTAAGTACTTGGCTAGGCCATGTTTCAAGGCATCTACTTCGGCCACTTTAGAATATCGACGTAAAAAATGTAGCGGAATGGGTTTTCCAAGACGGAAATCTAGTGATCTCAGGATAATCATTTCCATTCTAAGGATTTCCTCTTTCTTGTAAGCTTTATCACTGATATAAACGAAATCATTCACTTCCGGTGAATACATTTCCTCGTATTTTGAAGCAATTAGCATGGACGTCACACCGACGAGTTGTAATTCGTTCCGACTTATACATGCCTCCTGTTTGAAATTTTCAAAATATAAACAAGAATGGGTTTTTTTAAATTTTTTTTACCTCAAGGAATCTATCAATGATAGACACAGTTATGTAAAGAGTTTCCTGTAGCAAATGGAATCTAGAGTGAACCTGGACCAACCAGTCAATCAAGATTTTTCTCATGCGGGGTTTAATCGGGTTGTCTTTCTTCAATGACAGAAAGTCTTCTTTTATTTCAATTTCTCTCTGAAAAAATTACCCGTGCACTGATAAGCAATAAAAGTCAAAGAGACAACCTCTAATTTCCTTAAATACGCGTACACGTCTTGAACGTATTCGCTAACAAGCTGTGGGTTACCCTGGTCTTCTTTATCGACATCATATATGACTACACCTGGCTCCTCAACAACTTCCATGGCAGTCTCTCGTCTTGGAGACTTTTCTTTGACTTTATCTTTGATAGCCATGGAAGAAGCGATCTCTTTAGCTCTACTTCTTGTTGTAATAGCAGCATTTTCCTTGTTCGTTAATACATGCTTCTTCGAGTACTTTCGAGCTTGTACACCATGAGCCGTTGTAGTGTTCTTATTACTAATATTTCCCAAAGCTGAACGTGTCACTACAGACGTCTTTTCGCCCAAAATGTTTTTTCCCGCATTCATATTTTCACTGTCCAAACCCGGTTTCTGAGAGTCGCCTAGCAGTTGCATCTACAAAGAGAAAAAGGTGAGCGCGAAAAAATTTAAAAATGGCGCTTGGTAACTTTCACCGGTCCATCGGCGTTGTTATTTGCTTAAAATTTCAAATAAAATTGCAGCTTTTCTGATACTTACATTCCTCTGTCTTGATACAGCCATTTTTAAGACGAATTTGTCTCCAAATGGCTAAAATGGAAGGATTTCAAGCGTTTCTGCCACTGCAACACTCAACTCACTGCTTGTCTCAACAAGAAGTTCTAACGGACGCTATCTGAATGCTTATTGGTTAAAAGATTAACCATGCTATTCCGCATTATTTATAACTATTCAAACTGGTTCGGATCTATTTACTTTTAATTTCCTGCTATCTCAATATGACTTCCGGTAATAAAATTTAAATTATTATATTGAAAGTGATAATCTGATATTTTTATGTGAAATGCACACAATTTGTTAAAAATTCGTATGTAGTTAAGGCAAAAATAAACTAGAACGATCAAAAAATGAATGATTATTTGATCAAAGAAAAGTTATTGATTGTTCAAAACACACCAAATCGATAGATTTTACTTTTAATAAAGGCCTTTTATACTTATAATATAAACTGTAATAAACAAAATATTTCAAATACGGCTATCCTTTTAAAGTTGACCTAATGTTTATAATTAAGAGTTAAGAGCTGACATATGCCTGATATGCACTTCAGAGTATAAGTTGTTGGACTGATAATTTAATGACCGTAGTATTCCCGAACGTACGTATGTCATTTCCAATTCAAAACATCTGCTCTGTAAGCTCCTGCTAATTTTCTATTAGCTTTGGCGACTTAACACTTGCCACCTTTCGAAGTATTCCCGCTCTGAGATATTCTCACTTTACAATAATTAAGTGATATTATAATTTAATTTACGATTAGATCTGTGAGGCTATCTTTAATTGATTTATACCTGAGAAGATATTTACTATTACCGACTTAACTGATAAGCTTACTAATTTAATTCAAAGCTATTTTTGTAAAGAGGAGTGATTTTCTTGTGAGTGTCATAATTCTGAATTATTCTTGCACTAGAATATAGGGAATTAGGGACTACTGACGTCTCTAACTTAAAAATGTTTATAAATTTCGCGCAAATATAGCATATGCTATCTAAGTCGAATAGATTTCGAGTTAGAAATTCTATTAAACGCGATTACTCCCCATAATTCTACGAAGCGGATGTTGCGGATGTGTGAATAAAAAATGGCAGACGATGAAGAAATTAGGTAAAATTTCTTTATTATTGTTATTGTTTGAGTCTATAACACTCTGATGCTATATTTCCAATTTAAAAAATACGATTTAAATTCTGCATCAGTAGCCGATCATTGACAGTTCACTTATAGACAGTAACAGTCGTTAATACATTTTTTATTACTTATGAATTTATTCTCTATTTCGAATCTGGATTACAATGGAGCATAATTTAAATAAGAAAGTTCTTATTTCTTTGGCATAACAACAGTCTTTGTTTTTATCTTGAAAAACTTGATCATATATTAAATCCTTTCCCTCGATCCCTCCCCAAACCTGTTCCACTTTTACCACCCCCTTTCTCCACACACACATACCAAGTTTCTTGAGATATGTAACTTAATTTTTCATAAAATATTATCACCATAGTTGTAAATTCATATTTATATTATCAAAATTTTAGGTCGGGTATAGCAGAAGATAATGGATTAGGGGAAAATGCCGATATAGAGACTGTAAGAAAAATTTCCAAGTACAGAACAATTGCAAATGAATTAAGACCAGAGTCTTGGAAAGTAAGTTTGCAAGATGATCGCTTAGTTATTTAATTAACAAGATTGTTTTAATTTCTACTTTGAAGGCATGCTTGGCTGTGACGGGGAAGGCAAATGTGCTCTCAGGGTTTGACGAACTATATAACTTACCCGAACAGAATGAAATCAGGGATAAATGTGAAAGTATAGTTGGTTAGTCGTCTTTACTCAAATTTGAAATTATTGATACTAATTATTGATTATATTATGTCAGAGAGCTTAGACGATTTAGAAAACAGATTATCGGCAGTGAGCGACTTAGAAGCGATCATAACGTTTTATTGTAAATCCAAGAACCTATCATTTGACCCAAATAATGGTTGGCTCGAAGTGTTAAAGCCTATGTTAACAATGGGTTACTCAAGAACCGACTTATACAATGTTTTCTATGCGTTTCTCTCTAAATACACACCAAGGTAAAATTGATATATAAACAAAGAGTTTAGTGCTTCTTGTAAAATTAAGTTCTTTTTTTATAGAGAATGCAAGAAAGATGGAAAGCCATTTCATTTATTTCGACTTCTTCTTCTCTACCATGATCCTGAGTTATGCAGTTTCCTAGACACAAGAAGAATAACTCCCGACTTGTACGCACAAACATGGGTTAGTACTATAACTTACAAAATCGTTTGCATATTTTATATTATAATTGCTTAAACAGTTTCGAAGCATGTTTAGCTCGTGTTGCGACATGGAAGTTATTCAAAGCATGTGGGACGTTTATTTTCAACATGCTGATTCATTTCTTATATTTTTCTTAGCTCTAGTTATACTTGTGAACGCAAAGTTTGTTTTCCTCCATATATATTGCATTCTTGTATTTTTAGAACTTGAATTTCAGGGACCAAATAGTTGGAATGATGAATGATGACAAAGAAAGTATATTAGAAACATTGCAGGCACTTCCAGGTGCCCTAGAAGCAGATGATATCGAAGATTTCTGTTCTTTGGCTCAGTACTACTCTTCCAAAACCCCACAAAGTTTCAGAATGGTCAGTTTCTTAGGCGTTCTTTTAACGATTAACATATTATGTAATATTACTATTTAAAGGACTACGAAATCCCCTTGTTTGGTTCTACACTAGCTGTTCAAAGACATGAATTGGTTACGAATGTTGCTCAGGCACTCTGCCTACCCGTTGTTGTTTCTGAATTATTACAGGCTAATCAAAGTAGCTCGGTAAGGTTACATAATATTATCTAACAGGAAATTCAATATTGCATCTCGTTTTAAAAGCAAAGCGATTGCGTCAGATACTTTCTGATAGATTGCCGACCGGCCGAACAATATAATGCTGGTCATTTACCAGTCGCCTTTCACCTAGATGCCCAATTAATGCTTAGAAATCCATCAGAGTTTAGTACAACTGTTCAAGCTTTATTCGCTACTCAATCTCAAGCTCTTGCTACTGGAAGTGTTGCAGCGGGGGAGCACTTATGTTTTATTGGGTCCGGTAGGGACGCTGAAGATAAATATTTACATATGGTAGTTTCACACTTCTTACAAAGAGACGTACGATATGTTTCTATAGCTAAGGGTGGCTATAAGTCGTTGCATAAACTATTAGAAAACTTTTTAAGTGATGCCTTGAAAGAACACTGCCCGAAAAATTGTTTAGAATGTTCGGACGAAAATGGATCAGCTTCGTCAATGGCTTCAAATTCGAACCTTTTGGACGATATTAAGAAAGAAAAGGAACAAGCTTCAAATTTAATTAATAAATGGTCCTCAGCACTGAAATCGAAGTCTGCTGTAATGAAAGATAAAGTGACACGATATATAAAGAACGAAGGTAATCAAGAACAACCTCGACACGTCAGTTCTTCAGATAAAGTCGGGAAACGATACAGGAATATGTCAAATGTATTTTCAATTGGTGATGACGAAGATGAAGAGCCAATGGTCGCAAAAAATAAAAGTGACAAATCGGAAATTGTTAAATTGGGGGTTTGGCTTGAGAAGCCAGAGGTTACTAAATACTTCGAATGTCAACATATAAGTCGGCAGGACAACCAATCCTTTGAAAGGTTTTATTATCAAGAGTTCACGCCTTTGACAAAATTTTCATTTTAGTTTTCTTTTTCCATACAGTTTTCTGGTTTTAACAGAATCGTTTCTTTTTGTGCTTAGAGTAATATCGAGGAAAACCAATCAGGCTAGTGTTCAAGCGAAAAGACCGCTCTCCTCAATAGTCAAAATAACTTCGAACAAAAAAAGGCAAGAAATTATTACCTTAAAGTATGGCGTTCATGATGAAGCAAATGGGTTGGTTATAAATGATGTGGATAGATTTTTTATCCCCAATGCATCTCAAGCTACAAAGCATATTAAATTTGCCATTATGAAAGTGTTGGATGCTTTGGAAGTGAGTTAAAATAAAAGACAGAATAAGACGGTCAATCTGCAGTACTCAAATAATTCAATTGATTTTTCTAAACCTAAATTTATTTCATTACTCATTGCAAATATTTAGTAAAAATTATTTATTTAACAAATATTTTCATCGTGGCTCCCTTGTATATTCCGATTCATCAAACTAACTTGAATAGAAAAGCTGGAATTTGCTATAAGATATAAATCTGTTACGATAAGTTTCAGATATAAAAAACAATTCAATTAATATACTAATAGCAGATAAAGCCTAGCGGTTGTAAGCACGGTCCAGGTGGTCCAAGTATGAGTTTAATTAATTATATTGACATAATATAAACTCTTATAGATGATTAAGCTGCTAAGAATATTATAACTAGTTCTTTTCGTGTAAATATTGGTTAATATAGTAAATCTCTCTTAACCTTTGACTCACTAACTGCAGATTGGAAACTTATTGCATCGTCTTCGACAACTTTTTTGCTATTTTTCAATGAATAGCTCCTATAATCGAATTCGCTATCGCTCAAGTCTAAATCATTATCTAAGTCGCTAGGCCTTGTTCTTTCATCTACTTCCTCTTCGACAGCAATCTTTTGATTTTGGAAACCTTCCTCTTGCTCCGCCATTCCCATAAATGTTCTATATAATCGGAAAGTATCCTTTGTTGATAGTCTCACCCTGCCTTTTTGGTCTGTGTGTGATGCTCGCAGGACTTTCTTCAACAGCCTTCTTCTTTCAGCAGTAGCTTCCAAGTCGACGTCTATTTGTCTTGTAACGATAACCGAAGACTTTTTAAACATATCATCGCTACCTCTGATAGGAACAACCCTTTCACAGCGGACTTTCACCTGAAATTAAAAATAATAAGCATCCTAAAAGCTTTTTTAATTGAGAAATACCTGAAGTTCAGCAACACCGTCCCTTAAACATAAATCAACTTTTTCCGAGACTGTATCGTAGTTCAATAATGGATCAGTGCCGTTTTCACTTGGACCAATTATCTCTTCTTCTTCTCTCTCGACATTTATACTTTGTCTTATACTATCTGCTGGAGCATTAGCTAAGAGTCGTAATATATCTTGTCGCTCCTCCTCTGATGGATTTATAGGCGTTGCTTTTGGTAATGAATTGAGATTTCCATAATCTGTCAAATCATGCTCAGAATATTCACTACTCGATGCATAATCAAGAGAATCAATTTGATCAGCGGCTGTTTGTCTTCCATCAATAAATATTTTTGTATCTCTGCTTAGCATTTTTGGGATTCTTTTTGCGGTACTTGTGGCCTCGCCAGCTTCAGTATGAGCACCCGCCATTCTTAAATCCGGATCGCTACTGTACATGGGATTCTCTTTGGTTTGGCGAAAACCGTGATGAAACGGATTTGAGTGATCGTCGCTAAGTGGCCGTGTTGCATTAGTTTCGTCCATATGTTTTTCTATCAAAATGCTTCCACGAACTAAGTCTTGCTTGTCATAATCAACTCGTATTTGTTGATTTATTTGCATCTCATAATTAGGTTTTGTACCGGTAAAAGAATGAGGAACTTCCTGATTGTTCGTTTGATATTGTACTTGACTGGGAGTATCCGTATAGTCCAAACTGGTAACATATACAACATTTGGATTGTAATATTGCTGTTGAAATTGTTTATCCAAAAATATTGGATGAACTTGCTGCAGTTGAAGAGGCTGTAACATATTTTGTTGGTCAATGACAGATGTATCTTCAGCGACCAGCCCAAAAGGAACTTCAACCTTATACTGTCCATTTTCTTCTCTAGCTGTCATACTTCCGGTCTGTATCTTCAATTGTGGAGCCATTGAAGGACCAGAAATTTCGGAAGCTGCAGTTGGATGTATAACTGAGGAGATTTCTCCAATGGGCTGTAAAATATAGGTCTGTTGAATTCCCGACGAATAGTCATTAATCAAAATGGGATTCATAGCTGAGTCTCTAGCTTCTTCTAGGGCGGCCAATTCTAAATCATCTTCAAGGAAGACTTGATTTTCATAATTTTCGGGTAAATAGGTAGATTTTTCTGCATTAATTATTGCATAGGGTTCAGAAGTTACTGACGGATTATGAGCATATTTCGAATTATATTTATTCTTATCTCCAGCTACTTCGATCCTTGCAATATTTTGTTCACTAAATACCTCCGGTTTCCTTGGGAAATCGTATTGAAATCCTTCTAAATCTTGAGTATGCTCTGGAGGATCAGCAATCCAATATTCTGGTGAGTCAACGTAATCGTAACCTTCCTGAATTTGATATTCAAAGCCTTGATTCTGGTAGGGGTCTATGATAACTTGATAAGGCTCAGGTTCGAAATATTCTTGCTCGTATTGAAAATTATCAGGAGTAACGTAGCTGATATAAAATAGGAAAAATTTAATTTACACAACTAATTTCTATAGGTAATAAAAGATCTAAGAGTATTTCATAAACATTTACACTGGTACATAACACGACGTAAAAAGAACTGCCCTAAATATAAGATTTTATTAAATATCGATTTTATATTGGTATATTTTTCCTTCTTTACATTGAATAGTACTTGTTCAGATTCAAAATACCAGTTACTGTAAAAATAGTCTTTTCTTGTATATTACAATATTCTTGATATATATACATTTAGGTACTTTGTTATTATACACTATAGTATAAGAACTATACAATTATATATCTTTTATATACAGTATATATGTTATTGTTTGCTGTTTGTGCAAACAAATGAAAACCTAAATTGAATTATTAGGTTTATATTTTTTTTATGTTAATGTTAAGTTTAATAATTCAATAAGCTTTGTTACACAAAATTCTAGGCGTATATATTGCCAGAAGATGTATTTCCATGTACGCTGCGTATAGAATATATTATTTTGTCTTATATTTAGGACATCTTTTAAATCTCGTAAACAATCATCTGTGGACTCAGAGATCAGGAGCGAATAGTTTGATATTTTAATTAAGATTTAAATACTAATAAACTAGTTTAACTGAAAATTGAGTGATATTAGTAAAAATTGATTTATTTACGCAAGTCTATTGTCCTATTTTCATACGCTTCTAAGTTACGTCACTTTAGCTATACGGTTTTTTTTAGCTTACCTTCAAGTTGAGGATATGAATTGTTAAATTAAGAGAAATTTATATGACCTTTGTATATATTAAAGGGAACTATCAAAGGCTTTGTTGTTTCTTTTTATATAAGTTTTTAGGGCCGTAGTCAACCTTCTTCGTTAAAATTTAGATGATAATAGCATTGAAATTACATAGATTGTATAGATTTATGCCTACCTTTGCGGAACCCTTCCAGCAAACACAGTCGAATCACCCATGTTCATTGTAAAATGATGATGATTTTCCATCATTTCATCGTGTTCATCCTCTTTCTCATCGCTACTTGTTGGTGAATGGTCGCTTGTTTCAATTGAATTCGATCTGAATGACGGTTC